CACTTAGTTAAAACAATAAAAAGTTAACGAGATCAAACTAGTACGTTTTATTTTGAATCAAGTTAAGTTCAAAGAGAAGAAAAATATCTACTGCAAAAATTTAAATATCTTCTTCATATTGCGGAACCTAGAAACTGGCAGCTGAGTTATTCTACTCAAAGAAGACGTACGTCTTCTGAACCGTAAAAGAATAGAATTCTCCCTTGAGGAGATTACGCATCTACCCGGAGCGGGTGGACTTGTAAACGTATCCATGGCTTGATCTAGTGATCATGCAACTAACCTATTTTCCCGTGCTAACCATTATGTAGCACTGCTTGCAGGAAAATAGAATTAATTAGGAAAATAGTATTCGTGCGTGGTGTTTGAGTTGAGTGAACAGTTATTGTAAAGGATGATCACAACCTATTATCTTGTAATCATTCTTTATGCCGAAGGCAGAGAATAGTACTTATAACCTATTATACCTTGGTGTTGAATCAATATATCCTGCATGTCCATATATTAATTCTACTATATATCCTATGTCATATAGTAACGTATTATAGCAAAATAAGTAAACTATATATCTTAAATGACAACCTGTTCAGCCTTATACGAGGTAGCTAATCTCGTATAAGAATCATCACTTATTCTATATTCGTTTCCTACTCTACTTTATATTATTTCAGCAGTAATGAGGTGTGAGGATCTTGTATAATTTGTATACGAGTTCTCCACATCTCATATGATGCTGTCAACTAAACACAACACTTAATTCACGGTACTCATATATTAGAGTTTATGTAGTTTCTAATTATTTCTGGTTTGCAATATTGTATAATTCATCTTTATCCTTCATAAAGTGAATTATATCTTTAATATTTGTATATCATCTACCCTCAAATACGACACGTTCATCAAGAGAGACGGTAGCATTCTGAAGTGTAAAATTCTTGTTTAAGCAAATAATAGCACCATATTTTGTAAATAGCACAGAACATTGTGGAAAAAGGTAAGATTGAAAGTAGTGACATTGTTCTTGAGTTAAGTGAGCTTGAAGGTGGAAGGCGGAGACTTCCTGTAAACATAATATATCGAAGGAGAGAGGTGTTGATTTGAGGAATGATAAAAACACTCGTTGAGTGTTTTTATCAGCATCCTTGAAAATGCTACGAGCATTTAAGGATGCTATACGGACTGGTTTTTTACTCATTACCCTTACGGGCGGCAGGCTGAGCGGATGCTGTATTACTTACAGGAGGTTGCTTATTCGTTATCGTCTTTATGGAAGAGTTGGGGCCATGGGGCTTTTGGCTGCCTTTCTGATCGGGTAGAATGTAATCGGAGTGGTCCTGCATGTTACTCGTTGAGGGACGAGAGGAAACAGTGGTGGACGATGGCTGATCTGTATCCATAATGGACCTCAACTCGATCGGAGCATGTTTTGAGGCGTAGGTTCCATAAGCAGAAAGGATAGAAAGTTGCGTACCCTGATTATTTTCCTCCGTTAGTTCATTCATGTCCTCATCCTCATTGAATGCAGCAGCATCATCCTTCAAATCGTGAGCAGTATCGTTCATCACGGTGGCACCAGTAGTCGTCATTGACACCGTCGCCCCAGCGGTGAGTTTTTCATAGTCGGCTAAATCGTCTTCGAACTCAGGCTCTTTTTGCTGAACTGGTGTTGGTGGTTCTGGGACGCGACATCTACGCTGCGTATGTCCTTTACCGCCACATCGAAAACAAATAATCTTCTGCAAAGCCGGGCAATCTTTTCTAATATGACCTGCTTCCCGACAGTAGTAGCAGATTGGTTGGGCGCCCTTAAAACTTGCAGGGACGACGATGTTCCAAGCCTCCATATATAACATACGTTGTAGCTCTTGATATCTGGGTACCTGAGCAGTAGGACTACGATCCAAGAGAACGGAGAGATCACCTTCAAAATATCCATGATTGATCCGTTGTTTGATCTGGATTACTCGGCCGTAATGGGACATAGACTCTGTTAGTTTCTTGACAACAACATCAATCTCATCACTGACGGGCAGATTAAGAGTTACGCGGCAATAGTCGTTTGCCTCGGTCTTGTCCTTGTATGGTACCGCCTTATATTGGACTCCACCATGAGTAATGCCCTCCTCCAGCGCTTTCTTGGTATGTGCTGCATCTCGAAATCGAGTGTAGAAAACCAAATCTCCGCGGGATCGGTTTCCACGCAGCGAAACGGGATTAAAGTAGTTACCCACAACCGGACCAATTTGATCATTCACCAGCCAAAAGGCTTCGGACTGGTGATCAAAAAGTCTACTGGGAACTGAAAAGATAACAGCATCAGGTTGAATGGCGGTCTGCACAATAGCTTGGACGCGTTGCGAGCGTAAATATTCTGCTACTTCAGGTTCCTCCAGTAGTGTTTCAACACTATAAGACTCCTTCTTTCTAGAAATGTCATAACGGCTTCGAGATGGCGGAACTTTCGTTTTAAGACTTTTTGAGACGATGTAGACTAGCTGGTACCATGTCTGGTTTTCGGTTCACTCGTCATGTGGTGATCGAGTGACGATGAAGTTGAGATGTGCTAAGGTAGGTTGTTGGAAATGCCGAAATCTGATTGGTGGATTCAAAAGTTGTGATGAATACACGAGAAAAAGGCCACTTTTTTTGTTTTCCCTACAGATAAGAATTAGCAGAAACGCTGTTTCACGCACCACATACATAAGTCTAAAAAAACTCTCCGGCGGGGAATTGAACCCCGGTCTCCCGCGTGACAGGCGGGGATACTCACCACTATACTACCGAAGACAGATATATTATGTAAAAAAATTTATTATAGAGATCTTTTAAACAGTTTTTGGAGCTCGAGTCGGTGAGTTCAGTTTGATGGAACGGCAAATTCGAAATGTCATGCTTTTCTTCTCTTATTATCTGTTGATGCTGGAATTGAATTAATACCTTGCTCATGATAAATTGACTTTTTTCACTTTTTAAGTTTAAGTTTAGTCTCGACAATATGTTTCGTTTTTATCTAGTTGTATTATTTACTTTTTGTTGTATACGATAAGATCAAAGTATAAGAAAAGAAAACAAAAGGAAATCAGTGAAGACCAAGTTATCTTCTTTTATTAGGTAGAATATTCTGATAAAGAACTCAATTAAGAATGAAGACAAAAACCATGTAGGAAAAAAGTACTTCTATTTATATTTGTGGATATTGTAAAAAACTTTTTCTATCGAGACTCTTAGGTACAAGATGCCTTGATGATAAAAGAAAAGACATACCCAATTGTTACTGCACGGTTCATCATGCTATAGCGGTGCCTTGACCGATTGGATCGGTGACAGGAGGTAAGTGGGTTGATCTAACTAAAGGTTCCTTTGACCCGTACTTCAGCAGTTTCATTATAACTAACGTGACGGACAGGATAAACTCTTCCTTAATCCTGCCGACGTCTACGTTTCAGTCTTATTGAATTCTGTCAGAATGTAAAGGGTTAAAGTAAGGATCAACAAGTTAGAAGATAATAGCTTAAATAGATTAGATTTATGTATTGTGGTTTGATGTGCTAAATAAAGTTATCTGATTTAATCAAATCCAAATACTATTGACGTGTTTGGTGAGATAATAACTACAATACTCGAGTACGTACAACCAGGTAGAGAATACATTCTACCACGGTCTATCTATATTGCATCTAATATAGGTTATGTACAACATAGAACAAGATATAGGCCTAAGTATAATAATCACCCAATAAGCATCTGAACCTGAAATTAGTGACTAGCATACGCGTCCTCAAATAATATAATTCCCATTAAACCTCACAAAGTAAATAATCCTTCTACTTCATCTGAAGAATAATAAAGACACCTAAGTTCATAGTCATCGACTTACAACTGTTATCAATTTTTTAAATAAGCAAATACAACAACTATAATATCTTATTTCTAAATGAAGTCAATTACTCATCCAATGTTGTCTCGGATATACAGATGAAATATTCTTCCGCTAAAGAAAAGAATTGTTCTAACAAACCTATCACTCACGGTTATTCTAACCTTCATAAGGATCCGCAATCTCTTATTTCAGTATTATGTAATAATCCAAGAGTAATGTGCTGTTGGATACAACACTTTTGAGATCGACTGACTGAAACTGAATAGAATAGATTAAAGATTGAAAGATTGAAAAGACTGTAAAGATTCAATAATTAATCTAATAAGCCAACACTCGGTTAGAAAATACTAGTCTCGACTATCAGTGTTGTGTATGGGTAAAATATAATAGTAAAAGAATAGAAAGACAAAGAGAAAGTCTGTGAAAACTCGTGGTAGGTTTATTAAGAGTCGATTAAGACAAAAGATAAAGATAAGACAAAGACTAGTTTCTTTCTACACTTCAACTTGGGATCATATTTATACTTTTCAGGAACTTGATCTGAGAATGAGATATGCCTTGCGGAGTTCTAGAATTGCTTGCTTGGAAATTTCTAGGAAATCAGAACAGTAACATGAGACATGTTTAATCATCCATATCATTGATATCAGTTGATACGACTATGTGGAAGAATACAATTGGATATTCATAGGCGGATATAGATATGTTAAGAGAATATGGAAATTGCTGGAATAGACATGATCTTTCTGGATAATGTCTGGGTCTATACCTGATACAAGTGGTGTTGCTGAGCCAGAGATCTTTTATCCGACCTTCAGGTCTCTGCTGCGCCATTCATATCATGAATACCTCAGTCTATTATGTCCATTGGATCTATCTTAATATTATCTGGCTTAGGATAAAAATATGTATGGAACATGCTGTAGCATTGGACTCTATTATTATAATAATATTATCTCATAATGCACAGACAATAAAGAAGATATCATTTATCCATATGTAATCTCAACAGTGAATGATTAAGTCCCAGAAGAGAGTAATGTCATATTATGGGATAGTCACATAGCAAGTATTGCAGGATTTATTTGTCTCTGTCAATATCTATATACGGACTTATGCCTCAATATACAACAATCAGAATCCAAATGTAAAACTAACATATTTATTAATCCACGAACAAACACCGCAAACGTTATCACGCTCTGCTAATTCATAAAAACATTATAAGAAACCCAGGTTCATTGCCTTAACCCAGTTATGGTACACTGGAACAAATAGGATTCAGGCACACTTCAACCTTACCAGTATATCGCGATGGCGTTGTACAATTCTTTAACGGGAGCAATATTTATCGTTTGTCACTGCTACTTTGTTTATTCCACTATAATCCCAGTTATACCTTGCAGTCATATAAAAGACCATCTAAATTATAAAGCACAAAATAAAATCGATCAAGAAATCATGTTCGGTCTCGCTGACTTGCTTAGGGTTTACTTAACTTATAAAATTATCAATTCTAATATCAAGAGAAATCCACCAAGTGTTGGGGAAACAAATCATTTATTGTGCTTTGGACTTCGGTCAACACTGGTGGGAATAGTATTAGTAGATTGAATTTGTACAGTACATCACAGTTTGTATAATTCTACTAACCATCAGCTAAGGTGTAAGCACCAGTAGGAACACCAAGTATTCCCTTAATGATAAGATCAATGATACCTTGGTATTAGACATATTTATCACCATCAGGTACGTATTATAAAGGTAAAGGCATGGTTAGCCAATTACGATCTGTCATTGTTGTATTGTGAAAAGAGAAATGGCAACAGAAAAGAAAATGAACAAAGGTGGGGGGTTCTTAGTACCTCTTATGCCTTACGCTTTCCTTACTATAATGTTTCTATCATATACAATATTTGTATAAGGTACATTATGTGTATTCCTAACATCTCCCATAACAACCCTTATAACGGTTCTACTTATGCATTTTCTACAAATCATTACTCAATCTAGAGATATGAAAGAGACAATTTAACATTAAATGGAGACAATTTCAATTCTTTATTACAGTCTCGCTACTCAATTTAATCTACTACAATTTCCAAATTCTAATTTCGATAAGATTCACACATGATGCTTAAGCTACTAATAGAGGTTTAATAAGAAATTGTAAATATGCGAAGACAAAAAGTGATAAATAGTACGACGCATGTAAGGACAATATGATTCCTTGACCCACAATAGCGATCGAGATTCGACCTTACCATATTTTACAGAAAATATGTCTCTTTTTTCTTTTCTTTTCTTTTTTTTTTTTTTTTTTTTTTTTTTTTTTTTTTTGGTTGCAAAGTTGTGAGAGTATCATAAATGACATTATGCAGTTAGTACTCTGGGTCACGTACATATCATTGAAGTGGTTTGATGTGAAGTGTGTAGTTCGCATGCTTTTATAAGTAGTTGAAATATATACATATCCGAAAAGGCATAGCTGAAATCAATCAGTAAAACTTTAGCTTTCCATCACGTACAGCGCACACTATTCTCTGTACTTTATCCATGTTTTGCTCGCTACCAGCGTCATTGTACACTTTCATTTCATGAATCGTTTCGAGTTCACTTCCTGAGAATTCAGCACGTACATATACATCATCATTTGAGGAGCCATTTATAGGCCCTGTTTGATACATACTTCCATCAGCTGTTTAGTAAAGTAATTTTAATCGTAGTCGTAAGTTATGAATCTCTATCAAAATTGTCCGAAAAGATTTTCATCTTACCGCTACTAACGCAAAGAACTATATTATCATCATTCTTTTTGAATGCTAATGACGTGATAGCAAATGCCTTTCTCTTCCATTGTAAAACAGGCTTATCAAGACTGTTCAGGCTCTCAAAGACTTCAACTATGCCGTCCTTATTGCCCGTAGCGACCATATTGGAAATAGAATCATAAGCGATGGCTGTAAGGGGAGTTTTGTTTTTTGGATGACTAGCAGAAAGCTGACGAGACGTGTTTTACATATTGGTTATCAGAACCCTCCTTTGTTACTAGTTAACAAATTTCGTTTATTGTACCTCCTGCTTTGTGCCCAGATGTATACAGTGAGCACTACCATCTTCTAATGCCACTAGTACAAACTTATCAGCCGTCTCAACCTCAAGTGGATCTATACAATGTTGAATGCAATGAGCATAACAGAATCGACAAACATTTCATTCGATAATAGGGCTATTAAAAAACTCACCTAAGTCCTCTACAGAAGCTGGTGTATATTCTCTTGGAAGTTTAGCCAACAACATTTTATTGATGGGCACCTTATAGTTGCCCATGGTATTTATGACAGAGGATGTGCCGCAATTCCAGAGTTTAATAGTTCCATCCCGTGAGCAAGCTAAATTTTTGGTTACTTGGACATTCTATACGCGGCTTTTAAACACAACACCACTTACATAATACATTTCTTCCTTTTGATATAATCGCTAAACCAGTAATGGCTAATTTATATTATTGAGTTGAAAGCCCTTACAACAGAGATATTTTATTCTCCTTTTCTTTTCAGCTTGATTGTAGTACCTCCTGTATGGCCTTTGAGTGTAACTGGATTACTTCCGTTAATAGCTGACCATATCTTCAATTGAAAATCTGCACCGCCTGTTAAAACAACCAAGTTGCTTGGAAAAAATCGAACTGTGGTAACATCGCTAAGGTGGCCGTTTAACGTCACCTAATTGCATTGATAGAAAAGGTTATAACAAAGTTCTATCCCCAATAGAATTGTTAGAGCGTCAAGATGTATCATACCTGTACTTCACCGGTATCCATGGATCCCAAGAATGCTTGTTCACCACAACCTGCAACGAACAGTTTACCGTTCGGTGATATATCTACGCACGAAACCTGTCATATCAATCATAAAAATGAATGTCTGTTTCTTATCGTTCAAACAGTCGTGGCTTACTTACAGAGGTCGTTAATGACCCGTTCCGCACATTGATTTCTTTCCTGGGGCTAAACACAAGAACATCTTTTAGGTTCATCTTATCACACTCCAATATGAATGAGCGCTAAGTTGATAAAAGCGTGAGCTATTTGTTATAATCCATTAACTGATAGTTAGACATTACTGAGTTTATTGCCTTGACATCAATGCCTTCTTTCCCTTTTAGTTCAGCCTCTTTTCCATCTGATACTATTATATCAACCTTTCCATGCACAGTTTCGTGACCTTAGAGGAGGAGTACAATGTGTAAGAGATATGCATAATAGAGCATTCTATTTGACAGCGCAAAGTAGGTAACATTGTTTTACCTGTTAAATAACAGTCGAGCCAAAAAGAGTGACTATCCCCTGCAGTTTTAGAACTACATTCCTCTACAACCTTATTCCAATCAGCTTGAACGGAAACAAATGGTAATTCTTTGACTGACATCGTCGGCAGTAAAGTACGAAAAATGTAAGTTTCAAAAGAAGGACAGAAAAGAAAAAAAAAAAAAGGAAAAAGATACACGAAATCTGTCATTTCCAAAAAAAGTATTTGCCTGTACACTGTAGAATCAGTGCGACTATTACAACTCAAATAACACTATTCACAGAACCCATCATGCGCATAGTCTCTAGTATACTTTTCATCGACAAAACGCAAGAGAAACGAGTACAATTACTGAATAGTGTCACCCAAACATAGGATATTCTGCACTTGTATGAGGAAGATTTGCATAGTTCGAAGAGGCGCAGCCAGTCACGTTGAAGCTTTGTATTTATACATTATTGCCGACAAACCATGAACTAGGAACTTTTTCCTTTCTTGAGCATCATTCATACCTTTTGGGCTCATTTAAATTATTTCTGTTTGATCGATGGGCAGACGCAAACAGTATATGGACGATGGCGACAGTTCTTCGGACGAAGAAGGAGGCAGAATTCAATTCGATGTGACCGAAGATGATCTGGAAGCAGAAATGGCAGGTTTTGCTGGTAGACAGTTTCAGGGACAAAGAAAGAATAATCGAAGCTGGAATGACGACGATGATGACGAAGAGGAAGAAGAACTACGTGGAGGTCTCGGAATGCGTGGAGGGTTAGGTTTGAAAGTTGGACCTACATTCAAGAAAGCCGCAACACAAACGCAAACTCCTACAACTGAACCTTCTACACCAGAAATGCCTTCTAGAACTGCATCACCAAAAAGGGATTCAATGAAGAATAAAGTACGCAACGGTCGGTCAGCGACATCGTCACCTCATTCTACTGCTGATTTAGGCACATATTCATCAATCAGTCTTAAAATGTTGGAAAAAATGGGTTGGAAACGAGGTCAAGGTTTGGGTGCAGAAGGTACCGGTATCACGGCACCGATTGAAGTAAAGCAACGACCAAAAGGTATGGGTTTGAGTTTTAGAGGCTTTGATGAACGCACGGAACAGGCAAAAATAGAATCAGAAGAACGTAAACCACAACTATTGGATGAGGATGAAGAAATTGACGACGGAGACACAGGAGCAGATGAATTGAATCGAATGAAGAAACGCTATGCATGGAAAGAAGAAGCAAATAAAAGAACTAGAAAGGCTAAAACAGTATACAAAACAGCAGCAGACATCCTTACGGAAACAGAGGGATTATTACCAACAATAAGTACAACAACACATCAAAAAGTGATTGATATGAGAGGGCCAAATATACGTGAAATTTCTATCTCTGATATTAAGCTCACAGGATCTCCAACGTTAATGGAAACCACTACAAGGCTTCCAGAACTAAGGCATAATTTACAATTGATAGTTGATCTATCGCGTGCTGATTTGGAGAATTTGTCCCGAGAGAAGCAGGCAAATCAGTTAAAGAAGACATCTCTTGAAGAAGAACTGAAGACGATCGAAAAGGAATTGGACACACAGCAACAGCAACTGAAAAAAATACAACAATTAAAACAAATCTCCATAAATTTAGATAAAATTAGTAAAACTGCATTAGGCACAGGTGCTTACGAAACAGGCAACATTACCGCATTATTCGGCGAACAATTTGCAATATTAGAAAGAGAATTCTCAGACAATATTGAAACAATGAACGTTGATGCACTTGTCATATCTGTCTGGGCACCAATTTTAAAATATAAATCAATAACGTGGAACGTCATAGAAGAGCCCACATGGGGTTTAGCAGATGTTAAAAGATGGAGATCCTTGCTAAGATGTAATGACGACTTTTCAACAACTCCAAGAAATATACCAGCAACTATATCGATTTGCACACCATTCGAGACGATGATGAATACCATTTGGCTAACCAAGGTTAGAAGTGCTATAAAGTACGTATTTTTGTCGCAGAAAAGCTCCTCACTATCAATCATATTCTTAACTTCTGATTTATACGCGATATTCAATTTAATAGTAATCAATGGAATGTACATGACCCTGAACCTATCATTCAACTATTAGAAGAATGGGAACCAGTTTTACCCAGGTTTATCTTTGAAAACATTGTCAACCAGCTTATTCTACCAAAGATTCAAAGGGCTGTATCAGATTGGAATCCTCGTACAGATCGCGTGATGATCCATACCTGGCTACATCCATGGTTTCCTACGCTGAAAGCTTGGCGATTGGCAGATTTGTGTACTACCATTCGTCAAAAGTTATCTGTGGTTTTACGGCAATGGCATCCTTCCGATGAATCTGCCTTACATATAATATCCCCATGGAAAGAAGTTTGGACGCCTCAACAATTTGAGCAATTTGTTAACAAGTCAATATTACCCAAGCTTACTAATGTACTTCATGACGAATTTCGTGTGAATCCAAAGAGTCAAGATCTAGAGCCATTGATTTGGTGTTTGGCGTGGAAAGGTGTCGTGTCGGATACGATAATAGGCATGCTATTGAAAAATGAGTTTTTCAATAAATGGCATGATGTGCTAGTGCAGTGGCTCAGTTTAGACATTTATAGCATAAATTATGATCAAATCAGCGAGTGGTATCGTTGGTGGCGGCAAGTGTTTAGTGCATACGATTTTGATTCGAACACGCTGGTGATGAAAGAGTTTAGAAGAGGTTTGGATACAATGAATAAAGCTCTCAGTGGCGGATCATTGTAAATCCAATTGATCAAATGCAAAATAAAAGATTCTGTAAATACGTATCAGTTACGAAACACTTATAACAAGAACTGTTACGTCTTTCAAGAGTTGTAGTCATTATTTCTCGAGATATTGTGTCAAGAGCGGAACAACAATAGAAAGATTCTACTACCAGATCGCGCACAGAAAAGAAAGTCTGCCGTTCTAAATTTTCGTGTTCCTTTTTTTTTTTTTTTTTTTTTTCTTTTTACCCTCTTTGCCCCTTATATCTTCAATTGCATTACCTTATATTGAAATAATTCATGGTTAGAATTAACAATCGTCACTTTCACGAAGCATACGAATATATCAAGGAAGATGCAGCAGATAGCAACAGTAGTTGCATTGTTTTTGTTTCTGCCACTGATGTAGACTCATTGTGTGCAGTTCGCTTATTGCAGGTACAAAGTGTTGTCTTCATAACCAATCGAACAGTTGAGGAAACTAAACCATTATACTATTTTTCTAGGCTATCCTGAAGAGTGACTTTATACAACATAGAATTGTACCTATTGCAGACCCTCAGGATCTTGAAACTGCTAACCAAAAACTGATAGCTGGCGACGATGAGGTCAGTAATTTGAGATTGTACATTTTTTGAAATTAAACAATAGAAAAACTCCTTGCATGCCAACGTTATTTTATTCTTTAAACTGTAGTTGCGATCAGTCATTATGATCAATTGCGGAGGTACTGAGGACATAAACAACCTGCTTACACTCAATGACTCTGCCAAAGTATACATTATCGATAGTCATCGACCTTTAAACCTTGATAATCTGGTACCTGAAACTGACCACGTCTGTGTGTTTACCGATGAACTTGAAACAGCCAAACTGAACACATATATTGACGCGTTTAAGGTAAGTAACATTTATAGTAAAAAAAGGGTTTTGATGAAAACAGCTATATTAATATGTTTCTGTCCTTCCAAACTTTAGAGAACAACGTCTTATGATTCTGATGATAATCTTTATAGCAGCGGCGATATGTCTGATGAAGATTTAGAGGATGATTATGGACGAGTCAGAAACCCGCGAATCACTAAAAGAAGACGGTACAATGACCGTGATCATATCTCTTTAACAAGCAATCAACGAAGCGAGCGAAGACGTCTCAATATACTGCTTACAAACTACTTTGCATCGGGATATTATTATGCCAATTCTGCAGCAGGAACCATTTATGAGCTTGCGCAACAATTAGGCAAAACCAATAATGAGCTATTATGGCTAGCTATTGTAGGCGTGACATCCCAGTATATATTCGAAAAAATTGATACCTCACGATATAACAGCTATGTTCAGGAATTTCGTACGGAGAGAACACGGCTGAACATAGATTATACGAATGAAGAAGGACAAAACCAATCACAGCAACAGCATGCGAGTTTTTCGATTCAAGCAGAGGACGAATATAGATTTCTGATGTTTCGACACTGGAGCTTGTATGAGAGTATGTACTATTCCGGTTATGTAGCGACAAAATTAGCAGTTTGGAAAGACGATGGAAAGAAGCGCCTTAATCATATGTTTGCACGAATGGGATTCTCGTTACAGCAATGCCAACAAATCTTCACACATATGGATATGGATCTCAAACAGCAATTGAAGGATAAGATTGCAGCCATTGCGCCTATGTACGGCCTTACAGATATGTGCTTCCCCAGCTTCACGAGAAATTATGGCTATGAATGCTGCTTATCTGCCAGTGATGTGGTCCATGCATTATCCACGCTATTAGAAACGAGCCCAACAGCTATAACACGTTTCAAAGGAACCTTTGATTGGGAAGACAAGGATACTGTATGGGGGCCAAAATCAGAGGATATTGTGGCAGATAATCGAGCTGTAAAAAGCAGTCGGCAAAATTGGTGGATGAAGAATTTTTATACCGCTTATGATGCACTTACAGGCTCGTCAGCAGACAAGATAAAACAAGGACTTCAACTATGCATGCAGACTCAGAAGGTTATCATTGATCAGGGAACAGACCTATTTGAGAAAAGGGGTGTAAAAACAATCAACAGATGTTATAGAGGCGTCACCCTAGAACAACATACCCCAGACATTTCTATATTCCAGCACCCATCATCAGTGAGAAAGCTAGCATTATTCATTACCGAGGCATTTAGAGTGAGTAAACTTGATCAATCAGTTTATATCAATTTAAGAATGATTACTGAGAGAATCTTGTGTATTAGGAACACGGAACAAGGAATCTGCCTATCCTGGTTGCTGTAGCAGACGAGATTGAAAACACAAGTTTGGTGATAGGCATATCAGGTGCACCCACATTTGGTGAAACACGTAAAAAGTAAGTAACAGCATAACCAATCACTTAAAACGAGGGACAGTATTCAAATTACAATTACTTATGACTCTTCCTAATTTTTTTTTTTACAGTAAATTCAGCCTTGCGTACGCAGAAACAGCAGAAAAAATGCACGCCAAATTTTCGCAAGATTCTTTTGATGTGGAAGTGATACAAATACATAATGATGATCTGCAACCTTTCTTACGAAACATGAAATATCCAACGGGGAAGTAGTTGTCGATGTTATTTAGTCTTTTTTAAATCAATTTTAAAGAACAGAAAAACACCTCAACTATGTATATACTATGTTGACAAAGAAAATGATACCCCTTTGACGGCATAAAAAATATCAAAGTCTTTTAAAGTTTTATTTCTTTCATACGACAGTTGTCGCTACTTGAGTAGGTGCATGATGAGAAGGCTGTTGCTCCTGTAAGGGTGAATAAATAAGATGAGATGATTTGTTATGATATCGCTTGGATTTTCTATGTAGGAATGCCATAAATAGAAAGACGAGAATGATGAAAATGGAATAAACAAAGTAGAGGCTATGATTATTGATATCTATGTTACTTGGATTAACTGTAACTACCGTCGAATTGACGTAGAAATTTGGCCGAGTAAACTCATCACTCGACCGAGGAGTCCAGTCGGGGTGATAAGGAGGGCCGTTGTCTATGTAGTCCCATTTCCCTCTTTTTGCACAAGTATTATCGACTACAAATACGTCCTTTTTCTCTTGGAACGTTTCGTTTGATTGTCTTTTTGTTGGATCATTTTTATACGCCCACCACGGTAGCACACCACGGCAAACAGAGCAATAACTTGATTTTTCATTGAATGCCATAGTATCACTCCAGTTGTCAATAAACTTTTGATCTAATCTATCTTTGATAGATTTATCTAATGCATCTCTACGAAAAGATAGATATTCAAGATAGGCTGTATCATTTTTATCCAAGAAATTAATATAGTCAGCCAAATCCTTGGGATCAGGATAGGCGTCCATAAAGATTGCAGAACGCTGTGTCGGCAAAAATCCCTCATAGCTTGGTGGACCATCAAGGATAGGTACAGCAGATTGGGATAGTGTATCAAAAAGCTTCTCCGTCACTATGGCCAGTTAATGAGAGGGAAGACATATAAATTAAATTCGTTCTCTTCTGTGGGTCTCACAACATTGTAATGCTTATTGCTACTTCTTTTCTTTTTTTTCATACCATAGTCCTCGCAGTTGGCGTTTTCAATTGCCAAGTAAAACTTATATTCACTCATCAAATTCAACCTTGATTTATCTGAAGGGAATGGTTTATTGTTCAAACATGGCCCGTAACTATGTACATCTACATATTCCATCAACTTCTTGATATACTTTTCCCGTCCGTTAGTTGCACGGCAGTTTCGAGCGATCCACAGTACGGGCGCGGATTTAGTTTTTGTCTTTATGAAATCTTTTGGTAAGGGACGGTTCACCACGTCCATAATGCTTGGCGAAAAATAGGTAAACCAAAATGAAGAATTTAAATGGTATGATGCTAGATAATCAAAATTCTCCATCAGTTCCCCGTCAGGGTCTGATCTGTACGGACTGGAATAAGGCGTTTCCAGTGATTCCAAAATCCATGGCTGATTGGAAATATCTATAGTGTGATAATCAAATGAGACGGTAGAAATGACAACAGATTAGCCGTTGATTTTCGTTATCAGCTGAGAAATAATATTTTATTGCTTACGGTCGGGTAGGCCTTTTGGAGGCACATCCATGGCATGGAATATCAATGCAGCTGCATCATGTATATCATCTTTGGAGCTGGTAAGTGTGCACCAAGGCAGAGCTTCTTCATCTATGTCGGTAGTATTTGTTTCATCATTGAGAACTGTGTATCCATCGGGAATTGGACAATCTCTAGCATGTAGTATCAATGGTTCGTCTAACATGAAGCCAAAAAAAAAAAAAAGGAGGTAAGAATATTGGTCATACCAGCAAAAGACCATTGCGAAATACCTACGAAATTTTGTCTGCCCGAACCATCCTGTAGTATAAACAATAGTTAACGGTGGAACAACAATGGTCATTTCATAAGCATCGATGCACTTGCGAGAGGTGAATAAACGAAAGATGTAGGAAGGAAAAGGAGAAGAACAAGCAATAGGGAAGATCATTGGAATTTTCCGTCCTTATAAAAGACAAACTCTAAAAGCGGAATAAAATAGAAAAATTAGAAATTCAGTAACGAAAGTCAAAGCAAGCATTCAGACGGTTGTTTCGATAGATGTTCTTTAATGTATTGTATATTGTTATAACAATGATGTGCCAAGTTTAGACTTGCATTGAAGTTCTTCAAACCCCTTTCTATCTTATTAAAGTAAGCTACGATGCTATGCAATTAAACATAAAAGCTTCCTCTTTCACTGCTGGCATTTAGGAAGTAGGACGTCGCAGAAAAGCATATAGCGATACTTGGCGGAGTCTCCGTAGTTTGGGAAAAACGGCTGAAGCACGAGATTTTCCGAGGATGAGGTACAGATACAAACAAGTGCTTTGAGACAGCTGGTATTAGTATTGCAGATCGGTTAGAAGCTCATGTAGCCGCTCATCAAGCCGTTTTTTTTTTTTTTTTTTTTTTTTTTTTTTTTTCAAATGAACGTTCGTTTAAAATTAAAAAAAGAAAGGCAAAACAGGTCAAAGCATCCAAGCAAAAAGTGCTCTTCAAATGCACGCCACAAATGATGGTGGTATAGAACATAAGAGTAGGGCACATTTCTGGCTATTTACAGTATTTATTTCCTTCGAAAAACTAACGCAGCACCATCTCTACCGCTACTAATATTTACAACGGCTTCCTTTCTAGGCACTGCAGATCTGTGCAAATGCATATCTCTCATATTTATCATACGTTTACTAGCTTTCTGTAATTTGGGTCTATTATTCAAGACTTTAACGGTATATTCGCCTACAACTTTGCCTTTCTCCTCAGCTTTTCTCTTCTTTGCTCGTTCTTTCTCCTTTTCTTCCTCTGCAGCTATTATTCTTTCGAAATCCTCGGCTGAGATGTGCTTTTTATTTTGAATTTGTTCAGCTTTTTCTTCTTCCAGAGCTTGGTTTAATAATTCCTGTGGTAGAAAGTTGGATTCTGCATCTTTAACATCATCTTTTGCTTCATCAACGTCATTTCCTTCTTCTTCTTCTTCTTCTTCTCTTCGTCTTTTTCGTTTCTCCATTTTCTCGTTATATTCTTTCTCTAATTTTTCTCTCTTGGCTTTCTTTTCTAATTCTTTCTGTTGCCTTTTACTGCCTTGCTTTTGTTCTTTCAAAAACTGATCTCTTAAACGACGTTTCTCTTTTTCAGCTGCTGCAAGTTTAGTGGTTGCTTCTTTTTCAGCTTGCACTCTACTAATTACATCTTCTTTCGCTTTAGAAGTTGAAACAGCCTCAGGAGCTTCATCGTCTGAAGAATCACTGTCTAAAAGAGCATTGTGTTCTGTTTCTTTTGTTGATTCTGGAATCACGATTTCTGCGTCTTCTTCAAACACAATCTTTGCCATGTTTTTTGAGTCTGTTACTTTTCGGGAAAAGGATCAAAGAGCACTGGAGATACAAACAATTTTGTGGCTTTTTAAAATGTAAACGTGACGCTTTCTTACCTAAGCTTTTCATGCAAATTCGTTCCTGAATTTCCGCACCTTTTTTTTTATTATGGATAACGTAGGAGTCGTCAGAAACGTTAGATAACAACGAAAAATCAAAAGCCATTTTAACCATTTTACTGGTCAATGAAATACTTAACGATACATATAATCTAAGTGTACCTATCTCGCTTTTCTTGACTGACATGTAACTTTTTTCTTTTCCGATTGTCCTGAAAAACTGGAAAAGTAGAAGCCTCACTCCAAAGGTTGGAGTCATCAGTTAGTGAATTGGAACTCATGCATAGTGTCATTTAGCTTGTAAATGTGTTACGTACAGAAAAGTCTACAATTTTGCAGATTTAGCTGACGATTGTCTGGGATATTTATTGAACAACGGGGATTTGGAACAGGACTCCATTTATTGGCTGAAATCTAGCTCATTTGGCGATCTGTTCTGAACACTTCCTAGAATAAAACTGGACTGATGGCAGTTGTTCAGTCCAAAGCACTTTTAGAACTGGGAGCATAACAGTCTGAATAATCCTTCTTTCACATATTTTCCCCCTCAGAGGCCCTCTAAAAAGGCTACAATATAGACCTTATCGAGCGTAGAGCTCTGCCATTACAGATTCCAACGAGCATACGGAAACAGATAACATTTACGCCATTCTAATGAATAGTAGCTTAGGTAAATACGTCAAAGGTATGTAGCCAATTGCACCAGTGATCACAATCATAGTTCCCAAATCCGATGTAACGCGCTAACAAATTATTCATATATCAAATCCTCTTCGAGCTTGATTATCTACATTACGATCACCCCCAGAAACTCGCCTTCTTGATAACAGATTAGTACAGTGGCTCTCTAGGGACTACTCTAGTCTTTTTGCTGTATTCTCGTTTCCTCTTCCCTTCTCTCTCACTTTTTCTTTTTCTTGAGTATCAAGAAGGTATTTTTGCAACCTTTCTCTATATATCTGATCTAACGTGGGCAATTCAGTCTCATAATGATTATGTGCTTATGTGGGTTTAAAATTATCTGTCAATAAAAATCTCGTTTAATCGTAAAGGTGGCCTTTCTAATACTTTTCCCCTTATTTGACTAAAGAGCAGCTGATGACACAATGACAGAATTCATAGTGTCGTTATCAATTTCGATAACGGCTTTGCTAGTCTCCATATGGCTCATTTTTACAATTCTAAAGTTCAAAATAAGGAACTCGCGAGAAGAAAACCGAGCGCAACTATTACGGGAGTTACAGCCTGCTCAGCCTATTGAACGGCCTTTCTTTTTAGGATTTTTTCACCCATACTGGTACGAACAATCACTGACATTACTTCATTCTCTCTTGGACCACTCATTCAAAGTTGGTAAAATCTAGTAATGCAGGTGGTGGCGGGGAGCGTGTCCTTTGGACAGCTATCCGAAGCGTTCACAGAGAATTTCCCAATGTCATCTGTGTTGTATATACAGGCGATGTAGACGCTACAAAGGAACAAATCATCACCAAAGTTAGCAACAATTTCAATATTCCTTTAGAACCTGATAGATTGTTCTTCATTTATTTGACAAAAAGATATCTGGTGGAGGATTCGAGGTTTGTTTATCGAAAATAAAGCAGCAGTAATCTACGCCTTGGTATCCCGTTTGAAGTCAGTCAACATGCTAATTCACGTTGCTTAATTACAATCAGATATCCTCGACTTACTCTGATACTTCAGAGTCTAGCATCCACTATCATTGGGTATGAAGCCATCAGTAAATTAGTGCCTGATTTGTATTTTGGTAAGATGAATCCGTCAATGAGACAGTAAAAATTGATAAACATATTAACCCAAAAGATCTCGTTATCATAGACACTATGGGTTATGCATTCACTTATCCATTAGTTTACCACTTGACCAAAGTCAAGATAGCAACATATACCCATTACCCTACTATCAGCTCTGATATGCTAAATCGTTTATATGAAAAAAGATTCGCATACAAGAATAATAAGGCAGTTGCAAGTAGTATTATTTGGAGTACAGGGAAGGCTATGTAAGTTTCTTTTCCTTTGCTTGTCAATTCATTTTGTATGCTATTATGATTTTGATGTTCAAAAAAAAAAAAAAAAGCTAATTTTCAGTTGCTATTGATGTATGAACAACATCACAAAATATAGCTATTATCGGATTTTCGCCAAGATTTATGGATTTTGTGGTTCATATGCCAATATAGTCACTGTCAACTCTACCTGGACAAAAAATCACATTGATCAACTATGGCATACCAATGCAGAAATTGTATATCCTCCCTGCGATACAGAACGGCTCAACGCGTTATCTATCGAGCATCGTAACCATCAAAACCCATTCATTGTTAGTGTAGCACAATTTAGACCTGAAAAAGACCATTCTTTACAAATCCAAGCAATGGCGGCCCTCTTTAAACGCTTTCCCCAGTGGAGAAAATCAGCTACAATCGTGCTGATTGGCAGTTCACGAAATGAGGGTGATGCTAATCGAATCGATGCATTGAAAAGAGAAGCGAAAGACTTGGGGATTGAGGACGCTGTACGATTTGAGATCAATGCTCCTTATGATTTGCTCGTTTCATACTTGGGCAAAGCCAAGGTTGGGCTTCATACTATGTGGAATGAACATTTTGGCATTGGTGTAGTGGAGTATATGGCAGCTGGAATCATCCCTGTGGCACACAAATCTGGAGGACCCAAATTGGATATTGTGACAGAATATGATGAAAAACCTACAGGCTATTTGGCAGACTCGGCAGATACATTTGCTGAATGTTTGAATGATGCCTTATCATTGAACGAAAAGGATTATGAAGAAATGGCAAGCAACGCTCGTGCGTCTGCATCCGATAGGTTTTCTGAAGAATCTTTTAGTTCAGATTTATTACGCTGCCTTCGACCTATCTTAACCTAAAGCAGATAGAACCATATTAGAGTTGTCTTCATCTTAGATACAGAAATAAACAACTAGGAGACTTTATGTGAATAAAACTACACACTTATTAAACAAATGTTTTTTATTATATAAAGTAAATGGCAGGTATAGAGGGTATTAACAATGAATATATTAGTGCACTTGTTATGGCTTCGGCACTCTTATCATTTCGATATATTTCTCCAGTAATGGATTTCCTCCTAAACGCTTAATTTCATTCAACGCTTCCACTTCTTTTTGATGCAAATAACCACGTACATATTCAAAACTTCCTGCCTTCTGAATTACTTCCAATGCATATTTCTTAACTTCAATCGAGGTCGGCTTTTGGCTAATGATGTTCAATAGTTGTCTATTGGAAAGGTCTTTGCGGATAGCATGGATAATGGGAAATGAAAATTTGCCTTCTGTCAGATCTTCACAAAAGCCCTTATTGTTGGTATACTGCAATAAAGAGCAATGATTAAAACACCCTCCACAAAGCTTCAACGATTTTATTCAGGTAAGTACTTACTGTATCAGATTGAAGGTTCATATAATCATCACGCACTTGAAAATGAATTCCGATAATATTGGTCAAAGGTGTATAATCCCTAATGAAGAAACAAGTATATTCAGTGACAATACAATCCAATAAGACTTCATCGACGTTTCTTACACATCACTTTCACTGGCTGCCTGCATTAATCTCACACCTAATCTGAGTAACCCACTCGTCTCTTTCATTGTTATATGAGAAAAATTTATGCAAATTTGTCATTGAGTTTGATACTCTCCCAGTCCCCTAGAAAAAAAAAAAAAGAAAAAATAACGAAGCTAACTTACTATTGTTCACCATATCAATATATTCCTCTTCTGTTGGACAAGTCAAGCTATCTCTCCAGTACAACTCTATACCTTGTCCTCGGTGTAGATTTATTAGTTCCTCCGTACAAATTTGCATCATTTTCGGATTGTTCAACTTCATCACTTCTTGCAAAGCCAGAAAAATAACGTAATTGGCAGTATTAATAGTTTGAGGAACTCCATAAATATGATGAGCAACTGGAACACCACGTCTCAAATCGGAATCATCCTGAACATCGTCTATCCTAAATGTTATATTCAAATGGACATTTAGTAAAATAGCAAATGGCAAAAGTATGAGGAACATGAGACGGATGTATGAACAGAATGTCAACAAAAAGAGCATCACTTACATTAAACTTGCATTATGAAGCATGCCAATTACTTTATTAATGACATTCAAGATGTCTTTGGGCACTTTTAACCATAAATCGAACGCTGATATCAGTTTTGAGCGTATGTCCTTCCCAGGATGTGAGGTCAAGTAAGTATAGGGTTCCAGAATTATCTAGTGCAAAGAAACGAACATCTGTTAGTAATCTAACAGAGACGCTATTTGCAAAAAATTACTGTACATCTTCCATTGATCTGGTTTCAGGTGGTTGACTATCTGACTTCAGCAAGCTCATGAATCAATAAGTGTAGAAAGTTTCAATTAATGGACTGAGAAAGTGTATGTGCATCATTTCTATAAACGATAGTTCCTTTTCAAATATCAAAGGCGGAGTTCCTAGATTGAATGATCTTTATAAACTTTTTAAAACTCAGTGATTTTTTCGAGAACTCGGGATTCAACTCCTAAAGCTGATTGCACAACACTTAAAAGGTTCAGACGCGATAAACTGGTATAACTTTGTGATATTGTAGAAAAGATTGTAGGATAAGAATTTCACTCACGCGAAACATCAATCATTCATCTCCTACAGATTGTCGAATTTTCTCTTTTTTAAAAAATATAATGAAATCTTTTGTCAATTCAGTATATGAAACCCGCCGCCCCCCCCCACAAAAAGGTGACATACAATAAAGCCAAAGACTGAAATAGCAGGTTGCGGTGAGAAGTATAGGCCAAAATGCCGCCTACAAATAGATCAATGACCTTATCAAGTAGATATTGCAGAAGAAAGTTTATTCTATGCATAATGATCAAGACATACAAGGTTTACTTTTATCGAATTAGCATTAGATGTCAATGATAGAAAGCATTTATAACCTCGATTGGAAAATCAATGCTGGCTGTATTCATGGCTTTGAAAAGCTAATACATCCATGCAGAAGTAAACTACAGTACTTTGAATTACATTACAGAACGTCAATTACATAGCACTGGTTCTCTTGTGTTGAATCCATCACTCAGCAGCCCAACATAAAGGCAATTTTACCTTTAGGTACCTACCATTAATTTCTATTAACATCAGTCAGTAGCATATAACTTTCAACCATCTTGAGATCTTACCTGAGCAGTATACCACAGATTATTTTATTTAACGTTGTCTCTATCGTTTAAGCCATTCCCATGGCTCTCATGGCAAATGCTCAGAGTCCTCGTCTTCTTTCTTTTGTTGGTTTCCTACAGTTTTTAGTCCTTAATCAGTTAGTTGCTAGCCTCAGTACATCCTTCAAAGGTCTGGGTTGTTCAAAGATTATGTCTAATTATTCTTCTCAATGAGTACGAAAGTAGGAGAAACACCAACGTTATTGATATAGCATTATGAAATATGGATATGTCAGATTTTGAAACCTGATTCCCGTTTGGTTTTCTTTAAGGGTCCTCTTGGTATAGTACTTGCGGGAAGCTGAATTCAAATAATATTATTCTGTTGAGCTTCACCATGATATGGCACAAACTTATCAGTTCTATCATGAAACATAGTGCAGGGCCAAAAGTGCTTCATGAGTTCATTTTTATTGAAACATGTACTATTCAGGACTCATTTCTCCTAAAGAAGTAAGCAGTTGCAGTCCCTTCATTTGGCTTCCTTACAACAATTTAAGCTTTTGCCATACCCTTATTTTCTGACCAGCGGGTCAAAGCATGCGGCAATATATTGTAGCATCAACCTGATAGACAACTCAAATTTTATTAGCATACAGTAAAACTTTCGCATGCTAGAGTCATTTGCACCTTTTTGCTGAGTTTCGACTTTTGCTTTCTTTTTTTTTCACGGAATAATTATGCAGCATGGTGATAAAGAATAGATCATACCATACTATAAGATTTGCAACTGAAAGCAGTCGAATAGGATACTCACTTAAAAAAAAGAGGCTGTTGGTAAAGAATACAGATCAAAATTGCTTAACAATTGATAGTTATGATATTCTAGAATACTGAATACTGACCACGAAAATGGTCTAAAGTCGTATAATTTACAGGACCTTAAAGAAAGCTCAATTAATTACAGTTATACTTCTGATTTATCTTGTTTCCTTTTGGAGAAGGAGCCCAATACTACTCCCTTTGCACTTTGTAATGATACATATTATTTGTATATACTGCTATAATTACTGGTCCCATTGACCCGTCAAAAGCTTAAAGTCGGTTAGCCAACGTTTGGAACGGTTCTGTTCCCATGTCTAATACAGTGCACCAACTGTCTTCCTAATTATGAAAAATAGTAGTAATTCGAGTTTCAAAACCACTCAAACAACCTGAAAAAGAAAAAAAAAGTTAATGCTGCTAAATTTGGCAACAGTTAAAAAATGAAATAAAAAGATTGCTTTTTCTCCTTTTAGACTCTTCGACTATTTTATTGCAAACTGTCATCATGCAGAAAGAAGATTCTAGCATTTCAGATAACAGCGAACTTGAGGTATGAAGAAATAGCGATATTAAACTTGACCTGTCCCTGTTGAAGTATCAAGCTGTTGCTTATGCTTTCTTTTGGTATTTTTACCCCACAATAGAATACTAAGCTGTTGACCGAGATAAAGGACAACGAACAGAAAATAACCAACTCACTTCGCGAACAGCTACAGAAGGTAAAAGAACATAAATCAGGCGTTGATCAGTTAAAGAAACAAATAGTATATTTTTATTCATTTTATCGTTCCATTGCTATGTATATTAGGCTCGTAAAGATAAAGCAGCTTTAGAGGCAGACTTGGAGTTTCGTACAAAAGCTTATGAAACGAACTTGGAGCAGTTACAAAGAATGTCAAAGTAAGAAAAATTAATCGCTAACCCTTATGTTTTTGCTATCATACGAACCAATTATGCTTAAACGCATCAACTTTTTCTACTACAATAAAAGTAAAGAGAATACAGCTCAGCTGCAAGGAAACATAAACGCAAACGACATTAATGAGCTCAGACAACAGATCAAAGCATTCCATGACAAATGTGTTGAACAAGAGAATAAAATTAAAAGTTTAGAATTCGAATTGGAAATGGAGCAAGGACATGTAAAAATATTAAAACATGACAATAAACTTTTGAGACAAATGACTGTGGATATGGTAAGGCATTCATTTTCGTTCTTACAAAGAATGCTACTGTGAACAACTTGGACCAGTAAAGGCTAACGAAATTGTCAATGTAGAATGCACAGGCAGAACAAGAGGAAGAGTTCATTTCCAACAGACTACTGAAGCGAATCAACAGCCTAAAGAAGGAAAAGGGCGAATTATTGTTACAGGTCGAACAAGAAGAAGAATACATGACGAATATGTTGCAGAAAAAACTGAACCAACTACAACGCGAGAAGATTGATATGGAGAATTCATTGGAGCAGGAGCAAGAATATATTGTTAACAAGCTACAGAAGCAGCTAGAGACCATGAAAATGCAACAAGGTGCTTCTTCCCATACCACATCACCTATGATGACTACGGTGCATGATGCGACATCAATTAACACGTCTAATCCAGTGTCTCCTTTGATGTAAGTACATTTTTATAAGAAACGAATTATTATAAATGTTGGAATGGATCTTAAACATATACTAATACAACAAAACAAGCTCGAAGAAGTGGGGTTCTTCAACCGGATCAGTAGTTGAAACGCCTCAGTCTGCAGGAACGGCTGAAATGTTAATATCTGAAATTGCAATACTAAAAAGCAGAACAACTGAGATGGAAAAAGAGTGTAAGTGCATTAAGAAACAGAAAAGCTGTAGAGAGGGAACGAGGAGCTTAGTCCAAATACCTTGATTTGCAGTTTTATTGAAAATGCAGCAATGCAATAAATACAAAAGCGAATTGGTACAATTCCGAAAACAAGCTGGATTACCAGTAGATGATATACCTTTGGATGAAGGGTAAAGCAGACTTCTATACATACCCTCTACATGAGGTCGTTTAAACTGAAGATATTTTTTTTTTGCCTTATCTTTCCATAGGATACCATCCGTTTTCAGAACTGTTCCTCCATCACCAGGTAGAGGAGGTAGTAGAATTCATCGATCCACATCAACTTCTTCCCAAAGATCAATTACCTCAGATAAAAGCAATATCAACAATATTCCTCCATTTCAACTTGATTCCACGCATAGTGATGTTAGCAATACCTCAGTAAACAGATCAAGTAAGTTGTTTTTGGATATGAAATGAAATAAATCAACGTTACTGACAATGTACACTCGTAAACAATATAGGATCGAATAGCTCTGCATCAACTACTGTTTCTTCCAAGTCTACAAGAAGAGTCTCAGGCACTCTGTTAACTTTGGCAGCTTCGGGCCCATCTTCGAATAACTTTGGTTCTTTAAATAATTGAGCATCCACTTTTGATGAACCACGTTAATCTAAAAATACATGGCCTTAGCATAGTGGTCACATGCCAAATCTGTAAGTTAATACAACAAAGAAATACTAATGTTTGTCTACACCATTAATAAAGATTGATTAAGTTGGGCCCAATTTGTAGAAATAATCTGTCCTGCCCGTTTTTTTTTTTTGTTTTCTGTAATAAGCGGAGAACTTTAAGTTTGCAAAAACTGTTCCAGTATAAACTTAAATTGATCGAAGAAAATTCCCAAGGACCTTCTGTTCCTTTTTTGCTTTATCATAATTGCTAATCTAGGTCAACTGAACAAAAGAAACGCCACATTAGAAAAGCAACAGATGACAATTCATACGCCACGACCTATCAATGAGTATCCTGTTCACGGTCTCATGCCTAAGCAGGATACCCAAGCTGCTAGCTTTATGAAAAAATACCCCAAATATGACGGTAGGAATACTGTCATTGCCATTTTAGACACAGGTACTATGTTCACTTAGCAAACCTTCATCGCCTTTCACTCGCTAAAAGTCTTCCTTACGCACATTAAGGTGTTGATCCTGGGGCTGCTGGTATGCAGGTACAGTTTCTGCAACAGCCGAATGCTGACAGCAAATAAGGCTGACACACTCCTTGTTGCTACTTTAATACTATAATATGGTAGGTCACTACGGATGGCAAGCCGAAAATTATTGATATAGTAGACTGCACTGGTGGAGGTAATGATTAAACATAATGTTTCAAGAGAGTTACATCAAGGTTATTGATAAAGATGTGCTTACACATTTACAATCTATCTTCTGCTTTTAACTCGAAGGTGACGTGGACACCAGCAAAGTTGTAAAAGCTAAAGTTGAAGATGGTAAAAAAGTTATTGAAGGCTTAAGTGGACGCAAACTTATTTTGGGCGACGATTGGAAAAATCCGAGTGATGAATATCATATTGGTCTTAAGCGCGCTTATGAGCTGTTTCCTGAAGAGTTGGCCGCTAGAATAAAGAAAGTAAAATATAATGCATACAAAAAAGGAAATATGAAGTTTTTCGATGTCAAACTGAAGTATTATTGGAATTTTGCTTAGGAACGACGCGAAAATTTTATTAAAAAGCAAGCTCACTTATTAAGTGAAGCTCAGGCTCAGCTTGCCAAATACATTAAAGAAACCGAACAGGTTGACGAAAAGGAAAAAGCAGAATTGGAAGCTCGAGTAGAAATATTAAAGGAGCTCGATAAGAAGTATGAGGATCCTGGTATTTTGTTGGACTGCGTTGTTTTCTTCGATGGAAGCGACTGGAGAGCTGTCGTAGACGTAGATGAATCGGGTGATCTAACAGGTTGAGATCTTAAGCAGACGGAACGAATCAACAAACTTGCTTAACAGTATTTTTCTATATAATAGCACAACCTTGCTTAACTAATTATCGCAAGGAATTACAGTATCATACATTTGGAAAAGCTGACTTACTTAACTTCTCCGTCAACATTTACGATAACGGCAATATTCTCAGGTGAGAAGCTTATACAGCTTTCAGAAAAGTAGGTATATTTCACTTAGTCTTTCTATTATTAGTATTGTAACATTATCAGGAAGTCACGGCACACACGTTGCCGGTATCACAGCTGGTAATTTTCCTGATGAACCAGCTCTGAACGGTGTAAGCATACATTAAATCAAATCAGAAACAAATTTCTTTCTTCATTCACCTTTCATCTATCCTTTTCAGGTCGCTCCAGGTGCACAACTGATCTCGCTTCGCATCGGTGATGCCCGTTTAGGGTCCATGGAAACCGGCCCCGGTCTTACTCGTGCTGCTTCCCACCTTGCTATGCATAAAGTAGATTTGGCAAATATGTCATATGGCGAATCAAGCAGTTTGCCCAACGAAGGTCACTTTATCAAATTGTTGGCAGAGGAGGCCATAGGTAAATCAGGCTGCGTCTTTGTTACTAGCGCTGGTAATGATGGACCCTGCTATAGCTCGATTGGTGCCCCTGCCGGTTTGGATGAAAGCTTCATTACTGTCGGTGCTTATGTAAAGCATGCCCAAATGCAAGCAGAATATGCTTTACTCGAGACTGTTGCAGAACGCCCTTATACATGGTCATCTCGTGGTCCTACAACGGATGGATATCATGGCGTGGATATTTATGCTCCAGGTTCTGCAATTACCAGTGTTCCCGTCTATGTGCTGAACAAGATGGATTTGAAGAATGGCACCAGTATGTCTAGTCCTAATGCATGTGGTTGTATTGCGTTGCTTATCTCTGCTCTTAAAGCCAACAATTACACATACACACCATATCGTTTGAAGAATGCTGTTGTTCAAACCAGTAAATCAGTTGATGATCCTCTTAATGTTGGTTTTATTCAAGTGGATAAGGCTTGGGAATACCTTGAGAATTACAAAGATCGTAAGGATTTAGATTTGTTGTTCAAAGTAAGTTGCTCTTCATTTCTGTGACTGATAATCAATAAAGAAACTAACAATCCCGGAAAATATTAGATAACTGTTCAAAAAAGAGGAAGTAAGCGAGGTATTTATCTTCGTGAGCTTGATGAAGTCAATCAAGTTCAACATATCATTACAAAAGTTACGCCTAATTTTATGCAGGAGCAAAATCCTGAATCTCCAAAGTATAATCAAGCCAAGTTTGATTATGAAGCCCGTGTTGCTTTGGTTGCTACAGAATCTTGGATTACTGCTCCTGATTATCTTTATCTTCACTCCAGTGGCAACAGCTTCCAAATCAGAGTTGATCCTACTTCGCTGTCTGAAAGTGAATTCCATTACGGCGAAGTTCTTGGCTATGATACTGCTGCACCTGAACGTGGGCCTTTATTCCGTGTACCGGTCTCTGTTGTTAAACCTACTGTTTGTAGTCAGGGTTTTATTCAATACACGAATGTCGAATATGGACCTGGTGACATCATTCGTCGCTTCATTCAAGTGCCTGAAGGCGCTACTAATTGTGAACTGGTCATTAGAGCTCGTACGCCGAATAACGAAGGTGCCCCTGCCAGATTTATGCTTCATCTTACTCAGCTCATCCCCAAACAGAATCAAAAGAAAAGACATACTTTCAGTTTCATTCTCGGCAATGGATCTTATGCTGACCCCGAATCAGATGCTCAAATCATAAAGAAGCGATTATCTGTTCGTGGTGGTTTCAATTTGGAAGTCTGTCTTGCTCAGTTTTGGTCTGGTCTGGGTAAGCATGCTGTCGATTTAAGTCTTAATTTCCATGGCGTTCAAGTTGCTGGAAATCTTGCTCAAGGAGAAGGCGTTATCCATTTGGAACCCCAAGTAACACGTTTGGATATTTCCAGCCCTATTCGCAGGGAGGACAACATCAATATCAGCGTCAGCTTCAATAAATTGCGTAGATATATTCGACCCCGTGAAGCCATCATAACACCCATGTTACCCGATCGTGATACATTACCTAGTACGCGTCTTTTATATCAACTCGTTTTGACTTATCCAGTGAAAATTGAGAATAGCACTAATATTACCGCACGCTTTCCCACTGTAATGTATCAACTTTACGAGCATTTTCTTGCCGGTGTTTTTGGCATCATTTATGATGTAAATCAAAAAGTCATTGGCTACTTGGATGTTTTCGACCATAATATTAAGATCGAACAAAAAGGAGAATACACAGTTACACTTCAGTTGTCTGTTGAAAATGAAAGCGTATTAGAAAAGTTGAAAGATACTATTTTAGAATTGGACATGGATCTCAAGACTACCACATTCAATACTTATCAAACTAAGGGTGATGTATACACCAAGGATAGCTCCAATTATAGCAAGGTTATATTAGAACGCAAGGATGCAAAGGCCTTTTACATTGCTGCACCTACTGGCAAGGATGCTATTCCTAAAGAGGCTAAAGCAGGTGATGCCCTTGTTGGTAGCTTAAATTTCTTTCCTAAGGTTGAAGGAGGACAATATCAGGCTCTTTACATTGTTCCTGCTCCTGTCCAAGAAGCTTCCGAAGGCAGTAGTCGCAAGAGCGAAAAGACACCCACTGATGACGAGCTATCCCAAAAGTTGAAGAGCCAGATGTTCGACTTGGAGCTTTCTTATTTGAAAAAGATGTCTGCTGACTCTGATGCCCATAAAGAATTACTAAAAAGAGTTGAATCTGCTCATACTGATGAGATTCCCTTCTTAGAGTATAAGATAAATGCGGTGTGGTCAGCTTCTGCTGGAAAGAGCAGTGTTGATTGCCTGATTAAACCCGGTCAACTTACCGAAGAACAGTGTAAAGAAATTGTAAAGATTGCTGATACCATTCTTGCAAAGTTCAACGACAGTGAGTTGCTGGAATACTATGGTCGCCAAAAGCCTGAAGAGGAGTCAGATGAGGAGAAGGAAAAGCGGAAGGAGAATACCGAGAAAAAGAAACAGATTATCAATGCCTTGAGGAATAAAGCTATGGCATATGCTTCTGTCTTGAAGGAGGATCATTATACTGAAGAACTTGACCAAACCCTCAAGGCCTTACATTATTGGACCTCTGAAGACGTTACCAACAATTTGGGAGCATTGCTTGTCAAGGTCAAGCGTGATCGTGTTGCAGGCCGTTTTGGCAATGCTTTAAAGTCAGTGCAAAAATATCTCTCTGAAGCAGCCCTAAATATTGACAATAATAAGGATGTTAGCAAGGTTTGGAAAATACGTAATGAAATTCTAAAGCAAATAGGCTGGTCACTTTGGGCTGATTACGACGACAAATGGAGTTTGATTAGACAGCCACCATATGGTAGAGCTTTGTTTTAATGCACGGTTGATTAAATATTAGACTTAACGGTTAATGTAACTTTTTTAAATAAATAAGCAGTGCAGTCACTATTTTGAAGTGATGCATCGTAAAAGTGATCAATTGTTTTAAGGGAATGGTTGCTTTGATGTAATTCATATTTATACATATGTATCATCAAGAGTGATTGATAATCTAACAGATAAATGAGTCGTTTTACCTTTTACAAATTGTGAAAGATATACGGTAGCTACTTCCTCATTTCTTTCATGTGAACTATTCTTGGCAAAAGCGAAACGTATGTGTGCAGCTAGCATTTTTGACCAAATAAGAAAACGGTATGATGCCGTCTTCAAAAAAATAGACAAGTATTACCATACAGGATTCTTGTTCTACTGCCCTTTCTGTCAACGAATACTACAAGAGAACGATACCAGTACATGCAACGGCAGTTTTCACGATCGAAGGAGATCAATGCATGGTGTTCAGCGTCGTTTTAGGAATATTGAAACCCGCAGAAGAGATATTTACAAGCTCTTGAACCACATGGAAGATACAGTAAAAGGGTTTTATGAGGTAGCATGAACAAAACTATTGAGTATTACAACAAGTGTTGAAAACTGGTAAGGGCTGATACGGAAGCTTCTATATCTTTAATATAGTTGGAAAATTGGTCAGAATGAGTTGAATAAATGATGAAGTATGTATATATTACGAGGGTGCTCAATAATCAAGGGATAGTACTTTGATCGATGTTTAGTCAATCTTGAGAAATTAAATCAATTTTTGCTTGCTATGCCCCAGATACGTTCAAATCATAAGCACGTAATATTTTTCAATAAAAATTTCTTTCAATGTCTCCATTGATAGTAAAAACAAGACCGTAAGGCAGACAATTCACAAAAAACTAAAAAAAAAAAAACAAAACAATACAAACTTATGGTTAGAAGAATACAAAGTTTTATTGAGTAAGGGATGTTCGTTTTAGACATATTCGTTGAGAATCATGCGGTTTTCCAAGACCATTGGGTATATATTGTATGTTGAATGCATATAACGATGTGCCTTTCTCATATTAGAATAAAATCCTTGTTCGAATATTTGTCGATGTAACAGACACGGCATCGTACAATGTTCTGATATCAGTTACATTAGCGATGTCTGCCATCACATAGGAAATATTACCTTTCGTATTGGAGAATTGTTTTTCAATATTATGAGCTGCGAGAATACGGTTGATTTCCTATAATTGAGATACTTTTGTTATTTAAAGGTAAATGATATTTGTACGAATGCCAGAACTTTTGACTTACCTTGAGTACAGAAGGATCTTTTTGATAGACATGCAACAAGCGAATAATACCTTTATCTGTCTCTGATATGGGGCGTAGAGCAATCTCTGGAAAGTTAACGGAATTTAATGAACTACCATCATTTACATACTTTATTAGGACGTGCGAGACCTCATGGCCAATCATACGTTGAGCTTCTTCTGTAGAACCTCCAATATAAGGCGTCAAAATTAGGTTGGGGCAACTCATTAATTCCGGATAATAGTCGAAATAGGGCCCATTTAACGTAGGCTGCTTTGAAAATACATCCAAATAAGCGCCACCGAGATGCCTTCTTTGCAAAGCTTTCACTAAAGCTGGTAGCTGGACCACTGAGCCCCCTGCCATATTGATAAGGAAAGCACCTTGTTTCATTTTGCGAATCTCCTGTTCCCCAATCATATCCCTTGTGCTCTGATTTTCAGGAACATGTATTGTGACAAAGTCGGATATTTCCAGTAGTTCTCCAAGATTATCAACTGGCTTAGCTTGACCAAGTGGCATTATAGGAAGGATATCATAAAAACATACAGACATTCCCAAGGCCTCTGCTAAAACAGATAGTTGTGAACCTATATGTCCATACCCTATGATGCCCAGAGTCTTTCCTCTAATTTCATGGCAGTTTCTTGAAGTTTTATTCCATATACCTGAATGCATCTCCCGGATACGGTCACCCAGCTGTCGAGCAAGCATGATAATGCCGCCAATAGCAAGTTCTGCAACTGATCGAGAGTTTTTAAATGGTGAATTGAATACAGCTATCTATTAGTATAAAAAGACAGTAAGTTATTCATTGCTTGTCTTTGAATGAATTAAACGTTGACTTCACATACACCACGCTCAGCGGCTGCTTGCAAATCGACTTGATCAATGGAAACACAGAAGCAGCCAATTGCCAGCAGCTTTGTTGCGTGATTAAGCACTTCAGCTGTCAACACTGTCTTAGAACGTATACCAATAATATGAACATCACAAATTTTTTCTATCAGTTTGTCCCTAGTCAGCGTATCTTTATAAACTTCCACCTGAGGTATTAATAAGAATCTATTGCTAATCTTTGTTGCAAATAGCAAGTATAAAGCAATGCTCATATTACCTGATAACCACATTTTTTGAAAGAAGCAATTGCACTTTCGTTAATATCTTCTAGCAGTAAAACCTTCAATTGACTCGAATCAAACAGGCGAAGAGCTAATGGTTTTGATGGCCTAATATCAGTTGTGTGCGTTGAGAGTTCATGTTTCTCTATATGGCTACTGGGGCACTGATTTCCCGCTTCCAACTGGACTGTTACCATATTCAAATGTTGTAAAAATGAAGGGCTAAACCAAAAAGAAAGAAAAAAGCGAAGAGATGTTAAACTAGTTAGGCTTATAAAAAAGTGACAGCAGATTTATACATCCCTCCGACTTGTGTACCATCGATCAATCAGTGTTTTAGCTCCAAGTGTTTCCATACATTTTGATTATTCCCAATAGCGCATGTATGTTTGACGACAGAAGGGGTAACTGTTCTAATTGAGCAGGGATGTGCATAAACAAAATACACTTAGACTATTTACTTAAAAACGCAATCTAAAATGCTATTGTTGTCGATTTTGCAAAAAATATACGTAATTTTGATCTCGAAAAGCTAGATAGCTTCTATTTTGTTGCACCACAAATGTACTATAATTTTCGAACTGCAGAGAAAAATTCAATAACGATACAATGTCATACATAACTTACATAACAATATTCATAGCGAGTTACTTTACTTTCTACAGTCAACTAAGGAATGATTTTGAGTCTCTTTAAAAAATTGTCTAGAAGCTTATCAATATATTCTTGATTAGAAAATGCTGCAGGAGCTTGAAAAATAAAACCTTAGATCTTAGGGAAAAAAGCAATGATCACGTATTGGAGCAATTTTATTATAGAAATTAATGTACAAATGGATATCATTCTAAGGATAAAATTATATAAGATATAATCAAATAAATAAAAAGAAAAAGCATAGCGTAATGAATCGCTTTTTAAGCCGAACCAATGTAGCCATCTTTTTCTAAAAGTAAGATTATTTCATGCACAGCTTGGGATACTGACTGCTTGGTAATATCGATCGTTAAATCAGCGTTGGTGGGTATTTCGTAAGGCGCATCAAGACCAGTAAATTCCTTGATTTCACCGCGCTTGGCACGTTCATAAATGCCATCTCTATCTCTTTTAATACATTCCTCAAGAGGAGTAGCAACATGAATAAGGTAAAAACCGCCATATTGCTCAATGGTCTTTCTAGCAGAGTCACGAGCAGCACTATAAGGAGCGATAGGAGCTAAGATGGCAGCAGCGCCAGCACGGGTCAACTCACCGGCAACAAATGCTTGACGAGCGATATTTATATCGCGGTCACGCTTTGAGAAGCCAAGTTCTGAAGATAACTCAGTACGAGTATTTTCACTGCTTAATAAAGAAACGGAACGAGTTGATTCTTGATTGAGAGAAACTTGAAGAGCACGAGCAATAGAATTTTTACCAGAAGCATGAAGACCAGTGAAGAATACAGTAAAGCCTTGTTGGCTGCGAGGAGGATGAGATTGACGTAAAACAGCTACGACTTCAGGATAAGAGAACCATTCAGGAATGGGTAATCCCGTCTTCAATCTGCGGCGAAGCTCTGTACCACTGATATTGAGGGTCTTTACGCCCTCAGGGACTTCATTAGCAGGAATATATTCATCGGTGTCGGGACTGTATGTAACCATTTGGAAAGGAACAATTTCAATACCAATCTCATCCTTATACTTTTCAACCAAGGCTTGGGCGTCGTAGGGACCGTAGAAATCGACACCCTGAGAATTTTTACCTGGACCGGCATGGTCACGTCCAATAATGAAATGAGTCACACCATGATTTTTACGGATCAAAGCGTGCCAGAGTGCTTCACGAGGACCACCCATACGCATTGCAAGAGGTAGCAAACTGAGTTCAGCCATACCATTAGGATATTTCGGCATCAATGCCTTATAAACTCTCACACGTGTGTAATGATCGATATCACCAGGTTTTGTAAGACCAACAACAGGGTGGATAAGCAAATGGGCTTTGCGCTGACGAGCAGCACGAACAGTTAGCTCACGATGAGCGCGATGCATAGGATTACGTGTTTGGAAGGCAACCACACGAGTCCACTGAAGCTTCTTAAAGTGAGCACGAAGTTCGGATGGTGTGTCTAAAATTATCGATTCAATTTGAACCGATCAGTACCAATGATATTATACCTCTTAAGCCATTTATCCAGGATACTTACATCTATTAGCAACGTAATCGTAATGGGAAGGAGGTTGAATAGCCTGAAGTGAACCACCAACGTTGAATTCTTTAGCAATATTATGAAGATAATTGACAGCTGGGTGGGCAATATCATCAGCTCCATAAACTAATTCAGCTTCTTTGGATTTGTTGGGTCTGTAGATATCGCTGATTGTGAGGATGGCAAGAGGCTCATAATCACGAGGGTCTAGCAAGGCAATACGCTTGGAAGGCTCGATCTGACTTTGCTCAATATCTTCTTTACTAACATCAAGTGTGATGGGCATAGGCCAAATAAGGCCGTTGGAAAGACGCATATTTTCGACTACACTGTATCCATCAACGAGATTGATTTGTTGAGTACAATACATTCCGATGAGACATCCAAATAGTGCTTCCCCATATTTACCTATTATAATCTTGCTGATTTAAAAATCCTTCAAGTGGAGAGAAACCGCCGTTCAAAAGAAGTTCCAAATCACATAATTGACGATCGGTCAAAACAAGGGAAGGTAGAGTTTCAGCTTCTGATATGAGGGTTTCTTGGATATCAGCATCACGAAGATAAAGGTCCTTGAGGACGCCACCATGAGGAGTATTAGCCATCTTAATTATCAAATAGTTGAATAAGAAAAAAGATGTAGCAGGAAATCTGAGGGTTCTTATAACGTCTTTTTTGGCATTTTGTCGGTTGTTTTATTCATGAGCTTATAATGCTTCGTGATGATTAGCGACTCCAGTAAGTGATGGCGCAATTGTATTTCATCCAATAGAAATTCGAACCAAAATGGCTAAATTTCTTGATTACCTTATTTACCTGCATTCCTATTGGCAGATTCATTTTCTGGAGAAATATGTGATCTGGCAAATAGAAGTGTTTTAACTTCCATTTTTTTAGACATCTTACAGATCTTTATTGGACAATATATATTTTTAATTTAGACAATGTTTTAACAAGCTTTTTCATAAACAGCAATAACAATGATCAGAGTTAAGGAGAGTTCTTTTTATTATTGCTACAACTCTTATAGTCGCCACCAGCCCTTTATACATTTCTTACTCAAAGTGGAATCTCTTTAAAAAGTAACCTTTTTACATTTTTTAATCGTACACTGTAATACAATTGTTTTTTTTTCTTCCATAATGTTATACGAAGCGACAAAAGTTGAAAGAAAGTATTGCAGTTTGAAAAGATGATAAGGAGGAAAATTTACACTATGACGAGAAGTTGCATAACTAATGATCTTTTGCTCCCTTATTTGCAACTAGTGAGATAAAAATGTGTATTTTGTATACAGGAGAAGCCCAACTCTAACGATAACACTTCTCTTTCCTTTAGGATCAGTAAATTTTGCAACAGCATAATGGCCACTATTACAACTGTCATGCTACCATATATGATTATGATTTTCTTGTTTTTTGGCATCGCCAATGCCTTTCTTCGTCCTGTCTCAGACGCTCAAACTTTCGACATTGTTAATATCGAATATCTTACAGAGGGTCAAAAACTAGGCGTTGCCGAATGTACATTATCAAAGGTTCTCACAGCAGATGAAATTCAGAAAAGCGAGAAGGAGCTTCAGTGTCTGCACCTGCCGATGTTGGTTAGCAACGGTGATAATGCCGGTACACAAAAAATGGCAGATTATTGTGCCTTTGGACAAAATGAAAAGATTGCCAAATGCTCTGATATTGCTGAGGTCTGTGAAAAGAAACTCGGTGGTAGAATAACCTTGGCAAGTGCTACTTGCTCAGAAATAGTGCATCGTCAAACAACCAACCCAAAATAGGAAACTTTAAACAACATAGTGAATGAGATTCGAGCATATAAAGGCAAGATAATAAGTTTTTTTAGAAGGCACTACACTATTGCTTTGTTATACGGAATGGCATGTCTTTAGCAATAATAAAACTCTACTTTGTAATAAAAATCAAATCATTGCGAACATAAACGTTTTGCTTTTATCTGGTCTATTGGTAGAAAAAGCAAGCTTTCTAGAATGAAGTGGTAACTTATTCTTGGGACGATAATCAACAATTCAGTAACTTCTAAGCAGCCTTAAAGATGACTTACAATCCTAACCCTAAGTTATTAGTAAGAAATCGCTAATAATGGTTTTATTCACATTATCTTGCAATAGACTGAACTACAAAAAACTTGCCAAAATGACGATGTGTTCCAAGACCAAGGATATGTTCGTCAGTGACTTTTTTGGACAAAGTTCCAAAAAAGGTCAACTTCAACTTGATTGACATCAAACCATTGACGGAGGACAAAAAGAGCATAATATAACAGTTACCATAGCGGGGCGGGGTGGTTATATTATTTGTTGTCATTGTTTTTGTATGCGTAGTTAATGGGTGATGTCTAAAGATTACACTACAAAATAGATTGCTCATTTAATCAAAGGTTGCCTCTTCCACTGTCATTTTCACATTCTATTATACATACCATGAGCCATGTCCAAAACGACAATCTTTTGAAAGAAATATTAAGTCTTTGAAAGGAAAAGATCCCAAACTTTTGTGAACCTTAAAGAAGAAGCTAAAGAAGAAAGTGAACATGAAGACAGTATCTGCTGATCCCCGGTCTTACATAGTTTATTATCATTGAACGCAGATTTGAGCGGGAACGCGAAGTTATTCGACGTAGGACAACGTCGTCTCCCAGAACTGTTGTCTATACTGCCAAAGGTTTCGATTCGAATTCACCCACTGAAGGATAAGTGCCAAAAAGTGAGGCTTGAGAAGTACTCGGAATCCCTCAGAATGGTACCACTGATTGTGTTTGGTGCTGCAATGTTTGGCAAAGATGCAGTCAAGCTGAAAGGCCAAAGGTATGGTGTTGTAGATAAACTTTTTGCAACTCTGAAGAAACAAGCTGGAGGTCAATTGATTGTTGTCACAACCGATGAATTTAAACCCTCTAAAACATGCAGCCTCTGTTTCTATAATGATATGCAAATTATTGATACTCCTGCGTTCTTCATTGCAAGCAATGTCTAAAGCTATGACAGAGAGACATTAACGCAGCTATTAACATGATGACTATATCTCAAGCAGTTTGGTCCGGAGCTAGAAGACCCGACGTTTTCAAGCCAGCGAAGAAGAAAAAAAGCATCGCCGTAATAAACACGGTTTCCATTTATTTTTAAGGATTCAGATCATTACAGGTGAGAAATAGTACGGTTCTGATTCTTTTGGTTTGCACTACTGGCATATTTTTGAATTCATATGTATTGTTATTGGAGGGTTATCTATAAAATAGAAGTTTGTTTAAAAGAAAAATAATAAAATATATTTACATAAATGCTTAATTGATTATAGATTGAACCTTTTCTGGCAAGGCGCTTCTCAACAATTTAATTCCAGTATTTTTTGACATTCTAACTCACCGCTTATGCAGGAACAGGCCAGTTGCACAGATAAGCAACACTTAACCTTCTTACTGCATTTATCCCAGTATGGAGCAACAAATTATATCAGCAACCCTTCCTATGCTGGTTCTCGGACTAGGATGGACAGGCCAATTCTTGGCTGAGCTCATGGTCTCTATGAATATAAACTATGCTGCTACAACACGCGATGGGCGTAACAGCACGATCAAATGGAACATGCCGAGCAAGTGCGATGCAATTGATGTGTCACAATTACCCAAAGCCAAAACTGTCCTTGTTACTTTTCCAGTACTTGAGCGTGACTGTATGAATAGGTTGATTGATGTTTATGAAGAACAACATGACATATCGTCTCAATGGATATTATTGTCGTCCACTCGCCCATTTGTCGGCCAACCCGCCAACCGACATACTCCTCTTGATCGCAGTAAAGATACAGGACGTATGGGCGCAGAGGATGTTGTTATCGAACGTGGGGGTTCTGTTCTCCATTTGGCAGGGCTATGGGGAAATCAAAGGTAAAGCAAGGAAAGTAAGTAATACATTATCAGGCAACTTTCACTCAATTTCGCCAATTATAACTAATATAGACAACCGAAAGGTTGGGTTCCTCGCTTCGCTACAATGGATGCTATAAAAAACAAGCTTTTAACACGTCAATTACATCTAATTCATGGAAAAGACGTTGCAAGGGCTATACTAGCTGTCCACAACAATTTCAAATCTGGCGAACGATGGATTATCACTGACAATGGCTGCTATGATTGGTTAAAACTGTTCCTTGTCTGGGGCACAGAAGAGCAAATTAAGATGGCCAGGTATTTAGCTGAAAATGATGAAACTTGCCAGAAAGCTTTGGGTGATAGCTCATTGGAGGAAATAGTCGAACGAGGTGGTGTTCAACCTCGATTGGACTCAACTGAATTTTGGAACACATTCAGTATTAAAGCTGTCGAATATTTAAAAATAGAATAACAGACAAATAATTGTATACTAAGAAATACGGTTTTGAGTTTTTGGACCGACCTCTTACTCGTTATCTTTAAGATTTCTTTATTAAATTACCAAAAAGTAAATTGAATTCTAAAATGAATTCAAAATGAAATCAAAACAATAACTTGTTGTTGACTACTACAGATCTTAATATTGATATGAAGGGTGAATAGTGGTATGAAGGTAATCTTATTGACTAGATGTATGGAGATGTGATATGAGTGGTTAAATGAAGTTAAGTTCTGTAGATGAAATGCTGGTTTTGCTTATCTGTCAAGTCTTTGAAGTCGTCTGGTAAAGCTACAGCATCAGCAGCTTTGTTCAACATGCGTCTCTTATTCTCTCTTGCATAACTAAATCGAATTAATATAAAGCAGATAACGACAACAGCATTTGCTGCTGCATAAACAGATAAGCCCATAATATAGCGAGGTTCGTCTTGCGAACGTAAAAGAAGAGGACCTGTAAAGTTGCCGAAAGTACTAAAGATAATTGCACAACTGGTATAGAAGATTTTCTTGGTATAACCAGAGACGTTATTCGAAATCGACGTTTGCATCAAGACATAGACAGGTGTACCTGCACCACTGAGATATAATCCTACAAGCTTACTACCGCCAGCTGGGATAGCTACTAAGCATATCAAACCAACTAAAGAAACAACAGTAGCCCCAATGGCGATATAACAAATATCTTTGAGCCTTTTGCTAAGATAGATTGTCAAAAGAATCATTAAAATAAGAATGACACCGCCTGGTAAGTGAAGCAAGATTGCATTCACGTTGGAAAAGCCCATTTCGGTTATAATAATGTTAGCGAATAAGTTGATACCGCCATTTTGTAAATTGATGCAAATGGAAATGAGGCAGTATAAATAAAGTCGTAGCTCTCTAATGGCTTCCCAAACATGGCTGATCTCGAAGCGCTTATTACGCACAACTGCATTGTCGCGGGTTCTTTCATCGACAATTGCTACTTCTTCTTCTGTAAGTTTGAACCAGCGTGATTTTGGATTATCAGGTAGTAAGAAGAAGTAGATGACGCCCATAATGATGGTGATGGAGCCGAAAATAACGAAATAGAATTTCCAAGCAGACCATTCACCGCGTGTTGGCATGTGTAATATACCCAAGGAAATGAGTGAACCGAGAACAATTGCTACTGAATTACTGACATAGCTAAGACCAATGAAGATCACTTGCTCAGACCTGCGATACATAGTAGCGATCAATAAGAAGATGCATGGATATGATACAGCCTCAAAGAAACCAAGTAAGAAGCGAAGGGCAGCAAGCTGAGCAAAGTTATGGGAAAGCGCCATACAGAAGAGGACAATCCCCCAGGAAAATAGCACAGTTCCGAGGTATTTGGATATAGGAAGCTTTTGCATGAGATAATTATTTGGTATTTGCATACACAGATACCCCAACGAGAAGATAGAGCCTAACCAACCATATTGGTCGTGATTAATCTTAGTATCAGTGTAGAATCGAGGAATGATACCAACAGCGGTCAAAATAGATTTATCGATGAACTAAATGGTTGTGTAAGTTACAGAAAAGTTCAATAGGTGAGGTGCGAGAGTCTTTATTTTTTTTTATCAAATATGATTCAATACCTGAATGAAAAAGAGTGCACACACCATTGGCATGAATCTTGCACTCATTTTCCTCACTAGCTTTTTTTCCATTGGCGATATTTCAGGTTTAACATGTTCATCGATGGAAAATGTCGTTTTGGATTGATAGTCTCCAGTATCTTTCTGATCTAGAATTTTCTCGTCAACCGTCATATCAATAATTTAGGAGTTTCGAGGAAAAAAAGTCCAAAAAGCCATGTTATGCACTTGAAAGTTTGTGTATTTATATGAAAGTATATGAAATTGACATGAAACTTACTGATTATTGAATAAAATGGTACTACTGTCACGTCTGTTTACATATACGCTCAGACACTATTTGCTTGACAGAGTACACACGTACAGACCTTATTCCACAAAGGGGTGTGTAATGCGATGCAGGACCGCTTTATCAATAGTAAGTGATTCCTATGTATTAAACTCCACACAAAAAGGCTTACAATTCCCTCAGATGTAAGGGGTGACTTCTCTTCGCGTTAGATTTGCATTGTAGACTTGTGACGCTAATTAAAGCAAACTCATGTTTAAGACTTCTACTTCTTTAGATACCAAACAATACGATACGTGTATTTATCTTTTCAAATGGAAGATCTGTTGTACAAAAATCTTTTCTTTACCAGATACCAAGTGCGATCGTTTCATTCTGGGACGGTAAATGCAACAATTAAAATTGTTCGTACATGGTGAAATAGACACTTTCCCGAGTATGATGATTTTCAATTGCTGTACTCCGTTCCTGACTGTTCATTGGTAAGGTAGATAAAAATGGATAATTACTGAAAGAAGTATTACGAATGGCGAATATCTATCGATTTTTTCGTGCTAAGTATTCAAATGGTAAGTATTATTGATAAATCTGGTATCTCGAATACTCATAGAGGTCTTTATTGATGAGTAGAACGAGAAATAACAGAGCAGTTTGTTTTTCGTAATGCTTCATTTAAACAAACTGATAGTAATTACAGCCACTATTACTGTTCAACGATATCAGGATGATGATAGCTTTAGGCACATGAGCAGGTCGTCATAGCCAGTTATGGAAAGTGGGAAGAAAAAAAAACTTACCATCAAGATCAAAAAAGTTTATTCTCACATGACATATACTCGCGGACGATATTTCTCACTTAGTAAGGCGGAACTAATGGTGAGGAAAGCTGATAACTGATAGACAATCATGACGAGCGTAGTGAAGATTTCTGTGTATGCCATCCCCGAATCGAAATGATAATTACTCCGGTCAGTCGCGGTAACGCCTTTGCTTAAGTAAGTTTACAATAAGTTTTTAAAGTGCGGCAACCACATCAATTATGTTTTCCGATATGTTGCATCTTCTAAAAGATAAAATAGAGTCTGTATTGATTGAGATGAGACTTACTGATTCTGCCCATAAAAATAAATATGCTGGGAAGGTCTAATCATTGTTCTTACAGTGGCAAAGGCGTCATAGCCTATTGAGGCGTTCGCCAAGCAACGATCATCTCATTTGTAAAAAATACGTTTATGAAGGCGAGCATTTTGACGGTGACATATTTGCTCCTACAAGCATCACTGAAAATGTTAGTTCACTAAGTGCTGTAACCGTAAGTTCAAAGTACAAACAAGCAATTCCGTAATTTAACGCGTAATAACCATTAAACAGTTTATCGGACAAGACGTAATGACCCTTGATTGAAAACTTTGTGCATTAAATTGTTTTTGACGCATGATAATATTATCCAGAGAACTGCTTCGTAATTACTGAAATAATTGAGATCAACTATTTGGTTCAAGTACATTACCAGAATTTCTTAGAGACTGTAAAGGAGCAATTGCATAATATAACAAGATCTGGAAATCAGGAAGCAGCTTTTTATATGCGGAATGTAACCTTTTTGCTCATTTTGGATATGGATTCATTATACGCGTTTTCCTTTACTCAAATAATCGAGGTATCTTTTATGATGATATATTCACGAATAGTTTCGAGCTGTACTTGCAATATGTTAGCTGACGATGTGAAATAGTGTATGAGGGTGTCAAGTCTCAATTTTTCGAAGCGTAAAAGAATTGGAAGAGCTTGCATTTAATCGTAATATCATATTTTGCTTTCTTATCTCAATCTTTGGGGTGTTCTTTTACTACTTTTTTCTCAGTGTAATGTCGAGCAGTTACAGTTTCTCTCAGATGATAAGTTGATGGAAGTCCGTCAATCTGATATTAGTCTGCCAACTTCGATTTGAGGCTGAGATTTATATACATTGCCATCAAAGTCGATTTTTAAACTATATATCATAAATCAAGATCCCGGATGATGGTCCTTATGACAATCTATTGCTACTCAAAAAGTGGGCATTCAAGCGGATACCAAATACTGATGAGCAAGTTGCCCTTTACACTTTTCCAATAGGGAAAACGTCTGAATATCACCTTGACAGAAAGGGGCTAAATGGCTTTAATCCTGCATTGACTTACGATGGAACTGATTCCGTGAATTAAAACCAATTTACTTTAACGAGTAAGCCTTCATTAACCACCACGCTTTAGTATTGGCCGAAAGCTCTTAAGCTCGGTAAGCGGCGACTTAAATCATATCTCAAATAACAAAGATGAAAATAGAAGGTGTTTCTTCGCAACAAAGAGTTCTAACAAATGAAACTTTTCTATGAGCCAAAAAAATGTCACAACAAAAAAACCAGCAAGCGGTTGAAAACAATTTTTTCCAAGTCCTTTTCATATCATAAGTGTGAAGCAATAAAAACGAAAGAGGAAAAACAAAAAAAAAGGCCTTTGAGTGGAGAACCAATTTCAATCTTTGCTTTCCATTCCTTTCTTCTTTTCATTTCCAAAACGGCCTTAAATCTTCTTTCTCACTAAAATTTACAATTTAAAAGAAAGGAGAGACAATGGATTTTCCGTGGGTATCCGATATCCCCAATACCCGTAAACAGGCCTCCCGTATACCTAACCCTGATATCGATGATAATAGTACCATGGACAATTTCAAAAACTCTTTATTTCAAAGGTAAGTGACAATTTCGGCCACAAAAAATTTTTGACAGGCGAAGAGATTTTTTGACATAATATATTCAACACCCATTGTATAGTGAGATACCTAAAACACTCTCGCGAAGCGGCTCGCGTTTATCTTATACACCGCCTTCCAACAACAACAATACAAAAATTTCGGAAATAGCTAAACGTTCTCGTGCAGGTACCATGCCCTCTTCCAGCATCCCTCCTCTGATGAGCCTAGGCCATTCGCATTTATACATGTCTGCAACCGCTCAGGACAGGCCAAATCAGTCTCCTTCTCTAACTTCGTCATCAGCAACAACTACATTGCATCAACCAGCTAACCTGTATTCTCATTCCAACTTGTCAAGTCCTTTGGACGAAAACGCCACAGACTCAATCGCCAGCACGTTAGCGTCACTAGGTCTTCATGAAGACAGTAGAATCTTTCAACGTGCAAATAGTAGTAATAACAGTAACAATAACGTGTCTTCGACTGATACTACGACAGACAATTCTGCACCTTCAAGTTATCTCGAGTCAATGACGCGTAACCGTGCATTCACAGTCTCTTCTCGAAGCACTTTGACCGATATGACCCGGCCTCATGAATCGTTAGCCTTTAGTCCCTTCCCTGAACCAAACCAGCACCATCAACTAGCGATACCACAACTATCTTCGCAACAACAACAACAACAACAACATCAACAGCAACAGCAACAACAACAGCAAAACAGTAAAAGTGCTAATCGTCCGCGTGCCATCAGTTTGGGTATGATGGATTCACCTTTGACTACCCCTCAGCTTCAACCACTACAACAGCTGTCGCATGGCAGTACTGCATTCTCACCTTTTGACATAGTGTCGGATTTTCAAAATTCGGGATCCACCAATTCCAAATTGACAGATGAAAACAGTAACTTGAGCAACCTTAATACTAACAGTAGCAATAATACATTTAATACCAGTAATAATCTAAATAATACCTCCTTACCTTTACTATATCAGCCTTGTACATTCTCTACCACAAATACTTTGAATTCTCAATCAGATCTGGATAATGTCACAGCAACATCGGACTTCCGTCATGACTTGGTAGAAAATTCTCATTTACCTTCTACAAACCATTATCGCCATCAGTCCTCTACTGATACAACTGCTGCTTCATCGTCCTCTGTCATTTCCTCCTCCGCACAGATTCCCTCGCGTGCTCTTTGGTTGGGCAATATCAACCCTTCCCTAAGTGTTCCTGATTTGCATAAAATGTTTTCTCGTTACGGTCGTGTCGAAAGTGCTCGTATTTTGTCCGATAAGGAATGTGCTTTTGTTAATTTTGACTCTATTGATTCTGCTGTGGCCGCCAGAGAAGATTTGGTCAACCGTTTAGGATGCAAAGTGGGAGGTACGGTCGTGAAAGTAGGATTTGGAAAAGCTGATGTTGATTTAGCTATGGCGTTAACTCAAGATGCTGGACCGAACGCTCAAGGACCCACTCGGTCTCTTTGTATGTACCTATGGTTTACGTTGCTCTGACTTATTTACTCATCTTTCTGTTCTCTTTTTTTTTTTTTTGGGAAATAGGGGTCGGTAACATTCCCTCAAATATTAGTCCTGCTGTCCTAAGATCTGTGTTTCAGGTATTCGGTAGCATTGAATCTATTCGTATTCTGTCTCATAAGAATTGTGGATTCGTCAACTTTGAACGACAAGAAGACGCTGTCCGCGCACGTAAACAGATGCAGAATAAAGAGATCCTAGGTACTGGTACGGGTACTGTGCGTATTGGGTTCGCAAGAGCACCAACAAACAATCCTGGTGAAGTCATCGAGGATGTTGTCATTTCCGGAAAAACCGTAACATCTTACGCAACTCCCAACAACAAGCAGAATCACAGCAGCAGCAACTATAAGACTGCAGAAAGCATGAATGATAATGATAGTGCTGTCGCATTCACACGCAACGCTGCGGACAAGTCCAGATTGGACGCACTTAATTTGCCGTCATCTTCATCGGTATCACAGTCTTCTTTTAATAGCAGCGATGAAAATGCTGGTAACACATCAGATCTGACATCAACAGAGCTTCAGAAAGCACTTACTCATGATAACAGCCATGGTAACAACAAAAATACGAATACTAGTCAATGGGCTACAGTCATTTTGATGGCCAGTATGATGATGAATGCTCAAAAGCAACAACAGCAAAAGCAAGAAAACGGAAAATGCACTGTTATTGATGCGTTTAGCAAAACAGTTGATGGCGATACACCTGCACGTTTGGCTGCTGAGCGCAAAATGATCATGCAACAGTTAGGCTACGAGCCAAAAGCTGATGAAGGTAACGCTCACCCGTCACATAAAGATTCATTCATTTTCCTCCGAAGAAAAGATTCTTATGCCGTCTTACATTGTTTTTTTGTGATAGTGGATCGTGTTGTTATTGAGTACATGTCTACTATTCCTACGGCTCCAGAATTTGGTACCGACCGTAGCCTCAGCCCTGCTCGTTTAAGAGAAATCAGAAAGCTTATTGATAATGGACAAGGAATGAATGATATAGAATCCATTGCTAAGGAATGCTACGAGGAGATTGTTGAACTTTGTAGTGGTAAGTGTTATGCATCGCTTTCTTTTCAATGTATTGGTGGCTTACCATTTAACACTGACACATTCTTGTACTTCCTTATCAGATTATATCGGCAATACAGTCGTTCAAAAACTTTTTGAAAACTGCTGTGAAGAAACCAAATTCACTATGCTCAAAAAAATCGCACCCTACTTAGCCTCCATTGGTGTTCATAAGAATGGTACTTGGGCAGCCCAAAAAATCATCACCACTGCATGCACCGACGAACAAATCGCGATGATCTGTGAGCATATTGCTCCCTTCGTTCCTCTCTTATTACTCGATCAATTTGGCAATTACGTCGTACAATGTTGTTTACGTATGGGGCCGACTCGCAATCAATATATATTCGATGGGATCGTCGACAAGTGCTGGGAAATCGGTCAAGGCCGCTATGGTGCTCGTGCCGTTCGTGCCATACTTGAAAATGCCATTGTTACCAAGGAGCAACAGGTAAAGAAAGATCAAAGTGCTCGAATAATAAACAATGACACTGACAGCGAACGATATTTGATTTGCTACTTTTATACAGATCTATGTTGCAGCTGCTATCATGCAAAATGCCTTATTATTAACAACGAATGCCAACGGTTCCATCTTGGTTAATTGGTTACTTGATACCTCAGGATTACTTGGACAATATCGTGCCTTATGTAATCTCAGTTAGATTATATTCCCTTTTCTCTCTAATATGTAATATGTAGATGTATATTATCGTTCTTCTCAGTTTGATTTGTTCTTTTTATTCACATAGCTCATACATACACCCTCCCCGACACATACACGAAACTTAAAAGCATCCAGATGCAAACACTGTAAGTATATACTTTTTTCCCCTTCCTCGCAAGACAGAAATTCAACACCTTGTACACACATCAATAAAATAGAAACATATTCACACAATCTACTTTCCGGAGCAGTCATAAGAAACAATAATAACTCTATAATGATCTTCCTGTTTACTAAGATTGCTTTACATTATATTCTTCAATAACTCCATTAGCTTTTTTTCTATGAATAAGATCAACATATCATCTGGATTATTCAAATTTAAGCTCACGAAAAACTGCTGCTTATATTTGAGTGCTTGAAAAAATTGTATGGTAAGTTTCGGTGCGATGACAAACTTATCTGGTTTTGTTTTTTTTTTTTTTCATATATGCTTAGTACCTAAAGATCGTGCTAAATTCTTTCCTTGCTCAGCAATGCCTTTAACTATAATGGATGTTGCTGCTGCAGTACTCTAGCATTGTGCGAAATGTTTTAGACTTTAATTCAAAGTATGATTCTACTGTATAAAGCAATTTTTACCTGATTACCAAAAGGTGGCACTGCAACTGACATGTCACCTAGTTTTGCTTCATCTTTTCCTATCCATACAAAAACAGACTTGTTCATCTGTAACACCTGGAAATGGATAGGCTCTGCCACAAATTGATGAGTAGCTTGATGTATTAAGAATGTTGGCTCGGCTGTTACTGAAGTCATTGTATGAAGTGGGTTCTGAGAAAGAAGAGTGGAAAGCTACACTGTTTCAACCAAAAAAATTACGGAGTCTGACTTATACTTCACTTATGCCAACATAATTCATGTGTCATTTGCGATCAGATCTTTGTTTTATGAAGGTATTTGAAGCAATAGATAAGCAAAAAAGGTCCGATGACAAAAACAACGCTAGACATTTATTTGATTAATGCAAACTATGTCCCGGCTTTCAACTTGCTAACGTATTCAGTAATTCTAAGTGAAAAACTAACGCGATTTAGGAACGGATAACAGATCAAAAGCCAAATTTTGAGGCTATACTGGTTTATTAGCTTTCGCAAACAAACTGACAAAGATGTATATACAATAAATAATAAAAAGACAAATAAACTATAGATGTGAACTGTATTTATTCAAGAACAAATTCTAGTGAGCAATAATAAGGTTTTTAACGGCTTTTGAAGTAATCCAAAAGGACGTTCATGGCTTCGGATTCTTCTCCAAAGTCAGTAACGGCAACACAAGAGCAACCGACGACCTTACGGGCGTTACCGTCACGGTCGATCTTACAGAGACCAGCCCATTCACCAAGCTTCTTGGCATCAGAGACCTTAATCAAGTTAATGTTGTGCTCAGCACAAAGGGCTTCAACAAGCTTGGGATATTCAGGTTCAGTGACAGATTCGCAGAGAACGGCTAAGTGAGCTTGACGTCTATCATAGTTTATCCATTACCAAAGTTAAAGTGTCAATTTTTAAGAAAAAAACATCATCAAAACATTTTTTTTTGTCATCTTCCCGTTGTTAAAGGTTTTAACAAAAGTCAAACAAAAAAAAATCTCTCCTTTTTCTTCTTAAAAATCGAGAAACTTTCGAAAGTAAAGCGACAAAGCGAGAATCTTCTTCTCACTTAGTGTCTCAGCACTGTTTTTTTTTGTTCAACCTTGCTAAAAGAAAGAGCAAAATGACTTTTTTTTTTTTGTTCTAGAAGATTTGATCATCTTACCTATCCAAAGCCTTAACGGCTTCCTTTAAACCACGAGCAAGACCATCGTGAACTAAAGCACGACGAAGAACTTCTTGAAGAGCGTCTTCAACGGACATTTGACCAGAACTGGTGGTTTCAGCAGCAACTTCAACGACTTCTTCAGTGTTAATAACTTCTTCGTGATCAGACATACTATTTGTTTTCAAAAATTCAAGTAAGCGAATAAGTCAAGATGAATGGATGGATGGATTGATAGATGTTCTTTTGATGACGGATGCAATACCTTAATGGATTGGTTTAGAAGACGAGCAAAAAAGGGAAGATTCAGTTTTGTTTTTTGACAAAACATTTTTGGATGCCTCTTGTAGCTAACCGGACAATGCTGAGATAAAATAAACTTTTTTGCGGATGTTTAATCGGCCAGCTCAATTTAGAAACAAGTAATGCAAATCAAAACTTGCTTATTCCTTTAACACTTGCTGCGTAAAATATTTATGGACAATAACGACAACAATCGTAATCAACGTCGTAATAGCAATGGTGGTGCCAACAGAGTTCATGGACCTACTTCTGCTTTGAGTAGCTTCTTGAGGGTTAGCTTTTTGCCATTTGCCTTCAGATTGCATATATTGATCTAAACTGATCTATTTTTTTTTTTTTCTTAACCATTATCAAGGAACATGGTATTCGGGTACCAAACCAAAGTAGAAGGGCTAGGCGAGAGAGAGAATTGCAGGAGCAACAACAACAACAACAGGAGCAACAGGTACAAAATGAGCAGCAAGAACAACAACAGGAAGTCTCTTTAAATCGAAGGGTGACAAGAAATCGGACTGCAGCAGCAAATGGTTCAGGTACTGCGGCCACGACTACCGTTTTGTATACACCTCCATCTGTATCTTCTGCTGGTTCTTCACGTGCAATTGAAAATGAGAAGAAGAACATTAAGCATAAGGGTAAAAAGAGACTTCGAAAAGGCAACAAGAAAAACGGCAAAGGCAGCGACGACGATGATGATTACACCAGTGATGATGAGGATGATTATAATCCCCCCTCATCGTCTCGAAGAGCAATTACACCCGGTCGTGCACTTATATTGTTTTGTACTGAATGCAAGTCGCGGTTTGCTAGAAAGCTCGATGAAGATAAGACTATCACCACTTGTCCAAATTGCCGCAACGGTGACACTTCTGCTGCTAATAAGAAAAAAGCGTCGGTTGGGAGAAAAAAGAACATTCCTATTGTTCACAAACAAAAGTACTTTACGTATGTTCCATCATTGCAAGATATATGTATTGGCATCGTAGCCAAATATATTGAAGAAGTAGAAGATTTTGGTATCATAAGTGACGAAAGTGTCAATAAGTTAGCCAAGATTATCTGTCGCAACCGCAAACTGAATGATTTGACTGCAAAGCTATTTATGACCCCTCATCGAAAGCATTTAAAGTTATATGACTGTACCAATATGACAGAAGACGCTCTGCTGATGTTATCGCAATTCTGCTATCAACTGGAGCGTTTGGAGCTGATTTATTGTGGTCGTATGACGGATAAGGTGTTACTTGAGGGTTATGCAAACCGTCTACACCAACTCAAGGCAGTCAATTTCTCTGGTGCTTTTTTAGTTACAAAAGAAGCATGGATAGCTTTCTTTAAGAAAATCGGTTCGAGATTAGAATCTTTTGAATTACGCCACTCTGCTCGGTTTGATAAAGACTGTCTGAAGGCGATGGTGCAATATTGTCCCAATTTGACCTCTTTGAAGCTTGCCCATATTGGTCAACTAGATACGGATTGGTTAGCGTTGATCGGACAATTACAACAGCTGAATACGTTGGAAATTGCTTGGTTAAGTGAGGACAAATGTTTACAAACAAAGGATGTGAATGATCTGTTAGAAGCTGTGGGGGAAAATCTTACTGAGCTATCTATTCGCGGTGGGCCTGATTTGTCAGATTCTATTCTAACCGTTGGCATACTGAAGAATTGTCGTCAGCTCAAAAAATTAACGCTGGAGGGATGTGGACAGCTAACTTCTGAAGCTTTCGTAGAGTTATTCAGCAATTGGCAAGAGAACTTCAAGTTGACACATTTGAATATTGCAAGGTGCCTTTTGGTAAAAGGCGAAGCACTCAAAGCAATCATAGACCATTCTGGGAAAACTTTGGAATACCTGAACATTCATAGTTTGGAGAAGTTGACACCAGAAAGTTTAGAGTATATCGCAAGCGAGTCATTAAAGTCACTCAATTGTGGATTTGTACGTTCTATGGATGACTTTGTTTTATTGAAATTGATCAAAAATTGCCCCAAATTAAAAGATGTTCAAGTCTGGGGATGTCATGCCGTAAGTGTTTCAATAATGAAGATCTTACAGAACATTCTGTTACTCACAAATGTCCTAATATTAATAGTTAACTGAAAATGTCAATAAGTTCGACGCACGTATCACAGGCATAGAAATGTCTTTAATACAAGAAGTAGCAATGTTGAAGAATTTTTAAGCGATGCATCAAAATCTAACAGCCTTCGTGTGACCTGCGTTTAAAAATTGTTTGATTCAGGTTCAACGTTTTTCTTTTCTCTGACACCCTCTCTGCTTCCTTTTTCTTTGTTCTATTTTTATTATCATCATATTTATCTATTTATCTAGTCGTTACTACCCTTTCCTTTCCTTTTTGGTATTACGTGTCCTATCATTTTTCCTGAGCATAGCAAATGCGAAGTTTTATCGCTAAAGCATTATTATAGAAACTTATCAGTAATAAAAAAGTCATGGCTAAAAATAAACCGAAGAAATCTCCATCGACGACCAATAATTCATCACGACGCTTTTACTTTTGGCGGAAAGTACTCTCACTATCCGATCTCAATTTACCTCGTCAGCACAAGATAGCGATTGATATCCTGCGTACATTGAGTTTTATACCCTCTTTTATTGGATTTGTATATAATAGTAAGGAAGCTTTACGAGTACCTTTCCGTGATGCCGGTGGAGCTATTATATTGCAAAGTTCACAATTGGATTACGTCGTGGCAAGTATATGGGTAAGTTGAGCATTCAAAACATATCAATATATCTGTTTGTTATCAACGATCTAACTCTCTGTTCGAACAAATTTTTGAACTACATGATATAGTGCGCTTTAGCAGGTTATTGGAACTGGATTCTCACTACTAGTATGATGCGTCGTTGGATATTCCGATATGAAATGAGTAGTGCTATCGTTCGCTTGATCACATTCATTGTCATCACATGGACTATTTCTGCCTATGTCAATTCACTTAACGGGCCAGATCAACCTATTCGCACTTGGATGATCAATTGTTTCATCCTGCTCATTACTGATATCATACGACTGTCTATTATATCTTACTATCGACGATTAAAGAAGTTGAAAGACCCCAGTATTTATTTGAAATTATCTGTCATGCGGATTATACTATACCCATTATCAGCTGCAACGTGTTTATCGGTTTTTACTGTATTATACCAATTGGATAAACTGCAGTATAGAACGAGTCAACTCATGGACAATTCAGCCACATTTCTGAATAATCAATTAGATTTCACAAGAGTTTCAACATTAGCAACTATGAATGTGCTCGTATTGATCATTTCCTCTTGGTCGACTGAATCTCTACAAAGACGTAATATGCTGAGGAAAACCAGTTTGAAGCTACTTTCTCGATCTCTCGCCTCCAGTACCACAAAGAATCGAATCAATATACATTATCGATTCATCATTGGAAAAGTGCCTTCTGCAAAAGACCAATTAGTCAAATCAGAATCCATCTTGGAGGAATCAGAAATGTACGAAGATCTTTTAATGGTTTCCTCCTCTGATTTGAAAGCCGATAAAAGTAGAAAAGTTTTTGAAGCGTTCAATTGGGTAGCCTCTACACAAGAGCAGCAACGAGTGAAATTTGATTATGTGATAAAGACAGAAGATGATGTGTTTGTCAGATGGGACCAAATGATAGACGATCTATTAAATATCGAAAGCAAAGAAAACAATACCCATGACTATTACTGGAAAGGATTAAATTTCAGAAATATACCTATACAATACATGGCCAACACGAAAGAATTACAGATCAATTATGGATTACCCATCTTTCCTATCTATGCCCATAGTGTATTCTATCTTATATCAAACTCTATCCTAGAGCTCATTGTAACACAACACCAACATAAACAACATCGTCGGTTTATTCAAGATGATGGGCAGAATCTAGCTATTTGGTTGTCGTTTGGTTTCAATTTACCGCCACCTCTGCACGACAGACGGATACAAGAAAGTGAACATGTTTGTGAAAACGATTTGATTGCGAAAAGGGTACGCCAAATAAGCGACATGAAGCTTATGTATGATAATATTATTGTAAGGCATATACCACAATGTACAGATGTTGAAGTATCTGAATGCGCCGTCTGTTATCCTTGTCATGATATTCAAAAAATTACTTGGAAGACTTTAAACTTAGCATGCGATGCCCAGAAAGGCATTACTCTAAAACCCATGGCAGGTTTCAACGATCTTGCAGGGAGAAACAAAGGTGGTTAGACGACTTGATTTATTTATTTTATTTTTTTCTCTGACAATAAATAATTCATCAGCTGACAGACAGTAAAAGATAAGAAATATGAGGCTATTGCTCATTATGTAATTTCATGAGCCATTCGAATATAGACATATTGATGGTTGTCGCTGGTATTCCCCATAAAATACGCACGCCCATGCCTTGAGTGAAAGCCTTCCAACCACCCTCAAGCTGGTATAACTGCTTAGCAATTTGAAATGGGCCACCTTGATATGACTGCTCTTGAGAAGATACTTGCCAGCGCGTTTTAATAATATCAAGCGGCGTTGAAATAAGCACTCCCATGGCAGCCGCTATGGCAGAACATAGTATATAAACAGCAAATGTCTGATCTTCGGGGTTAGACCAAAATATAAATTTTAGCTTTTCGTAAACGATGAAGTAAGTAACCGAGTGAGGTAAAAAGACAGCAATTGTAATCCAGTAACCACGGTAAAACCCTACTAACCCTTCGGTTACTGCAATTGTTTTAGCTAAAGATAACGTGGTGACTCGCCTTCTATAACTGTTTGAATGAGGACTGTTGTCGAAGGAAGAATAATGATGGTGGTTGGTGTTGACGGCAGATAGCATTTGCAACTGGCTCTTAATCACTTCCATGGGCGTAAAAAAAATACCCGCGGACAACTCAGCAAAACAGCCTGAAATAGCATGATTCAACAAAGAATCTCTTTGTAACCAGGATACACTTGTTACGCCGTATTGAGAATCAAGCCAAGTCTTGATGAACTCGTAACAAGTGAGGTAAACAGTGAGAGCTGGTACAGAAAAAAGTAAAGTAATACCTATGCCATCAAATAGCGATCGGAAGGATTGCCAGCGAATGGTAGAACTGTCAGTAACTGGTACAGCTGTGGTTGTAGGTACTGGTATGTACTCTGTGTGATGTTTCTTGGTTCTAGTTTGAACTCGAGTCTTTATGGTATCAACTAGAATGAGAGTTTTATCTCTCGATTACTATATCATATGATAACAATACAAAATCATTTTTATTATAGTTTACGTGGGTATGTTATGAATCGTGCAATGAGCGCTGCAACACTTGAGGCAACCAAGTAGTAAGAGTCAATGAGCATTCTTTGTCACTTTTCTTTTGTGCGTAGAAATGAAACAAAGTGAGAAATAAAAAAAGGGGCAATGAATCAGAAACATTTCGTAACTGTTTTGGTTCTTTTTTTTTTCACTTTTGGTCTGTCCAACAACAACAATAAAGACTTAACCACCACTCACAGGTGGGATGATGGCAATCTCTGAATTAGGTATAATGATAGTCTCGGGCTCCTTTTCTTTTTCAATATAATCCAAGTTGAATGCATACATTGAGGTTGATAGTATCTCTTTCAAAGATGCACCATACTTGTCTATGAGAGTAACTGACAGATCACTCAAGGTCATGACTTTGCCTTCTTCTAAGGACATCTCTTCTGACTCCTTTTCTGTGATGTCTTTCACTCCTGCGAAATATAATATTTTAAACTTGCATATGATTCTAAGTATGCAAATTTAAACGAAAGCGAATGTTTGTAGCCATAAGTTCTGCCGTTTTACCTTGCTTGTCATGAGTAATAAAGTTGGGTACAAAGAAAAAGGAAAAGGCGTGCTGTCGGTTAAACTTGTACGCATAAATTGCTCACTTGGATTACGTGATTGGCTTATTCATCTGTGTCTATAAATTCACTGCCCACATCCAGCTTAAGGAACAAGACAACTCTTCATTTTATTTACTTTTCAACTCTACAACTTTATCAAGTATAACATACAATGCCTGTAAGTAAGATACTCTTTTTGATTCATAGTCAAGTAGTAGCAAGCATTGACATTATTTTTTATTACTATGTTCTCCCTCATCGTAACCTTTGATCGTTTTACCAGCAATACAAATTCAACGTTGAAATGAGCTGTTCTGGTTGCTCCAATGCTGTTAACCGAGCTCTAACTAGACTTGAAGGTAATCATTATACGAAAGAATATGGATGGCTTTCAGGGAATTTAATGATATGTGTATTATAGGCGTCAAGAATGTCGACATTAGTTTAGAAAAGCAAGAAGTTGTTGTTGATACTGAGCTTCCTCGCGAAACTGTCCTCGCCGCTATCAAGAAGACTGGCAAAAATGTCAAGGAAGAATAAGCTCTATTTAATATTGTTCACTATGAGCCAAACATTATTTATATCCATTTCAACTGTACCATGTACATGCATAAACATTGCAAGAGATACAATTAGCTAAAAGGAGTTCCTTTTTGAATAAAATTATATTTTATATCAATTTGCGTTCCATATGATAGTAATCTCTCCATCACCTGGGCATGATAACACACTATCTGTGGTTGCTTTGCTAGATTCCACTCCGCTGAAATATTGTTGCTGTCTTGAGGTGCTGGTATGATTTAATGCCGCTGTAGATGTTAATGTCTTGCTAGTCACTTTATTTTTATCATCAAAAGGATTGTCGTTCATTTCATCATCTTGTTGTTGCTGTTCGTGTTCTTCCACGACTTTCTCAGATGACGATGTCCTTTTAATAGAAACTTTTCTAGTGGCAGAGTTGCTATTTAAAGTATTCACTCTCATAACTTGTGGTTTAGCCCGCATTACTTGCATTGCTTGGGCAATAGTTGCTATTGTTGTAGTCGAAGTCGCTACTGCTATTGAAGAGCGATGTATCGTGCTACTGCTCATATCTGATTCGATCGACATATGTCTATTTTTGCTTATCCTGGTTGGATTATATTGGTTGGGTGCAAATTGCGTATCTGTTGACATTGTAGTTGTTGTAACAATGCTTTGTCTATCATGGAAAGGATTGGCCTGATCGTCATCATGGTTGCCATCATTTAGAATGCTTTGATGTAGTGCATTTAGGGCACTAAAACGTGATAAAGATGTTGTGGTCCTATTAGAATAGGTCATTGGAGGTATAAAAGTAACAGGAATAACACCGGACATTTGTTGCTGTCTACCGCTGCTGCTGTAGATATTGTTACTTAAACTGGTGTGTTGACTGTGTTGATACATTTCCTCTTCATCTCGTACGGTTGGTTCAGCGGTATTGTTGTTGGTAGGTTTAATCGTGGGTGGGCGAAGGTGTAGTGGCATATTGCTCTTTCTTTGGTTACGCTTTGGACGAATGAAGATCAAATAACTTAGTAGGCATAACAACGTACCTCCGCCAAGGAGCCCGCCCACAATACCACCGATGAGTGCACCATTATTAGTACTACTGACGGTAGGATCATCGTTTGTATCATCACTGCTTGCCGTACTGGAGCCATGAGTACCACTATCACCATTAGTACTGGTTATTGACTGCCCTGTAGATGACAATCCCAATGATTCTCTAGGTACGCATTTGCTTTGTGGACAAATACCACAAGTGGTCATAGTACCTACAACGCATACTTGATCTGCTGAACAACTCGATGCACAACTCGTCAAACAATTGATTGGAGAACAGCCTATAGATTGCTCAAAGTTAATTAATAAGGAGAAAGAAACACAATTATTGTAAAATAAAAAGGATCCATTTTTTTACTGTCATCTGCTTTTATTGAGGTGATTGCTACAACAAGAACGAGTGTTACAATGTATTGATAATAGAGCCAAAAAGTACTTTTCATTATTTGTACATGTATAAATAAAATTCTCTATATGAAATTGAAAAAAAAAAATGGGTTAAAAGGTGAGAAGGAGTGTATTGAGAAATGGGAGGCTGGGAGGATGGGTATTAACAACAACAGAGTGAAGAAAAAGGTGCCCCTTTTCCTCCTTCAGAATTGAGAAAAAAAGAAAAGAATGAGTGTAACCCTATTGCTTGGTTACTACTTTTGCACAGCATAGACTTGTGCCACTTACTACTATTTTCGTATCAAGATGTACTATCCTGGTGGCGCTGGAGGTTCCTGCGATTGATTGTTTCTTATAAATGCTTCCCAATCGTTCCATGTGCCGCCACTTGGTAAATCCCACAAAGGGACTTCAGACGTTAGACAAGTCGAATCGAAATGGATCGTCTGTCCTTGTGTTTGTGCCTGTGCTTGATGTGACGAAGTGAGATAGTTCAGATCAAATGGATTTCGAGGATGTTGATGTATATTTGAATTTTCAGTATGCGTAAAAGGAGTATTCAAATTGTAAGTTGTTGTGTAAGTTGATGTCGATGGATAAAACGTTGAGACAGGCGTCGGTTGCCGTTGGTAATCTGCCGCTGTCTTAGGAGTACAACTATTCGGAAGGTCGTTATTATCGTTACTATATTGTTGCCCGTTCAACCATAAGTGAGACTCATTATCTATATTTTTCTCAATTAAATAGTCGGCGTTGCTGTTATTGTACAGGGTGGTAGTAATATAATTTTGCTTGATAGTTTGTTGATCTAGACTGAAATCCATAAAGCCATCACCACTATTTGTAGTCGTTGGGAAAATATGGCCAGACATGTCTCCTATTGTATTTTCCACAGCTGTTGATGAAGTTCCATTGGATTTTGCAAACATTGATGAGGAATCAACGTTAGAAATAGTGTAGTTACTTTGTGGCAATGCTTCTTTCTCATGAAATAGTTTCGTATTCTCCTGTGCTTTTGATGGGGCTGTGGTTATATGTGGGACAAGGCTGTCAATGTAGCATGTCTTTTGTTGTTGAGAAGGGTGATTTCCTTTTGGCAATAATTTTGAGAGCAATTCGCCTTTTTCGGTTCTGGTATTTTCTGATATGGGTATATCCTTCATGGAGACATCAAAATTCTCAATTAAAAGTTGAAGTACTTTGAGAGTCATAGCTTGAGAGAGATAAGGATGTCCAAGGTATACTTTAGAGCATCTAGTTAAATATTCTCTACCTTGTTCTTTAATAACATCGTTCTCGCCTTTAGTGTTATGTAAGAATATAACCGCTGCTTGAAATAACGCGCTATAGAGGTCACAGTAAGACGACTGAGAATATTCAGACAAAAACACAAACACCATACTTACTAAATGGACATTTTCCATGGTAAAACTACCAAGCACTCGACCTCTACTGATTCTGCTATACTCAAAATATTGACTGCTGCTGCTGTACAAATACTTAATGATCTAAAAGCCAACTCTGGATTAAGAGATGAACTCTCATTTTGTCTTTTAATATACGGTCTAAAGAGTAATAATAGTATAGAGCCATATATCATATTCACGATACTGGCTGATATTTGTGCAGGATTAAGCTGTTTACTTTCATGGAGCCGATTAACATCAAATTGCAACTCAACTGGCAGTGCCGACTTCCACTGGGCCAATCTTTCGTCATAAAGATTCAACAATTCAACGTCATTATATCGATCCTCCTTGGCTTTATCAGTTAAATAGAAAGTATGAAGCACTTCTCCAAAAATCTGCGTCAGAGTCAACAAATTGGTAAATGCAATGTAAATAGGCCGTCTTTCTTTCAAAGCCGCTTGTGTTTCCAAGATTAAGGATGGTGTCGAGTCTTCAGGAAAATCTGCAATCGGCTGATAATCTAGTTCATAGGGAGACGGTAGTTGAACGTCAAACTCGTGATCTAAGATAGAAAGTGGCCGCCCTAGTTCAGCTGATACCCATCGATCCATCATGTAAGCAGCGTACCAAATACGTCTTCTAAGCTCTTTTTCATATTCCGGTATACACCACTTGCTACAATCTCGATGTAAACCTAAATCTTGAGCAGTGCGAATTGCCATACCGGTCAAAAACCAGTGGCTCGTTTGTTCATCATCCTTGCAATTGTAGCTCGCAAACATTCCAAGTATCATGAGTGCCTGAACAGTACTGATCATCGATCGCTTATGTACAATACCAAGCAAGTTAAGGGCTTTTTCTTTTATGGCATGCTGAAGTTCTGTCCATTGATCTGGTGTGAGATTTACAACATTAGACCTTTCAAAACTGTCACGAAACGCAGAGACACTGACGTGAAGTATGGCATAAAAAAGATATTTGTCGGGTGGTGAAGGGTTATGGAAATAATATTGTTCCAGAAATTGGACTTTGTTGATAAAGGGACAATATAATTGATTGTAAGTGAAGAACCTAGAAAAAGTGAAGGGAATAAAAAACAACTAAGAGGACCGCCATATGCTGTCGACCTTTGGTAAGGATCTTACATGTAAACTGTACAGTCCAAAAACTCTTGCGTTATATATGGTATATCTTTCAGATACGATATTTGACTTCTATCCTTTAATTTTCCTTTCGACACAATAGCACCAACCTCTTGTGTTTTCATAATAATGTGCTCTTCTTTATCTTTGTTCAACTTTTGAACAAACCAAGACGTGTCTTGTTGTGATCGATGCTTTCTATTCGATATCAGATACTGATCATCCAGTAAATGTACGCCTGAACTAGAGCCGATATATCGGGTCCGTTGATAATCATTAATTGTTAACTTCTTCAACTGTTGTTCCATATTGGCATAAGCACCATCAATGGTATTAGTGCTATTTTTCTCACATTCTTCCTCTGGTTCTTCGAGAAGATTAGGTGAAGACATATCTGGCGAATTATCATTTTCATCACTATCTAATGCTGTACTGTAAGGAACATCAGATGCTTGATTATTATACTTATCAAATTGTCTATAACCGTCCTCCGAAATGTCATCTTTTGGTGAAGGCTCACTTAAGCTAGCTGAAATTAGAAAACTTGAATCGCTGGCGCTACCTTTATTTTCAGTTAATGGTAGTGCAAGTAATTGCTGCTGTTGTTGATAAATAGTATCATCGGGAGTGCTGCTCTGTTTGTTATTGGATACTTTTTCTAGTAGTTTTTCCATGCGTTGTACTCTATCTTCTAATACTGCTACATAACTCCTAAGAAACAAGCTGGTATCAATGATCTGATAAACGAAGGTTTTTTAATATTAATAGATGTACCTTGGTGCAGGCCCTCTCTTTTTCTGCTCTTTCAAGAATCGGCATTCACTGTTGTTTTTCTTGCAGTTTGAACAAGGGTAATTGACGCTAGAGTCACAACGAGTCTTTTTCTGTCGGCATAGATCACAACTTCGTTTGGCTCTCCTTCTTTTTGTTCTTAGGATCTCGGTTGATCTGCTTAACGGTTGTTGTTCCGATGAGGATTCTTGTGACTGTATGGGAGCGGGCGCTATAGGTATCATATTGTTGGGAATGAAGGGGACTTAGTGTCTGTTTTGTGTTAATGGGTTGAGCATGAAGGGTGATCTGTCCAAGGAAAGTATAACGAAAGTGAATAGTCTGGCTTTCGGTTCAAATCTTCCCATTTTAACCGCATTAGGTGGGGTTCAAAAATATGTTGTCTAAATAAAAATGGATCCGAACGAAGTATCGCTTTCTCACTGATTACAGAGATACGCGTGAGTTGATTATTAAACCTGAAATGTTATTTTCTATTTGAGTGGACTCACATTCAATTTTTTTTTTTTATTTTATTTTTTTCATCTTTTGTGTTTTTCTCAAACTTCTAAGTCTTTTACCGTGCTTTTACAGCATGTGTATATTAGGCAAAAAAAGGTATTACAAAAAAATAGAAATAACGTTTCAATTGTACTGAAAGTATAGTACAATACAATACACAGATTTGCAACTTGTAATAGATATCGATCTTCGATAAACGTTGTTCGGATCCAATTCTATAAAGCCCTGCTGCTTCATTTACCCGAACGCTTACTCAAATTTTGATCTTATATGGAACTTTATGATTGCCATTGCTTTATACATGCTGAGAGATAATAAAAATAGGGCATGCGCGATCGTAACGTTACGAATTAAATAAATAAATGGTATTTTTAATGTATTTAAAAGAAGCAATGGAAAGTATTCTATTCATCAAGTGCCAGCCTTACAGAGGGTAAGATCAATTTGCCGCGTTTGCTTAGTAAGTGATCGTGTATAACATTCATAGCTGTAACTGCACAACGCTCATCGATAACACATGAGATATTGATTTCTGAAGAACCTTGCGAAATCATCTCAATATTGACTCCCGCAGAAGCCAGTGTGCTAAACATCATACCGGCAATACCAACCATGTTTTTCATCTGCTTACCAACCAAAGAAAGAATGGCAAGATTCTTGATAACATCGACCTATAAGTTATACAACGGAAGTATGTTGAGAAACTGCCAAGGATTCTAATTCTGTTCCATAAAATTCACTTACTCGACCCACTTCACGTAGATCCTTGATGACGTGATTTAGATCCTTATCCAAGTTATCTTCACCCAAAGCCATTGACACATGCACTTCTGACGTCGAAATGAGATCCACAACCACACCATATCGGTCTAATGTCGAAAAGATCTTTGCAAAGAAGCCGTGACTGACACTCTTACGATTCGAATGAACGTTAAGAACCACCACATGATCTTTGATCGTTACAGCTGTGGGGTATTTACGGGACAAATCAATGGAGTAGCCATTTTCTTCTAACACTTGAGGGGAGTGAGGGGGTGTAGCTGTGCCGTCTTTACTATGAATATCCGTGGGGAAGATAACAGTACCCTGTCCGCGAGGATTCTCGACATTTTTGATACGGATGGGGATATGCGAACGAATGACTTGCTCCATAGTAAAAGGGTGGATAACTTCTGAACCATAGTAGGTCAATTCTGAGGCTTCTTCTGGTGTGATGATAGGTAAAAGCCGGGCGGCTTTCACTTTGCGTGGATCAGCGGTGAAAATACCGTCCACTTCTTTCCAAATTTGTAATTCGTCAGCTGATAATCCTACAGCAGTCAATGCTGCACAAAGATCAGTGTAACCTCTGCCTACGGTGCTTAACAAACTACCAGGAACAATTCCAAAGTACCCTGAAGACAAATGACTGTGAATATCTATTTTTCCTCATGGACATTACCTTGCTTAGGGCTTACCAGTAAGAATTGGCACCTTATTTCCACATTGCTTAACGGCTTTAGCCATTTTTTCGGCCAGGTAATCATAAAAACTTTGATCCAATTTATCGAACTCACGGTCAACTATGTTTTCCAATGATACATATTGAGCATCCACATCCTATTACAATACAAATTAAATACTGAGATTCTAGCCACTTCAGTCAGACTACTGTGTAAATTATTACCCTATCCTGCAAGACTGCAGCGACAATTCTACATGACAGTTTCTCTCCTACACCGATAATGATATCTTTCGATCGAGGCGATATTTCATTGATAATTTGTGCTGCTTCCAAAAATGATTTCAATTTATCACACTCATATTTGATGTGCATTTCCAATTCCTTTCGAATATCGTCGTTTTTGATCATGTCTCTGGCAACAGCAAGGTGATCTTCTAATAAGTCTGATATAATGCTAAGATATTCAGTGGATCCAGGTTTCAAAGCATCATTGGCGGCTCGAATCAATCTGTTAGTAGTGCCAGTTTGTTTATCCTTTCCGCTACGAGCTGAGCAAACCACAACAAGGCGGTTATGCTTAACATACTCTCTGGTTTTTGAAATGTGCAGAACAGTAAAAAGGTTAGAGTGTTTTCACGACTAAAAGTATATATGCTCGAAGATAGGAGGAATTAATTACTTTATAACTTCGTTGGCAATATTGTCTAGAAACTTTCCAACACTTGTGCCACCGAATTTTTGAACGACCCATGGTAACTCAGCGTTATTGCTGTACTGAAACGAACGCACCATTTTTAATGCAGTTTTTGATAGTCGAAAAGTAGAGTTATGTAGTAGCGAAAGAAAGAAACGCTGACCTACTTTGTACCTATTTTACATTGAAGAAGGGTAAAAAAAAAAAAAAAAAGGGAAAAAAAAATGAGTCAAATTGACATGAATTTAACCAATTACAAGCTTTGTCAGTATAATCCCGCAGAGGGAAAGAAATGGAAAGGGAGGCCTTCATATTAAAAACCTAATAGATCCCCTCTGTTTAATCACCGAACTTTGAAAATACAGTTTTGTTTCTTCAAAGTTATTCTCCCCATTATGGAAGTATTTAATAAGGCCAGTAAGTAACACTCATTTTTAATTCATTGATTTACTGATGACATCAAACCCTCAGGTTTATAGCCGACTGCCACAACGGACAAAAGGATTCAACCGAGAAACCGCATAAACGGAAAATTTTCCCGTCATTAGGTAATGCGTTGTCTTACGTAATATGCAGTACCATGTAATTAAGGTGGTAATTTAAAAGGTTCAGTCTATTTACAAGTGGATGTGGAAAGGGTCAAACGCTGAATTACGTAATATGGTATTGTGTATGCAGGGAAGGTCGCTGGATAGTACTTCCATGTAGATGTATTATTGCTTAGCTTGCTTACTTTTCAGCTCCTTATAGAGTGGTAGCATTTTTTCTTCTTTCCAGTCAGCCCAAATTTCATAAATTGCAAGTATCTCTTGGCTAATCTCGACAATACTGGTCATATCTACGTTCAAATCAGCAAACCATTGCTTCATATCACGTTGATCTCCTGTAGATCCTGGCGCAAAATCAGCATGGTTTAAAGCAACAGTTAAATAAATAGCGGCTAATGCAATGAGGTGAGGTGGGTATAATAAACAGACATCGGTTCGGTAGGAATCGTTGACAATGAACCAAGCATATTGAATGCCGGACTCTCGCATGCCTAATTCATTGCATATCTGAGTTATAGAACGATATGGATGCCAAACAATCAAACAAAACTCAAGCTCTTCCAACAAGTAAAACTCGAATTCTGCCACTCTGGAAGCATCGTATGGAAATCCGCCAAAATCGGCTGTTGTTGAATGAGAAGGGCGGATAAGTTTCTAGACAAATAGGTAAGTCTATAACGTAGATTATGTACCTTGAAATACTGTTTTCGCTTCTTGAGTTATAATTTTTATATGGACTGGACATTCTTCGATTTTACTTGCTAAATACACGCATGTCACCAATACCAGCACTGGATCTGTTTCTCTAAGACTATTGCTTTATATTTAGAGTCAGTATGTTACTTACTTGCAGGCTTTTGGTGAGATTATATTGCTCGTTACAAGACTACATTACTTTACGTAAAATCGTTTGAAATAAACGAAAGCCGTTGCGACAATTTGCTGTCTTAATTGCAAACGTTTTGAAAGCTTTTGAATTACTAGCGATTAACATAATGTAAAAGCCCGATGAGCAACTTTTTTACGGTATAATGTTTTTGTAGCAAGAATAAAGGCTTTACAGTGGCAGAACCATATTTTCAGTTTAACGTAATCATTTATTGGGACGTGTTCCAAATCTTCCTCCCTACTTTTTGCTAATGTCCAACGATCAATTGTCCAGTGATTCCTATATATCATCAGCTTTTGGTAAGTTCTCACTCTCGTATTGCAAAACGTAATGAGACTTTTTACTTCTGTGTTGAGGCCCAATAATTGGCTGCCATGTAAAATCCTACAGTACTATGAGAAAGAAGTTGGATAAATTCTCTTTGCTGATTACTCTCTGCTTTTAGCGGGGTATAAAAGTTGACTACTGCACTGAGATATGCTCCAGTATGACGTTTTACAAAGACTTCAGTCTTTTGAAGACAAAAGACTGCACCACTCATGGTTAATTAATTTATCTACGAATACCATATGTTCAGAAAGTCTCAAATTTAAAGCATTGCATTGTCTACTAGATTATAATATTCATTATTCCTTGGTGAAGAGGCTTTAATATGCTTTCCTCTACTCTAAATAACAGTGGTAATTGAATCGACAATTTCTATACACGTGTTATGCTAGGTTAGGAAACTGGAAGAAAAAGGAGTTATGTTTTAGCATTTATATACCTTCTAAACACCAAGATTACTGTCTAGTAATGTGTTATTCAGGCTGCGAGAATTCGAAATAACTTTTCTTGCCAAAATACTGCTTCTCCTGGTTTACTTTGCTGATACTCGTGTCTCCAGCATTTTCTGGGAAGTTAGGCTTGATGAACTAAGAAGATCTCAGTTCACTATGAAGAAGAGTAAATGAAATTTTCTCTTCATGAATGACTTTATATGAAACATTCATATTGAAAATCAAAAGTCTCAGCAGTGTAGTGTAGTATGTTGTTTGTGATGCTATAGGTTAAAACTTTTGCTACATCATAAAGAATTTGGTCACCACTGCTAATAAATAAACAAACAGAATTGCTATTAACAAACAAAAATTAGAATTCATGCGCCTAACTTAAAAGTATAATCTTCGGGGAAAAGGTTATTGACGGTAGCATTCAACCATCAAATCATAATAATAATATGCATAGCTAGTAGTTCCACTGGTATTGTTTTTGGTTAGGACTTCTTCTCCTTAATTGTTGTTGTCTGTACGCCGAACAACATATTCATCATATATAGCTTCACATATGTTTGCTAGTTGATTAAGGAAATCAGCCTTCTTTTTGAAAATGGAATCATTGAAAGTATCCTAATAAGGCTCTGTCTCAATAACTTGTTCCGAGAAAAAAAGCACAGAATCAACAGACAGAGAGAAAATAACTCCTTAAAGCGAGCCCCTAAGTGAGTATTCTTTTTTCTAACTGTGTTTGTCAATAATGTCATTATGCTTTTCTTTCTTATTTCTATCACTTTCATCTTCTGCAGTGAATATACATAACCTTCTGTCTACCAAAGAATACACTCTTATTACGATTTCATGATTGCCTTGCAATCATCCAAATCAGCAACTCTTAGTGCTACAGCCTCAACTAGCAAAGCTCATCCTATCCGTCCTATGTCACCACACCTCCAACATTATTCTATTATATCGCCCTCTTCTACAGCTAATAAGCCTCTAGTACCTACCAAATCGAGTGCATTCAATATACAGCGGCGCTGTAGTTCTTCATCCGAAACCAACACTAGGCGTGGCTCTGTAAAAGCTCTTACCACGCAACGGTCTTTCCCTCACTTACCAAACAAAAAATCCTGGAAACGTCGTGGTTCTGATACTTCAAACAAGACGAGCGCATCCTCCACAGCAACTTATATCAATACCGCTGCTTCCGATAGCGATCTAACCCTCGAACTTATGGTGGATAAGAAATGTACAACACAATCTGCTACTATTATAATGGATTCCTCTCCTGCTATTGTGCCCTTGACAATACTTCCTGCTGGTGACCTTATCCATTATGCTAGTCGAAAGCGTAACAAAGACTTCCATTCGCTTTTCGAAGGGCTGTCTGATGACGAAAGACTTATAGATGGTACGTTATCGGAACAGTTATGCCGAGTTTTTAAACTGCAAAGTTATAAATGCTTCTAAATTGATTCGCATTATCCGTACTGACAATTATTAGATTATGGTTGTGCTCTTCAAAGAGAAATTCTTGCTCAGGGTAAAATGTATATTTCCGAAGATCACTTGTGCTTCTATGCAAATATTTTTGGTTGGATCACAAATGTAATGTGTACTAAATTTTCCTTACAACTACTTTATTTTTCCTAGTCTAACTTTATTTTTGGCTTTCTCGTAGTTGGTTATTGACTTCAGGGATATAGAGTTGATCGAGAAAAGATCCACTGCTATTATTGTACCAAATGCCATATGCATTACAGTAGGTTCAACCAAATACTTTTTTGGATCTTTTATTTCTCGTGATCAAGCGTACGATTTACTGGTTGAATTATGGAACAATGCCCAAATGAAATGCAACACTACAAATGCATTAAGAACAGTCAGCCACTGTAACAAAGTGGGAAATGCTATAGGTCCAACAGACAGCGCTATGGATGGTACGAGTGAAACTATAGGTGACGACGAAAGCGGTTATACGTCTTCCTTTGATTGTTCAGACTGCTCAGATCATGAGCTTGATGAACATGAACACCTTATCGTTCGTAATAATGGTAAACTTATATGTCGGATACAATATGTATACTGTCCTTTCATGCTCATGTCTCTTTTTGCTTCTTCCTTAAGCGAAAATAATTGATCAGAATTCAGTATCATCTTTGAAAACAACAGAAAACCAAATTTCGCTGGATATGACGATGACAATAAATGATGCCACTACTCGATGCCACGCTCTTTCAGAAACTGGCGCGAGAGACATCAATATGAAAGAGGATCATAAAACGACCATTGAAAAGTTATCCCCTGAAACAACAAAATGTAATGACATGATGACAACTGCAAAGTCAGCATCCTCAACGGATATTACGACTACCAATGCTACTGCTGAAAAAACAACAGCTTCAGCAAAAGCAATGAGTGATAGCGCCTTAAACAAAACCAGCACGTCTACCCATCAGATCAAGAGTATCACCGAATGTGAATGTAGCATCAAGAATGAACATTTTCCTATTGTTGTGTTGGACAGCAAATATAAAACTGACTTGAGAACAATCTATGAGCTACTTTTTGTCACTGATTTCATGGAAATCTTCCTTAATAATGATCAAAAGCTTTCTGGTAAGGCCTCAAAAACAAAAACCCGAATCGTGAACAAATACTTGTTACTGATATTTCAAAACTGAACAAACAGATGTTAGTATTGGCGCTTGGAGTATTGAGAACAATAACTGTCGGGAACGTCAAACAAGCTATGTCAAACCACTCAACAACGCTCTTGGTCCTAAACAAACCAGATGCATATTAACGGAACAAATTCAGCATGAGGACACCACCGATTATATCACTCATCTGTCAGTATGCCGAACGCCCGATGTACCTTCTGGCGGATCATTTCTAATTAAGACTCGCACATGTATTTCATGGTGCGCCCAAGGGCAAGTACGTGTGCTGGTCACCGTAAGTGTAGAATTTACCAAAACATGTTGGATAAAAGGTAAAGTATAATTAGAGAAACCTATTTATGTTACCTTGGATATATATACGATTTTTTATTTTGAGAAATTCTTATCTACCATTATAGGTACGATTGAGAAGGCATCGATCGAAGGCCAACAGAAGTTTTATACGGAATTGGATATCGCACTTCAAGAACATCTTTCACGGCTGGCTAAAACAGAACAACAGCAACCAGGGCAGCAAGCTGCTGTAATAGGAAAACGAAAAAGCGCTCGGCACCGTCAAAAGCGGAGGCATTTAGACGCAAATAGTACCCATCAACAGCAACTGCCGATAAGATCCCCTTCTACCAAACGCCTATCTTTTAAGTTAGCTGCTGTCAAACAACCAAAAGAATTTGTCGTCGGCCACACAGTATCCAGAATTGTCAACTGGTTTCTCAACAAAGAATTTACTATCCCTCATCAATTTTATGTGGTTATTCTTCTGATGATCGTGCTCTGTCAAATATATACAGGCATGATAATGGCATCTTTGAATAATCAAATAGACCGTAGATGTAATGCTTTCCAAATGCCTGGTGCTGCCCGTTCTGTACGATTCTCTCCTTTATTTGCTGAGCAAGACTGAATTGTATTCAGCAAATATATTAAGAGAACTGAAAAAGGGTTTCTTGTGTATAGATCATGTATCAAATAAACTTTTGCTCTTTCTCATTTAAAGACAACTAATTTGCTAAGATCAACTACACTATTGAATTCTTGCAGTAAGGCGAGTGAACTGGGGTAAAAGTATCCACTGATTGTTTTTGCTACTTGAATCAAATATCGAAGAATTCATGACTTTTGTACATGTTAATACAATGGTGAATCACCATGATAAATTTTATCTGAATCATATTTGAATGATCTAATTACTTTTTGCATTACTTACTCTGGCTACTTGTAGTTACAGTTCAAAAAATATAGTATTATTGTTATCCACATATATTTTATTGAGATAACTTGTTAGTAAATAGCAAAAAGAGTAAATGATCGTCTATAGATATTAAGTGGTGTATGGTTAACAGTTAGTAGTAAAAGAGTAAATGCTTCGAAATGAAGAACACAAGGATGAATTATCTACAGAAACTGTGCTAAATCACTGTTGGCAATATTTAATGCCGGTGACTGAACGTTGATTGCGCGTAAAAGTTCAACCAATTCAGCACGCGTACTATCTTCAATTTGATCTTCATTGATCAATACATGATGAAAGATAGGTAACAGGTTTGGCACCTGACTATGGATCTGTAATAAAAAGACACAAACTGTTAGTAGTATTCTATGAACCATTGACGTATGAACGATTGACGTCAGGGAAGAACTTACATAAGCATTATTAGCTCGGAAGAGCGAAAATAAACAATTGAAAACTGGTTCGTTCTCTGCAAAATCAGCTTTTAACGGTAACACGCTTAAAAATACGGGCAAGACTTGATCTAATGGAATAGCATTGGGATGTGCCATGATCAATCGAGCGACGGCACCTGTAGCATTATCTGTCACTGTAGGTACAGGTTGATTTTGGAAAAGAGGATGTAGTGCGGTAAAGATGGTGGCATAATGGGAACTGAGGTCAACCTGAGAATTGACAGCGAGATAACCTAATGCATACGCCGCATTACTTCTGACGGCCGCATCGTCGTCTGCACAAGCTTTTAAGAAGGTTTGTAAAAGCCGTTCCGTATGGGGTGTTACAGCTGCTTTTATACCCATGATACATTCCCCTAAACAACCAATAGCCATAGCACGCTCCGTTGGTGTCTTTGATTTTTTATAGTACTTTGCGATTAATGGCATAAATACATCAAAGTAAGATGAATAGCTTTCTCCAACGGTGACGCAAATGGTGGCGACAAGGTCGCTGGTAGCTCCAATAAGTAACGATTCAGACTCGGCTTCTTCTTCATCATCTAAACAGTCGTCCTCATCATAGTTCTGCTGACAGATGGATTTCTTCTCAAAAATGTCCAAGATATTGCGAGAAATTTCCTCAAGATGGTCGGCAACGATGCTAGGGCCCATTAATTTAAGTGAATGCGTCAGCTCCTGACAAATTTGGACAACCACCATCTTCTCATCTTCGTCTTTCCACATTGCCAAAATTGTAGGAATAATAACTGCGGTCATATTTTGAACATTTTCATGCACAGGGTAGCTGATTGGTAAGCCTGCTTTCCAATCCTCCATTCCCGACATGATATAAAACGTCTTGAGAAAGCTGAACAGGCTACCCACGACAGCCTTTCTGACACCATCGATTACATGTAAAGACAACTCTGTCAAATCTTGAACAGCTTCTGGCACATATGGTAAAAATTGAGATCGTGTGTTTTCAAAAATTTCGCCAAGGGCGTCAGCTGCAAATTCTTTTTCATCAGCAATAGCAGAGTTATAACCGTAAGCGTTATCATCATCGTCATCAAAACTATCATCACCCAAAGTCAAGTCTATTTCGCCAGTTACATTAGTGTCATCTCTTTCTTCGGCTTTGCAAGAGGCGAATATATAGGGCATGATGGTGGGGAGATAAGCTGCAAAGTCTTCGCTAAAGACATTGGCCATAATGGAAAAGAAGGCATAGGAGCATTCGCGTAAACGAGGAGAATCCAAATTAAGTTGCTCAATAGCCAAAGTCATGAGTTCTTGAGCAAAAGGCTTAAATTTTTCGGCACCTACAGCTTCAGCAATAGCACCAGCAGAGTCTGTAGCTACACCGCGTAGTAATGCCTCGTCTGTACTTTCTTTCAATGACATTAAATGGCGAATACGAGGCATGACGCTGTTGAAGTAAGGCTCAAATGATTCTCCTGCAGCATGGGCAGCACTGCCAATAGCTGCTATTACTGTAGCTTTAGTTTCTGTTTGGGGTGCATTATCCAAAAGAAATAGTAATTTTTCCATCAACAAGGGTAGGTATTGTAATACTTCATCGCCCAAACCGTCCAAAATAGCGTCTAGAGCATTGCATGCATGTTTTGTTACTTCCAAGTTTGTGTCATTCATCAAATTGAAGACAAGTGGCAGTAAAATTTGGTGATTCTCGGAAATATCGCTGGGCATCTCTTCAGCGAGACAGCCTAATGCCATACAAGCAGCGCGACGAACAATAATGTCCGGATCCTGTAAGCCTGTGCAAACTAGCGGTAGCAGCTCGTTTAATTTAGGGCTCATGAAATCAGCACATCCTTCAATGATAACGGCGAAAGACATCATGGCTGCTTTTCGATAATTGGGGTCGGGGTTTTGCATGTACGTTAATACCAATGGCATGACAACAGGAAAAACTTGCTGAGGCGGTAAGTTTGTTGAGAGTGCGTTCAAAACTTTAAAGGCAAGCTATATATGAAAACAACGCGAAAATAGATTATGTTAGAAGAGTTCGCATCAAATCGTATTGTAGTACATACACGCGAGGGAGAATCTTCATCAACATCCTCGGGATCTTCTTCAGTACCAATGGGCATCAAGCCTTCAACCAAGAAACCTACAAGCTTTAGGCTTCTGATCTTATTCTGTTTGCTAAAAAAGGGCTTAATTTCCAGCTAGCCTTCTCGATTAAAAATTCTCTCTCTCTCTCTCTCTCTGCAAACTTACTATACGGCTGCCCACATAAGGAAGGATAAAGCCATAACACGAAGGGCATCATCCAAGTCATGATTCACTCCAATACTTAAGAAATGTCTAATCAAATCAGCCAAATGATTGGATAATAAGGGAGCTTCCTAAAAGATGAATATTGGCAGTGAATACCTTGTTTCGTATAGCACGGTTGTGGCGATATTGAATCACTCATCCCTTAATTCAGTCTTACCAACATTAGCAAGGTGTCGAATACTTCGAAAATTTCACTCGCGCTTTCTTCGTCTTCTTCCGTCAAACACTGCTCTAAAATATTGACCATACCAGGGATCATGGTTCTAAATAATCTCTAAATGCATAAAATGACACAATGCAGAAATTATATTAGCGGGTTGAGTTCAGGTTGTACATAATGCCGGTCGTATATAAAATATGTATGTTTGAGCGGACCGTACAATGTTTTCTTTATCATCGGCTTCAATAAACTCTGCTAACTTGCCCAATGTCCTATCCGATGTTGAAAAGAATTAGGGGTTCTATATCAGTCCAATTCCTCCTTTCGATATTGCTCGTTGTTCACTGGCGTAATTTACAGGACTGTAGTCACTCTGACTCTTTTACTTTGAGGATCCGCAATACCCTTCATAAATACTTCAAATAATGGCCCAGTATGATCCATGAAAAAATCTGCAATGACTTCAAACAGCGTGTATAAACAATAAAAGCCTACTTCACGATGAATGTCTGTACTACTATTACAGGCATCATTTAGAAAGCCCAAAAGCTCTGGCCATTGTCCTTCGGGAACATCAATACGAGCAATAGAAGAAATAACTCGAGCAGTAGAATGGCGAACAATTTCACTGTCATTAGGGGGAAGGGAAGGTATCAAAATTTTGAAAAGGTTGCATATCGCTACTTTTGTCGATCAAGTTCTTCTTCTTCAACTTACTGTTGTTCATTCAGTGCATGTTGCAGTAGTTGGCTACGCAAAGCGGCTTTTACATCTGTAGGGAGCTCTTGCCATTTTTTTGATATACGTTTTCTAACCTCAACGGCAGCTAGTTGACGAACGGGATGGTGTGGTGAACGACTAATAATTTGAACAAGTGCAGGAATACAATCGGCGGATACGTAAAACTGTGTATTTAAAGTTGACGTAGCCTATTCGGTGTCATAGTATCACAAATATTTAGTTGTCCGTTCCGTACAGAAATGTCATTATTTGGTATAGGGAAGAGAACATGTATCATATTTACAAGCTTAATAGTGTTCGAGTCTTGAGCTGTGGCTAGCTTATTTAAAAGCTCTTCCAGTCCCGTAACAAATTGCTATGGAAATACAAGAATTATTTTGAACACGCAACCTACTTTACTATATTCGAATGCTTTTCCTTCTTACCTCCATAGTGTGGGCTAAAGAAGCTGATGAAAAAGAAAAGAAGTCCAGCAATAAAGGGCATCACAAACTTTTTTTTTTTTTTACTTTTTGTTTGTGCAGTGTTTTGCATTTTAACGACCTGAAAATGAAATAAAAGTGACTTCTGCTTTCGGTTTGTGAAATTGCCATACAACAGTGCCAAAATGTACTGAGCAATCTGGTAAGATTCTTTCCGAGACGTCACCCGGACTTTAAGTTTCCTTTTGTTGCTGCTTGATTTTTTTAATCTCGACACGCGTTCTCTGCAAATACGCATTTTCGGAAACTACAACTTTCTTTTACTCCTTCATCTTATTCACAGCTATTCTCTATAAATATCAATGGCTGACCGTTACAGTTTCTCTCTTACAACCTTCTCCTCATCGGGAAAACTTGTTCAAATCGAATATGCCTTGAATGCTGTATCTCAAGGTGTTACAAGTGTTGGCATCAAAGGTACATTTAACCTCTGAACAATTGAAAAGCAACAGCAATACCATCTTCGAAATTAACTTTGAGCTTTTTATCTTCCTTTTTTTTTTAAAAAAAAAAATGGACTTTCTCGCCAATGTTGTAAATAGCTACCAATGGTATTGTCATTGCAACAGAAAAGAAATCAGCTTCCACACTCGTTGATGATTCAACACTTGAGAAAGTAGCAACCATCAGTGCCAACATCGGTATGGTTTATTCCGGAATGGGTCCTGACTTTCGTGTCTTAGTTGCTGCTGCACGTAAAGCAGCACAAGCATATAAAAGAGTTTACATGGAAGAACCACCAGTGCGTATACTTGTACAAGAAGTGGCTAGTATCATGCAAGAATATACTCAGAGCGGGTAAGTGGCAATAGAAAGCAATATGCAATTAATTTTTTTTTTTTGTAATTACAATTCTTATTTCTGAACATTTTCATTTTAGTGGTGTGCGTCCGTTTGGTGTATCTGTTTTAATTGCAGGTTATGATGAAATCAATGGACCTTCACTTTATCAAGTAGACCCTTCCGGTTCTTATTTTGCTTGGAAGGCTAGTGCGATTGGTAAAAATATGATTAATGCAAAGACATTCTTAGAGAAGAGGTAAAACATGGCACAGCCGAACTACGATTGAGATACGAGCATTTATTAAGTGAACAATGAAACTATAGATACAACGAAGAAATGGAATTAGAAGATGCAGTACACACAGCAATTTTAACAGTAAGATTTTGATTCTGCTTCTACAATTTATTATACCCAAAGCTAACGAACTTGTGTTTTCTTCTTTCGACAAAACAAAAAAAAAGCTTAAAGAGGGATTCGAAGGACAAATGACAGAAAATAGTTTGGAAATTGGTATTATTGGAACAAGCACCGTTGGTGTTTATGGTGGTGAAAGAAAGGAGATTCCATTATTTAAGAAATTAAGTTTGAGTGAAGTCAAAGATTATTTGGCAAATATCGCTTAAAATGTTAATCAACAATAGCCAATTTGCTTGGGAACAATAAAATATATCACTTTATAAGACAGGGACAGAATGGTAATACGTATGAATGAGGATATATTCGGTTGTAAAGTTTATATTATCTACCAAATGGAACAATTTTAGACAATCAAAAAGTGAGCCCGTATAGAGCTTAGATCTGTTGTAAAACCGAATACGCCAAAATATCGAATTTACATATTTGAAAAATATAATGAAAATTCTGAAATATTGTACACAAATTTGAAGTATGCCCGAAACAGTGAGATTTGAACATTTGGCCCTTTTTTGCGTAATAAATCAAAGCTTACACTTTATTGGATAGTTGTTCGGTCGCTCATACTCGCTCAAACTTCGGTTGATCATCAACTGTTTGAAAAAGGTAAGTTATTCGACACTTTCCTCTTCTGTATGTTGCTTAGTATGATCTCCGTTTCCAACGTAATTCTCTGGATCAAGTCCTTCACTAATATTACGCGGTGGTTGACTACATTGATACTCGTCATCGTTATACTACTGTTGCTTTTCTGAGTGCTAAGACTGCTTCTGATACTATCGATACACGCGTTATTTGGCGTGCTTTTACTAACTCTTCCTATTTTTCTGACTGTTCTTGCTCCATTTTTATGATATATCTATTTTGATGTTGCTCATGTTTTGATGTTGATTTTTAATTACTTACACATTGTTCCCTTCTGCTACTGCTGTTGGGAAGGAACAACACAATCATTGTGGATGATACGCTTTTATGGCAGAGAAACGAAAATCCATCGTTCCTTCAATACAACCAATATGATTGAGACGTTTACGTACGGTCTCAATATTATTCAGATACCATTACCTCATATATGAGGTGATACTAAGTTGTGTATCAAAGGTTTGATTTAATAGAAGGAAGAAGAATCGTATTTTGTGCTATATAGTTTTGAGACTAGAAAAGAATTTTTATTAGTGATTCGAATGGCCCCAATAGTTTGAATTATAACAAGTAACCAACGTGTGTCTGAATAAACCTTTCTAATGTACAAAATAAGTATTAAAAAAGTCTCAAAAGCGAATAACTTAGGTATGGTGTAGCATAAAAGGTCGCCAACATGTGTACAATTCTTTCCAATAACGGCGAAAGTGTACTAATTTTGTAGAATTGGCTACGGACAAAAAATGGACTATGTTTTTAAGATCTCGCTTAATACTAAAGACGTTTTGTGTATTAATTGGAACGGTTGTATCTTTCGTTGACTGTTTTTGTATCTTTTGACGACGAAAGAATTCGTCATACCTGTCCTGTTAGGGGTTGGGGTTTTTTTTTGTTTTCGTATGATTGAGTACAAAACGGCTAATTTGAAATCTGCATTATAAGCCGACTTTCTTGCGATTAAATCATTGTCTAGTATCGCACATTTATAGCAAAAGGTGTTTATTGAAAGACATTAAGTGTTAATCTACAACAGTGTTATGAACATGCTTCAATGCAGCACATTCACGAATTGTTTGACCTTCTGTGAGAACAAAATGAAAATTCAAAGTCCGAAAAGGTTTAATCCTTTATTGTTAGCGCGATTTTTGTACAATCGTTATCTGGGGGCTTCCTATTTTTTTATTTTTCTTTCACTATCCTTTTCCTAGCTTCACTTTTTATTGAATATACAGGTTCAGAACTATTACAGAATAAGGTAAGCCAGCTTCTTTCAGCTTTCAAGAGCAATACAGGCTTCTTGATAGTAGCTAATGTTCTTTTCTCTTCAACCTTGGTTCCTTTTCTTCATTTTTTCGTTGCCAGTTTATAGCGCCGCCTCTTTTTTTTTCGTTTCTATTCCAAGTGCCAAATTCACCACAGTCTTGTGAGAAAGACTGGAATGCAGACTGTACAGCCTTATTCTGCCTACTCTGAAACAGTAATCAATTCTAAAAATAAAGTGATGTCTACAGGAGCTACAGCAGCAGCAACATCAGCCTCGCCAGCTTCAGAGAATCTAGCCAACGCCTTAGTAGCAGCCACTACGGCTTCTGCAACATCAGTTATATCTGCCGCAACAACCATGGTGAATAACGATATCTCTAATAGTAATGGAGCGGATTTTCAACAACAAGAGCAAGCGCATTCAAAAGCGTCTTCTAACGAGAGGAAGATGATGGCTAAGAAGCGAAATCAAGTTAAAAATGCTTGCAGTAAGTAAACAGTCTCTTCTTTAATACACGCATATTGTTTTTTTTGGGGGCGGGGGCGGGTTTCAACTGAAATCAGAAGAAAGAAGGTTTACATGCCTGACTTCTTATTTAGCAGGCAAAGCAGTTGAATCACCCTGAATTAAATTATAAAATTTACTGATGTATCAATTTAACATTAATTTTTATTCAATATAATGTATATTGTATATACAGCTAATTGCCAAAAAGCCTGTAAGAAATGTGCTGACGAAAGACCTTGTCCTCGCTGCATCAAACTTGATCTTGCAGCAACGTGCGTTAACTCCATTCGTAAAGAACGTCAAAGGGGCATTAAACGTGGTCCCTACAAGAGAAAAAATAAGACAGCGATAAATGAAGGTAAGCATACATTATATTGTTAAAGACTGATGATAAATTGATGAAGAATATAAGACTAAATGGCTTATACCTTGTTAGAGGAAGGAAGACCAGATATTCAAAGCAACAAAGTTTCACCTGTACCTATCGTGCCAGTAATCGCCACATCGACGACTGAGGAAAGCACACTAAAAAATGATAATAATACCGAAGTTAACAATCCGATTATCTCTTCAGCATCTACCACTAACAACAGCAGTATCGATTATGGATATCCTCCACAATTGAGTCAATACCCGCAAGGTTATCATTCTCTCTATTATAACATTAACCTGACAGCCACCACCAAAGTAGAAAAAAGTGAGCAAAAGGATGATGGTAGTCATATTATGACCGTTCCATATATTTTACCCAATAATTATTCTGATTATCCTGCTCCTATAGTTGTGAACAATAAGACCGAGACAGCGACTGCAACCAAGTTGGACAATAGTACAAAACATGACGAGGAGAACATCCAGTCCACTATTGTTGACACGGCAGAAGAAATGTCACGAAAGATAGAGCAATTTGCACGCTTATCTGAACTCTGTAGTGCTGCTCTCCGTGAGAAGGAACAAGAAAAGAAACAGAAACAAGAGATATCAGAAAGTGAGGGTGTTCCTGTGAAACAAGAGGAGTGAACTCATCCAAAGGCCATGAGGTAATGGTATGTTACAGCCTAACATAGCTTTCATCTTGACGTATTTGACAGTACGTACGAATATCCAAAATATTTCTTTTACGTTTTCTTTTATTCTACATCGTTTATATATACAATAAACTGCTACTAGCGCATTTTAATTCTCTTTCGTTCTATATGTGAAAGGAGCCGAACATTTAATACTAGATGTGTTTCTATCTAATATTTACCAGTCATTGGACTGAAACATGCGCATAGAAAGCTCATATACAGTAAACGTAGCGCCTGCTGCAGGTACAGATCTCAATACAGTAGGAGCATAACCGCGGAAAAGTCCCCTCATACCATCAACGGCATAAATATGCTTCATCACTTGTGATATGTACAATCCTTTGGGCGGATTTGGTTGGTTTTGAACCTAATGGAGGAGAAAGGTCATGTCAGATCCAGTCGAATCTTGTCAGTACATCATGCTCTGCTAATCTCTGTCACTTACTACTGACTTGACCACATCCAAAGGATAACAACATGTCCAATAAGCAATTCCTCCCACGGCTCCTGAAATCATTAATTGCAATACATTGGCTTCGTTTCCTTTAGTTAATGTTCGCTTAGTGAACTCGAACCCTGAGTAAAAGCCAGCATAAGCAGGAATTTCACGAATCATCGTCGCCCAGAGACCTCTAAATAAACCATGTGAAATACCATCTTTCTTGATTAAGTATTTTGCACAGTCGATAGGCCCCGTGAAGTAACGCTGTGATGGCAACTTTGATCCTTCGGTTGTTGTTGCTGCTGCTGCTGCTGATCCAAATTGTGCTTGCATTTTGATCTTTAATAATTCTACAGGAGCAGCCAAAACACTATTCACAATGCCTGCGCCAGCGCCTGCCAAAGCAATTTTATCTAAAGATAGCACTTCAGCAGGATGTGATTGAAGCATGCCTTTGAATTTTGAATTGGCTGCAAATAGCAGTGCATTGACAGCACCAATACCTATCAATGGACTAGCCATACCTTTTTTCTTTTTTTTTAGAACACGTTTCGTTTATCACACAGAATCTTCAATGAGCTTTCTGCTGTTTAGTAATTTTTATGCTACAAATTTTACCTTTATATAAAGCAAAAAAACCTTCCTTTTGAACGGTTTGAACAGTACAATCCCAGGCACCTTTGAATTTGCCTTGATCCAGTTGAAGTCTGACTTTAATTGTATCTAAAGGCTGACCGACCAAGACCTGTGACATACCACCTAAGCTTTTTTGCATATCATTTCGTAAATCAAAAACAGTAAGCTATTCAAATATACTATTTTTTGCTCCTTCTACAGATATAACTTGCGGCGAACTCACTTTCCAGAAACGAAATCGGCAACAGCTGACCCTTGTTTATTTGACATCTCTCGCTTTGTCTATTTTTGACAGATGTATATAATGATATAAAAAAGATGGGTTATATTGTGGGAGGGATATAAATTTTATTATTAAATACAGAGAGAAGAAAAATCAGCAATGATTGTATAGAACTGAAAGTTAAAATTGAAGACGGATTTCCTTTCTTTTTGGGCTTCCCCACACTGACTTGCAACAAATCCTTCAGCGTCGCCGCTTTAAAAAGTATGATGTTAAGCTACACACATTCCGCTCGTTGATAACAAAGTCGCAGCCAGGATCCAAACAACATGTAGCAATAATAAGATAAAACTAGGTGAACTAGATTCGCACCAGAAATCAAGTGTAGCAAAAAATATCGTAGGATATAATATCAGTGGGTTGGCTGAATATGGTGAACAAGGATACGTACAAGAAGCGATCTTTAAGACCGCTGTAATCGTTTTTATCAGTTGTTTGGTTTGTCGGTCTGATAACCACTTTACTCTGAATACGGCATCAGTTGTAGGCGGAGGTGGGGGTGAGTCTAGTAAGAGTCGTGTGAAGGAAGTTGATGGATCATTATCACTGCCATCAGCTAATTTTATAGCACTACTATTGCCTTTGTCCTCCCTATTCAAACAGCTAGTAACGTTCATGTCTTGATTTGCTTCACGCTCTTCCATCATAATGTCTTCATTCATGCTATCATCATCGGGCATTATATTAGGTGATTCTGACACACGCTGTCTCTTTCTCAATGACAAGCTTATAGCATCATTTCCATGATTGTAACAGCTACTGCTAGCATAGCGGCCCATCCTGGTATCATCTTCAGATTGCAAAAGTTCCATCGATGGATTTACTGGGGCCGCTTTGGATGGTGGGTAATGGCGGTAGTTATGAGCGCGTTTACTATTACTGTTATTGTAAATGAGCTCAAAGTCTTCATTGGTAACGACTTCCGCCTTGTCTACATCCATATTTTGCGAAGACATTCGTGAGGGCTCCATTGAATGGAAATCATTAGGCCTGTTATCTTGCAGTTGTTTTAAAGATGGACCTGCATGCATTGGAGATGTGAAAGCTGTTGTGGGATTGTTTGGCTGATATAAAACATAAGGGGATAACGTTATCGACGGTGGAGATACAGTTGGAGAAGCCACTGGTACAGTTGTAGTTGCAGATGGTCTAGGCGGCTGAGCAGGTCTCCTAGCTGTCATGGGTTTCCATCGATTTGGTATGTTGGATTGCTCAAAAATTGATGACAATGTACTTTCATTTCCACGAAAGCTCTGTATTTTCGATAAGATCTCGTTGCAAGAAGGACGTTTGATCGGGTCTAACGACAAAAGCATTCGAATAAGCTGTTTAATTTCTTTTGGTACATCTGTTGTAATTTTGGGGTCGTTGAGTGCCTCAGCGTAGAGTGTAGGGTTATCTTTGTAAATGTCATATCTTGATGCTGGGAAATGGATTCTGCATAGGATAATGATTAATACGTGAGGCTTGATCAGACGAACAAATAATGATACTCACTCATTGAAAGCCAATATTTCCTCTCTTAATATGTCTACATCATCAATCACATTGTACGGTAGCCTTGAATAACATAAGAAATAGAGGACCATACCCAGCGACCACATATCTGCTTTTGGTGAATAATCTACTGTATTTCTGCCACGCGGATCTAACCGCACGTGTTCTGGGGCCATAAATTCTAATGTTCCCGTAGCGCCTGTCCTGTTGTTATCAACTCGTGTCTCATCCAAATCCTCACATTCACCAAAATCCGAGATTAACACTCTTGGACTTTAAAAAATTGGTCACATTAACATCCGCGCAGAAAAATAGTTCTCTTCTCTACAGATCACTTACATTCCTCTCCTGCCATGTCTGTTGCGACGAGTATCATACTGTAACAGCAGATTTGGCGGTTTTAAATCCCTGTGCACAATATTTTGCTGATGTAAATGAGCCAATCCTTGAACAATATCCAAAAACAGAGACCAGATTTCTTGTAATGTCAACAAACGTCTCTCCACATGTGTGATAGGCTCTGAGATATTTGTTTGTTCTTGTTCAAACGTTTCCTGTTCTCTATATTGCCTCCTAATCCGTTCACGTTTCAGCTCTTTAGCTGACATTTTTTTCTTTTGTGTAGTTTCTCCTGCTGTTGTAGGATTGCCAAGGGAACTTTGCTGTTCTTCCCCATTGTTAGTCGACCTATTACTGCTGTTATCCTTCGTTTCAGCTGTATCTCTTTCGAAATATTCCTCCAGATTTCCACCATTAGCACACTCCATCAAAATAAACAAACATGGTACTTCGGGACCGAACTGTGTCAAACGAGCGTACTCTAACCATGAATGCTTATAGCTAACAATATTGGGGTGGCGTAGTCTTTCCAATAAATGAACCTCACGCAACATTCTAACTAACCAAGGATGGTTGTTGCCTATGGCAACCTTTTTCACAGCGTACTTTCCTAGTTTCACACCATCCAATCGGTGCTCACACAAAAAGACACTGCCTCGGAAACCTTTGCCTAACTTATTGATCTCATCAAAAAACTTGGCATAGTATCCTTGATTGAAGGCATTCGCATTGAGGTTCTGGTTATCAAATAGTGAGGGTAACTCTTGCTGTTGTTGTTGCTGTTGTTGCTGATGATTGTCCATTATCCCTTCATCGGTACTACTGTATGTAGTGTAAGTGGTATCTGCTCGTGATGGGGTAGGTGAGCTAATACGATTTCAGAGATAATGCTGCGTCAGTGTAGTCTATTCAATAAGCCATATAAGACCCTATTGTGTGGGATACTTACATTTGAGTCGAACTAGAGGCTAGTAAGCGAAAGTAGTTTCGGTCCATATAGTCTGGCCCATCGGTCTATTCAAACAGTAAGATGATCAATCAAAGCTCCTTTGCAAGAAAAAAAAAGTAGATATTTCTTCTTTAAATATGCATATAGCTATAGATACCTCCAATGGTGTGGTTCCGGGTGTATGATGCAAGCGTTGGTGACAATAAGGGCAAAACTCTTCCTCTGTTACTTCCAACTACCATTGCAAGCCAATCAAGATTTTGATCATAAGTAGATAATAAACACTGATTATCGTATCATTTATACTTACTGGAATAGATGGCATATTTGAAAATTGATCAGGAACATAGTTCCTTAGAGTGATGGATTGGCTGTCTTCGTTATATAAAACAAGTTGGCCTTTTTGATTGTTTCGACTATTTTTACAATAGGTGTTTTCGTTAGTAAGGATAGTTTGTCAATGAGAGATGCGTCTCCCCGTCCGCTGATCTTTACGCTATAACTGTCCACTCACGGTAGGGAACTAATTCTAGGTGGTTTCTTCTTGTCGAAATGACATTGCTGCCATAGTTGCTCGATACTGAATTGTAGGTTAAAGCACTGTTTGGTTCATTGGCCAAAGGGTAGTCGATCGAATGAGCCCTTTGTCTTTTACTATTCGATCCCTGATTATTGTCGGAATTGGCATTACGGAAAAAGAGAGCGTTGTTATGCACATTGGGAGCTGTTGTTTCTGGTATAATGTATTGTCGCGGACTGTCAGGTGAAGGCACATAATCGCTTGGTAAATAAGGTAACGGTGGCGGTACTCTCTGATAATTGTGTAGACGATTGCTGATAAGTGCTAAAGCTTCTGTAGGCTGTGGTTCACTTGCCCTACGTTTCGGTGTTGATGTTGATGAAGATATATCATCCATAAAGTAAAAACAAAAAGACTAGTGGAAAGGTGAAATTAATGCCGAGAGCTTGCTTGAATTCATGCAAAAAATGCTTATTTTTCAATTAACATCTGAAATTTTTTTTTTTTCTTAAAGGAAATCTGTGCAATTTCGGCTGTCAGAACCCATCAACTTAATTACATAGCTTATCTTGCTCATAAACAGTAAAGAATAAAACTGCTACACGACTTTGCGGCAACAAAACAAGGCAATGTAAACCCTATCAACTTTTGATTGGGGTATCGCTTTCCTGACTTTCAGTCAACTTAGAACAGCATAAAGCTTCATTTGGCGATTGAACGATGGATATAATGAAGCTGCTTGGTTTTTAAGGTAAGTTGGAACGATATCGATTGGTTGGTTCAATTTCACTTTATATAAAATAGCTAACGAGAATTGCATCTGTAAAAGGCATTCGAGTGCAATGATAGCATAGAAGAAAAATATATACTTGTGTGCCTGCTGCGTGTAGGATTACATTGTCTCTGAACACTAGACTTCAAATTGCTGAACTGTATATATGTTAAATTTTGCCGAGTCTGTTACTTCAACGAGTAACAATGTCAACAAAGCTGTCCAACATAACATAAGTTCAAATGCAAATGGATCCTTCACGCCTTGAAAGGCCATTATCATTAACCGCACATCAGAAACCATGTGTTGGTATTTTGCTGCTGGAGATGGGCTTTTTTCATAAGAATTGCGGAACTTGGTTTTCCTTTGAAAAAAGCAGAATCTTTGGCAGCTCTGCTTTGGTGTGTTTTTTGTTTTCACTTGCAGCCTGATTCTTCGTCCCTCTTTTTCTCCTTTTTTTCTGCAACAATACCACTCAACCATAAGCTATAACACCAGTGAGTATATGGATTGTCAGTTATAAAAATGGAAGATACACTCTTGCGCCGATTGCAAAATAGTCATCTCGATGACGATGACGATGACAAACGCAAAAGTGAAAGTGAAACTGATAACGACGACAATGATACAGAAGGAGAAGAAGACTCACTTGTAAAAACAAACCCCACATTTTAGTTTCAAACCATGCTCTATGCATGCATTTGTATTTTCTTGGTTTTTCGCTTCCCTAATTAAAAAGGCTTTTATTATTTTTGTAAAAGGCATTCAGTCCACAACAACAATATCATCAACAACTAAACAGTAGGGTATCGGGGCCACAAACAGGGCCAAAAGGGGTGATAGCAGATCACAAATATTACAAACAACAACAGTTGGCAGACAAATCAAAAGCCTATGCAGATTACAATGCACACATGCGAGCTAAGGCGCTTACTACCACAACTTATTTACAAGATCTTCAGCAACAAGAAGAATTAGTGTTGGAGCATAAACCGTCACCACTATCTGGGGCAAAAAACCTTATATATGATGAGGACGATCAGCTAGAGGGTGATGACGACACTTTCCTTAAAGATTATCGACAGAAGCGACTTTTAGAATTGAAAAGACTTCAGGAACGAAATCATGCTCTACGTCAACAGCAGAAGAGATTCGGTCAACTAAAGACAATAGCGGCAGACGATTATGCAGATGAAGTGGATAACGAATGGAAATCTGTGCCTGTTATCATTCATTTATTTGATTCCAGTTTACCGAAATGCAAAGAGTTGGATACTATTTTGACTGATTTAAGCAAGAAATATAGACTGGCGAAATTTCTACGTGTTTCTGCTCAAGATTTGGATTTCGACCTCGTAGGTTCACCTGCTATTCTGGCCTATAAAGGAGGCATTCTTGTTGCGAATCTGGTAAGACTAGTAGATCAATGCAGCGCGACATCACGATTTGATATAGACTCGATTGAAGAAGTTCTTTTAAGGTACAGTTTATTGATGATACGTCATTTGTGCATGTTTATGTCATGAGTTCCATTATAATTAAGTTTATATGAGAGTGTTTCATGAGCGAGGAGAATTGTGTGCGTGTGTGTGTATACAATATGCTCAAGATGCGTGTGCACGTTAGCTGTATTTATTATAGTTAGCATAAACTGATCTAACCTTTTTTGAACTGCGCATTTAGAAATGGTGCCTTATCGGAACATGATTTATATGAATTACCTACTCATTTGAACAAGGAAGAAGAAGACGATTATTGAGCCGATGTCGTCATGAAAAAAAAAACCAAGAAAACCCTCTATTTAAGAATTTTTTTTTTTCCCTGTATACATAACTTTTACCTATTTTATATACTTTGTCTGTGTACCTTTCTTTTTATCTAACTGATGATCTCTGTTCAAATTGAAAGAGAGACAATTGATTGGGTCTTTTTTTTCCGTAGCGATTTTTGAAATTTGATAGGCTCAAAAAGAACCTTTCCCTAATTGGATGAAAGTGACTCACAATTAAAAAAATGAACCCTTTTTTATTTGATAAGCTGGTTTTGGTATTTTTAAAATAGAATGCAGCAGCTTTTCCTTTCATTTAAAAGAAACTTGCCTCTTGGTTCTATCCATCGCAAAGTTTTCTTCTTCCAAAGTCGTATGACAATTAATTCTATCACTCAAAGACTTCAATCAATTACATCTCATATGGTTTCCACAATATCCTCAGATCAAAACCATGGTCACACTGACAGCAATGTAGACAAGCAGACCTCGAAGCCTGTCATTTCCTTTATCGGTGGTGGTAACATGGCAGAAGCTATTTTGTGCGGTCTGCAATCATCTGGACATCCTCCTTCAAAACTTCGTTATTCTGAGCCTTTTGAACAAAGATATCAATATATGCAAACCAAATATCCCGATATGGCCGGTTCCACTGATAACGCTGAAGTTGTTCAGGATGCCGATGTGATTGTGCTAGCTGTCAAGCCACAAGTTCTTCGTAAGGTCGTTGTTGATTTAGGCCCTTCTATCTTACAACAGTCCAGAATACCTCTTATCATCTCCATTGCAGCTGGTATTACTACGTTCGACATCAATAAGTGGATTTGTAGTAAGTGTGAGAGCAACGACAGTAACAAGGAGGTGGCTATTGTTCGTTGTATGCCGAATACGCCTGCCTTGGTAGGCGAAGGCTCTGTTGGTTTATTTGCAACCGAAAATGTGAAACAAGAACAAAGAGATATGACAGAAAAGATTATGAAAGCAGTGGCTAAGCAGGTATCCTGGGTTGAAGACGAATCGTTGATCGACACAGTAACGGGTATTAGTGGTAGTGGTCCCGCTTACTTTTTCTTAATCATGGAAGCTATGCAAAACGCTGGTATTGAAGCTGGATTAACACCCGAAGACGCCAAAGCTTTAACCATTCAAACATGTATTGGTGCAGCACGTATGGCTCAAACATCAGAAGACGATTTGGTTACTCTGCGTCGTAAAGTCACTTCACCTAAAGGTACAACAGAAGCTGCAATCAACTCTATGGAAGCCAATGGGATCAGAAAGGCCATGGCAGATGCTGTCTTTGCTGCTCAAAATCGTGGTAGAGAATTAGCAGAACAGTTAGGCAAAGAGGCTTAAGGTGAACAATTTATCACTCATTATCATCCTCGTTTTCTTTAATTGACAGCAGAATCATTCAAAGGATGTTTATCATTCGTATTCCCCCTCCCCATCTCAATTCTACATTTTCTATCGTTAACATAATGATTCGCGCACATACACACACATATATATATATCTATATTCACACAAAGAACACATTCTGAGGCATATTCGCATGTATACGACTAGTTTTTAGCGTCTTTTTATCTTTACACAGCATTCATAAAATACAAAAACTTTAGTGTCTTTTCCAACTATTGGCCCCTTTTATGTCATATCTTTTAAGTTTTGTGTTGCATTCATCAAGGATTCCAGTCTAAATTTTTAAACTTTTGTTCGTCTTTTTGCCCCTCATATTCCCTTAAAAGTAATCTGGTTTGATACACCTTGGTCATGTGAGAGATATGCTTCTTCAGATAGTTTATATTAAGCAGTCTGAAAAGCCTTGTTGCTGTGATGGATTTTTATATATGTGTATTGAACTCGACTTATCATAATTTACATCGTTTACTGTGATAGAATTGTATCAATTTTGTTAAATGCTGGATATCTTAATTTTGCTATTGTAGAATAAACAATTATCCGATAAAGGAATCTCGTGATATGTCTATTATCAGTTTGCTTCAAATAATTCAGGACATTTTTGACTGAATTCCACAAACTTGTTTGCTATTTCCAGATCTATAAAGTCATTAGTTAGAGTGCAAAAGTTTTTTCTCTGAAAGGCTGCTTACAAATAACTTACTGAATGAGTTGCCCAAGTTTTGCGTTTTGAATTCCTTTATAGTAAAGTCAGGTTCAACATGGCCAATGACCTCGACATAGTCAGTTCCCCAAGTGCTATCCTACAATCACGATTTTGCGCAGCATGAGAATCAGTCGTGCATTTTTCATATATTCCACAAATGTAAATAAGACTATTTATACTTTACACCATTCAAAGCAACAAGCACCTGTCCGTGATCTGACGATTCTATTACTGCGGTATTTCCAGAAAGCTACAATAGACAAACCATTAGTTTGCTTCAAGAGATTCCATACGAATGTCATACTCTCGTTACTTACAGAAACAAGCTTCCCTATCAATCGAACAACTCTTCCAACATATTTTTCTCTCAAAGCAGAATTAATGCGTGGTGTTGGCTTCTCCATGTCGAAATTTATGCTGTTATTGAGATGTGAAGAAGGAAAGGAAAAATGACCCAAAAAATTAAAAAAAAACGCGAAAAGGTTGGATTTTCGTGCCGCGTGCATCTTCACCGCATTTTTTCCCCGTCGTTGAGTTACAATGTTTACCCCCACTACCATTTGCATTTTTACGAGCAGATGCTTCGCTGTAAGAAGAAACTGATTGAAACTTTTTAAAAAAAAAACCCCAGTTGAACCAACAATATGTGCTTGATGACCCATCTTGAACAGTAGATTTTAGTACGGGCTCTATACACCAAGAATCACTCTTGAGAGTATAGCGCGGTATAATTTTACAGCGCACATGTAGGAATAGATAGAGATAGCATATACCGAGCATGGAGTACTACGCTTCCCACATATAACCAGAGGATCATTTTATCAAAATAAATAGCATATCTAATAAATCAAAAGTGGTTTAGCACTTGTAATGCTTAAATATAAAACCATTACACTTTTTGGTGGAAAGGCATTACAGCGTCCTCTTGGAAAGTCGTTGAATTTACTACGCATTTGCTAGAAAATAATGCAGATGCATTTTCCTGTTGAGTTAAAAAAAAAAAATACCCCAAAGGCATATTGAATTTGGTTTTTCGTTTTCCTTGCAGTAACAAACTTCACAGTGCAATGTCTTCTTCAGGTGAGAAAGTGTAAAAAACACGACCGTTTCTTTTATAAAGATACTTATCGTTTGCTTTTTTTAGACAAAATAACATTATACAACGCCGTCATCTGCCCTTATGCCCAACGTGCGCACATTACTCTCAGAGAAGTGGATGCAGATTTTGACATTGTCGACATTGATCTCTTGAATAAGCCTGAGTGGTACAAAGAAGTCAATCCTGAACTAAAGGTTCCTACGTTAACCACTGAAGGCCAGAATCTTGCCGAATCCTTAATTATCATTGAATACCTTAATGATCGCTTCCCTGAAAAGAAGTACGTAGGACATCTGGCTAGGGAATAGTGTGCTAGTTATGCTTTGCTCTTAACAAGAAAACTCATTCCTTTTCTTCTTTCCAAATGTAGTCTTATGCCCAAGAAGCCCTTACTGAGAGCAAATGTCCGTTTTGCTATCGAATGGTTTGGTTCAAAGGTGAACCCTCACTTGTATAAATGCATGTTGAAATTCAACGACGCTGACGCTGCAGATGCTATTGAGGATTATAAGAAAAACACCAATGCTGCTCTGGCTAGCGTAAGTTCTTTAGCAAAAAAAGCTTTCTATCCCCAATGCCACGCTTGTTGACTCGTTCTTTTTGACTACAGTTTAATGATCTTCTGATGAAACAATCAGAAAAGGGTCCTTACTTTCTTGGTGAGGACTTCTCTTTGGCCGATATTGCTATTGCCCCTTTCCTTTTGCGTATCTTCAGCTTCAATGATCTATTCTTGGACGGCTATCGTTTCGAAGCTATCGAATCTCATCCTAGACTTGCTCAGTTTATTGAAGGCATCAGCTCCCGACCAAGTATTAAAGATACTTACTGTGGCAACGAGAAATACGCTGATATTCTAGCAAGAAAATACAATGTCAAGAAAAACTAAATGTACAACAAGAGTTTATCCATTGTCATTTTGGTCATTGACAAAGCTGGATTCTATGCGTAAGTTTTGTGTATCAACGTATGTCTGGAAAATAAAGGAAACTGATTTTTAGCTTGTATCAGTTTGTAAATAAAGAAGACTTCAAAAATGAGTTTCCAAGCGCAAATACTTTTTTTTTCAATTGTTTATGATGTATATGTTTTTGAGAAGACATCTCTCATTTAGAATATTCTGCTAATACTTTACTGATGATGAGCTCACCTAGAAATAGTACTTCCTTTACAGGAAAAACAAATAATGATAATTTAAGCTTTTTACCGATCATCTGAATTGTACCATTCAAAGAATATCCAAGGATCTCGAATCTTTAGAGAAGCATCTTAATTCCAAGAGTAAGAACTCACTTGTATAAGCTCAATTTGTTACTAGTTAGCCTCTGTTTCTCGGGAGTTTCCAAAACGTATGCTCTTTATCAGTTATATAAGCGCTTGTGTATTGATTCTAACTGCCGGAGTAAGTGCTGTTACGCCATCCTCAAAGCTTGCTAATTAAACTCATTATCAAGAAGTTTTTTGTAAAGCATAGACAGGAGGCAGCTGACCCACTTTGAAACAGTTTGTTGACAGTTGTGGAACACACATGAAAAAAATAAAACAAATCTATTGTGCATGCGAGAAAAAAAATATTGTTGTTTTCTCTTTTTTTGTTGCCGTTGTCGTCGTAATGAACGATAAGAATGGTTGTCCAGAATCCAACAGCATTTCATTTCATTGAATATTAGACTAAACCCTTATATTTAAAACTATTGAAAGGCAGATAGACTTGCCTTACCAAATACAACATAATGGATCGACGCCGTATAGGTAGGCCTCGCAAGCTTTATGTAAGCTTTATACAATTAGAGTTGGCACAGATCGATAAGCCCCTTGATTTCCTAATCAGTTGTGTACCCCTCATTTCAACAGTGCAAAGTGTATATATATTGAGGGAAAAGGTCTAATGGCTTATCTTTCTCTTTTCCTTAGCTCTTTACATTTTATTCCTTTTGTTAAAAATAAAAAAAAAAAACTTCTCATAATGAGCTTTCAAAAAAATACTGTAAAGAGCAAATTTCCACCAACCTTCTGTGGATCAATAAAGATCACAGCTGCAAAATACTCCACTTCGTTGGATTCACGTGGCTTTCTCCCTGGTAAGCTCATTCACCGTCATCTTGCGCGTGTATTTCCTGCTTATGAATATGCTTTAACTTTATTTCTTATAGTCTATGAATATCTGATTCATGGACAGCCCATTATGTGGGATAGAGAGACAGGTAGCTCCTTCGAATACAGACACGTGCTTCATATGAGTAGGCACATACTAACCTTTATTTACTTCTATAAACCAGGCCATGTCCATTTCACTGGCATTTGGAAGGCTTTGGGAAAATCAAAGACCGAGATAGCCAAAATGGTCCAGGCCAACCCTAACCTCAAAGTGAAGAAGATACGAGGAGGTTGTTTGAAAATCCAAGGAACTTGGTAAGTATATTCTTATTTCCTAGTCTGAAAATTTCAACGCGCCATGAGGAGACTAAGGAAAGCCTTTTTTTTTTTTTTTATTTCTCACAATAAGGATTCCCATGGAAAGCGCATATGCGCTTTGTAAAAAAGTCGCCTGGAAAATTCGAAAGAAGCTTGTTCCTCTCTTCGGCAAACGCATTGTTGACGAAGCTATTAGGCCTAGTCATGCTGATTATGGTTCTCTTTTGCTTGATACTGGAGCCAACGACGCTTCTTCTGCCTCCTCCTCTTTCTCTGTACCTGCCGCTTCCGCTTCTGCTTCCTCCTCTTTGTCTGCTGCTGGTTCTTCTTCTTCTTCTTCTTCTTCTTCTGCTTCTGCTTCCGCTTCTTTTCCTCCTTTGTCACGCCGGTCAACAGGTGAAGATATCCACATGTCTTCCACTACGGCTGCTACGGCTGCCATCACTCGTAAGAAGACGAAAAAACCTATTGAGCGTTTCCAACCTTATTGTCGAGACAATGGCCGGTCCGCTTTCAAAAACATCTCCAACCTCTCCAATATCAGACGTAGCTCAAGAATAAGCAATCGTAAGGCAGCAGCAGCGTTAGCAGCAGCATCAACGTCTACCTTATTCTCTTTTCCATCTTCAACTGCAGGATCTTCCTTGGCTTATAATGATGTACCATCCGGAGAATGTGGCCCAACCATTGGTCCTGAGAGCAGATTGACCATGAATATCACTACTGTACCTACTGGCTTAGAAGAAGAATTTTCCATGGTAGAAAATGTCCATTCGCAAACCCTGAATTCCTATCAAACAGCTCAAGACCTGCCTAATTGCCCATCGTCATCTCCTTTACCACCAGTAACTGAACCAGCTCTTACAGAAACTGCTCATGGTGATTCATACATTACCTACAGAGTACCAGCTAATATATCAGCAGACAGTACCGCTATTGAACTCATCGACATTATCAAGGCTGGCATCGCTCTTCAACAGCTATCGCAGGACGACGGTACAAGACCCATTTTGCCCTTGGATACATCATTAATCCCCAGTAAAGTCGTAGCAAGAAACCAAGAATATAACATTCACTGGTCTCCTTATGATCAATAAGGAGGGGTTGTTGAGTTATAGGCTATAAGTTTTTCTTTTGTTTATTTTGCACTTTTTTTTTTTTTTTCTGGAAAAAAAAGAAGAAAACATGCTACTAATTGTGTTTCTTAATTCTGTAAATATCATGACTGAACAGTTCGCAGGCGATTTGTTCTGTCCGTATATTTGTTATAAAAAAGAAAATACTTATCGTTAATTGCCCAATTATACCTATTGATAAAGTTCTCATTTTGATATTTCTATGCTTAATACTCATTTCACATCCATAGCAGACATCAATTACAGATATCAAATTTCAGCAATGACAAACTACCAAAATAAAACATTTTATATTCTTAAAAATGATGAATACACTCCATTGATATGCTTTACCCTCCACCCCCCCCCACGAACCTATCTTACCTCCAAGTCTTGCTTTTCTTTTTTAAAACATCAAGAGTAAACTATACATTCTTTAATTTTCCTGTTTCTTGTAAAGTTAACTATTGTAAACAAAGATAAAGAAGGCAAACTGGAAATGTATAGAATGCTTTCATTTGATCATTGATATAATATTCTATAACTGAACGAGGTATGTGAACATCCGTTTCAGCCATCTGGCTTTTGATTCATTTTCCTTTTCTACGGTAATATTCTATTATTGTCATACAGTGAGATAATTTTGTCTAATCCAAGGCTTCTAAAATAACCGCGGTGTAAATTATTTTGGTCGCTATCAGTCTCCAACTTTTTTTTAACAACAAATGCTACAGAACACAAGTGGATTTAAAGGTATTTAACTTTCACTTTGTAATATCCTTATTTGTAGCTTCACTTTAATCTATATGAAAATCAACCATTCGCCCTCTCTTTTGTATTATTTGGAAAGACATATAACAATAAATTGTTTGAATTATATGCTCCACTAAACGACTAATAAACTAAAATCAACAGTAGTCCGAGTGCCTGACACGGAAGTCAAAAGTAGTTACTCAAGTGTCCAGGTTATTATTGAAACACTTCTATAATGATGTATAAGAAATGGGTTATGACGATGTTAAAGATAAAGAGACGTATGATTAGCCTACAAAGACAGTTATACAACACTAAGGTTTTCATCTACGATTATTCCTCGTATCAACATGCGCCGACATAGTTAAATGAAGATCCTCTAGTTAAAAGGTAGGTGCCCCTTCATACACTTTGAACGCTAATGAGAGCGACGTAAATTGGTCCAGAAAAGTCAACACTATGTGGTGATTGTGGAGGAGCTAAAGTGTTGAGTAGAAAGCATTCCATTTTTTGAAGGGATTTTGATTGTAGATAGATGCATGTATACAATGTTCTTCGAGGAAGACTAAACCATCTCGACAACTAAAATTCTTGTTCAAACAGTTAATAACACAACTCAATGTCAGAATAGATACACTTGAACATGACTACATTGCTCCCAATTTAGTACCTTGAGTGTGAAAAGCTGAAGCTGCGTAAAAAAATAGAATATCAATTAGAAAAAAGATGCTGTTCAGTTAGTATAAAAACACTCAATGAGTGCCTCTATCAGATTCTTGAGAATACGAAAATTGAAGAATGCTATGCGGACGTGGTTTCTACTCACAGTCCCACCAACGAAGGTGGGGTTGGTTAATATAACCCCTCTTTTCCACACCGAATATTATACTCATCTTCGAATAACATCTGTACACGACAGGTTCCCTTGTTCTTATGATGTCAAATTGGCTGCGAGTTTTGAAAATGCTAGGCTGTAGGACTTTTGTAATACAATGATTCCAGAATGTAGGTCCATCGTACATGCCATATGTTGAGATTTTGAGAATGGTGTGGAGGCTGAATGCATGATTTGATTGGACAATACAAAAAAAAAGTGGTGATTAAATGAAAAAGTTAAGGGCCACCGTCTTTCGGGCAGATCAAACAAAGTCACACAGGAAACTTTTTTTCTTTCTTTTGCATACAAAATCAGTTTTTTTACTTACTGGTGAACAACTACAGACGATGGCAGATCACCCTAATAAGTTAGCATTCGAAGAAGGTGCTTCATATATTTTCAACAATTGGACTGCTTTAAAACTAGCCGTCGAACAAGAATGGGGAGGTGTTGATTCTGTTGAAAAAAAAGAATGGTTTATTGATACTATTGTAGACTATTTTGGAAAACGTAAGCCGATATTGTCACATGCAGCATTGAATATATTTTAATTTGACATTTGTACATAGGGGGCAAAAAGTTAGATATTGATGAAGTAGAAGATATTTTATACCAAATTATGACAGACGAGTTTAATACCACTCTAGAAGATGATTCGCCCTATTTAGTCGCTAAACATCTTATTGCATTATTCAATCAATGCATCGTTGGCAATTATACAGAAGTAGAAAGGCTTAGGGAGAAGGCTAAAACCCAAAATTCTTTTACCGCTGCTTCAAGCAGTATCAAACAAGGCGATGACGATGAAGCTGAAGATAGTGATATAGATGGCAATGATAATGTAAGGAAGGGCGGGTGCTGCCATAATAATCAAACGTAATAGGAAAAGATCTAATTTTTTTTTTTTTTTTTGTCTTTTTTGTTTGTTTTGTTAATAAAACAGGGCATAGAAGATAATGATAACGAAGAGGATAACGATGATGTGATGGAAGAAGCTACTCCAGAAGAGCCTTTAGTCGATGAAGACGGTTGGGAGACCGTTCGTCGTAAGAAATAGAAGTGCGCAGCTATCGTATAATTCTAGTCCACACTTAATAGAAGTTTTGTCAACATATTTATTGTACAACTACTACAATCACCATATCAAATATTTACTGATCTGTTGTGTCATCGTTTTGTCCATATATTTTATATCGAAGTCTGTCATTCATTCACGGATTCGTTTTGTACTTCAATGTCTCATTCTTCATTTTAACGAATGTTGAACAACCACATATATCACGGTAGTAAGTTTCTACTTCCCATATATGCCTTATAAGAAGTGTGCTGATTTTTTTCCCCGTCATCCCACTTTAAGCTTTGCTTTATATTTATAATGTGAATAATAAATGCTTTATTGTAACGCTCTATTGTAATGCTTTAAACTCTTTGGCAAACTTTGCTAATTCTTGCAAATCTTCCTTTGGCAAAACAACTTCTTTCTTTGGTTTCTCTGGCTTTGTCACTTTCTTCGATTTTTTATCCTTTGCAGATAACGACTTTTTATCTTTATTCTTCTTCATTTCCTCTTTCTTAACTTGCATCCCGGTCAAGCTCTCTGTCATATCCATATCTTCTGTATCTTTTGCTTCCTTTTCCTTCTTTTCTTTATTTTCCTGTTTCTTCTTTTCTACTTCTAACTCCTGTTCTGTTTTCTCAGGTTTGGACTTATTCATCAAGTCTGTCCAAGTACTTCCAACACTGCCCTCAGTTATCAACCGTTGAACTCTCACTTTATCTTTCTCATTCAAGGCTGGGTATCCTCTAAATTGTTCGATTGGCACTCTTTTTAACAACTCGGGTACTATCATAGTTGAGAATGTGAGTTTGTGAAGAGAAACATGCAACAGAATTGCACTCATCAATTTACCTTTAAAGCACTTGAAGTGGAACCAAGTGTGTTTAGCGTCGTCTTTTTTTACTTTTTTACTTCGCCTGTAGATCTCGGCTACTCGAAGTGATTTATGAGGAATGACTTTGTTACAAGCATTACACTTAGATTGTTGTGTTTTGGCATGTTCGATACAGTAACTGATTATAGGCCTTTCTGAGGGTTGATCGGTCATGGTTACGATGATGGAGTGATTCTGAAGTAGATCACATCGGTGACAGCTATGGTTTTCTCTGTAAAATTTCAGATTACTGTGACGATGCGGAGAGTGTTAGCCAATCAATTTTCAACTTCAATGGTATAAGGATTTCGAGCAGTCTCACAAAGTATTCAACGCGCAAAACGACATCAATATACAAAATTGGACACTGTAAAGCTCCGTTTAGTATGGTAAAATAATTTTAAGAAGCTGTGAAACAGTCTAACGATAGTTTTCCATGACTGATCGTAGATAGGGCAATTTCAGGATGGCAATTAGATGGACCTCTTAGAAAGCCTTGCGGTAAATTTCAGAGAGTCCTGATAGATCTTGCTGCTCATGGAATGTAAAACTGGATAAATTACGCTCAATACCATCAACCAATTGATCCTCTTAAGCGTTGTTATTCGAGATTACTGAAAAAAGGAGGTGATAAACCACAAGGTATATCAACCCACGTTGCAAAGTATGGTTGTGAATGGCAGTAAGTGTTGATCAAAAACATAAACATAATGTTACTGTGGCAGTAGGACCGAGAGTAACACTTACTCCATAATCTTGAGCAACAGTGAGGAAGAATAAAATTTGACTGCTGAATGCCGCTTTCTTATTCTGTCCTATCCTGATTCGGGCCCTTGTTTACATATTAAACTTCTAGTGTAATGTACTACTGTATGTATAACGGTCTCGATGTTATGTATAACAGTAACAGGCGAAGGCAGTTGAACACAAGACAATTTATTGTCTAGCACGAAATACAGCCTTACCTTTTTTTAATCTCTTCACACAACGTGTATAAGTTACTGATTTTATTGTGTAGTTTGATCGATTAAGTATAAAACAGTAAAGTAACAATGAAAAGTTAATCAACTGTAATACTTTATTTGATTACAAAATCGTATCATTTATGCAATTGTCAATGAGCAATAATAGTAAAACCATTATAAATTATATTAGCTTTTTTTTTTTTTTTTTTTGTTTCTTTTTTTGGTTTCGAGAAGTTATAGAGAAGCAGGAAGAAGGGAGTAATAGCATGGGGTTTCATGAGGAGAAAAAAAAAAGTAAGGATATAAGGAGTTGCAAATCGTATAGATGAATTGTATTGTAGCTGAAGGTATACATATTAAGGCAAGGTTCTACTAGAAAAAATAGCGGTTGTAAGGAGAAGAAGCGTCTTAGTATCGTTGACGTTCAGTGACAGACTGCTGCTGCTGCTGTTGTAGTTGTTGTTGTTGTTGTTGAGGGTGTGATACAGTTGGCAATGGTATGTTATCATCACTTTCAACTTCTGTTTTGTCATTACTATTGGTATTAAAATAACCAAGTGGAGGTGAGCCAACTGCTGTTGTCATTGTTGACTGTTGCTGTGTTGGCTGGAACACAGGCTGCTGACTACTGTTGTTAACAAGTCCATCAGTGCCAACAGCAGCAACATTATTTGAAGGATACTGGCTGCTCCGATGATGACCAGTGGCTTGATCGATCATGTATAGTTGGGCTTGATTCTCTTCCTCTAGTCTTTTGCGCATTGCTTTGACACTTTTATATATGTACCAAAATAATAAACCAAACAGAAATAGCCCAACGAAAATTATAAAAACAAATCGATTATGTTGTTTGAGCCAGCTCTCTTGCTGTGTTTGTCGATCATTTGCATTATAGTTCCAGCCTGTGCCCTGCACAGTATTATCAGTATTAGATGGAGTAGGCTTATTGTTGTTATTGTCGGATGATGTAGCAACAGCATTAATAGTAGTAGAAGTTGGTATCGGATACTTGGTGTTGTTTTGTGTTCCTGTTGCGGTGGGAGTACCAATGGTGTTGTATGTTACCGTTGTTATTGTTAGAGCATTTGTAGCAGTAGAAGTCATCGAATTATTGTTTGGACCAGTATTGGTCGTTGTTATTGAAGAGATAGTAGTACTGCTTGTATAAAATATCAGACTACTACTAGTTGCTGTCGGTGTGTTTGTTAAGGTTGGAGTACTTTGAATTGCATCTTGAGCGAATGTATTGCTAAAGAAATATAATAATAGTAATGGCAGAAGTCGAAAACGCTGTGTTGATAAAAGTCTTGTTGGCATTGATCAAGTAGATTATAGTCAAAGCTTCCTTATAGCTTTGTTCTAATTCGGACAATTGATGATGAAGGACGGAAACAGTATAACAATATTTTGAAAGGCTTCAAAGAAGAAAGAGGAAGAGAAAAAAAGTGTATGATACACACACCCAAAAAGACGTGGAATCTGTTTATTTTCTAAGGAGCTCAAACATCTTTTGTGCTCACTTTTATCCATTAAGATTTGCGACCCCGCAAACTTTGTAAAGGGCAAAATTATACAGTTGTTCCTGGAGGATCTTCATATTTGGTAAGGAGGGTCTCGATTCTTTGTATTCCGAAGTCCAAACCAAGTGCTGCTTGTTATACCCACTGCCTTGCATTTCAACGCACAAAAGAAAGAGAAATTTGCATCAAATAGTAGTCGTAACGGTAGATACAAATTGACTAATTTACAAGCTTTAGCTTCACCAATGTCTGATGCCTTTCTCTTATAAAGGATCCGTTGAAAAGAAAAAAAAACTAAGCAAGTCAAGAAAACTCAAGTGACGTCACACTGGATTTGATCTGATGTGGGGAAGCAGGGCAGAACATGTTCCAGAGGAAAAAGAAAAACTCAATTTCAATCTCTCTTCTTTTTTCACGTTCCCCAGTTTTAAGAGATCCTTCTACTTTATAACACATATACCTATTACCATATAGAAAATGACTTTGCTTACTAGCGTTTCTGGTTTTGCAGCCTTTGGTGTCCTTGTCCGTACTTATGCTTTAGGGCTTCAAAAGCGTCCCTTATTCTCAAGTAAGTATTTTGCTTTTTTTCCAAATGTACTTTTGCCATGTCAAAACTAATTCAAGATTTGAATAGATCCTAGTGGTCATCTTCTAGCTGCTGGTGTATTTGGTGGTGTTGGTTATTTTTTTTACAATCTACAAGAAAGACAGGCTGCACAAATCGCTGAAAAGAAAGAAATCTTATTAAAACGCAGAGCACAAGCCGAAAATCTAGCAGCATCAGAATAAATAAGAATAATACAACGGATGACAACATAACGAATGTGATAAGACGGTATATACAGTGCTGAAGCGGCTCACATATATTGATACACGCATACAAACATTCTAATTTGTCGAGAGAAATAAAAGAGACATGATATCCCCTCTGCTTGATAGTAGATAAAAGAGTACACAACAAATTGTTGTCCACATCGTCTAGATAGCAACAAAACTATGTGTATTTACAATTCAAAATTTATACAATTACAAGGCTTCATTCTTGTGCAAGTTTGAAGAAAAGTGTAACAAAACGGATATACAATTATTTAAAGCAACATGCAACAATAACCGAAAGGACAATCTGGAAATAATTTATACCAATTCATCATCTTCTTTAGCTTCTTCTAGCTTTCTTGCTTCTTCGATTTCTATCGCTCTAATGCGTTCAACTTCTTTACGTAACACAGATGTTAGCTTGAGTACATTCTTTTCATATCTTGCCGATACTGGTACAATAGGAATAGATCCTTTAACGTGTGCTTGAAGCTGTTCAAGATTATTTTTTGCTGTACCAACTTTGTCAGCCTTATTCGCAACAATTAGGGATTGTCGGTCTGTCAGTCCCGATTTATAAGCATTTAACTCATATTGTAACGTTTTCAAATCATCGATAGGCGAGGATCTGCTGATATCAATTACATACACTAAGATTTTAGCTCTTTCGACATGTCGCAAAAATGAATGTCCTAAACCAATGTTGCGATGAGCACCTGATATAAGCCCAGGTATATCTGCTACAGTTAATTGATATTGATCCGCATAATCAACTGTTCCCACGTAAGGATGAAGAGTTGTGAACGAATAGTCTGCTTGTTTTGGATGGGCATTCGAAATAGCACCCAATAGGGTTGATTTGCCTGCATTCGGTAGCCCTACAAGCCCAATATCAGCAATAGTTTTCACTTCCAATTCGAATTCACGGATTTCACCAGCACGACCTCGTGTAGCCCATTTTGGTGAGCGATTATCACTCGTTAAGAAATAGGGATTGCCATGTCCGCCAACGCCACCGCGGCAAAGCACTACTTGCTGATTCTCTTCCGTCAAATCGATATGGATGGGTTCTCCTTTCTTCGTGCGTTGCCGCCAACGGTAATAACGGTCTTCTTCATCCATCATGCGTTGTGCTTGTTTGAAGAAATTAGGCTTCCCTTCAGGCACCTGAATATCCTCAGCTCGTGGATACAGCACCCAACGAGCTTCCTTCTCTGCTTGTATCTCTTCTTTTGTTATCATTTTTCTTGGTTCTTCTTCTACTTCAATTTCACGAACTACAGTACCAATAGGCACATTAAGAACGAGATGATCTCCTACATTACCGTTTCGCCCGCCACCTGCTCCGTTTTGCCCTTTTTTTGCTTTACACACATGACCAACATGCTTCAAACTAGTTTCATCTCGAGTAGCGCGGATTACCACGTTTCCGCCTGGACCACCGTTGCCACCGTTTGGTGGGCCCTTGGGTAAGAACTTTTCTCGAAGGAACGAGACACAGCCATCTCCACCGTCTCCTGCTATTGCTTTGATACGAACAAAGTCCACAAACTTCATGAGAACAACGAACCACCAATATAGTTTAGAATTAACTGAACAGTTTGTCTATACTCTATTATAGCCATTCTGCGCTGCATATTTACCTTTCCTCGTAGCTTATATTGTATAGACTTATTCGAATGTTTGTCTTTCAGTTGCTGTTCCGCTTCATAACGCAAGCATGATGTGTGAAAACCACTTATGGGAGGATATATACATTTGAGACGTAGATTAGCAGCATTTAACTGGATGAGGACTCGCGATGTAAGTGGAGATTTTGAGCAAGCAAACATAATAGAAGCTGGGGGTATAATGAAATCAATATAAATCGAACAGTTACCTCAATTATTTCGAACGGGGTAATTGACGGCTGTTTCTGTGAATTTCCTAATATGGTAACCGAGTCACTGATTTGGGAGGGAAATCTCTCTGGTTTAAAAAGTTGACAGAAGCTATCATTGCTTGATTCTTCCTCTAACCAGGTAAATACTTACGAAATGCATAGCATGCATCCATCCATCCATCCATCCATCCATTAGTCATTCATGTCTTACTCATATAATCCATCCCTTCCTCATTGTTATTTAGTTCTTTAATAAGTCCTCGAACAGTTATTAACATGTCGAAGAGAGAATCCAAGGTCCTTTACTTCCAAAAGCTTTCCAACTATTTGGAAACCTACAAGTCCATCTTCATTGTCAACGTTGACAATGTCAGCTCCAACCAAATGCACCAAATTCGTCACTCTCTCCGTGGTGAAGGTGCTGTCCTCATGGGTAAGAACACCATGGTCCGTCGTGCCTTGAAGGGTATGATTGGTGATCATCCCGAATACGAAAAGCTCCTCAACTTCGTCAAGGGTAACATTGGTTTCGTCTTCACCAATGGTGATCTTAAGGAGGTCCGTGAAAAGATCGTCTCCAACCGTGTTGCTGCTCCTGCTCGTGCTGGTGCTGTTGCTCCTGTTGATGTCGTCGTTCCTGCTGGTAACACTGGTATGGAACCCGGTAAGACCTCTTTCTTCCAAGCTCTCGGTATCCCTACCAAGATTGCTCGTGGTACTATTGAAATCGTCTCTGATGTCAAGCTCGTTACCTCTGGTGAAAAGGTCGGTCCTTCCGAAGCTGTTCTCTTGAACATGTTGAACATCTCTCCCTTCACCTACGGTATGTCCGTTGTTCAAGTTTACGATGACGGTTCTCTCTTCTCTGCCGATGTTCTTGATGTTGAAGAAGATGAATTGGTTGGTAAGCTCATGGCTGCTATCCGTGAAGTTGCTTCCATCTCTTTGGCTGTCGGTTATCCTACCATTGCCTCCGTTCCTCACTCCGTTATCAACGGTTACAAGAACTTGTTGGCTGTCTCTGTTGCCTCTGATTACACTTTCGAAGGTTCTGAAAAGATCAAGGAATACATTGCCAACCCTGAAGCCTTCGCTGTTGCCGCTCCTGTTGCTGCCGCTTCCTCTGATGCTCCTGCTGCTGAAGATGCTCCCGCTGAAGAAGAAGAAGAAGAAGATGACGATATGGGCTTCGGTCTCTTCGATTAAATTAGTTTAATCTAAGTATCTACATTTTTTATTCAACTCAATTCACACGTATTTGAACAGTACCTCGTTCTTTTTTGTTCAACTTGAATAAATCATCGAACGTCTGTTCGTGCATGTATATAGTCAAAGCAGGTGTTACATATCGATGTTTTGTTGGGAAAAGATCGTTAGATCATGATTGAGGGATCAGAAAGAAGTAAAATTACTTCACTTCAATGTTACAAAGGGGATGTGTTTAAGAAACTCCATTCTCTATATGTAAACAACAGTAATAATGATGTACATGGTATTGAAAGTCGTTAATCACTCTGCTGAACAGCACTTTGGTTACAACTGTGAAGATATAGTTGCTTACTGAAATACGTCCAAACAAAAAAAAGTTATTTTTCAGCAAGCCCAAGAGGTACTATGAAGCATCATCGCTTTTGGAGAAACTAAAAACCAACCAATTTCCCCTAAATTTTATCAAATTTACAAATTTACTTCTCACAATTGAAAAACAGAAATTGCAAACATGAGCTGTTTTAAAATATAAATCTGTAGAAGAAATTGCCTACTCCAACATATTACATCGTCCGCATTATTACACCGATCAAACAATGTGTGTCCGACTGACAAAGATCAAAAAAGTAGTCTTGTTTACAACGATAATTTCGCCGTATGTCCGAAAAAATAGATGATCTTCAGTTACGATGATGGAACCGTGAACCCAAGGCTTTCCGAATAGAGAAAAAGCACCCATGTAGATATTCATTATACTTAGATAACATCATTGGAAGGATTGTATTGAACTTACTTTGTCAAAAAATAATGATTGTGACGAGACCTGAGATATGAGGAAGTACAAGACAGCATGATTTATACTTCAAATCCAGGCTTTCCGATCTGATCATTGTTGATGCTCAATAAGTGTATTTATATCTTTTCTTTATTTTTCATTATGGCCATCTTTCTTTATCTCTTCTTACCTTTTTCTGACTTTTTTGGACTCTGTGAACCCTAATTAATTATCTTTTTTGATAAAGCAGTTATTATTCATCATAAGAAATTGACAGTTGGATCGAAGCAAATATGCACAAATTGAAGCATGTCTTTCAACGGTCGCAAAAATCGCAGACCGAAGAGAATAGGCGATCTCAACAGTTTGTGAAGCGACATTCTGCCATTGCAACAACTACACTGAATAGATCAGCGTCAATAATTGCAACAGCTACGACAAGAAGCCATAAACACCAAGACAATATCAGTAATATTGACAATTGGTTGACAACATCACCTTCAATTGACGGCGCCGAATTGTCCGATAATGAACGAAAAACATATGAGTCTTGGTGGAAAGATTTTGACCCTTTTGACTTGGGCAAAGTCAGTAACCATGCGCTGTTTAAGTTCTTGAATGGATGTAGCTTACCCGACGAGAAATTAGAGCAAGTAAAGGAACAGGAGCAAAAAAAAAAAAAAAAAAAAAAAAGAAATCATAAAATATCGAACGCAGGCTTAATTTATTATATCCACTCTATAACACTTTACAGATTTTAGCTTTATTCAAAACATCCAGTATAGAGGAACATGGACTGGATAGGTTACAATTCTTTGCCCTACTCAGATTGGTTGCGCATGCTCAGAATGGTCGTAAGGTCAGTAGAGCCCTTGTTTATCTTGGAGGTAAGAACGGTTTAAGAGGGTTATCTGAAGTACTTTGCTTGACGAAATAACATGCGGTCATTATTCTGTAGCACCTATACCGCGATGTAATATTAAACCATGCAATACGTTACGAATGGAAGATGTATTTAAACATCATTCTAGTCAAAAGTCATTTTATTTTGACAATGGTGAGAAAGGGCAGGATGACAATTACAAGAACCATATCTTTGATGTGATACCAAATAATACAATTGTATCACAGTGCGAAGAGCATCAAAAACGCCCAATTAATAGGCAATCTTGGTGGAGCATCACTAACAGCAGTGGCAGCTTTAGTAGTAGCAATGGCTTTATTAACAATAAGCCATCACTGCAGCAAAACGGAAACCGTCGCTCTTATAATGGCCCATATACCACGAATACCTCCATACCCAATAATGCACATTTTTCACCTAACCTTCTTCCGCATGATACTAATACTACTACATTTATTACCACTACATCTAATAATACACTGATCAGTTCTCCTATTGTTAATGCCACCGATAATAATAGCAGCACTTTGCAAATGATGGATTATTTCAATACACTTGCACCCTTGAGTGATAACTCTACCAGTAAAACTAAATTGCTGTCACCTCCTATTACTTATCAACAGCAGGAAATGCTACCTTGGACGCAAACAGATATGTCAGAAATTAATGACTTGGAAGCAAAGGTATTTTTAGAGGACGGAAATGGACATCATTCACTAGAAGGGAAACAATTACTGTTAACTCAAAAATTCATATACGAGTCACCTTCGGTTCAGAAGAGAGAAATGAATTCAAAAAATCCCTTTCATATTGATACCAATTTTGATGGCAATTGTATAGCAGCGACAGAAGAAGCTTTGAAAAGCCCTTTCGATGATAATAATAATGTATTCCCAACTTCCATCAATACCAAACCAAACACCTACCATATTCCTCCGCCACCTGTACCTGCGCAAGCTACAAAACCTGCATTTCCTAAATATGCAAGAAGATATACCAGTACTAACAATGTCAATATAAGACGAACTCAGAGTACAAGAGAACCAACTACGACCAGTAGTAATTTTGTCAACCATTCACAACATCTAAAGCACAGATCAGCAAGTAACGCATTTGATATATTCTTCTGTACCAGTCGAGATATTACTAAACCTAATAACCATTAAACACCCCTAATTGTTCTATTGCTATTTTACCATAATTATCCAACATATAGTATCTTTGCACTAATTCTTAAAATCTATAACTTTATCTCAGGATTACTTAATTCTTGCCCTTTTGAATCTTGCCCAAGTACTGCTGTCAACATACAACTGATCTTTCTTCAAATTGTTGTGCGCCTTTTCCGTGTTTACTGTGTACGTAATGCTGAGTTGTTAAACTACACGATTTTTAAAGAAGGATATGGAATCAGAGAAAAAGAAAATAAAAAGGAAGCTTTTTTAATTCTTGAATATATTTTCTCCAGTTTTTCGATCTTCATTCAAAATGGTCAACGTTAGTCAAGAAGCAGGTGCTTTTTTTCAAACCGATGCAGAAATCGCCAAACAGAAAGAAAAGGCAGCTAAATACAATTATACAGCCGGTGAAGCTATTAAACTATCGTCGAAAGCTTTAGAGATCAAAGTAGATGAGGATGGCCAGTACCTTTATGTTGCTGAATCTGGTTTTTTTGTCAGGAAAATCTCATTAGCTGTAGGTACCTTTCTTATTTTTTGACTTTGGCTGTTGTTTTCATGCGTTGTTATTAAATCCTCTTCTGCATTCATTGCCGCAGACTTCTAAAACTGTCAAATTCTTCAAAGGGCACAAAGGGCCCGTTACAACAGTTGCAATTTGCAAAGACAAACTTTGGACAGGTTCTTGGGATAAAACAATCAAGCAATGGGATATAGCTACAGCAGAATGCCTTGCTACATTAGAAGGGCATACCGATTTTGTTAAAACGATACTTGTCATTGGCGACTATTTACTTTCAGGTTCTTCTGATTGCTTTATTCGTAAATGGCATATTAAGAATGGTGACAATAAATGCATTGCAGCGGAGAAGAAACATCGTCGTCCTATTGAAACATTGGCCCCATCTGAAAATGGAAAATACGTTTTTTCTGGTTCGTCTGATGGCACAGTCCTTCAATGGGATGTAGCGACCATGCAAGTGGTCAAATCATTTGCTGGACATGATACTAGTATTTATTGCATACGTGTGTGGGAAGAAGATTTATGGACAGCATCAGCCGATAAAACAGTTCGCCGATTCAACATTAATACAGGCAAGGAAGATATGTTGCTGGAACATCCTGATCGCGTGAAGTCAATTGCATTAGCTGGCCCTTATATCGTAACTGGAGCTAGTGATGATAACATCAGAGTATGGGATGTTGGGTCATCAAAGCTGTTATGTACAATTGAAGGACATTTTGACGAAGTGGGAAGTTTAAGTGTGCTGGGAACGATTTTATATAGTGGCTCTTTGGATTGCTCTGTGCGGAAATGGTCCTTGACAAAGGCAGCATTAGAGAAATATAATGAAGAAGCCCGTTTGCAGAAGCAGAAAAAAGAAGAAGCAAAAGATACTGCTGATGTATTGACCGAGGAAGAGGAAAGGGAACTAGCAGAGCTATTGCTTTCTGACAACGATGAATAACAGCGAAAGAAATCAAATAAATTCTATATGCATACGCCATCGTGGTGAATTCGCTTCTCATAGTAATTTTACATTCAGTGTGAATGAGGTGATACGAGAAGTTCTTAGAACACCTACGATATTTTTGAGCAGCCATATATATATATTAGTGGATATTCGTAAATAGCTGTGCATTGAGATGATGTGGATATATTTTGCAAATGAATCAACGGATACACATATGGGCATTTGGAGTCTGGCAATTTTTTTTTCAAATTGATGGAAATTGACTGTAACACGAAGTATTCTGTTCTTTTGCAATTATCTTCAAATATTTGTCAGCTTCGCTATAAAGAGCAAGATTTTCTTTTCATTTTTATAATATAAGTGTCATTGATTGAAGTAGCACTACGTAGTATAATTACGGTGCAATGCTTGCTTGCTGCAAAAGATATACATAAACTACCTTTCGTTCCTGGATTTTGGTGCGTACTCAGAATACATTGTTCAATCTAATTGGATGTTTGAAAATTTAAAGTTGCTTCGGGATGCATTTCATTTTTGCACCCAATCTAACTGTGTTTGAATCTTAATTACTCGTTTTTGATTTCAGTGCACTTCACTTGCGAAACAGTAGTCTCTAAACTCAAATCATGAACCTTTTTCTTTTCTCTCTTCCTTCTCCTTTTCTTTCTAAGGCTTGCAATTGCTTAATCCTTCCACCAATATACCACCGTATACAATTTTTTGAGACCTTAACCCACTAATAAGTGCTCTTTTCTCTTTTTTTTGGCAACTATGACGGATAATTCTCCAAGTGTCAGGAGTCGTATATCATCTTTAGCAGCTGCCGGCCTGACGAGTACACCGACAGGTCCTTCTAGAAAGCCTGTTAGCACAACCGCTACCACACCTAGGACTGCAAGCACTACGGTCAGAGCTCCCGTGACCAAGTCAGCAGCAGCAGCCACAAAAGCTTCGACCCGTACAGCCGATACGGCTACTACTAATTCGCTCACTAGGCCGACTGCAAGCTCACTTCGCGCTTCAAAAGTTCCTGCTGGTTCTTCCTCAAGGTCTGGGACAGCAACATCAACTACATCGCGTGCTACCACTACACCTGGTGTGGCCAGGAGACCAGCCCTTACCTCGTCAGGAACGGGTACAACTGGAACAGGTTCTACAGCTTCACTTACTCGTCGAACAACAGTTCCTTCAGCACGCTCATCAGTTAATTTAAGTAGCAACTCTACTTCGGCCACAAATGACAGTAGTCATAGCACTAGTAAGAAAATGACATCTCCTACCGCGTCAACCACGCGAAGTGGCCGTGCTGGTAGTACCTTAATTGCAGGCAGTAATGCTACTTCAGCCTCAGCAGCTCGTCGGTCTGTTAATTCTTCCTCAGCTTCCTCTTCCACCACCCGTACATCTCCTACCAGTAAGCGGAACTCTATCACATCTTCAATCTCCACAGCGAAAAGATCGACAGAAGTTATGGCGGAGCTGAAGCAGTTAAAAGAAAAGGTGAGCATTATCTGAAATGCCAATACAGTGAAAAGATTTGACATTCATATTTATCAAACTTGATAGACTGAAGAAATGGAGACATTGCTTAAAGAAAAACAATCCTTATTGGACAATAAGGAAGAAGAATTGAATACTCTGAAAGAAAGACTGAAAAAGATGGAAACAGGCCTAGCTACTCCTGAGGAATCAGAGGCAGTTGATGTAAAGCCAACGGAGGAGACGCAAGAGGATGATATTGTTAACAAAGAGAGTAACAATTCCGAAGATGGCGATAAGCATTTTGAAGAGGATTCAATGGAACAACGACAATTAATAGAGGAAATCATCCAGCTGAAAGCGAAAATTGAATCAGTTGAAACATCTCGTGATGAGGCCTTGAAGGAGCTGAAGGAGTCAGCTGCTTCTTTCGAGGAAGAGAAATCTCTTTGGAGCCGAAAGACCGAAGAAGCTGAAGAGATTTTGAGAGATAATATGGAGAAGCTGCGTGAAAAGCTTGAAACGGATAAACAAGAACTCAAGGAAGAGATTATAGAAAAAGAAACAGAAATTGCCAAATTGAAAAAAGAGCTCGATGAATTGCGCGAGAGTGTTCAGGTAATACGTACCAGATAATACTGAGTCATTCGCAGTTACTGATTCCGAGTAACTACTCTTACTCTACTTTTTGCTATGTAGGAGATGCATAAATCTCATCAGACAAGATTAACCAATCTGAGCAATCAATTAAACGAGCAACATATGAATCAAGTAGCTAGTTTGAAAGAAGATTATGAGCATCAGCTCAAGGCTCTCGCAGAAGAGCTAGATAAAGCAAAACAACAGCAGCAGGCAGTTTCCTCTGTAGCTGATAATGAAGAAAAAGATAGTTCCGAATACGAGTCTTTGCTAGCCAAAATAGAAGAGTTCGAGAAACTTTCGGAAGCTGATAAGATTCAGCATGAGAAGGAATTAGACGAACTCAAATCAAAAGCAGCCATTGAACTGGAAGAACTTAATGCAGAACATCAAACAAAGCTAAAGGACACTGTTGACTCATTAAAGGTATACAGATATGGGGAACATATAAACTGATTTTTTCTGTATTAATACCCTTGCGGCAATTTTACAGAGAGAAATCGAACTTCTCGAATCTACTCATAGAAAGCAGCTAGAAGAACTCAATGCAATGCATACAAATGAACTGAAGGAACTGCAAGTGACAATTACTGAAGTTGAGATTAAAAGAATTCGCGACGAAGCAGAGGTAAAGCACAGAGACATTATGGGCATAAACGGAAGACATTTTACTCAAGAGAAAAAATTAATGAACAGAAACAATGCAATGAGCAAATGGATAAAAAAATTACTGAATTGGAAGCGGAACATCAGTCAGAATTGGAAAAATTGAAGGACAAACAAAAAGAAGCCGAAATTCAGGTTGCCAGAATTACGGAGAAATTTACCAAAGAGATCGCCATGATCAAAGAAGAAGAAGAAATCCTTTTGAAGAATATTAAAGATACAGAAGCGGTAAAACTAACATAAAAAGAAAAAAAAAATAAGAAAAAGTAGAAATATAAGGGAATAATATTGATCGAAATTTGCCATCAGGAACGTATCACCGCAATATATGAAGCAAAGCTCGATGAACTGTCGAAGTCTCATTCAGAAGCATTGCAACAACAAAATTCTGAAGCTGAAGAGAGTTTGCGGCTTGAGATCGAAAAGCTAAAGTCTGTTCATCTTGAAGAGATACAAAAGCTCACCGATGATCATGTTGAGGCTTTCAAAGAAGCGAAGAGTAAAATTGACTCAAGCGTCAGATCAGATATCGAACGACAAAGTCGGGAAATATTTGACCAAAAGATTGATCAGCTAACTAAAAGTCATCAACAAACAATTGAGCAATTAGAAGCACATCATTCGACACAAATAGAGCAGCTAGAAGCGGAATTGAAAGTAGCTAAAAAGAAGCATGACGAACTCATTATTGAGCATGAATCCAAGCTGGCAGAATTACTGAAAGAACGTGATAGCCATTTAGAATTGATCCAAAAAGAAGTAGAAGACGCTCTTCGAGCGGTGCACCATGCTGAAATTACTCGTTTGAATACTGAACACGATTCGAAATTGAATGAAGCTAAACGGGATTACATTCTTCAACGTGATAGGGAACGCGATTTATTAGAGGAAAAACATAGAAAGGCTATATCTGATTTAGAATTAGCTCAAAGCGAGAATTTGGCTTCCTTGAAATCTGAGTATGAGAAGCAATTAAAAGAATCTCTTCAACAAACTCAATCAAAACTAGACCAACAAGGAGACGAAGCTGAACAAGCCATTGAGCAACGTTATCAGGAGAGAATGCAGGAATTAAAAACCAAATATGAGAGCGAAATAACTCAGTTAGCAAAGGAAAATGAAAAGCTTCGCTTAAAAGTTGAGGAAGATATCAACATCTTGAAAGCGACTCACCAGAAGCAATTAGATGAGCTTGAACAAAACTTTAAATCCTTAGCAGGAAAGGACGAGGATGTGTCAACAATCAAAGCAGAATTTGAAAAAGAAATTGCTGATCTGAAAAAGCAGCATTCTGAAGAACTGGCCGAAGCAGCTCAAAAACATGAAAGAGAGATTCAAGATATACACCTTTCTGCTCTTGAAGAACTAAAACTGGAACATTTAAGGCAGTTAGAAGCATGCCAAACCGATAATATAAGACAGGTAGAACTCGCATCAGGAGAACTGAAAGCCAACTATGAAAAGATGCTTAACAAAGAAACCAGTAATATAAAAGAACAGTACGAACAAGATATCAAATTACTCAAAGAACAACAAGCCCAAAAAATCGATGAATTACTTCAAAAGCACGCCGATGCATTGCGAGTGATGCAACAAGAGATTGATAAAAAAAGTGATACTCTAGTCGAACTTGAGAAAGCTAATAGTAATACTGAAAGACAACGATCAACAGAGGTCGAAGATTTAGAAATCAAATATTCACAAGCATTGGAGCAATTGGATATACTAAAGGGATCAAGCTCAGAAGAGTTGGAAATGCTATCACAAAAGTATGATGTGGAACTGAAAGAGTTGAAAGGAGCTCAAGAGCAATTAATCGTGGAAAATGAGCAAAAATTGAAGGATCAGCAGCAGGCTCACGAAAAAGCTCTCAAGGAAACCAATATGAAGCATAGTGCTGCACTAAAAAAGCTCGATGATGAGTATAGAGGCAAACATGAAAGCGAACTTAGCATTATAAAAGAAGAGTTGCGAATGAGTTTTGATGAGAAGTTGCTAAAATTGCAGAATGATCACGACTTGAAGTTGAAGAAAATAGAGGAAGCTCATAAAAACGAGCTAACAACTTTAGAAGCTAGCAAAATGCAGTTGATTGAAAGCCTACAAGAAGAGCTTGCTGCCTTAAATACAAAAAATGAACAACTCAAAGAAAAGTTAGAAAATATCGTTACACAGCATAAAACCGCTATTGATAGTATGATAGAAAACCATGATAAAGACATTGAAGCTTTGAAAGGCAATCATGAAACGCATCTGAATACAGTGACAATTGCACATGAAGAGGCGATTGAACAATTGCAAAAAAGTATTGAACTCAAGTCTCTTGGTAATGCCGACAAAATTAAGGTAACTTAAATATAACAATTGCCTTCCTTATTGAACGCTAAAATGCCGTCGTCATTACCCTTGTTGTTAAGGCTGACTTACAAGAGAACTATGATAAGATAATACAAAAAATCAAGGCTGAACACAATGAAGTCATTGAAAGCATGAAAAAAGAACACGAAGAAAGGCAACAAAAATTGACCTCTGAAATGGAGATTCAATCTGAAGTATTAAGATCCGAAATCGAGGTAGGAAGAATATTGACATTATACTGTCTTCAGATACCAATCTTTGAAACTTACCTCCTATTTATTGTATAGACTGAAATAGCAGAGAATTATGAAAAACAGATGCAGCAGCTAATAACGAAGCACAACAACTCGAAAATTCAGTGGGATAACGAACTTGGAGCCGCCAAAGGAGCCCTACAAACAGCAAACACACAATACGAGGCTGATAAAGCAGCATTAGAAACAAAATACCGTGCAAAAATAGATGCTCTTCAGAACGAGCTGCAAATGCAGGCTGAAACTATGGCAAAGAATAATGATGAGGTTATAGACAAATTGCAACAAGAAATAGATTCTACACAAGCGAAATGGCAAAAAGAACATCAAGAAATAATTGTTAAACTTCAGTTAGATCACGATAGCAAGATAAAAGAGCTTGAAGAAAATCATAAAGAGTCTATTCAAGTGCTTCAATCGAGCCTTCAATCTATCACCAAGGAGCTAGAACGGGTAAACAAACAATGAACCAATTGTGAGTAAGATTGAAGTGAGATAAATTGACATATTGGATTTACATATAGATAATTGCTGAAAATAAACAAAAAGATCAGGAATATGCCAAAAAAGCAACCGAATACGAGGAAGCTTTAGCGATAAAACAGAAAGAACAGGGTGAGTTGACTTCTAAGCTGGAGAACCTTGAAAAAGAAGTTGAGCGCAATAACTGCAATGCCGAGGAGTTGAATACTCTCAAAATAGCCTATGAAAAGATGATTGCTGCCAAGGACAAAGAAATCAAAGAAGCAGAGGAGCGTATTGAAGAAGCCTCGATGAGATCTAAGCAGTTGAAGGTAACTCTTCATTAAATCGACTCTTTAATTTAAACGTATTAATTGCTAATGATGACTATACTTTGCAGGATCAGGATGATAGAATACAGACAATCGTTAATCAACATCAAAAAGAAATTAATGTTCTTCAGACGCAATTTCAACAGTTGCTCGACATTAAGGATAAGGAGCTTGAAAACTTTTCTTATCGTCTTAAAACTGTAACAACAACACAACAAAAAGACATGGAAAAGATGAATGAAGAATATAAAGATAAGCTAGCTAAAGCAGAAGCAGAAGTTCAAAAGAAAGATGAGATTTTGAAATCAAAAGAATTAGAAATGAGATGGATGTCTGCAGAATTTGAAAGTTCTGAGGTAACGCAAAGCATTACGATAACGTTTAGCTCAAAATAATTCGTATTTCTTAGCGGCTATGATTTATCTCAAAATATTTAGGTCAAATTGAAGGATCAGAGCCATAAGATAGAAAAACTGGAGATAGACAATAGCCATCTAACCCAGAATGTAATTCAATTAAAGGAAGAGAATGAGCAAATGTTAAGGTACAGTTTAGTGTTCAGTAAGTTCTATGAAGAATGTATTCTCATACTGTAAGCTTTCCCAATCAAAATAATAGGCTTATTCATCAACTTCAAAGTGAGATGCATCACATTCGATAAACGCTCGATGGCATTGAAAGCCTACATTTCATTGTTTTCTTCTTATATCAATAAAATATAAACGTTCAAGTCTTTGTTTGCTATTTTAAAGCCTGAGACCCTCTATTTCAAGCCCCTTTTTTCTTCTATGTGTTGCCTTGTAGAAATTTAACATAGCAAAATATTGACGGATATATCAGTATGTTCTGTAACTTATTGTTGACAATCATATAGTTTATTTACTATTTCAGAACATTAAAAGCGAAGCTTGCGTTACCAAAATCTGATTGTACTTTGCGTAATCATTGTTGGTTTGATCGATTTGAAAGACAATTTTGACGCAATTTCTAACTTGACCTGGATACGTTTAACTATTTAATCAATTAACATTGTATGTTTATAGCTAGTTTTTCGTATCAATTTTTTTCAAAGAACTGATACATGATCTTTTGCACGAAAGAAGATAGCACATCTTTTTCTTCTTGATAGAATGACATAATGATGGCCATCGCAATACTAGTCATTACAACCTCAAAATGCTTTAGCTTGAAAATCCAGCTATGAGAATAAGCTATGTGGTAGAAACTGTAAAAGGCTTTTGGTAATATGTAGAGTGCTAATTCGCTACGTCTTTTCTTTTCTTCAAAGAAAATAGCAGGGTAAGAATTGAAAACGCCGGCCAGAAAATATAAATACTTGGGGTTCCAGTTACCGATCCAGCCAGTCTTGACTATTTGCCTATGCATACATATAGCAGTTTGATATAGAGTTATAAAACTGGCCATGAACGCACCTGATCTCAAAGTAGATATGGCAGTTTTCTTAATCATGTAACCAGGGCTAATTGAAACGAAGGAGTATCAATCACAAGGGTAAGTGCAGCAGTCTGTCAGACAGTTAACACGAGATCCTATATACTTACTCTGAAATGAAATGTTTTCTGCGGAGCAAAAGCATGGGGACAAAATGTAATGTACCGTATACGGGAAGGAAAGCTTTAAACACCTTGATAAACCTCTCAATATTAGTAATACAGCAACTGTTGTTCCAAGGATGTATTACTTCACTAATAAATGTCGATTAAACGCATTAGAATACAATGCTTCCCTTTTTCCAAACTTCTAACAGATACTTACCATGGAATCACAGGTACTTGAGTTGAGGGAATCCCGCTTGCTACTTCTAATGCCTGTTTGGTAGGGTGTAACTTTTTGACAACGGACATAGTCTCTTCTGACGCAATAGGAGTACCCCTTACCGACTTGGCATTTAGTAAAAGGCTTCCTTCAGGACATTGTGCTGCGTTGACCATAAATTTGTAAAAGTCAGGCGGCAGAGTATCCGGTCGCATTGTGTATGCATAAAGAATCTGAGCGCCTGCTATACCATACAGTAATGCATCACCATTTCTACAATAGAAGATATTTCTAGCTTTGCCTGCGTTGTAAAGGGCTTGTAGGGCTCTAATGGTGGATGCAATGTCAATAATTCAAAGTAATATTTACATTATTCGAAAAACTTTTTCACCTGACGAATAGCTGCTGGGCAATATCAATCCTTCGCTCTTTTTTCTCTACCATGATACTTAGACCAGCTATAGCACCGCTCACGAACCCATTCAAACGATCATCTTTCCCACGGCACAATCGCATACTATTATTGACAAATTTCCATAATAGAGCAAATAGCCCAAACATGGCTCCAAATCGTACTGAGTCTAAGTTCTTAAACGAAACTTCCAGAATACGACTCCATCGGCCCCTTAGAAATTAATATGCTTTTCAGTCGGATCAAAAATTCGGATGGTTTTCCAGGAACAGAATGAGCAAGATTTCTTTTACCTTTTTTGTACTATCCTCGTCAAGTATAAGCAGAAATTAATGCCAGCTCTTACACCATATGCCAATAAGAATGCACCTAAAAATTGTATACGATGATAAACATTATTTGGGTGATCAATCTCCCAAGCACTTCTCAGAAGTACAAAATGTATAACGTTCGTAGATTACGTGCTCCTCCCCTAAGAGAATGTTGTAGTACCTCGTTCGGTGTTTTTGGCATTTTCCAATTTTTTTTATCGACAGTTTCAGGCAAATTCCGTTTTAATCTTCCTTTCAAGCGCTGATATGAACTTACTCGACGTGGAGGTGCATCTTCTCTTAGAATTAGTGTTTTATCAGCTGCTGAGACTGTCATCGTAACTGGTACTCAGCAATTGCTGACCGTTAGTATGATAATTAACGCAAAATGCAGGAGAATAGAGGATATAGCAAAGAAGAAAAGAAAGGGATTATTTCGAGTAGAAGAGATCAAGAACCTTTTTCGTCGGCTCTGTATCACTTTTACCATATCTCTAATGTGTTTGTTTCTTTATTTGCTTCCTTCGTTCTAATTGGCTGTTGGGGGCAATTGTGACAGACGTTTACCCCACAACGGCAATTCACATGTCTGTTGCCAATGCAGCTGGTGCAAGACTCAATCCTATACAATGTTGTAAAATGCTTTATTGACGATACTGAATTGAAATTTGTGGGATTAAACAATTAAATAATGAATATGCTAAAGTGAAGAAGGAGATATTAAAGAATAATAAGTAGATACTGTATAGACGTAATAGAATGTTAATTAAACATTTTGTACAGGGAGTGGTTCATCCAGCACTGGCATTCATGATTCTTCTTGACACACAATAGGCCAAAGGTAGGTATCTACGAAGGACATAACAAAATGTAAGCATTGTTTTGAATAGCAAAGTAAATATTGCATGTTACTTACCAATGGTTTCAGGCGCAATTAGGTATTTAATAATTAATGGAGTCTCTCTTTCATAAATCTTTAAATACAGATAACGTTAGCTCTTATTGATCAAAGCATTTCAACGCATGATATTTACCGAGAAATAAGACTCAAAAGTACTCAGTTTCTCTTTCTCTGCCGGAAGGTCAGCAACAATAACTAAACATACATAGGTACAATTAGCGTTTTGCGAAGAGTGAATAAAGTTAAGGCATCGATGTATGCTTACCCAGATCAACTGCGGGGAGATATATATTTTCCTCTTGAAAGTTCAGATTCATATCTATCATAACTACTTGTACTGCTTTACTAATGTTGTAAGCTTCAGCTCTCTCGTGAGCATCCTGTAGATTATTTAATACAGAGCACTTCATCTATGAAGGCAAAATAATCAGACACTTTATCTGCAATAGCACACATATTTCACACACAAATTACCCTTCTTTGCTTCATCAATTCTTCTATCGCTTTTAAGGTATCATTATCGAAATATCCAATGGCAATTTTCGGTCTTCTGTACGTTTCGAAAGCATAATCAATGTAATTAAATATTGGTTTCCTTTTTGCTATGTTTGTCATTTTCAACTAAAAATCATGAGTACAAAGCATTAGTATGAATAAATAAATAGTTGTAGATTGGATACTTCATTCATTTACCAGATCATTTTCTTGAATGTATTTGTCCAATGTGTGCTCTTCTATTCGCAGTCGGCGCATATGTGCTTGTAATGTCTTCTTTTCTTCTGTATTATCCTCCAAAGTCAAAATAATTCGTTGTCGAACGACTTTTGGAAGTTCAGATTTCATGTCAATCAATTTTGGGCAATACCAAATTTTAGAATCTAGAATGAGCTGGAATTCATCTACATTGGACCTTCCTTTACAGAAAATGTATGAGTACGTAAAGTAGGAAAATACATACTGAAATTATACGCTTACCATTTAATGCCCAGCCAAATACTGTGCTTTTAGGATTGCAATAACGCTTCGTATACAAATCCAAATCGGGATACCATCTGCTATCAACAGCATTAATCAAAGAATACAGATCAATAGGAAGCATAAACGACGCTTGATCTGACAATAAAATGGCCCTTGGGTGCGATTGAAGTAATGTACAAAGGTTTTTTGCTTCGTTGATCTACAGTTTTTATAAACAAAACATTTTAACAAAGCGTTTGGCAACTTCACAACATGCTTCAGCTTTCCCTTTACTGCTGACTCTTACATCTTTATGCTTTAGATAATGACTTCCATCACAAATCATTAGATTAAACTTTTGTTCCATAATCTTTGATTTATTCTTGGATGCCTTTCGGTGACTAACAATGTAGAATTTGACGGGAAGGGAAGGCCTTATTCCTACTTCAAGCTCTCCACATTCTCTATTTTTGGCATGTGTACTCTCACTATTCTCAATCTCATTCTCTTCTTCTTCTTCTTCTTCTTCTTCTTCTTCTTCTTCTTCTTCTTCACTTTTCTCCTCATACGAAGAATCGCTACTATCTGATATGTGTCCTTTCTCCATTAATTCTCTCATTCTCTGTTTATAAGGTTGTCGTATCCTGTTCCTCGGTTTTTTCTGTGAAGAGGAGGAATGGGTCCGGGATGGACACTTTCTCTTTTTAGTTGTTTCGTTGTTCTTCGTTGCCGATAGATTATTTCGTTTCTTTTTCAAGCTTGGTAGTTGCGCTTTGAACAAAGCGGTCGTCACGTTATCTAAGATACAGACTTCCTCATCTTCAAGACCCAAAAATTTTTGTATTTCCTCTTTCCAAGTATTACACAACACTTCGTGGCAACTTAGGAAGACGGGCTTTCCGTCATTGTAGAGTTCGCTCAACGCTAATACTGGCTCCATCATCCCTACACCGTGCTCGTTTCCAAATAGAATACGTCCTCGTCTTTCAATGGCTAATCGTACTGCTTCCCTTTGGAAACCTGTCAGTCGGTTTCGTATAGGGTTTTCTATGAATTCAGTCCACTTCATTTCTATATCTCCCATACTATCGCCACCTGTAGCCAAGACTTCTGGTTCACACATCATGCCGTCTATCAAAGTATCAGGAAGTGGATCAATGTCAAGATGAATGTTGGGTATACTGGTAGGTAGCGCAGCTAAAGCTTTTTCATAGTTGTAGAGAGTGGCGGGAATTGTCCATAACTCTAGCTGGTCGTTCCACTCAATTTGGTCGATTCTTGCGATCACTGGATCGACGGTCAAATTCTTTTGAGCCTTGATGCCTATTCGTGATCCAGGCAGCAAACTGAAGGCAATTTTGACATGGCTTGGTGGCAGCACATTCTCGTGACCTTTCGTGTAGTCATGTGGAATAGAAGGGGGTCGTTTAAGCAAGTTGGCTAAAGGTGCAGCGGCAGCATAAGCTTCGACGGGGTGGCGAATGAAGTTGTAAGCTGAATCGTCCCACTTAAAGAACCTGCAGGTGCCTGTTGCGCACTACATGTATGGAAAAGAAAATTCAAATTCGTACGATGGGCATTGCGAAGGAAAGTAAAAGAGTACCACGCGTTGAATAGTTGACTTCCAATACAGATTCACTACTATCTATGCTGTTACCTTCCAATACCAGCGACCTCTGTTAGGGCCGGGCTTGTGTACTTCGAAACAGGTAGCTGGATATCCACAGCGGCAGTTGGGCATCGAAATACTTTTGTTTCTGCGTGTGCTTTGATCAACAGCAAGTCTCCAAAAGATAGGGACAGAAAAAAGTGGAAGCAAATTCTATTGCGGAGTGATTCAATTGCCCAAATTTCCAGTAAGTCAGTTCATCCGCCAATGCTCATTCCCTTTTGTGATAAAAGATTGAGAAAATACATTATTTTTATCACAAAAGAACTTAAAGTGCGAGCGCTCAGACTTTCTATAATACCTGCATAAATTAAGGGGTAAACAAAAAAAAGGGGTCCAACAGGACTATGAACTTACAAATTCATTGTTTGAATCCCTTTTGAAAAAGAAGCAAGTAGATGGCCCTACTGCCATTTTATGGCGTTCTGTTACAGTCTACTGGAAGAAAAAGTAAACTGACTCATATAACGTAAATCCGCATAGATTTACGTTATAGTTTACTAATCAAGCAACAACTTCTAATGGAGTGCTTTCATGCAGGAAAGGAGCGGTCTGTGTTTTGATGCAGACGGAGCAGCAAATTTTTTGATAGTGTCCTGAACTGCATATTGTCAACTGGATCAGCTTTTAGGATTAGCTTTAGATTACAAAATTGCCAAAAGTCAATGAAGTTCCTGCCATCTGAAAAACTAAGTAAGCCAGAAATTGAAATGCCAAAAGTAGTGTACACACGTGTGACAATTGTCTCATATTCTACGAACCCGATCAGCGGAGAACGTTCATGGCTATATTATTTTCAACTTGAATTCAGAGGTCGACCGTGATGCGCTACAGAAAGTCTTTGGTCAGTTCGGTAATCTTGTCGAGATCCAAATCCGAAAGGACGATGAAATTAAGGCTGCAGTCATATACAGGTCTGTCAGCTAGGCTTCTTCAAATGCAGGTTGCTGGGGGAAAACCTAACTTGTAGCTAACACTTTTTTGAATTTGACAGCTCACAACCCTCTGACCAACTATTTACTCAATCGATTTATATCCATGGTCGTCTTATTTCTGTTCGACCTTTGTCTATGGCCGAATACATTCGCGGTTGTAGTCAACCTGTTCATGCTGACAAGCTCTCTCTCGGTGGTTTAAACTCTCCACAAGTGTTTATTGAAGAATGGAGTACAGATCAATATGTACTCTTCGATCTCAATTTAAATGAAAACTATATGGATATCTTTTTCGCTCATATCGATGCCTATTATCGTGTTCGGATTGTGTATGATAATGAGTTAAAGAACTCGCTGATGTTACAGCGCTATCATAATATCACATCCTTAACTATCAGCGGTAAATATCCGGCCTACTTCTGGCGATCCAAAGTGCCTGTGCAGAGGATAGAAAATCTTAATCTTTACTATTTGTCAAAGTGGGAGAGGATAACAGAGATTCCGATGGATGATTTTTCCAGAGATATGATCCGACATAAGACGACAACGAATCCCAAATGGAAGAAAGAGCCTGTCACTCCAGACGGACAATTTCCTGAATACTTGATGAAACTTAACATGTGGACTGTGTACCGCTTAGAATTCCAAATACCCTTCAGCCATTCATCAAACCATCTCGGGGAACATTGTTTAACTCACGAGATGTTGGAACGAAAATTGAGCTTGGCTGCTGGAGTATCCATAGGGGGTGATCAACATCATGCTGAGATTCTTGTTCGACCCCCTAGCAAAACGCCTCAAGTGGACGCTCAAATTGCCTCTATCCCCTCTTTCAACGTGAGATACATGCTAGAACATGCTTTTAATTTGAAGATATTACGCGCATACAATGTGTCAACTGATTTCTTTGAAAAGATGCGCCAATTTCCCCCACAAGTCAGTTGTATGTTTTTATCCATTTTATCGGCGCCTCAACAACGTATTTACAATGTGGATGCGGCCATCGCGCAAGCGTATCGATTATGTAAAGCACAGATTGGTTTTCAGCAGCCTTTGCCGGATGGGTATGTGCTCCTCAGACGCGTGATTGTCACACCCACCTCTATTTATCCTTTACAGCCAACAGTGGAAAGAATGACACACTTACAACGTCAGTTTCAACAGCATGCTGATCGATTTCTAAAGGTTTACTTTACTGATGAAGATTTATGCCCATTGATTCCTTATGAAACCCATAACCATAACGAAGCCATGCCTACTGTAGAGTCTCGAAATAGCAAAATTTATGAGCGTATCTATACTGTATTAAGGAGAGGGCTGAGGATTGCCAATCGATTCTACGAATTTCTTGGCTCATCACTCACGGATACACAAAGTCATAGTTGCTGGTTTTTCGCACCCTTGGAAGAATGCAATCGAAATGATATATTACGTCAAATGGGTGATTTCTCCGAGATTCAAACAGTAGCAAAATATGTCAGTTGTACAGGGCAGGTAAGACGGATACCCTCAAAAGGCTATTTATTCTTCTTAAGAACGAAATCATTCATGCTTGTGCTACTTTTTTTTTTTTTTTATTTCCGTGGATGGAATAGAGTCATCAGCCTGCACTACTCAATCTGGTCATTGATTTGAGTGAGATAGAAGAAATTGACGATTTTATTCGAAACGACTGTAATTTTAGCAAAGAATGCGGGAAAATGTCACCTGAGATTGCTCGTGAAATCAGTAAACGTCTCGATATGAATTGTACACCCAGTGTTGTAAAGTTCAATCTTTGTGGCGCAAAAGGCATTCTGATGCTCTCCAATTATTTAAAAAAACGTAAAATACAGCTTAGAAGTAGTCAGATACAATTTAAAAGTGAGGATACGACTTTGGAAGTGATCAAGGTTTCGAAGCCGAACAAGCTTTTTCTAAATAACAGATTTATTACCATTTTGTCTTCTATGGGCATCAGAAACTACGTTTTCGATGACCTTTTGGATGAAGGAATGGCCTTTGTTGAAAAGCATATGAACGTTGAAGGCAAAGATCATTTGAATTTGATGATAGAACACTACTCGAATGGTGGTTTTCATTCCTTTGAACAAATTATTAAAGAAGGGGATTTTACAGCACGGTGCGATCCTTTTATCACGAATCTAGTCCGTTCATTTCAAAACCAATTATTGAAAGGCTGGAAAGAAGACACGAGACTGTATGTTCACAAAGGTGTACGAGTATTTGCTATTATGGATGAAACCAACACGCTGGCGAAAGGAGAGGTATTCTTACAAATTACGAGAAACCGATATGGCACAGTACTTTCACGTCACGTAATACAAGGTCCATGTGTGGTATTTAGGGAGAATTCTTGCTTTCCTTCAGATGTAAGAGTAGTTCATGCTGTGGATTACAAAGAGCTACGACATTATGTAAATGTTTTGGTGTATTCAGTATACGATTTATGTGACCTACCGTCCATTTGTTCAAATGATGCTCCAGATGACGATAACTTCAAGTAAGTCGTTTGGAATGTGTATTGCTATTGCGGGTAATGTATGTATATACTAAGGAACCCCCCCCCATCTTTCTTATGGGTTATACATAGTATTATTTGGGATAAACGTTTGATTCCTCCTAAAGTCCATCTAACAGATCACAGAAACTATACAACGGTAGTATCTCCTAAAAGTCTGAAAAAGATTTCATTCACGGAAGCTGCCAAGTTCTTTACAACATACATATCAAAAGATGTATCACCCATTTTGAAAGAAGCCTATATAGCGCTCGCAGATTGGCATAAAGAAGGCATATTCAACGGTGCATGTATACATTTATCACAGCAAATCAATCGTGCTTTAGGTAAAGAAATGGATTGTTGAAAAATAGGTTTTTGAATGCGTGCTAATACACTACATACACTCGCCCCCTTTTAGATTTTGTCAAAACAGGTGTTTATGCTAGCTTAAGCGATGAGTCTCGTCAATTTCTATACCCCGACTTTATGAAGCAAAGTGACTTGAATTCCTATACTTCTGATAAACCCGTCGGCCGCATATACCGAAAGGTGAAGGAGTATCAGTATCAAAGTCTTGCTTCAGGACAATGCGTTTATGATCCGCGTCTCTACGTTGATGATATGTACAGATACATCAAAGATGCTCGCAAAACCAAAGCAAAATATGACCATAGTCTTCGGTTATTACTAGCTCAGTTTTCTGTTGAGACAGAAATTGAATTCATAACGGGCCATATCATCCTTTGGCCAAAGTATCTACCTGAGAATGAAAAGGACGTGTATTGTACAAGAATCCGATCTGCCTTTCTTAACTTTCGAAAATACTGGAAAGACGTTTTTGAATCTGAACTCAACTTGACCTATGACAAAAAATTAGAAAACCAACGCGAAGCTAAAGCAGCAGCGTGGTATTACGTTACTTACCATCCATCAGAATATACCAAGACAACAACAGCCATATACCCGTCTTCTGCAAGCCATTATCTAAGCTTTCCCTGGGTTGTAGATAAAGAAATAGCACATATTGCAATGAAAAACTCAAAGAGACCTATCTTGCCAGAGCATTCACGACCCATACCACCAGAGAAGATCGAGCAGCATATTGACTCTGTTGCCCTTGTGCTCGACGATGACGAGGATGAGGATTCCTCTTCTGAGGAAGAAGAAGAAGAAGAAGAAGAGGACGAGGAAGGAAATGAAGGCCTGAAGCAACGATTTGAAGCTAATAATAGCAAACAAGCATGCTCCTCCTCTCCATCCTTATTTATCACTCGTCAAGAGAGCATAGATTCTGATAGCAGTAGTCATCCTAGTAGTTCTCCAAGTGAAGATGACATAGATGACGAGCCTGCTATTGTCAATATCAAATTAGCTGATCTTAGCTTTTCAGATTTGTGAATAAAAAAAAAAAGAAATCTCGTTTTTTTCCACGATCCAATGTTTCACCTTGCAAATGGGGAAAAAAGAATAAACAGAAAGCTGGATCCGAAGAAAAAAAAGGATTCCACGGATTTCCTTTTATAGTTGAACAATCGAATCAGGAACATTCCTGCTGGAAAAGGGTGTGCTTGCTTTGTATCACTGGTATTGATTCACATATTTCGCGGTTTTTTTTTTTTTTTTTTTTTTTTTTTTTTTGTTCGCATTTAAACCGCTGCACGACAGTTCTTTTCTTTCTATTCTTTGATCTATTTTTTTTGAATTTTCACTGCTACAACAGACTATTAATTGATGTCCATGTCAATCCAAGGCAAGGAAGATTTGAAAAATGACTATTCTCTTAAAGAAACAGAGCATCAAACTGGCATAGAGTTAAATGAATATGGTGAAGGGTTTGTGGAACCTACAGAAGACGATTGGAAAAATCTGAGAGAAGTCGCGGATGATATACCCAAGGCAGCTTATTTGGTCATATTGTTGGAGTTCTGTGAGCGATTCACATATTATGGCCTAACAGGACCCTTCCAAAACTACATCCAGCATCCCAATCCACCAAGCTGTACGTTGCAAAGGAGAAGCATGATATATTACTGCGCTAGATAGACTCACCGTCTTTTTTTTTTTTTTTTTGTCTTGTTGTGTAGATCCCGCTGAGACTCCAGGCGCTATGGGTAAAGGTCAACAAACGGCTACCGCACTGACTACCTTCTTTCAATTTTGGTGCTATGTAACGCCTATCATTGGTGCGATCATTGCTGATCAATACTGGGGCAAATACAAGACTATTCTCGTTTTCTCTGGTGTCTACCTACTAGGGCTTCTCATTCTTACATTGACAGCCATACCAGCTGCCATTACGTCTGGGGCTACCTTCCCTGGGTTTATTGTCGCCATTATTATCATTGGTCTAGCTACGGGTGGTATCAAATCCAATGTCTCTCCTCTCGTCGCTGAACAATATAAGAATTCCAAGCCTTATATCAAAACAATTCAAAAAGGTGGATCACAACAGCAAGTCATTGTATCTCCTCAAGCAACCTATCAGAAACTTTTCAACTATTTTTACTGGGGTATCAATTGTGGCTCACTGGCTGCCATCACAACAGTTATATTGGAAAAAAATGTTGGTTTCTGGGCTGCCTATCTTTTGCCTACCATCGTTTTCATACCCGGTATTCTCATTGTTCTGGCAGGAAAGAATCTCTATGTGATTAACCCACCTCGTGGATCTATCTTCATTGAAGCTAGCAAAGTCATTCGTTTATCTTTTAAATATGGTTTAGAAGGTTGTAAACCCTCCAATTTACGCATGGATCATCCAGAAGCAATTGACAAGGTCACATGGGATGACGTTTTTATTGACGAACTTCGCCGTACGATCAAGGCTTGCAAAGTATTCTGTTGGTATCCCATCTACTGGTTGTGCTACTCTCAAATGACGAACAATTTGGTCTCTATGGCTGCCACGATGCAAACAGGAAATGTTCCTAACGATATCATGCAGAATATCAATCCTCTCACTCTCGTTCTCGTTATTCCTATCGCGAATTCATTCTTCTACCCTGGTCTTCGTAGAATCGGCATCACTTTCGGTCCTATGAAGCGAATTGCTGTCGGCTTCTTCTTTGCAGCTATAGCCATGGCTTACTCTGCTGGTATACAGGCTCTTGTCTATAGCAAACCGCCCTATTATGATCACCCTACTGGCAACAAAAATGATATCTCAGCCGGCTACATTGTACCTGCCTATATCTTTATCGCTATTTCAGAAATCTTTGCCTCCATCACAGGTCTTGAATATGCCTATCGTAAAGCTCCTGAAAAGATGAAATCGTTGATCATGGCTGCCTTTTTACTGACCAATTGTTTTGGCTCTATACTTGGATTTGCTCTTGTTACTGTTGCGGTGGATCCTAAACTTATGTGGATGTACGCCGGTATTGCCATCGCCATGGGTATCTGTGCTCCCTTATTCTATTTCTGTCACGGTAAGAATGATAAATCTGATGTAGCTGAGGATGCTATTGGTACCAGAGACGACGCTGAGGTGGTTGCTGAATATGAAGTTGAAAACAAGCCCGCAGTTTAAAACCATGGTTCATCATTTCATTTCCCCCATATTCACACTTGCTTTTTATAAGTTACTTTGTTGTATCTATTATTTATCATCGTAATACAATCTGTTCGTTATACCTGTTAGAGTAGTAGTAATAAGATAATCTCTAAACAACAAGTATTATTCATGTAATAAAATCATCTATTTCTCTGACAATGGTTGGAGTAGACTTTAGGTTTTTCTTTTTTTCTTCTTAAGCTTCTAGAATTCGCCTTGAGAGCGATGGAAAAACGGGGAGGCATTTTAATAACATTGATAAGAGTACATTTAAGTGTGGCCAAACTTAGTAGAAAACGCTTCTGTTGAGAAACATCTCCGCATAGTATGACTTTCCTTTTAACCGTAAAATACTTGACAGCTAATGTTGCTGTCATTATCCTTTTTCTGCTGAGAGTTAGGAAACGGGGGCGCACCTAACGACTGCGGACATTGCCACAAGTGGGGTAACTAGGGCTGTTTATAGCTGCTCTATTACTATTCAACTGGGCCGTTCCTACTGAATGTATGCTTAGCATGTTCTCTTCACAAGCGAATAGTATTCCCACTGGTTTATTACCTTTTGCGTGGATTTCGTATTCACCGATGAAATGAGGTGTTTGAATCAGGGACATGCGATATTTTTTTACAATGATAATGGGGATATACATGAGAATAATATCGTTCTGCTGGTCTACCCATTTTCAAATCTAATGTTCTGTAAATCAATTTTTAAGTGTCCATCCCCGTTCATATACTGTTTGCTATTGACCCTTCTTTTGTTAGCTATTTTCAGAGCACTGAACAGGAAGTACTTTTGATAGGGTAGAAGAAATTGAATCTACTTCAATCATTGTAAACACTTTGCAGACAGCATTTTTAAAGATCTCTAAGCTGGGAATATTTTGAAGAACAATGTACTCTGCAGACTCTTAGAAATTGAGAATACTGCAGAAACATACTTTCATGTCTATGGAATGTTGATTCTTCTATTTCGTTTGTTTCCTCAAATGTAGGTCTAGTAAAAGCTATCAGGTGCAATGTATTTGGTCAACATAGTGCTGCAGCTTTATAAAACACATACTATGAGTGTTTTCATAAGAAATCAAATATGACGGCTTTTATAAAATCACAATAACTACCGGTGATTATCGGTACTATCAGCATCAATACAATCACAGAAAACTTGTTACAGTGAACAAGCACGTTGAATAAAAAGCCTAACGTAGTCGTACACACTTGGTTTTCAATTAGCCTTTTAGATTTTTATGATTTCTCTAAATCTATTAACTAATGGTAAATATCTACTCTGTGGGGCTTTTCTAATTTTAAATCACTTTTACAGGCTAATCTCTATCTGATATTTAATGAACCTTCTCTGAACCAGACATAACAGAAATAAATGTTTTAATCAACAGATTGCCCTGTTAGTCATCGGACAATCATCGGTCACACAAAGGCAGGCACCAACAAATGAGCGGCGTGCTATTTATTTACGTTGGTTACTGCCACCGATGTGTTTAGTAAGCAAAATCCAATGTTAAATGACAGTAACTAACTCTGTTGCGACATTGAGAGTTTTGTTCTTTTTATTGTTATTTGGAAGAAACTTTTACAGTGTTCAATACAGCATAAGGCAATGAAAGCATTCAGTCCAATCCAAGTGGGTCATCATCAACTACAACACCGAATTGTTCTTGCTCCACTCACAAGATTTAGAGCTACACTGGAAGCTGTTCCAAGTGAATTAATGGTAGAATATTATGCTCAACGAAGTACGCTGGGTGGCCTTTTAATCACAGAAGCGACTTTTATTGATGAGCTTGCGGGCAATTATAAACAAGCTCCAGGAATTTATACCCAGGAGCAGATGGAAGGCTGGAAAAAAGTAACGGATGCTGTCCATAAGAAGGGCGGCGTCATTTTTTTACAATTATGGCACTTGGGTCGTGTTGGCAGCTCCAGTCTTAACCCTGCTAAAGAGCCAGTTGTGTCGGCTTCCTCTATACCCATTCCCGGTAATAATCCCAATGGAAGGCCCTATGAAACACCTCGTGCCTTGGAAACAGATGAGGTGAAAGAACTCGTAAAAAGGTACAAAAGGGCAGCTATCAACGCCATGAAGGCTGGATTTGATGGTGTAGAGATTCATAATGCAAACGGCTATCTATTGGATCAATTTGTCAACTCGCATTCGAACAAGAGAACAGACGAGTATGGTGGAAGTATTCCTAACCGATGCCGTTTATCATTGGAAGTCGTTGATGCTATTGTTGAAGCTATCGGCGAGCAAAGGACTGCTATACGCTTTTCTCCCAACGGCGGTATTCATGGGATGAAAGACGATACTCCTGTAGAGACATGGAGCTATCTCACCTCGCAATTACAGCAAAAACATCCTCAATTAGCCTACCTACATTTCATCGAGGCTCGTTCGGATTTCCGTCAAGATGATAAAGTCAATACAGTTGACACTTTAGACCCTTATCGTAAGTTGTGGAAAGGGCCCTTTATCACTGCCGGAGGGTTCTCAACAGCTAGCGAGCATGCTGTCCAATTGGCAGAGAAGACCGGTAACTTGATTGCTTTTGGTCGCTCATTCATCGCTAACCCTGATTTGCCTGAAAGATTACGCAGCAAGTACGATTTTAACAAGTACAACAGACAAACGTTTTACACCCATGATGCGGTGGGTTATACAGATTATCCATTCTATAACACTATCAGCCATTTGTAGCATTTGACTTTTTCTTTATCTCTCACTCTATCTATATTACTCCCCTTCGGTTGAACAATGCAACTACGTTAAGCACTTCGATGTTACTCTCTTGTCTGTGAGAATGCTTACTATTAATCGAGTTTTTACCGCAGCGGAAATGTCGAACGGTACTCTTTTGTTGACCCAAGCAAATCAACAATTATATAAAGTGACAAAATTTTTTCTTCTAAAAAAAATCCAAACCGCATGAAGAGTACTGAAACTTTATTTATGATTTGTAACAAAAGGGAATAATGCTTTTCTTTTCTTTCATAGATGAATAAATATATGGAATAAATAATAATTCAAATTTAAGCTTTAGAGCTGAGAGTCAAGATTGTTTCTTCAATACGTTGACCGTATTCGGGATCAGCACGCTTGAAGTGCGCAATTTGGCGTTCTTGAATGTGTTTCTTGGCGTTCTTCAAATGACCAGCAATGTTGTTGACCAAGTCAGTCTTCTCTTGAGGAGAGAGGAGACGGTATAAATCACCAGCTTGAACAAAGTCAACATCAGTCAAATTGTAGCTGTGGCGACCAGTGAAACCTTGAACTTCTTCAGCGGTGAAGGTTGTGGCAGCAATGTTGTTTTGGTAAGGTCCACCAAAGGAGTTAGGTTCATAGTTGGGTGCAGAGCCACCGTTACCGAGAACAGCCATGGCACCGTCACGTTGATGGTTGGCAACGCGAGATTGGGGTTGATTGATAGGAATCTGAGCATAGTTAGCACCAAGACGGTGACGGTGGGTATCAGGGTAAGAGAAGAGACGGCCTTGCAACATACGATCGGGTGAAACATCAATACCGGGTACAATGTGGGAAGGAGAGAAAGCAGCTTGTTCTGTTTCGGCAAAGTAGTTTTCAGGGTTGCGGTTCAAGGTCATCTTACCAACAGGGATGAGAGGATAGTCCTGAAATAATTTGGGAAGAAAAAAATGTCAGTTGCTATCAGTGGATAAGCACAAAATTCTGATAGGTCGTGTCTCTTACCTTGTGAGGCCAGACTTTGGTGACGTCGAAGGGGTTGAAGCGGTAGTTCTTGGCATCTTGGGGATCCATAACTTGGACAAAGACGGACCAAGAAGGATAATCACCACGTTCAATGGCATTGAAAAGATCGCGAGTGGCGTAATCAGGATCAGAACCAGCAAGTTCTTGAGCCTTTTGAGCACTCAAGTTCTTAATACCTTGGTCAGTCTTGAAGTGCCACTTGACATATTTGAAGTTACCCTTATCATCAACCAACTTCAAAGTGTGGGAGGAGTAACCATTGAGGTGACGATAACCATCAGGAGTACCACGGTTGGAAAAGAGAATGCTGACTTGGTGAATAGATTCAGGAACAAGGGACAAGAAATCCCAGAAAGCATCGGGGTCAGCACAGTTGGTTTGAGGGTTTCTCTTTTGAGTATGGATGAAGTCTATGAACCGAATCAGTACACATAGTCTACTGCAAACTACGCAACATATGTATTACTTACCAGGGAACTTTGAAGGGTCACGAATGAAGAAAACGGGAGTGTTGTTACCAACCATATCCCAGTTACCTATAGAACAATTAAGTTTTTTAGCATAGGCTATAATATGCTATTTGTTAACGCTGGACAGTACCTTCTTCAGTGTAGAACTTGACAGCAAAACCACGAGGATCACGAGCAGTATCGGCACTACCCTTTTCGCCACCGACAGTAGAGAAACGAAGGAAGACAGGAGTCTTCTTACCGATGTGGCTCAAGAACTTGGCCTTGGTGAGATGGGTGATGTCATGAGTGACCTCTGTAGCGATGAAAGAACCGATAGATAAATAAGTATGTCTATTTCCATGATTATCTCTTAGATCCAATTAGTTACTTACCAAAAACACCATGGGCGCCTGCACCTTTGGCGTGTACGACTCTTTCGGGGATACGTTCTCTGTCGAAGTGAGCTAAAAAAGGGAAATTAAGTAATGTCAGCAATTGAATAATAAAGTTAATGCGTGGGACAAATCCCTTCGCAATAGCACTCTCTGTAGAATATACGTACCGAGCTTATCAATTAAATGGAAATCTTGAAGAAGGCTGTTCCCAATTCAATCAACAGTCAAATTAGAATTATAATTGAAAGATGGACATTGTATAAATTACTCCAGTATACTTACACAGGTCCCCATTGACCAGCAGTTTGAGAGGTTTGGTTGTTTTCAACTGGATTGCCGTTGGATGTAGTCAAGACGTTCTTAGACATTTTGATATTCAGTAGAGGAGGGGGTTAGAAGTAGTTGGTAAAGAAGTGCTTTTAACAGAGGAAAGAGAAAGAAGAAGAAGAAAAAAACCAGGTAAATCCAGAAATAAAAAGGGATCAAAAAAGATTCTATTTTTTATAGTTAGACTTCTTTAGCTTTCACTTTTTGGAGCGTTCATGTTGGTTATCACGCGGTCTGTGAATAGCTTTGCCATGGTGTCCAATGAAATCGCAAATATACTCTCCAAAAAAAATGGTTACAAAAAAGTTGATTTCCTGGATGTGCCAATAAGCGTAGGCTTAATCAGCAAAGGTAGTGTAACATCGTAATTTATCCTACTTCTTCGCACGAAGCTATTGATGGCATAATCAAAAATAGATTATTGGGATACATTTCTTCATGCGATATATTCCTTGAATGAGCTCACAAAAGCCCTAAGAATACACATATTGCTTCGCTTAGAAAATAATATTAAAGCAGTCCAAACCGGATTACATGTCAATCATGTCGAAGAAAAATAAAGATATCTGCAAGTTTGTTAATGTTAGTGTGACCATTCCTTATATCACTTCTTAAAAATTGCCAGATTTAAAAAGAAAAAAATAAACAATTCCCTGCACTTTAGTTACTGTCTGTGTCTATGTATTCCTTACTTTCTTCATAAAGGGAACTGGTCAAATGTATTACTATATTCATGCTGATTCAGAGAAATCGCCGTTGAAAAGTCAAACGTGGTAAGAAAGAACGGAGAAAAGCTTTTCCCAACACTAGTGGCAAAGGATCTTTGATGCAACACCTTCAGTGAGAAACATATTGGTTCAATTGAGTCAATTTAGTAATGACAGAGGTATTATCTTTATTACGATAGATTGTTGAAACGTAAACTGATTATGAAAGGGTATCGAGAATGTTATAGGATTTTTATCATAGTATTACTAGACTAATTCGCCAATTCGAGCAGTAACAGCTTTGAGTTCATTAGGTTTACTGTTTTTCCATTTTTTCAAGCTTGCAATACCTTTTTTGATATAATCACTGGCGGATGACAATTTACTCAAGATTTCCGTATCGTCAGTTGCCCTCAGATTCGCAATCTCAAATTTGTTGTCATAAGCTTCATAACGAACGTTAATCAATGCTATTATCTGTCCATTAATATCTGTGAGCGATTTTTCAGGGAAATAAAGACTGACATGACAAATGCCTTGACTTTCGTCTGTCACAAATGCATTTTGATGCCACAATTTTCGCCCATGTATTGTTTCCAGCTCAGGGGAACTCGCATCTACAAAAAAGTAGCAAAGTTAAGGCGTCAAAAAGCAGCTGAAACTATTTCCATCGAGATACTCACGTAAAACAAGCACAACTAAATCAAAAGCGGAATAACGGTCTTGTCTCTGCATATTTAGACAGCATGTCAAATACCTTGGTTTATATGCATTTGGCTGATTGACAGCAGACACACGCTCCCAACGTGTTATTGGCAGGGTTTTAAGGTCCAATCCTGAGTACTTCATGTTTTTGGAGTTTGGTTGGACAAAGTAGATCCTATATCTGTTGCCTTCAGCAATATCAAGATGTTGTAGCTCATTTGCCCCATATATTGATAAGGTAGCCAATTGCTGATCCGGTGAAGATTTACTGTCACATATTCTAACCTTGAAAGATCCAGTAACACGTCTCTCCTCAAGCTTCTGCGGTTCACTTACACTACGATCAAGATTTGGCAAACTAATATCTCTTTTGCCAGCTGTAAAATATGGGAAGGCGACACTACTGTTGTTTCTGTAAAAATGGCGTTCATTCATTTCATTTTGGATGTCCTCTTCTTCCTTGGCAGTGCGTGTGATGCATATTTCATTCGGAAGCCATTCAGTGTAAAGTAAAGGAAATTTGCGGCATATAACCACATCCACAACTGCTACTAATCCGCCATCGTCGAATATGGATGAAATCGAGCGCACAATTGGTTTCCGCTTCTGGTAGCCCAACTTTGCATCAAATTTGGCAGGCAAACAACTGTTTGCTGTAATCATCAAGCGTGTTTCATCATCCTTGATAACAAGCGGTGATTGAGCTTTTTTGCTGCCAACAATTTGAGCACCATGTATAGCGAGTTTATGCCCAATTTTCAATTTCTTTTTCAGTATAGCTCTTTCCATTCTCCTATCAATACATGCAGGGACTTCATACCACCCATCAGATACTCTGAGGAAATATTCAGTCGACAAATTCTCGTAATTTTTGGTTGCTAGACAGAGATACTTAGTAACAAGAAAAACTCTCGGATACTTCAATTTTATGTCTTGACTTACATGGTCTGAAAGACGATTTTCTATTTCGCTTACAAATATCTGTAATACACAATATCATATACTTGTCTGCAGCATCATCATATTCGAAGATTTTTTTCAGCACTGAACGTTGACCCATATTGACCTCACGCTCGTATCTATACAATAATTGATCTAATACATATTGTGATGTCCAACGTTCTAACAATTTGTCCGGGTAGCTTCGTATAAGACAAGCATTTTTCCAAACAATCATTCCAAAATGGTTTTCCATCCATGCCGACGAAATTCGATCAGACAAGACTCCGGCTTTGATCATCTCAGCAGCAGCTTCTTCCACACCCCAAAATCCATTATATTTGTACTTTTTAGCGGCCTGAAGTGTCATATCAATGATGCAGCCAGGACTGTAAAGCATAGAGCAAATAGAATTAAACATTGGCACATCGTCATAATGAAACTTGAATTGAACTTACACATTTTTCGCAAGTAACTGCTCACGGGTATATAGCAGCGGCTTTCCTAGATGTGCAATAGTATATCTATTATTGGGTACTAATCAAATACGATAACTTTTAGTTTCAATATTTTGGATTATTTTAGCTATTATTATTTAATCAATTTTAAACGCTTACTTGTTAAATCAAAAACTTGTGATCCTTTTGCCCGGTGAGCACTTTTATTTTGTAAAGCAGCTTTGGTACGTTCTTTTGCGACTACCGGCGATTTGAATGCTTTTTGTTTGGGAATCGAGGAGAATGTGCGAGAAGGTATTGTAGAGGAAATAATGCTTGATTTTGCCTGTTTGAGGGGTGTTCGAAATGCAGAGACTTTCTTCAAATCGATGACGAGTGTTGGTGGAGTGAATGAATTAGAATGGACTAAAGCGGAAGTATCGGTTTTGTCTTTTTTATCGCTTGTTAAGACTTCGTTGTTAACAATAACTGGATCATTGTCTAATAAAGATATCGCCCGTCGTTTAGCTGCTGCTGATACCTCCCAATTACGGTTACTCTTGCCAAGCTTAAACCCCCCATATTTCGCTAGGAAATTTGTGGATTCCATGTTACTATCTTCCAACGAATCGGTTGCAGGGCGTTTATTATTTCGCTCTGAGGAAGTTTGCTGACTGTTTTCTGGTGATTCTTTGGAGAATGATATTGTTCGTTTGAGATTACTGTTTGGTTGGATTTCTTCCTGTTCCCCAGTATTCTTCATACTAACAGAAAACGATTTACTTGCTTTCAGATCTTCTGACTTTTTGAACTCTTCTAAAGCCCTTCTTTGAGCTTCCCTCAAAATTGATTTGCCGGATGCCGTTTTAAATGATACCATTGTCGGTTGCGCTGGCGGCGGTTCTGAATGCTTTATTGACTTGGTTTCAATGCTGAATGGTGCCTCTTCGTTCTCATCATTTAATCGCTTGCTGAACGCTTTTTCGGTCTTTTCCTTCGTTGACGTTTGTTGCTGGAGGGGATCACCCTCTTGGAATGTGTCATCAAAGGTTTTAAAAAGTTGTTGTTTATCTTCTAAAGTTACTGTTATAGGCTGTTCATTTGTACAATTTTCCAAAACCATGCGTTGTTTTTTTGTACCTGTAGGAAAAGCAGTAACCTTCATTTTGAAAGGAATTTCGAGCAAGCGGTCAAGGAAACCCTCAAAAATATCCGATGACTCATCGTTACTTGCAAGTGGATCAGTTGTTAAATCGTCAGCTGTCAAAAAGTTGTTATCTTTGTCCTTTTTTGAAACGAGACAAAGTTTTGATGTGCTTAATTAAGCCATTATCTAATTCTGTAAATTCTTTTAATTACTCTTACTTCGGTTTTCAGTAAATGCTCACTTTCTAATTGCTGTAGATTTTCGAATAGTTTATCCTGAAAGCTCGGTGTCAAATCATCCCAGTCGTCGTCAAAATCATCTTGTTCTAAGTATGACATTAGCGAGAGTAAAGGATAAGGAGAGAATTGCTGTATTCGAAGTCAGTCCCTATATGCTTTATTTAAGAACGAGTGACTGCCTAGAAAATGGATCATACAACTTACTGATAAAATATGCACACTACAGTATTTCCAAGGCTGACGTTATGAACTGGATCCAGTTTCGATGGTTTTGTTATTCTATCAAGCATCGATATCTGTAATGGATCAACCAGACAAATCTATTAGGCCAATGTACAAATGTAAAGGACTTGTATGGCAGGGCTTATTACACGACTTTGCGTCTCAAAAGACAGTAACAGCTGTCGTGCGACGAAATATGGTTATATACAAATTAATAAGCTTATGCATCAATGTTATTATAAAAAGATCGTTACGAAATAAAGAAGAAATCAATCTCTCAATTGAAAAATCAACTTTCAAATAAATAAATAAAGAAGATCCCTCACAGATAAAAGCTAGCTCGCTAGGCATTACGCAACGAATATGTTGAAAAGCAAAACAAAATAAAATAAATTTAAGTAATATCGAGATAGTACAGGAAACGCAACATCAGATACCATCGTAGTCAGTTAAACCACCATCATGTTTGTGAATATGGAGTTTAATAGAATATTATCATCACTTGCTTGCTTTGAAAACACAGCATTCCCTCTACTGAAGAGATGCGCGTTACAAAACTTTATAAACTATTTCCTAATTTGTGAAACGGAGTGTGAAGGATTGTCAGCCCAATCAATAGAATTAGAGCACGTGAGGTCCGGCTCGGTGCTCGATAGAATGAATGTGCGGAAGTAGAATAGTTTAAATAGATAGATGAGAAATATACCTTTAATAAAGGAGCTTTCTTTCATATAACAATCTTATATCTAAGTTAAGAAACAGTACAACAAAATCTATACTGGAAAACCAACCATAGTTATTTCACGGACTACTACTCCTAACGTGTCATTTGTGATAAGCTTAAATATGAATGACGTAGCAGTAGTAATTGAAAGTCCGTCAAGTTATCTGTTGAGTCGGAAGTGCAAGTACGGGTCGATCATGTGTGTACCCGGAGATTATATTCATTGGAATTTATTCTAAATAATTATTTAAAGGAACTATGTTGTATCCAAGATACAACTATACGTCTTAAACTACAGAACGACTTCAGTACCTGCTTGTTGTATCCAACAGCATATTACTCTTGGATTATTACATAATACTGAAATAAGAGATTGCGGATCTTTATGAAGGTTAGAATAACCGTGAGTGATAGATTTGTTAGAACTGTTGTATTTGCTTATTTAAAAAATTGATAACAGTTGTAAGTCGATGACTATGAACTTAGGTGTCTTTATTATTCTTCAGATGAAGTAGAAGGATTATTTACTTTGTGAGGTTTAATGGGAATTATATTATTTGAGGACGCGTATGCTAGTCACTAATTTCAGGTTCAGATGCTTATTGGGTGATTATTATACTTAGGCCTATATCTTGTTCTATGTTGTACATAACCTATATTAGATGCAATATAGATAGACCGTGGTAGAATGTATTCTCTACCTGGTTGTACGTACTCGAGTATTGTAGTTATTATCTCACCAAACACGTCAAGAACAATTCTTTTCTTTTACGGAAGAATATTTCATCTGTATATTCGAGACAACATTGTATTAGTAATTGACTTTATTTAGGAATAAGATATTATAGTATTTGGATTTGATTAAATCAGATAACTTTACTCAGCAGATCAAACCACAATACATAAATCTAATCTACTTAAGCTATTATCTAACTTGTTGATCCCTTACTTTAACTCTTTACATTCTGACAGAATTCAATAAGACTGAAATGGAGATATCGGCAGAATTAAAGATGATTTATCCTATCCGTCCCATTAGTCATAATGAATCTGCCGAGGTATCGGTTAAAGGAACCGTTAGCCAGATCAGCTCATCACTTACCTTCTTATACCTATCCAATCGGTCAAGGCACCGCTCTAGCATGATTAACCGTGCTGTAGCAATTGGGTATGTCTTTTCTTTTATCATCAGGTCATCTTGTACCTAAGGGTCCCGATAGAAAAAGTTTTTTACAATATCCACAATATAAATAGAAGTACTTTTTTCCTACATGGTTTTTGTCTTCATTCTTTATCTGAATAAAAGAAGATAACTTGGTTTTCACAGATTTCCTCTTGTTTTCTTTTCTCTCTCTGTTCTTACTATAACATATACAACACTGCTTGACAATCTGATACACATCTACTTTGACACCCGCTTGCGGCTAAGATCTTATCATTCTCATGATAGTTTTAGTTCAGTTGTATTAATAGTTGAATACCCGTTAATAACCCCGTTTCTCATATAAAAGTATCATTCTCAACAAACTTGAATAAAGAGTATCTTTGTTGTGTCTGGTCATTTTACTGTCTTATTTTATTTTATAAGTGTTGTATCGATGAAGATATCACTGCTGAATATTACATAATAAAACAGAAGTACGCTTCGTTATTGATAGTTATAATTAAATGGCAGGTTACTTCACGTGCATGATCTATTGGTATTCAGTCTATAATTTACATTGATGATTGAAGTGACTTATCCAGTTTCTGTTAGCCTCTATAACTATTGCCTTATAGAGTGAGATGTCTTTATTTGCTATTCCACAGACATTATTCTATTCCAGACTCCACCTATTAAAGGTCGTAGAGGAGGTACACTAGATTCGGTAATCACTTTATTGTAAATTTATAATCTTCATTTCGATTATGGTAATTATTGAATGCCCATGTCGATTATATCCTCTTCTCTACTGGTTCCTATAATGGATGCTATTAGTATCATTCAGAACCAGTTTATATACCCAATCACTTGTTGTCCTATAGGGCAATCTTTATATTGACCGCTACTACTAAGTCCGACCAGTAAGGGTCGAGTTACACATTTCTGTTGCTCTCTTTCGGTGTTCCTGTCGCTGGTGTTTATTGGTCCTTTCTCCTGGTTACTAAGTCAAGTTACAAGATCAGTCAACATAGTCCATGGTGAATAAGCCTGTATACCCATTTCGTAAAAAATATAAATACCAGTTGATTCTGTTCATCTGAACGAACTTCATCTGAATTTTTTTGAAGAAAGAAATAAACTTGAACCTTCCAGAGTTTTCACAGACTTGTCACTTGTTTATTTCCTACTTTTATTCTATATTTTGATCTTACCGATCCAACAATAAGTCTTTTAAAGTAACTGGATATATCAAACTAGATCTGGATAAATAAAGAGGGGCCCTTTCCTGATCAATTAAAAAGCACTATTGTCGTATTTGAGGGTAGATGATATACAAATATTAAAGATATAATTCACTTTATGAAGGATAAAGATGAATTATATAATATTGCAAACCAGAAATAATTAGAAACTACATAAACTCGAATATATGAGTACCGTGAATTAAGTGTTGTGTTTAGTTGACAGCATCATATGAGATGTGGAGAACTCGTATACAAATTATACCAGATCCTCACACCTCATTACTGCTGAAATAATATAAAGTAGAGTAGGAAACGAATATAGAATAGGTGATGATTTCTTATACGAGATTAGCTACCTCGTATAAGGCTGAACAGGTTGTCAGTTAGGATATATAGTTTACTTATTTTACTGTAATACGTTACTATATGACATAGGATGTATAGTAGAATTAATATATGGACATGCAGGATATATTGATTCAACACCAAGGTATAATAGGTTATAAGTACTATTCTCTGCCTTCGGCATAAAGAATGATTACAAGATAATAGTTTGCGATCATCCTTTACAATAACTGTTCACTCAACTCAAACACCACGCACGAATACCATTTTCCTAATTAATACTATTTTCCTGCAAGCAGTGCTACATAATGGTTAGCATGAAAAATAGGTTAGTTGCATGATCACTAGATCGAGCCATGGATACGTTTACAAGTTCACCCGCTCCGGGTAGATGCGTAATCTCCTCAAGGGAGAATTCTATTCTTTTACGGTTCAGAAGACGTACGTCTTCTTTGAGTAGAATAACTCAGCTGTCAGTTTCTAAGTTCCGCAATGTGAAGAAGATATTTAAAATTTTGCAGTAGATATTTTTTCTTCTCTTGGAAAACTTGATTCAAAATAAAAACCTACTAGTTTGATCTCGTTAAGCTTTTTTTACTGTTGTAATTATAAGTGATATTTAACTCTACAAGTCGTCAAATACCACAATAAAGACACTTAAGTTCATAGTCATCGACTTACAACAGTTATAAATCTTTAATTAAGCAAATACAACAGTTATTATTTACCTTTTATCTTATAGTTAAAACTAGCGAATACCACAATAGTCCTGCTACACTTAATTAGTCCACCATAATCCGTAAAGTTATAAGATTTACATATTCCCCATCAAGTTCAAGAGTTATTAGATCTTATTGTTGAGTATGGCGTGTGTGCTAAACAAGCAGGCTTTTACAGTACATTAACGGAGCGATCAGCCCAGTGTTTCGTTGAAACCTACAACGATGAGAAGAAATGGATTGCGCGTGCTTTGGCCGAAAAAAAAGGGACGAAACGGAGGGAATGATATAAAGCTGGGGCCTAAGCATACATAATTCTTATGTTCACATCAAGAGAAATGATGGAGAGCCAGAATTGAAGATACCAGAGGGAACCATAAAAGTACGCACAAGAGCCGAACATTTTTTGCAGTTTATTGAGGGAGTTATGGATCCTGGATAAGCGTTGTATGCAGTGACGTAATATTATCATGAAAATGCTATCATTCATAGAACCGAAGAGACTCAGAGATGTATGCAAGAACGAGGCTATACTGTAGTATTTTTGCCTTCCTAGTCGCCCTTCCTAAACCCAATCAAATTGTTTTGCTCCTAGGTAAAGGCTGATGTAGGAAGGAATTGTGATATTTGCGGTTGTTCTATGCTTAGTGAACGCGACTTATAATTTGATATAAACTGTAAGGTGAAATGAGTCTCCTTTAGTCCTTTTATTATACACTGAAAATCAGAGAGGGGAGCGTTCACAGCAAACTGAATGTTTGTATTTAAAAGAGAAAAAATAAAAAAAAGTCCTCGTTCCTTAATTTCTCAGCCAGTAATAATGCAGCATTATATATGCGCATCTTTAGAAATACAATATGACGTGTGCAAGTGTTATTATGATTCTATGATCATAATAACGAGTCAAATGCTTGAAAGTGTGTCTAATTCGTCTTTATATATTATAGGAGGTATGGAAATACCACAGGAATTGCCTGCCACAAGCCGATAATGTCTCAAATAGAATTGTTCAAGCAAATAAGCTGATTAGCATTGAGAAATGCCAGAATTATATTAGACACTCTGCGCACTCTGCGTCATTTTTTGAATTAGCCAATAAGATAGCAGCGTTGGGGCCAAATTGGGGCCAAATTGAACAATTTAAGGAGTCAGTCTTCCGCATATTTAGCCAATAAGATAGCAGCGTTGGGGCCAAATTGGAAAATAAATTGTAAAATAAATAATTATAGATTCAGTCTTCCGCATATTTAGCCAATAAGATAGCGTCGCGTTGGGGCCAAATTGGAGAGTCGCGTTGGGGCCAAATTGGGGCCAAATTGAGCAATTTAAGGAAGACTGAAAGAGTCAGTCTTCCGCATATTTAGCCAATAAGATAGCAGCGTTGGGGCCAAATTGGGGCCAAATTGAGCGCATATTTAGCCAATAAGATAGCAGCGTTGGGGCCAAATTGAGCGCATATTTAGCCAATAAGATAGCAGCGTTGGGGCCAAATTGGGGCCAAAATTAGCTAACTATTTTATTGATGGTATTGATGTTGATATTGATAATGGCAGAATAACATAACTGAATCGCCATGTTATATAAAACTTAAACAGAAATAAAATTATTTTATCAATCCCAGAATACGCACTTCCATGGTCATCTCAAACAGATAGAGGCTCAACCGTTCCAATAATCCCATTAAGAACATGAAGTCCTCTCTCTTCATCTTTAACCTCAATGACACCTGAGCTTTCCTTCATGACTGTTTCCAGGATAACTTCCTGCTCCCGAAGCGAAACAAAAAGATACGCGACGAGTTCAAATACTTGCATCCATAAATGACATTTGTTAAAGGAAGAGGGGATGTCTACAGATCGTATTTCCTTTTGAATATAACTGCCAACATTATCAGGGTCCAACATTGTTATAGAAAGAGTAATTGTTGTGCATACACACTGTAGAGAATAAGAGACGACAGAACAAAGACTAGGAAATGATGCAGTGGCATGGCGTCGTAAGAATGACGTGAGGATTTCTATCGATGCGTATAACGTCTTGATTGTGTCGTCTTGGGTGTGAAGTACGTTTTCTTTTAGTGTGCTACTGCTTGATCCTTCCATCACCAGACGACTGCAGCCATTAATATCATAGCCAACGCCGTCATGGTATTTGATAGGTGTAGTTCGCATCCATGTATCTGGATCAATGGTGAATTCGACATGCTCTTCTGTAGGAATCTCGCACCACTGGAATCCAAGTAACTGGCTCTGGTCACCGAATGTTTGAAAAATGGGTATTACACGGTCAATCCAATACGAACGCTCATTTTTCGGTTGGTAAAAGGCATTTCGATGACATTTATTGCAATAATCTGTTAATACAAATTGAATGGTTTTTAAAAGAATTGCATCGTCAGTTGCAATGATATCTGGCTGGGTAAACGTCCAAAGAAAATGAGGTAAGCTCGCCAATTCCGTCTCCAACGCTTGCTTTAGCATTAAGTATGCTACCGGGAATTGTTTTAATGAGACGTGGTTGGTTTGATCCATTAACTGCTGAATTGCGAAACGTCTATGATCAGGGGACAAATGCACATTATACGGACTAATTATAGTTGCTATGGAAGACAAGGTGGATATACTCTCAGTCGTAATTTTTGGCCGTTTGGGCGTATGTAAGAATGAAGTGGCATCACGGAAGAGAAAGGTATCTTTCCTTGTTTTTATGGGAATACTAGCAATATCATGTTGTTGTTGCATTTTATGAGACGGTATATGGGCCTTCATCCAACTAAGTTCAGAATGGTAAGTCCAGCATGATGGACAAGCATAATGTTGAATTGCGTTTGGTGTATTCTTATCCACAAGGGTTTTCCCACTTAGATCGTAATATGCTGTCTTAGGTCTGGAGGGTAATGGTATTTGATGATTGCTCGTGATGTGTCGTCGTAATCCAGACGGAAAGTGAAACTCCTTTTCACATACGTGACAAACGTGGCTGCCATGGCAATAGAGGAAGTTGGCTTTTGGTTAGGTCCCGTTGGTCCATTTTGGCCCCAAATTGGCCCCAACGCGGCTTTCTGATTGGATAAATATCTGTACTCCTTAGGGACTCTTTGATTGGCTTATTTGAGCCACTCGGTTCACATTCGGTGGCTAAGGCTTTGTATTCTTTTTTTTTTAGATAATTTTATTTAAGATAATTCAGTCAAACATCGCTGAGGGGTGGAGCATGGAGAGGAAAAGACAAATTCTATGATGGGTGATTAGTCGTAAGGCAGCCGCTTCCTGCAAGAGCTGCGAGCTAAGGCTTTGTACTGTATTCTTTAGCAATAGTTAGCGAACTTTGGCCCCAATTTGATCCCAACGTGGTTTTTTGATTGGCTAGGTTGAGCCACTCGGTGTTTACGGGGCCAAATTAGGGCCAACGCTGTTTTCTGATTGGCTTTATCTATTTATCTGACGGGACTCTTTAAGGTTGCTAAGGCTCTATTCCCAGTAGCCCTTGAAACTACCACAAAATAATTATGCACTTTGTGCCTTTTTATTTGAACAAAAAGTAAAATGTGAATCGGTAAGGTTTCTTTCCAACCATCTGCAAATTATTTCATGTACACAAGATATTCATGTTTCTAAAATGTGGGGAATATCTTGATTCTACTTCAAATGGTTAAAAGTCGGTGTCGTTGCTTTATTCATGGTAGTATGCAATCTGCGTCTGCGTTCTGGCATCGGCTACACCACCTTTACTCCATAATGGCACGCACATCGCGTGGATGAATTTGCGAGCGTTATACTTGCTACCATGAATTGTATATTGCTCTCAATTGATCGATGAAGATAGCTATTTTATTTGTCCTCAAGTAAGAGTTAGAAAGAAGGACGTACAACTTATAAATGTTCATGTCCAGATCTATTTAGATAAATTATTCTCTGACGAAGCCTGTATTCTTTTTAACCCCACATTCACTAACAAAATATTAACAATTTTCTAAGTGATATGGCTATCAATAAACTTACTGTGGCATGATACAATCAATACTATGCATATGGCTATTATCTATAGATTTAAACGCCTATAGCCAGCAAAATTCTGCTATGCAAAAGCGATGTCTATCTATTTTTAAAGTTTGGATTTATCGTTCAACATCTTTTGTCGTCTTTGAACAGCATCTGAATTCTTCGAGTTTCGGCTCCAGGGGACTATCAAGCATTGGTGTCTGAATATTGTAGCTCATTAGTGTTGATTTTTCTAAAGACTAGTGCAATGCTTTATAACTACCTTGTGGTCGCAACGATTTCGTTATTTTCATTCCAGATTTCACCATCAATGTCAAATCTACCATTGATAATGTGAGGTGCCACGAAATGGGCAAGCACTTCTTTCCCTGTAGGCCTCTTCTTGAATTGTACTTCTAGTTGCATGGTAGGACACCATACTAAACCGCCCAGAACTGATGGTCCCAATAACGAAGGCGGTGTCACGAACATATCGCATAGATAAGGAATGGATTTGAAGTCAATATTCCTTCCATCTGAAAATTCCACAGTTTGTATGATCTCCGGTTTGCCAGGTTGTTTGTCGTTTCTAGGAAAAGTAGTTGCATCGATCGTTGTTTTGAGAAACTCACCCATGAAGGCATAGTGGTAAGGTTCTATATACTCTTTAGAGGGAGCAATAGGATTTCTATAAAATGAAGTAACACCTTTTTCACTGTCCATGTTGCCGATAGTAAAAATGCAGTGTAATTTGACAAGCCATTCAGCAGATTTATATGCTTTTATATCTCTTAATGGTGTCAAATCTTTCTTTTGTTTCAAGAGCGCTCGGACGACACAATACCCCTTTTTACTCATTTTGAGTTCCTCTATTTCGACAATGAGAGGACCAGGAATAGTTTTGCTGAAGTAAAAGCAGTTAAGGGCAACAAGGTCTTTCTGATAGTTGTCTGAAAAGTGTTGAAGTACACTATCGGTAACAATACTGGCAATGTAACCTTTGCACGTACAATATTACTTTGTAAATATTTCGTTATAAGTTTCAGGTACGAGACCGAAATGTATCAGTTCTATAACTGTACGCTACCTCCCTAAGAGAAAGATGTATCATGCAAATTATCATTAGTAAAAGCCTGACCAATCCGTTTTAAAGGTGAAACTTACATGAGGAACATCTCCAATACACCATTGCTGCGTTCAGGTACAATTTTAAGTGATCAACTTGAACACTCTAACTTTGTATAATCCTTGGACTTACATTACTAGCGATTCCTGTAAAAATAATCGATTCCGTATCAGTTTTACCAAGGAGCTCAGTTTTGGTTGCCTGATCAAAGTGAGACAACTTCGTTGGTATCATTTGATAGTTTCAATTGAAAAGGGGAAAATTGGAGAGCCTATTTAAGTCTTGTTACGATTGACAAATGATTTTAAACTCAATGGGTGATAAAGTGGACGTAAAAAAGAATAGCTGGGCAGTTAAAAATGGGCACCTCTAATAGTAGGTGGACACCGGTGTCCATAGTTATTTCCTTTATGTCCACTTTATTACAGGTGCCCATTTTTAAATTCTGGCACCGGTGTCCACCTACTATTAGAGGTGCCCAATTTCACATTCTGGCACCAGTGCCCAGCTAATGAGAAAAAAGATAGTGTATTGATATTAGTGGGTATAAAGCCAGTCTAGCAAAGGCTGTCCTAATGTCCTGACGGGGTATGCTGCTATGTTACAGCAATCGTTTTCCTTCTTCAATAATCAATGCTACTGCAAGGAATCCGTCTTATCCTTTTCAAGTAGTCAGTATCATTCTCGTTTCTTTAACATTATATATAGTCGATTAAAGAAGATGCTCCTTGCCATTTATTAGGAACAACTGCCATCAAAACTAGAGAAATCCGCCAATTTTACTTTTTACTAATGTTCCTTTCATTGGACTGATTTAGTCTACTACAAAATAAAAAAAGCTGAAGATTAGTAGTGATATAATGCTAGCGTTGAAGGGATGTAAATATCGTTATAGTAAGTCAAGAAAGGCCTTATTAACTTATTATCGAGGAGCGCACTTTTTTATTGATACCAATGATAGAAGTGTTTCTTGATCCTTGAATTCCTTATTTCTAGGCTATATTCATAGCCCTATCTCTATTTTCATTGTATGTATTATGGGTTTCTAGAAAAATTATAAAGAACAGGAATAATCACTGCTGTAAGCTTCACATCATATCAGCATCTATTTGTTGCTTTGGAATCTCACTATTTCAATTTAAAGATATGGTGCGTATTGGTTTCCAAACTTTGGCCCACTTTTATTTTTGTACAGATATACTTCTCAACTCGGCCAGGTAGAGCAATGTATTTACATCACTGTATGTTTAGTATTCGTAACAAAAGTGTCCAACACTTTATTGGTTGTCCCCCGTTTTTAACTATCCCACTTCTTGGAACAAGTCCCAGATTTTTTCAGCTGTCTCAAATTTTGTTCTAAACAGCCCAAGGAAGATTGTTTTGTTTCCCAATCGATTTTCTTCAGCCTTACTACAGCCAAAACCTTAATCTGCAGGGCAGCATAACAAACAAAAGACGAAAACTGAAAACTATAATAAATCTTCAAACACAGAGGAAGCGACACGTCTTACCAAGCAAAGGTTATATAATAATACGCTGTTTTATTGTTAGCAAATGCGGGATGGAAAGCAATAATACAAATGTGTATAAAAATGTGAAACAAAATTATGCAAAAAAATGAAAGAATATAATGTACTTTGTTCTTCTTTTTCTTTAAGCATCAGCTAATAAAGCAGTGCCAAGTTGTTTAAAGTTGAAAGCATGACTAGTCAAGTTGTTATTGTTGTCTTTGTTATCTTTGTTAGGTTTGATGAAAAGAGGGTTCTTGGAAAATGAAAGGCGAATACCACCTTTAATAGAACTGGACAAAAGATGGCCTTGGTTTTCAGTCATAGCCATTGCAGCATATAATACGTCTTCAAATTCAACAAAGCACATGGGTCCTTGAGGTTTCTGACGGAAACACATACGCTTATAGCCTTCGCAATGTGAAAACAAAGATCGCAGTTCATCTTCACTTGTAGTAGGTGGTAAGTTACCGACATAAAGTGTATTACATGGTGGATTCTGGTCAGCTGGGTTTGTGCTTGGACGGCCAGAAGACGACGATACACTAGCTGATCTCTTGAATGTCAAATCTGCTACTGCGGACGGAGGCTGTAATGAGCATCTGCGATTGCTGATAGATAAGAAATCATCTGCACCAAATAGTCCAGTGTTACTTTGTGGTTGAAAACAGGAGAGGGTAGAGAAGAAGTCATTGTTTGTCGATGGGGTTGACTTTGAAAGATAACTGAAGGGGTCATTGTCATCAGTAATATTGAAAGATTTGGAAAAGAAGTTGAAAGGATGTAAAATGTCATTCTTGCTATTGATAGCTGTCGAGGATGTTGTAATCTTACTGCTCAAATTTTGGCCATCAAAAGACTGTGAACGAATACCAAACAAAGGCTCACCGAAGGAAGGTGCATCAGATGTTGGTAAAAGGGGATCATTCAAAAGTGGGTCATTCTTATAGTCTGCAGGTGATAACAAATCACTGGGAAGAGGTGAGAATCCTTCCAGTCCAGAGCATGAGTTGTCATTGATAGCTGAGAAAGGTGAAAGTAAATCCTTCTGCTGGGGCTGTGGTTGACTCAGTCTTCTGGGAGAAGCTGCTTGTGCAGCCAACTGGGATGTCGGTAAGTCTGGCGTCAAAAATAAAGATGCTGATGGTTGTAAGTTAGATTCATATGGTGTTGAAATACTAGTGGTAGGGATACTGGAGTTACGCTTGATATGCAAATTCTTTTTCGCCATTTCTGCCTTTAGAATAGAACCTTTCTCCATGTCAACCTTTTTACCATTCATTTGATTGGCGGCGTCCATAGCTTCTTTACGCGTATGGAATTTAGCAAAGCCGATCTATCGTTAAGCTATTTTGTCAACTTACAAGCTTATCTAATAGTTTTTTTTTTTAGTTTTTTTTTTTACCATTTGCTTTTTATTCATGTTATTAAAAGAGACTAAATCTTGATCATCTTGTTGTTCCTTACAGTGCCACTTCAAAGAAGCACCTTCGAAACCTTTCGAGAACAAAAACATGTTTTGGAACTCTCTTTCTTGCATATCATCGGGAAATCCAACGACGAAAATTGTTGTAACTTTGTCAACAGCTGTCAAAGGGGGGGATGAGATCGTGGAAGACGCAGATGATTCAGCAGGGCTGTCACTTACGCTAGAAGTGACTCTAGTAGACGTAGCCAAAGGATGTAGATCGTTATCATCTTGCATTGTATGAAGTGAATCCTGTGGTTCAGTGCTAGTTGTCATTTGTTGTTTGAATTTTCTACAAAGCAATAGTTAAAGAAAGAAAGAAAAGGTGAAGGGGTATGGAGATGTATTTATTCTTCCATCCATTTTGATACTTTCGTTACTGAATTAGGATAGTTTTTCTCTTTTTCTTTTTTTTTCAGCAGTTTTAAAAGGCAGAAATTTCTAAAAAAAAAAAAGAGCATTCTTAGCTCACCAAATATTCAACATTTAACTACGTAAAAGAAGTGTATTTATTCAATCAAAACTGAAACGTAAACTAGCTAGCAGGTAAAGCGACCATACTGGATGGGTTGTAGAAAGACAATTACAAAGGATAAGTTGTATCTCTATTTCCCTTTTGGGAATCCAAGGGTATCTCAATCTCCACCTGAGGAAATTCAACGGCAGCAAAAAGGGGGCTCCCCAAGGCTTTGTCATCTTTGCTGGCATAACAACATCATGATACAAATTTATGCTGTCCTGCTTCAATGAGATGCCTCTTACTGACAATAACGCTCTGTTGATATCTTCGATTATCATTGTTGATCTTTCGTATCCTTCTGATGACGCTGCTTACCCGCCAAACCAACTCTTTCCTGTTTCTTTGAGGTAGTTTTCGCTAAACCCTTATGCTTGTGAGGATCCTAATGATGAAAAGATGACAGTCAGTTTTTCAGTAACAATAATAAGAAGATAGTTTCCTGTCATGGTTAAATACTTACTCTTCGACTCATGCTAGCTTTGTCTCTGACACCTTTGCCACCTTCCCAAAAGGCTCCTTTCATGGGTTGCTTCTCGAATTCCTGACCACACGCACAAGGCTTTCCAGTGTGAAATGATTGTTCTCTTGAACATAAACCACACACAAATCTCTTTGCTATCTCAGCAACATGATCTGTCTGGCTGTCATGGCAAATGTCACAGGGGTATAACTTATTGCAGCATGAAAAGCGAAACCATCGTTTCGATTTCCGATAATGAGCACAAGTACCTTGATTAGGTAATGGTTCCCCCACGGTCAAAGACGCTTCTTTATCTTTCTTTTTTCTCTTGAGTTTCAAAATTTGTTCTTCGTTGGCTCTAAGTCTCTCTCCACCTTCGCTGCCGATCTTGACAAATTTGTACTCGCCGAGGTTACACGTCATTTTAGCATGACAGGAGAAACAATGGATGGTTTTAGGAGGATCATGTGGGGATAATTTTAAAGTTGAGGGCATATCGGCCATGCAAGAACCACAGGTGCCAATAAAGGCTGAAGGCAACAAGTCGTAAGCAGTACATCCAGCGAGCTGGAGTAAACCGAGAGTTTTAGCGCCTTGATGAATAAATTCTTTGATGAAACAAGAAAAAAAGTCAACGTACATGCATAAGCACAAATAAAAAAAAATGACATATACTCACCACCGAGGAATTTAATACCCAAGACAGAGGAACAAGTTGGACAAGTGGTCCATCTTTCAGTTTTCGAGGTCGCCGTAGCGTTTGTGGAAGAAGAAGGTTCTGCCGATGCTAATGGAGTGGGATCTACCTCTGGTTTAATATTCTCCACTTCCACTGTATCTTTACAGCGCGCACATTTGACCATAATATGTAACAAAGTACAACGGAAGAGTGAGATATTCTCCATTCTTGGATCTTCTAGGCGAATTTCGGTGCCTCTACGAACTGTTGCTTGGGCTAAGCTCACAACTGTTTTCGTGCTGCTATCTTGTTGCGGTTCTTTATCCTTTTCTAATTCTTCGTCCTCAGACGAACTTTCATCGTCAGCTGTAGTCTCTTCCTGTTCATCACTTGTGGATTGCTCCATATCGACGAAGCTGGGATCATTGACGATAATAACGTTGTTCTTTTTGGAGTAAAGATCATCTTCGTCAAAAAGCGACATTACTTTCCTTGATGATTTGTTGGCTGTTGCCGATGGTTGCTGCTGATTTATAGGTTGGCTTTGTTCACTTTGTTGCAGCGCTAAGGAACTACTACGCCTATTTTGTTGCTGAGCTGCAGCTAGTTTGTCAACCTCTTCCTGTTCTTCAGATTTGCGTACAGGCGGTGTGCTAATCAATTGTTCTAAATGACGGTTCAGCCAATTCAGATTCTCAAAAAGAGTTAGGTTGTTCGTTTCGATCTCTAAATGTTCGTTGAAGCCAGAAACAATCCAGCTTTATGTCCCATCGGTAATAATTGAAACAGAATGGATTACACATCAGTATAGATAGGATAAAGTTTTACATAAGCAAGAAAATGCCATGTTCATGTTACCTTTCTCTGGTTTTATCTATATTCTTGTTGTCTAATTCAATCTTGCTTGGAATCAAAGGGTACAATTCAGGAATAATATATTTGATCGCCAATTCTTTCCCTCCAAGTAAAAGCTCATGAGTAAACTCCGGATCGTTGATTGTCATCGTGAGTGCGACTATAGTATCTGCCGATTTCGTTCTACATAGTATTGCAGCCATGAATATCAGTCGAAACACGTCCTTTTCCCCCAAAAAAGCACCAGACAAATAGGATGCGTTTACCTGATGAGTCTATAACTGTTACAGAAACGATGTTGAAGCTGCCTCAATTCCCGTGCACGTTTTTCTGCAGCTTCAGCAAGTTGTTCAGCAGAGAAGTTGTGTTTTTTGATCGTATCTTTATTGTTTTTATAAGTTTGATTGCTAGCATCAGTTGTGGTATTTGATGCTTCGGTAGCAGTGGCATTGGCTTGCTCCATTATTGGTATAGCGGAACTTGAAATTACAGATGTAGATGCTCTGCTACTGCTGCGGTCAGGTGTAGCTTCCGCAGAAGGTTTGACAGATTGCTGGTGTCCTTGATGCTGTTGCTGCGCTGATGCTACTGCTGCGGTTACCGGGACCTTTGACATCTGTTCTTCGACATTTGGTGTAGAATGTCGCTTATGGGAAACAAAGCGTACAGTTGGTGCTGGTGCTTGTTGTAATAATGTCTCTAGGTTTCGATCCAACCAATTCATCTGCCTCACAAGAGTTTGGTGGACTGCTGAATTAGAAGGGGTTACTTTTTCAGCATAACCTCTCTCAACATTCCTGGAATGTGAATTGAAAGAAAGTATGAGTGAGCCGTGATAAGTTGCTTGTCAGCAAACTGTCAAAATAGTTAATGTTCGTGTTATTACACTGCAAAGCCTTTGGGTATATCTGAATTCAGTACTTGAATCGTACAAGCTTGCTTGGGATACTCTTTTGGTACAGTAATTTGTAACTGCAAAGCATCAATATCGTAAGGGAAGTCGGGATCTGAGGGTTTTACAGCGAGTCTAATCAACGTTTTCTGGTCGTCATCACTGAAAAAGAAAGGCATATCGAAAAGAAAGTATGAATAAGACCACAGTACAGTAAACTCGGTATCATTAAAGTATAATCCAATGGGTACCTGACTAGACGGTAAGTAGACTTATATCGAGTTTCCAATTGAATCAACTCGAGCTTTCTTTTATCTTGATTAGAAGCCTGTTAAAACAGAGAATGTGTTAATGAAATAAAAATCTTTTACTGATTTCCTAAAATTGATGTATTCATTTTACAGTTGGCTGAGGCTTCTTCGCAGCAGGTCGAATGGGTTTGTCGGCCATGTTCGAATGTATCGCAGGATATATGTTAGAATGTATAAATGGAAAAAAAAAAAGAACAAAAAAATTATGCTGTCCCTTTTAAATGCTGTTGAATGTTCATTCGCTTCGTGACTGAGTTTGAGAATTTGCTGCATTGATTACACAAATTTGAGGATAGCACCCTTTTACTTATTTCTTTTACATTTTTTGGGGAATTTTTCTACTACTTTCTTGACATCTTTAACAAACAAAATGAACACCATTAAAGCAGACCAAATAATTGAGCTGGAACCCTCTTTCATCAAGGTATGCTTTGTCTTATTTTTGTAGCAAAACGAATAACAAGAGAGTTATGATATTCATTTCAAATAAACTTGACTGGTGTATTCCCCCAGGTACCATACGAACAAATACGTAAATCATTTCGTTCCCAGTACAAACACATCGAGAAAGATACAGTTTATATGCAAGAGAAAATAGAAAGTAGCATAAGGAATAGTGAGCTGTCTGTCGAAAAGGGGATAGAGACACTTGCTGATATAAGAAAGCATGTAGACAAATTATCACGGAGAGTATGTTTTTGTTATCGCTCTTCTACAGTCTCACAGCAAGTAGTAACAGGCTTTCTATCCTTAATAGTTACAAAAATTTAAAGAATTGGATGCAGTGCAAATAAACAAGATAGAAAAGCGAATTAAGAATTTATTGGAAATTGAAGAAGTGACTAGCCCTACTGCACCAGAATTTACAGCGTGGTGTAAAACTCGATTGCATAGAGTGATAGTGGATTACTTACTCAGAGAAGGGCTAACAGGGACTGCACAGAGAGTAGCAAAAGAAAGCCACATTGAGGTATGGGTTTATGATTACAAAGAAAATGCTTCTCCTTATAAGTGAACAAAAGATTGCTTTGAAGCCTTACCATGAGTTGTTTCTTTTTTTTTTTTTTTGCTATTTCAATATCAGGATATGGTTGATATAGACTTATTTACTCAAGCAGAAAAGATTGAGCAGGCCTTAAGAAACCACAGCTGTAAGGAATGTCTTGCATGGTGCACAGAAAATAAATCTAACTTAAGGAAAATGAGGGTATCTGTCGTTTATTAGCAAAAAAAGTCGTAAACCCTGATACAACTAACAGAAGGAACGATCGGTTTCTTAATTATACTTAGAGCACTTTAGAATTCAATTTACGACTGCAGGAACATATTGAATTAGCTAGAGGAAATAAAGGTTTAGAAGCAATTACTTACGCTCAGAAGTATTTGACACCATGGAACGCAACTGAGCATAAAAGAATTGGTCAAGCGATGGGGTTGTTGGCCTACAGCAGTGATACTCAGTGTCAGCCATATAAGGTAAGAAATATCCATGACTTTTATTTCGATTTCTTAAAGAAAGAAAGACTCAATGATGTCTCAAAACTTGGATTGTGAAAAAAGGATCTTTATGATCATGCTAGATGGCAAGAATTGATTGACCAGTTCCGAACAGATAATTTTGCCTTATGCTCGCTTACATCACATCCACTTTTATCAATCACTTTACAAGCCGGTCTATCAGCACTCAAAACCCCTCAATGTTACGTGCCAGAAGACCAAAATGTCAACTGTCCTATATGTGATAATCAAACACTAGGAAATTTGGCTGAAAAGCTTCCATTGAGCCACCATGTAAATTCAACCATTGTATGTCGAATCAGCGGTAAAATCATGAACGAAGACAATCCACCGATGCTTTTACCCAATGGCAGAGTTTACAGTCTCCATGTAAGTGTGTGTAAGTCTAATAGAAGTGGAGTTTAAACATAGAAATTCTAAGTTGCTTTTACTTCTTATGGTAAATAGGCATTACAAGATATGGCGGCTAAATTTGAAGGGAAGTTAACTTGTCCCAGAACAGGAGATGTTTATACAATGGAAGATCTGAAGAAGGTCTTCATTTCCTAGGAAGCCGACAAAAAAATAAAAATAGAAACACTCTCCGGTGCTGCATTTTGTGGGGTTTTTCCGTTTTTCTTGACGTTGCATAAGCATCTTACGGTATTTTTTCACGTTCAATCTGTGTACAACGTGCAAATCATTTGATATGCAAAAAATTGAGAAAAGGGTTCATATGAGCATTTTTACTACGGTTACTGCCGTGTGTTCATGATTTGATGTCTGTTAAAAAAATCTTGTAGGGGTATTTTCTCCAATCTTATGCAGTTTGGATGATTTTCTATTTTTTTTTACAACCCGCAGTTTTTCCATTTAACTTTTCTATTTCACTGAACCATTTCCGTGTCTTGTGTTGTTGATTTCTGTTTCTTCTTTTTCTTCGACCTTTCTTTCTTCTTGCTGTAACTGACTATAAAAGCATGCCACCAATTATACTGAGAATTGAAGGAAATGAGTCAAATCTTCCATTTTCTAATTTAGACCAAGATGAGTTATCAAAAACTTGGAGAGTTTGTACAAAAGTAAAAGACTCACTGGAGAATGGTTCTAGACTCGAGAATTTGTCTTGGAGGTTATGGTTCATGCACAATGTTGCGTACGCAAACGATATCAAGTCAAACACCTCGAAGAGTATGAAAACCTCGAGGCATAGAAGAGCGGTAGACCTGACACTACCCATTGAAAAAACCAGTGAAGATATGACTAAGGAGCCACTGCAGCAGCAGCAGCAGCAGCAACTACAACAACAACAACAGCCACTACCATCTCAACAAAAGCGGCAGCAGTCTACCCCACAACAGCAACTACAACAACAACAACAACCACCACAAATTAGCATAGTGCCGTCCTCAACAAACGAACCTACCGAATCAGTGCTGAATTATTCGTTGGATGATATAAAGCCACTAGGGACCGAGAATTTTATACTTAATCAATTTACGTCTGATCAAGAGGGTGATCAAATAATAGAGTTAAAGGACATATTTCCTTTGAATGATATGCAGGAATTCATGTATCCCATCTATGGAGAGAATCCGACGGCAACGACAGCGGATGTTCAATTTGCAAGCAACAACACAGACTCAACATCTCCAAGTTTTATACCAGCTTACTATAACAATTCAGCATCTCCTTCGATGGCTTGGGAACCAACGCATACTGATATGAGCAATCAAAGTCCAGTAATATATGGTAACCAATCAAATAACGCAGTAATAGATACCAGTAATCATAGTGGTAGTAATAATGAAGCTATGACGTACTCGACAAATTTATCTACTCATTTTATGCCCGCCGATTCACAGCAACGTGTCACTACTACTACTGCCACAACTGCTACCCATAAAGCCTCCATCAGTAACAACAACAACAACAACAACATTAAGAGCATAAGCACAGAAAACGCAATGCCGAAACCCATAACAGGAATTCATTCTAATTTTGCAAACCATATTGATATCCCGTCAATCACTATACCTTGTTGCCAAGAGAACGGCACTTTGAACAATAACACTGCTGCTACGGCTGCTGCTGCTGCTGCTGCTACTGCTGCTGCTACTGCTGCTACTGCTGCAGCACAGGCACAGAATCAACAGTCTTTTTCGCAAGAGCAGCAAGATTTTATAGTAGACTACAATAATGCCGCTGCTGTTACTGCCGCTGCCTTCACAAGCATACCCAACGCAACATTACATAACAAATTACTAGCTACACTACCTCCTAAAACATTAGCATCAGCTGAACGGCTTTTATCACCAGCAAGATATGCTCCAATTACACCTCCATCAACACGAAGTAACATAGGATCTACAATACAACAATCCTCCTCTCTTAACCATTACGTATCACCCAATTATATTAGTGTATGTAGCAATAACCTTCAACCTTTGAACAGCAGTAGTAACATAAAGTACACGGACGGTAGTATGAACAGCAGTAATGGCAGAAGAACTACAGGCTCAAATGCGCCAGCAATAGCCATATCTGTCCCTACTACAGTAATTTTGAATAAGACGCAGAACGCACAACAGCATTACTATAACACGTTTCAACTAAGCACCCCGAACAGTACATTATCATCAGCATTTTTACCTTCAAAATCACCAACCACAAAGAAAAAATATAGCCACGGGGAGAGGATAGACAGCAACGGCAGCAAACCGAATGGAAATAGCTCCATGCTGCCGGCCACAAGTATGCACACTAACAATGAAGATAAAATGATGGTTTGCAGTAATTGTGAAGCAACAAGCACGCCATTGTGGAGACGATCCGCTGACGATAAAATTTTGTGCAATGCTTGCGGGTTGTAGTAAGTAACAGATGTTTGTACAGGTTTTGACAAAGGCTAAATTTTATACTCACTGAAATTCTTGCAACGAATTAACTCAGCTACAAGCTACATAAAATACCAAGACCCAAAAATATGAAAAAGGACACCAACAGTCAGAATAATTCACCGGATCAAACGGAACGTATGGAAATGGATGAGGAGCATACAGCTGAGCAGCGCCAGCAACTTAAGGGTCTCAATTCAGCATCGCCATTATCAGTCTCACCAACGGCAGCACGACCCTACCACCGACGAAGTAAACAATTTGAGAGAAAAGAATTACTGCAAAATGCCGACGCTCAACAGCAATCGCAGCAATCACAATCACAGTCACCACCACAGATTATATGCTCCAACTGCAAGACAACAAAGACCCCTTTATGGCGTAGGGATGTTCAAGGTGCGCCTCTATGTAACGCTTGCGGACTATAGTAAGTTGTTTCTTTATTGTGGTTAAGCCGTGAATGACTCCTCTTTTAACGGAAGTATCTTTTTGTGTTTTAGTCTAAAACTGCACAATGAAATGCGTCCTCTATCTATGAAGACAGATGTGATAAAGAAGCGACAAAGAACAGAATCACTCATCACTTCAGCAGTATCTCACGACAACTTAAAAAAGCCTCGATATTACGATCAAAAATCGCTTTTTTCAGCAAGGAACAGTGATGGCACAATAACGCCAGCTTACAAAAATGCTGTAACATCATTGCCCGGTACGGGTATATTGATGATGACAACTAATATGAACTCCAACAAAACATCTTCTTCTACCTCTTCGACCACTACAACCTTCTCAACATGAAAAACAGAAGGGTAGTATTTGCTCAAGAGCCATTTTATATTTCACCTCACAACCAAAATTAATGTATTCCAAAACCTATTAATAGATAAAACTCTATGACCGAAAAAGAAAAATATGTTATTCTTCTTCTTTTTATGACCAAAATAACTGTATAGTATTTTAATAAAACTGTAAATAAGTGTTTTTATACCTTTTGTATCTGGCTTGCTACATTCCAGAAATTTCTAAGTGACATTCTCTGTGAAATCAGTAGCGAATCGATCCCAGGTGGGGAAGGGACGTGAAGAAGAGCTATTTCCGGATCATCGAACAGTGTACATAAAAAAGGAAGTCTTTCAATCTCATCTGATGGATAGGGTGAATGTAAATAGTCTAGACTATGGATGATAGGACGAAGAAAGAAATATTCAAATTGGACATGTGTGTATAAACTATCTGCATCCATCGATAATACGTTCTGCACATTATTAGTCATCTATTTTAAGTGTATGAATTGTGAATCAAACTATAGCATTTCTCTGAAGCGGCAAAACAAGAGTCCTAAAGAGAAAAGAGGCTTTCTAAATCACCAAACTATTTCTTATACTGCTCGATTACTAATACAGTATCATTTCCTTCAATTAAGTATTCTATTGGCAAGGATTTTCCTAGACACTGGGTTGGCATCAACGTCCGTTTTTTTTGCGATGCACTCAGTGACATATGCTTTTTTCCAGTAAATTCTTGGTCTACCTGGTTGGCTAAAGCAAGTTGGAGAGATTTAACTCTCTGAATACATAATTGTAGGTTGAGCGCTTTTCGTTGTAATGATTCATATAGACGAATGACTGAAAGGGAACCCAATGATATTCTGATTTCTGTGCCACATGCGCCTGGTTGATTATTATATCCCTTCATGGGCTGGTATATATTATCGAGACGAAACAAAGGACCGTGAATTATGTCTAGCCAGAAACCCTTTTTGATAAAACTGGTAAACATTCTGATGCGTAAATAAATTGTCAAGGTTTGGACATGCAAAAGCGGAAGAGAATATATTTAAGAACATCATCAAAACGTTATACCCTTACAGAATTGCAGTAGCAAATGAAATTTTCCATAGGGTTCTTATTCTATTATCTTAATAACTGATCATGTAACGCGTATGGATTATGAAACGCTTAGTCGCTTTTCACATCAGCCAGGAGGAAGAGAAGTTATGGAAAGAGCGCTTAGAAATATTGAAAACTTTGCAATATGGGATAAATGGCCCCTATGTTGAACAGAGCCCTTTAAGACGGTTTAATTCTCCCAGCAACAAAAGGATAAGTTGGAAAGCTTGTCTCGGATGATAATGAGTCCATATCTAATCCAAGAAAATTGTTAAGTTCGAAATAACATTTATGAACGGCATCCTGAAAGATCCAACCCTAAGTGCTGTAGTTACTTTGAGAACATTAATGGAGAGGCCCCACAAGTTCTAAAACGACTAAAATTTAGTGCTAAGCTTTGTAGTTATAGATTGTAAATAAAAGCTAAAAGAGAGCCATCCGTTGAGAGTTAAAGTGCTGGTTTTATAGGTGCTGTAATTGACACTGACAATGACACCGTATTCGCCCGTTCAGTGAATTATAAACAATCTCATCACCAGTAGATTAGCTTTGATAGTAACTCATCGTTGGGCATCTGACCATTGACTTCTCTTTTTTTTTTTTTCGCTTCTCATTCTGTGTCTCTTTACATTACCTATTTGCATATTAAACTCTATACCTCGCTCGACCGCTCTATTTGGCTACTCGTATTTTAGTTTTTGGGCCCAGTACTTCATTTATCCATACACTCCAATGATTGTACTCTGTTGTATAAGGGCAGCCGTGAGCATGACTATCACTACCACTGTGTACCCGTCTATTTCATCATCATTCATCACAACAGTCAGTTCACAATAGTGAAAGATCCGACGATATATATAGTATATATTTATTTTATTTTTTTTTTCTCGTTTTGTTTATTCCATATGGATATGATTATCCTTCTGTTAGTGTGATTGATATAAGCTAGTTTGGCTTTTCACTTATATTGTTGCGTGTGGTGTAAGTTTTGAATCTGTGAGGCTGGGTTATAAGCAATTCTCTTAGCGTCTGCTACTTCCACTTCTGCGTCGGGAGAGGGATCGGCTATAGGAGCGAGATCTGCTTCGTCGGATGGATCTGCTTCTTCTTCTGGGGGAGCGACTGCGTCTCAACGGTGTTCGGCTTCTTCTAGGAGATCGACTGCGGCTGAGTGGTGATCGACTGCGACTTCTGCTGGGCGTCAAGCTTCTCGAATAACTTCTGCTGCGTGAATAACTGCGTCCGCGGGAGTAGCTGCGGCTTCTCGAGTAACTTCGACCGCGAGAATAGCTACGTCTGCCGCGAGAATAGGATCTCTTTCTGCCTCTTGAATAGCTACGGCTAGGAGATCTGGATCGGGAATAAGAATAACGTCTTCCACGTCTTACGGGTGATCGTGATGGAGAACGAGAATAGCGTCTGCCCCTTCTGTCTCTCATGCCACCACCACCACCGCCGCCACCGTAACGACTGCCACGTCGTGCCATTGGAGGTCGAGGAGGGCTACGCGCGCTAGGACGTCTATACGGTGAAGGGGAATAACGAGCTAAGGAAAGTCAAGTAAAAAAAACATATCCATTAGTCTTGACAGAGACAGCACGCTCAACTTCTATTTCTACAATCTATACCTCTTCTTGGAGAAGGTGTACGCTCGCGGTGTTTGGGTGCCATTACACATGATAATCTCTTACCGTCCAATTGGGCCTAACACAAAAAAAAAGTCGCTTAGTTCAAGTTCGTTGTTCTTGAAAATTGCTGTCTCCTTACATTATCCATATAACTGATAGCTTTATCTGCTTCTTCTTGTGTTGCGAAATCAATATATGCTTTAGCTTTATTGGTGTTTACTGTTTGTTGAGAAAAGAAAATATAGACACTCGTTAAACAGTGATTGTTTTTCTCAGTCTTTGTTATTGTTCTCTCCCAAAAGGAGGGTCACTTACAAAACTTGTTCATAGGAAACTCTAAATCAGTGATGGTTCCAAACTGACAGAAGATTTCTCGCACATGTGCCTCCGTAACATTGCGCGTCAAGTTGGTGACCAAAATCGAGTGTAAGTGCTTTGGACTCATGGATCGTGCTGAGCCACGTCGTTTCGCAGATTTTGGTGAGGGTGAACGCGAGCGTCCTTTTGAACGTGAGCGAGAGCGAGGAGAAGGTGATCTAGAGTACGATCTGGGAGAACCCCTATTGAGCAATAACGGATGAATAATACATGCGTCAGTATTCGTTTAGTAATGGGTGTGTTTCCATTCATCTACAGTCTCAGCTTATAACTGTTCAATCGTACATTGCGCTTTGCTTTTTAAAAGATGTTGAAAGTGGGTTTTATTGAAATTTCTTCTAACTCCAGAAAATATAATTTGAGAAAAAATAAAAAAAGAAGCGTCAGAACTTTTTCGAACGAAGCGGGTCCGGAATTTCTGTTGGAACATCATTCCAAAGTCACTTAAGCAGCAACCTGAAAGAAGAGAAAAATAGGGATGTTACACTTGTTGGAAGAAAGGGCAAAATAATAGCTTTATTTATTCAGGCAAGAAGATTTATACACAGGCTGGGAAACGTCTCCACTATGATACTATTTATATTTTTTTAAATAGATCGTAATGATTGAAATGATAGCGTAAGAGATACGTAGTATGGTCAAAATATACATGTGGTAAGAGTGCTTTGAAGCAACTCTTTTTTTTTTTTTTTCCTTTTTTAAAAATATGTAATAGTAACAGATAAGGAAACACAACAAAAAGATTAGAGATCGTCATAAGTAGTTAGGCTTCGCTGAGGTATAGTGGCATCTACAGGAGGAACGGATGGAGCTAAGCTGGCTGAAGTTGTAGGTCTTAGCGTGTGATTATCATAGCCTGCTTCTTGCGCTAAGAGACCATCTTCATCCTGCCAAGGCACGTTACCAAACCCAACTTTATTTCGTTCGGGTATTTTGGCACGGTTCACTATGAGAGGGTTCGATATTAGAGGTTAGAGTGACTGATGTTGAGGCTGTATGTTTTATAGTCTATGCTATTCCCAGATGGTGTGTATCATACCTTTTATATGCCCGGAACCCACCAATGCGCCATTCATATTTTGGATAGCTGCTAATGCTGATTCCTTGCGCTCATAAGTGATGAATCCATAGCTATAAATGTTATTGAATGCTTAGCATCTGCGTATCATAAACACAACCTTGATAAAAATGCAAAAATGCCACTACGTACTCTTTTCCTTCGACAAGTCTTACGCTTTCTAATGGTCCAAACCGTGCAAAGATACTTTTAAGGTCACTCTCTGTCACGTCTTTCAGTTCTCCTACGTATATTTTTGTAGCATAAAATTCTGTATCGAGATATTGCGCTGCCTCAGAATAGACCTAATGTGGAAATGAAGGGATGAATGGACGAATTGATAACACAGCCCTCGCATTCTGTTTACAATATCGATTCTTTTCTGTTGTACTCACGTCTGCTCCTCTGCTGCTGCTGTTGTGATAATAAGGACGGTGGTAGTATCTATGACCAGCACCGCTACTACGACGACGTCTGTACCGATGGCTACTGTGATGACGATAGTCATAGTCATCGTCAGAATCGGAGGGATAGCGATGGCGTGATCGCCTTGGAGATCGGGATCGAGAACGGGATCGCGAGCGTGATAGTGAACGTGATTTGTGTCTGCTGTGACGACGGCTGCGATAAGTATGTCTGTCTTCACGTCCATCTATTTCACTTATCTCAGGTCGTGTATTTGAGTCGATGGTTGCCTCATCAGGCTTTTCTTTTTTGAATTTTGCTCTACGACGTATGACTCTTCCAAACTCGTCTAATTCTTCCTCTTCTTCTTCCATGTCATTTTCTAGTGATCTACATGGACTCAAAGTTGTGAGCAGTAGAAAAAAAAGAAAAAAAAAGACAACCTTTTTGAACTTTTTCTATTTTCAAAAATACTACCTTTTGCGCTCTTCAGACATTTTGAAAGGAAGTTATATTCAAATTAGTTTACTATTCAAATATAGTTTAAAAAGATGTAATAAAAATTGTAATGCACACTCAAATTACTTTAAAAAAAGTAGTTTTGCTTGAAGCAATGAAACAAACTGTCAAATAGTAAGGCAAAAAAAATATTTTTGCTGCCTTTTCTTTTTTTTTTTTTTTTTTTTTTTGTATTGAGAGATCAGTGACTTTTTGTTTCCGTTTTTGGTATATGAAAGTGGGTGGGGAGGGAAGCGTTTCCTTTCTTTTGGTTTTTTTACGGTCTATCATTGTTTTTACATTTCTTCCAACTCATCGTCCGTTAACAGAATGTCTTCTTCTGGAAAGTCACCTACAGTAACTTTTGTTGGACGCACAAATCCGCCATAGTTTGGAGGGCATTCAAAATACCTTTCTCCTTTAACGGTTCCATCGTTTTTACCCAAGGGCTCATCGTACTGTATACCCACCCAAATTCCTGGCTGAAATTTGGTAGTGCCAATATACTTTACAGTGCCTCGCTTTTGTGGGGCTTGAGGATCTGTTGATACTTCACAACGGTCGCCAACATGGATGTTTTTTGCAGCTTCTTGGTAGGACTTTTCTAATGCATCTTCTCGAGCAGCGGCCTCATCAGAAAATCGGCCCAATTTGTTACGCTCTTTGAATGCTCTTACAGTATCTATGGGTATCAAAAATAGACACATAGTGGTTGGTAAACGATGGCACTTTGTGGGTGGCGAGGGGGGGGAGCTTTATTTATTGAAGAATCACCTGAGCGTTTCTCGTATTCTTCGTTTGAAAGTTCGAATTTCTCGACTAAAGAGACGTCGGTATATTGATTCTTTACGCGATGAGGGTTGGTGTCGATAACAAGGATGCGCATATAATCTTCTACCGGATAAGCTCCCAACATTTTGTCGTCGTCGTCCAGCGAACATAGTAGTTCATCTTTTCTGTAGAGTTGTATTTTTTGCGTAGAGTAAGGAACACCTGCGATGGGTTCTAATTTGTACTGTAATAGTTAAATTTTTTTTTTAATGTGAAGGCTGTTCAGGATGGTCTGTCCCAGTCAGCTCGTTTGTACCTTCAATTGTGAAATGGTGAGGCTTTTGTCAAAGCGTCTCTCGCTACTGACTTTTTCTTCCTGTGTATCCACGAACAAAGTGACGATGGACATTGTATGAATTGGAGTAATCAAAGAATAGTAAATGAATCTACACGTTTTTTGGGCTTTTGACTTGGGAAAAATTATTTCCAAAATTTAGAATGCTTGACGTCATCGCTTAAGCTGTCGTCCACAGACAAAGGCCATCCAGAGGAGGAGAGTGTATTTTCAATTCCAGGAAAGGTGGGGTAGTATTTGAGCAAATAACAGATTATTTATCGATTGTCCCTCATTCTTTTTTTTTGCAAGCTACATTAAAATCGGCCATCAGCCCATTCGTCCCTATGTTTCAAGCGTTACATCAATTTGCCCTGAGGAAACCAGCGATCTTTTGGTCTTGTGTCATTGGAAGCATTGGTAAATAACCCTGTCCATTTTTGTCAGTCTATTAAAAAAGCATGGCCATCAGCGGAAAGATAACTTATTCGTTTCCTTGACCCACCTTTTGAAGGCCCTGTCATGGTTTTCACGGTCCCTAAAGTCAGACGCGAGTATTTCGGCTTTCAGGGTTATGAGACTCTTCCCATCACCTATCCTCGTAAGTATAAACATAAAGAGAGAGAGAGACGGCTGTAGTAGAGAAAGGAGTTATAACAAAAAAATTGCTACTAGTTCCCAACCGACCCCGTAAGCCTACCACTGGTTATGAAGACCCTTGAAGAGACTAGTATTTCGTCGAAAAGACCGCAGAAAACCTCCCCAAATACCAGAACGAAATGATGATATATTCATTCAATCAGCTCGTACAAAAAAAAAAAAACCACAAACACGCAGAATTTATAAATAAAGCAAATCTCGAGAAACGACAACCATGAGCAGTAGCTACTGTTATATTTTAGACAAGAGGATCTTTAAACTGGAATGAGCTTCAAAAACAGTTCTCGTTACAAAACAAACAAGAATAAGCTGTGCAACCCAGTTTTCCGTTTTTTTCATATCAAAATGACTTGCGGATCAAAGATGGTCGTGAATAGGAAAGAAAGCCCATCTTTCTATGCTTTTCCTTTTTTCTTTCTCAGTGACTCGTAACTATAAATTGTCGATGGTACCTTTTTTTCCGACACATCCGTTCAGAGACGTTAAAGAACGAAACTGGCTTTTTGTCAAGTCTTTCACATTGCCCAACAAAATACCACAGCAAATGACTACGAAAAGAGAACAGGTATTTTTTGGTCTTTGAAGACGTTGTCTTGTGATTACGTATCCTACACATCAGAACATTCAATGATAGAGCTGTCATTGCAATGGCAGGTTCAATAATGTGATTTAATTGATGACCAGCACATCAGTTGATGACATCTTGTTAGATGTTGTGGTTTAGCTTATAGAAGAAAAGAATTTTTAACCATTTTAAGCTATGGTTTGAAAGGCTAACCCAAAAAACCATAAAAAAAAGGAAAACCCCTATTTTCTTTTTCCGCACGCACTCCATTCGGCTTTATTCCGATAAAATTAAAAAAAAAACGGCAATTTTTTATGCTCCCCCTTTAAAGAAAAAAAGAAAGTTTTTTTTTTGTTATCACGTTAAAAATGGGGGTTTTTTCTTTATTCAATTGTCCTACCGAATAGTGGGTAATGCACTGGTCGGGCATGGATGAACCCATCAAAAAAATTTTCTCTTGAGAAAAATCTTTGACTATCCTCCGCGCCCTCCCTCAGACCCCTTCTCCGTCGTCACGGGATAGAAAGATGTATAAAAGGGTAAATCATTTCCATTTTATGGTTGACTTTTTTTTTTTTTTTTTTTTTTTTTTTTTTGTGTGTGTGCAAAAATATCATTCAGTTTTTTGATTCCATTATGCTTTCTGTGCGAAACATGCTCACGGACAATTTATCTAAAGAGGAGCACAAACAATACATACGTCCATCCATATTAAATATCTCTTCGTTGCTATGTTCCAACGACAACTATGACGACGTGAAGACAGCCAGCTACAGTAGTTCTTTCTGCTCCAACTATTATCGTGACAGTTATGGACAAACCAACATTTATCTTCAGGAACACCATGAGCATCACTGTTACGCACAGCCACCACAACAACAAGACAAGCGTTCGTTCAGCGAACATGTGGACTCATGCAGCAGCAGCAGCAGCAGCAGCAGCAGCAACAGCAGCAGTAGCCGTAACCGATCTTCATCCTTACCTTCATTGACAACACCTTACCCATTATTAGACAAGCGCTATTGTCGATCCTCAAGACAACATCAAATTGAATCCAGAAAGATTGAACAAGAACTGTTACAGCAAGCCGCCGCTGAACGATCACAGGAACAGCAAACCAATTTCGTGCCTCTCAAAGCCAAAAGAAGACGCGCTTCTTCGAAACAGTTGGATGTATTAAACAAGGTGTTTGAAAGAACCGTTTTCCCTTCTACGCAACTAAGAGCTGAATTAGGTCGTCAACTGGGTATGAGCCCTCGTACTGTTCAGATTTGGTTCCAAAATAAACGCCAGGCGCTTCGTACAAAAGAGCGTTCTGCTTCAGCAAGTCCGTGCACAAGTAGCAGAGAAAGTTCAGCGTCACTTGAATAAGTCTTGATTTTTTCTTTCATTATTTCGCATTTGTACAAAATTTACACCTACGCATCTATCTTTCCACCTTTTTTTTTTCCCTGTAATATCTAGTACTTTTGGTTTTGATTCCCAATGGCCCATTCCTTGTAAATTTTTTGATCCTTTCTCTGGTCCCTTCATCTTTTTGCCTTCCATTTTTAATCCCCGCAAATGTCCTGTATACTTCTTTTGCACATATACCAAACCCCTTCCATTTTATTGGAGCATGAATAAAAAACTATTCCTTCTGAGATACATTCTAGAATGAAAGCTTTTATTTTGTTTTTCCCTTTTTACGTGACAATATTGGGGGCAAGTCCTTTATAGAATTAGGACAAGCTAAAACCATTTGTTATTCATCAGGGCAATTGTTTTAGTCATAGAAAAAAAAAAAAAAAGTTTATCAATCATCTCGATTTTCATTTTTACAAGTGAGCTGTCAGTTGAAAATAAAAAAAATTACTGAAATAGAGGGTATATTGAAAGCGGACCATTAATTGGTTTTTTCCCTCTCTGTTTGGGCGCGTTACTCTTGCATATAATCATTTCTACGTTTCTTTTTACTTTCCTTTTATAGAAGCACGTGCAGCTGCGTCCCAAAAAAAAAAGGGAAAAAGTTGTAGTACTTTAACCAAGGCCCTGTACCAAAGCCCTGTGATGGCAATGTTTAAGATTGGGTAAACTGCTCTGATTTTAACAGAATAAGGTACCAAGAAAGGGGGGTACTCACCTTACTAATCCTTCAGTAATGCGTTTACTTTTTGAATGAAAAAATTTTTTCTATGAAACGAATCAAACTTTGTCAAAGCCAGAAACAAGAAAGCCCTTATTTTTTTACGGACGTACTACACATACAGACAAAAACACAAGCACCGCTGAAACCAGCAACTATACTTACGTCGAGCTTATTAAATTTCGGACCTTTTTTTTCTTTTTCTTTTTATTAAAAAAGGGAAAGTAATAAAGTAATACATCCTGCTTGCTTGGTTTCAACAGATAAACGAACATAATCATCCCATTGGTTACAATAAACGCGTCTGGTTAACTTGTCTACAACATTTGATCCTTGGAGAAAATAGTAGGACGGAACCAACGCGCTCGTTGGTTTTTCATCTGTAGCCTCCAGTGAATAGAATCATCAGATGTCACGGGCGCGCAGATAGAGAACGACCTAAAGCGAAAAAAAAAAAAGAGGGGCGCCGAAAAGGGAGGAAGAACAAGAGTTAACTTTTGGTTTCACATTATGGAAAAACAAAGAAAAAAATTTTTTTCTTCAAACCTCCCACCTCCCCCAAAAGGCGTATATTCTATACAGTGTTTTTGAAGCATGACCTATTCTTAACTGCCTTTCGTCTGGTAAAATAAAATGCAAGACACATGTAGAAAAGGGTCGAGATGATGTACATGGCTATCTAAGTCAAGAGAAAGCACGCGTTCGGTAGAGTTAAAATTCGTTCTCATGCGGACATGGACAACAGATTCTAAAATTGTATTAAAACTTTTTAACGGAGCCAGGTAAAACTGCTCTATCCCACACGTTAGCGGATCGAACTTTCCGACGTGTGGCGCAAGTCTTTAAAAATATCCATAAATTTGAAACCCAATCATGGAAGACTGTTCCATTAGAAAAAGAGGTTAAAGTTTGTGAATAGGATTGTTATACATGCTTGTCACAGGAAAGCTTTTGTTTGCTTTTGATATTGTCAAAGAAGTTCTCGACTTTGTATATGAAACAAACCCAAAAAAATGATCAGTTTGGGCTTTTTGACGCTTAAGCTAAATGATCGGACGCGTTCAAATTGGCTGTCTAAAAATGAAAAAGATCTTTCGTGTAATGCCGTACCTGTGTTTCTTTATTCATCCACTGTGAGTCCTTTCCAGCATATCATTCATCAAACGTGAAATACCCATGTTTGGTACAGGGAAAACAATTTAGAGTTGCATTTGTAATAGAGACGTAGCAATGTGTATGATGAAATAGACTACAACTATGGATCAGCCACCACTCAAATATGTTTATTGTTCTATTTATTCTTCAACTCTAAAGGCCTTTTGTTTAACACATGAAAAAGAAAAGGAAAAAAAAAAAAAAAAAAGCAATTGTATTGAAAATAGGCAGCTATGAATATACGTAACCAACTCCTTTAGAGTGAGTCTATTAGCAAACAACCATTTATCTGTTGTATAACTACAGCCATCCATTTTCTGTGTCTTCTTGCTCTTCTTTTCCTTCACTCGCAATAGAGGTATGAGTAAAGAATTTGTGGGCTTCGTTCATCTATTATTCAACGCGATTAGTTTCTACAGTTCTTTTCATCTGCATCAGCATAAAATGCATTTGCATTCACCTGCGCTTCAAGCTGAGCTTTGGTTACATCATCTTTAAGGTATTTTAATAGATCAAACGCCATTCTACACCAGTTCTGCCCCTGTTGTACCTCTGATCTATGGAAATACATGCTATCAGCCGAAATAGTACTCCTTTGATACTCTCTGTTACCATCAATAAAGCTACCCACTTTAAATAACACGTGATACCTTCATTCCAAGCTACCACAATCAAGTAATAGAGCTCCTCATGAGGATAGGTTACCTAACATGGAAGAAAAAAGAGGCTTTAGAATATACAATTGTAGTACATATTGTCCATCTGAAAAGGCCAACTTTTTTTCGCAACCTTTTTATACGCTTCTTGTTCTATGACAGACGTCATGCATTGAAGTAGATCTTGAGGATCGCTTTTTTTTACTGCCATCGAGAGAAGAATACGCGTCCATTTTGCATGCTGTGTCATATCGTCTGAATCGATAGACTTGATGGATGATTGTAAAATCTTTCCCAAAACCCGCCATAAACATGATGAGTCCCCTTAGCATCGAGAAAGTCAGTCAATAGGTTGGGGTTGTTTTTTTTTTTTTACCTTGATAGCTGAAAATGCATCTAAAGAAAAATGACATACGACATTCATTAATTATAGAAAAAGATGTGGTTGTATGCTTGGTAACAAAGCGAAAAACAGACGCTTACCATCCATAGAGCATTGATGATGTAATAATATAGTAGCTGTGTTCACCCGCAATCCAAATGAGAAGGAGCGTTGGTAACAAATAAATTTAACCTCATTGAAAATAATCGGGTACCTGTCGCCCTTTCCAAGACTGAATAAGAACATGAGTTCGATTGCTCAAGCATCTATTATAAAAATCGTGTTGGTAGGTGAAGGGTCTTTCTGGTAAGCTACTTCCCTTGGAGAGGACAAATCAGAGCTCAAGACACACCTTTAAACAATGGATGGCTTTGTTCATTGTATCTTGCTTGCTAACAAGAATTTCGATCTCAAAGTAGAGGGATAGGATAGAGATAGCATCATCATTCTCCTTTGTCTCATCTGTTTGGCGTTGTCTTAAAAAGGACAACATGGAAAGTATTTCATTGATATCACCTTCTTTTTCGTTCATCATCTTTTTATCTAAAGTTGCTTCTTTGTTGAGCAAAGACTTGAGAGAAAAAGAAAGGGATTGAGAGATTTTCAATTTGGTTTTTTTTGACAGCCTAAGGGTGATGGTCTCGTCTATACCTTGTTTTTGTCACGAAGTAACAGAAGATAAGCACTGACAAAGAGAAATGTACGAATACGATGCTGATCATAAGTAATTCTTGTTAAATCGTCAAAGTGAAGAGATAGCTACACCATAACAGATAATGTACGTTAAACGAATGAAGGAAAGATAATGAATCTTCTTTCAGTCTTACTACCTTATTAATGTTATCAAACATCAAAACTCCTTCCTCATGCCTGCCTTGACTAAAGCAGAAAAGCCCTAGATTCCATGACGTATGCAATATCCATTCAAGATCACTCAGTAACACTGTTCCCTGAACTTCATCTTTGGGAACTTCTGCAATGAGTTCGCATACTGAGAACTAGAAACATCAGAATCAAGCATTTATACAGGACACACACAATGTAAAATGAATTTTTGCTCATACCAACACCAAAATAGGAAGCGATTGCTTTGAAGTTTAGTTTTCTAAATAGTTTACAATAAAGAATTTAGCAATGATTATAAAAGTATATCATACCTCGTGGTCTGTACCTAGTTCTGGAATTACCCTCCTTTTTCATGGCATCATAAACTGTTGTTTTTATATGAACGGTGCATCTACATACATACATACACATGTAGACGTTAACAGTCAAGTGTTTGTAAAGGAACTCGTTGTTTAAGACCGCTTATATACCTTATCAGAAACACTAGCAAATGAATCATGTCTAATTTCTCTTGTCGTTCAATAAGTGCATTCAAGCTTCTGTCATAGACGAGCAGTAAACCGTCCAAAACCGTTTTCATAATAGATCCTTTCTTCCCATACTATGTGAGCAAATAAACAAGAAATCAATCATCTTATTCCTCTCCCAAATAGATCATTGGTTAGACCAGCATACATACTTTGTAACAATATTTAAGTATGGGTAAAAAATGCTTTAAACTCAAGTCTTTGCATTCAAATAGAGTCGCCAAAATAGGATCTGTTACTTTAACAAAAAATACCCATCTCTTTCAATTCGTCTGTTCTCCATGCTTTTTACTTGTTTTCAAATAAATACAAAAAATTCCACCACGAACGTAACTTACAATAAGGCTGCTCAACTTTGGTTTGTCTCAGACTGTACTGGAATAGCAATAAATAGTCTTCGATGGCAGGCTCAGCGGTATCTTCTATACCTTTTCTCAACGATTCGTAAGCTGCATCTGCATCTTCCATCTGTATAAAACAAACCGATAATTTCCTACAAAAAAAAACCCCGCCCCCACAAATACAGTGAATACACTTATCGTCATACGAGACCACCATGAGACTTTGCCTTTCTTTCCCTCACCTTGCCATGATGATAGCATTTGTATTCTCTCCAAAAGTGGAACTTGTTATATTGTATGCATATTTGAACCATAACGATGCTGTTCTAAACTGACATTTCTACAAAGAAAAGAAAATCAATATTCTTGTGGGTTATCTTTAATAGAAACCAAAGCACAAACTTGAGTTATTCTGTCCCGCTGCATCTTACATCATAAAAGCCATCCCCTGTTCTCCAAAGTAACTGTTGACAAAACGAAATCGTTAAGCCTGCTTATTTTTTGAATACATGTGCGCATTACTTTTCTCAGGCCTCAAAGTTATGTTACCATTTGTATAGCGGACAGTTCCGCATCTGGTATATCTCCTTTTATCAGAAAAATATCATCCATGGTGGACCCTAATACTCTTTCTTCAAAGTCAATCGAAAGCTGCATAGCTTCTTGACATAATTCGGAGAGAATGAGAACTTTGACGAGGTAGAATTCGCTGCTGTTGTCACTACTACTTATTTTGTTGCTTATCAGCAACGCACGATGAATCAACACGTCTAATCCATCCATAATACTCGAGATGCTATGTTTTATATATACAGCATAGTAAGCACTACTCTGCATCTAGCTCGAGATGGAAGTAGGTAATTACTCATGAACAGACTTACCTCACATATTGATTTTGGTTGACTAAATGAGCGATGGACACGAGCCTATATAGATGAACAGAGTCAGTCTACAAATGTATCCAATGGAAGAGATCAAATAAAACTCTCTCTCTTTTTTTTTTTACAGCGCTAAATCTAGAGTACTTGTCGTTACTGATATGGTTTCCACCATATTGAAGTATTCTATAAAGCAGTATTTAGTACAACCATAATTGCCTTGTCTATAATCAGCAAAAACTCAATTGAGACATATTCAGACCTTCTTGCATCTTTTTTTGTAAAATCTCGTTTGCGCATGACATTGATTTGAGCCAAAGATGAAATTTACAGTAATAGTAGTGTAACGATTGTTTCTCTTCCTATATTGAACATGATCTATCGCTTGAGCAAATACCCTGATGAGAAGAAAAAGCAAGTTGCTTACTCGTGTTAGGACATGATCCAAGGTCGTTAATAGCCGAGTGGCGTCATTCCCGTGGAGAATATGCGTATCTTTTTGGCATACAGAAGCTTATCATTGATATCTTAGCTGCATACTTTCAGGAAAGTTGACATAATGACAATTCAATAGGGGTACCTAATAGATCCATTAAAATATCCTATGTTTATGCAGCATGAATCATCTGTATTTTATTTTTTTTTTCCTCTCTTGCAGCAAATGCAAAATGAAAGAGTGAGAGGGTTGCTGTTCTTACATGGAAACAGGCCGGAAAACTATCCAAACCGGAGCAGTCGATCATATGCTGGAGACATCCCATCATCCAGTAGAGTATTTCAACAGACGTTTTACACGAATTCTTCAAGAGGAGCATACTCGTTTCTAAAAGCACATACAACATGTACGGTAACTAATACATCGAATAAGGCATGGACTGAGTATACAACGGATGTTCCCCCCTCCCCCCCCCAATGTACCTACTTCACTGGAGCTAGTGAATGTGTACAACTCACCTCTGCTTTTCTGACGCCCTGTGATAAATGACTTGCCGTCATTTCTGTAACAAAAATAAATCTCATAGAATCAACAAAAAAACACAAGGGAGAAAGATAAAGTTCTCGTCTTTATGTGGTACCTATCGCCTTTTCGTAGAGACGTTGAGACTCTATCCATTTCTCTTTGCGCGACGTCTATTGGGAGGCTGATGATAATCAACCATCCAATAAAATAGAGCTTATTAACGAGAGGTAGACCGCCATGACTTACGTATTCAGATTGGTACAAAGCACATCGAATGAACGCTCGTATTTGATCGTCTGATCTGCTACAAAGACCTGTTTCATTACCATCGTTCAAATACTATCCGTATATTTATAATTTAAAACTTTTTGAATGACAAGGCAAAAACAAAAAGTAGGTTCTAAGGATTACCTTTTCCATTTCTTCCATCATAAACAAACTGATATTATCTAGGCCATCACAATCTTTTCGAGTGGGATGATGAATAAAAGAGAAAGATTTCCTAGTATGGATGGGTGAGATACGAAAGAAAAGATAGAATACCTAACCAGAGCTTGTAGGTGTTGCTCAATATGTGTAGATATTCCCAGTAATGATCTTGCTTCCATTTCTGATTCAAGTGCAAAACTCTGCAGCAAGTATCTTTTACTATGGACAGGTTGGGGGGTATTTGTCGAAAAGATGACGTTTAGAACTAGACCATGACACATTTCTTATTGGTTTCTTTACATTTCGCCAATATCTTGAATGATGTCAAGTTGTTGTCAGATTGAACATGGTGGGTCAATCGAACAGACTCGTTCCATAATCTTAAGGCTAACAGACAAAAAAAAAGTAGGAATATATAGGTCGACTGTACGTAACGCATACACACTACGTTACAAAAGCTTCTTGAATATATACCGTGTACTGTTAATTGCTGCTTTTCTTCATCCAAACGATCCATAGAATGCTGCGTCTCTCTTATTAAAAGTGTCGCTGTGCAGTCGTCGACTTCTTTTGCTCTGGTCCAAATGTGACCGATAAAAACTTCATTCTCGACAAGTGAGACGGCAGACAAACACGCCAACAGTTCGCTTAAAAGGACTGTTGTGCGAGAGAAACCAGACATCAATCTACCTATCACATGCACAGATGAGATATAAAGAACAGACCTGATAGCTCGCTTAGCTTCATTCTTCTTTTTTATTTATAGAAAAGTGATGCCGTTTCTTTTTTTGGAGGAAAGAAGGGATACGCTGTTCCAGGGAAAAGAAGAAGAAGTGAACAATCACTACCTTTTTTGAAAAGATGATTGGACTGTTTATTCTACTTGTCCTAAAAGTAGATTGACAACTCTAGAGACTCAAGGTATCCACGCTTTATCCGTATCTTTTTGGGCAGCATCAGCCTCAGCCTCAGCATCAGCATCAGCAGCAGCAGCAGCAGCAGCAGCGACATTTTAGGCGTGTCCAAAGAGGGAAAATTCATGCTCCGGACGGGGATCAATTCGTCCTCCTCACTCAACTCAAAAATGATTTGATTTTTTCCCTTCTCCAAGCGTAATGAGTAAAAGAGCAAAATGCCTCTGAGAGATTGGATCGAATTACATTCACTGAGAGAAAAACTTGACAATGGAGGCTATCAAACGTTAGAAGAATTAAAGCAAACCAGTATACTTGAATTAACCAAAGGTGAGACACCTCTTTTTGTTTTTCCTCTCGGTTTGTAGCCATACTGACTTTTTCTCGATCGATCCGTGTTTGGGCATGTCTTTTTTTTTTTGAAAAAAAAGAACTTCAACTCTCAACGGAAGAAGTAGAGTATGTGATAAAAGTGTGCGGTAGAGGTAAATGTTACTTGCTGATCTTTATGACTTTCTCCATCTCGTTGCGATTGTAGACAGTTTTTTTAACTAAACAAAGGCTGCACACACACACACAAAAAAAAAAAAAAAAAATAAAATAAAAATGATATAATACAGAACCTACTACTGTTCAAAAGAGAACCTTGGCAGAAATCATCGCAGCAGAACAAGAGAATAGTATAACTACTTTGTCCAAAAATGTGGATACATTACTCGGTGGTCATGGTATACCGCCTTTCAAGATAACCGAGTTATGCGGTGAACCTGGATCTGGAAAAACACAACTTTGGTAAGCAATAACTTATGGGACATACACACACACACACACTTGAGAGCACCCATTCACGAAAAGATGTCAATCCCACTTCCAGCATGCAGCTTGCTGTGAATGTACAGTTAGACAAAGAAAAAGGCGGTGTAGATGGCGAATGTCTTTACATTGATACAGAAGGTTCTTTTCAAGTCTCACGGTACATCAATATAGGGCGACGTCACTTTAGCATTGAAAAGATGCTCAAGAGCATTCATGTATTCCGCATCTTGGATCACTCAGAGTTGATTGCCATGATTCGACAATTACCAGACATTATGCAACACTATCCCAAGATCAAACTCGTCATTATTGATTCCATTGCGTATCATTTCCGGTTGAATGTATTGGATGCTCGAGCACGGACAGCCATTTTAAACTATACGGCTCGTATGTTGATTGAATTAGCCAAGGTCTATACGTTGTCCGTGGTGGTGACGAACCATGTGGCATCCGATGGTTATCAAGGGCCGTTGACACCTTCCTTAGGTTCGGAATGGGGTTATTGGTGTGCCAATCGTCTATTTTTGTTTCGAAGACGACACTATCGCTTTGGCTTCTTGTATAAGGCAGTTGAAAATGAGAACAGCAGGCCTGTTCAATTTCATATAAGGGTAAAAAAAAAAAAAAAAAAAAGAAATCTATAGATACACATGCCAAAACCTCATGTTCCAATTGTCCATAGGAGGAGGGTATTGGTGATCCAGAAGAAGAAGAAGTGGAGGTGGTGAAAAAAGAGAGCGATGAGCGAGCGGAATGGACAGAGGAAATGGATTCTGCTTGGGAAGAAGTGAAGCAGGCAAAAATCAAAGAGGAAGAGGAAGCGAAAGAATTCGAGGATATTTGGAACGATGATGCTGTGAATGACAGGTTAATATCGCAGATCGACTTGGGTTCTTCGGAAAAGGGGGCAGTAGGGAGTACAGTTCGAAAGACGGATGACAACGACAACGACAACGGCGACGACGACAATGAGAAGCAATGTACGGTAGATGAAGGGTTTATACCCAGTTCGCAGATCATTGCTGAGGGAGTGCCAAGCTTGTTTGATGCTGAAAGCAGCCCTCTTTCAGAGCCCTCTGAAGACGTTGAAACAGGCCTTGCCAGCAATAAACGAAAGATAAATGTTGAAAAAGAGAGTCGGAAAAGATGCAAGCAAACTACCCACGAATCTTGTTCTATCATCACGAAAGATGAGAAAACGAATGACACAACAGCAGTCAACGACGACACAAGAGAGGACGTTGACAGAGGGTATTGGGACAGTGATTTGGAAGAAAGCTTGGATTGGGATTTTTTGCAGAATGTTGAAAGTTACTTATAAAAGAACACATACCCCCCCCCCCATTTTTCTAATGACCTTAATATACCATGATCCATCCAATTTTGTACATTCTATCTATTTTTCTTTTCAATAAAGTACACTGTTACGGTTGTTGTCTTTTTTCTTCTAGGAACAGTACTTTTATTTTTTTATTTTTTTATTTTTTGAGAAAAGGGTTCCTGTATCCATATTATTATGGACCAATCACTAAGCATGGAATTCAGGAGGCAGGGCGAGGCGGGGGGTGTGGTAGTGGTGCGGGGGGTGGGGTGCCCCATCTTGATATTCAGGGCGACCACTGATGTTGGTTTATAGTGGTTAAAACCAAAAAAGCAGAAAAAATAAGGGCCATTTATATATTTGACGTACGTCACATGCAATATTCTTATATTAGAAGACACACGTGTATTAACCTTTTTTTCTAAATTTCTATTTCCCCGTTTCCCGTTTTCTCTATTCTTTGCTTTTCCCACTCTTTATACCATCCGTTTATTTGAGCCATGGGTGAATCACGTACTGAATTGTTGGCTTGGCTTAACGATCTTTTACAGACCAGATACACAAAGGTTGAACAAGCAGGAACAGGTAACATTCATTACCACTATCCCGAGCGATGGTCAATGAAGATTCCTAATGTAGGCTTTATGAATTTAGGTGGTGCTTATTGTCAGATTTTCGACTCCATCTATGGTACAAAAAAGAATGAGTTTGAGCAGGGGGAAACAAAAGAGTCGTCTCTCAATAACTAATCCATCCACTGTTGTTCATCTAGGTGATGTGCCTATGAGTAAAGTAAAATTTGACGCTAAACTTGAATACGAGTTTATCAACAACTTTAAAATTCTACAGAATGCCTTGAAAAAGCACAAGTAAGTCAACATGATGCTTATAGAATGGAATGGCTCGATGCTAACGAACACATCCCCCCCTTTTTTTTTTAAATGATTGTATCACTATTTTGGTGATGGACAAAAAAGGGTGGATAAGGTAAGAACCAAAAGAAACAATCGATAGGCTACAGAGAACCCTTTTGGTTGATTTCCTTCTTTATTAGAATGTGCCTGTGGATCGTTTAATAAAATGCAAACTTCAAGACAACTTGGAATTTATGCAATGGGTAAAGAGATACTGGGAACAAAACTACCCTGGAGGAGAGTATGATGCTTTAGGTCGTCGTAAAGGAACAGTGCCCACCGTGGCTTCCTCCACTCGAACGACAACGACGACGACGAGCAGCTCACCTGGATCTGTCGTCTCCTCGTCTGTTGGAGGAGGAAGAGCCAGTTCTACCAATAGAAAGGCTACAAAAACACCAGGTACAGAAAATCTCGCAAAGGATAGAATAGATAATCTTGTTCTTACACCCCACCCCTTTGATTCAAAAAAAGCTTCGCGTAGTGGCAGTCGAGGTGGCGGTGGGCGTACAAGTGTTTTAGATAACCATTCAGCTTCCATGATTATTGATTTAAACAAACAGATTACCGAGCTCAAATTAGCTGTCGATGGACTTGAAAAGGAACGCGACTTTTATTTTGGAAAGTTGAGAGAAATCGAGATTGAAGTGCAAGAGAATTTAGAACAAATTGAAGTAGCCACGGCAGAGAATGAACAACCACCTGAAGAACATGAGGCGTATGCTATTTTGCGTAATATCCAGAATATCCTGTACAGTACAGAGGATGGGTTTGAAGTCCCTCCTGAGGAAGAAGAGGACATCTTGGCAGGCACCACGCAACAAGCACCAGGAAGAGCAGAGAGAGAGGAAGAGCAGCTTCTTCATCATCAGCCAGCAGTGAATGCGTTAGAGTATGATGATGAAACTTTTTAGATTCGACTTGAAAAGAAACACCCCGACTAGGAAATGATACACACACACACACATATATATATATATACTAAAAATTCTATTCCCCCCACCTCCTCAAAAATATAGCTTTTTTTTTTTTTTTGTTTTTGCATCATTTTTCAAACAATCATAGCCTGTGAATAACAATATAATGAATAAGGTAACTTGTGGGGCGTTTTTTTTTTTTTTTTTTTTTTTTTTGAGAATTTATTTTTTGCTTTTTGGAATCATGATCTGGAGTCAATGGATGCGTTTTTCTTACCATATCGTGAAAGAAGAGGAAAGGAGGGATAAAAATGTATAGAAAGCATATTCATATGTGATTGTCTGAGATATATAAAAAAAAAAAAAAAAAGTAAAAAGAAAAAATATAACAAAAGTTAAGGTATCTACATCTAATCTGAACTGCTGCCAGAATCATCTGAATCAGAGCCAGAAGAACTTTCAGAGTCGCTTTCGCTTGAAGAATCGTTATCTAAGAGAAATTGACAAAATGTTCGTTCAATGTCTCGTGGGCATGTTCATGGTGGGATAACGAAAAAAAAAAAGGCAATGGCTCTTTCTTTTTTTTTTTACCTGAATTAAATTTTTGTAAGGTTTTCTCTAATTGACGTATTTTACGTGCATTGTCTCTTTCTGAGTAACTGTTTCTAGCTCGTTTTGTGGGTGGTGAGTTGGCGGCTTTTTTGTCCACTAAACTATCGCCGCCTGTAACGAACTCGTGTAATTTGTGCAATGTCTTTCTATCAAGCGCATCAATATCCAACACAATTTCTTCTTGTCCTTGCTATAAAAAAGGAGGGATGGTGAGTTGTGTTCTGTTTGTTTTTTGGTTTTTTTTTGCTTACGAGAAAAAAGAGGTCAACTTACGCCACTGATGTTGGGCATGGAGGTTTGAATGATATTCACGACGGTGGTCAGGTCATCGCCCTGTAAGCTATTGATTTGTTCACTTAATTCTTTCTTTTGTTCAAATGAGAATTCAGGGTAATCATCCACCATCTGTTTTGGTAACGCTTTCGATGCTTGATGAGATTGTGTCTCTTTCCTCTTTGCTGGAGCCCGTTTTCTTTTCTCTTTCACCGCAGCAGCAGGCTTTCTCTCCTTTGCTGTATGACTGCTGCCGGTGGGTCTGCGTGTGGTGGTGGACTTGGGCTTTCCTGTTCTCTTTCGCTTTTGTGATTTGATGGACGCAATTTGTTGCGAAATATCCATCAAATGACGCTCTAATTCAGCAATTCTCTGTTCACGTTCTATCCGTCGATAGGGGGCGTGCGTGCGTGAGTGGGGGGTTTTTTTAAAAAAAAGAGGGGAGGGGGGTGGGTTAGATGAGACATAGCAGAAAAAAAAAAAAAAAAAAAAAAAAAGAAACCTACCATCTTCATCCGATTCCTCTTCCTCTTCGTCCAATTCTTCTCGTCCTCCTCTTTCCAGTTCCTCTGGTTCTTCCATGATGTCATCTTCGTCTTGTTCATCAATGACGCTATTTACAGGTGCAGGTTCTGGTTTCTGAGCCCACTTTTCATCAAATACTTTCTCCAATTCGCGTGCCATTTTATAGACAGGTAAATTGGGTGGATTGTAAGTGTAACAATTATTGAACATCAAACGGATATCCTGCTCAAATTGCTCTGGTTCCTCATAATCACCCTCGTTTAATTTTCTTTCAATGGTCGCTAGATCCATAGGATGCTTTATGATTTCAACATAGTCTGGAATGTTTAATGCCACGACATCCACAGGCTGTAAAAATGGGTAGTTGATGTCCCTGTATTTATTCTTTTTCAATTCTTTTAAGGTCTGCATGCAGAATTTCATTTGCAAATCGTTCTTTCTGGGGTTACGATTGCGTTTCGTAATGGTTTCGGGGTAGTCTTTGGAAGGAGGAGGATGAATTTCGCGTTTCGGTCGGCCATCTTCAGAGATGCGACGTTCAATCATTTTTTGATTCCGGTGCAGATGGTCGTCATTTGCTGGTGACATGGACGCTGGTGTATTGGACATGGACTGTTTGTAACAAAGAAATAAGAGATAGAGAATGAATACCACATAGTATATTTCATAATGGAAAGGCCCTTCTCCCATTGCTTTTCATCACCACATAAAGAGGCAAAAAAAAGAAAAAAAGAAAAAAAAAAAAGAGACCTTGCCTGCGTGACAGGTTCTTTTTTTCCCTCCCCCCTCCCCGAATCTTTTCTTTTTCTACTTTTTTTTGGGTCAACTTACATTCGAAGAAGGTGGCATTTGCCTTAAACTCTTTTCAAAGGCTGACTCTACATTCTGACACAACATAGAAATCATGGCTTCAGGGCCATTGAATTTGTAACAGTTGTTGAATACCAGCCTAATATCACTGACAAAGTCCTCCACATTGGCGTATTCCCCACTGTTGAGCTTTTTATCGACCGTCGTAAGGTCCATGGGATATTTGACGACGATAGGATAGTCAGGTATATTCAATTTAACATAGTCTACTGGATGTAAAAAGGGAGCTGCATCGCGATGTTTCTTTAGATTTCTCATGATGGCCCCACAATATTTGATTTGATCGCGTGTCATGTTGGACTTGCTGTTGATGTCTGATAAGGATGGTGAAGGCGAATTTGTTCTAGACTAAAAAACAAAACAAACAAACCAATCCCTTGAAAACATCAATAGACTTGTCTCTGTCACTCGAAGGTCCTTTTTCTTATCCCATCTTACCTGTTGTTTTTTGATACCTCCACTCTTTCCACGGTCTAATAAAGACTTGTTTCCTTTAAGCGCCAATTTTGGCTTGTTCAATGTAGTGTCGATTTCTTGAAATTCTTCTTGACTAAAATAGGGAAAGGGGGGAGGGCGATGGGGTTTTAAGAACAAAGACGCGTTATAGATCGCTTTCTTTGTGTTCTCTTTTGCGTTTCACACATACTTCCAACTTACACTTGTGTAGATTCCTCTGTTTTAATTTCTGCATTCATTTTTTTTTCTATTCCTTTGATATGACTTTTGTAGTAGATATGTTTATACAAACTTTCTTCCGTCCAAGAAAAGAAAAAAGTTGTCCAGTAGTGTAGTAGTGGTAGGTCGTTTCGTCGTGGTCGTCGTTTAGCTGTGAATAGTAATAATATGGACGAAAAGGCAAGGTCAAACGTTTATCCAGATACAAAAGAGAAAAAAGAAAAAAGGCAAGGAAAAAAAAAAAAAAAAAAAAAAGCTATGATTTAGGGCCAGACTTTTTTGTTATTTTTTCTTTTTTTTTTTTTTCGTTTTTACCTTTGAACAGAAGAAAATTATGTAATAATAGATAATATGAAAAAAAGGTTGAGAAAAACTAAAAAAAAAAGAAGATAAAAAAAATAAAAATTTTTCTTTTTGAATTTTTTTTTTTTTTTTTTTTTTTCATGAACAGCTGAACAGGAAAAACCAAAAGGAAAAAAAAAAAGGAAAAAAAAAAAAAAAAAGAGGGATTCTCATTGTGACTTTCTGCCCAGAAGAAACAATTATCCAATCAAAAAAGACCGCTTGTTGATTTGAATAAAGCCAATCGCTCGTCCCACTGCGCACATTCTAACAAATCCACAGAGCCATGCATTTTCAATAGAAGCAGGGTAGAATGTCCTTTGAACGACATTGCTGCTACTGGAAATGTGCCATGATGTTAAAAAGTGGGGTCTACATCATCATAAGCCCCTTCATTTACGAGACATATATAAAAGCATCAAAAAGCCATGCTCCCCCATGCAGTTGTATCCACGTAGTCATCTTCTAAAGTAGTGACAGATACTTTATCCGCTTCATTACTTTCAACTGAACCTTGTGGGACGGTGGAGGTTAGTAAAGGCAGGGATGACAAAAGGGGACACAACGCGTACCACGCGTATTTTATTCCCTTTTTTTCGTCATCGAGGGTACTTTTCTCAAGATGAGTATCACGACCAATTCATAAAGAGCCAACCTTCATAACGGTCTATTTGGACGAGCAACACTCAAGATAATATCCTACTGAAAAAAAAAAAATAGCACTACTACCCAATCCCACGCACAACAACAGGCGAAAAAGAACAACATGGGAATTTATATCAAATAAAAAAAAAAAAGGTTTTTTTATTGGATCATCTTTTTTTTCAAATGATATATACAAAACAAACAGTAAAAAAAAATAAAAAAAAATAGAAGAGGACCTAATCATGTGAAAAAAAAGAGAAAATGGTTAGATAATCCAAAAAGAATAAACCAACGGGTATATTGCAAGGATAAATGCTTTTTGTCTTTTAAAGGAAAGCCTCATAGATCTTGGTGATATTTTTTGGCCTCATGAAGCCTTCCTCGACTTTCAGGAGTAGCAAATATAATTGTAATCCTCGGCAAACCAGTAAAAAAAAGCACTTTATCCTTTCCAACAAGTATCGATACGTTACCTTTAACACATTTGAGTGCAACAGAACATTTGTTTTGACGTAAAACAAAGGAAAAGAAAAGGTGTAGAATAAAAAAGATGGGTGTTTAAATACTTGTTTCTCCAACAGTACCATCCGATAAAAGAAAAAAAAATTTTTTTTTTTCATTTCTTGTTGTTTAGTGACTACTAAATTTCATTTTTTGAAAAGAAGACGAGGGTTTCTAGCACCTTCTTTTTTTTTTAAGGGAAATAAGGTGTAGACAATTTAGCATAGAACGAGACTCAATGGCTCATTGTTCAATAGATAGCTTTTTTGTTTAGCGAGCAATGGATAGAAATGGGGCTTTCCTTGGCCAGTGTGTCTAAACAGTCAAAGGTCTACAATAAGCTACCTTAGAAAGTCACTTTCTCAGTGCACGTTCGGTGTCTGTCATGTCCTCGACAAACGAAGAGAGTCAGACGTCGATCCTATCAGAGGTACAGACTTTTTTTGAAACTTGGAGAAAAAAAAAAAAAACTGTGTACATCATGCCAACTTTTTTCTTTTTTTGGTTTTTCCCTGGATTTGGAAGCCTTAAAAGCTTTTTTCATTTTTCTCTGCTATGAGCTGCATGAAAGTGCAATAAGCTGCGCTTGAAACTCTATGCTTCTTTGTTTTATTGATGAGTGTAAAAAAAAAAAAGGACACTTTAAATGTCCCATCTCCCCCTGCGTCGAGCAGTTGGACAGTAACTGCCAAAAAAACGCATAGGTTCAACAAGGTGAGTCATCCATTCCTGTAGATCACCGTTGTCAAAGGTAACCCTTTTTTTTTGGGTTTAGTCAATCTGTTCTTTTGACGTCATCCGTATAGAGTTGATGTAAATGGGGATATGGTTAAGCTACAGCTTGTCTAATTTTTTGATCAAGGGGCAGCGTAATAGAGAATTCTACCTTATATTTTAGACAATTTACAATTTTTAAGGGACAATATACATTTTAAATTTAGATTTATTATAAACTATTTTTATAAAAGTTTATAGTATTTTGGATATCAATTTGGATACTCCATTATTCAGTGATATCCAAGCAGCATGAAGGAGGACATACAATCGAACCCAATAAATGGGTCTCTATCAGTAAAAAAAAGTCGCCAATAATGGTTTTATTGACATTATCTTGCAATAGGATGGACAACTTTTTTATGATATGACGATGTGTTCCAACAAAGGTTTGATTCAACCTCACCCACTGAAGAATATTATTTGTGTCAAAAATGCTAGGAAGTGGAGGCTTGATAAGTACTCGAATTCCATAGAAGGGTACCACTGATTGTCTTTGATGCTGGTATGTTTGGCAAAGATGTAGTCAAGTTGAAAGGGCAACGATGGGGTGTTGTCGGTAAACTTTTTGCCACTCTGAAGAAACGTGAAGCTAAAGGTCAGTTGGTTGTTGTCACAATCCTCTAAAACATGCAGCCTCTGTTTCTATGATGAGCCTATCTCGAGCAGTTTGATCTGGAGCCGGAAGACCCGACGTTTTCATGCCAGCGAAGAAGAAGAAAGTATCCCCGTAATAAACACGGTTTTCCTTAGATCATTACAGGTGAGGAATAGTACGGTTTTTTATTTTGTTTCGCACTACTGGCAAGTTTTTTGATTTTTGAACCATTATGTGAACGGTTTATATTTTCATCTACGACACAATTGCAACTCATCTAAAATGAAAATATGGATCATCCAAAAAAAAAAGTATTTCATCTAAAATATGAGTTGAAATACTGTAGATAAATCAAAATAGAACGGTGTTGTGTAAGAAAGCTTAACAGTTTCACAAATTTAAAAAAATAATAATCTCAATTTCTCTAGGTGAAATAACTCCAATCAAATAAGCGTTTTGAGTTTGAATAAACAAGCCATCTTTAATGCATTCATTCACTTAACTTTTATCACTTGTCGTTCCACTCAGAATCCCCTTTCAAACAGACACTTGCCACTTCTTTTCTTCAGTATTGCCCAACATGCAATGATAGACGTTGCCGTGACCAGATAAAGGCTATTGTCAACGACATGATACGCCTTTCCTTCTCTATGACCGAAACAGCATTTTAGCTAGCATTACAGTCACACTGTATTTATATGTACAAAGGTGCAAGCAAACTGCTGTTGATTGGTCAATCATAATCCATTTTGCTTTAATTCCAATTCTTTTTTTTTTTTTTTTTTTTTTTTGTTTTTGGTCCTCGTCCACCTCTTTTTTCTGCTTCAACGTTTTAGTCTTTTTCATTTTTTTTTTTTTTTTTTCCAAAAAAAAGGAAGGGAAAAAGGAATATACGCATATTTCATTTGATCTGTACACATATCAAAGAAAAGAAAAGCGCTCATTATTGCGACTTTAATAGACATTGTATGTGAGGACATATGGGAAGAAAAGGCCTTTTTTTTTATTTTTTTCGCCGGTTGATTAATCTCATTTTTTTATTCATCAAACAATAGAGTAGAACATTTTTAAAGCAGCTGTCCCAAAAAAATTACACTCTCGCTTTTAAAAAAAAAAAAATTTTCCCTACTTGCAACCTCATAAAGACGATGGATATTCAAGGTTATATTGCGCCAAAGGAAGACCATTCCTCCCACCACTATGCAAGTGTCCCTTCAAACCGACTGAGTTTAGCTTCAGCCTCGGATTACAAAACAACATCCTCCATTCCCAGCATCTTGCCAACATTAGTTGAAGAGGAGTATAACAGTAACGACAATACGTTCTCAGCGGCAACCACCACCACTCCTTCTGCTACAAGCATTAATCATTTGCTAAGTACACCCATGTCGGGCGAACCATCGTCCTCTTCTATTGATTATACTGCAGCTGCCGCCGCTGCCTCTGCTGCTGTTACGGATGCTGTGAATTCATCACTTCAACAACAACAACAACAACAACAACAACAACAAGAACGAGAGTTTATCAATGGAAACAGTTTAAACCCTGCTTTATTATTACCCACTCGGTTTGATAAACGTAAGAGCAGTCCAGCCATTTTAGGTTTACCATATGGTATCAACCATGAAGCTCAACTGAGTTTACATCTATCACAACAAAGAAATTCTATTGAAGCAGCCATGTTATTAGCCAATTTTACAAAGTCTGTGGCTTTTCCCAAACCAAACGATATCGATCATAAAGGTAAAAATAAAAAAAAAAAAATTTCAAAAAAAAAGAGAAAAATCAAAGAAAAGCAAACAAAGGAAATCTCAAAGGCAAAAGCTATGCTATTCCCTTTGTTGATATAAAAATAAAGGGAGGGGTAACTGTAAAAAGGGCCATTTGACGATGGAGCAAGGATTTGTCCATTTTCAAAAAAAAAAATAAGCATAAAAAAAAACAGGAGTGAAATTATGCGCATAAAATTTTTTTTTTTTTTTTTTTTTGTCAGAATTGCCCGCCCTTAAAAAAAAAAAATTAAAAAAAAAAATTTCTTGTCTATAAAACAGGTCATTCATGGCAAGATGATATGTCTATTCCTACTCAAAACAAGACATCATGGGGAGACATCATGACAAACGAATCAGAGGCGAATCGTCGTCACTCTTACGATGTCAATATGAGTTGGCAGACGATGCCTGCTGCTTTTTTGGAACGAGCCGATTTATTTCCAAACATGTCTGAAAATATCAGCGCCTCCAGTTCGACAACCCAATCAGATCACTTGGTGCCTTTATTCAATCAAGAAAATCACCTCTTTGTCAACACGTCTTCTGTGGCTAATCCTACGCTAAATGCACCTACCAAAGTAAGCTGGAGCCATGAAGATTTACGGCCGTCGACCAGTACGACGACGACAACGACGACTTCTCTCCACGAATTACCGCAGCCACAACAACCTACGTTCGATTTCAACAGTGGTACGAGCCATCCTATGTCGCCGCGTCAACAGCAACAGCATGATAGGTTGTTTCATCCTTCTTTGGATAGTAAATCTCTTTTGCCTCCCCCTTCCACGTCATCCTACTCACAACACCGTTATATTCCACCACCCCCCTCTCTTCAACAACAGCCACATCCTCAGGACCCTCATCAGGGCGTCCCTATGTTGCATCCTCTCGCGCGTCAGCCTGACAATGGCATCAAAAACGAATTCGATCCACTACAGACACCCTCCTCCTATTATTCCTATACATTCCCGCCTCAACCACCGCCACCCTCTTCCTCTCCCTCCTCCTCTTACCACTATGCCAACAGTAGTCATTTATCCTCGACCCATGGAAAGTTACCCTTGCCTGCCTCTTCTTCCTCTTCTACACTGGATTCTCTTCATTCCCACCCTCTGTCACAGTCTTTACACCATCCGCATCATCTTTCTCCTCACCACCAACAACAACAACAACAACAACAACAAAGTCATCATCACCAGCAACGCCATCACCACCTTTCTCACCAGTATCATCAACCACAGCAACAACAACCACAACATCACCATCCACCCCCTCCACTACTCGCCAAACAACCCAAGCGAAAGAAACAAAAATCTTCTTTCAACAATGTCATGGACGATTTTGATATGGGAGAGGACAACAACCATGATTATACAGGTGGCCAGGGTGGCAACAGCCAAGAAATAGCTGCCAATGAAGAAGAGTATCCCGACATGACCAGCCGTGATATTGAAGCCGCACGAAAAGATCCCGAAGCGAGACCGCGTAAACAAAAATTACGGTTTGCTGGCGATCAATATACACCACAATGGGTGCGTTTCAATGGTCAGTTGAAAGAAGGGTTGTGTGATACTTGTAAACCTGGAAAATGGTTACAATTGAAGAACAGTGCTTATTGGTAAGTTTTCTGTTGGTTGTGTGCTCTCTTTTTCTATTCTTCAAAACTAACAACAACCCGCGCCTCCTTTTGTTATTTAGGTACCATAAACAATTTTTTCATGGCATTTCTTCCGTGTCAGGAAAAGAATTTGTTCAACCACTTGAAACGCGTTGGGTGGATCAAGATTTAGTCGAAGGCTTGTGTCATCAGTGTCATACATGGGTCGCCGTGAGTAACGTAAAGAGAAAGAACAGTGTTCTCTGGTATCGGCACGCACACAAGGTAAACTACTCCCTTTCTTCCGGATGATTGGTAACAAAAAATTGACTTTTTACTTTTTTCCTTCCTTAGTGTCATGTTTATCATAAACCCAAGCCCAACTTGCCCAAAAAACGATAAATGTACCATTACTACTACTACTACTATCTTTACTTTTATATAATATCTATCTCTTTGACGAATGGGATCGAAATCCATGATGGCAATTCATTGTGTTGAAGGATGGAAAAAAAAAAAAAAAAGTATTCTGTTATCCTATTTATCAACAACAAAAAAAAAAACAAAAAAAAAAAAAAAATAAAAAAAAAAAACAAAAGAGAAAAACCAAACCAAACTCACCACCCAACATACACGCACCACAGACACCATACAAACACTCAACTACCTTAGGATTCCTATCAAATTAGCTTTTTTTTCTTCTTCTGATCTCTTATTTATTCACTTTTTTTTTTTCTTGCTTTCTTTCTTTTTTTTTTTCCGTTTCTCTCTGTAATGTGTAAATAAATCAAACATCGTAAACTCAAGTCTGATGTCCTTGTTTTTATTAGTAAAGATAAAAAGTGTGTAAAGTACATAAAGATGAGTAAGCAGCCACAAGTGTATGTATTAAAATTTCTAACAAAAAGGATTAAAAAAGCAAAAATTTAGTTTTTCTACCCGATATTTTAGACGACGTTGATTCGATCTTACCCAATTCTCAGGCACATTCTTTGCCCATCTGAATTTTTCCAACAAAGTCTTACTAAACACCTTTTCCAGAGGAATGTCATTCTTTCTGCACCAAACGACAGAGATACGTGGATCAATATAGTTCAATTTGGAAGTACCCAGGGCGATTTCCTTGTTCTCTTCCTTATCTGTCGCCTGATTCTTTGTCGCGTAAATACGGTCATCGACCTTATGAATGCGTTCAATGAGCTTTTCAGCTGTCGTGGACGCAGACTTGGGTGCAATCACTTTCTGCTTGCGTTCTTCCTTCAACCGTGTCTCCAATTCATCCGCAGCTTTCAACTTTTCTTTTAGCTCGCTTTCTGCCATCAACGGTTGCTTTTCCGCTTTTCGTTTCTCGTTCTCTCGCTGGAACTTGTTCATGATCTTGTCCTTTTCCTTCTCCACCAGGTCTTTTTCGTGTTGGACAATCCAGTCGTCGTCCATGTCTGACTCGGGGTCGGCGAACTCGGGCTGCTTTTTGTATTTGGCATCGACGTAGTAAAGCTGCTTGCGGAACTTCATACGCTGGTATTTCAGCGCGCGGATACGCTCGTTGATCCGAGCAATCGAGTCCGCGTGCGACTTGGAGACCGCCCTTTGATGGTTACACAGGACAGCGACCTGACGGTTGGCACGGTTGTAGGACAGCAGCTTATCGACCATGCTGTCGTCAGCCTGAGTCAGTCGATCCAGCTCCTTCTGGAACGTGTACGACGCATTGTACGTACGGAAGACCTTGGCAGACAGACCCTTCATGTAGTTGTTCAAGTGCTTGTTCAGACTCGTCGGTGTCAGGCGGTCGAAAATCATGTTGCCCGGGCCCACTTGCTTCTTGAAGATGCCAATGTTTTTGTACACCTGGTGCTCGACCGCTACTGAATTCGTATAGCGAATCGAGTCTTTACCGAGAAAGTCAAAATGCAGTGTATTTGGAGGCTCCAACGTGATATGTTCGTAACGAAGCGAACAACAGCCTACCGTATCGGCCTCGTCTTCGCCTTTTTCATTACCCGCTCTGAGGGCTAAACGGTCAATCAAGTACATCGCCGTGGCTCGTTGACGTACTTCGCTCAATTTATCTTTCAATTCACGCTTGTAGTCCTCACGAATTTTATCCACCACTTTCTATAGTCAAAATGAGGGCATTGGACGCGCGTGTGGCGCAAAGATAAGTACGCGAATGCCTACTTGGGTAAATCATCTCTCTCCCCGTGACATCCGTCATTTTATTTACCTTTAATTCTCTCGCTTTCTCGAATTTTTGCATATCGCTTTGGCCTTTCCACGAAGACGTCGCAGCCAAAAACACATATTTGGTGCTGCCGTTGACATTCTCTTTCCAAGTAGCTAACCACGTTGCTGTCTGGTCATGAACCACCGCTGCCCATTTATGGCCCTTGGGAGGATCAGGAATCGGTGCTTCTCTGCCCAAATTGAGTGTGACTTGTTCAGGTCGGACGCGCTGCTTTAATTTACCGGTCTTGGGATGGCTACCTCGACCACGGAACAAACCTGGAGGTTCGATTCTGAAATTACCCACCTTTTCCTTACGACCATCCACCAAAGCGTAAAGATAGGGCTCTTCCAGCTTGTCCTTTTCTGCTTTGATACGCTACAGAAAACCCAAAAAAAAAGTCCGGTTTTTTAACTGAACCGTCCTCTCTTTAAAATTGTAGATTTTCCCCTCATCGTAAGCTACTTTACTTGTTTCTCTTCTTTTGTCAATGCCTTTTTCTTTTCCTTGTCTCTTTCTAACTTTTCCCAAATAGGTCGGAAATCACATTTGCTAAAATCTGTTATTTTAGGATTCTAAAGAGGGCAAAAAAGGGGGGGGGGAGGGTACTCCATTCAGTCATTTCATCCTAGGTTTGTTTTGCAAAAAGAAAAATGGAAATAAAACTTACTCTAGGATCTTGCTTCAACACTTCTTGCCAATCCTTGAAAAAGTTCTTTTGGAACACTGGGTTTTTACCGTGATCTGTTTCCAACAAAGCGGCAAAGAAAGTAGCCACTTCTTCAGCCTCAGGGCTCAACGTAATGAACTGGCCATCGTACTTCATTTTCACGCCATGAGGCACATATTCAGGAGGAAACAAGACACCTTGATGTTCCAGTGTGTTCCATTTAATAGAATCGTCTTCTTTAAATTCAGCATTTTGCTCTTCTTCCCACCATTTATAAAGATTTGGATCGTCTTCGTCCTTTTTCACCTTCTTTTTACTAGGTTCACCGCCCTTTTCCTTTTTCAATTTGGTAAAATCGCTACCACTTAAAGGTCTCTTTTTTGATGTGGCGGCGGCCGATTTAACATCCATGTCCATAGGTTCCGTTTTCACGGTGGGTTTGGATGTCTTTTTCTTTGCTATCTGTTGCTTCTGTGCCTGTTTTATAAAAGAAGAAAATGTAGGTCATCACTTTTTGGAAGAGGAGGTTTTCCCTTGGCATTTTTTTGTTGTTCTCTTACCAATGGAATATCATCGTCATCACTGCTTTCAATAGCATGGCTACTTTTAGGGGGTAAAGTACGCTTAGCTAAAGGAATATCGTCATCATCATCATCTTCCTCCTCGTCGTCGTCGTTGGATTCAACGTCATCACTTTTGTTCGCACTGGAATGGGTGATGGCTGGTGATGCTACTCCAAGCGGCTTTTGCATACGTGCAGATAGAGGTATATCATCATCATCGTCGTCACTATCATCACTATCATTGCCATTCTCTCCTTCTAATTTAATGGGTGCTAAACGTTGCTTTTGTTGTTGTTGTTGTTGTTGTTGTTGCTGATGACGTTGAGCTAAGGGGATATCATCATCATCATCATCATCGCTTGCACTGTTCTCTCGAGGAGGATCAAGATCCATAGCGGTTGCTGTCACTATATTGACATTGACACGTAGAATATGTTATATATAAATGACTGAATCAAATCACTGTGGATAGACTCCCTTTTGATTTATTTTGTTGTTGTTTTTTTTTTTACCTGGATTTTGCGGTAAACCACTGACTCCATTAGGCATCAACATGGTAACTAAAAAGGAATCAATAAATTATTTCTATAAAATGGTGCACGAAAGAGAAAAAAAAAAAAAAAAAAAAAAGGTAACGAAAAGGGTCAATGAGAGAGGGAAAAAAAAAAAAAAAAAAAGTGAAAAAAAAAAAAAATGAGGAGGGAAGTGGAAGCCAGAAAAGAAAATCATAATAAAAAAACGGCAAATAAAAAAATTCCAACTCATCAATCATCAATCATCATCAACAGAAATCATAAAGATAAAAAAAAAGCACAGGCCCAAAAAATTAAAAAAAAAAACCACGTAGAGACTGGGTTTAAAATAGATGATAAAAAAAAAGAAAAAGAAAACGATGACTTTTTTTTTTTTATCAAAAAGGTAATGCTAACGTAGGCCAATCTGGTAAATAGCGTTTGTCCACCAAAGGCCAAACCTGTTTTGCGTCATATAATTCTATAAACTGTTGATCCATGGACCTAGATTTGGGATGCGAAAATCGTCTATATTCATCAAATATAGATGTATGGCTCCAATTTTGCAGCTTTCTTAAACAGCCTACTAAGCAACCGGTGCGATGCTATTTTTAGTAGATAATGAAATGTTAAGCCGGTTTTGTCGTTGACAGGATGGATGGCTGTTGCGTTCTCTCTAGCTCTTTTTACCTTTCCTTTGTTACAGTGGATCAGTATAGGATGATTTCGTTTATCTAGTAATGCGGCTAACGCTGCACTTATTTTATCTTCAGGAACTGTTTTTATGCATTGTGAGCTATCTATTGACCCTAAGAGCACTATCACTTTTGGTTTTCTTTTTTACTTACTTTGAACAAATGGCTCCTAATGAGAAAAAGAAAGAAAAAATCAATAGAATGAATCAAGACGGGAGACTTGATAGTAGTCTTTGTTACCTTGTTACCAGCTATACCAAACTGTAGGAATTGAATATTATGTTCTTTCAAGAACTTCATATTTTGCTCCGGATATTCTTCGAGAATCAATGTTCTAGAACCAAGAAATTACACAAGTTAATTCGAATAAGATATACACACACACACACTCACTTCTCATTCGATAGTTTACAAAACACTCTTCAATTTTAGTTTCTCTAGAAACCTATAATGTTTCTTTTTAGGAAACGAAGATCGATAAACGTGCTCACAGACCATATTGAAGTTCTCTGGTGGTATTAAAGCTTCCTCAAACATATCCGCATCGTCTTGAAATTGAAACGAGTCCAACACGGACCAATTATTATTGTTGCTTGACGACACTTCTGTTAAAGTTTTCGATGACGGTGCGGGCAATGATGACGGCACAGCTGATGCAGTAGTTAACGGGGTATCATTAGTATCTGTATTGGCTTCATCTTGCTGATGATCTGTTGCTGTGGACGACTTGTTTGTATCTATCGTGGCCTTGTTGGCTAAAGTCATACTGTCATCGCTCTCTAACTGCTTATTATTGTCAGCCAATGCATACATAGTTGTGAAATCTCTTTCTTTCTTTTTCTGCGTTTTTTTCTTTTCCCTTTTTGTTGACCCTCAAGTTGGAAAAAAAAAGTCTAATTTGACAACAGCACTTATCATCAATGCAAAGAAAAAAAAAAAAAATTCAAACCGGCCAATTTTGAATAGGCTAAAACGAGCGATCAATGAGATACTCGCCATGATCAAATAAATGGATGATGAGGTTCTTCAAATTAAATCGGATTTAGGCCTTCTTTTGACTCCTGAATTTCGTTCAGTTATTTCCTTTTTCTTTTCTACTATTCACATCTACATGTAATGTCGTCCCGGTACCAAAGAGTAAAGAAAGCAGAAAAACAAATTCACACTGAAAGAGTAATACAATGAAATCTTATTGATGAAACTGAATGCTCTCTTTTGTAAAGTTAAATACAGTGGAGGACCATCATACTACAACTGCCGATATAGATTATGATGCCGGCCGCCAACGAGAGCAACATCAAAGAAATGAATTAGAAGACACTTTTGGGGAATGTTTAGAGGAGGAGGAGGAGGAGGAGGATAACGATGACCCGCATGCTGTCACTGACCCTTTATTACCTCAAAATCCAACAACAACAACAACATTATCATCAACATCAACAAACAACATACCCAATCTCACTACCCCTATTTATATACCACCGACAACGGATAGCTTTTCTTACCAAGGACCGTTAGAACATGATTTACAACAACAGAGATCAACGGTCGCTATTTTACCCGTAACAAATGATGGCGTATTTGCAAACATGTCCGCCAAACCAGAATCGGATAGCACAGCAGTTGAAGAAATTCCTCCTGTAAAAAAAAAAAAACAAACAAAAGACGAAAGGGCTTTATCCTACTGGATCTGTTGAGTCATTGTGCTGATAAAAAAGTTTCTGTTTTCTCATCCAGACGTACGAAGAGGCAGCAGCGGATGCTACCCCACCTTACTGGCCAACAACTGTCATTGCACCGGCCACTTTCGATGGTATGATACTCGTCGAAGGCTTACCTGTGGGTGGCATTTTTGCGTTCTTCTGGAATTTAATGAGTAAAGTAGCAGTACACTTTCTCAACCAAAGAAAAGGAGGGGGCCTACTTCATTGCTCTGACCCCACGTGAGATTTTCTTTTAGTCTCTGCAAGCTTTCAGTTCGTAGGATTTATGCTGACTTATTTGTTACATACATCACATGCATCCAAGGTATATCCACCCTCCAGATACTTTCATACCTCTCAGCGACCATCACATTAACATCATCTTTCCGCGCGCGCGCTTCTGTAGCAAGGATCGCGAGCAGGTTTGGGAGTTTCTCTGGTGCAAATGGGCTTCTATATTCGTAGTCGTAAGTTCATCCTTCCAATGTCAATCGAATGTTACAACAAGAATTAATGAAAGTGAAAAGGAAATGTGTGTAACGTGAATGATTGAACCTCTTCTTCCTGCTTCTTGTTAGGTGGGACGTTGGAAGACGATCAGTATCATTACGCGGAAAAAAGTGATGGAAGCCAGACGTCTTCAAGGTCATCTTCGAGCACGTCTGGAACAGTTGATGACAGTACAGACGCTGCTATTATCGCTTATTTCCTGATGATGTTGGGCTGGTTTTTGGTCCTTCGGTCCATTGCCGATTATCTCAGAGCGAAACAATTGGAAAAAATCATAAGCTCTGAATCTTCAACAGCAAGAAGTGCTCTAGCCGTGACCGATACATCGGCAGCGACATCATCGACAAACAGCACTACAAGAATGAATCAGAATACTCCAGAAAACATGGTGTAGTGATGACTCGTGCTTACATTTGTTATATGTGCATCTATTGAATTTGTACCATTATTTTTCACCTTCTTCTTCTTTATGCACAGATTATGATCATTTTATACATAGAACACACCAGCAGCCAATTTTTTTTAATTCCATCTGTTAAGCTGCATACTTTATTAAAGACAACAATGAAATATGAGTAACAAACTCTAGAGAACAGATGAATACAGTTGCTGGCTTACAAAGACGTAGACCTCAGTGCTTTTAATGTATAGTACAATGTGTTATTAAAAACATTGCAAAAGTATTAGATCGCATGCTAAAGCATGCTTTTATTTTCCTTTCTCAGTATAAGGAACGCTTTTTTGACATACATTAGTAACTACGGTTGCAACGTGATATTATGACATTTCTAATAAAATAGAGTAAGGATAGGGAGTAAGGATAGTCGTGTAAATAAGTTGTGCAATAAAATGATCAGGAAGATTTTCTCTTGGCAGTACGTAGTTTATCATTGAAAAACTTTTCTAGTCTTGCTGCACATTTAGCATACTCTGTGTCTTCAGCGTTATAAACTCGGCAATTATCGAAAATCTTGCGCGTATCTTTTATAAAGTCTTCCCACTTTGGATAGGCGTCATTCTTTACGTTTTCTTCTAACGTAGCAAGATCTGTTTCAAATGGTAAATTAGTCATCTGTTCACCTATTGTCTACGCTTTATATATATATATATATATATATATATGTGCATAATTACCCATTGGCTCTTTGATAATGTCATAATAATCAGCTACTTCTTCTATATTGACAGGCTCGAGGAACGGCCAGGCATCTGTAAAGTTTTGCATTTCTTCTACTATATGAAGCATTTGATTGTAATGTGGAGCGTGCCGTGGCTTATTCGACAGAATATCCATTTCCGGTGTCCATCCTGATTCTTTAATACCCGGCACTGTCAGTGGATCAATAGATCGTTTCCCTTTGTTGCCAATCTCCATAGAAACACCGGGATATACAATATGATCCGTTGCATTCTCTTTTATCTTTTTCAACACTGCATTTTTTTGGATGGCTAACGTATCATACATATTCATATATTTCATTTTGGGTATCATTGTACATTGCATGATCGTACCACCTTCATAATCTTTAATGTAACCGACCCATTTCCGTTTATCCAACGTGATTTCAGTAGTGAAGCCTTGTTTTCGAAAATAGCCCACGGCAAAATTATCTGCATAAGTAAGAAAGTGTTTGATGGGGGTATGAGTGGAAACGTAGTCTTTGAGATGGTTCATAATAAAAGAACCGTAGCCTTTGACTTGTTCAGTAGAAGCTACAGCACAAAAGACGATTTCCGCAAATTCTTGAGCATCAAAAGGACGGTAGCAGATACCACCAATGACTTTGTTAGGGTTACGGATTAAGGCTATACTACAATGATTTCTGTTGGGGGCTTTTGGTGAAAAACTAGCGACACAAGGAGACATTGTATCGTATACTACCCTTTACCTGTCATAAACCAAACGTGAAATATATTCTTTAGGCATTTTCGGCAATTGCTTTTGAAAAACATTTTTTAGTCCTGTGAGTAGCATCACGCTTTCCCGTGCGCAATCGTTAACGACTGCTTGTACACGTATGGAGCCCTCTTTTTCTTCTTTCATAGCTGGCGTCTCTTTTCTAACTTTCGGCTATGGAAGCAAAAAACGGTTTGTACCATTTCCTTTTGGTTGCTCAAATTTATCCGATTATATTAAGGATTACCATATACTCCTTCAGTCGATCCTCCACATCTGTATGCCTGATACTATCATCATTTTCCTCCTCACTCACTCTATTGTCTTCCTCCTCGTCATCAATTTTGAAAGTATGGCCATTCGTTTGATGGAGTGTTTTTGAATCATCCATCTCATGTAGTGTATTGTCATGCACCAGTTCAGTCTTATCTCTACCATCCTGTACCATCTTTCTATCTCTCACTTTATCTTCAGTTTGGTCGACAGCTTCATCTTCGTCGTCAATTCGGATATCAGCATCATTACTAATACTTTCAATGACACAGGCTCCCTCATCCTCATTACGCCCATTATCGTATTTTCCATTCGATGTGTGCTGTTTTTTCTGCGTTATCGATGGATCGTCTTTGTAAATGTCGCTGATATCACCATTATTCGGTTTATACTTCTTTTCTGCTGGTACTCCTGTCTTGACACTGTCGAATTCATGCTCTTTTTCAAACTTCTCTCTACTTCTTTTCTCGCCTACACATTTTACATGTTTCCATTTAGTATCGATTATTTCTCACTAAGCTCATATCTTTGAATCAGTCAATTCGAGTATTTTGCGTGCGTCTCTCACCTTGAGATAATGATGTCTGATTCTCAGCATTGTATAAAATCTGCCTGTTTATCGCAAAAACGTACGGATATGGGTTTGAGTTTGAGAAACGAACAATGCATTATCATGGCTTTATTCTCATTTTACTTTTTCAAAGAAGTAATATCTTCGTCTTCATAATCTTCTGTTTGTCCTTTTTCCTGGAAAAAAAAAAAGGTTTTCGAGGCATGAGCATTATTGCTTAGTGACGGGCACGTTTTGCATAATCAAGGCTATTGCAAATCCTTACTTCCAATAGCTCATTCAATCGAAGTGCGACTTTTAGCCGTCTGTTAAGGTCTTGACCCTTATCTACATGATGTTCAAAGTCATGGCCACAACGACAACCTTTCTCGCGACCGACCTTGCTGCTATCACTTTTCGGTCGCCAACCTCTGCAGGCTGATGAGGACGATGTCGGGCAAACATCGCATGGTAAATACCGTGCGACCAATCTTAATTTGTCCTCTTCGCTCATTTCTGCCAACTGAGGAAATAAAGGCATGGAAACAGAGGAAGATGTAGGCATCATGGCTTCTTTTTCTTCTACTAATATTATCGACTTTGAATCTCTACTTATTTTTGTTCGTTATAAAGTGAAAAGGGAGCTTCAATAATTACACATAAGGTTTCGAGAAAATTAAAGCAAGTGTATAAAAACGAACAGCACGCAGCATTAGAAAATTAAAACAAGCAGGAAGTGAAACTGAGTGTATAAGACGAGCATTCAAGTTTATACATTAATATGATGGCGATGTTCTCGTTTGTTCACAAATTTGATCATGCAGAGTTTGATAGACTAATCGTTCATATTTGTAACCAAGTAAAACCAAAGGATCGCTTGCGCCCTAAACAATCATTAGGTATTACTATGCTGGCTTAATTATAAATGCTATTCACTGGCATACATTCCACTTCTTTATTTAAGCACTTAGCAGACCAAGGCTATGCCAATGCAATCTACGACAATAATCTTTTCTTTTCTTCATTGTGGTAATAATGGAGGATATGAATGAGATAAATGGGTTATGTGTGTATCAAGAAAATAGTTGTAAAGCTCTGTTAATCCTTATTTATAGCTGCATCTGATTTTCTTTGAAAGGGTATTCTTGCTGTGATGACTTCATCAAATGTATCCAGACTTTTTACACTTCGCCAATCTGTTGTCATAGTCGATACGACAGAGATTCTATTCTTCCACTTTTCCAAATTCTTCCGTCTGGTAAACTCATCTATATCTTCCACCTCTTCATCTATAAATAGCTCATCGTTATTACTCATCATCCACGGGCCTGCTTGGTTAGTTTGCATGACAGAATCGAGAATCATCATTTCACGTTGTCCCTGATATCTTACGAAGCTCACGTCATTATAGTTGCTAGCATGACGAACAAGAATAACAGCCGCAAGCTCCTTACAGAATTCTTGGAGAACAATATAAGCGTTGACAAAGTTTGAAAACTTGGCGAAAGGGTTGGTGATGGTAACAGGTGTGGCATTGGGGCGTTGAGAATTTTGAAAGAAGGCAGAAGATGGAGAGTTAGGTGTACTAGCACCGCCTCCACCTTCAACCCCCATATCTCGAGTAATCTTTAACGGTAGAAGGCCTACCGACTTACCAGTAGTACTGGAGCGAGGTGATACTGAGGATGCGTTGCTATTAACAGACATTTTATTGAACATCAGTTTGGATAGAGTTGAATGGCTTCTATTGGGTTTTTGCTGTTCACTTGCTTTTGATACAGCATTGGCGCTCATTTGTTGTTGCTGTTGCTGCTGCTGCTGCGGCGATGGGTGGTAGAGATCTTCTTTCCTGCTCGACAGCGACCGCCGCTCGTTCAGCTGCGAGAAGTTCTTTTGTGATGTACCTGTCACATTAGGATTGATATTCGAAGATAGACCTCGCTTTTTCGCTAATGAGATTCGTGTCTCAAAATTTGGTACGAGCTGGGCTCTTTTCAAAGCCTCAAAAGTTACTTGTTCCAAAAGGGCATAGAGAGTACGGCGCTTCGTTTTAGCCGACGGTAACGTCCATACACCGCCGTAAAGTGCTCCATCATTACCTACTCTCACAGCTCGCCAGTCACATAGCATGCCATCCATACGTTTATCTACAACACCTGCTACTTTCTGTAAGATACTCGTGATCAATAAATTCTGTTCCATAGGCAATTCCAGCATCCTTTGAAATTGATCAAAGAGCCGAGACAAAAATAACCCTTCGTATGTCTCAAAAGTCCTGCGATTTGAAGTGTTAGTTGTTGCTGAACTAGTAATACTGGCTTGATCTGCGGATTTGTGATGGCTGCTTTCAGCAGAATGTGATATTTCCGCTGCTGCTATACTAGTCGGACGAGCAGGGCGACCTTTTCTATCTTCTACCTCTTGTTCATAATCTTGCTTCGTTTTTTTCGGTGGGTAGGGTATCTGCCAGAAATTTCTAGCCAATAAAGCATAGTGGAACCTTTCCTGTGCTTCATGGAAATAGTCGTCGTAACTGTTTCCTGGAACCACACTGTAAGGATTGCTGCTACCACTTTTGTTTTGCCCAGGCTTTTCTTCGCTGCCATCCGCTCCGGACACAAATGAATCTGCGGATATGATAGATGACAATGGTGGAGTCTTCATTCTTTCCAATTCGTCTTCCAGGGGCAGTAACGATATGACTCTCTCTACTAACCAGCGAACTTTCTCCTTTTTATCGTCTACTTTGTTATTACTGCTATTCGAAACGTTACTTTTTTCAGCAATTGCAAGTTCATCTACTTTACTAGCCTCCTCAGGAGCAGCATTATTAGTGGCAGTTGTAGTGACGTTGGCATCTTCATCTATTGTTCTCGATTCAAATGATGATGTATCTATATTGTCACGGTTCTCATCCTCAACAACATAATCACCGTCGGGAGTTATATCCAAATAGTTTCTTAATACCAGATTGTAAACAGCAAATTGGTTGTACGTTTCAATAATGGTATCAAATAACCTCAATGTGGCTAACGCTAGATCATAATTTTCCGTATCGATACGGTTTATTAACAGTAATCTGAGCGTTAATTCCTCATCTTCAGCAGCTTCTCTTTGTTTTTTCTCTAGCAAACTCTTTTCATTATCTCCTGCTTTATCTTCATTTTCACTTGCCCTTGTTGTATGTGTGGTGGAGGTATCTTCGTCATCGTCCTCTTCTTCTTCCTTATCGTCATCAATCAAGTCTCGTATGGGTATATAGGTTTCAATTTCCGGTTCGAGGTCTTTTCCAACCCCACTATCTTCCCCCAATAATACAATCAAAAATACATGTAATAATCTCTGATCGGTAAGAGATCGAATCATTTCTGTAGTATAGGCGGTAGCTGACGTGGAAACCTCAGCAGAAGGAGAGCTTAATGCTGTACATATTACAGGATGCCAGAAACTAGTTGTCAATTGAACCATGAGTGCTGTCATAAGCCGCTTCTCAGCAACACGAGCAACATCATTCAAATATTCCCAAAAGCTGAAAAATTCATCAATAATTCGGTCTTTATCAATAGTCGTTTCCAAAGTACGAAGGAAATTAACATCAAAAGGTGTGCGTTTTCTGCGTTTCTTTTTAAAGCTGCTTTGTGCATTAACAGTAATAAGCAGGCTGTTGTTGGTCACCATAGCGGGTATTGAGAATCGAATTTGGCGTCGCGAAGGTCTGGTCATATTAATGCGATTATTGCTGGAAACAGAAAAAGCTCCTTTATTCTTTGGTAAATGAGCGAAATAAAATGCAAGTCGTTCTGCCTAGGAATAAAGTTCTTGTTTAACACTTTGGAACCTTACAAGCATAAAGACTATCCGAAATCGTTATATTTTCTTTTACCATCACTTCACATAAGTTGGAGTATTCGACAATGTAGCACACATATTCCGGATCATCTTCCAACAATCGTAGTGCAAAAAGGATTGATTCTCTAGCAATCTCACCCGTTTCTCCAGGCATGTTCATAAAGTCAATCAGGTATTGAAACATGTCAAAACGAGGCTATAACAATGTAAGATAAGAGTTCAAAGTACTTATATATGAATTGGCTTATATTTTACCATCAAAAACATGTCCCATGCTATTTTCTCCTCTACACTTTCTTTGCGCTTGTGAAATAGTTTTCCTTCCTTCGAGCATCTCCAAACACTCTCGCCTCTGGATCGACACCAACCTCTTTCGAAAAATAAATCCATCAAGGCCGCATTGGCACCTTTAAAATGTGAAAAAATTCCGTGCATCAGCTTTACTAACTCCAGCGTTAGTTCTGATATCGCTGCAATTCTTTCCTCAGAGCAGGTTTCAAAGGCGCTTTTGTTACTGTTATCTGCTGTTGCTGCTAAATCTTCATAGTGTCGACATATTAAGCGATGTGAGGAATTTATCAATTTTTGTAGTGGAACGTGAACTGCTCTCTCCGGTAATAATTGGGCGTGGACATTTGTAACTAGACTACAGAAAAATCTAAGACAATGTATGCGCATGCCGTAAGGTGTCTACCATATACCCAATTTAAAGTGTATGCGTTTGTAAAAGGTAAAGCTCAAAGTTAAGGGTTTGTTTCTATCACAACCGCAACAAGAAAAATAGAATATCTACTTTGGTTTACTTACATCAACCTTGGCAAATTCGACAAGTTCCTCTAACACACGTTTTTGTAGTAGATACTCTAGACATGGTCCTGTTTCCAAACTTCCAGTTTCTCGTTCAAACTCTATTTCTTCAGCTTGTATAAGTTTGATGATATTGTCCAAACTCTGTGGGATGGGTGTCAAGTCAACAGCATCTTTGAGTGGGTCTACAAAGTAGATTTACGAAAAGTCAGTTTTAAACACCCGTGGCCCGCCTTCTACTTTTTCAGTCAGGTACAAGAATTAAACCTCTGATCAATAACACTATACCGGCAGCTGTCTCATAGTATTTCTGAATATTGTTCCATGCCTCTGTTATGAGTTCTAATTTTGTTTTTGGAACATTTCTTCCTGGTAAGAATTTGGAGATGAAAGCAGACATGCTTGCATCTGTGAGAAAAGGTAGTGTGATTATGTACCTGATTTAAAACCAATTTCTACTTATAATCGGGGAACAAAAATCGAGAAATTGACTTCTGTATTATCACGATACAGCGACCTTGTCGCCCCTTCACCTATGACGACCGTTTTTACAGCAATATAACATTACTCAGTGGTATGATCGAAGTAATATCAACCCCCTAACTTACCTTGGATTTCCTTTTAGCGCCAATATCTCTTAGCAAAACGTAGCCTTTAACATCCTGTACGAGCAGTTGAAGACGCTCTGTAACCTTTACTCTCATCATCAGCTATCCATTAGAGGCCGGGTCACGATTGTCAACTCCTTTCCTAACTGTGACTTATACTGCCTCACAGTATTTACTAACACTCAACTGACTCGCTTATACCAGCTCGGTGGTTCGTTTATCAACCATAGGATCTTTCACGGTTAACCTTTGACACGCTTACTTTATCCGTAGGCATGGTGGTCTGTTTGCTAAATCCATTCAACAACAATATGCTCTACAATGGCAATGGGTCAGCCCTTTGTGTACGGGCACCTAATTTTCTCCACTCTCGCGGCCATGTGATAACTCCGTCAACGTAGCGTCTACACTATATTTCTTCCATGACGCGAGTTCCATTTATAGTACTCACCACTCCAAATCCTTCTTGCATCCGCACTTATCTGCCTTTCCTTCTGTCACAGCTCTGATTTGCTCACAATTCTGGCGGCTGACTATCTCCTTTCAGCCTGCACAGTGTGGTATCGTCTAATACTTTGGAAAATTACAATAAGAGACATTCTACATCGTCTTTCACCTCATCAAACTCTTTCGCTATTCTGTCTACTCTGTTCTTCATCTACGCCTACCTTTGAAACGGTTAAACATTCTTCCTTCACTTGCCCTATGAAAAAAGATATTTGGTTCAACATATGTTGATCAGATCTTTGATTCCACGTATATCTAGTTCGCCCTTCTTTTACACGTTTTATGTACGACTACAGAGGTCAACATATTTGTAAAAGCAAGAACATGACAGCACAGTATTATAAACGTCCCGATTGTAATATATGAGTATGGAACATGAAAAAGATTTTGTTTCCTACAGTTGCAATTCATGTGGTGCCTGCTACATTATCGTAGAAAAGCAACATATAGTTTACTTGGTGGCCATACTTAGCGCTGAAATTCTATTGCTCTAAAATTGGCCAATTTTCCTACCGCTACAAACCTTACAGTAAACAATGTATTACATAGCGTACTTGATTCTTCTATTATTTTTTCCTACGAAATCCATATGTTCTCATCCTTCCGCTTTCTTTTGTTGAATTTGTTGTTCCCAGCCAATAGTTATGGAATAAAGGTTGCTTAATACAGTTCAATCTCATGCCGTATGCAATTTAAGGGGATAAGTATTTTTAGAAGAAACGAACCAAAAATTTTGCCTATTAAAGCGTACAATAGAATACCGAAGCAGTTGCTATTATAAAAAAACTGAAAGGAAATACAAATCAATATATTACGCGAATATTTTGATGTCTCAAAAATGATATGAATTTTTTTGTGTTGATAACAATTTATAAAAGACACACATTTAAGTATACACAGGCATTAGGAACATAAGCAGACTATCCATGGAATGAGCAAGGTTTTATTATGTATCTCGCAGAAGCAGATATTATTCTATTTTCAAAGAGCTAAAAATGTAGTATCATTAACTAAAGAGTGCAATTGGTATTCCGTGTGTACATTATAATTTTAATTAATTTTCTGTTGTAAAAGAGTGTATCAGTACACCAGCTGCCACACCAACATTCAAGCTATCTATAGATCCCCCAAAATCTTGTAAAACTGGATTTGTTGCTCTTGGTATACTGATAAATGTATCGCAGACATTTCTTATATTTTTTCGTAAACCTTTGCCTTCATTTCCAAGCACTAGAATAACTGGACAGTTCTTTAGCTCTGAAGCAATCTGAGAAGGTATAATGAAAGATTTTGCGTCGCCAACTGCACCAATAACTTTCCATCCATTGTCACGGGATTCCGTTAAGAACTTGTCAAGTCTAGTAGTTGAAAATACATCCATCAATTCCACAGCTCCTGAACTCACCTTAGAAACGGCAGGACTGAGAGGTGCGCTGTTCTTACTGCAAACAAGAACACCGTCTACTCCAAAAAAATAGGCTGTTCGTAAAATTGAACCAAAGTTCTAAGCAATAGTTAAGTTAATGCTAGTTGATTTACTAAGCTTATAACTAGCATAATGACCTAAGAGTGGAATATTACCTGAGGATCTTGGACCTCGTCGAGCGCTAGCCAAAAAGGCCGCTTATTCGACCCATTTCTACTGAAATTGAAAGTGTACGGCTTATTTCCTTCCTTAGCATATTTTTGTATTGGTAAAACTCTATATCCATTTTCTGTCACTTGTGTCAACGATGAAACTTCTTGCGGTTGCAATGCTGAAGCTCGTAGTACTACGCCCTGGAAAATATGGCACCTATCAGTCCCTGTCGTATCGCTTTCGGTACCTTTAACTTTTACAATTCTCTCAAACCCACCTGATGAGGCTTATTATCTGTTAAATTGTTTAATCGGCCTTTATCCATGTGAAAAATTTTTATCTTTGCTTCCTTTGCTAGTTGCACTATATCAGTGAGCAATGAGTCGTCCTTCTTTTTAGTGGTAGCTTTTCCTGCGGACTCTTGAATATACAGTGAATCCAAAATCTCCCTTTTCTTCAGCCGAAGTGCTGATACTACGCTTGAAAACCCATACACATACTCCAAGCCTTTGTCTTCTGGTTGCGAAGAGAGCTTATCGTCCTTGATATTTCTGACGTGCTTGGTAAAGGTAGGCTTATTCGATCGATCGTCAGAATCACGACGATTATGAATAGATCTGGCTGCAATGAAGTTCCTTCTGTGCTGAATTATTATATGCCTCGAAAGGATTGATTGGTTAGAAGAGGAAAATATACAGCCATTCAATATTTTTGTGCGTATCATTGAGACAAAGGGTATAATAATGTGAATTAAGAAGTTACAGGGCTTTATTATTAGAAGGTTCGTATTATGGGAAGCTGTTCTGTGATGGGTGGCAAAGGTTTCAAACTGCGGCCCTCTAAATGCTGCTGGTACTGTGTACCATTTATCTTCGAGTAGACATACGGCCTTGCGATTGATACAAGTGTTCCAGCTCGGTTTCCAATGCTTTCACTTGAGCATGTTGTTCCTCTAAATCCTTATTGAGCCGATCGCGTTCTGCAACCAACTATTTATCACATATTTAAATGTGAGTTTCTTAAGGTTTATATATGCTCAATAAAGAACTCCTTACCTGTGCCTCCCATTGACGGAAACGATTCTCTTCTTCTTTCACTTGCTTTGTAAAATTCAGTCTAAGTCGGTCCTCATCTTCCTTGAATTTAGGGTTTTCATACTTGTTTACCCTGGGCTCTCCGAATTTGCGCGTGCTCATTTGCGTTTGACGATAATTCTCGTAATGCCTCTCCTCAGTTGTAGATATCAAGTCATGCATGTGGGATCTGATTAGAAGTTTTCTAAGCTTTTTGAAGTCGCAATGTTTCTCATTTTCTACTTCAGCAATTCCCCACGAATATTCTCTGCCTTTTACAATACGGCCATCGCTAGTTTGAACATCCTGTGTAGACCCTATTATAGCAAAGGGCATAGCTGCCATAATACTTTGATTGACTTTGGTAACCTCTTCGTCTTCGCTTTCAATAGGACATGAATAAACTTGGATGTGGTTAGCCGCAATTGAGTCGAGAACCTTCGCGAGAAAAAGACGTTAGGTTACATTTGAGACGTTAGTTGTGTATAAAGTAACAGATCGACTTACATTCAGTTTGAATCTAGCCAAGTCTTTTGGTGTTAGAGTGTCAGCTTTGGCAATAACAGGAATGAGATTGACTCGGGAACCAAGATGCTTCATCACTTCAATATCTAGCGGCTTAAGACTTATGGTGAAGCGTGTAAGTGTGGTTGAGAAAACAGGGGGTGAGGGCTTCTTTTAACAAGTGTGCTTCTATATACATTCAACTAAATCCAAAACATGACTTACGAGTGGCCATTAGGTCGGATAAAGTACAAGCATGCATGAACTCTCATATCAATAACGCCTTGACGGATTGGCTGCTGCTCTTGTGCCATGAAACTTTCATGTTGATCATCCAAAAACTCGTATATCGGCATCCAACTATTATAATTGTTCACATAATCCCCAAAACCAGGCGTATCAATAACTGTCAATTTCACTTTGAAATTCTTCTCTTCAAGCTCTAGATATAGTTGTTTCAATGTTACGGTCCTTGTATATCATTATTCAGTTCTCAGCACTACTCTAGCTACTCACCAGCCTTGGTTATCTCAATATCAACAGTCTTTTCTAATTGCTTTCCGCGGCGCTTGTTGGGGTCCTTCGCTGATTTAATACCGGTAGTAAACAACGTATTGATAAAGGTTGTTTTTCCTACACCAGACTCGCCTGTTTATAATAAAGCCATCAATATCATTTGTACTGCATTTATCTAAGCTATGCAAGATCCTCTGTCAGTTTTTGAAAAGGTTAAACATACCGCAAACCATCAGGGTAAAATTGACACCTCGTTTAGTCACAATTTTATGGCGCTGATTGGGGAGGTGAGCGATACCCACTCCATTAATTGCAGAAGCTAACATTGGTATGTGCGTTACTTATAGAGAAAGAAGTGAAAGGAAGAAAAGGCCTGGTCTTTCTCATTCAAAGAAAATGGAATGAATAAATTAAATGGTTATATCTCAGATTAAGTGGTGTAACAGAACTTTTGTCCTTTTGACAAACAACCTCATGGATTTTGTGTTTGTGACATGTCAATAATAGCAGTTTTGTCAATATGAAATACGTTAAAACAGAATGCTACTCTTCTTGTATTGTCTGCCTTTTAAATTATAAATAAATAGAAATGTATATACATTTACAAATACTATATTACACAGTATAAGTCGAGGTTTATACAAAAATTGCTTTTACCAACCTTTCATTTCAGAAACAACGGCATTCTCTCTATCTTTGCTCATTTTGCCATAGCCAATAACTCGCATGGAAAATGAGCCGCTACCGCCTGTCAAACTGCGAAGTGCACTAGAATATCCTAACATTGAACTAAGAGGAACTTCCGCTTTGATGATCTGTTTGGGCTTAAATCCGTCTACTTCTGAATTTGTCAAATATAAATCTTTCGGAGCATACACTTGAAAATCTTCAGTCTCATTTTTACTTTCATCTTCAAGACCCATCGTAGATTCCAAACTGATAATTTGCCCTCTTCGAGTACCGCTTAGATCGCCTACAACGTTACCAATATGGTCTTCATTCACTGTTGTAATTACTTCCATCATGGGCTCCAAAAGACAAGGACTGGCTTTCTTGACAGCTTCGAAAACACCGTTTGAGACACAAGCAGATATAGCACCCAGAGTTGTGTCCTGTGCAAATAATTCGAGATCGTATACTCTAACTTTCATTTTAGTTAACGGGAAACCCAATACCGCTCCACGAGCAAGACCGGCTCGAAGACCATTTAGCATGGCTTGCTTAATATCTTCAGGCTTCAGCTGATTAGTGGTATCATCAGTAGGATGAGGTTCTTCACTATTACTACCAGAGCTCTTTTTGATACCCAGATCTACAGCTAAGTGATTACCGGAATCATAAATCCAACCTTGCTTCACTAATTGCATTTTACGCTCCTTTTGCCCCTCCTCCGCATCATCATGCTCATCCTCTTCAATAGGGTTAACTTCCACTTGACAAGCAGCTTTAGCTCTTTTACCCATAATTTCTTTATCATAGCTGGCCTTTGCAATAGCGGCAGCTTGACATGTTTCTCTGTAACTGATTCTTATTTTACCCATCTCTGCTTTGACTTTAAAATCATTGATTAAGCGGTCCTTGACGATTTCTAAGTGAAGTTGGCCCATGCCGCTGACCATTATCTGGCCACTCTCTTCGTCTGTCCAGACTTTGAGGGAAGGATCCTCTCGTACCAAGTTATTCAAAGCGTTTTGCACTGCAGCTTCTTCGGAAACGGAAGCAGGCTCGACGGCCGAAAAGAAAGCTGCGTTTGGTATGTCGACATTGCCTAATTGTAAGCCATTTTTGATAGCCTTGGTATTGTTGGATTGTACTAGTGTATCACCTGTACGGGTATCTTTCAAGCCTACGATCACGCCAATATTACCGGCATTTATGGACGGTATTTCTTCAACATCCTTAGCATACATTTGTAACAGTTTATTGGCTCTTTCTTTGGTTTGAGTTGTGGTGTTAAATAAAGTTGATCTAGCATTCAGTTTTCCTATCAGGGTAAAAATGATTGAGCACAACATTCAAATTATATGTTTCTTACAAATAGTAATCTATACCTGAGTAAACCTTAACGTAAACTAATGATCCCCTTTTTGAATCATGAACCACTTTAAACGCCAGTGCACATAATTGACTATCATTCAAGGGTAGCAATGCAGTTTTACCGTTACTGTATGTTACCATACAAGAGGGTCGCTCTATTGGACTTGGCAAGTAATCGATTACTGCGTCTAACAGAGGCTGCACTCCAAGATTCTTAAAGGCGGAGCCACATAATACAGGCACAGCCTTATTGGCTATAGTGACACGTTTGATAGCACCTTTCAAAGCCTCAGCATCCACTAACATATGATCACCATTTGCTTTATCAAAAAATACCTCCACGATGTCATCGTCCATTTCTGCCAGAGTTTCGACTAACGCTATTCGACCTTCCCTACTTTCCTTCAATATTTTTTCGTCCTTGGTTGCTTCTTCCAGAGGGACTCTACTGATCACTGAACCATCCACACTATTCTCATCCCATTGTATCATTTCCATTGTCACCAAGTCAACTACTGACTTTAAGCCTTTCCTTTCATCATTCAGGCTATCCTCATGCATAACAGGTAATTGTACAACTAGTGGACGAGTTCGAAGCTTTTTCCACATCTCTTTTACAGTTCTTCCAAATGCACCGCCGATTCTATCTAACTTATTGACGAATGCAATACGGGGAATTTCATATTTATCGGCTTGCTTCCAAACTGTCTCTGTTTGTGCTTCCACACCTGCAACGCCGTCTAAAATGGTGACAGCGCCATCTAACACACGTACGGCTCTTTCTACTTCCATAGTAAAATCAACATGACCAGGTGTATCAATGAGATTGATTCGATGGCCTTTCCAACCGAATGTTATAGCCGCACTATTAATAGTGATGCCTCTTTCTCTTTCTGCATCGAGAAAATCCATAACTGTATCGCCATCGTCGACGTCTGATGAATATTCCAAAAAGAAATTATTATTTGAATATCAATCCAAAATACTGAAGCTTATACACTATGTACCTCCAAGTCGATTTGTTACACCTGCATAATATAGCATGCGTTCTGTGGTAGTTGTTTTGCCTATTCAACAATTGCACTTGGTATTAATGTATTTGCAAACTAGATCAATCCAAAAGAAAACTCGCTCTTATTTACCTGCATCAATATGAGCAATAATACCAATGTTCCTCGTTTTGGAAATGGAGAAGTCCTTGGCATCTAAATCATCGATGGGTAATGTATACTTTATTCAGGTTCCCCACTATTTTGTCACCTTTCCTTTTTGTTGTCACCTACTTGTTGCATAAAACTTAGTTTGATATCTGAACGAAGAAGCTTTTATGATGGTAACAGCAGACCGTTTACAAAAATAGAAGCGATGAGCGGATCGTGCGGTTGCAATCGTACTCAACATTGAGGTTGATAGTTGTTGTCAAAACCAGGGTTTCATCAACAATTTGACAGATTTATGTGCCTTAATTTTAATGCTGTTGTAAACTCCGACCAAGCGGGCCATATGCATTAGTGTTTGCCCAGGTAAGCCGATCCATTTGTTCGAAGGACCTTTGACAAACGCCTTTACTTTCATATAATCACTGAGATACTCACTTATTCAGCCAATAAACAGCCTAGTAAATCTGTATATTTGAACTCTCATTGAATAAGTAGGGATCTTAAATCCAGATGGCCGGCGTTTGCGTATAAATCCATTGACAACTGCTCGTCTACGAGCAGTAGTCCAACACTTGAATTTGTACTTCCCCCAAATCCGAATATGACGTGGTATTTTACTGAAATAGGGCATAACAACATCTAAATAATTGCTTATACATCTTGGGTACGGAAACAATTGTACAGGCGCGTTAATTTGTCCGATTCTACAACACTAGTGGCTCTTGAAAAGGGTGTTCACTGCAACACATGGTATTCCTGTACGTTACTCATCGATAATTCTTGATTATTTTTGCCGTATTATTCGAGTTCATATTGCATACTGCTTCTGTATTGGTGTTGTTCAATTTCGAAAGCTCTGTATAAATAATACTTCCGCATTGTCTTTTTCGCTCGGAAAAAGCTATTAAACTGATATGGAAAATTGTTTTCAAATTGGATATGTTTGCAACTTGAGATTTCCTGTTCTTATCTTGTAGCTCTTAACGATCAACAGGGAATTGTGTTTACAATATTCAATGCTGTTATTATCTTTGTCAGTGGCGGCAGCAACATCATGTGGGGTTTATACGATTGAACTGCTACCAGCAAGCGCAGGTAGAAGCGAAAAAGACAGATGATAGAAGGAAGCCTTAGATTCATAACCCCAGTGGAGCTTACTGGTTAATTGTCATAATTAATGGACGCACGGGATGACCTCTACACCATTGATGTACCACTTTCGTTTATACCTAATAGACCTGATAGTCTCCATAACATACTTTATGTAATTAAGAGCACTTAAAAAACTTTCTTACGGTCAGTGACCAATGCATCCGTTCGAAATTAGTTTAAAGAAAAGAGCGAAAGAATATATTTCAAGTGAGGAATGTCTGGCATGGATTTGAATACTCTACAGAATTCGTCCTTCACAGTGCTGTTAATCGAAGCGTTACTTCCAAAACGGCTCAGTAATTTAAAAAAGCTCTATATATGAAGTATGCTTGCGTAAACTTGTACCTTGGCCATTGATTTTTCATCTGAATTTCATAACGATGTTGGTCTCGAAACAAAGAATGTGTGGGTTAGGAATGGCAGTGGAGAGATTGTACCCTGGTCGACTTATGGATAAGTTTCTCAGAAACAATATGAGATACACTGACGATGGTATCCTACTCAATCAAAATATAATAAAAATTTGAAAACAGCAGAATGTAACTTCCTACATACTAGTAAAGCAGTATGCAACATGATAAGTTACTCTTACTGATGGAGTCACCAATTTAATAAGCCTTAAAAAATAAAAAAAAAATGAGTCATTCCTACTGTTGAACTAGGAGAGTTATCAGCTTCCATAAAGCTAGTCCTGACTTATTATTATTCTAAGGAGCCAACTATCAAGCTAATAACTACACTCAAACAGATCATTCTCATACTATATAACAGAATATATCCCATAATATATACAGTAGGGCAGTTTAATGGTAAACAATTTCTGTGAACCAGCGTAGAATATAATCGTGAATATCGTCAGTTATGAGCAGAATATCGATTAATTTTTTATTTCCTTTCATTTTTTTCTCCTGCTCATGAAAAACGCAACATCACTGTTACTAATAATCATAGAATCAGGTCGTTCAATCTGTTTTGTTGACATCAGAAGTAAGGTCGGTAATCTTTTGTTTAATTCTTTCAGCTTGGTTGTCGATATCACTTTGAGCAGATAACAAGTAAGGGCGTAAAATACGGTTGTAGAAGGTTTCGGCACCCTATTCGATTTTGTTATTGATGGGTAGAATAAAGTTGACAAATGTTAATAGAAAGTTTCATAACACATACACGCATATATACACAAAGTCTGTAAACACAAAATAATTCCAATTTCTCCCACAAAGATTCCATAAACACGCATTATTGTTTTAGAAAGAATTTCTTATCTCACTCATCCTTCATCTACCAGCCATGTATACGTTATGTACTTACTCTTGTTTGAGGCAAAGCCAGATAAAGGACAATCAGAGTTTTGAACAAATAATAGAAGGGAAACCAGAACAAAAGAAGATCAGAGAAGTATTCAACCATTTGAATACATCCAATAACAGTCCAATAGGTCAACCATTGTTTATCATCAGTTGTTCCTTCAGTTTCAATGGCCTTGAAAGAAGCATAGGCTACATATCCGTTTTAAAGGGAACCAGAGGAAAAAAAAGGTATCAGTAAGAGCTGTTGCAATATGTTTCAGATCACGCATTGCAAATAATACATTGTAGTCGTTTCGGTAATGATTACTTTACCAGGATAGAGCCATGAGATAGCGTTGGTCAAAAGTTGACCAGCAAAGTTAAAGAATATCATGAGGAAAATGACAGTGCCAGCGCCAAGAACAGCATACGTCTTTGGAACACCAGTTTTACTTTCAAATTCTTTGGCGTAGTAACTTTCATTCAGCTTTACGTCTAAAATTTCAATATATTCTTTTGCCTTAACCTTAAGGCCTTGTGCACTATAGATATTGATAGCAGGGGTGCTACCAGTAGGTTGTTGAGAGGAAGATGTAGGTTCCGGAATAGTCATGTTGATATGCTTATAAGAGTGCAGAAGGAAGAAAGGAAGAAGAAAGGAGAGAAAATACAGAAAAGCACCAAGCTTTGTCTTTATTTATAAAATGTGTTGTATAAATAAAAGTGATTTGAAAAAAGGGAGTAAAAAAAAAATTCGCGTCATCTATAAAAGGCCTCTACAGGTACGCTTTGTATGTGTTGCTCTTTTAGTTCAGGATATCTGTATTGAACTTATGTACAATGTGTAACGATCGACTTGAATATCAAGAAAAGGAATTCCAGTATAAATTAATAGATTTCATCAAAGGGTCTTGTATCTGCAAAACAACTGTCAAATACAGTTGAAACTGCACGTTCTGCTTCTTCCTTGCTTTTGCAGTTTGGATTTTGCATCACTGATAGAACTGCCCGTCTCTTCACACACGCTTGATGTTGCTTTGTAAATGTGTAAAACCCTCTTTTAACTTCGTTTGTCCAACTGCAATCGCCACTCAAACTAGCTGCTCGAATCTACACAGTATGAAAAGCTTATTTTTAGACCTGAACTCAATGTGTTACAAAGTTTCATACATTCTTCTTCTCTTTGAGCTTACTTCACTGCACGCTTGATGCTTTAGGTTACTCCAATCCACTTTGAACTTATAATGATCATACATGTGTATCATTTCATGCGCCATTGTACGTTCTTGAATAGACTTTGTTAGATAGTTTTGGCATAATAAAATACCATCGACCGGTGAGAAGCCCCCTGCTCTTGTTGTATCACAAGGTAAGCATTTGAAATCATCTTTTGTTACTGGCCTATTTATTTTGCGAAGTTCGTCAACCATGAATCTCACAATGGGGCCTGGACATGAAACGATAAGTGAGATCAGTTTGTGCCAAACTGTTAACAGCATACTGAAGAGATCAAATTAAGTATTTACTGTTTTTCAACAAACTGTCTTTCCAAACTTCACATTGGTGACACTGATAATGCTCCTTTTCTGTTGCTAAGCGTTTTTCAAAGTCTTGCTTCTCAGCTTCCGTTAGTCCCAGTCCAGTCATATATCGTAGCGATTTCGTCCATTTTTCGAACTTTTTCATATCTTTAAACGATAATTTTTCCTCAGTTTCCGTGCTTCTGCTAGTGTCAACATTGCTTTCGACATCTGTCATTTTGAAAGGATGAGTGGATTCAAAAGTTTCTTATAAACTGTAATGGAACCGTCAAATTTCAACCCCTGGCGCCGCTTCTTTCCCCGCGCCCTCTCGACCTTTTTCATGCTCCTCCATATTTCCTTTTTAGCAATTGCTTACAAACGATTCTCAAAGACAGAACAAAGATAATATCCCAAGAAACGATATGACAGAATAAAACCTTGAATTATTGACAAATAGGTAAAGAATATTTAATGAGTGTTAATGGAGTTAAGTAAGTCTAAGTTGGGGTCACATTGATCAAATGTTGGGAAATATAACATATTTAAAATGAAATGATATAAATATTGTAGCATGAGAGAAGAATAAGAAATATATAGTAGTACTGATCAACGGCGTGTTTATGATGACTGTCAATACTACTTGAATTCAAAATAATTTTACCAAGAACCACCTCCATAGGAGCTGCTACCAGCATCTGCCCCACCACCATAATAACCACCAGCATTACCATAACCTCCACTGCTAGCAGCGTAAGAAGAAGAAGCACCGTAGCTTTGTGCACCACCATAGCTACCTCCATAATAACCACTGCTACTACTGCCGCCGTAACCACCGCGACCGCCGCCACGACCGCCACCGTAACCACGGCCACGTCCTCCTCTACCGCGACCGCCGCCGCCAACATGTCTTGTTTGAACCATCATTTGAAGTCGAGGATCAACAAATTGACTGTTCTGATTAAGGATATCAACCAAGTCACCTGCTTGACGGGCATTATCGGCGGTGAAGAACGTGAAGGAGTGACCCGTGGCACCACCACGGCCGGTACGACCGACACGATGGACATAGTCTTCAACATTGTTAGGGAAATCGTAATTGATAACGTATTTGACATCCTTGACATCTGGAAGAAGAGTAAAAAGAAAAAGACATAAGGTCAGTTAAAATGTTACCAACTTATCAAGACAAATGCTAGTAAAAAAAGAAAAGAAAAGGATGTATTTGCTACTTTTTTTGTTGTATAATCAAAGAAGAGAAGAGAAAGAAAAAGAAAAAGAAACCAGGCAAAAAGATAAAGAGACAGAAGGAAAGAGTATTCTACTTACACAGTATGCCGAGTATGTCCCTTTCCTTTCTAAACCTTTTTGTATCTTTCGACTTTCTCTATCCTTGATCAAACTTACCAAATTGTATGATAATAAAAAAGTAACAAAATATTGAAATCCTTTTGTTTTCCATCTCATTCCGCCTTCCTAGGCAATTTTTCCAGCAAAAGTTGCAAGCTATCTTTTAGAGAGAAATTGATTGTCGACATAAAATGTGATATCTATATCCAATCTTCTCGCTAAAGACGATAATTACAATAATTATATATATACACACAAAGAGAATACGATCGACATTGTGCATATACATAAAATTGAATGGTTTACCGGAAAAAAGCTATGCTCAAGGAAGAGAATGAAGAGAAAGACACACACAATCCCAACAATAATATAATACAATACCTATACCACGAGAAGCAACGTCTGTAGCCACCATAATAGGATGGCCTCCAGAACGGAATTGATTCAAAACCCAGTCACGTTCATTTTGTTGTTTGTTACCATGAATAGCAAGTGCTGGGAAGCCATCTTGTCTAAGGAAACGAGTAATTTCATCTGCCGTACGTTTGGTACTTGTAAAAATAATTGTCTTTCTTTCATTTTCAGGGCTTTCCATAATACGTTCCAAATGAGTGATCAGTTTACCACGCTTTTCTTGTTCTGTACAAATTTCAACGGTTTGTGAGACGTTGGCAGAAGCACTCAAGCTCAACGAACCAATAGTGACTTGAATATAATCCTTAAGGTAAGAGGTGGCCAAACGCTCTACAGACTTGGGCCATGTAGCAGACCACATCAAAGTTTGACGATCAGGTCGAATTTGGTTGATAATTTTCTTGATTTGAGGCTCAAAACCCATATCCAACATACGATCAGCTTCATCAAGTACAAGATAGGTGACACGCTTCAAATTCGTCTTGCCAGCTTCGAGCATATCTATTAAACGACCAGGTGTAGCAATACAAATCTCAACACCTCTAGAGAGATCACGAATTTGCGGTCCACGTGGAGTACCACCATAAAGACAAGTATTCTTAATTCTAGAGGTAGAGCCAAATTTCACACATTCTTCACGAATTTGAACTGCTAATTCTCTAGTGGGAGCCAAAACAAGAACAATTGGGCCATCACCAGGTTGCAACAAAGGCTGAGCGTTAATGTGAACAATGGCAGGAAGAATATAAGCCAAAGTTTTGCCAGAACCAGTTTCGGCAACACCAACGACGTCACGACCACTTAAAGCCATAGGCCAACCTTGGCACTGAATAGCAGTAGGTTTTTCAAAGCCCAACTTGTTCAATTCATCCATTACATAACCGGGGAAAGTAGCTTCCTCAAAGCTTTGAAGGGGCTTGGGTACATCATGACCAGTCACATTCATATTAGCAGCTGCACGAATAGCATCCACTTCTTCTTTGGTGCGTTGGGAAACTTTAGGATGCTCATTATAGAAATTCTTTTCGAACTTGGGAAGAGAAGCCAAATCCCATTGAATATCACCTAAATTGATATTATTGATACTGTTGTTACCACCAGAGGAGCGTTGGCCATAACTACTGGAGTCACCTCGGCTAGAGTAACTATCACCGTAACCGCCACTGCTGCTACCACCATAACGGGAAGACGAACCATAGCTGCCGCCACGGCTACTGCTCCCATATCTTGAGCTATCAGAACCTCCGGAGCGGTAAGAAGAATAACCACGATCATCACTTTTAGAGTGGCTATAACCAGAAGAACTAAAGGAGTATGTTAAAATTAGTAAAACTTTTCTTTTGTACATTTTTACAATTAGCTTCCCATCAACTTTTTAAAAAGTACGTACGGTCTACTTGATCTTCTAGGTGAGGTTTCTCTATTATCTCTATAACTTCCGCCACGGCTGTTGGAGTAGCTACTTCCAGAGGAAGATTGGTGATAAGACGATGAATAGGATGACATGTTTTGAATCAATAAAGAAGGAAAGTCGAAAAGTTAGCAACAAACAAAGTTACGACTTTAATAAAGCAGAAAAGAAAAGAAAAAATTTCATAGGCTAGAATCAGCCACTAATTTTTATTCAGTTGTCCAATTAAACCATTCCTCAATGGATGGTCCCACCACAAATCAGAAACTGTTTGAAAAAAGCGGAGTATCCAACATTAACGGAGCAGCTGCTCGTTGAGCGCCTTCAGATCAGTGAATTGAGCAATAAATTGAAAGCAACATTGATAGCTAACACAATTTTTTTGTGATTATAAATAGTTAATATGTGTTTTGTTTATGTCAATCTTTAATGAATTGGTAACGAGTCTGTCTATCAATGAACACTGTCTCAAATGCGTACGCATGTAGAAATAAATAAGCCATATTATACAATTATGAAAATTCCAGCTTGCTCTCATAATATCCAGTTGATGAGATGATTATATCATGTGAGCTGATCTGATTCCCGATGACGCTATTACAGAGACTGAATGATATTCGAAAAGCCTATCAAAGAAATCCCAATGAAGAAGAATAGAGTAACATTTCTTTGATTATGATGGTCTAATTTAACAGCTTGAGGAAGCATGCTCTGCATGCAAAATCAGTTATACAATGTATGTAATTAGTATTCCTAGCAAATCTAAGCAAATACTATTGTTTTCGAATTAACTCTACCTGTATTGCAATGAAGCACAACATTCCGCTGACTACACCAAAAGTAATTCCGAATAGATACTTGTTGTATATTTGATCTAGTTCTGTTATTGTTAGTAAGCCTAAAACAGCGCCTAATGGCTGGGATAATCCGCCCAGCAAGGAAGCGTAGATGAAGGCAGCAGAACGTGAGTTTATAGCGTGGAATAAAGGTAGAGATATCAGGAATCCTTCAACAAAGTTATGGATGGTCATTGCTGCAGTGACCTTTAATCCCAGTTGACTTGATGCTTCATTTGATATGAACATTACCAGACCCTCTGATACCAAGAGTATAACCCGCATTATTTATGTTAATATCAAAGTTTGGATCACAAGATTGTCAAAATCTTCAACAATAAACACAGCATAATACTACTAACCTGGAAACTTGTGAATACAGATAGCAATAGCGGTCTGTATACCAATAGATAGAAAGTCTTTCTTATGATCGACATGACTGGCATCTCCTACTACAACAGTTCCATATTCAACATCATGATTATGCTGCTGTTGGTTGTGATGGTTATGGTGAGCACTATCGTGGCGATGTTGGTGGCTATGATGATGGTTATGATGGCGGTGATCCTGGTTATGTTGATTTCGTGCTAAGAGAGCTTCTTCTTCTTCTTCATTTTTGTTCAATGAAGCGGTTGCATCACAGGTGTGAATAGCATTTGGCGTAGACCATTCTACTATATATGATAAACTTATTGTCAAGAAAACTCCAATGAAGAAGCATGCGAAAGTCAATAAGTTAGAGTTAAGGTTTTGATGAGATGCTGGTAGCAGAATGTAAAGTGAGTTGAACAGCAGAACGCCTCCACCCAACGATAAAGAAGCTGATATGAAGTGTTTATTTTCTAGTATTCGTCGTTTAAGAAAGATCAGACTGGCACCAGCTATACATGCGCAGGAAGAAGCGAGAACTAACAACCAGCCGTCTTTTGCTGTACTACTGCCGTACAAAAACATATTCTTTGTATTGATAATCGCAGAAGTGAGGAAAAGTTGAAAAAGAAGTATTCATGTCAGGCTTATATAGGCTTAATTATTGTATAGTCTGATGAGATATTGAAAAGGAAAGATACAATAAGTAAGTATCACTTTGCATTTTTTTCTTTTGCAGCAAAGCACAGTGATGAGCATAAATTTATTTACAATAAAGTAGCAGAGCATGTACGTATTTATCCAATTGAATGATGTGTGACGAATAAGTTGTTCTGAATCTTCTTTCTCCCCTTTTAATTTCTCACATACCTTTTACTTCCTTTTTCATCTGCAAATAGCGATGGCACTCTTTATAGGCAAAATTCCACACCACATCAACGATGTAAGTTTTAGGACATATAAGGTTAAGAAATTATCTTTCAGGTTCTTTAAAGCTTATTATTAATTGATCGCAGCGTGAGCTTGAGGACTACTTTGCAAAGTATGGCAAAATCTCAAGACTCAGTCTAAAGCAAGGTAGATTACCCATCTACAACAAATTCTTCAATCTATATCAACCTTGCTAAGAGTGTCTCATCCTTTCTGATTAGGTTATGGTTTTGTGGAATTCGCAGACAAACGCGACGCTGAAGACGCTTTGAAAGAAACCCGTGAAGGACAGAAAACAGTACAGCAGAGTCCCCTTTTCCTTTTGATTGTCTTGCGATTTTTCATTAATGCCCAGTTTGAAAACCTAAACATCCATCGTCCTTCTATTATCTCTACTATCAGGAATTTATCGTGGAATGGGCAAAAAATAATGGTAATAGAAGAGTAACAGCCGACAATCAATGCTTCCATTGCGGCAAAGAAGGTAATGAAACTATATGGCGTGTGATATCATCATTGATGAATACAATATAACTAACTCAACTCTATGTATACTTCTTCATATTTAGGTCATTGGGCGAGAGACTGTACCCAAAAAGGCGGTGATCGTGATCGTGATCAAAATGCACGTAAATACCGGGAAAAGGCCTATGCATACAACAACAGTGGAAGCGGCAGTAGCTATCACAGGAACATTGAAGATAGATCATCTACCTCATACCGCTCCTCTAATGCACCTTTGGATGGTAGACACCGTGATGAGAGACGAAGGTATTTTCATTCAACTACCCTTAAACCCCAAAAATATGCTATCCCATGTCATGTTTCCGTCTATCTTGTACCCTGCTATTCAAGACGGCTGCAAAATGAGGGGACGATGATGATATCTTGCAGGTTGAATTTCTGACATCATCCTTCTGGCTTTTTTCTTTTCTCTTTATATTACAAAATTCTCTATTTCTACGGCCTATCATTAACACATAAATTGATGACCCGGTTGACTAATATTCATGAATTTTCTGTAAGTATTTAATTTGAAAAGACTCGGAAGATATACATTTATTAAACGTAAATACATCACCATAGTACGTACAGCAACAGAAATGATAGACGTCCCTATGACCGTGATGACCGTCGCGCTTCGTCCCCCCATCGTGACACTTTTCACAACAGCAATGATAGAGGTCCATCATCTAGATATAACGATAGAAGTGAAAGACGTGATTATGCTGGACACCCTGGCGATGGTGAAAACAGAAGAAGATATGACAACAGAGGCTAAGCATTTACAAGCTGTTACAGCAGAGTAATTTTTCCCCATTCATGATTGTTATTCTTTCAATTAATCATTATTCATAGTAATAATTATTTTCTTGATGACGAGCCTATTCAATAAAAACCTAGTTACGCTGATTATTAATTAGCAGTTTGACTAACTGCTAAGACCCACTTGCCCTAATAATGATGTTCTTAGCGAATCAAAATTCACTTACCCGTATTTGTTTTAAAATCCAAGCAGGTATGAGCTTAAAATTGTAATTCTGCAACTTTTTCATTGAGGAACATTTAACTTGGTTTTTCTCGCCTAGAAAGAATTATGTGTAATTATAGCCAATGGTGCTAATGGTCAGGTCTTTTCGAAGTACAGTCAACATACTTCAATGGCTATGCTTCTCTTTTTTCATTTTATTATCAACTTTTGCTATTTATTGTGTGGATTCCACACCAGCCTCCTCACAGGAGATAATTTTATATCATCATCAGAAACGTAGTGCAGAAGGAGCAGAAACAAGACTTCAAACAACTCAAAGTAAGGGACATAATAAAAGCCGTGCCACCTCGCTACAGCAAGATTTCCCCGATGTCCCCAGTGATCTGTATCCCACCAACTTGGTATTAGTGTCAACATTAGACGGTTCCATTCGAGGCATCGACCGGTTTCAAGGCGATGTTCACTGGACCCTGAAAGGAGGACCAAGTAGTTCTCTTATTAAGTCCAATTCCAAATTTGAAACACATCAGCTATATAAGTCAGGGCCAGATTTCAGCAATAGCTATGAGTCTGAAGAAGAAACAGACGAGGAAAAGTTATTTGATGATGACACTTTTGATGATGTTATAACTGATGCTGATGACTCTTTTGAAGCAATGGATGATAATATACAGTTACAAGAGTCAGTTTGGGATCAAACAGACAATGATATGAATGAGTCAGAAATATATTATATTATTGAACCTCAAAATGGAGGTACATTATATTTGTATGAAGATGGGCAACCTTTAGAAGTAAGAAAGCAAGCAGTTAGGCATGGTTAAAATAACGTTGAAAGGCTAACTCGCAAGATTTATTTTGATAGAAACTGCCATTCACAGTTAAAGAAATTGTAGACACCTCACCATTTCGTACACCAGATGGCACAACTTATATAGGGCGAAAATCAACGCTAATGATTGAAATCGACCCACGAAATGGAAAGATATTGCAGCAAATTGATCTCAACAAAGTAGAAGATAGTTCAAAATATCCGCTTTCAAGGCAACATCAATTCCAGACGAGTAAAACCATTCTGCTTGGTAGAAATGGTAAAAAACTATCTGTTTTACTTTTTTTTTTATATTTGATTGCTAAATTGTTGTTTTCAATAGAATACAAGGTGGCTATATTTGATCACCGTTATAGAAAGTTATGGAACGTAACCTACAGTGAATATATACCAAACAAGTTAGAATGGGATGTTCCTTCCACTACAATTCCTACAGATATTTACATTGCTCCGGATGCACACAAAGCTATCACAGGCGTCAACATGCAAGATGGTCATTTAATGTGGACTCGAGAACTACCATACCCAGTTGTAGATGTATTTGATGTATTTAGAAGAGAAGATTATACTTTTGCAGTCTCTAAACAAGCACCACCAAAATCACTGAGCAAAGGACCTATTGGAGATATGCTTAGCTTAGTCGTTAGGGACAGAAGTGATAATAATTACACCATTTCGACAGCTTATGTGGGTATTCATGATGGTAGCCTATATGCTCTTTCGAATGAAAACTACCCTTTAGTACAAATTTCGCAATGGTCATCCATGTACACAGGCAGAAAGCCAGGCGATACAAGCCCATTAATAGAAGGCAGCAATAGCAGTAGGCATGACTCACTTGCCAACGATACGTCAGAGAAGATTAATGGTGAAAAAACCAGTTGGACTCAAAAACCTCATGAGTTGTGCTGTCATGGCTGTGAATACCATACCGATTGTCTGATTGGGCAACATGTCGTTCAAATGCTGATGGGAGATGATGATATAGTAAACGACGAGTATCGAGATTTATACTTACCACCTTCTGCGTCACCAGGGATCGCTCTGCCTTCAACATCTTCCAATCACTTACATGCTCCTTCGACTGTCGCATCTCCCTTACCACCTTCAACAATACGACAATATAGAGTTGAAGAATTGGAACCTTACCTCATTAATGACTCATCTCTAGGAGCAACAAAAGATAGTTTCTTCAATAATGGGCTTGGTCAATTTTGGAAAAGTTATTTGCTTATTAGTTCTGTCATCATCTACGTTTATCGCGAACGCATTATGACTTTTTATAAAACTAAAGTGGTTCATAATTGGAAGCAAATCATGAAAAGGCGAGCCAAGCAAAAGAAGAACAAAGCAAGAATTGCTGCTGTTGTGAAAGCAGAAAAAGAAAAAATCCGTCGTGAACGAGCTGATTCCATTACATCTGTTGATAACAACCAACATGTTGATCATAAGACAGCCATCAAGGACAGATCCACTAACAATGTGTCAACAAATGTGACTGAAAAGATTACAGAAAAGCAAAAAGAGAAAGATGAGGACAAAAAATCTGCGGGTTTGTTGAATCACGGTTCAAACGCACCGAAAAAGATGAATGAAGAACTTGAGAAACAAAAGCAAGAACGATCTTCTGAAAATGATACAGTGGTAAATTTAGCAAATAGACGACTCATAGCTGTTAAGCAAAAAACAGGGCTAGATCTTGAAAACTTCAAACAAGCCAAATCTCGTGTATTAGAAATAACAGATACCGTCTTGGGGTACGGTAGTCATGGTACTGTTGTCTACAAAGGTGTTTTCGATGGTCGAAATGTTGCTGTCAAGCGACTTCTTTTAGACTTTTACGACGTGGCACTGCAAGAGGTCAAATTACTTCAAGAAAGTGATGACCATCCAAACGTTGTGCGCTATTTTTATAAAGAAGAAACAGATCGCTTTCTGTATATTGCTCTTGAACTATGTTTTGGCTCTCTTGATGATTATATGGAAAGAAGCCTTCCTATACCCGAAATGCAGCTTTGTGATCGCATGGATCCAGCTGATATACTGTTGCAGATGACATGCGGTCTCCAGTATTTGCATTCCCTCAAAATTGTCCATCGTGATATCAAACCGCATAACATTTTGCTGGCTCCTGTAAAACATAGGATATCAAAAGATAAATCGCAAGTACGTGTCTTAATTTCTGATTTCGGTCTTTGTAAGAAGCTCGATGGTGAACAAAGCAGCTTTAATTATACAGCAGCATCGCCTGCAGGTACATCGGGTTGGCGTGCGCCTGAATTATTAGCTGGTGCCTTAGCAGCTACTTCGTCAGATACAAGCCTAAGTAGTCGAAGTCTACGAGATTTATCGTCTCAACAGCAACTGCAAGATCCAAACTTAATGATGGGACGAGTGAAAGCAACACGAGCTATTGACATTTTCTCGGCTGGCTGCGTGTTTTATTACGTTCTGTCTAATGGTGACCATCCGTTTGGCAATCGTTTTGGACGTGAAAATAATATATTGAATGGTGACTATGATCTCAGCAAATTGGATCATATGGGAGAAGATGGTGTTGAAGCCAAAGATTTAGTGACGAGGATGATCTCGTCTCAACCAAAGCTGCGACCCAATTGTGATACAATATTGTCGCACCCTTTCTTTTGGTCCAATGCCAAGAAACTGGCGTTTTTGCAAGATGCTTCTGATCGTTTTGAGATTGAAGAGCGTGATCCTCCTTCACGCCTGTTACAAGATCTCGAATCCAATTTGGATACTGTAATATTCAATGATTGGTATAAGCGCATTGACCGCGTGGTAGCGAACGACTTAGGTAAATTTAGAAAATATGATGGGAAGAAAGTTCGCGACTTGCTGAGAGCATTACGAAATAAGGTAAAAAAAAAAAAAAAAAAAAAAAAAATACTCATTTAAGTTGTTGTGAACCAATATGTACTAATCACTGTTTACAATCATACACGTTAGAAACATCATTGGCAAGACTTGCCTGATCCAGTGAAAAAAGTATATGGTGAACCACCAAATCAATTTTTATACTATTTCACAACTCGATTCCCTCATTTACTATTGCATACCTACTACGTTGTCGCCAATCATCCTGAGTTGAAAAAAGAAGGCTCTTTGGGCCAGTATTTCTAATTCTATCAACTTTGTACATTCGCACAACCATTTTGTACTAATTATTTCTGTCATGTTTATTTATATACAACATTAACTTAATTTGCAAAGCTTGCATTTGTATGTATCTTTACAACATCCGCCAAATTTTCCATTCTTTCAAATGTTTTTTCTACTGCTTCAATTGTCTCCTCATCGTTAACTTCTACCGTACTATTTGGAATGTATACAGGTCCGATTTCTTGGACTTCATATTGACACCGATCCATCAGAGCCTTTGAAACATTATTAAGTTCCGAGAACTCACAAATCACCTCTATCAGGTTATCAGTGTTTCCTTCGGTTTCTCCTTCAGGTGCAGTAATTTCGTCTGCTGGTATTTCTTCTATATCTTCCACACCGCACTCAATTGCATGATCCATTATCTGTTCAAAACTATGTCCAGATTGTCCCGCTGTAAATGTCACTTTTCCTTTTTTATCGAATAAATAACCCACAGACGAGACAGAACCACTTTTAAATTGCAAAAATACAAGTCAATAACCCACATCACTTTCAACAACTCATTATACTATGCTCGTACCTACCCTACTCTATTTAATACTTCTTTCACTTCTTTCACCGTACGTGATTTGTTGTCTGTCAATGTTTCTCTATTGACAATCAAACATTTGCCGCTCAATAAAACTGTTGGAGCACGCAACATCAAAATTAGGCAAGAATACTTATTAAACTTACACAATCATCGCTATCCCCCCTGGACCAACGCATTCGTAAGTCACTTTTTCTAAACTATCCTTATTTTTATCCAAGGCTCTTTTCAATGCATTTTCTATGGTATCTTTCGGCATGTTGGCTGATTTTGCTCTGTTCAAAGCCGCCTGTAACTTGTTGTTAGTAATTGGATCAGTCCCGCCAGCTATATAGTGCATTCATCATGCTGATAGTTAAAGTAATGTTTTTGATGTTTTAAAATTTCTTAGCTCTCTCTATCGTACCTTTGGCAGCAGCGGTTATTTCAAGGCCTATTTTTGAGTACATTGAACTTTTTTTGGCATCCTTAGCGTTTTTGGTATGCTTCACCTTACTCCACTTATTGTGTCCCTAAGACAGAAAAAAAAAAAAGAAAGAAGGATGTCAATTTGCACGATCCTCATCGACCCGTAATGTGGGGAAACAGATTCCTCTCCTACAGCGAATCGTTGTTGCTGAATAACAAACGGTGAAGGCTTCCAGAAAGTGTGTTGTATTGTAGGATAGAGGTTTTTCTTATAAGCAAGCGCAAATATTTGGCGTCTAAACATTGTCAACTGTGCTCCAATAACAAAAGAAAATAATAATTTAAGGTACAAAAAGCCCTTGTTTTGACAGCTGCTGCAAATCAAGGCTGTGGTTTTTGCCCCACAAAAAATTGTCCAGATATGGCTCAACTAAAAAGACTTTTTAGATTCCAGATGGTTTAACTCGTTGTTTACGACTGTAATCCAAAAGTTTATTGATTACCTTTAACTGCCTTTTTGTGCAAAAATTACAGGTCGTTCGTTGTATAGCAGCCGAGTTGAATTATATTGCACATCGGGCTGTAACATTATCCAAAGATAAAGACTTTGAAAGCTATTCTGGAACTAGTTAGAAGTGAATAGCCAATTCATAGTAGTATAAAAAAGAACCCTTATCACGACCGGCTATACTGACTACATACAGTAGACAGGACTGGTGAAACTAGCATTGCGACCGAAACAGTTACAAAACTGGTTGACTTACGTTCAGTCTGCGAAGTTCTAAAATGGGAGGGAAGCATGTGTGAATGTCACTTTTTGTCTCTTTATCACCCATTCATAACTCTGTAAACCCATTTTTGCCTTGATCGCTTCTCTAGAAGATACGCTCTTTCTCAGTAACTGTTATAGTGTAGGATTCTTGACGGCTCAGCTGGCTTCGCTCCTCATTGTAGCACTGCTCATACACCTGCGTAATCTGAAGCAATACATTGCATTTCAAAGGGTACTCACTTAGTACGATGAATGGTATCAAATCGGGAGTAGCAGTTGCTTAAAGCCATGATGGTACATTAATTTCAAATTGCACTGTACTTGTCAAGATGTTTCGTCTATCAAATGTGTTAGTTGCATCTATTCTGTTAAGCTTTACGTTAATCTCTACACTTTTGAGGCAAATGCTTTGGTGTCTACATTCTTTGAAGTCAACGGAAAAAACTGAACCATTGCTGTATTTCTGCTTCGGTAATTCTGAATCAGATAGCTTTCTGAAAATTGTCCTTGCCAGTAGTCCATATAAGAGCAAATATGTGTACCTAAAGGCTATTAAAAAGAGAACTTCATTTTGTTAGTTTCCAGATAAATGTCTGTTACACCAATACACAATCTGAATAGATCTCAATCAACGTTTGTTGTCGATTTTTAACCATTTCTTTGAACTACCTTTCTTTTATAATAGAACCTTTATTATTGAGGGAAGGTCAATATTAATAAAAGAAACTAGTAAACCGCTACTAAATATGCTTATCCTCTATATAAACAGGCAAATGTTCTTAAAGGATTGTTCCTTTTCGATTTATTCTTAGACAAATATGCTTGTAGATTTTAAAGGTAGAAAATTTCTCGTTATGTTCTTTTCTTCTTTGCTAGTTGAAGGCAACTACAGAGGAAAATATTATAATACCGTTTATATCAATAGGAATGTATACTTTCCCTTTATCTATCCAAGCTGCTGCATTTATTGTGTAAGTATGGGTTCAATATTTCCTCTAACTTGGTCTTTGTAGTGGACTGACACACATCCTTGTCAAAATGACATGGATTAAAGTTATTTCCATTCAGTTCGATGAAATTTCTACAAATACTTGTGAATAAGTGAATTTATTGACTTGGTTCAGTGAACAAGCAAAAAAGCTTTCTGAATGTAAAAGGTTATAGTGATTCATAGACTCATCGTTGTTGATTGTTATGTATTTGACTAACAACCAGTTTTGTTGATGTTTGGAAACTGATACCAATGTTTTCCGGATTGATTTTATTCAGTAGTAGTTGTAAAGGATAAAGGTCGGTGATGCTGTTGTTCCTATTAGTGGGCATTTCAGTAAGTTTCCATACAAAGGGGCTCTATTTCCACGAGAATGAATTTTTGAAGGCCATTCTTGTAGATATCTTTCTTTGTATGTGTAGGCAATTGTGCGAAAATTTGAAAGTTTGCTGCGGCAATCTAATTGATCGTTGTTGACATTGATCCTTACCCAATTGGCATACCGATCAGAGCTTTCTGAAGGAGAAGTTGATCACTAAAATGTTTTTTGATTCAGTAATTGCTGCGGTAATCACGACTGTGCCAGTGCTGTTGGGGCAGAACAGGAACTAAAAAAAAAAAAAAAAAAAAAAAAAAAAAAACCAGAACTTAGACCATATAAATGTAGAACGTGTTTTTGTGATCACAGCTTCTTTTGTTTGCTCTTTTCCTCAAGAGTGATCTGATTTCACATATAATACCTTACCTACCTTTCATTTTTCCTTAGTGTTGATTCATAAGCTCGGTTATTTTTCATATTCAATGGATAACTCCTCTAAAAAGGAGCTTTGTACGCAGGAAGCGAGAAGTCTTGCTATTCGAGACCTACCCAACTATAATGATACATCATCCCAAAAGACAAAAATTGACACCACTCAAGATTTTGGTCATAAAGATAGTTATGGTGAAGCAGATGCTAACCAAGTCAACGTTGATGGTACATTACAATAAAAATAAGCTCGGATGAAAAAGTACTGCTTAAGTAATAAATTACTTTGCTCTATTCCATCAGATGCCATACACGAGTATCAGTCGATCCGCCGCGAATTAAGTAACAAAAATCAGCAAGTTACCCCTTCAGCTTTGGAAAATGGACAAGCGGACACCGAAGTTTTCAACCTTGATGAATTTCTACATGGAATCTTCAGAGAAAGACAAGCAAACGGCTTAGCTGTAAAGAAAAAACTTGGCGTTGCGTGGACCAATTTACGAGTAGAGGTAACGTATCTTGTCTATCCCCTTGTAATCGCTCAAATGAGAAGCAGTTTCATATAAGAACAAGTATATCGTATTTACTTTTGTTTTCATTATAGGGTCTTGGTGCTGATGCCTACACTATACCAAATGTTTTCAGTTACGTTACAAACTTTTTAGCTTTCTGGAAAAGATATAAAAAGAACACTTCAAGTACAAAAGTTATTATTGATAACCTCACCGGCTGTTGTAAAGATGGTGAAATGCTTCTTGTTCTTGGACGTCCTGGTGCTGGTTGTACTTCTTTTCTAAAAGTTGTTTCCAACTTACGTGATGCCTATACACATATTGGTGGTGAAGTTACTTATGGTGGTATTGACCATGAAACATTTTCAAAGCACTATCGCGGGCAAGTCTGTTACAACGAAGAAGAGGATCAGCACTACCCTACACTCACTACAAAGCAGACGCTTCAATTTGCACTTCGTACCAAAACCCCTGGCAATCGTCTTCAGAGCCAAACGAAAAAAGAATTCGTTGACCGTGTTTTGTATCTTCTGGGCAAAATGCTCGGACTAACTAAGCAGATGGATACTATGGTCGGCAATGCGTTTATTCGTGGTTTATCTGGTGGTGAACGAAAACGTCTTTCTATTGCAGAACAAATGGCTACCAATAGCTCCATCAACTGTTGGGACTGTTCGACTCGTGGTCTTGATGCAGCCTCTGCTCTCGATTATGTTCGATCTTTGAGGATCATGACTGATATCTTTAACATTACCACTATTGCCACTTTATACCAAGCATCTGATAGCATCTTTAAGCTTTTTGACAAAGTTCTTTTACTTGATGACGGTCATTGTATCTACTACGGCCCTGTTGCTAGAGCTAAACAATATTTTGAAGACCTTGGCTTTCACTGTCCACCTCGTAAATCCATTCCTGATTTCTTGACTGGTATCTGTAATCCGCTTGAGCGTGAAATCAAGCCAGGTTATGAACAAACTGCCCCTGCCCATCCTAGCGAGTTCCAAAACGCTTATTACGGATCTCCAATTTACACAAGTATGTTGCAAGATGTCGAAGATTACAAAAAATCAGTCAGCAACGAAAATAAAGCACAAGAATTTGAGAAAGCCGTACACGAAGAACATCAAAAACGCGCTAATAAGAAAAACCCTTATATCGCTTCTTTTTTCCAACAAGTCAAGGCCCTTGCCATTCGTGAACATCATTTGCTTATCAAAGATCGCGACTCGCTTATTTCTCGCTATGGTACAATGCTAATACAAGGTTTAGTTACTGCTTCTTGTTTCTATATGTCCCCTATGGATGGTCAAGGTGCTTTCTCCCGCAGTGGTGCCATTTTTTTCTCAGCTATGTTCAACACCTTCATTTCGCAATCTGAGTTAGTTCGTTTCTTGATGGGTCGACCCATCTTGGAAAAGCATAAACAGTATGCTCTGTACCGACCCTCAGCTTACTATATTGCCCAGGTCATCATGGATATTCCTTATACATTAGCCCAGGTTTTGATGTATAGCGTCTGCTCCTACTTTATGATGGGTTTGAACTTAACTGCTGGCAAGTTTTTCACTTCTTGTCTTTTCTTATTCTTCCTGTCCATGTGTATGACTGGTTTCTTCCGATTCTTTGGTTCCATAACTTCTAGCTTCTTCTTTGCGACTCAGGTTACGGGTATTATTCTTCTAGCCACTACAACCTATACCGGTTATACCATTCCTTATAGCAAAATGCATCCATGGCTCTCGTGGATTTATTATATCAACCCTATTACCTATGCTTATAAAGGTTTAGTGTCCAATGAAATGGGTGGTCAAATTTATAGTTGTGATGGTCCCGGTAATGCTATTCCTTATGGTCCTGGTTACGATAATTGGAACTATAAGGTTTGTACAATGCAAGGTGGAAACCCTGGAGAACCTTTTGTGCGTGGGGAAGCCTATCTTGAAACAGCCTTTTCTTACCATGTCAAAGACATATGGGCTCCAGACTTTATCGTTGTTGTCGCTTTTTTTATATTTTTCACCATTCTCACTGCGATGGCGATGGAGTTTGTCAAGTTGAAAAAATCATCCACTCTCACGAAGCTTTATGTCCCAGGAAAGGCTCCTAAGCCTCGTACAATTGAAGAAGAGAACGAACGGCGTAGTAAGCAAAAAGAAGTTACTGAGAATATGGACAAGATTTCTACTGGCACTACTTTTTGTTGGCAACATGTGAATTACACTGTACCTATCAAGGGCGGCTCCATTCAATTGTTGAATGATATCAACGGTATTGTTAAACCTGGTCATTTGACTGCGTTGATGGGCTCATCTGGTGCCGGTAAAACGACTCTTTTGGATGTCTTGGCTCGTAGAAAAACGATCGGTAAAGTGGAAGGCGATATTTTCTTAAATGGTGAAGTGCTTATGAATGATTTTGAGCGTATTACTGGCTATTGTGAACAAATGGATATTCATCAGCCTGCCGTTACTGTTCGTGAAGCTCTTTGTTTCTCTGCTCAGCTTCGCCAGCCTGCTGATGTACCTATTGAAGAAAAGAACAATTATGTTGAACAGATCATTCAATTACTAGAAATGGAAGATATTGCTGATGCCCAGATTGGTTCAGTCGAAAGTGGTTTTGGTATTTCTGTCGAAGAACGTAAGCGTCTCACGATTGGTATGGAACTGGTCGGGAAACCTCAATTATTATTTTTGGATGAACCTACATCTGGTCTCGATGCTCAAAGCTCTTACAACATTATTCGTTTCATTCGTAAGCTGGCAGATGCAGGCTGGCCAGTTCTCTGTACCATTCATCAGCCTTCTGCAGTTTTGTTTGAACATTTTGATCATTTGCTGTTACTCGTAAGAGGTGGCCGCACTGCTTACTATGGTGAAATTGGTAAAGATTCACGCACGATGATTGAGTATTTTGAATCCAATGGTGGACCTACATGCTCTCCTGATGCCAACCCTGCTGAATATATTCTTGAAGTTGTGGGTGCTGGTACTGCTGGTAAAGCCACTCAAGATTGGGCGGACATTTGGGCAGCATCGAAGGAAGCCAAAGCACTCGAAGCCGAACTTGATGAAATCTCCAAAAAGGTGAATAAAAGCCCTCATCGTGAAGCTCGTACCTATGCCACCTCTTTTAGTACTCAATTCAAGCTTGTCTTTGGTCGTATGTCGCTTGCTTATTGGCGATCTACTGATTACAATGCTGGCCGTTTCATAAATGTCATGTTCAATTCTATTTTGACTGGTTTTACCTTTTGGAAGCTTGGTTCATCTTCAACCGATATGCAATACAAAATTTTTGCTTTGTTTGGCACATTCATTATGGCCTTCACGTTGATCTTTTTGGCACAACCCAAGTTTATGACAGAGCGAACATACTTTAGGCGCGAATATGCCTCTCGCTATTATAGCTGGTTTCCTTGGGCCGTCTCCGCCGTTTTGGTTGAGCTTCCTTATGTCGTCTTTTTCGCAGCCTGCTTTATGTTTGGCTTCTACTGGACTTCTGGTATGAGTACTGCGTCTGCTGCTTGTGGATACTTTTATATTTCCTTTGTTATGATTGTATGCTGGGCTGTTACATTAGGTTTTGTCCTTGCTGCCGTCTCTGAATCTCCTACTATGGCTGCTCTCCTTAATCCTACTGTCCTATCCATTCTAATCTTATTTTGTGGTCTCATGCAATCTCCGAAGGCTATGCCCAAGTTTTGGAGTTCTTGGATGTACTGGCTTGATCCTTTCCACTATTATATTGAAGGATTGACAGTCAATGAATTAGAGCATCTGAAGATTACTTGTACGGAGCAAGATTTGTTAAGGTTCACCCCTCCCCCAGGCCAAACTTGTGGCGAATACACTGCTAATTTTTTTGCTTCCGGAGCTACAGGTTATATTGCTAATCCTGATGCTACGCAGCCAGAACAATGCGGTTATTGCACCTTCAAGTCTGGACCTGAATTCTATGAAACAATGTTAGGTTGGAGCGCTGCCAATAAATGGCGTAACTTTGGTATTCTTATTGTCTTTTTAATGTTCAATATAGTTGTATTTCTTGCGCTTGTATATATGAAGAGAAGAGCTTTACGTTAATCAATGGCTGTCATAATTTATTTATTTGATTGATGTTTATCAATCTTGTATATATATACTTTATTCACAAGTTTTTGCTCTAAAAATTACATAATCTACCAGTATTTTTATACACCATACTCTTTATAATTTTCTTTTTCCTTGATATCAAAAATTATATAAACAGAGTGATTAAGGAGAAGTTGTCTTTCTTTTTTTTTTTTTCTTTTTTTTTATTTAACCATTTTTATTGTACGCTCTCAAAGTAGATTAAACCCGCTTTTTCTTTTCTTACTGTTTCCTACAATATGACTCAAGAATGGTCTATCAAGAAGCTTTATTGGAAGCCTTCGTTTAGATGATGGGGCTAGATAGTTTTTGGGCTTCAACCTGGTAAATGTGAAAGGTCGAGCGTAATTGAAAAGAAATATTCAAAAGCTACACGAAACTGTATGCGGGTATCTTTTTGGATTTTTGTGCTTATATATCGTGCATCTCAGTCATGCGATATACTTTGCAACATATTCTCTTCTAAAAGGGCTCTGAAGAGGTGAAATGACCCAAGGATTCTAATGGTCAAGGCAATGTTTTTGTTTTTGATTCTACCCTATGTTTGAAAGTTTTTATCACTATTGTAGCTTTTGAGTAATCAATGACAAGGGTTCAATGACGTTTTGTAGACCCACTATGAACCAGTATATGGGGTATAAGCATAGCTGTCTTGCGTAGGGTTTACTGGATAGCAAATTTATAACAGCTTATTTGCTTCGAAAGTTGTTACCGGAGAAGCATGTTTTCAAATCTTTGTATGCCGAATATGTGGAGGGTTCGAGAATGTTTTTATTGCTAATGTACGATTGATTGTTCTGAGCTGAAAGAAATGTTTTTGACATAGTACTTTAAATGAGATTGAACTCGATATGGGCATAACTATACTACAGACTTGAACAAGCTCTTGGTACTACGGCTGGATTTACTTTCTAGTAGTTACCTATTGAGATTTCAAGTGGATATGTATGCAAAGTGTTGGACCAGAAAACAATGGATGTAAATCGCCTTTGCCTGAACCTGCCATGAGAGTTCTACAATTGAATGCGAACAGACTAATTGGGTTCGAACAATGAATATGCTAGGTTTATAACCGAACCTATAGACACAAGGTAGCAGCTTTTCAAGGTAGCAGCTTTTCAAGGTAGCAACTTTTCAAGGTAGCAGCTTTTCGAACCATGCTGCACCTATCAACATGCGTAAAGAGCACAAACACCTCATTGCTGTTGATTAACGAAGATAGCGTGCTCTTATTTTTTGGTTAGCATGTGCCAACGCGGCTTCCTACACAGTTTGAGAGTATCATATTTGCCTTAACGTATCACTTTATGCATTCATAAATCAACATTTTTCCATGATATTATACTACGGCTTGAAAATTTTTTATTTTATGGCATCTCGAATTGATTGTTTGCAACAAAGTGTACAATGCGCTGTCTATGCTGCAAAGACAGGATGGTACATGGTAGGACTGAAGTACTTCTTTAAAAGGTAAGCGCGGCATTAAAGCTGACATTTAACACGCTTATTTACCAAAGCTCCTATTAACTGCTTCAGCCATTTGTTTACAAGAGTGTTACGGGAGGTTTTCTGTAGCGTATAGGCAAATCATTCGAGTTGGCTTGACAGAAAATACTTACTCTTCATCTATTCATAGCATGTCTTATTTGAGGGATTTGCTCTGTGATTTGAAGATGATAAACTGATGATGTCAATTTAAAATAGTGCAAAAAATTAATAAAAATCCAATTTTGTTCCTCGTTAAAAATGGGCATTTCTGTTTCGTAATTTTTTATTCTGTTTTTTTTGTATTTTCCAGCTTTCTCTTCCGTTGTCGTTCTTTATCGGTTCATCATAGTTTGATGGTGCAGTACCTATTACCAAAGCTTTTATACGTTTGTTTATATGGCGTACTTGGTTCAGCCATACCCTATTTATCCATCTTTTATGCAGAAAAGTTACACTTACAATCACAGCAAATAGGTATTATCCTCGCTATCGCACCCTTTGTTCAAAGTCTAGCATGCCCCTTCTGGACAATGCAGGTAGATAAAAGACCCCACCGACACGGAGCCTTTATGGCAGCTTTGATGCTGATCGGTGGTTTGAGTATTGTTGCTATGATGTTTATACCCATTCTTTTCGGCGGTGGTGATGGAGGTAGGCCTTCTTCTATCTTGGCTATTACCATATCACTTGCTATTTCGTTTGCTTTCTTTGGTCAACCCGTCACTGTGTTAGTGGACAGTGCCGTGCTTAAAATTTTAGGCGACAATGCAATTTATTACGGTAAGTTGAGGACTTGGATTTGCATGAATTCAGGGGTGGAGGAACAACTTGGTAGCCTTTTTTTTTCCTTTTGACCGTGAAAAATTAAAGTGCGCTCAAGGCGGATGTACATGAAAGGAATAGAAGTAAAGCATTCCCTATTTGTAAAGTCAGAGAAAAAATCCCACAAAAGTGTAGGGCGCGGGAGGGAAGAAGAGGGAGAGAGCTTGTGCATGGAAGGAGTATGTCTGAAAACCAAGGGAATAAATTTTCATATATTCTATATGCAGGTGATCAGCGCTTATGGGGCTCAGTTTCAAATGGCGTGAACATACTGGTTGTTGGATACGTCATTGGGCAGCTTGGAATCAACTATGCTTTCTATATATTTGCTATTAGCGTGACATGCTTCATCATTACTGCACTATGCACCACTGTTACAACGAGCGATGGAAGCAATGTAACGAACGCCGATACTGAACGGGAACCACTTTTAAATGCTGCCCACAATAACAACAATAAGCAAATGAGAGGATACTATGCGGCCGATCCCACTGTGGACAACTTTATTAACGAAATTGAGCGCATGAACAGTACTGCAAGTAGTCGTGCAAATACGATCCTTGTTGAAGGAGACCAGAATTTGTTGGCTTTGCAAAGAACAACCACATCCATCGCCGTCAGAGATGTTCAGGATGAGGCAAGCTTAGTCATGGAGCATATGGACAGTTTACCACCACTGGGTCTTGCATTGTCGCAAATCCCTACGGTTGATTCTTCGTTGGCAGCTTTTGCAACTGTTGTAGAAGCGACGACAGAGGAGGAATTAGCAGTGAAAACGTTAGGCAGCACTATTTTTGGATCAGTGCAAGTGTGGACGTTTCTCATCACAGCCTTATGCTTTGGTCTGCTCTATTCAATGGTTGCACAATTTTTATTCTTGTTCTTCAAACAGGATCTTGGTTTAAATGCGTCAGTGATGGGTTGGACAGGACCTTTAGGGGGTGTGACAGAAGTTGCTACATTCTATTTCTCCCGAGCTGTAAGTGTAGAAAGTTGGAATCTGTATAATATCGTTGATGAAATCGGCGTGTGACATAGTTAATGGCAGTATCTAGATTTGCTAAAACGGTGTGGGTAACTTTTATACGATCTAGTTATTGAAGAAATTTGATGTTAGCACTCTTCTTACGTGCTCGCATTTAACCATTGTCGTAAGAAACCTGGCATACAAAGCATTGGTACCAAATGAGTCAGCAACACTATGGTTCGCTCTAGCTCTTCAACTCCTTAGCGGTAAGTGTTGGTTTTTTTTTGGTTTCTTTTTTTTCATTTTGCTGCGGGAAAGGATGGTTAAGAATGCTGAAATTGTTTGTCTTTATGGTTGCGTTTAATTTAAGGTTTTGCATTTGCATTGACCTGGTAAGTGTACATACTTGATGTCGTTGATAAGCGTTATTCCAACTAATGAAAAATCGGTCGATTGTTTTCAAAAACAAACTAACATTATACCATAGGTCGACTTGTGTATCAGAAGTCGACCAAATGTTCCCCGATCATCAACGTGCCATTGCGCAAGGCGTACTTGCAGCTTTATTTTCAGGTCTGGGCTATGGTTTCGGCAGTATTTTAGGCGGTTACGTCTTTGATAACTATGGTGCTCAATCCCTTTTCGATGCCTCCATCACTATCTCTCTTGTTAGTTTGGTCATCTTTTGGCTTGGTCGAATCAAGAGAGTATCTTCTTAAGCTGTTGCGTAAGGGTCTCTTCAGGACTTTTAGATAGAATGAAAGTCCAATTGTAGTAATGTATATAATCTCTGTATATGATAAATTGTTCAGCCTTCTTTAATAGAAAGTTCTTTTGTGTGTTTATTAAACGGTATACAACGTTAAACCAACACTATGGTCAAAAACCTTTTTTTATACCAATCTTGGGAATCTTTTAAGCTTTACAGGATCGAACGGCGATTACTAAATTCACACAGTGGTGGGGACACAGAGTATATTTTTTTTTTGGTGGTTGTCATAACTTCATTGTTTGATTTGAGAGGTTACAATAAACAAAAATGAATAAAGAATATAAAGAAACGAAAAGTCTCAATGTGTTCATGAGTTAAGGTCGAGCTTCTTCATATTCTTTTAATGAAGTGTAAATGAGTCATTATACCTTATAACGGTAATGTTGTATTTTATAGACTTGTGTTTGTTTATTTGTTTGTTTTCCAATAGTCATTATGGGTCCACCAATCGATAACACATCACCATTGTGGCTGCTGTGAAGAGAAAAAACTCAAAAAAGAGCTAATGATTCCTCGTGTACAAAAGTTTTAATATAAGAGGCAGATAACAAAAGTTTGTAACGAACAGTTTCCTTTCAACTACTTCTAAGACAGAAATCTCGATTTCCTGCAAGATGCTGCTGTGTTCATGCAAAAAATTGTATCTAGCATCTCCTTTTTATGATGTACAAAACTAGATGTTATGGTTAAGGCTTACCAATGAGAAACCTTTATGAACTGAAGCAAACAAAGAAAGAATATGCTGATGCAGCTTATCGTCCCACTTGTCAAAAGACATCTCACCATCGAGAAACGACAGAAATCATCTGAGCAATAGATAAAGTTGATACGAACTTGGGATCGGATTATTTGTGATATAGTTCGACAGGAAAGCAACCCAACTGGTTTAGAAGATGTACATAAGCTTTTATAACAACAACAACTATACCATTCAACGCAGTCATGACAAGGCTATTCGCTGTTGTTGAAGCTGTTGATTCAATTGAACAAGCACTTACCACAACCAGTATTGTTGTGGTAAAGCGGCTATCATCCACAAGTAATCCTATTTTATTCTATAAGTAACGCAATTTGAATATACATTGGCTTGTTTGAAACTGCCACTAGAATCATAATTCTTGACAGCTTTTTTTTTTCTTCTTACTGAAGTCTTCTTCAAACGCGTAAGAACCCAACAGTAGATTTGCTATCGATTCAAAAAACTCGACTTCAAATTGTACCCTCAACCAATGGATTGCCATATTGAGCATTGCATCGTGAATAAAGGCGGTGAAAAATTTATGCTTCTGAGTACAAAACAATTCACGTATTCTTTTTTTGTAAGAAACGAACTTTTTAGAAGTAATGGGAAAAGCTATAGAAAAAACGCAAAGACATTACCAATTGTACCACAGAAATCCTGTGGGTTTTCCATCGTATTTTAGCTTTTCTTTTGGTCTCCCTTTCTCAAATTATCACTCCTCTCCTCCGCCCCTCCCCCCCCCTTTTTTTTTTTTTTTTTTTTTTTTTTTTTTTTTTTTTTTTTTTTGTCTAGTCTCTTGGTTTGTTTGTTTGCAGAATGTTCACTTAGAGCAACCATTGTCTTTTTAGAAAAAGAACTTGCGTAGTTAGCGCAAAGAATGATGAAAGACTACAGTTGCTAGTCATCATCTATCAAACGGTAGTAGAGTATTGCAACATCCAATAAGTAGCTACTTTCTATGAAAGCAGTTGTCATCATTCTGGACAAAAGACAATGCAATCTAAAATAGCAGGCAAAACTTTCTTTTACGTGTAAAAGAAGAAAAAAAGCTAAATAAGAGTTCGGCTTTTGCTGTTACAAAAGAGTGCGCATAATTCGCTCCTGAATCATTGAATACACATGTGGCTTTATTTATGCCGTCTGTCTGTACTCCTACTCCTTTCTAAAACAATCTTGATTTACAGAAAAAGGTCGAGTTTTATGCCGTCAGAAGTGTTTTCATTATCTTTTTGAAGTGTTTACCCAAAATATGGCATATGATTCGTCTAGATTGAATGACAAGAAGTTCGGCTTCTGACGCATTGGATCATATGACTGTACAACTCAAAATAAGCTATTTCTTTCTTCTAATTTCATATAAATAGTTTTCCATTGTCTTCTATTTTCCTTTTAATTCTTCTGTATTTCAAAAGGAAATGTTCACAGACAATTTGATTCAGCAAACTACTACCGTCGGATCACCGGCTGGGGAGTTTAACATTGCAAAGTACCGTGATACGGGTTCACCTGCATCATCCGTTGGTTCCCTCTCCCCCTCTACTTGCACGCGCTCTTTGCTCATATCTTTACCATTATCATCATCACCATCATCATCATCATCGTCATCATCATCATCATCGTTATCGTTATCTTCTTCGTATTCTCTTTCTGGCATATGCTTGCCTCCACGACCTGCTGCTATAAACCACCCATCCAAACCAGGACGAAGTAATGTGGTATTCAATGTAGCAACAAAACCAAAACCCAAGAAGCAATATCAATGTCCCGAATGTCTAAAGATATTCAGTCGCCCTAGTGCGCTCCAAACCCATTCTTACACGCATACCGCTGAGAAACCTTTCAAATGCTCAAGGTAAGCATCTATCGTAAAGAAAAAAAAAAAAAATAGTTTTCACTTGTGTTAGGAACTGAAGGCTCATTCAACTGAAACGTGTTTATCCTTAACATCTTTAGTCCTAATTGCGGTCGTTCCTTCTCTGTCGTGTCAAACTTGAGGCGACATTTCAAGGTGCATCAAAAACAGTCTAATAAGAACAAACTCTCATTAGAAGACAGACTTCGCTGTGTTCGTCAGTTGATGGAAAGAAGTGATGCTATTCTCTCGGGTCGACAGCCATCCAACATGGCATTGGATAAGCTGAAGCCATTATCACCTGCTCTGACAGATCGGCAACCATTGTTATACACTCACTATCAGCAACAACAACAACAACAACAACGAACACCTTCACCTTCGCCACCTCCTCTCCAACAACCACCACCACCACAACAACAACAACAACAATGTACTGGTTACTGGTCCTACTCTACCACTACGGTTCTTCCTACTCCTTGTCTACAGCAAACGCAGCAAAAACAACTAGCTCCCTTCCTTTTACCCGCCATTGAACCAACCCAAATTGATAAAGATCTGCCGTCATTGTTTGCTTTCCAAACGACTACTCCATCCTCCAATGAAGGTTTATTTTTAAACTCTATGCTTAAGCTACCATTCTCTGGACCCAATATGAACATGAATCTGAACACTCATATTACTAATAACAACAGCAACAACAACAACAACAACAGTCACGATCAATATACCCATTCTGCTGGTGTTCTTACTCCTTATTCTGACTCTTCAGTGCTTATTTCGGTGGGCAAGTCAGATCCTTCTTACTTTGACTATAACCTTTATTGCTAAACAATAATTCATAAATGTAGACTCATACATTCTGCAACAGGAAATCTCCGTATTTATATACATCGTTTCTTTTCGCTACGGTTTAAAGATATTAACTTTATTATATGCAGTTAACAAAAAAGTAAACAAATTTGTTCTATTTCTCGAAAAAAAAAAAGCCAAAAAAATCAAACACCCGCCTTCCCCCCCCTTCTCCCCTAGCTTTTCCATTCTTTTGGTTACTTGATGCCCACGCACTCGTCGTCGTCAGCATTTCATTTCTCTGTTCATATGACATTTAATACATGTACCAACATACATCATATGTACACTTCGATGTATAATTTATTCTTTTTCGCCCAAGATATGAAAATAAAGAAAGTCTTGGTCACTTTCTCGAATTGTAAAACAGTCTAAAACGAGAAGTAGTAAAAGTTGTACAATCCAGGAACTCTAAGATCTGTATATGAATATTATAAAAACTGTGTCGTGACATACACGCAGTTTTTGTGGGATCATTGTGAACATGAAGGTTGTTTCGAACATAAAAAAGCCAAAGCATTTTTTTTCTTTTCTTTCAAGTTATTCAAAACAATGAAACTATTTACATTTTACAAACTTTTATTAAACGTAACAAAATGACAGATGAAAAATATGCTCTTCATAACATGATACGTAACAAAAAGTATGCAACAAGATTTATAAAGGGGAGTTTTGCGTACACTTTTGTGTCGTTCTTTTTTCCTATTAGGTAAATAATACGTACTCAAGAAGTGTATAGACAATAGATCTGTTTAACTCTGGATTTCATCGTTTTGATTGAGATCGGTCCGATGTTCAGCCCCTCTCTCTCTTTCTCTGTTTCTCTCTCTTTCTCTTTCTCTCTCTACATATATAATCATTTTCGCCTTTCCGACTATTATACTAAAACGTAATATTCTTTACAGCTTTTCTTTAACTCGGCTTTTTTTCAACAAGAGAGTACATTTGTGCACCAACACATTAAAAAATAAGCTTTTTGGTACATGTTACATTTGACTTAAAAAGGTGAGAAAGAAAGTGGTTTTTTCTGGTATTCTTGTTTGTTGAATAACCTTAAATGTTCTATGATTTGACTTATTTTGGTGAGTAATCGTTCCTTTGACTCCAAAAAAAAAGGGAGGAAGCAAGGGATGTGGAGCGAGGAAAGGGTATTACCATGGAAAGTTTTTCTTTGTTCAATCTTCTTGGTGATAATTCCTTCTATGTGTCCTTTTTTAGTAATACAATAAATCCTTTAAAAATTAATCTCGCCTTTCATCCCCTATTTTTATTCATTCTGCTTTTCTCGTTTAAGTAAAAATTCTTTCTATTTCATCGAAAATAGACAATAATCGGTCTATCGCCTAGCATTTTGAGTTAACCTAGCATGTTCGCTATCATCCAGACTGAAATCAAATCGATCCGGATGAATGAATGAAAAAAGTTAACCGTTTATCCTCTGAGAAACTTTACTTTCTGATCGAGAATGAGAACAAACACTTACTGATCATTTTCATCAAAATCATCCTCATCTTGTTCTACATGCAATAAGGCGCTTTGCTCAGCTCCTTTATTAGAACTTTGCTGGTAACCTTGTTTCATCATGCTACCCTTGTCATTCTTATTGCTCGAATTTTTCTGATGAAACAAAGGAGGATGATCTTCTTCTTCATCGTCATCCTCACTCAGTTCACCTCCTAAATCAAAGATAGCAGCATCATTGATGTCATGCTGATCGTGACGGTTACGGGTATTATTGAACGGTCTATTTCCAGTAGGATCATGTTCATCCTCATTGTCGTCTCCTGCTCTTCCAAGACGTTCCTCCAAATCCAGGGCTTCTTCTTCATCTTGACTGATTTGCATCAACCCGTACCTTGCATTGTTACTGGTAGGTCTCCACAGAATGACAATCACCAAAAAGACGACAAAATAAAGAATGTTCAGCAAACCATCCAACATGACCCAACGGTACTTCCAATTCTTAGCCGCCCAATCGATCTCCATACGACCTGAAAAAGCAAGCATATTGAAAATAAAGATGCCGATCACCGCAAAAACGGAAAACACAAGAAGGCGATAGAGTCGTTTATACATGGTCACCTTGACGTGCTGCTTACGGAGTTCGCAATCGTGGATCGTGCCTGTGATCGAATTGAGAGTCCAGACATAGAAAAGTGTCATAGTGATAGAAAGGGGGAAAATGACCAATAAAATCAGTAGACCCGCCGTTTCTGGCGACATGATCATTGTGCCGAGGGTATAAATTACGCCAAAGAAGAAATGAGTACAAGCAAGAATGATGCATTTCTTCATAGTAGAACCTAAACTGGGTCTAGTTTTTTTTTTAAGGAACATAAAAAGGAGAACGAAAAATGATTGGTTGGAAGATCCATTCACAGAAATAAGCAACTACGTAAAAAAACCTTCTTTTTAGGAGTAAAATAATCAACTTACTTGACAACGCTGTATCCCATACAAACGATCAGAAGCATGAAGAAAGACATACTAGCATTATAGGTGCCAGTTAGTTTATCATCGTAGACTAAACATATGGCCTTTATGAACGGCTCCTTTTTCACGTCTTCTCAAACCCACTATTTCACCCTTACCTCGTTCTTCCTGCATTCAATAACGCGACCAACGCCAATAAACCATAAGCTAAAATGAATGTGCATTAATAAAGTTGAGCCAGCAAATGCAGCCTATTCTAACTGCAATGATGCCTTACATGCTTTTCCTGACTGGTTATACGCCTCCCAGAAACCAAAATTGAACGCCATTTCGACTACAAGATAAAATATAGCACCGGATAAAAAGTGCTAATAGAAAGACATCACAGAATTTATTACGGAGACTGTGAGCAAACGATAGCCACTCACTCCCATTCTTTTGTCTTCTCACCTGAACAGGCAGAATATCAGACCAATTACGGTAGCTTTGAACGGCCCAAAAGACGCCAACTGCCAAGTAAATACCAGTAAAAACACCATACAGCTACTCTCCCCCCCCACCCAAAAAAAGCGAGTCAGTTACGTACCCTTGCTGACAGAATGATAACAAATACATATACTTTACAATCAATTTGGGGTAATCCACTGCTGGTAATTCACCATAAGCAAAACTCCATTCAACCCACGCTTCAAACTGGGTAGCATTATTACTCTCGGTTGGTACTAAAGCTACACAATAATACCCTGTGTATTCAATCTTATACAATGCCATTTCCGTTTGATTTCCTGTTAGAGGGAAGCTGGATGTCATGATACTCGTTGTATTGATTTCATTTTCTGGTAGATTGACAATAAACTGGCCTAGTTCCGATTTTTGACAGAGTTTATGCGAGACCGCTGTCGAGTCACAAACATAGATATACTGAAAAGCAATAGGAGTCGATGGGTGAGTATCAAGTAACACTTCTGGGTCATGGATCATTGTGTGATTTTACTTCTCCTGTTGATTCATCAAAGGCACCTAGACGATCAAAGTCTTTCCATTCATAAATAAGCAATGACACATTGCCTCTAGAACGGCTATCCAATGACACTACCATCATGTAGGCACAACAAATAACGGTGAGAGTAAATTAGGCTTTATTCTTTTATCTGAAAGTAGATCGACTCTTCTACGCTCGCTCTCTCGTAGTCTTTCCATCTGTGTGTGTGTGTGTGTGTGTGTGTGTATATATATATAATTTTTTGGTAGACTAACCTTTGATGAAAGGTTGTGATCCTCCCGGTATTGACTTTTTACTCCAAACACCAGAACATGATGTTGCTGAATATTCGTCACTTGTCTACAGGAATAACAGAGCAATGGTTTCAAGTTTAGTTTTCAGCCTCCCTTTTAGTCAACTGAACGAAAGGAAACGCGACTATTTGCCATCGTCCTACCAAATGAACTTCTTCGGCGACTGTGAATTGAACGAGAAAAGTCAAGAACAATAGTATGGAGCAAAAACCGCACTTTTCAATTAATTTCATTTCTTTTTGTGCTGTTGGCTTGGAACCACTATGTCAGAATTTCAAAAGCTTCCTTATGGTACGTTTTATGCAATCGTATAGTTTTTGCAAAGATGTTCCTGTTGAAGTGCTGTTTCGTTAATGATGTTGAGATGGAGAATGATGACAAGTCAATGGCAAAGGTCAAAATAGAGTGAGAACAGGCCAGTGAAAACAAAAACAGAAAAAAATGAAAAAAGCCGTACCAGCGTACTATTGTTGAGTTAAGTTAAGCCTCTTGGGATCAAAATCGATATTCGACAATAGTTGTTTCTATCTTGGTTTTTTAGTTACTCTTGAAAAAATGCGTTTTGGTTGCTGAAATTCACCAGAAATGCTTGCCCACTGTTTTAATTGCTTTTCTGAATTTGAAACGTCTTATCTTGCGCAAATTGCGGGAGGAATATAACGCCCTTCCTTTTATTATATCCAACTGTTTTTCAGTTTGAGTGCATTTGCTCGGTTTATGGGACAAACAGCTAGACCATACTGTAGCTGTGGTCGGGTCACGTAAGTGGATAACAGGCGATTCAGGCGGCTAGCGAGTTCTAGTGGAGGTAGATCACTCACGGTTTGAATATAGCTGATGACTTATTGATATTTTAAGAATATTAGTAAAGGAGATACATTACAACCTTGAAGAGCATAGGTGGTAAGATGAAAACAAGTCGATTTGGCATTGTAGAGAAGGATTTTAAATTGTATGTCGTTCAAAAGATGTTGTAGCAGTGATCGACTCATGTAAACATATTACCGTCGTACCTCAAATACGATAGCTGTGACAGAAGTCGATCAGAAAAGACGGGATGCCATGGTATCAGCAGCGATCGGAGGGCCTTTTGAAAAAGAATATGAAGGTTTAAGCCTATTTTGCTAAAGCGAGCTATTCCTTTTGTATATTTCACAGAATCCTATCTGTGACTAAAACTGCTGCCATGTTTCGTTTTTGCGTTGAATTTATCTGTCGTGAGTGAGCCTTTGTTTATTGTCATAGTACTCCGTTTTGTCAAAAAGTCTGGCGCATTGTAGATATCGTGCTCAGCCTTACGGCGTTCTTTACGATGTCGGTTTACAATCCTACAAATACTGATGGTCAATATAATGCCAACCGCATGCTCTTCTACGAGCCATATAGCAAGGCTCTTGCAAAAGAATATTTAGAAGGAGCGGAAAAAGTTGGGCCGGATACCTGTTGGAGAGACGATTCCACAGACTATGTTTAACATGGACTTCTTATGTAACGATTTACTATTTTATCAAATTACTTTGAGCACCTGAATGCAGCTCTTTTTACATTCAAATTCTTTTATATTCTGCTTTTTATTCAAAGAATGCTCCACTGATATGCATTTTAACTTTGTTCTCTATGATGCGTCGTCCTAAGCAACTTCTTTGATGCTGCTGTATATGGATGTGTTTTAACAAGTCTACTCAATAGGTCTATATTGGTCAACATAATGACAAATCCTTCCCTTACCCGTTGTATTTTATTGTCATTAAACTGGCTTGGTACCTTGGCGGAATTATGATGATGTCTGCCAAAGCCGCTGCCAATATTGTATGTTATTCTTAGCGCATACGTTTATTATATATATGTGCGTAATTGAAGAAATTGTTCTTACCAACGAGTTTATCCTTCAGTACATACAGGTGATGTTTTGCAGTTTTTTGTCCCGTCTCATTCATGGTTCTTTTTGAGGGGGGCGTCCATCAACTTCAATTTCTTAAAAGTGCACCAATTAACGAACCTATTAACAGTCTTATTGTCAAGAACATTAGTGAATTTTAAGACATCACTGAATATTACATTTCATGACACACTCTTGGGCTTATACAACTCACTGTTGTAGACATCAGACGGGAAAAGGGGGGGGGGTTATATTGTACCAGAAAATTATACAAGCTGTACCTGGTTGACTGGATAAACGACATCACCTGCAGTGGCCATGTCTGTCTATGCCTTTCATTATCTCAGTTTGGGTTTCGTTTCATAGCAGCAGTCTAAATGATTCACTTTCTACAATGACGTAGAAAGGGACGACATAAAGGACAACATAAGACTGAGTTTCATAAAAATCCCAGTTGACAGAATTCAACAGATTTCAGTCAAAAAACTTTATTTGAAAGAATACTGCGACAAGAAAAAAGTATTGACGATCTTGAAGGAAGCTATAACTGGGACAGAAAGTAGACAGAAGCTACAGAAAGGGATAAACTATCTATAAAACCTTTGAATACCGTCAAATAAAAAAGTGCTACTATAAATTCAAATGCAAACATTTTGCTCAAACAAGCTTCCATGATTTATAACTGATATTCTAACACAAGTGTTGCTATTTGTTTTTGGTAAAAAGCATCATTGGGTCCTTATGAAGTCGACAGCCATATCTGCTTAAACAGGCAGCGGTAACTTTTTGAAAGGATCAATCGGTCTTTTGTTATAACCAACCTTAGCCATCCATTCTTAAGATTCCGACAGGTTTGACTGTACCGCAGAAGCAACAGCAGACTGTAGGTCTAATCACACTTGAAGATAAATTTTTTCCGCCGGTTAAGAGCGCGTTCGTTAGCTTGTCAAACGTTACTGGAAAACTCAAGGGCAAGAAAAAAGTGCCATTTAAATCAAACATACAAATTGCTCCACTTGCATAGAATATTCATGAGACCGTTTTTCAGAGACCATCGTTATCTCACCCCCATAAAACTCCATAAAACTCCAAAACTCCGTTTGTCCAGCCTTAGACCAGACGTAACCATCCCCGCACCCTCTCTGCTTTGTTTCCTCCTTTTCTAGCTCCATTTCATCCAAACATAACAGCATGTGTTCAAGGAACTGGATTGTAATTCGAAGCAATCACCATAAAAGGCATTGAGAAGTTGCAGAAAGATGTCATTGATGCTTGTTGTACCTCCCTGTTCGCTTTTTAAAGGACTACTTTCCAGTCAAATTTACGAACCCTACTCTTTCAAGGTGTCTCAACTCTCCGATTGAAATGATACCTTGATTTCTTAGTGGCACTGACTGCGATTGAGCCTTTCCTCGATTGCTGCTATATTTAAACAATAACCTTGTTTGTATTTATGGAAATAGGGTATTGAAGAGGGTAGAGCTGCTTTGCCCCTACCAAGAAAATACCAAGCTATACTGTGACGTTTTCACAGGCTTTTCCTCAAAACCACGCCCCTTTTTATTATTACCCTATAAACCATCTATCTGGTTTGTTTGTAACATTCGAACACCAGCAAAGAAAACAAAAGGAAAATCACTTCTCCATTGGCCCGAAAGGAAGGAGAGGGTACAAAGGATAAAAGGGGAAAGTGCAAAAATGATTGGATGACATCGTGAGAACTTTGGATTTCAATCGGCGATATAAAATTTCTTTGACAAACATACCTTTAAAGGCAACGCACATGTTCGATGTTTGCTCCTTTGAACCGCAGAAATTGAAAAAAGACTGTTGAAATTTTTTCTTTTTTTTTTTTTTTTACCATGTCATGTGTGCAAAAAAGATATGATTAGATCTTCCTTTTTCTCTTTTTCTTATTTTAATTAAAAAAGGACTTTTTTCCCAAACATTCAAGCAAAATCCGCTTCTTTCCTATTTATAAGACATAATTGATACATATACTGATTATATATTTCTGATTATATTCGCGCGCTTGCTTCGTTTCATTAAACCTTATACCGCCTCGCCCACTGATGGTTTGTGCTACAAATACGACTTCACAGAATATCGTAAAATTAGACTCAATGGCACCTCATAAAACTGCAGAAATTTACATCAAGCAAGAGCAGCCACAAGAGCAAGCGGATTTTGATATGGCTATGGAAGATGACGAGGATTCAGAAGAAGACTCTTCACAAGACGAGACTGCCCACCATAGTCACTACTCTCACAGCAGCAACAGTGCAAACAGCATTACCACCTCCGTCATAAGAAGCGAAAATTACGCTCATAATGATTCTGGAAATCGTCCGCCCTTGTCGCAACCGCTTTTTTTAAATTTTACTTCTGATCTTTCACCTCAGAAATTGAACAAGAAGAAGACGAAATCCAAAAAACAGACAGCTTACCGAGTCAACGGTGTCAATATTTTGAACAGAAATGAGCTGGATAGTAAGACTGCCATTGAAAGAATCCAACGTCGACGAGAAAATCACAATCACGTTGAACGTCGTCGTCGAGATAACATTAACAACACCATTTTTGAACTATCGACTGTTGTTCCTAATGCCATTAAACCTGGCCAAAAGCCCAACAAGGGCAATATCCTAAAATTGTCACTCGATTATATCAGAGTAAGTCATCTGTTATCTCGCTTTGCCCTTCTTCTTCTACTAACGGTCGGAATTGCTTAACAAAAATGTTAGGAATTGAAGACTGAAAACGAAGCGTTGAAGGAGCGTCTGAACAAATTGTTATCTCCACCTTCTGCTGCCTCCTCGTCACCGGCTATTAACGTAGAAACAGCCACTGCTAAACATTCTGTCCAAATGTCGGTGGATGAACCCTGTAATAATACGAATGGAGCTAGTAACAATAGCACGAATAGCAATCATCATCAGATTCATCCTCCTCTTCAATACCAACAATACCAGAATAACCCTACCAGTAGCAATTTCCTTCAGCAATCTCCGTCAGCACCTAACTCTCCACACCGCTACGGGCTCAATAGCCACACCACCACCTTCCACATACAACCTCAGCATGCACAACAACAACCCCAGCCTCAACAACAACAACAAACTATATCGATGTCAAACTCACCAGTATTTACCAGTTCAAATAGTGGCGGCAATAATACCATGCATCATCAAGCATTGCCGCCTCCATCCTTGTCACTGCCTCCGCCACCTACAATGCCTGCGCCTTATACACATCAACAAATTCAGCATATCTTCTCCAATATGTCTGTATCCTCTCCTTCCCCAACCAATTCCACTGTTAATTCTTCTGTAGTCACCTCGTCTCCTTCGATATCGCCATTGTCAACTTCCGCCGCAGCAAGAAATACAACAACAACCGCAACAACGATAGCAGCTCCAGCCTCAGTACCAGTGCCAGCAACAGCAGCAACAGCAACAGCAACTGTGACAGCAAACCAACAAAGCGGTTATCCTCCATTCTTCCCACCTTATCAAACTACTGCTTCCGCTACAGGTGCTGCGAATTCTATATCCACTCCATCTACATTCCACCGTATACCACAACCACCTACATTATATAATCACAATATAGAGAACAGTACGAACAACAATACTAACACCAGTAACCTAAGGCCTCTATTACCCGCTACAGACAAATCCTCATCTACTGCACCATTTATTTTACCCTCATTAAGGATGAGCGGGTACGAGAAAATTTATGGTAATGTCTGTCGATATTAAACGAACAATACTTTGGGGAGGGGGCGTTTCTTTCTTTTTTGTTTATTCTTTCTTTACTTCTGTCTATCACTTTATTATTATTTTTGCTCTTCAGTATGTTCTTTTCTTTAGAAATGTTCTCAATATTGTACATTATGTAAATACAAATATAGAATAAAATTTCATTCGTTTACTTCGTAGAAGAGGAAAAGGAAAGGAAAGAAAAGATTTGCCTTGATAATATCTACTCTTATATCAAATATTGTATACATAATTCAGTGGGAAGGGTGGGCAGCTTTCTTCTCTATTTCTTGTGTTTGGTCATCAAGAGATTTCGCTTTGTATGTCTTCTTTCTTTATCCATACTACTACTGCTGCCACCATTGCTTTTGACACCGCTAGCAGTTGTAGCGATTATATGCTCGTCATTATGGTTGAGTTCATATGGGTCTGTTAACGTGATCATCATGGGTGTGCTTTGAGAGCCGGTTATTATACATGGAGTTCTTGTACCTATGACATTGCCAGAGGGAGTGAAAGAAAACTCTGCCACCCCTTCCTTGAGGTGCTGTAGAGAAGAGGAGCGTTGAGACAGTTGTGGGCCCTTCCTCCTTCTCCCTTTGTTTGTCAAGTATTGCTGTTGTTGCTGCTTGTCTTCGTCAACAACATCATCATCAATGCAGTTCTGGCTCATGAATGTATGAAGTTGGTGCTCAGAGAGATGCTGGTTTGATATACCAAATAAGGAATTCGAACGAATCTCTAAAGCAGGTCTACCTTTGTTCTGTTTTTGCGATAAAGGTGCCTTCTTCATCCGTTCCAATCGAAGTAAACGTAACCGATATAACATCTGGTCGATCAATAATTCTATTTGTAAATGGTTCTTTATAATGGACATCTCTGCCAGCGTGTTTGATATAATTTACAGTTATCATACTGCTAAGTATACCCAAATGATAATAACCTTATTACAATTTTTTTGGTGCGAATTCAATACTCACTCGACCATGTAGCTCTTTCTCCTCGCTGTATACATTCCAAAACATATTCGGGTGTTGGATTGGTTAGGACCTTTAAGAAATCCATATACCTTATTTCTGGTATAATCGTTATATCGCCATAATACTTTTGTGAGATAATGGATTGAATTTTGTTGAATAAGGAAGGCAACACACCAATCTCCGTAAGCTTTTGTTTGTTTGTTTGTTTTTTATATTATATATGCTTGGTCAAAAAAAAAAAAAAACCGATAAAGGATGGTAGATATTGCCAAGCGATAAGAAAACTTACTTGAGTACAACGATGTTGTAATTCAGTTCTTGCTAAACGCATACAAAAGCTGGCTACTTGCCTCCATTTAGTAGGTGCAGGGGCCTTTTGTAGAAATGGAATAACGTGTGGGTTAACTTGACATACAATAAAGTGGTTCACATTGAATAGTTCTGCTAGTCTATTCATTGGTAAATCACTGAAAAACTAAAGGTCAGTATATTGCCATGCATTGCCAGCAATAGCCATGCAACGGGATGTTGTTTTCGAGTCACTTACTTCTCCACAGAGCCATCAATGTAAAGTTGTTCTGTATCAAGTAGTAATTACAAAAAAAAAAAACTTGATTAACTATATGATTTTGATTGATAGCACAAAAACCATTTTACCTGTAGAGTTCCATGGTATTATTTTGCCAGTTTTGTCTTTTGCAAATAAAGGGCTGGAGCCGTAAAATATTGGAACCGCACATGATGCCGCTCTAATGTATACAGACAATCTAGGTAAATTGCCATGTACAAAATGTTGACTACCAAAATTTTGAAACCTACACTGCAGACCAGATTAACTATGACGTGCGAGAATAATTAAGCTATCAGTAAAACAAATTCACTGTATTTGAATGTATACAACTTTCTTACCACGTCAGGCGCTGTTAAATAATTTAATAGACGAGGCATGTCATATAAGGTTGACGAACTAACAGTTATGTTTAACACAAAGCGCGTCCGATAAAATGCTTCCTACAAAAATTAAACCTCTCATCAGTCATTAGTAGAAGCTTTGCAACATTGCAGTCTAAATTATGTACCTGAAATGTAATATCCCCTAAATTAGATCGGATAGCTTCTCGAAAAACCTCAATGTCAAATAACTGGCCACTCATCAAAAGCCTCTGTAATCGCAATAATGGTGTATCCGGCTGATCATTTCTCTCAAATACATCCTACGTACAATGTTGTCTATTAATGTAACCAGTAGGGGCTATCTAAATGGTACGTCGCGCCAAAACTATTTGCAACTTACCAAACGCACAATAGACGGATCAAAAGGTAGCTCATCTCCTGTTTTTGTGCATATAAGAGAAGCCATAATGCTTCCACTTGAAGCACCTGATATGATTCTTGGTAACAATTTCGCGTCAAATAAGCTTTTAATCACACCAAGATGGTTCAGTCCTAATGTTCCGCCACCACTTAGGAGCAGCGCTGTTCTACCAAAGCTTTGTCTAATATTCATAAAGAACTCATATTTATCGTTCAAATCTAAGCCTCTACTTGCATTACTGCCATTTTGCGCAGAACACTCTTCTGCATCTCCCTCTGTTTTCTGTTCTTCATCCTCACATATCCAATTAAGTTGTCTCACAACTTCGTCAATGTACTCTGAAATTAACTTCTTCGTTCCAACGCGTGAATGCGAATATAGCTAAAGAGGAAGAGAGAGAGAATGAAAAAAAGTCAGTGATTAGAAGACGATTATGATATGCTGGACAAAAAAAAAAAAAAAAAAAAAAAAAAAAAAAAAAAAAACTTATAATAGGGGACAGGTAAACAGACCTTGGGATTACCCATATCGCCAAGGTTTCTTGCTAGGCTTGTTCTAAGAAAAAATATCATGGCTGATTGACCTTTGTTTGACCTTCGTATCTCCCTCATTTGATCCAGTCTCGTCTTGATGAGTTCCCAGTCGTAGTCTTTCGATTTCATGTTTTCTCTCCATGCGTAAGAACCTAGGTATTGTGAAACGTACTTGTTAAAATGTGAAGAAAAAAAAAAATAGCATGTAGGTGCTGCTGATCTTTTAGCCAGTTCAAGATTAAATTTTCTATCATTTACCATCCATCTCATCCAGCATCGAAGCTATTTTGAGCCATTCTTCATATGATGTTGCTGATTTCAGCTGTTCTTCGTAATATGCTATTGTCTTTTTAGTATTCGACGACAACGGAGTACTTGCTAGGAGCAAAAGCTTTTTACACAGCTCCTGTAAATTGAAAAAGAATCCATAATAATACTATTATTAGTCATGTATAGATATATATATGTATCAGCCAACACAAAGGACGACTATAATCGATGTGGATGTCTGTTCGTTTATTTGGTCTTTCGATGAAACATACTGACGAAAGCTCCATTTTGGTGGCTGAACTGATTGTGTTCATGGCAAACTTGTCTATCTATATGCTGTCTGTAGCAAAGACTACGATTTAGAACTGCTTGCTTTATTTATCGATAACAATCGTGCAGTACTTTATATGTATGAGAGGAGAGAAAAAAAAAGAGCAAGATAAGTAACGAGCAAAGTAAGATAAGGAGAAAAGAAAAGAAAAGAAAAGGTATTTGAGAATATTATGCTTTGTGTATATCGATTTGATTTTTCACGTGTTAATAGTACAGAGGCTCTAGATTAAAGGGTACGGTAAGTTTATATTACATAATTGTTGAAATGACATTTTTTTCCTAAATAGTGGCAATCACTTCTTCCATTCGAAGTTCTTCACTTTGTGCGCTTGATGCTGCGTCATCAGTCTTTTCAGCGTACTGTTCTTCTGACTCTGCCGACTTTGCAGTCGCTGCTTCTGGGATGGATGCTACTTCAATGCTGTCGCTGACTGGTGTTTCTTGAGCATCTTGATAGTTGCCTGCAGTTTGTTGCTCCTGTTGCGCTTTTAAGGCTGCTTCTTCAGCTAGATCCTTTAAGCGTTGCTCTTTCGAAATGCCTGACAAATACTTCCATTTGGGTATATTTGTACATACTTTCTTCATGTTATCGGCGGCTGGTGTATACCAAGTGTCTTCGATTACGTATTTTCTTGAATAACGTAGACAAATCTCAGTTCTGAAGTTTTCGTACAGTTCCTTGTTATGTACACGCTAAGTCCCACGTAGTTTAGAGAAAAGTTAGTATAACCAGAATCCAAAGAAAAAAAATTTGTTTTTTTCCATGAAATCCTAAATGTAATACCTCTCTCGTACGATCATGGTTTGCATATTTATGAGACTGATGAATCAAGAAGTCATTGGGCAGAACCCAATAATCTATACCTGAAATGAATATCTCATAAAGACAAGCTGCCTTATTTGCGCCGTAACCAATAAATCTCTCGTCGCACCAAGGTGTGTTATCTTTCTTATAAATGATGTAAGGCTCGTACGAATACTCATATTCTGTTACAGGATATATCTCATCCGCCTCATACCAACGAGTATAATTAGTAGCGCCGTGACCCGCTGTCCAAGAGCTATGAAAGCTATCCAACTTGCCTTGGCTTGTCACTTGTTCTATCACCTCAGATTTTTTTGTAGGAAAAGTGCGCCAGTCCATACCATCTTTCTGATTGATGTATTCAAAAGCAGGTACTACAAGTGCTGTTTTACCAGAAGCTAACATATCGAAAATATTCTTATTTGAGAAAATTGTCTTTCTGAAATTTGTACAAAGATGGAAATCAACATCCAGCATCATCAAATAGTCGGTCCGAGTGAAAAGTTTGGCAATATTACGCCACATATTAAATTGTCGATCGAATTTATCAATGATGAGGTGAACATCGACATATTTTTGCATATCGGGATTGGTGCTGTAGATTTTGACGAGCTCTCTAATAGTGGCTAACTTTTCATCATCATCTAATACGTGAATAGCAGCTGAAATAGGACCTGGTAACATGAAAAGAATTAAAAGAAAGCATTAGTATAGGACGTAATAATAGAAGGGATTTACAATGACAAGGTGTTCTAGACCCTTTTTACCTTGGTAGTTTGTCGCCAACCTGCTTAAAACTTGGAAACGGTTGCGAGTTACCAAAGTAGCCAATGTAATATCTTGAGACGTTGTGATATGGGAGGCTTTGAAGTAATACGGTGTTACATTGTCCAACCCCATACCACTGGAGAATAATTTCGATTTGAGTAACTGCTCGGATATTTTGTGTGTAGCATCACTGCCTGTGATATAAAAGATAATGAAAGAAAAAAAAAAAAAGTTGTTAATGACCAAAAAGAGGCGATTTTCATCCGGAAAGAGCACGTGTATGACGGTATTTTACCTTCAACACTTGGCCAAATAACATGCTTGGTACTTGCTTCTTCTTCATTATCCGTCTCATAATCTACCACTACGGTTTCTTCTTTTTTTCTGTTTGCTGGTGTTTTTTTAGTTAATGCTTCAGGTACGAGAAAAGGTTGCTGCTCGTCTTCTATGACCGCAGCTATAACTTGTGGTTGTTGCTCCTGTTGCATTTTGATTCTGTTCCTCGTCGCTAGTGAGGATGATGAGTAAGAGGGTGATGTATTTGCATAATGTGATGAAAAATAATGGTTTGTCACAAAGAATAGTGATAACATGACGTAAGTCACTAGGGCGTATTTCGCCAGTCGAGAGGCCTTGAATTTTGATTCTAAGCGCATATTCTTTTACGTTGCTAGTTGGTAAGGTTCTTATGCCGTCGTGAGTATGCAGATAAATATATAATCTAAGCTTCACGGTTACGATATAATGAAATGTGTGTTTTAAGGGAGAAAAGGCTGTAAACAGGGTGGACCGAAAATCTTCAGCGTACAGGTGCCTTATTCGATGTTGAAAGTAAAGTAAGAGAGTGCAACTTGATTGCTGCTGCCTTTAAGTTACTATAAAGAAGGAAGGACGGAAAAGGACAGAGAACAGTCCAAATTTGACAAAGAAAGTGGAATGGGAAGAAAAAGGTGTAAAGAGGAGGGAGGGATGAGGAGAATTGGTCGATCTCTATCTATTAACAAGCTCTAGTTACACCTTAATTTAATTCTTTTCAAATCCAAAGGCTAATTATATCATCATTCAAACACCTTTAGGCTTGTACAACAAACATTAGCAAAGCCATATTTCATTAATATGCATCTAAAACGTGCTGTTTTCACTCAATACCACTCTTACTAGTTACAGATTGAAATATGCCGGAAAAAACCACTGTTCTTTTTTATTCCTTTTTTTTTTTTTTTTTTTTTTTTTTTTTTATAGAACGTCTATCATTCATTTTTTGCATAGTGACCGTATACTAAATCATAACCTTCAAATTCGTACCAAATGCGATTGGTTCTCTTATAACCGTTGACAGTGCTCATAGAGCGTATCATATGTCGATGGCTATCGTGTTCTTTGTGATGTGAAGTAAAGTAAGTGACAGTGAATGAAGTAGGATCAAAGATATCCAGAACTTGACTGATTAGATCTTCAATAGGGCTGTTATCCTCGTCGTCTGCTGATGCTGCTTTACCACCATGCGATTTTTCAACGGGTATATTACTTTCAAAAGAAGCGTACGAGCATTCAGGTTCAGGTGTAACATGGAATGTAAAATAACGATCTTCCCAAAGACCATTACTGGAATAGCCACAGGGTTCAAAAAGGTAAGAATCAAGAGTTGCGCTGGGATATAGTTTATCAATGCCAGTTTGCTGATCTACCCATTTTCCACCAGAAATGCCGCTCGCTGTTTTCGAAGCGTCATGATAGAACTTCTTCATCTTCTCAGGATTGAGACCTGTCATATGAATTTCAACTGTTTGGTCGGGATGAGAGTGTCCAGAATTGCCAAAAGGTGAAGGATCTTCAGAGTCAGAGTCGGATGCCGCAGGTGTAGAGGCACCGCTGGCAATCTCATGTTCCTGCATAACGCCGCGCAGTCGAGGTTGAACGCCGCGGTTTTCAAAGGAAAGTGGACTATCATGATTGGTATTATTATTGTTGTTGGTAGTTATTGTGTGGTTACTGTTGATATGGTGTAAAACATCATCTGATGGCTTTGTCATGTATAAATGCCATTGATCCTGACGTTCTTTACCAACAATGTATGAGGAGCCATCATCTAATAAAGTGCGAAACTATCATTAGCAAAAATTTGCAAACCTCTTCTCGCTCACCATCTCTATTTTCTCTCTATCTACTTCTCCCCTTTGCAAGACATTACTGCAACTTACCAAAAAACTGATCTAAAAATTTGACCTCATCATCCCAAGAACGATGAGGACCAATTTGGCGTTCAGGGAACATGAAGGCTTTTCTAGAATAAAAGACTCTCCAAACCTTTTCATATCCAAGGTAACTCTTAGCGATTTCCAAAAGTCGGGACACCGCCAGAAGAAGGGTGGTGGTACCACACGTTTTCAAAATCAACTTATGCGGATACACAAACATCGAAGACTCACTGAAAAAAAAGTGGAGATTAGATCTTGTGCCCTTTACTAGAACCGAAAAAAGATAACTAAAGCCACACCAGCAAGACACGTCTCTTTTGCCTTTCCATATACTCTACCTCAATAAATAAGCATCTACATCCTTGTTACTAATGACATTTAAAACAGTACATTTAACCAACGCCAACATTTTATCCCAAACAGGCTTTGGCACGACACGGAGACCGAATCTATTATCCTTCCTCCTGCTTCCATTCTCTAATGCTGCTTCTTTATCAGAATCATCATCTTCGAGGTTTTGATGATCTTTGATACGGTCAGGCGAGGGTGAAAACCAAATTTCTAGTAATTTCTCGGGTCCTTCAAAAGCACCTTCATAGGCTGAATAGTTTTCACCTGGTGTGGTGACTATTGGTGATGCCGCTGCTGCTGTGATAATGTCAGATTGTTGAGTTGAATGTACCATAAATATTATACGAAAATGCTATACTATCTTCCTCTTATGTGGTAGTAAGTGGCTAAGAGAGTGTAATGTCTAATAAATTGCTGTTGTTACGGAGGGCGAAAGCGTATCTGTACCGCTTTGAGTACAAGAAATTTGAAAGATCTTTGATAAACGGCTTCTAAAGGGATGATGGGCTAAATCACTGTGACGTTTTTATGACTATTGAACGACCCAGCTAGATTTTTGTCTTCTTTTTCTAATAAAAGCTTCTTTTTTTTTAACAAAAGAAAAGGCGCTTTACGAGATGAACAGTGAAAAAAAAGACGAAGAAGTAAAAAGGAAAAAGAAAGAAGAAGAGAGGGATGCTGGAGGCAAGTACCTGAGTTGATGGCTTTTTTTTTCTTTGTGTCAAAAAGAAATTTTTTTCTTTTAAGCTGGTTTCAAGAGGTTTTAAAAACCCTTATGATTGGATAGTATCTCTTTTTGCCTTAAATGTGACTTTTTTATGGAGTTAGTCCATAGCACAAAGAAGTCGATTTGCAGCAAAAGCCCCGAAAGTTTCACTTGGAGAACAAACAAGCTACTACAATCTACTCTACAAAAATAATATAAGTCGCTTGCCAGATCGAATCAATCAATGTTTTGATCGACAGTGAACTGTTATTGTTTTGGTCGCTTCAACTTTGTGCTATTAAATAACCTTAAATTTTTTTCACAGGAAGTTAACTTATACCTAGAACGGTAATATGGCCATTTCAGGTAATGAACCCTGAAAACAGTTTTTGGCTTTAACAAGAGAACTTTTTCCCTTAATATAATCACCGCTCTTCGTCTGCTGGCAGCATTTCGTTGCTTGGGAAATTAGCTGCTGCTACCCTACATAACGACAAATAAGAAGTTAGCTAAAAGGATTTTGCAGAAACAAAAGGCTGGAGTATATTCTAAGAAGACAAATCTGTTATACTTTTAAAAGGCATATTCTCTGCTGTAAACAGCCTTTCTTAGACTTGGGACTCTATAATCTGTCAATATCTCCTGATCTTTTTTAATTGACTTTGAGACAATTGCCGTGGAGGAATTTGCGGCAATTTCATCCTTATTTAGAACACAATCCCCTCTCGTATATCATTATACAATATTAGCATATCTCCAAAGTACAGCATTTGAAGTGTCACGAAACCGCCCAAGATTGTGCTACCACCTTCTAAAATGTAAAAAAGGCTGAGAAAAATCAACACTTACTCACGCAATCAAACAAAACACTTGTCATGGAAATCTTACAGATGAAATAGAGCCAAAGATTTTAATGGATCGTGATACATTGTAAATTCTTTGTCTACAAGGAATATATAGGTTTGAAGGAATGCCTCTCTAAGTGTGTGAGACAAATTTCTAGCAAGTACGTACAGGATGTAACAGATATGTTATCAAATAGATATAAATGTATACAATAATGAATATATAAAATGTAAAAGTCGAGGAGTGGATCAACGTTTAACGTCTTGGCTTTCTCCTCAGATATACTAAAGTGATGAACACAATGACATTGAAGACAGCGTAGGCGATCAAGATACCAAAGTTACGCCATTTGTTAGCTGCATTCCAACCGATAGTTGTTTCATAAAACTCAGGCCCAGATTTAAAGGTACAGTAACCACATTGTTCAGGCTGCATAGCATCAGGATTAGCAATATAGCCTGTAGCTCCGGAAGCAAAGAAATTAGCAGTGTATTCGCCACAAGTTTGGCCTGGGGGAGGAGTGAACCTTAACAGATCTTGATCCGTACAAGTAATCTTCAGATGTGCTAATTCATTGACTGTCAAGCCTTCGATATAATAGTGGAAAGGATCCAGCCAGTACATCCAAGAACTCCAGAACTTGGGCATAGCCTTAGGGGACTGCATAAGACCACAGAAAAGAATAAGTACTGACAAGAAAGTAGGATTTAATAAAGCGGCAGTTGTTGGTGATTCTGAAATAGCAGCAAGGACGAAACCTATTGAAACAGACCAGAAAACAAGAACAACGAAGGCGATGTAAAAGTAACCACAGGCTTCAGAAGTGTTACGCATACCAGTCGTCCAGTAGAAGCCAAACATAAAGAAAGCAGCAAAGAAAATAATATAAGGCAGCTCTACTAGAATAGCAGATATTGCCCAGGGAAGCCAACTATAATAACGTGAGGCATATTCACGACGGAAATAAGTACGTTCTGTAATAAACTTAGGTTGCGCCAAGAAAATTAAGGTAAAGGCCATAATAAAAGTACCGAACAGAGCAAAAACCTTGTATTGCATGTCAGTAGAAGAGGAACCCAATTTCCAAAATGTGAACCCAGTGAGCAAAGCGTTGAACATGATATTGATGGAACGACCCACATTGTAATCAACGGACCGCCAGTAAGCAAGTGACATACGACTAAATACAAGTTTGAATTGAGTAACATACGGAGTGGCATATGTTTTGGCCTCGCGTGTAGGATTTTTGTCAGCAGTCCTAGCAATTTCATCAAGTTCGTTTTGAAGCGCTTTGGCTTCTTTCGATGCTGCCCAAATTTCAGCCCAGTCTTGAGTAACTTTACCAGCGGTACCAGCACCCACAACTTCAAGAATATATTCAGCAGGATTGGCATCAGGAGAGCATGTAGGACCACCATTGGATTCGAAATACTCAATCATGGTGCGCGAATCCTTACCAATTTCACCATGGTAAGCAGTGCGGCCACCTCTTACAAGTAACAGTAAATGATCAAAATGTTCAAACAAAACTGCAGAAGGCTGATGAATGGTACAGAGAACTGGCCAGCCTGCATCGGCCAGCTTACGAATGAAACGAATAATGTTGTAAGAGCTTTGAGCATCGAGACCAGATGTAGGTTCATCCAAAAACAATAATTGAGGCTTGCCGACCAGTTCCATACCAATCGTGAGACGCTTGCGTTCTTCGATAGAGATACCAAAACCACTTTCGACTGAACCAATCTGGGCATCAGCAATATCTTCCATTTCTAGTAATTGAATGATCTGTTCAACATAATTGTTCTTTTCTTCAATAGGTACATCAGCAGGCTGGCGAAGCTGAGCAGAGAAACAAAGAGCTTCACGCACAGTGACAGCTGGTTGGTGAATATCCATTTGTTCGCAATAGCCGGTAATACGCTCAAAATCATTCATAAGCGCTTCTCCATTCAAGAAAATCTCACCTTCCACCTTACCGATCGTCTTTCTACGAGCCAAAACATCCAGAAGAGTCGTTTTACCGGCACCAGATGAGCCCATTAACGCAGTCAAATGGCCAGGTCTAACAATACCGCCGATATCATTCAACAATTGAATGGAGCCGCCCTTGATAGGTACTGTGTAGTTCACATGTTGCCAACTGAAAGTAGTACCGGTCGAAATCTTACCCATGTTCTCGGTGATTTCATTTTGCTTACGACGACGTTCATCTTCTTCCTCTATAGTACGTGATTTAGGCGCCTTTCCAGGGAGATAAAGCTTCGTGAGAGTGGATGATTTCTTTAATTTAACATATTCCATCGACAACGCAGTGAGAATGGTGAAAAAAATGAAAAAAGCGACAACAACGACAAAATCTGGCGCCCAAAGGTCTTTCGCATGGTAGGAATAGGCCGTTTCGAGATAAGCTTCGCCACGCACAAAAGGTTCTCCGGGATTTCCTCCTTGCATAGTACAAACCTTATAGTTCCAGTCATCGTATCCAGGACCGAAAGGAATAGCATTACCAGGACCTTCACAACTGTAAATTTGACCATCCATTTCATTAGAAATCAAACCTTTGTAAGTATATGTGATCGGATTGATATAGTAAATCCAAAATAACCAGGGATGCATTTTGTTATAAGGAATGGTATAACCGGTATAAGTCGTAGTAGCCAGAAGAATGATACCAGTGAGTTGAGTGGCAAAGAAGAAACTGGAGGTGATGGAGCCAAAGAAACGAAAGAAGCCTGTCATACACATGGACAAGAAGAATAGGAAAATAAGGGAGGTGAAAAACTTGCCAGCTGTGAGATTTAAGCCCATCATAAAATAAGAGCAAATGCTGTACAACAACACTTGCGCGAGAGTGTAGGGTATATCCAAGATAACTTGAGCGATGTAATAAGCAGAAGGTCTATATAACGCATATTGTTTATGTTTTTCCAGGACAGGTCGACCCATTAAAAAACGAACCAATTCAGATTGTGAGATGAAGGTATTGAACATAGCTGAGAAAAAAATAGCACCAGCACGGGAGAAAGCGCCTTGACCGTCCATTGGTAACGCATAGAAACAAGAAGCTGTAACTAAACCTTGAATAAGCATAGTACCATAACGAGAAATTAAAGACATTACATCCTTTGACATAAGATAATGTTCTCGAATTGTAAGAGCTTTAACTTGTTGAAAAAAGGAAGCAATATAAGGGCTCTTCTTCGGCGCACGCTTTTGATGCTCTTCACGAACTGCGTCTTGGAAAGCTTGAGCTTTGTTTTCAGCACTTATTGTTTGCTTATAATTATCCAGATCTTCCAGCATTAATTTATAAATGTCGGAATTGTAATAAACTTTCTGAAATTCGCATGCATGGGCTGGAGCAGTTTCTTCGAAACCCGGCCTAATTTCACGTTCCAAAGGATTACAGATACCTGTTAAGAAATCAGGTATGGATTTGCGAGGTGGACAATGGAAACCAAGGTTTTCAAAGTATCGTTTAGCTTCAGTAACAGGACCGTAGTAAATGCAGTAACCTTCATCCAGCAAAAGGATTTTGTCGAAAACATTAAAGATACTGTTCGAGGCCTGGTATAAAGTGGCAATAGTGGTAATGTTAAAAATATCAGTCATGATCCTCAAAGATCGAACATAATCGAGAGCAGAGGCTGCATCCAAACCACGAGTGGAACAATCCCAGCAATTAATTGAACTGTTGGTCGTCATTTGTTCGGCAATAGATAAACGTTTACGTTCACCACCAGACAAACCACGGACAAAAGCATTGCCGACCATAGTATCCATCTGCTTAGTCAGTCCAAGCATGTTTCCCAATAAGTAAATAAGGCGGTTGACAAAGTCTTTTTTTGTTTCGTTTGGCAAACGGTTGCCAGGTGTCTTTGTACGTAATGCGAATTGAAGTGTCTGTTTCGTTGTAAGTGTAGGATAATGTTGATCTTCCTCTTCATTATAACATACTTGCCCTCTGTATCGTTCGGCAAAAGTTTTATGATCAATGCCGCCGTACGTTACTTCGCCACCAATGTGTGTATATGAATCTCTCAAGTTTGAGATGACTTTGAGGAAAGAGGAACATCCTGCACCCGGGCGACCTAGTACGAGCAGCATTTCGCCGTCTCTACAGCAGCCGCTGAGATTATCCAATATAACTTTCGTACTGGTTTTTTTCTTTTTCCAAAATGTCAAAAAAGCAGTGACATAACTGAAGAAAGTTGGAATGGTATATGCATCTGCACCAAGACCCTAAATTTTTAAATGCTTCAGTTAGTAATGCCCAAATTGCAGGACAACTTAAGAAAAGTGTCGAAGATACCTCAACTCGCAAATTTGTCCAAGCAACGCCAAGTTTCTTCCTTACACTTAGCCCATTGGCGTCTCTTTCTTCTGTAATGCCGTGCAAAAATTCATCAAGGTTGAATACATCAGCATCAGCTTGACCCTCTTCCATCATGGAAGGTGCTGCATGTTGACTTCTACTCGTCAATTCTCGGCGTAATGATTGATATTCCTGTATAGCATCTATTTATAAGTAAGGTCTGCGCTGTTATTATGATAAAAGATATAATTGGGTTTTTTTCCATCCAATTTATACCTTTCACATTGACTTGATTTGCTTGTGCTTCGCCAAAAGTATCTCTATGGCCGTAATCTCTTAATGCTGTATTTACTGTGGAATTAGTGGAATACGCATCATCATTGAAATTTGGTTGGTTTTGAATGTTTTTATTTTCTGCTCCTAAAGGGACAGAACTATTCTTCGTCTCGTCCATAGAATGGAAAACTATAGTAATGAAGAACTATGGAATAGTCGACTTTATATTCGAAAAGAAAGCGAAGAAGTATTGACAGGAAGTTGCGTTTCTGATTTAAGTGTTTTCCAATTTAACCAGCGAACAAACAAATTTTGTGGAGAGAGAAAATACTAAAAAAAAAAAAAGAAAAATTAACCTTTTCTCATATATCATCTTCATTTGGTTGGCCAGATCGTAGACAGAAAGTAGACACAAATAATGAAGCTTTATCTTTGCTTCAATGGTATTGTCACAGTTTTGCATGCTTCGTGTAAGCAGTTTGTGTTTGCACATTGCCGTATACTATTTTTACTCTTTTTGTACACTTCTCCAGCTTGCAGCATACCTCTCCCGTCTGACTCAAAACAGGGAAACGGCTGAAGGTTCCAGGTAGTGTTTTCTTAATAAATACGGATATCGGGCCGGGCGGGCCGAGATTATCCCATGTTAAAACATTGGTATTTTGAAGACTCAAATAAACTAGGCTATACGCCGATAACGGTAACGATGAACGGGGTGAACATAATATTGTCATCTATAGACTGTTTCTATGAAACAGATTCAAAAAGGTGGTAGTACGCTTTACCATTTTTTGTATTTTTGATGTTGCATTACATGAACGAGACGGTGTTTATACTCAGACGATAGCAATAATTTAAAAGGCGCGGACTTATGCCCATTTGCGATCGCTTACGACAGCACTTTCCTTGGTTTTTTTTTTTGATCTGGAACATTCACTACTGTACTTCCTTATAAAGTAAGAATTGTTTTTTTGACAGATATTCAATGTGGCCGACTGTATCAAATTAAAGCAGGTCATTGCAGTACCATAGTCCCGGAAAAACTATGACCGCATCAATAATTTCAACTGTAAGAACAAAGTAAGACTTTACCATTCTTCCGTAATATGATGTAGTATGTCACTCTGACAATCTGACTATGATTGGAGACGTCATATGGCAAACTATGTAGAGTCTATAGTAACCTATTATACTGAAGTTTGCTGACGCTCAAATGTTCTACTGGATTCACAAGATTGATCGACATAGATTAGTGATTGATTCTGCACAGAGGGTTTTTTATGAATTACTTATTTAAAGTTTGGAAATATCAGTTTTTCCAGCCTTTTTTGATCTAAACAATTACTTTACATTAGCTCTTATTATTCAACATCACCATGTGTCAACCCGGGAAGTAAAGCAGGCTATAACAGCGCAACAGCGTTTGCCGTTGCAGCTAATGATTAACTGATTATTGACTTGAGATTCTTTTGATCAGGTCAACGTCGATGAGATTAAGGTTCGATTTAGTCGTGTTTGGTTATGATTCTTTTCTCACTAATTTTCTCACAAGATAGTACTGTTCTCCTTATGAAGGGTAAAATTAGAGTCAGCTATAAACAGTGAGACAGTTTCACTAAGATATGTTGAAGAGGAAAAGCGCATTCGGATATTCTCGATTCCGACCTATTCTCTACGCGTATCAATGACAGAAAGAGGCGTAAATGGTTTAAGAGTAAAGGAGAAAGTTGGTGTTCTCTGGAGTAACACAAAATGACCAAGAGGATAAATTCAGAACAGAGAATGCTAAATACAACAGTTCTAGGCATATACAGATTGGCTATTACTCATTTTTGATTGATAACTATAGCGCCAATTTCTGTTCTATTGGATCGAAGTACCGCGTTTCTTGGCAGTCAAGGACTATATCGGTTCAAAGCACAAATTCAATGCAAATATTTTTGATATCTGTCTAATAACCACCGTTGACCGTAAGAGTACTGCCAACTTTTAAGGAAATGAGAATCACTTTTCTGAGAACTAGCTTTGGTTTATTCAATAAACCCGTTTAAGTTACAAAATTGTGTTGAATGTGTGTAAAACCAGGTGCATGTTATAGATTCCCAATTGAGAAAGTGACAACGCAACCCATAATCTTTCTCCAACTGTCAAATATACCATAAACAAAAATGATATTCAGGAAGGGTGATACCTTAAGCTTGCTGGAAGATTTCACTGATAACTGGTAGGATTGGTGCTCCCAGTTTGAAAGGTACTTTTATTAAGCAGATATCTTTACTCTTGGGCATTGAGGATTCAAAAAATCCATTGCTGTAAGTAAATTCTTTAGCTGCAGGTGTATTTCGATTGGACGAAAGAGCAGTCTTTCAATAGAAGATAAAGTAATATGACTTCTATTGGGTTATAAAGCAGCTATTTAAAGGAGGTTAAATGCTTTTCAAAAAGTGTATAAAGGCGTTCAGTTTTCTGCATTTCCGCTTTTCTTTTTCTTTACCCAGGAAATCAGCTCAGCACAAATATTGCAGCAGCTTTGATTTCTAAACTGGTTTCCTCTGTTTAGATGGACTAGTAGTCCTATTGTTCAATGATGGCCCTTCTATTCATGTGTAATGCTGGTTGTCACCGCAGATAGCCGAATGGGTACGTATCGGGTCTCGAGGTTGGTAGGTGATGGCTATCGCGCCAATCAGCCCCATGGGCGGCCATATTGTTGTCGCTCCTCGTGGAGGTTGTCTGAGCAACTACTCTCCTAGAGAGTAGGCTAGAACATCAACACCTTTTTTTTTGTATGAATAATGCAAATGAAAGAGAAAAACAAACAATCTACTTATACTGAATTTTGCTGTAAAGACGAAGCAATTGGATTATGTTGTTTTACTTCACGTCGACTCTTTATAATAGTGTACCTGAAGTAAATGGTTGCGTTGACGAAAAGGAGTGACGACTTCTATCAGTGTAGCAGAAAAACCTATCACTAAAGCTCACACAATATTGATCTGAAACGTTATAATTTCCGCTGGTATGTTGATTTTAGTGTGTCTAAAAGCAATACTGGAAAGCGCTAATAACTGTCTATTTCCACTTTATATCATTCTCTATAAAAAATAGACAAATTGCTTTTTGTAGATTGCATTTTACAAGAATAAACACATAAAAAGGATCAAGCATCCATATAATTCGCGAGGACGAGCCATTTGCATTTTACAGAACTATTCTTCAGATGCGTTGATCATTGACCTCTGATTAGCTTCTCTGTATTATCGTTTTCAATAATAGTTTCATGATATTATTGTAGACAAGAATTGGTGATTACTAAATACTCAATTTTCAATTATGCCGTAAAATAAACTGACTGTATTGCTCTCAACTTAAGCCATCGGTATTAGTGATTATCCTGCTGTTATTCGTTGTGCCTCATTGATCTCATCCGCTGTTCCTTCGACAGTATTTTACTTTTGCTTTGTGCATACTGACTGGACCGATTTGCTTTTCTTCTCCATGAATTTTGCCTGTCTGTAATTTCAATTTGAAAACGTGTTAAAATAATGTGTCTTTTATATGTCCTGAGCATATACAATATACAATTTCGTTTTTCACTGAATAATCAACCTCATCAATCGGCTTTTTATCTATGTCTATTGTAAGAGCTTGTACATCTTATACAGGAACCTAATGTTCTGTGCAAGTTTTTTAAATTATAAAAATGAGGTAGCTAAATATCATTGCTATCAATGAGAATGAAACCACAAAAAAATATATGACGGCAGAGATCATTATTTGATAAAATTGGTTAAAATATGATGAAAATGAACACATTCCCAACCCTATACGAAATTGACGTACTATCTTATATAAGTATAATAGTAAGTCCTTCCATTTGACGATGTCATTTCTATGCGGCTAAAGGTATGAATCTTTTTTTTTTTTTTTTTTTTCTTTTCTTTCAATTAGACAGCGATCAATACAGTAGATCTTCTTTTACTCGTATTTTGAAGAGAGACCGAAGACAATAAAAGTAGTTTCACGATCCTATTTTAGGCATCTTATTCTATTTCATTTGCTTCCGCTTTATTACTAAACTTTGGTGTATAGTTATTTTATCATTTATCTTTTTTTCACAATCATTATGACCGCTGAATAAGGCATATACCACAGTTTCTTCACCATTAGGCAATTGATACCAATCACTGTTGTTGTACGTGAATGTGCCCAATTATGGCAACAGGGAAATTTTTTAATGCAAAAAGTTGAGCGGAAAGTCTATAGAAATTCAATCTGAACATGAATAAAGATGCCAAATTTGGGCCATTTCGCCAACACTACTTTTGAGCAAAAGTTGAGAAAATGCAGGTTTCAGCTTGAACCTTTACAAACCTGCAAGCCGTACCTCTTATTTAGTTAGTAGAGTCCTAGCAGTAATTTTCAAAATATGGAAGACTCAAGTAACCTGGCTAAGGGAGAAAAGGTACAGATGAACAGCGAGCCTGTCATCGATCCTTTCCAATCTTAAAGGTTTTCCAACGTGTTCTAATGACTTTTGATTGCCTGTTAATAGTCGTCCGTCAACAGCGACGTAAGAAAGCTTTTGAATACTGCAAAGGAGAGTCTACAGGCTCAAGAGAAGAAATCCGATGTGCTGCAGTCGAAGATTGACAAGTTACAAAAACTTAGCAACGACAGCGATGAGAAATCAGCCTTGTTCGAGAAAGATCTTTCAAGCCTAAAAGACCAGTTGAAAACAGAGCGCGCAAAGGTCGAGCAGTTATCAAACCAACTAATGCATCTGCGTAAGAATAACGACGAAGAGAATTCTTCAGACGTCAATAATCAGCTTGAAAAACTGGAAAGGACTTTAAAATGTGAGCAGGACGCCTCCAAACAGCTCCAACAAAAGCTTGATGAGCTAGAAGCTTCTTATAAAGAACGTGGTACTTCTTTAATGGAAGCCAAAAGTCAGTTAGAATCACTTCAGAAAGAACTCGAAGAATTAGAAGATAAGAATAAGAAGCTGGAAGAGCAATTAAAGGAAAAGAACGTAGCACTTGCTGAAGCAAATGAAAAAACCAGAAAATTAGGTATCGAAATTGATAGCATGAAGTCAAAGATCGATGACTTGCAAAAGCAAGCGACAGAGAAGGAAGTCAGGTTAAAAAAAGCTCAAGAAGAGTCCGAGGAAAGACTTGCCGATATCAAGAAAACATTAGATATTCAGGAGCGGTCCAGTAACAAAACTCTTAAAGAGAAGGCTCAAGAAATTGATCAGCTGAAAAAGGATATTGATCAAGCCAGGACACAATTGAATAGTAAGGAGGAAGACCTCACTAGGTTACAAGAACAGGCAACAAAAGAAAAAACTGATCTTGAAAATCAGCTGAGAGATGAAAAGCAAAAAACTGAACAGATAGGTGAACTAAAAGTCGAGTTAGAGACCGCTAAAAAGACGCTGAAGGATAAGGAAGACGAGTTTTCTCAGATCAAGGAAGAATTAGCTAATGAAGCTGAAAGCTTGAAGAAGCAGATTGCTGAGCTGCAAAAGCAGCATGACGAAGAACGTAAGAAAGGTGACTCTGATATGAAAAGATACGAAAAGGAGATCAAAAATTTGCAGGAACAACTACAACAGAAAGAACAATCACTTGAAAAAGCTAAAATACACGAACAAACTGCAGCAGACTTGAAGAATAAGCTTCACGAACATGAGCAGCTGAAAACTGAGTCACTCGAGAAACTCAAACAAGAAATTGCAGGATTGAATGATAAACTAAGTAATAAAGATAAAGAACTCTCAGAATTGAAGCAAACATCAGACGAAAAAACTGCGAATATCCAAAAGCAATTAGATAACCAAGCTCAACGTCATAAGGATGCTTCAAAGAAGAAAGATGATGAAATAGGGAGCCTACGAAAAGAAATTAGCGATGTGAAGGAGCAGCTTGAAACTAAAAAGAATGATCTAGCAGATGCTGTAAAGGAATGGACTAAGAAAGAAAACATCTTGAATAACCAATTACAGACTGAGCAGCAAGAACACCAAACTGCAATTGATGAGCTGCAAGCAGAAGTAGAAAAACTTAAGCAAAACATTGAAGACCTTGGTATGCAGTTGAGCGAAAAAGATAAAGAGCTTTCAGATGTGAAGAAAGAATCAAAGAAAGAGATTACCAAGTTGAAAAGAGATTTTGACGAACAAAACAAATCCAATAGAGAGGAATTAAAGAAGAGAACCACCGAACTGGAAAGCCTCGAAAAGGAAAAGAAGACCTTACAAGAAGACCTTGAAAAAAAGGAGACAGAATTGAATACATTAAAAAAAGAGTCTGAAGATAAGCTGGCTGAATTAAGAAAAGAGCATGAGGTTGATCTGGGACAAAAAGAAAAACACTTGCAATATAATGAGTCCAAAATTAAAACTCTTGAAAAGGAACTTGAACAATTAAACGTGAAAACAAGAGAAAAAGAAGAAGAACTGAAGAATGTGGGGATTGTATCAAACAAGCAGTTGGCTGAATTGAAAGATGAATTAAAGAGTGCTCAGGACACTTATACTACTGCAGTAACCAATAAGGACTCAGAAATCAATAAATTGAAGGAAGAGTTGAAGGATCTTACCAATAAATTAAAAGAAGCTGCTGATGCTAAATCAGCGTTGGAAAAGGAAATCAACAAGATAAAAAAACGATTAAGTAAAGACAAAGAATCTTATCAAGAACAATTACAAAGCAAAGAGGATGAAATTGGCAAGCTCAAACTTTCTATTGCTGAAGTTGAGGACCGCCTGAACGCCAAGGATAGCGAATTAAAAGACACAAGAGAAAAAGCCGAGAAGGCTCTGGCCGATCATGAACAGCAGCTCAAGGATAAGGAAAACTCTTCAACCAACATTATTAAATCGAAAGATACAGAATTGACTAAGCTCAAGCAAGACCTCGAAAACCTTGAAAAACAATTCAAACTTAAGGAAGCCAATTTCTTTAAAGATCAAGATAAACTGAAGAAAGATTTAGCAGAACTAAAGCAACGTTCAGTGAGCAGAGAAGAAGGCATCAAAGAAGAGTTAGAAAAGAAGACATCAGAAATTGAACATCATCAGAAAAATATTATGGGTTTAGAAGACGAACTTAGTAAGAAGACAAAGGAATTGGAAGATGCTAAACAAGTATTGGAAGACCTAAAAAATTCTAATGATCAATTAAGCGAGAAGGAAAAAGAATTCCTTGCCATTAGAGACGAAGCTGAAAAGGCGAAGGATGAGCTCAACGCCAAGAGAGATGAATTAAAGCAATTGGAAGACAGCTTAGCTAAACACCAGGAAGAATTAAAAGAGTTACAAGCCCTGTTCCCCTCTTTGAAGCGTGATTCAGATGAGCTCAAAACTACCAAAGAAGCATTAACAGAAAAAAAGAAAGAATGCGAAACTCGTGGTAAAAACTTAACAAATACGGAGAAGTCTAAAAGCGATCTGGAATCTCGACTGGAAACTGCGAACCAAGAATTGGAGAAGCTCAGGGAGGAAATTGAACAACGTAATAAAGAACTGGCTGATAATTCAGATGCACTTCTTAAACAAAAGAAAGAGCAAGAACAGTACGTCGAGGAAGTTCAAGAACATAAGATGCGATCTGAAGAAGCCTTGAAAAAGGAACAGAAGCAGGCGAACGAACTTCGCCAGCAACTGGAAGCTTTGAACGACAAGTTGAGAACACAAACTATAGAATTCGACAAACTTCAGGAACAACTTAAAGATCTTACTTCATTACAGTCACAGCTATCTGAAATGCAAGAACTTGCCGATCAACAGAGGACAAAGATTGCTGAATACGAGGAAGTACTAGGAGATATAAAAGCAAAAGCTGCCGAAGAAAGAGATACACGACTTGATCTTGAAGAAAAGCTTCAGACTCTCGAACAGCTCGAGGAGAAGCTCAGTGATACCAAGAAGAAGTTGGACGATCTTACTCAAGATCACGAACAACTTCAACAAAAACTTGAAGCGGCTGAAAAGAATAAAACTGAAATAGTTACTAATCATGAACAAGAAATTGCAACCTTAACAGATAATCATTCAAAGGAAGTAGACGATCTTAAAGCCAGGTTGGCGGAAGAAAGCGCTGCTAATGAAAAGGCTCAAACTACACATGCCGACAAGTCAAATAAATTGATAACTCGTATCACGGAATTAGAGGACTTATTGAAGAAGAGCAATGAAGAGTTAAGCAAACTGAAGACTAATAATGATGCTACAACTGATGAAGCATCCAGTTCCCGTGAAACTCAAGAGAATAACAGTGTTAACAACGGTGATAGTAACGAACAACACAAAAAAATCGAGGAACTTCAAGCAGAATTGGCCAAACGTGATAAAGAGGCCAAGAAACTCAGAGGTCAAGTGCAGTTTTTCCAAGACCAAAACTCTGTTCTCAAAAAGTCTGAGAAGAAGCTAAAGCAAAAAGAGAAGGAGCTAGAAGAATACCGTCAAAAAGTCGCTGTACTGGAAGATAACAGTGAGAATAAGAACAATATTAATGATACCAACAAGACGAGATCTGTAAATGACAGGAATTTAGAAGTACAATTGGCTGAACTTCAACGACAAGTGCAAACTCGTGACCGCAAGCTAGAGGAACTCAAACGAGAAATCAGTAAACATAATGATATGGAGGAACAATTGAATAAGTTACAGGAGGAATCAACAAAGAAGGATGAGCGTGCCTCGCAATTACAAGCTGAATTAGAAAGGACCAAGAAGAATGCCATTGAAGATAATTTAGACAAAAATTTAAGTCCTAATGAAAGCGAAACAAGAATCAGGGAACTACGTGAAAAAGTGAGAGAACTGGAAGCCAAGGTGGCAGATACCCCAGAAGTAACTGAATTAAAAAATCAAGTAGATCGTCAATTGCAAGCATTCAATACCATCCGTACTGAGCTTTCCGCACAACGAGAGAGACAGCTCAGCACAGAATCTGATCGAGCCATTCTTGAACGTGAAAATCGTGATCTGGAGCTCACTATTCGACGTCTACGATCGGAATATGAAGAACATTTAGAAACTATGTGGAAGCAGTATCATGACATGAGAAACCATCATGAAGAGGACCTGACCTTAGGTCGTTCAGCCCTGGATGCTGCTCAGGTGAAACTAATGATGAACGGTATCAGTCCTGTGAGTGAGAACGGTTTCCAATGGACAAATACAGATGATGAAGGTAATGCTAGAGGAGAAGACGACGATGACGAAGATGATGAAGAAGAAGAAGAAGAAGACGAAGATGATGCAGAAGAGGAAAATGATATTGCCAAGAAACATATTCCTGCTGTTGGCAAATTGCCTCCTTTGAAAAAACCCGACTTCTTTGAGTTTATGGAAGTGCCCAGATGCTCTGCTTGTGATAGTGAAGTGATTGACATTTAGTTGTAGAAATTACGCCTATTATTTTCGTCCTGAATGCTTGTCAAGCAAAAAAATTGTTAGAGTTCTGCATGAAATAAAATTTATTCTTTGTAAATCATTTAAACCTTTTTCTAAAACCAAGCTAAATTGAGAAATTCGAAATGAACACACAAGTTTTTTTCAGGGAATGCAGAGACATTTTGGACATACAGGTACAGCTGAGCTAGTTGGTTGACAAAGGCTTGAGGAACTCATATTTTATAAAAAGTATGATAGACGCGAAAGGATCATCAAATTATCCAGGTTCGACATTATAATCGTACTTGATCTTCGGCAATCGACCAGTGACAATTGACATTAACGACTTCATTCTACAGAGACATCACGTCACAGAGTAAAAAAATGATATTTGCTTTGCACAGGTAGCTAGAAGCTTAAATTTAAGACAAAAGCAATATGTACTTTTTGGTGAACAAAATTGTATAGAGTGGCACAGGCAAAATCGTATAAAGACAATACAAAGAAGTTCAGTGAAACAGAGGATAGAAAGAAAGATATTATTATTCTATTCAAAAAGCTAGCAGAGGATATACAAGGAAGGGATTATTACAGGTTGAAGAAGGCATTATGTATTAAGAGTAGTATGTGCTGTAACTCTAATCATTAAGACGTGTTATAATGCGATAGGTATTCAAGAAGTTTTTCTGGTGGAATTGAAGAGTTTGTAAGTAATCCTTCGAGAAAAATATACAAGCAGCATTATATCTCATATATGTGTAATACCAACGGATAGATTGAGGCACTGGCATTTTACCATTTCTTACAAACGGATGAAATAATCACGAAACCAGAAGTAGAAGGCCACTTCATAAACGAAGAAGGGAAAGCGGTAGGAACTACCAGAAAGTTCTGTTAACAAAATTATTCAACTAAAGCAAGTATTTTGCGATGCATATTAGTGGTTACATATTACAGCTGAAGATTATGTTAGTAAACATTTGTAACTGTACCATCTGAATTAATGTAGCTAATTCTAATTGCATATTATCAGATGTGCGGTTTAGCCGACCTTACAGGCGAGCTAATGAGGTACGCTATACACCTAGTGTCCTCAGGAAAATATGATAAAGCGCTACACATTTGTCGAACATTACGAAAACTCGATCAAGGTAAAGATCTGGATATCATGCGTATCAGATATGAATGAGTTATGATATCATTAAAAAAGCCATATACAACGTAGATTTTGATCTCATCGCCTCAACCTACCTACCACAACTGAACAAGAAGTTAAACACGCTAAAGCAAAGCATAAAAAAAGTAGAACAAGGTACACCAGTTTCTTTTTTGCTCTTGTTTTACTTGCTCCTTTGGCACAAGATAAATTAACATACATTACTCATATTATTACGAGCAGCCTGTTATACCTTTCAAATTAGAGGCAGTGAGTACCCTGCCGACATGTATATGACAATCATAAAGAATCATCAAGAGCAATATGAACAAGAACAAGGGAATTACTAGAGAGCAATTCTGTCCTCTCGTAGTATTTTCAAGATTAAATAATGACGAATGAATAATTTGAGATATCGGTTATTATTTATTTACAAAAAGAGAAAAAAAAAAGAGGCTATGGTATACAATATAAACAGATTATATACATCTAAGTATATAGTAAAATACAAAAGATAAATAAAAAAGAAAAGTTAAGGACAAGTTGATATAGCAGTGTTCCAATTGATGAGTGAACAAGACGCTACAAAGTGTTGCATTTATTGATGAGAGTGCTCTGTGACTGAATTATCACAAGTTGGTTTTTTCATCAGACACACTATGAGCAACATTAGTTTCGTCCAGATCAATGTTGCTTTCGAACTGTTCTTGCTCCAAAAACTTCTTCAATTTAGCTTGTTCATCAATAATGTCATAGCTTCTAAACATCCAATAGTAAATGATACCAGTAATGAAAGCAGCAACAGCAACACCTGTGTATACCCAGACCATATTAGGATCATGAGATGAAGGTGATATAGCCAAAGAAATCAAAGCAGCGACACAGCTAGGCCACAAGGAGAGCGCAGATACAAGTGACTTCATGGACTTGGGAGCGTGTGTATAGGCGTATTCGTTGGAGGAAATAGATGCGAAGATTTCAGAGAAAGCGATTAAAAAGTAACAAGGAATTTGTAAGAATACAGAGACATGTGAAGTTCTTCCTCCTGATTCGGCAAAAAGAGGATCGATATAAATGTAATGCTGAACAACGGCTGCGTAAACCATAGCCAAAGCACCGAAAATGAAACCAGCAGTAATACGCTTTTGAATAGCGAAATTGATCTTCAAGCGACGTAATAATGGATACAGGAAACCATCGGTAATAGGGATGAAAACAATCAAAGCGATAGGATCAAAGTTGTTCATAATATCATTTGGAAATCCTTCAGGACGATACATGGTACTTGCTTGAGAAAGTAAGTTGTTGGACAATTGATTGTAACAGACCCAGTAAATGGAAAGAGGAACAAAGATTTTACAAGCCATGACAGCTTGCTTCAATTCATCCACAAAAGTATCATCCCAAGTGGCAACACTGTAAGCTTCAGGTGTCCACTCAATTGCAGCGGGAATACCAGAGTCACGCTTGGCAAAATCAAGTACATCCTTACAGTTCTTGCGAGCTTCTTTGTTTTCGGGCAAACGCGATCGCTTATAGGCAAATTTGACAATTTGCCAAGCTTTGGCAATGACGGAGTCAGTGGGGCCAGGCTTATAATAGGTTTTAGAACCGCCAATAAAGACAATGATAGCAATGAAGAAAATCACGGTAGGTAATACAAAAGCCGCGTAAAATCCCACGCGAAGTTCAAGAATGGGACAGATAATACCACCTAACAAAGAGCCAACGTTGATAGCCCAGTAAAACCTAAAAAAAAAACCAAATTTTATAAGAGATTGTCAATAAAAGGCCGTTGTACAGAGAACCAAAAAGAGAGCCTTACCAATTATATAAATGCTGGATGCTGAGATCAAAGTCAACAAGAACACGTTCGCCAGACTTGAGTTCTTTAATGTAGTTCTCAGTCCTTCTGTATTGATCGGCACAAAGAGGGGAAACAATACCTTTGATACCACCAGTACCAACTAAAATATGAAGAAGAAAAGAAAAAAAATAAAAGATGCTGATGAGTTCATATCCTTGGCAGAAGATAAGGTGAAAAAAAAAGTACTTACGGCCAATGACAATAAGGGAGACGATATAACCGGGGAAACTAGCCCCTTTAGCCTGAGCTGCAGGAATAGATGTAGTGGTAAGGATAAGAAAACCAAACATATAAACGATGGAAAAGATGATGATTGTTTTATAACGGCCAATATATTGATCTGCAATAATAGCGCCCAACATAGGAGTAAAATAGCAGAAAAAAGTGAAGAAATTTTGCAAGGCAGTGGCAGTGGCCTGGCCTCGACCCAAAGCACCAGGAGTTTCATCATGGGGACCATACTATAATAAAAGGAGAGGATTAACTAACTGACGTGTAATTGGCATATCATCATGATAGAATAATAAAAAAGTACCTGAACATAGTTCTGGAAAGGTGTGGAACCACCATAGTATGCAAATCTGTAAGACGTGACCAAAGAAGAAAAAATTTTTAGTGTAAGTACTGTGGAAAAATTCATGAATCAGTATTGCCGCTTTTGGAAAACGAGCAATGGTGGACAATAATATAGATGAGTTTTACCTTTCACTATTAGTAAAAATTACGATGAATATATTAGTGATGTGCTCCTCAAAAAAGTCAGCATATGACGAGTGAAATAGCTTACCAAAATTCGTTAATTAGAATAAACCAAGCTGCAAGAGGGATGCGTTCAGAAACACGACGCAACTGAGAGGCTTCTTTTTCGACTTTTTCAACGTCGTTTGGTCCAAAGTCAACTTCTGTAGTGACATCAAGGTTATAGCCTTGAATTTTATCGTTTTCTTTCGATGTCATGAAAAGTTATGGCTGCTTGAAATTCAACAATTTTCTACACAGTCTGCCAGAAAAGATATCGAGATATGGTATGTGAAGGAGCGAAGTGAAAGATTGGAACAAGAAAAGAGAATGCAAACAGATGAAAAGAAGAAGGCAATTAAATATCAACTATACCATTTTATTTATAGGGGAGCAAAAAAAATTTTGACAGCCTCTGTAATCGTTTATCCATTCACTTGGCAGTATCAGCTCTCGGACTCATTCCAGGGCGGGTTTTCATTTATTCCCCACCCCTCATTTTCGACCTGGCTTAAATTGCAGGTCTAAGCCAGCATAGCCTGTTTTTGTTTGCTGGATTTCACGGCTGTTAAAAAAAAAAAAAAATCAGAACCATTCTTTTGCACGCAAACGTACTCACGGTTAGTCACAAAATGGCGGCACCTAAACAGTTCCATTTACCTTGTCTGTTTTCTAACTGATCTTCTTCTGCCGCAGAGGAAGGTATATGTGTAGGCACATTTGGCAATTTGTCTTCAATAGGTTTGACAGGTAACTTATTGTCAGGTACAGAAGGCAGCTCTGCATTCAACTGTCAAAAATTGACCAGAAAATTGGGAAAAAACCATAGATAAAGTTTCGACGTTGTGCAAGGGGCATAAACGGATACGTGCGACGATAGAAAATTAAAAAGCAAAATCTAGGTTATTTTTTCCATATTTGTATAATTAGTACAAAAATCGAATAGTTTAAACAAACCTCTTCCTCTCTGAGTTTATCCAATTCTTCCAAAATCTCTTCCTCCGCCTCCGCACTTATAACACCACTTAGCATTTCGTCAATTTCCTAATAACCACGAATAGTTTAGGTCAAATTCTCTAACCATAGTCTTCAATAGTACAAATCATTTTACATTTTGATAAGCAATGGCATCTGCTGTATCATCCAATAATTTTTCAACTGCCTCAATTGAGGTTTCTTTATGAATCTCATTTAAGACTTGGTTGCCGTTCTTTAACCCTTCCAATACTTGTTTCTCTACTAAGGCATATTCTATAGATTGTGTCTATACAGATATTAAAGTTAAAAACAAAAAAAAAAAAAGAAATAGAAAAAAGAGTGACTACTTCAACTTTTTAAACTGAACCCTTACCAAGTCTTCCAAGTTTAACAATTGTTGATCAGTTTTCTCTAGCAGTTGTACTTGGTATTTCTTCTTTTTTAAAGCTAACAGCGCCTTTGATTTGTTTCCTTGCGCTAAAGCCTGCTTTGCCGCTTGCACTTCCCTCTCAATCACGACATTAAGCTAGACACATGTTACGAATGGCATTAGCTTTATTGCATCCGACATGCTTAGCCTTGGTTTAGTTAGGTGAGCAATTGCTGTTTTACCTTCTTTTGGTATCTTTTCAGTTTATCACGCTGCACTTTTAGGTCTAAAATGGCCCTATCCTGTGAAGTAATCTTATGCTTTGATGAACCTGCTCCCATCTTGACTCTTTTTGCAAGATGAAGAAACGTCGTTGTGTGTGTATTTCCCAATGCAAACAGCAAAATTATAAGAAAAGCAAAAAGGTACAGGCAGCCAATCAAATCAAGAATACAACTTTTAAGATACTTGTACGTTTCAAATAGTGCATATGGCAATTTATTAATGTAATCAAGCTGTATCTACTAAAGAATAACGAGATGCACAATGATCAAATAAGCTGGACTTCATATCAAGGTCTTGTAAATAAGAATGATTAGGAGCACATTCTCTCAATTGACTACAAAAGAAGAAAAGGACATGTTAGTATTATTATTATTAACGTTTCTGTTCTATTCTTGCAACATACCTAACATAACGGTTAACAACTTCTTGAGGTTTTCCTGATAAAGTGGCGCATGCAATCAAATTGATGAGTGTATCCGGATTATCAGAGTCCTATAGGTATCATACAGCTTTATCAGACCACTTCCTCTTACTTTTTGAAAGAAACAATCATATCTGCTGCTTTTATACAAATTTATACCTTATTTTGAGCCTCTAATAATAAACTCTCTGCTTCGGGATATCTTCCTAATGCAAGGTTGGCAGCTGCTTGTCCGTTCAATACATTGACAGTCTGAGAAGAAGATGATTGGCCAAACTCTTCATAGATATAAAATGCTTCTTGATACTTCTCACCGCCCTGGATTTTACAAAAAAAAAAGAGTAAAAGGATTCCATTCAGTTCAACATCTGTATGGCGTACATCATACTACTTCATTATTGATGAAAGCCTTACAACACGTAAATCAACCCAAGCTTCCATCATTTGCAGTAATAACGCATCTTCTGCCCAAGATTTGCAACTGGCTACTTCGTTTCTTGCCAAGTCTAAACGATCCATCAAAAGATAGATCTGAGTTGCCAAAGCAGAGCTATAGTATGATGCACACACGGTAAAGTTTCAAATATCAATAACAATTGCATAGCTTGTTTCCTTACATTTTATTTGTATGGCTTACCATTCTAATTTCTTTTGACGTGAGTGAAGTGTTCTCAAAGCCTCCTCATATTTCCCAGCCTGTACCATCAGAGTGGCTAACGTAACTTGAACAGTTGAATTGATGCGATTGGCACCTTCTTCTAACAAGGCATTAGCTTTCTGTAAATAGCCTTCAGCATCCACGTTGTTGTTTCTTTGTTTGTCAGCCATATATTGAGACAATAACTTGATAGCTTGTAATGGTGCTTCATCGTCGTTTTTGATGTCATTGATAACAAGATTGTATTTGCCTTGAGCTACGTAGGAACGATATAAGAAAGCTTTGGCTTCTAATTTGGCCTCAGGTGTAATGAGTCCGTTGGTGGAACTGACTTCGTTAATGACAGTTTGATAATTTCCGACTGCAAACAGATTACGGATGCCAAATAAAATAGATTCTGTGTCCATTTTTATAGTTATTACTGTAGTAGATGGGAAAAGCTGATGCTTTGGGAAACAAGATGAACGACAGTATTGCAGTAACGAGTAAAAGAAAAATGCTGAGTTGTAAAATTAAGTGTCAAAAAGACCATTCGGATACAGATATATTAGCTTTTTCTCTTGTCGATACGATGGATCAAAGCGTCTTTTTTCATTAACGCTTTTTATTTTATTGGTCAACATCTTGACAGCAACTTTAAATACTTTGAAAATATTCAGATATGGAAAAGTCATTGTCGAAAATTTGTAATTACCTCTGCACGGTTCAACAAGTTGTTGCAACTGTTTTAAGCTGAGATTTTTAAAGCATTCAACATACTATTCTAATCTAACAATAGTTATCAGATTTCTTACATCTTTTGCGTGTCTAAAAAAGTGGAACAATGGTATTATTTATTGAACAAAAGGAGGAAGTTATTTCGTAATTTTCTGAGGTTCTGCTTGTATTGATTCGTAATAGAGAGATATGATTGCTCTTGCTCCTTGTAATTTTTTAACTTTCATAAATTTTACGGTTTGTTTTGATATACGGACCGGTCAAACCGTCATCAACAATTGTTATATGCATCTTGTTCTGCTCAGTAATGCCACAAACACCTGCTGTGAGCTTCACTATTTTTATAAATTGACTGGACAACTTAGGGTGCACACATTTAATGTAATAAATCTGACACAGGCCATCTGTCAAAATTTGGATATTCTATCTAAAATATTCAGGAACAACAAAGTTGAGATGGTATTTTGAGAGGAAGTCGCTGAAAACTGTATTCAGGACACAAGCCAACTATTTGATGGACAACCAACGCATAACTGATTATTTTGATGATGCCATCAAATTGACTTTTTGCAAGAACTAGACTTGCTCGTTTGTGCCCCTGAGTAAATTTCATATTTCACCTGTGTTATTCGATTTGGTTAGATGTAAAAGGAAGAGAACGACCTTCTAGCTGGAGGCAACAGCTTTCTCAGGCATCTTTTCATTTGTTAATAAAATGTTAAGTGGAAAAATACACGGGTACACTATTGAAACTATTCGTGTGTTTGCCATATAAATTAAGTTCAATGTTTAGTTGTCAAGGAGTGAGCTAAAAATACAATTACGTATAGAACATTGAAATTAGCAAAAAATGATAAAGAAGCTATATACAAGAAAGGAAACAAAACTAAATAAAAGATAATAAAGATCAAGTATTAGAAAATGATAAAAAAATAAAATAAAAATGGAATTATGATATACAATATAAAAGAAAATATTAAGACGACCGGCGTAAATTCCTCTATTGTACGGAAGTACAGCTACTACAGTTTCAACTCTGCCAGAATTTTACTACACATATTCTTATACTGCCATGAATCTCCTCCTACTCTTCTAAATTGCAATCCATGCATACCCAATAACCAAGGTACTTTTACAATATATATCTCAAATCGCATCACCAAATCGGGTAATGGCGCAATGCCATTGTTTGTCTTGCCATAAGTCATATCTTCTTCAGCTTGCTGATAAGATGGCGCTTCTTCATTGGCCATTGAAGTCATCGGCATGTATTGTCCTTGTTGCTGTTGTTGCTGCTGAGAAAAAGCCACATGATTCATGTCAATACTAGGCATGTGTACGCATTCAAACTTGCCTTTCGTTTCGCGCCATTTCACACCTAGTCGCTCTAAAACACGTATGAGATCTGCTCGGATAACAGAGGGATGCTTTGTAGAGGTAGTAGTGACTGAAAACAAACCCTTCAAGAAAACAGGCTTTATACTTTCGTCTGCCATGCCATTTTTGGTAGTTGTCGCAGTGGTAGTCTGCCTTGTAGGAGGTGGTGAGGAGGAAGAAGAGGAAGATGAGCTTGAAGTTGTGGGGCTGGGTTGTTGACGTAGATGGCACTGCTGGGAGGATACGCCCAAGTCACTATTGTCGTCCTTATCGGTATGCTTTCTATCATGAGTGCGGTTCGTCGAATTGAGATGCTGATGATGATGATTTTTGGGAATATGTTGTTGTTCCTGTTGCGCTTTAATGAAATTGGCATGGTTTTGGGCATTAACGGATGTATTACCGCCGACTGTCATTCTTCGGGGGAACATACGACTAAATTTACCCTTCTTGTTATTGGATTGTAAACTAAATGCTGCCGCTGCCGCTGCCGCCGCTGCTGCCGCAGTAGCAATAGCCACATCATCGTCCTCCTCCTCGTCTTTTAGATTAACGGACTTATGAACAGAAGAAATGGGTGGTGATATCAAGGAATTAGGGAAACGAGAGGAGCCCGATAATGGCGGTGATAGTGCATAAGAAGTGGATATTTGTGGTGACTTTTCCCCGATACTGCTTTTATCAATTATGCTGTTGTTGTCCTCGTTGTAATAGCGATAATGAGATGTGGACGGTATGGGTATAGGCGTGGATGTAGAAGTTGTAACGGGTGCAGGTGGAGAAAGTGGAGGCTCTGGATAATGGTTATCAAAATCATCATCAGCAGCAGCAGCAACAGCAGCAGATGGGTTCTGCTTATCGGAATAATAATGAGTGGAGGCGGCAGACTTTCGTCGCCTTGATTTTGCACTGTCATTGGTTGAAGTGCGTGAAAGGGCTTGGCTGATACGTCGAAACATTGTGGTATGATTATTGTTCGTAGAACCCGCGTCTTTACTAGAACTGCGACGTTCGAACATTGTATGCGCATTCAACATATCATCATCAACATTCGTATGAGCGTCGTTTACAGACGATTCTCCATTGGTGGTAGCTGATGGTCGACGATGCGAACTTTTACCAGAAGATCTCGAAAATAGACGGCTGAGGCCATTTTCCAGCATATGAAGTTTTTCATGAATGCTGTGTTCTTCGTTATTATCTTCTACGGGTAGATACTGGGGTGTTTTGCCATTGTTGCCATGATAGATGGCTTCGGTATCAAAGTTGGTCGCCTTAATGGTGGGATGAATACTTTCTGGTAGAGTAATGTTGGGAATACGTAAAAATGAAGGTTTGGAGTCGACTGAACTATCTTTGGTGGTTTGCTTGCCATTCATACTGTCTTTGTTCACATCAAAATAGCATGTTAAATCGGTATCAGGGTTGTTCGATTCAGCAATCCTATGTTCTCTTTCCATTCGCTCTTTGACCAGATAGTAGATGGATACAAGTGGGTGATAGGCAGCTGGGATGGATTGCGGATCATCGTTGGGCAGAGTCATCGGTGCCTTACTATTGTGATTTGTACTGTTTGCGCTACTACTGCCATTAAGAAACGATGAAGTCGACGAAAAGAATCGTGGTCGATGGTGATGACCGTTGCCATTAGCATGGCTGCTGCTGTCCATATGATGACTGTTATGTCGATGCAATCTTTGTACTTCTGCTGTCCTTTCCATCAATGTCTGTGCTGCTTTCTGATATTCATCAGACGTTATAATATCTTCCAATTGCTGTTTGATTTCTTCTTCAGTACCAAAGCCAAATCCTTCTGTCATACCTCGCACAACATTCATGTCGATGGGCAAAGTGAGCGGTAGTCTTTCTGGAACATAATTGTTCACAGGTCCATCATATCCTTTATTCATCCAAGGGTGGATCATTAGTTCGGATACTGTAGCACGATGCGTTGAATTGGTGACCAGCATTCTGGATAAAATACTTTTACAATCTGATATACATATAAATAGTAAGTATCTGCGATAAAGCGATAATAGGAATGGGTTAATTTACCTGTACTCAAATGAGATGGGTAGTCTACTACGCCTCTTTTGATCTTTTCATGTAAAGCTGGCATATTTTGATCATCGAAGGGTACTTTTCCACATACCAAGACATAGACAACGACACCAAAACTCCACACATCCACTTCCGGACCGGTATAAGCTTTGGCATTCAGTAACTCTGGTGCTGCAAAATAAAGTGATCCGCAGAATGTGTTCAAAGAGCTCCTTGGGGAAAATAAATTAGACAATCCGAAGTCGATAATTTTAATATTGCCAGACTGCGAAATCAGAATGTTTTCAATCTTCAAATCTCTGTGAACAATCGAGTTTCTATGACAATAATCCAATGCACTTAGAATCTGCCGTGCAAACCTTCTGGCTTGCTTTTCCTTCAATTTTCCATGTGCAATGATATAGTCCAATAGCTGACCCCCATTCACATATTCCATGAATAAATAATAGTATGGTTCCAGTAGTATCATCTCTTTTAAACTGACAATAAATGGATGATGCAATAGCATCATGATGTTGGCTTCTCGTACTGTTCTAATTTGACGATGGTGGTCTTCATGACTTTGCTGCTCTTTCTGTTTGCTATCCATCAAGTTAGTAGGCACAATTTTGACTGCAAGCTATTTTTAGACAAAATCGTTAAATATACATAGAAGTTTCGACACTACATCATCGCTATTGACAGAACAAACCTTATTTCCGTTATGGTTGTGTATTGCTAAACGAACTTTTCCCATTGACCCAGATCCAATAGTACTCACTAACGTATAATTGCCAATAATCCGTCGTGGTTTCGTCGTGACGGATTTCTTATGTTTGGTTCTGCTAGTGGAAGCTACTGTAGAACTCTTGTCTCTTTTCACTGCCTTTTTCATATCAGTGCTATCGGAACCATTATTTCCTTCGTCATCCTTTTGCTTTGATGGCTGTGTTGATAATACAACTTGCTGATCACTAGTGCTACGACTCGCTTCGTCTTTCTCAGCATAAGAAGGTGGTCGCAAGTCTGTGCTGGGATCGGGAGAATCGCATAATATTTGTGTTCCATCGGGGCATGTCACTAAATGATCACCTTCCCGTTGCTCGTCGTAACTTGAATTCCAATCACTAAAGAAGTGCTGTCCAAACTGAATAGCAGGTATTGTATTGTCCGTTGTATTACTACCGCTTGCATTCGCATTGCCACTAGTGTTGTCAACCTCTTCTTTTTCTGGTGTTGATGACTCGGAGAATTGCTCTTGTGAACTGGATGGAGGTGAATCCATTGAACGAATGTTGAAAGAAAGAGTTGGTATCTTTAAAAGAAAAGCTGATGCTCCAAGATTATATAAGGAAGAAGCTTCCGATGCTTGGAATGGAAGAGTAAGAAGAAGAGAAACAGAGTTTAAGAATGTGGAAAAAAGAATAACAGGCCAAGTTTTTGCATATCGCTTTTTTTTTCCTTTTTTTTTTTTTTTTCTCTGTCTTCACTGCTCATGCCTTTTTTGGCTAAAGCAAAAAACCTCCTATGCAGCAAAAGAGACGTTTGCCGCGATTGAATTTCTTTTTTTTTTTTTATTGAATACTAAGTAGATAAACAATAGGATAGATATAGGGTTGATGTATAAATAATAACAGTAAAATATTTGGTAGATAGTTTAACGATAATACCCTTGGGAGGGTGGTGGCTGGGTTGCCGGTTGAGGAGGATAGCCATGTTGATGAGATGGTGAGTAACCTGTATTAGCATAAAACGAGCTATTGGTATAAGCATTCTGTTGTTGTTGGGAAGAGGAATAACCACCGCCTTGGGCGGGATTCGAATAATAATATTGTGATGAGGAAACAGGATGACCATACGAAAAGGGTGCTTGAGTTCCTTGTGTAGCAGAAGGATAGTTACCATAAGGAGGCTGCTGTGGTGGTGGTGGTGGTGGCTGTTGTTGAAGGGATACATGACTCATAGCATGATTTAATCCGTACATATTATTCGATGGTTCAGCTGCTACCATGGGCGTTTGATAATTAGCATAAGGAGCAGGGGCCGCAGTCATGTCTGAAGCAGGGTTGCTATAAGGATCGTACATCGACTGCTGTTGGGAATGTACTTGAATACCATTCGTCAAGGCGCTGGTAGTAGCCGTCGAATTGGAAGATCCATTGAGAGCATCTGATGCTTCAAAAGAAGAAGTAAAGACAAATGATTTGTCGGCGATAACGCATTCAATCTTAATTTCAGTTAAACCGAAATACATTTTGATGGACATATTTACTTTCTCACCAGGCTTGACGCCTTCTAAATGAGGCATTCGGATAGGAAAGTTACCCACCTTGCGCACCAATGCATGAGAAGTAAGTCTCGGCGGTTGCCCGTCTTCGTCAAAGGCAAATAAGTCAGAATCCGTGTCGTTAGGATAGCTGATTACAAAGTTCTTTGATACACATTCATCCACCTTTACGCTTTGACCCTTATGCACGTATACACTGAACCGTTGACGGCAATATCGTTTACCATCACCTCCCATAACAGCATATTCGGGCGGATCAATGCCCTCCTGGAATAACATGCGTGTTTCTACGCCATAGGTACGTCTTGACACTCTTTCTGTTACAATTTGAGGATTCAAGCCGAAATAAACTGCACCACGAACCACGGCTAATTCACCACGAGGGGGAACACCGATCATTCCAACTTGATTGGCAAATTCCTCTTCAACGCGACGGAACAAGTAATTTGACTGACCAAAGCCGCCTACCAAAAATATAGCTTCCAATTGAGGCGACTGTACTAACTGATTCCTGATCAATTCAAGCACCTGTCGAATCACTGGTTCAAACACATACTCCCTCAATTCCTCGGCAGGCAAACAAAGCGAGCCGTTATCCAGTCCGATATCAGTATCTGTCAAATCACCCAAGCCCATCGATGCAGGCAAATCCAAAAAATGATCTTCCAGACCATCAAAATCGGGTTTAATCACGTTGACAAAGGTATCCATAATCAGTTCCATAGCACTATCATTGATGGTGTGATAATGGCTGAACTTTCGCTTAAGATATTCTCGCATTCGTAAATCAAGGAACCCAGAACCGCATGAGCCGCCATGGCCGTTAGTGACTTCTTTCAAGGTGCGTCTTTCACCTGGAGGCTCATGAATCTCGAAAACAATCAAATCGACAGTACCACCACCAGCATCACATATCATAAAACGCTGCCCATGTCTTAAATTGAACTGTTCTGATTTTTTTTCACAATAAAGGGCTGCTGCTTCGGGTTCTGAAATAAGCATGAGACGATCGGGATGGTCGTTGGCATTGATGAGTCCAGCTCGAATAGCCGCTTCACGCATCGTAGCTTTCGCTCGATCACTCCACATAGCAGGTACAGTGAGGCACTATATGTATAGTATATCATAGAGAATTTAATTTAATTTCAGTTTGATTGATTATATTTTGTCCTTTTTACCTAACTGACAACATTTTTCATCGAAGAGACTTACGTAGCGAAACCGGGATTGATCATAATTCCCTGCAAACCCTTTCAATAATTCTGTGCACACATGTAAATGAAAGGCTCTCAAATAGTCTGCAATGACATCGATGATATTGAGACCGTTGCCTAGTTCGGTTTGCTGTAAATGTTCGTCTAGATAGAGCTTGAACTTTGACAATAATAAGGAATCAGCATTATTGGGCTTCATGGCAAGGCGACGAGCACCATGACCCCATTCTACAAGCTGAGTAGAGCCTTTACGGTATAAAGAGAGTGTTGGTGTCTTTCAGTATCCGATAGTTGATTTCAAGTAAAAATGAAAGAATGATGGTGAGACGAGCTCTTCTTTTTTGGATGTTTTTTCTTTTGGTTCTATAAATAGTAGTTGAATCGAGTTATCATACCTTGGGATAAACTTGATTATTTTGCTTTGGCCTACAAATACAAAAGATCGCAAGATAAGTACAAGTTGCTTCTGAGAAATGTTGTCAATGAACTGTCAGTCTCTTTTATACCATTTAACAATATCAATCACTTCCTCGTTTTGTGCAAATGCATAACAACAGCCCGAATAAGTTGTACCTGTTCAAAAAAATGCAAATGATATTCTTAAGTATGTTTTCTTAAAAAATGATTCATATAAAGATGTTGCGTGTGTACCGAAATCTATGCCTACAATTACAGGATAGTCTGCATAGTTGAAGGTTGTGTTCATTTTTACCTCAGGAAGGAAAGAAAAAAAGCGAAAAAAGAAAAGAGAAAGTAAGTGTAAGACCAACAGGTGAAAGAACTTATTTTTCTGGTGCTATTGTTAAGCACTTTCATCATCAATTATCATTGGACGAAATTGAAAGTCAATCAACTATGCCAAAGAATGGCTCCTTTGATCTCTCTCCCCCCCCCCTTATAATTGCAGTTGCTTACCCTCACTTGAACTGAATCCTATTGAACAGTTTAAAAGCAAAATAAAGATTATGGCTGAAGAAATTTCATCTGATAGGCTATAATCAACTTTGGCCAGCAACCCACAATCTTGAAGATTTTCAAGCATACGATCTATAAACGTCTCTTTGCTAAAGTCGTGATAGTTCTTGTATGATCTATCCGAATCTGGCACTTTAACCTTTGGTTGGCTAGTCATTTTGTCAGGAACTACATTCGGATAATCAATTTGAGTAAGATCCTTCAAAGGATCGTAAACGTTTTTTACGTGGAACTTAGAAATGTTTGTTTTGTCCATCTTTATAAAAAACGTGCCCATTGTTGGAAAATGTTTTTAGTAGAAAAATTAACAGAATTCAGTTATTAAGAAAAGGACAACATTGTAAGTTAATGTCTTGATTCAATTAGACAGGTTCGACTGTATTAACGAACAAATCTGCCACTGAAATGGAGCAGCCTTTTAATGAGCGTCTTTCTCTTTTTCATTGTCACTACCACTGCTACTGTCATCTTCCAAGTTCAGCTTCAACCTATTCATAGCTGCTACTGCTGTCACTAAAGAACGTAGAGTTTTTCGACTATTGAATCCTTTACGAACATTCGGAGCCAAATTGATAGCCTTATTTTTGTGTGTGATCCACACATCTTGCAGCGCTTCTTCGGCTGTGATACGCTCTTTAGGATCAAATGTCAATAGTTTGTCGATCAAGTTTTTGGCCTCAATCGAGATATTGCCCCAATATTCCTCTTCAAATTCATATTTTCCTTGCATGATGCATTCAAATAATTCGGTTTGGTCTTCACCGTAAAATGGTGTATAGCCACTAAGAAGGGTATACTGTCATAGTAGAAACATCGGCAATTAGTTCAAGACTTCTACATGTTGGGTATAAATCCCATTATAAACCGTTTACCATGATAACACCAACACTCCATACATCAACGGGTTTACCGTGGCCGGTACCTAAAAGCACCTCAGGAGCTACGTAGCCTGGTGTACCACAAGCGGTTGTTAAGACTTCATTACGGTCTTTCAACAATTTAGATAATCCAAAGTCGGTGATTAACAAATCAGCGTTCTCAGCGGGTGTTTTGAACAATAACTAAAATTGAAAGGGAAAGAATAAGAATAAGAACAAAATACAAGAATTAGCATTATGCTCGATAACTGTCCAGAACAGGAAAAAACTTACATTTTCTGGTTTGATATCTCTGTGTACGATCTAATGGAACGGGAAAAACTGGCTTAGACAAATCTAATTTAGGCATGTCAAGAGATACATAAAACAATAAAAAAAGCTGTTACGTCTAGCGAGTGCAAATAAGCCAGTCCTTCCAACATTTGGCGTACTAGATCAGAAGCCATTTCTTCAGTATAAGTTCCTCTTTCAACAATACGCTGGAATAGCTCTCCTCCAGTACATAAATCAGTAACAATGTAAACTGCTTCGTCTGATTCATAAATATCATGTAAAGAGACAACGTGCTTGTGGCGCACTTTCGTTAAAATATCTATGAAATACACTCATGATCTGATTTAGTTGTACGATCTGTTGTGAAAGTGTGACGGAAGGATCCTTACCCAGCTCGCTATCCAACATTTGCTGTTTACCTAGTATCGTTCAAAAATAAAGAACCAACTATTTTGATGAGACGCTCTGTTTATCCTTTTTATGATAAGGTACATGTACAGGAACAAAAACACGCGTTTATCTTTCTTTCACACTCATTCTTGAGATATAATTCTTCTCACTTTACCAGCAATAGCCTTCTTTAAGATAATTTTAACAGCACATTTTTCTTTGGTTGTACGCTGAACACATTGCTTGACAACTGCAAATGAGCCGACACCCAAAGTGACATCCTCATCAATAATATATTTGGCATCGAGATCTGGTGGGTATTTCGAGGTTTTGCCTTCTTTATCACTGTGCACTTTTTTAAAAAGAGCCAGGACCTTTTTGACCAAAGGGTTGTGGTGATGGCTCATCTTTACTTCAGTTGAAGAGGTTTAAGCAAGCGAGGAGTAGCAAAACAAAGGCAAGAACCAATAATTCTTATATGAATGTGAAACACAGGTTGTTGCAGATTCAGTGCAAATGTGTGGCGCACAAAGTACACCCAAAAGCGGCAAAATGGAGAACCTTTCCGATGTTACTCATGGTCCATTTCTTGCTTTTGGTACGTTATTGGCTGATGCCGGTGTCTTCGAGGTTTTCGCATTGGATGGCAAAGACTTGAGGAATTTAAAATGTGCTGCAGGCAAAGTATCACAGTTTACAGCCATAAACATGGTAGAGCCGGAAAATTCAGTATATGGTTGCATTTTTGTAAGTTACTGTAAATTCAATTCTGTTGTGTATGGATTAAATGAAAGGGAAACTAACAAATCAAAGAGTAGACAAAGACAAGTTTGCGAAAACTATGAATAGGTTTATTAAGAATCCAAAACTGACCAAGAACGAATGTACTTTGATAGAGGTACATTTTCAGGAACCTAATTTGAAGAACTGCTGAAAATGAAATATGTATTGCTGTTTTATTGCTATTGCTTGCTATTAGAAATTCATGGAACATGCCTTAAAGATATCAGATAATACGGTCCATGGATATATTTGCTACTGGACGTTTGACAAGGAAAAAGGCAGAGATTCGAAAATTATTAGAACGATCATGTTTATCTGAGTAGCATCTCAATCAACAAATGACACAAGCGATATTGCTGAGCCAGAGTAAGTTTTATCTGATCTACCACCTGATAACACCACCTACAAGTATCATCCAGGAATATCTTGATAGTAAGTAACTATGCACTAAGAGAGAAAAATATATACTATGGAATAGCTCATTAATAAGGTATGCTATCTAGAATGAGTCACTGACAAGCTTTATTATATGAGCTTACATCTCATTACAAAATTGACGCTGAGCAGTCTTTGAGGAGTTGGATAAGCAGCGATCAACTATTATACTGGCGGGTTACCGCGCAGCCCTGCTCACAAGTCCGAACAATTCAAGTATATGAAATGTCGTTGTATGTAACTATACACCAGTTACATAATACGTCTATGCTTCCCTCCACCTTTTTTTCCTTCCTCCTGGCCCTTCTTCATCTTTCTCATCAGCAATGCCTGTTATCATTCAGACGTCGATTCAAGTAGGGAATTGCACTGAATTTAAAAAGTAAGTGAAGGCACAAATGTTCAAACTTCATAATAGCGCTGCCTTCATATTCATCTTAGAGCCTTTTTTTCTTAACTATAACAAAGCCTTAACTATTCATTCAGAGCGACAAACTGGTGAAATGATCAGCAAAATTGACTATCGAGGTTTACTTGAAAAGATAGACCCACCCGTTTCGTTGTACAGGGCTGACTGAAGACATTTCAAGGCAATTCTCGGACGATAGATCAACATTCATTGCTGGAGCCCTCCCTTTTACGAAGCAAAATCAGCTGTATAGTACCCTTTTTTTTAATACAAGTATTTAGAGTGTAAAAAAAGGTGCATTTTTGAACTTCCATCCAAAGCCTACAAATACGATAGTGATTGTAGATTAAATAACTTACCATTTATTTGTAGCAAAAATGTTACATTATGTGTACAAGTATTCTTCAATCATCAACATATTACCAAATCATTAAAGGCTACCGCAAGTAAAATTAGTAAAGATTACTTGAATTAAAGTTATAAGAAATTGTTCGATAGAAAACTCAATACTGAGTGCAAAGAGTTCTCATCTGTATACCAAGACAGATACAATCCTTTACGTCTAGTTGGAATAATTAAGTTTTTTCCAGGCTTTTCGCTCCAACATGCGACGTCCGAAAAGGAAATAGAACATAATACATACTATGAAACACGATAGAATTGTGAACGGAGACGTACATGTTTCTATCAATTGGCTGCGATAATTGAAATGCTTGTTGTTTATGCATGTATTGTCCGGATAGATTTTCTTCCCAGGATAATAAAAATCTGGATTCTTTACATATCGCTCATATGCTACTTTGCACAAACGACAAGTGCCTTGTTTATATGTTTCAAGCGTTGACCAAAATCGGCTTGAATTGGCTATACCTCCAGGTTTTTTATAACTCAAATATCGATCGTATAACTCATCATTGTTTAATACAAGTTTTAAATAGGTCGCCAGTTGACGCGGATTTGCAAAATCATCTAGACGAATGATTGCGTGATCGTTGGGTATAAAAGGTCCGTAATCGCTGGGACCGTCGACAATGGGTATTACGCCAGCTATGTACGTATTCAGCAACTTCTCAGTGACATAGTCTTTGCAATTTGAGTTCTCCAAAGCCAAATAAAAATGATACTGTGAAATCAATTCAACTGTAGTTGTATTGTCTGGATAAATCTGATTGTTTAGACAATGGCCGTATATATCTATATCAATCCACTTTTTCAATTCTTGCACATAATGGTGCCGATAGTTTTGAGCGTTACAGTTCGAAACAATCCAAGCAATAGGTGCACTTGTTCTTTTTTTATCCTTGGATACAAGAGGTGGTTTTTCCATAATGCCAATGAGTTTTTGTGGATCTTCAAAATAACCCCATGGAAAATCAGAGTCGAGTCGATAAGTCATACTGTACTGCATCAGATTAATGACACCATTCTGCTTATTGTTTGGCGCTTCAGCTGTATGATAAACCCATGCTTGAGTGGCTGTTGACGGTGGCAGCTCATCATTATTGCCTTGCTGTACGTCCGACGCATGAAAAATGATAACAGAAGAATCGATCGCTCTTCGGCGATCGTGAGTTATTTGACATTTGTATGTTGATGGAATCTGGGGACAGTTTTCAATAGTGAAACCTTCCCACTGATCGATTCCAAACCATTTAGTCCAGTAAATTATAGGAATGGTAGTACTGTTTGTTGTTGGAGCAGTTTCCATGAAGAAAAAACAATCAAAAGCTCCTCTAAATGACAAAGATAGTCAAATGGTTGTCGTACCAAACAATATTGAATTCAGTACCAGGGAGTAGAAAGATGTATGGTCTATGAAGAGACGTAGGCACAATAAAAACTAACATTGTCTCGGAGCTTTGCAACTTAATAACTAGTAAGGCTGCTTGACGAGAAACTGAAACAAGGTTATCTTCAAATGAATTTCTCTGAGAATTCTCCCAACTAGGTCATGCTGTTTACATTTCTCAAAGGATAATAAATGTGAATGCATGATACCACGCCTTCTGTTCAACTTATAATGTTTTTTTCAGCAATCTATCATTTATAACTAATTTCATATTCAGTTGTTCTTTTTAAAGTTTTATCTTTGTTCAGTGATCTAAGTAACCATTAACTGTGAATGAGCGACGTTGAGACACTCGAACATAAGTCCGAGGCGTCAGCATCACCAGCTACATCCTTGTACCAAGACTTTGTGCTTATCAGTGAGTTTTCCGAGTTGGAAGGACCTTTGCCCGTTGCCATTGTCAATGAAGCAGTTCATCTTGATCTCAAAGATTATCGTAGTGATGAAATTTCAGGAAACGGTGAACGTTTAAAGCAAGAGCTTCAACGTTTGGGTTTAAGCGGGTTTGACTTTAACGCTTTCGCTTTACGCGTCATATCAGTGGATGGAGTTGCAGACTATGAGTAAAGGCAATTAGGATTTTTACTATTCCTTCCTTTTGACATAATTTGTAGCAGTCTATGGCAAAATAACTAAATAATTGAATATACATATGCGTATAATAACTTTAGTCAAACTTCTCTAAGCGAAGATAATGGTGAAGTCGGAACAGTAGCGTCTGATGAGGAACAGTTACAGCCACAGAGAATGTCTTTTTCAATTCCTGATGACACGCAAGTCTACTTTACGGATTCAAAGAGTAACTTTTACGCATTTGTAAGTGCTTACATATTATACTGGACCATGCATAGTCTGGATAAGCAGAATGTCGTATCTACACTCTGTACTCACATTATCTTAATAGACTCATCATTTATCTCTATTTGATATTAACGCGAGAGGCTTTGTCCACCCAATTGCTTTATCTTATATCAGTCGCGATAGCCATAAGATTATAGCAAGATTTGAAGAACTAATAGATGATTTTAATGATGTGAGTGACCATCAGTCGTTCTTGAACCCTGCTTGAAACAGAGTGGTAATATGTTTGGCTGTGTGTGTAGGTTGCTGTTCGCATGAAGCAGGGCAACTATTCCAACTTCATGAGAGAATTGAAATTTCGTTTGCTTGATCTCGAATATACACGCAAATGTGTTGCGCTTGAAAAGAAAAAGTGGCATGAAAAGGCCAGATCAGATGAATCGAAGGAATCATCATTAACAATGAAGGCAGTTGATCAGGCAATTACAACAACAAAATTGATGATAGACACATTAGAAACAAGCATGACGCAAATGACCCAAATGATATCAGAAAAATATGCTAAAATTGCAGTCGATGATCAGACAGTAGAGGCTGATAGCCATGAAGGAAAAGAGAAACGAGACGCATATAGTTCTGCGATACCTGCAGACTATAAGCCAAAATATGTGGAGACGTTATATCCAGTAACCAACTTTGAGCGGAAACTGCGCTCATTAGCTCAGTTATGTCAGGAACAGCCATACAAGTCAGAGAAAGGGCAGACTGAAGAGACAGAAGATAACAACGACGACGCAAATTCAATGCATCGTTTAATGAGGCAATCAAGTATCACTCATACGACCGCAACGATGATTCCTTTGGTTTTCTCGATGATGGATGAAGCTCAACAACAACAGCAACAACAGCAAGACATAATTGATCACACGACTAATTCAACATCCTCCCCACCTCATCTATCTGCTAAAATATCCGACTTCTTTTCTTTTTCGAAAGACAATCCTCCTAATAACAATATCACCATCGCCAATGCTATAAAGCATGACACCTACTCAGATGCAATTACTTGTATTCAACGCATTGTTGAACGTTTAGGTAAAGCAAATATTGTATTAGATTTGGTAGATGAAGAGAATTACCATATCAAACCATTATCCTCTGCCTTAACAATTGGACAAACCTTTATGATCAACTTCAATAATCCACCGTTGAGGAAGTAGGTAGCATTTGCATCCGTTAGACATTGATTACGATTTAAAATTGATTATCTTTGTGTTATAGAGAGGATGCAAGCCTACCTCCAAGTCCGTTATACAAGGTTCGTACAAAATATTGATATCCATACAGCGTTAGGACATGAACTCAATTTGATACTGTTAGGAGAAAAATTCACCTATAGAGGACAATACAATTAATAGCTTGTGTTGGTTTGACAAGCAATTTGAAATGAACACAATTATTGAAGAACACAATAATGACGAGCCATATCATTCCATGCTCTTTTCAGCAGTCGAGTTATGGAAGTCAAGAGCAGAAAATAGGAGGCAAGGAAAATTATTGAACATATTGCGCCGTTTTCAATCGATTATCGTAGATGTTATTTTTGCCCTCATGACGGGAAGAACGGTAGTAATTGAAGGGAGTCAGCAAAATAAAGGGTACGAATCAATTCAGATGTTATTATTTACGGCCCTCAATGTTTAAATATTGCATCCCTGATAGCCTAGTCGAGGAAACTGTTCGTGTATTGAGTTTGTTCGTACCAGGGCAAATGAACCAGCAGCATGAGATAGTTGAATGGTTCGATAAAGAAATTCTGTCAAATATTGAAATTGATGATGTCAAGTTGATAGGTGTGGAAAAACAGAAAGTTGATTCGAGCATTTACATCAACAGCAGCTGTGTTCTTGACATAGACGCCGTAAATGGTTCTTTGAACTCTGGCCCTATATATGTCGAAGGACAATGGATCAACCAGTTTATCGATCGTGTAAATCTCTTTACGGTAAGCGATATAATCGCATTGTCAAACCATCTTATCATTTCATTGGTTTTCATCATTTTCTGGTGTGTTACTAGTCTGATGACGCTTATTTGGCCTATCTTCATACCATTTTCATGACAATTTCACTAAAATCGTGTATGTACCATCATCTTTCCAAAATGGACGAATTTAATGTCAATGACAATAATAGCGCTTTCACAGCATCTTCTCCTTTCTGTACTGAATTAAACAGAGAATGTATATCAGAAACTAACTCAGAGCAAAGCACAATAAGCCGAAGATGGAGTCAAAGATTAATGACTTATCTCAGAAAGAATGAAGCTCAGCAACATCAATCTGAATCGACGGGATACGATACTTCTAATAATAGGCAGTCAGCGTCACTTATAACCAAATACCTACCAAACTCAGAATTGAATACGATAGAAACTCAAAGGGAGAATGCTGAAAAAGAGGACTATTCAGAAGAGAATCAGGCTACTGTCACATTGCAAAGTATACAACTAAAAAGATCATCAACAAGTAGCAGCAGACCACGAACAGTAACAGATATTTTTCAACAAAACTTACCAACCACACTTAGCATGTGTGATGATCGACCTATAAGCCAGTCTTCCATTGCCTGTACGGCAATTGAAGGTATTGAAAGGAGTAGTATCTCATCTACTAATAGTAGCCGCAGGGTTTCAATGGCAAGCTTAAATAATGACCCTAAAGCGATATATACACACTTTGTTGCCGAAGATACTAAAGAGAGCAATGATGACCAACTGACAATGCAAGACTTACAATTGATGCTAAATGTTAACGATCTAAATAGTCTAGACGATGATGAAAGAGAAAGTGCTTCAACAACCTGCCGCTCACCAAGACAATATAATGGCAATGATGCCGATTCTATTGAAGATTCTGTTACCGATACCAATCAGCAACAGCAACTGTACGATATGACAGATATTGAACAACGAGGTAGATATTTTCTGCAAAAAGAACTAAAGGTTTATGGGGATGACCAAACAATAATTATTGTAAGTAGATAATCAGCGTCAAACGTTAATGAGGTCATTAGGCGTGATATCTAATTGATCTTTTCGTTAACCATAGTATCTAGCAACCAATGTTCTCTGAAGAGAGAAAGGCTAAATTACACTGTTATGAATTTGTCTTATTCAAAAAAACTCGGTCGAACAAAATTACCATCTGATTAATTGACAAGTCTTTTGGCTACTAAACAGCGTTCAGCAACAGGGTTTTGAACGACAGTTGATTTGGTAGATTTTATGCTTTATGTTTTTCTTCGTTTATAGAAATTGTTAAATTTTACAGCTACTATCAAATAATAAAAACGTATAAATGCTGGCTCTCTAGCAACTATTTAACAGGAAATAGCAGTAAGCAGGTGTCTTTAAGGTGAGACTATCCAATAAGACATTCGTCCTAAATGCACTGAAGTATCCAAAGCCGGTCTTAGTATTAAGAGATTTGGCTCCTCTTATTTCTTTGTCAAAATGAAGTGCACTCGCTAACACTTCGTACAATACCTCAAACAGCAGCTTGCGGTCGAACAACATACTTTTGGAAACCATGTACACTTTCTATCCATAGAGTAGAGGTGAAATGATCTTTATTATAAGAAAGAACGATTCGAAGTAGCCTCGTTCATATGATTTTGACTCCATATTCGTAACAACTAACCCTATACCTTAATGTAATGGATGAAATCGCTTGGTGTAGCACAATAATTCATGTTCGCGCATTTGTTGTAAAACACGTCCGAAGTTGTGACGCGTACTAATTCGCCTCCCACATATCTCACGATATTAAAGAAATGACCAACAGACAAGAAAGCTGTACAATCACTGCTTGATTCCTTAGAAGGATATGAGTGAGATTATGAGAGACGACAAAACCCTCGATTCGAAACCGAATTGACAAATATTCTAATGAAAAGGCAGATGTGATTATGCAACTCCTCGTTCTAAGCTTTACGTTCGAATAAGAAGCAGCAATATTGGTAATTGTTAATTTTGAAATTGCTGAAGTTAGAGATCAATCGATCACGAATCCATTTTTATTGAACAAGTATCATCGATATAAAAAAAATCTATATCTTTTAATTCTTGATTCATTATTCTTCCTCTTCCTCTTGATCCTCTGCTTCTATTTCTTGTTCATCTTCACCATCACCATCTTCTTCCAGTTTTCTTTTTGCTCTTCTCTCTTCCATAAACTTATCTACAAGTGTCGTATACATTTCATTGTGTAATGAACGGGCCTTTTTGTAATGCTCATTTAAACGACTTAATTCTGATTGAAGAGTGTTTATTTGATTTTGTAAACCAGCACTTGAATCGTCAGCCTATGGAACACAAAGCCAATGAGTAAATTAATACTCTACAATTTGAGGCATACTATACAAATAACACTCAAACATACCTTCATAAGTCTAACAGTTTCAGCGGCTCTGTTAACAGACTTCAATTCGCTGGTCACATTTGAATATAAGGGACCATTATCTGACAGTTGCTGATGAGACGCTAAGTCTTTTCTGGTATTAGTAAGTACCTGATAGCTAGCATCACGGTATTCCTCATCGGATGTTGCTAGAGCACGTTTTAACGGCTTCCATGGCATTGGTATATTGGATTGTTGTTGAGTTGTATTATTAGTATACTCAGAGTGTAATTGTAATGGCTTCAAAAAGCAAGAAACGTGTGTCACTGGCCCTTTATGTAGTTCGAATTTACGTAATAACTGACGACTAAGTACATCCCAAACGATACAGCTGCCATCATCTGATCCAGAAATAAGTACAGTGCCGTCAAATGATAGTGCTAATGAGTTGATCTTATCTGTATGTCCCACATAAACCGATCCTGTGTCTTCCTCCTCTGCTAGTTTATGTGATTTTGCTGTTGATGATGTTATTGATTTGATACCAACCGACTCAACTCGGCTCATGCCTCCTAAACTCTTCAAAGTATTAACTCCATAGGACTGATCCTCGTGTCGTTTGTATAGATCAATTGAATAAATTTTATTGTCTTCACAAGCTGCGAATAAGGTTGTTTCTGATGGATTCATTACAATGCTGGTAACGCCCTTAGGGAATAAAAACGTTGTTAAAAGATGACCAGTTGACAAATCCCACAACTTGACTGTATGGTCCAAGCTAGCTGTGCACACTCTTGTGCTTGACAGAGTGCCAATACCAACAAATATATCTAATACAGGTAATGTGTGGTCTGACCAAGAATATAATGGGGATGGGCGTGCTGTCAGATCCCCATAGCCACTATTACTATCCGATGGTTGCACAAGATGTGCTAGCAACCATACGTTTACTGTCGCATCTTCACTTGCTGTTAATAAAACTACGTCATCATAGCTGAATGCAAGCTTATTGATCCGGCGATAATGGGCTTCAAAAACTCGTAATAAATGACCGGTGGGTATATGCCATAAATACACTTTGCCACTGGCTGTTGCAGCTGCTAAATAACGACCTTGATGTGAAGATACTACGCTGACCATTTTTTCGTTGGTAGTCATTTTATGAAGTACTTGATCGCGTTGCCATTGATATACATTGAGAATAGCACGATCGGTTTGAGCTGCGACAATCGAATCGATCTGAAAACTGCCACCTGGTTTCTGAACTAATGTCAAACCACCCTTTTGTGACATGCTTTGTTTGAATGAAAAAATACTAGAGCCGGAACGAATGTCCCATAAATAAATAGTACTGTCTGTACTTGATGCTGATAATACAACTTCGGTGGACATATACGAGATCTAACAGTCGGAAGTGGAAGGATGGTTACCAAAATTAATGGAAACTTTTTTGACATATGAATTTAACGTGTTGTCTGATCTCGCATTACTCGAATAAGCCACCCGGTACTAAAGTGAGAGCCAATCATATAAAATGTGGAAATCTCAAGCTACGATAAAAAGTTATATACAGACATGAATGAAACTGCTTTGAGCATTTATAGACCTGAGCGAAGGAAACAAGTGGAAATATTGCGCAAACAGGTTACATGATTTATTCAAAAGGTACAAATGCGCTTACATTATATTAATGCGTATTATTGCAAAAAAAGAAAAAAAGAACAAAAAGTTTATTATTCTGACATATACGAAGATATCAGATCATCAGAAGCTTGCATATGATCCATTTGCTCGGTTATCTCAAGTAAGGCTAACTTAATGATATTTTCCAGCAGCAACAAATTCATGTTGAAACCGAGACTATTTTCATTCACCTTAACTGTTCGTTGTTTGCCTGCATCTTTTTTTATAGCTTTAGAACTGGCATCATTATCGATATCCTCATCACAGTCTTCATCTTCGTCAGTATCAGCATCATCGTTGAATAAACCAATTGCGTACCAATTCGAATCCTTCAATTCCTCCTTAACAATTTCTGGCTTTGACTCGGATACCTCAACAACATTTTCTGCATCTTCATGTTCCGAATCATTAAGTTTAAGTTCGTGTTTCTTCTTATGATGCTTACTCACTTTCAGAACGAGCACTGGTGACCTCGCATCTTCTATATTCAATAATTCTCCACTTTGTGTATAATACATGCGTTGAATTAAGCCTACGTCGATACATAGCTTCTGTTCTTTGTCGCAGTCATCATGATATAATCCATCATTGAGGTCTTCTATGACATTCAATTCGTACTGATATTTCTTGTTTGTTCCTTTTTCGTTTTCTCTTGTTGTAGTATTAACAATACTAAGCTGTGCCTTATGATATTCCTCTTTCCAAGTGAAGAAATGCTTTTCATCCGACCGCTGATTGGCTGCGAATAGTGAGTAGAGTCTCACGACAAATTTTATGTTCTTTGTTGACGATGAATTGAGGATGTGTGAAGCTTGAAGAAGCTTTGAAGGTGATAATTTCGTTTCTTCATTAACTTGCCTCAGGGCTAAGTGAAGAGATGGAATAGACTCATCGATGTTCCTGATAATTTGTTTTAAGCGTAACTTCATCTGCTCTGGATTTTTCACGTTTTCAATGCTTCTGGCAAACTCATCCATATCCTTCTTCAAGTCATTACACATTTCCAAAGCTGGTTCTAAATCAGTATTTCCATCAGCAACTGATCTAGCAATGATATCAATTGTAGGCTATAAAACAGATGGTGATAAATGGAGGGTTCTAAGTATTATCATTCTATAGTGTGACGAAAACAATGCAAACGTATCTTTTTACCTTTAGATTTTTAATTTTCAAGTCAAGTTGTCGCTGAAGCATTGATATCTCCTTGGTATCAGGTTTATTTTTTGGTAATTGCGTAGTGAGATACGACGTGACATTGCGCTATACATAAGAATGACGGTTAGCAAATATTGCGGGGTTGCATAATTTTGTTGTACTTCTTAGATCTTACAATAGCGAGATTAGTAGCATGGCTAATGGCAATTTTAGACACTGTATTTACAGTTGTCATAGCCAATTTCCCAAATAAATCCTCAAGAGTTGCCATTTCAGAGCAAAGACGTTCCTGTTGAATAGTTTATTGATAAAGCAGAAAGAAAGAGTAATGAATTTAAAAAACAAAACAAAACAAAAAACCACCGCTGCCGCTTTTGTTCCAATCATACGAAAAGATCTCATACTATGTCGCTACGATTGGTGATACTGCATCCAGAACAAGGTAATATACTTTTGATATGGCCGTAAATCAATTTTAACTAACCAAAGCGATAAATTATGTGATTAACTATCATGCATATCAAACTTAATGATAGTCCTTCAACTGTCAATGCAACGCCATGGCTGTCAAGCGAACTGTTGTGTTACGATCCTCAAACGAAAAATTTGCTCAACGTCTATACACTATGTTCTATCAAATTATTCTCTGTTTACATAGAACTAGCAGCCAAAGACCAAGTGCTGCATCGAGATTAGAAACACTATCAACAATGAAGTGTACCTTTTTGATCAAATAACTGTTACCATAAACATTGATATCCGTTTAGGAAAGGTCGAATTTTAGATCTGCAAGCAAGCACATAGAGATACTAGAAAATTGTATCTACTGATTTTTAATAGAGCTTACAGGCCGCTATCGTAATTGATTAGTCGACCGAATGATTTAAGAGTCGTAAACGGCCATTCGGGTGAACTTTGCTATAAATTTGGTAAGCCTTATTGCTGATGAAGTTCTCGTATATTTTTTGTGCTCGAAACCCCTATATTGAAGAGTACAAGATTAGAACAGCTGCTTTACTACGAAAAGAATAATGTAATAAGTCGTTGTCAGAAATTTCAAAGTAAGATATTTGTTGCAGATTTGTAAATGTTGCATACAGTTAAGGCACCTTATCCCCTTTATTAGTGAAATGAGGTACTACTGCTGCAAGGCCATAATAGCCAGTGATGTTCCATTCGTGGGTAAGTATTGATATTATAATATTATATTGGTATTTTAAACATTTAGATGTAGTAGTGAAGGTATTGTGCGTTCTTTCGCTGGTAATATTTTGAGGCTTATTTATGGCGGGTAACAAATGTTTTATTCAGGAGTGCGAGCGATTTTGTAACATTCAAACGCACGTATTCGAGATCCAGAAACTCCACATTATCTTGTTGCTACATTCATTTAACAAAAAAGATACATTAAGTCAATAATAATTCTACTAGTATTTGGTTTACTTATATCAGTGCGATTTCACTACCTTTTCCAAAAGATCGTCTAGTTTTAGGTCCATCTCCAATATCGCTTTATCTCTTCCTTTAAAGTGCATAGCAATAATGAATGTTCCGGGTAACGGTGATGTGATGGCGAAATATATATTGGGTCGTCTATTTTCAGGCACAGTACTCTCTGATATTACCCCGTCCTTTTCTAAATTATTATGTGAAAATTTGAAGGGCCCTTTCGGCGAGCCTTTCACTGCCTTTCGAGGTTTGCCACCTCCTTCAATTTCAACGCCAATACCCACAGAATTTTTGGACCCCTTTTCTCCTCCACTCTGCATTCTCACGTTCTGTAGATAGGCTTTGTAACTTTCTAATTGACTTCTTAAGTAATTATTGTGATCTAAGATGGTTTTATAAACAATTTCCAAAGAGCTGATTTCTTGAAGTACTTTTTCTTTCAAATTGCCAAGGTGAGCTAATTCTTGGGTAATTTCTTCAACAAGTAGTTTGTAGTGGTCTCTATGATCAATGACGCCCGCGTCTTCTAATTCTCTAAGCATATCTTTTACTTTAATACCCTTTCGTACGAGTTGTGCGTCTTTTGTGGTAGCCGCGTTTTCTGCAATATAATCCAAATCTAACGGGCCCGAAATGAGCTGCGGTAATGAACGAATCAGTTGAACATATATGGCTTTTGTCTCCATGTAAAGAATATCATTTTGAGTTATGTTGTTTTCTGACATGAGTGCCGTAGTGAGATCTGAATGAAAGAAAGAATGGAAGAAGATGAGTACTCCCATAAGCAAAAAGTAGGCGCTCGTTTACCTTGAATTGGGATCTCCCATCGACTAAACAGTGGTAAATCAATTGTTTTATTCTCTTTTCGCGACACTTGCGTAGGTACAGGCGACAAATCATTGATCAAGATCCGCAGATGGTCTTTTTCTTTTGGAGCAATAATATCTAAGTGTCGCTGGAACAGCATGTGCGTACTGTAGATCTCGTTCAATGTAATGCTAATTTGTATATCTTTTTTTGAGAGTGCCATATACTGATCCATTTCTAGAGTTTCATAGAAATCGCCCACTTCACATAGTTCATTCAAAAATCTGTTGATCCTCTGTTTGTTTTTTTCTACGAATGGATTGGTAGGCAACATATATGTTTCTTTAGCATAAGAAGGTCGATTAGCCAAATTCTGTAGCATTTTTGCGATCTTTAAAGTCGATAAAGAAACATTCCATCAGTAAAATTAGCTACAAATAATATCTGCAGTTCCAGGTCGCTTACCAGGGTTAAAACTCTTCTTGGCCCATTGCCTGGTGCAGTATCTAGAAGCATATATGCTCGCGGCGTAACAATAGCTGGATTAATGAATCTGAGAAAGAAAAACCCGCCGATCATCGAGCAAACAGAATATTCAGATGCATCAGGGTTTTTACGCTTCGTTAACGATCTAATTTGTTTACATATCCAACGAATACCATAAGGTACAGATGCTGTTGATGATAAAATGGTGCTTAAGAAGTCTTCAGCTATATCCATTAATCGCTCTTGCCGGGGCTTGATAATTCTTTGCACATCTTCGTTGCTCTCTGCGACCTCGGGTGTGACGCTTCGAGGCAGTTCGTCCGGTAATTGTCCATTTTTTTCCTCTATTTTTTGAACCATCTCCTCGTATACCTTTAAAGGGTTGATTTCTAAGTTTAAATTTTGGTCGTTGGCGATATCTTTAATTTTTTGTGACAAAATTGATTTTAAGTAGGATTGACCAGGTCCTCGGCGTGTATAAGTTGTCATCATTCGAGATACTGGGGTATTTGCCCGTAATAAAGAGCCAAATTCCGTTGAGGTCTCGAATTGTGCTGCTAAAACGTTCTATTAGTGAAATCAGATATGAATTAAGTCTATTCTTTCAATCCAAGTTCATGTAATTTCGCTGTATCTTTTTACTCACTTGAAACATGGTAAGCAATAAATGCTCTTCTCTACTTTCGTATTGATTTCCGTAAAGTGTAAACATGACAGTTTGTAATAAGGTATCTATTTCTGCCAGGCTCACCAATCTACATAGAGTAGCTATATGCCTTGGTTCACTTTGCAAGATAAAGAAAAAGTTGCCATACAGCTGCATTTTACGATCATCGGGAAATGAATCTCCATTCTCTACACCATGCTCTTCTAAATGAGAAGCCATTTCATGTTGCTGTGTTGTTATGATAGCAAAGTTGAGATTGTTGAGCTATAAATTCGGTCAATAACAACGATTATGTCCCTGCTATACTCACCTCATCTAAAGCTATTCGATTTTGGATCAATAAGGCGATTCGAGAATCCAGATATCGTACATCTCGTTCTAATACAAAGTTTTTCTTCGATTGTGCTGAAATTCTTGATTTTAAATCTCTAAGGCTTCTTTGAGCTATATAAATTTTCCGTTGACGAGAAGATATATTATTATTGTATGCCTACACTGTAAAGTATGAAGTTTTATGCTTGGCACATCATAGTACCTTGTGCTAATTCATCTTCCACTTCATTATCTTGTTCTGCTGCCATTGAATAGAAAGCAGATACTGAATATCTTTTGGAAGTTCGACCAGATCTACTTCTGCTAGAATGATGATTATTAGCTGCTGCTGCTGCAACAGCGCGAGACACTATTTGTCCAGGGCCTGGGTTGCTGCTAGGATAACCATAAGCTTGAACCATGCCTTGTTTACGATCGGTCATTGTTGAGCTTTGCGTTCACTTTTTCAAAGTTGGAGAATATAAGTCTTTTGCTATATTGAGAACAGTAGTTACGAAGCTTAGATTAGGATTATTTTGGGAAATTATATATATATATATATAATAATGATATAGAAAATGGTATTAAATAATAGAAAATGAGAAAAGAGTGAAAGAAAGGATAGCTTCTCTGAGGTCCTCGAATTTGGAAAGTTCAAACAATAATGCTTTGTGTTATGTGTAACTGGTCGTACAAAGTTGTTGAGATTGATATCAACCCCCTTTTTGTCTCCTTTCACACTGTTTTATTGTTTTATACGCAGAATTAGAAAGCAATCTTTCCAAGGGTATGCGAGCAAAATGAAGACAGACTCGCCACTAGATGCAGAATAACGAGGAGATTCTTGCTGTAACAAATAATTGTTGAGCTTGATGTTATTTATCTCTTTTCAAATATGTGAGGCTCTCAATTGTGTGTCTATGGCCATTCCGCTTCTTCATAGAAAAAAGGGGTGCTAAATAAACTCCCTTTACACTTTGTCTCGCTCTCCCTCACTGTCTTGTGCAGGATGTAGCATCGTCTAGATGCTCAATGAGTCATCAAAGTATGTTATTGTATCCCGCATAAAGTGAATCCAATAATTCATTAGATGTAGGAGCAACCGCGTAGATACTATCATATTGTATTTTACAGGTATGTGTTTAAGCTTCTGAAGGTTTAAGCTATCATCTATTAAAAGAACTCTGAGCCAATTAAGCACCCTAAACAAGGGCGAAGGGAACGCTTAAAATTCTCTTGCTAACATTTGGACCCTTTTTCATTTTCCTAAATTGTTACTTATATTGCAATTCAAACGCATCTCTTAATGTTTTGATTAAGGAGAAGAAACGGAAAGGAACATTTCCAGATTAAAAATCGAACGCCGGAAAAGAAACGCCAAATATTTGTTTACTTTTATTATAAGCTTTTAACTTTTGCGCAGAAATCTATTATTCGTTTAAAGGCTAGTGTCAACTGTATAACGTAGTATTGAAAAATACTAGTGAAGATCAAGAATTTTGTCGTACTTAGCATGTAAATTGCTATCGACAATATCTGGTTTTCCGTGCTGTAATAGATGCGGTTGAGCAATAGCAGTGCCAGCAAGATGAATGGGAAGAAGCTTGTTGTTGTTGCTTTCGTAATCCTATATGAGGTGGGTTAGGAGGAGGTAGTAGGGTTGATAGACCAGTAAATGATCGAGATATAGCTACGACATGTGATCTATTAAGCTGTTGTTGCGAATTGTGATCGTAGTATCCGGTCAGTAAATTTGAGCCTCGTTGAGGACTGATGATTGTAGAGGTATATTGGCTACTCTCTCGATGACCCTCTTGCTGCAGTAATGATGACTTTTCGAATATCTGCAATGGTGCTATACTATTTGAATAGTAATGTGTAAAACCCCGTAATAGAATAATATAATCTAATTGTTGCAGAGAAGCGTATTTAAATTAGCTTTGACCTTTTCATATAGATTTACTTGAAATTACCTTTAACTGCTTCCCGAGAAAGGCGCGTTAATCTGAGAGAAGTTGTTGCAACCATAATGTTATGGTGTTTATTAACTGCTGCAGTTCTGATACTTTGCGGGAAATTTTGATACAGCCCAAACAACAGCAATGAGAATCAAATATACAGCCACAAAGAAGTAATTAATCCAACACAGCCATAAACAACCCATTGATATCCAAACTGAACGTATCTGTGCTATCCAGTAACCCTATATTTGCCATATTTAGATTATCAACAATATCCCTTTTAATCACCGTCGATGATATTACCTCTTGCCGCTCATTTGGCTAAGATTGATGGACCAGTCTCTCAGCCGACAGTGGCTAGAATATAAACAGATACTACGTTATTACTATTAGGAACGAATTGTTTTGTTATCCAATGAAATAAAAAAAGCAAAAAACTCCCTGTGAACTAATGTATGAATAAGGAATAAAATTTGAGGTAAGATAAGGCTGGTAAGCCCGCTATACCAATAAAGTGTGATATCTGTGACTCTATGTGCTTTTAATTTGCAATTCCATAGGCAAATAATTGTTAATGATTCATTACTGTCAATAATTGTAATTGCTTGAGTGGCTAAAAATGTTGTAAAAACTGTAAAACACCAATAGCCATCAGTGTAACGGAAAGTATCTACACATTTAAGATGGCTGTAGCCCATGGAGCAAATATGAGGCACATAATAGCTTGCTTATTTTTGGATATTTGAGCAGCAATATCGCCTAATGGCAATTTCAGGTTTAGCAGTTGAACAGCCTATTCCATAGGACATACGTCTATGCAATTGAAACTGTTGTGTTAATGACTTCATTGATTAATGTACTATATTCTTTATTATGAATGATTAAACTGCAGAGCTGTAATCTTTCGTCTTCTCCTTAACTTTACCTTTTGGAGCAGAGTTCAATTGTTGGTATTCAATGGGCATCCCCATTCACTATATTCGCAAAATATTGACATTACCTTAATTTAATTTGATGGTTCTTTGTCACACCCACTGAGTTCTCTGTTTTGTCTGTTGAATAAACTGAAAGTTGGAAGTAGCACGCATTAGTTTTTGCTGACCAAATCCGCATTAATCCATCGAATATGAATGTAAGGTTTACCTGTGCTGTTGTGATTCAAATTTATATATCCAATTCAGTAGACCTTCCCAAGAGATTGAATGCGTGTTCATTTTATTTTTGATCAAGTTGACTATCGACCAGCAGATTTAAAATAAATTATGTTTAATATTACAAAGAGTGAAATTCTTGTCATTTTCGAATGTCGTTATTGATGTATGTGATACAATAAAAGCAGAGTATCACTGAAATGAGACTCACTCCTGAATGCTGCTCTAAAAAGTAATGGTGTACTGTGTATTCATCAATACAGTAATAAGTCAGAAAAGGCTATAAATCTCTTTCAAGATCTATGCTCTTTTGACACAAGAAAGGGAGCTGTGGCTTCTGTTCCTATATGCAGAAAATGGAAATATGGGCTCTTTCCACAATTCTGCGGCTGTGATGCCGTTTGAAGGCGAAATAGCCTTATATCAGTTTGTACAATCTGTTCGATGCAAGCAAAACTGTCGAATCAAACATTGGACCTGAGTTTCTTCGTGCTATCTAAAAAAGAGTAAGCTTTCGAGTGGAGTCAATGTGTACTAAGCTAAATATAGCGATGATCTTTAACAATGAATCACTTAAAAAGAAAAAATCAGGCCATTTTTTCAACAGAAAAACGGATTTGGCAGTCGGAATTACAAAGTTTAAATGATTTTTTGATTTTTTGATTTTCTGGTTAGAAGTGGGGGGAAAGGAGTGGAGAAGCTTCTTTTTTTTTACTTTTTCTTTACTATTTTTTCAGTTTCAGTGTTTAAAATGGAAGCTTTTGCGCCTCTTCCGATAAACTTATTTGCAGATTCTGATCAAAGTAATGGAGGCGGTAGTAATAGAATCAACAATAGGGATGATGAGGCTGCTGCCTATTTTTCACTTTCACAATTTGATTTCGAACTGCAACAACAGGCACAAGCGGCCTTACTTCAACAGAATTTATGGCAAGATTTCGATAAATACCTACCAATGGATAGTCAGCCTTTCAATCCAATGAGTAACAACTTGAATATAGACACTACTACTACCATGACGAATAGCAGTAGAAGTCAAAATCTCAACAATAACGCAAATATTTTATTAAGGAGCAGAGAAGCTGAGTCTATCTTTACAACACCAACTACAGCAACATCTGCTGCCGCTAGTACAGCTCAATCTACGAACAGTAGTGATTATTTCAATATACCTTCCGCCAATAATACACCATTGCTTTATGAGCCCTTAAAAGATTTATTACCACCGAATGCTCAACAACCTATTGTGGTATCTCAGCATCCATCCGTTGTATCAACAAATTCTAACTTTATCGAAAATAATAATATCGTAACCACCGGAAATTCTTCTACCCTGCCGCCGCAACCAACAAATTGGGTTACTAAAGAAATTGATAATAGCAAAGCCAAACAGGATTATGCTAGTCCAGAATCCCTACCTTATTCTCCACCTCAGAATATGCAATCCACAATGTCTTTGTCGCCCCCTTTGCCCAATTCAAATCAACAAGCTATAAGCTTCTTCCAATTCCCCGAATCAGCATCACCCACTTCCGAAAGTAATAAGCCAACCACAACTGCAGCATCTGTTATTGATACATCTACGAGTTCTATTGCTGCTATACCTGCTGCACAGAACCATACAACAATACCAACAACTTGGAATCCATCAGTAACAGTGAATTCGTCCACAGAAGGAACGCAAGGTGTGTATTAATAATAAAAAAAGTTTTTTTGTTCGCTTAATTTAGCCGATAAGCCAATCAGAAAGATAATATACTAAAGATACCCTTAATAGCCAAACTCCCCATTCAACGCTTAAAATACAATAACAGTCAAACTAATGGTGGCAGTTTCAACGTTGGAACGAACAACAGTCAACCTACTTCAGGGCGTCAACAAAAGAAGACGGCCCACAATGCCATTGAGAGACGCTATCGTAATAACATTAATGATCGAATTGCTGAATTAAAGAATGCCGTACCCGCTCTTCTTTATGCGAAAGTGAAAGATAATTCCAGCCGTTCCTCGAACAATGTAAACAACAAGCGGTCTCATAAAGGTGTCGACGACGAGGATGATGATGCTGAGGACGGCGAAGAGTATTTAGATGGCGTGGCTGTTGCCACCAAACTTAATAAAGCCACTATCCTCCGAAAAGCGACTGAGTATATAATTCATTTGAAAAAGACAGGAGAAGATCTTCGACAAGAAAATCAAACTTTACAACAAATCCTTAAGCAATTACCGGGCGGCGCCGAAGTTCTGCAACAATACCTGAGTCAAAAGGAGCAGAGAGAAAAGATGCTTCAAAAACAGCAATTGCTCGAAAGAGAGAGTCAAAAGCAGCAAACTGCTCAACAGCGTAGAGCAGCTAGTAGAAAACGTACCAAGTATAATATTACACGTGAGCAAGATGAATATGATTCATCATCGAGTAGATCTTCGTCGACAGATCCAGAAACTCCACCTGTTGCTTCGAATATTTCGAACCGAGTGTTTATGGCTTTGTTTATGTGTATTACTTTCTTCTCCACATCACCTTTAACGAGTGGTGGATCCAGTTATTCTGAGCAATATCGTAATCATCACCATACGTCTAAAGCAAACAGAATACCCAGTGATAACAACAATAATCCTTTAAATCAAGCTTCTACAACAGCGAACAGCTTTAATGCTACACATATCTCATCTTTACAACAGCAATCCACATTAAGCTCCTTCTTCAGCATCAATGATGGATGGTAAGTTTATATGCCTTCGCACTGACAATGCTCACCTGTTTTACTTATTATTTTATTGCGCTTTCCTCTTTTAGGTCCACGCTACGTAATGTTGTTTTCATCATTTGCATAATTCAAGTCTTTTTACCATATATCAAGTCGATGTTAAACTCTTCCTTTAGACTAAAGCGTGTTCATGCATCAAAGACTAAAAACAAAAAGTTCAGAAGAGGAGGACTTATGGAAGAAAAAGTCAAAACGGCAGGCGAACTGAAATGCGAGAAGATTTACTCGATACTTGCCAAGTCTTTAAGGGCCGAAGGGGAATTGGTGATTGGAAACTCTTCCGTGATCTTCTTACACTTCATGAAAGAGTGTATTTTGTTAGTCTGCCATCATTTGTTCGGTTTTGATGTCGTAATAGGCGGAAATACGCGCAATGTTGAGACAACACCTGAAGAAGCATTGAATCGAGTTTGTATGTGGATTAAATTGAATGAATTGAAATGCGTTGGTGGAGACGGTGGATCATCCCAGGCTCCCAACCGTTTATCAATGGTTTATTCTTGTTTCCGCATGATCAATTCGGTTGATACTTTAAGCAACGACGAAAATGATCTGGACGAAAATGATCTGGACGAAAATGTAATTGCTCAACTCTACTCTCGTGCTTATGCAACCGCTGCATTTCAAATGTCTCTCGTGTTACCCAATAAGCTCGCTCACCGTCTTAGTCGCTATTTCTGGTCTTGTGCTGTGACTAACAGTAAATGTTTCGATGGTGGTGATCTGCATTTGATAGAAGGAAGTGATGCTATGACAGAGCAAAGTGATATGTGGATGCAATCTTTTTCTTGGGTTGATCCTGATCTGTATGAAGATGACAATGGTGCTGTAGTGTATGATGTCTACAACAGCCAAGCTTGGATTGAAACTTGTGAAATTATACGAAATCAATCAAACTGCGTGTCATCTGCCAAAAAATTCTCTCTTTCGAATCTTTCTCTTTCTTACAATGCCCCTGTAACCGTTCCAATGGCTATCTTGTCGAATTTACACTTATTGGATAATCTTCGTATTCAATTTGATAAATTGGTTGTAATGTTTGCTTGTCAAGATGAGGACGACGTTGACGACATTGCCCACAGTAATAGCAATGTAACCGCTTTTCTTGATATCATACTATTAACCGAAGCAACGACTGATGAGAGCATGGATAATGATCAACGCTTGGTTAATTGGTTAGCGACAGTTGGTCTTCTATCAGAATGTCTTTGGCGGGACGAGTTAGAAGAAGTTGAAAAACACCTCTCCTCCCTGATTCATCGTATTCCTCGATGCATGACATGCAGCGCCTCTTCTAATGCCCAAAAAGAACTTTTAAATCATTTGGATGAAACACTTAAAAAATATATGATTCATATTCTTGTGGGCTCCACTCTTTTACGAAACAAAGATCCACAAAAGCAAAAGCAAGGTTTAGAAGAACTAGAAAATGGCGAAGCACTCCGTATACCCATCCGTAAACTTCAGGCCAAATTACGCTCCTCGTTTACTGATAATGGGGAAGCAGTAGCTGGGAACGATTTTAATAGAAGCCTGGAAGATACTGTGATGATACAAGCCGAATTTGCAGTAGCATTTTTAAGTTTAGAATCATGGATGCGTGCCCTTGACATCTTAGGAAGTGATGATAACACAATAGCCACAACAACGGAAAAAATTACTGTTTATGAAGAGCGAATCAACGAAATCACTTTGTATTTGCGCCGTTTAATTGGATGTCCAGCTTTACAGAATGTGCCTGAGAACGTCATTATTGTAGATAATCTAAGCAGACTAAACCGTTTTATAACATATCTTGGCGATGCAGACTCTGCCTGTAATCTTTCAGAAGATGACGATAATGAGGATGACGACGGGGTTTTTAAAATGAATGAAGATGACATACTTGTATCTACTGCATCAAAGAGAGCAAACAATGGGTACCAATCACCAGCCAAGATAGCTGAAAAAGCTCAACATATACTTCGTGGGCATGTGTGAAGTTTTTGTTAGTAGTTACCTTCATTGATCTTATTTATATCGATTTAACCTATAAGATTGAACGTCTTGCGTTATAACATACCTCTATCAACTATATATTATTTATATTCATTTAGCCATATTTATTTTTGCTAAACTAGTACTGTATAAAATAGCTTCTGCTTTTATTTGTTGCCTACTCTAAGCTGGATTGCTCTTCTCTTTTAATTGGCTTCAATAATTCGTTTCGTAAGCTTTTAGAACAGTTATCGTAACGGCTCAATCAAATGGGAAAGAGGCAATTCGCCTCCATGACCAATGACAAGGGCTCACTTTTGGCAATAAAGCATTGATAACTAAATTTGTGTTACCTTGGCAAAAAATTTTATTCGTATATAGCTTTTCGGGATGGTTAACGAACAATTATACCATCTCTTTTACTCTTATTTAAGTATATTCTCCCCTCTATATTAGCATCACTTTCATTACATGGTTAAGACAGTCAATTTTCCAAAAATATTATGTACGGTTAGAGCTTTATATACTTACTCTTCTACCGAGAGTTCCTCCCTATCATTCGAAGAGGGCGACTCCATTGATGTACTCAACCAGCTTGATTCTGGCTGGTGGGACGGCTGGTGTAAAGGAAACCGGGGATGGTTTCCTAGTAACTATGTAGAGGTTATCAGTCAAAGTAATAGTAATAGCAGTATCAATATTAACAACTATAAACAGCAGCAGCAAACTAAAAAGCACACAGAAACCGCAGGATTTCCTGGTTGCTCACTCAACTCTGTGGATACACTTACAAGCAGAAGTGCGAAAAATTCAACGGAATTTGCATTTACCAGCAATACAGCGACCACAGCCCGAGAAAAAAACAATACGAATAACAGGAAGTCATTCCAATCGTCGATAAGAAACAGTATAAGAACATCCGCAGTGGCAAACGAATTGGATGAAGAGAATGATGATGAACACACACCGCCTTTGCCCGAAGGCTGGACAATGCATATAGCAACTGATGGGCGAACAAAATTTTACTTTAACCAACGGACAGGCGGCTTACGCTACACTCACCCAGCACTTTTAGAATCCGAAAATGAAGAAGACGATAGCTGTTGCAGCGTTGAGCAAGATAAATGTGATGACGAAAGTAAGCTCAGAATCGATACTAATGAGTTCGGATCAAGGGCAACCGCTAAACAGCACGGCAAGAACTACAGCTCTTGTTGTAATTCTATAAAATGCCAATGTGAGGTATGTAACTCTTGAATGACAAATTCTAACTTGTAAATCAATAGCTTTATTAATTTAGGTTTAACAGCCAACAGCATTAGGGGAAAGGTGTAAACATACCACATACTGTAATGAGGCACAGAAAGCTAACTGTAGCTCAAAAGCTGATGATGCGGTAAAGATTTAATCAAAGCAACTTAAACGCTTCCACGAGATTCTTATATCTAAATGAATGTCCTTACGTCAGATGTGCACAAGAAAAACCGAGAGTATCAAGGGGAAAGCCACCACGATGAATGGATTTTATGGCAGCAACCGGATGAATAACAGTCCAAATGCACACAATAAGATGTTATTCGAAGAAAATATACCCCGTGACTGGAGAACAATTGCCACGAATATTGCTCGATCAGTTCAAGACCTTCAAAGAGCTATCATAAACACTGAAAATGCAAATGAATTTAGAACAGAAACTTACGCTGTCGTTGATGCAGTTCGATACATGCTGTACTCCTCTCGCTCACTCGACAAAGATGCCATACATCTGCAAGATCAAGAGGTTAAAGAATCTTTACGATTAGTCCTTTCAACTTTAGCCAAACTCATTTTATCGGCCAAAGCAGTGAATGATATCAATACAGATAATATGGATAATAATAAGGTGAAACGTGATGCAGCTGATGTTCTCACCGCTACAAGAAAATTTGTAACTATATGTCAAACAAAAAACGTCCAAATTCAGCAAATCGAACCCATATTAAAAGTAAATGACAGCGAATTTGTAGCTGCAATAGCGCCTCATGGCAATAATAATGGAGCAATAGCGAATAAAAGAGATAGTGGTACTATTATCAACGCAAACAGTATTCGAGCCAAGCATCCTTTAAATCAGGATTTAGTCGTCAGTTTACAAACTCATGCAAAACAAATCGTTGGTTCTACAGATGCTTTGTGTAAAGCAACGACATTTCTATGTCATTCAAAAGAAGAGCAGCAGGGTCAGTTTCATGATGGCAATAGTATATTGTCAACACATCCTTCAAGTGGTGGGCAAAGTCTAATTTTGGAGCAAAAGTCTAGGTCCAATTTTATCCTTTTATTTCAAAACTTGACTTCACAGATCGGGAACTATTTCACTATATTAGAGGATATTGACATCAGTAATGTAGATGTGAGTCAGCTCCATTCTCTGCCTGACTACTATTGTAACAAGCAGAGGTTGTATAATGCAGTTGGGCTACTGTTCAGCGCCATACAAACATTAACCGATACTAAGAAGGACTTAGCGACAGCGGTTGCTTCGGTTGAGCATAATATTGCGAATGTGGAGAATACGATAGAGATGATATTTTCCACTGTAGTGCAAATGGTAGCTGAAAGAAAAGTTTGGCTAATGAGAACAGAAGACGGTGGCATGAGTACCAATAGCGTTTATAATAAGGATGGAACTGACACTTGCGATAATAGTACAATTACTCCAAACAATACTTCTTTCAATGAGGTTACCTCGATAGCCTCTTCTCCTCACAATGGACCTCACTATTTATCGATACGTTCTCCCAGCAAAGAAGCGCCATTACCACAGCAAGTATCAATTAACAATTCTGCACAGCAGAACGAATCTTTACAGAAACAAACCAGCATCAAATTACCTCGTTCTATAAACAGTTCTAATAAACGCACTATTATCAATCGACAACTCAGCAATAACAATGTAATGACCAACGGCGCGAGCGATAATGCTCAGGCCACGGCTAGGTCACAGTTTTGGTTTTTGGGTTATGACTACGATGAGAACGATATTGAATTTACGCAAGACAAGAATATTAAGGGTGGAACTTTAGAGGTACTAGTTGAACGGTTGACACTTCATGATTATATCGGTAAGAGTACTTGCAAAATTGACTTATAAGTGAAATGTTTCCTGACCTAATCATCCTTGGTTGACCTTAGATATGAGTTTTATTGCAAATTTTTTGCTCACTTATCGATCTTTTTGCACAACAGAAGAGTTCGTTGCTTTGTTACAGGAGCGCTACAATTTAGCCCCTCCTGAGAGCTTAACACCCGATGAATTAGAAATATGGACTGATAAAAAGCAGAAGTTAGTTAGACTACGGTAAGGAAAAGGCTTACTACTGATGCTTACGTGTGTAAACTTATTTTAACTTTATTTACATAGTGTCTTCAACGTCATGAAAAATTGGTTGGAAAACTATTACAATGACGAAGATGAATTTATTCTCGACAAACTCCAGTTTTTTGCGAACACTGTTATTTGCGATTCATCTTCTTTTTCTGCAGAGCAGCTTAACCGGCTCATTCGAAAGAGAAGAGAGCTAGAGGAGAACACTGGAGGGTTGAAGAAGCTGATACCAAATGCATTGTATGGTCCTATGCCTATCATGCCGAAAAACTTGCAGCACATTCATTTATTAGACACGGACCCTTTGGAAATGGCTCGACAGCTAACCATCTTGGACTTCAAACTATATAGCTCAATTCAACCAATTGAATGCTTGGGAAAAGCTTGGTGTAAGGATGGATCAACAGCTGTTAATGTGAAGCAGTCTATTGATTACTGTAACCGCTTGACAGCGTGGGTCACAGGAACCATTTTGAGCAATAAGGAAGCCAAAAAACGAGTGGTATTACTGAAATATTGGGCTCAAGTTGCCAATGTAAGTTCTTATATTTCTGTGCATAACATATAAAAAGAAACGAAAAGTAAAACCTATAATTTTTTTACCATAAAAATAGCGTTGTCTTCAGATGAACAATTTCAACACGTGCATGGCCGTACTTTCTGCGTTTGATAATAGTGCTGTGGCAAGACTGAAAAAAACATGGGAGCTAGTCAGCGGTCGTACGAATCAAGGACTTGCGCATATTCGAAAAATCATGGGCTCGAATAAGAATTTTCAAGAGTATCGGGAAATGATTCACTCAGTGAACCCACCATGTATACCTTTTTTGGGCATTTATCTTCAGGATTTAACCTTCATTGAAGATGGAAATCCTGATATGTTGAAAAAATCCAATAATTTGATCAATTTCGCCAAAAGGCAGAAAGCAGCAGAAGTAATTCGTGAGATCAAACAGTTTCAATCACCACCTTACAATTTCCAATATGTGCCTGAAATCCAAGTATATATAAAAATGCAACTCGAAACAAGCAAAGATATCGATTTCCTGTACGAACGTAGCTTGGAACTAGAGCCCAGAAACAATAATCCCATGACAGTATCAGATCATGCAGCATAATTTCGATGAGTGTGCAAATATGATATGAACATAACTAATCATCCATTAGACATCTTTACGGCAATTACAATGTAAAAAATTATACCTACTTTAGTCTATTACTTCTTGATTACACACTTGTTAGACACAAAAATATAGCATTAAAAGCCAACTTTACACAAACTCATTGTTCTGTTTAATACCTGCTTCGAAAAAGGTGTTTTTTCGGTCTTTACCCATATACGGCTAACAAAATGCATTGATGCATGTACAAGAAATTTCAGTTTTCCCTCCACACAAATCCTTGATTTTCGTTAAACATGGAGAATAAACCTCTTTTCATCGTCTTCTTCTCTTTAAATTTTACATATTGTTTCTTTTCCCTTACCGCTTGTTTAGTAATTTTATCAAAATGAACGCTATTTCTCTACCAATTGCTGTGGATTGTGTCGATGTTACGCGGATTGTTTCATCGTTGAATAAGCTCACTGCAACTTTTACGCGTGCAGAACGGAATTATTTCCTCAGCATCCTTTGCTCTGTATTCGCCGGTAGCTACGTTGTCAGATCACTCTGGAAAGCCCTTGTTGTCCCAAAGCACCTCCGCCATATCCCAAAGGTCAATTCATTGCGTTGGTTCTGGAGTATCATGATCGGTGAAAGTCATGATGTCCGAATTAAAAAATTGATGCTTCCTTTAATAGCTGAGCATGGCCTTTGCTTAAAGTATATCTTAGGTCGCTGGACGGTGACAGTGGGTGATCCGATTTTATTACAAACTTTATTAAAGGATGTCTATACCTATCCGAAGGAACAAGTGACTATGGATCGAGTAAAGTGTTATAGAACAAGAGAGCGACTGCGTTTAAGCACATAATCATTTATTAACTTATGGCGACAACTTCGATCTGAATGTAGGATCTTATCTTAACAAATCAAGAGCCCAACATGGGAAACGCTAATTATACAGACTGGAAAAGACAAAGAGGCATTGCCAATCCGGTGTTCCACAGAGCTATGCCAATAGAAACATTTGGTCAGATTGCTCTAAGGATGTTCGCTTCTATGAATGAATATAGTCGAAATGGTATCATTGATGCGGCTGACTACATGCGAAGGTATGAGTCAAACGTTTATAGTACAAAAGAGTGATACGTCTGGTTATCCTTCGTCAGTATGTGTAACCTTTTTTTTGTTTTTCTTCATTTTATTTGTAGATATGCTCTCGACTGTCTTGGTCTAGGGATCTTTGTAAGCAAATTTAGGATAAGATACGAATTATAGTAACGGTTCAGAGTATATTCTTAATATGTTTTCTTCAGGATTTTGATATGCAAGCTGTAACTGATCCCAATTCACCTTACGCTACATTGTACAAACAAGCATTCAGTATGTGCTAGCAGAACCAAAATTGATTATAATATAAACTAAATGATTTATCTTTTAATTTATAGGCATTGTTAGAGATCCTTTCGTATACTTATTCCCAGCTTATGCTCGTATCCCTTCTAAATACATTCCCTATCGAAATCGCGCTCGCTTGGCGAATGAAAGCCTCCGCAAAATCCTGGCTGATATAATTACAGAACGTAGAAATGCTATTGGCAGAGGAAGCAATAACAAAGACCTGCTCTCGCTCATGATCATGGCTGCTAATGGCCACTCTGATAATACGAATGCATATTTGACCGATGGAGAACTAGTTTCAAATTTAGCTGTATTCTTTGTTGCTGGTAAGTTTCTACTTACCTATGAATCTAATTGTATGCGTCCTTTCGTTTCATAGAGGGGTACTCATCATCTTTATGGTGTATACAGGTCATGAAACAACGGCTAGCGCAACGGCTTCCTTTTTGTATTATCTCGCCGCCAACCCTGATATTCAAGAAAAAGCACGCAAAGAAGTATTAGGCATTCTCGGGGATTCACCAGAGGACGTTATTCCCACTGAGGCAGAATTGAAGCAGTTGACCTACTTGAACAGCTGTATATTGGAAACTATGCGTATCAATCCTCCTACCTCTGGTAACCTTCCTCGTATAGTCACTAAAGACACGGTTTTGGGCAGATATCTTATTCCTAAAGAGACACGTGTTGCAATCGTGAGTGTTGTTAATGAATTATCACAAAGCTTACTGGTTTTAAAATATGCATACTTTCTATCCTTCATTTTAGGAGCTTTATTGTGTTCATCATTTAGATGAATATTGGGAACGTCCCTCGATATTTAATCCTGATAGATTCAATAAAGAACATCCTAGCTACAGATCTCAAAGCATGTGGATGCCCTTCGGAGATGGTCCACGAACTTGCATCGGTAAAAACTTCAGTTTACAGGAGCAAAGAATAATGCAAGCTATGTTTTTGAAAAGATACACTTGGAAATTAGCCCCTCGTAGTGAACATCTTCATGGCCTTAAGAATGCTAATGGTGGTGGAATTGGTTTATTGGGCCCTGAAACCTTGCATATCCAGTTAAGCAAAAGATATAATAACTAGATTATACAAATCCGCTCTTTTTCAGAATTAATCATTTCGTGATATATTATTACATAGAAGTAGTAGTAAATTTGGCTATTAAATAGGAACTATTGTGAATGCCATACTATATAAATAGAATTGTGTATATGATACGTATAATATCACTGCTGAACAGATAAAGTAGCCTTCTATACATTATTTGTGGTATCCGTATCCTTGTTGGATGTAATCATATTAGAAGTGGTGTGTATAGTATCGTTAATAGTAGTACTCGTTGTGAATGGCTGCTGCTGTTGCTGATCGTCTGCTGCTGCTGTTGTGATATTCGATCTATTACTCGATAGCGTATTATCTACCAAATCGTCAGCGAGTCTGGCACGTGCTTTGTATATTTTTGGCGGGTTCCCACATCGATCTTTTCCATAACTTATCCTAAATTTCTCATATTCCTCTTTATTCCTAATTCCTTCGATGGCATTCATGGCACTACTGATGCTCATGAAATTGACAAAAGCGCAATTCTTTTCTTTCAAGGTGTTAATTAGTTCGATGTCCCCAAATTGACTAAAGTCATCCCTCAATCTTTCTTCGAATGAATTTTCATCGAGAATATTGGCAAAATCGATATTCCCAATATAGACATTGCGTGTCGCTCCTTGTTGAACAGCTCGAAACACATCTGACGGTAAAGCGGAGGGTTTTCCCCAACCTACTTTCAAACGACGATTCTTAATGATGATAGCATGCTGATTCACTTGGTGCATGAAGGAAAGCGCTGCATTCGAATCCAGAAATGTAACAAAGGCAATATGTTTCTCTGGCATGAATCTCAATTGTGATAAAATGCCCCCACGTACAGAATTGCATATGTCCTCGGCAGTTGTATCTGGATGAAGGTTACCCAAATAAATAGTTCGGTTTGCCACTTCTTCTGTGACAAAATGCTGTGGTTGTTGATGATATAAATATGGAGGTAGTCTTGATGAAGGTGACATCATGGCTGCTGCTGTTGTTGTATCAAATGGAGCGTATTGTACATTATTATAATGATGATGTGAGGAAAAGTTTGTCGAGGAAGGTGCTGGCTGATAGATTGCTGTATTCGGAAGCATGTACAAATGCTGTTGCTGTGAATGTTGAGGCTGATAATGAGGGTATCGTATACTACGTGCAGGAGCACATCTGTCTCTGCCATAGTTGATACGTTTGGCCTTCCATTTACTTTCTAGTTGAAGTGTATTTACACATTTTACTGCATTAGAGACGCATAAAAAATGAACAAAGGCAATATGCTTCTCGGGAATAATTTTAACATGCTCTATGTGTCCAAATCGTGATAAATCCTCTCTAAGTTCTTCCTCAGTTATATCGTCCAAAAGACCAAGATAGACATTGCGGGTTGCTCCATTTTGAATAGCTGCATGCAATGCTGTTGGTAGTAAACTAGGTTTACCCCATCCTATTTTCAATTCATTACCCTCTACGGTCAGTCGACTTTTGGGATCACTCGCTCTCTGAAAAAAGTAATGGGCTGTTATTGCATCTAGAAAGGTGATGAACAATCCGTTCCTTTCTGGCAATGGACGAATCGACTGAATAGGCCCTGCTTTAACGGAATCTAATATAGTCGATACAGATATATCATTTGGTATATTTCCTAAATAGACTGTTCGTAAAGATGGATCTAGTAATAATGGCTCCTGTTTATGATAGTAGCAAGGCGGCTGTTGGTTGTAGCCTGTTTGGTGGTTCATCATATTTTGGCTCTCATGACTATTTTGGAAAGGAATACCGTCAAAAGAATTGATATATCACCTAACTTGTGAAAGCAGCATTTAAAATAGAAGGCGCGGCCATGGTTACCTATAGAAATTTTGATTGTCTTGCTGATTGCCGTCAGAGGTTGAAATGTGTGGTTGGCCTGAAGGCAACATAGTAATGCGAATGCAGGGTTTAGATGGAGGGACAGATTTAAATGTGTAGAGGAAAGAAAGAGAAGTTGAAAAAAGTATTTTTTACGAAAACACAAAATAAAATGGAACTAGTTCTTTTTTTCTCTTTTTCTGTTGCCTCGTTATTGTTCTACCCATATTTGTTAATCATGCGTGGAGATTGGTTATAAAAAGCTCGGAAGCTTTTAAAGATATTGTTTGCAGAATCTTAACTTTATCATTAGATATTCTTGACTATATTTTGAAATGATGTACCCTTTCTCAGAGGCATTATTCATGCAACGTAACAATTTAAGCCCTTGAAGCGCTTAGATTAACCAAACGAAAGTAAGTGTAAAGAATTATTCTTCGATTTTAAATGTTTCAAATGCAGATGTAGCACAGCCTTTGTCGAACTTTACTGTCGATACAGAAAGAATGGGTTAAATTTCAACTAGTCTGATAATGTAACAAACTGATCGACTATGTTGAGTTCAATGCAATGGAAACTTGAGCTTTAATGTCAATTCATGTTTCTTTGTATGATAGCGAAAGTTCAACTTTATTTGCGTTAGAATCAAAGATAGCCGTTTCTAGGGAATTTTGCTGCAGATTTTTCGTTTTGGCTTACTTATCAATTATCTTTAATGGCATTGCCCTTTCCACACGCTACCATCCTCATACACCTCCTTCTTCCATATAGGACATTTTTCTTTCAAACGATCAATAAGATGGCGCGTTGCCTCCATTGAATCTGCTCTATGGGTTGATGATGTCGCTACCACAACGCTGGTCTGCCCCACAGGAACAGTACCTATTCTATGATAAATAGCTACGTGTTGCAAATTCCATTTATTTCTCGCTTCTCGCACAAGCTGCATTAATACTTTTTCAGCCATTGGTATATATGCTTCATACTCTAATTTCACAACTTTTTTTCCTATGAAAGAATTTTATTGTAAATAGCAATATATATGGATATAAACAAATTGACAGAGGCGTAGGGTACCCTTAAATGTGTTCCTAGTCGTGCCAGAGAAGGTACTGATAGCCCCTGCTGCATCATCCTGTACTGAATTTGCGATTTCATCCAGTGTTGGTAATGGATCTGCTGTTACCTCAACAATATCTTTATGGCACATGTAGTTCGTTATATGGGCTACTTCTCGATTATGCTCAAATAGAAAAAAAAGCGGGGTACAGTTCACAATTGCATTCTGCACATTTTGTGTTGCAGAACTTAGGCGGTATTTCAACACGCTATCGGATAGGAAAGTGCCAATAACCCAAGCAATTTGTCCCAAAGAATAAACTTATTGTAATGTCAGAAAAAAGCGGCATAATTGCATTCTTCACGATAATTCTTCCCAAAGGAGGTATTTCTTTAGCAGTGGTAATATCTTAGTCATCATGGCCATTTCAGCTGCGATACTTGCTATTAAGGAAATACAGTCACTGAACTTTAAATGACACACAATGTGGCTTACCAAGGCACTTCCAATAATTTCCTGTCATTTATTCTCTACTGCTCTACCAATTCTATCGACCATCATTTCACAATGGCCTCAGAAATTGCCCAAGCAGCTGAAAAGCTCAGCATCAGTGAAAGTAAAGAAGTTTTTGATAGAAAAGGTTTTATTTTTTTGTTTGCCTTTTATGGAGTGACTGAATACCTTGCGCTTTTCGTTTCTTTTTTTTACCTCCAGCCGTATACGTCGATGAAGTTTCTGGCTGTGATGCTCAAGGCACCGGTGCCGAAAATGCTCCTTTCAAAACTGTCCTCAAAGCCCTCGAAGTAAAGGGTGAAGACGTTAAAATTCAAATTAAGAAGGACGATGAAGGTTTTAAGGAAATCTCTGGCGCACAAATGAAGAAAGCCAAAAAGACACTCGCCGAACAAAAGAAAAAAGCTAAGCGACTTGAAGAACAAAAGCTCAAGCAGGAAGCCGACTTGAAGAAGAAGCAAGAAGATGAAGCTAAGGCTCTTGAATATGCCAAATCAATTGTTCTTGAGGAAGATAAGAGTCTTCCCGCTGCCGAGAAGGTAATACACAATCTAGGATGAAGCAAAGTATCAGCGTACCTAATGCGTTAGTTTAATGCTCCTAATATAGATTAAAATCCGTGATGCCACACAAAACAGGACCAAGCGTGTCAAAGTTTCTGGCTGGGTTCATCGTCTTCGTGTCCAAGGTAAGGACATGATGTTCATTATTCTGCGTGATGGTTCCGGTTACTTACAATGTGTCTTGACCGGTAAATTGGTAAATGCTATAATCTTTATATGGACAGTTGTACGGAGCCGCTTTTAACAGTTTTTTTTGCTACCTGTAGTGCCATTCTTTTGATGCTATTACACTTACCGTTGAATCCGCTATCACCGTTTATGGTGTTATTAACGAACTTCCTGAGGGTAAAACCGCACCTGGTCATCATGAATTAGTTGCTGATTATTGGGAAGTAGTCGGTAAGGCTCCCAGCGGCGAGGATGCTTTCAATAACAAGGTCACACCTGATGCTGATCCTTCTTACCTCTTGGATAACCGTCATCTTGTCATCCGTGGTGAAACTGTCTCTGCCGTTCTCAGAGCTAGAGCTGAAGTTATCAAGAACTTCCGTGCTTTCTACGACCAAGCACACTTCACTGAAGTCACTCCCCCTTGCATGGTTCAAACTCAAGTCGAAGGTGGTTCTACTTTGTTTGCATTCAACTATTACGGTGAAAATGTAAGCAGATTTTGGAAACAGTTGTATAGAGTAACAATTGAAGTAGTGTTGTCTTATTCCTAATTTTCTTCATGGTTGCACTTTAGGCTTATTTGACTCAATCATCTCAACTTTATCTTGAAACCTGTCTTCCTTCTCTTGGTGATGTCTTTTGTGTCGCCGAATCCTATCGTGCGGAAAAGTCTCATACCCGTAGACATTTGTCTGAGTACACTCACTTAGAAGCTGAAATGGCGTTCATCTCTTTCGACGATTTATTAGATCATCTTGAAAACCTCATTTGTTTCGTTATTGATCGTACCTTAGCCGACGAAAAGACTGCTGAGTTAGTCAAGCAATTGAACCCTAATTTCCAAAAGCCCTCTCGTCCCTTCCTCCGCATGAAATATGCCGATGCCATCAAATACTTGAAGGAAAATGATATTAAAAAGGAAGATGGCTCTTTCTACGAGTTTGGTGAAGATATTCCTGAAGCTCCTGAACGTGCCATGACTGATAAGATTGGCCGACCTATTTTCCTCACTCATTTCCCCCATGAAATCAAGGCTTTCTATATGCAAAAAGATCCTTCTGATAGACGTGTGACTGAAAGTGTTGATGTGTTGATGCCTGGTGTTGGTGAAATTGTCGGTGGTAGTATGAGAATGGATAACAGAGAAGAGCTTCTTCAAGCTTACGGCACTGCTGGTATTGACCCTACTCCTTACTACTGGTACACTGATCAACGTAAGTATGGTACTACTCCTCATGGTGGTTACGGTCTCGGTGTTGAACGTTTCCTTGCTTGGCTTCTCAACCGTTATACTGTTCGTGATTGCTGTCTGTACCCTCGTTTCACTGGAAGATGTACTCCTTAAGTAACTTAGCAAATTATATAGAGACATATAATGTGTATAAATATTTTTTGGCTCATGTTCCCTTAGTGATGAATTTTTGCTCTAACGCTATTTGAATCTGCGTTGACCATGCAAATGTGTCTTGATCTATACTTTAATTTGTTATTGCTTGTTGATGTTGGAACTTTTCGAGAGCATTGAGAGAGAATAATTGATTGATTATCATTACATATAGCCTTTCTGTCTAACCACACTGACTAGATAAGTGACATTTCGTGTGGCCCTCCCTTCTACTATGTACATATGCTTCTTCCATCAATGCTACTACAAAAAAATCAGATTAATATTTGTTAATCGTAGATTAATCGATGTATCCTTTCCTTTCTAAAGAAAATTTTGTTGTGCACACTGATTCTTACTGTTGGGTATGTATGAATAAACAACAGGCAAGAATTCTTTGAGGCCATCGATGGTTCAGATATTAGATTTACTGATTTCCACTGCTTTTAAGTCGTAAAAACTACTGTACTTCCTTCTATCCCAATCAGAACTAAACATATTGGCCTTTCTATGTATATATTGTCAGAGTGTAGATACCGATAAAACCTAGTACAATCTTTGACTTAGGTCAGAATCGAGTCGTGAGAATGCTATTGATCCTTCGTAAGGTACTTCTCAATTTTTAAGCTAAATACAATGGAAGTATTGTCTTCCTTCATCGCTTTTCGCGAGGTAGCAGCCGAATGATCGTTTATCCGTAACCAGTTTTAATTTTCCAAATGAAGAAAGGAAATTCGACCCTCACGACTAGATCTTTAATAACTGTAATCTCACAAAATTCATTCTTTCTGCTGATGCAGATGTTATGCTTTTGTTAATAGTCAATTTGTGCACTTAAATTGGCCTCGAAATAGATTTAAAGGATATCATCAAAAACAAAGCGTGATTTATTGGTAATATGAGAGAAAACAATTCATATCTAATAAGGGCGTAATGATCTATGTGCAAAAAGGATACAATGACGACATATCCTTGTACTTAAGTTGTTAAAAATTCTAAAATATTCGGTTTGAATTAGATGGCTTTACGGATCATGGAGTCTCTTCCGGGACCAACGCCAATCCATTCAACAGGAACACCAGTTTCCTTTTCAATGAAAGCAATGTACTTCTTGGCGTTTTCGGGGAGATCTTCGTACTTAGTGCATTTGCTAATATCGGTTTGCCAGCCAGGAAGGTCGACATATTCAACTTCAATCTTATCGAGAAGATCAAGATCGGCAGGGAAGGATTCTAACCTCTTACCATTCAACTTATAGGCGACGGCAACCTTAATTGTGGGGAGCTGATCGAGAATGTCAAGCTTGGTCAAGTTGAAGCTAGTGTAACCGTTGATAAGAGTAGAATATTTAGCAACGACTAAATCTAACCAACCGCAACGACGCTTACGGCCAGTAGTGACACCAACTTCGAAGCCAACAGTTTGAAGATGTTCGCCGACTTCATTTAATTGTTCAGTAGGGAAAGGGCCACCACCAACACGTGTGGTATATGCCTTAAGAACACCAATGACATTACCAATTGTCTTAGGAGGGACACCAAGACCAGTACAGACACCACCGATAGCAGTGCTAGAAGAGGTGACAAAGGGGTAAGTACCGAAATCGAGATCGAGCATTAAAGCATTGGCACCTTCAACAAGGATACGCTTGCCTTCCTTCAAAGCGTTGTGAATGTAAGGGATAGTATCGATAACATAGGGCCTGATACGTTCGGCCAACTCCTTATAACGTACAAGTTCGGCTTCGACATCATATTCAAAATTACCATAACGCTTGCGTCTGTTTTCAACCATAGTTCTGAAACGAGCAGAGAATTCCTCGAATTCAAAAAGATGATGAACACGAATACCAGAACGAGAAGCCTTAGAAGAGTAAGTGGGACCAATACCCTTACCGGTGGTACCAATACTACCACGACCTAATTCAACTTCTTTGAGGCCGTCAACCTTTTGGTGGAAATCAAAAACGAGGTGGGCACGGTCGGAGACAAGAAGACGACCATCACAGTTGAGACCTAATGTTAATTCCACCCGAATTTAAATTTTAGTCTCTCTGGCTTTCCTTTATTATTCTCTTCCCCTTCATTAAAGAGAGGTACACTACCTTTAGCTTCAATCTTGGCCTTTTCCTCGAAGAATGAAGGTAAATGAATAACGACACCATTACCAATCAAGGCAACACAGTTGGGATTAACCAAGCCTGTCAAAAATTTGTAAGTATCTGTCAAAAACTGACAATCTAGCAAAAATACCAAAACTTACCAGAGGGTAGCATATGAAAATCATACTTGGTATCGTTGACAACGATGGTATGGCCGGCGTTATTACCACCCTATTCAAAAGCGGATCAAAAAACTATGAGTCTTAAAGAATCTTTTGCCGTGTATCATTTAAACTTTCAAAATTGTCAACATACAGCACAACGAGCACAAATCTCAGCTTCACCGCAAAGGATATCGGATAACTTACCTTTACCCTCATCACCCCACTGAGCACCGAGGACAACTGTGAGAGTACCTTTTTCAAAAGCAGACATTCTAATTCGAAGATGGAGAAAACCAACAAGAACATATGCTCCTGAACCTGTTTGGTCATTAAATAGGCCAAAAAATGAGACTTCTTTTCGTTTTCTGACAATGAAAAAAATGCAAGATGGGTAGTTCCGATCGGGAAAGATTGGGTTTCCCATTGTCAAAATTTTTTTTTTATATTAAAGGTAAATACTATCATTGGTTGAATGTTTAATCCGCTATCTATACCATCAACGTGCTGAGAGCTTTACTCAATCAGGTACGCTGTACAGTGACCAGACATTTAACTATGTGTACTTCGAAATAACAATATACAGTTCATATGTACTATCGTTCTTGCGAATAGCTTCTGCCTCAGTAGACTGATCTACTGGGATAGAAGCGATAGAATGACATCCTTTGTTCAAACACGCCCCCAAATTCCTTTCAGAAAAAGACATAATCTACAGATGCAGCTACCGCATATGGGAATGTATGGCTGTATACGAGTCTCAAAAATAATCAATACATATTTTTTGGGCTGTACAAAGCTTATCTAAATGCAAGCGACATTTAAGCTTTCAGTTGAGTCAGAACTTGTCACTTTCTGCATCTATTATTGTTCATGCATTTGTGCCCGGTTTTTTCCCTATTAGATCAGACTGCAAAAATCGATGGAAAAAAAAGGCAGAATTACAAAATATAACAAATACATAAAAACCTTACTAATTTGCGGTCGATAAGAGACGTTAAATAATAAGACGTTTATAAAAAGCAATAATATACAAAAGTTGAATAAGAAAAATAACATGCTAGAATCTAATAGATGGTAGTAGAAGAGGGGAGGGGGATCTGATTTAACTACTGGCTTTGGACGCCTTCTGTTGTTCTTTTTTGAAAAATTCTTTACGGCGCTGTTTGGTCTTGATTTCGTTCTCGGCAGCAATCTTTGCACGCTTCTGTTCCAATGCCTCACGTCGTTCATTATTCTTTAACTTACGCTTACGATCCTTTTCATTACGAAGGGTGTTCAATTGTTGCATTAGGGTCACGATCTTTTTCTCTTCTGGCTCTAGAATAACAGCACGTTTAGCAAGATAAGAAGCCTTCTTACTCTTCGTTGCATTTTTCGGTTTGTTGGCGAATGGTAGTTCAGCTTGTAGAGATTTAGGCACCTTAAGGGGATTGAAACGGCGCTCCTTTCTTTCAACAGGCTTATAGATAGAATCCACTCTCTGAGGCGCATGAAGGTCGTTTTCTTTTCTAACTTGGCCCGTTGTACGCATACCTTGCCACTTTTTGGAAGATAGTAGTAATGATGTGACAGGATTGTAGAACTTTCGAGGTTTGACAGGATACCATGCTCTTAAGAACACAATATCGCTCATAAGGACCTTATCTTCGAAGGTAGCACGGAAGTGACCTTCTGGTTTAGGCAAGGCCTTCTTGACTTGACCACGAATGCCAGAAACAGTACGGATATTGGCACCTTCGAACTTTGCCACTTCCAGAGCGGAAGTGAACATATCCTTAATGAAAGCAGTATTCCTATACACTTTAGTGGGGTAACCAGTAAGCTTGAGCTTCTTGACAATTTCTGCAGACTGACTAATATCTACAACGACACCTGTTGCACTGATACGGAATGACACGCTCTTATTATCAGCAACGTTTTGAACAGCACAAAAACCTGTATTAGGAGTATGCACCGGACCATAAAAAGTAGCCAAACAGTGCATATGTTCAGGTGTATACTTGAGCATACGATTACGTGTACCATCATTAAGGGAATAGATAGGAATCGTTTGGAAACGTCTCCAACCCATTGAAAAGATAAGAGGATCATTTGTTTTCAGTGTCTTGGGGAACCAACGATGACGCTTGATTCTCACTTGAACCCAACCAAATTGGTCTTCACTCGTCAGTAAACCGCCAATAAGAATAGGGTAGGTAGGATTAAAATTTTCCACAAATTCGCAAGGCATATCCTTGAGTAAAATACGAACATAACTACCAGGACGGTAACCTTCAACCATGGCTCTTGTTTGAGGATCATCATTTTCGAATTCAGCACGGTTGATTTCGAGCTGTTGCTCAATCTCTGACTTCTTTTGTTCATAGAAGTCCATCTTTGGCCCTTCATCATCATCACCATATTCTTCTTCGAATTTCCTTCGTAACTGTTCTTTGCGTTTGGCGAGTCTTTCACGTTCAACAGCAACAGGATCACGAATCATGCCTTCTTTATCCCTTTTCTTGCTAGATGAAGTCTCTTCCTCGTCATTTGGTTCTTCCTCAACTTCGTTTTCGCCAGCTTCCAAATCTTCAAAATCGCCTTCAATTTCGTCTTCTTCCGGGGGGAACGCACTTTCTCCATTAGCTGCGTCAATATCACCTGTAATAAAACGGTTTCGAATGGAATCTAATACGTCTTCATCATCCCAATCTTCCAAATCTTCGGGATCTAAAGGATCACGACTAGAGTCGATTATTTCTTTCTTGACATTTTCGTTTTCTCGTTTCAATTTGAAGAACTCTTCGTCTTCATCCTCGTCTGTATTCCCTTCATCATTATCAGCGTTGTCATTATAATTGCCGTTAATAATGTCTTCCGGACTAAGATCGGGACTATCATAAATGAGTGACATCAAGTTGGTACGTCGACGATTAGCGAACATTTCACTGGCTTTTTCTTTCAGATTGGCTTTCCAACGAAGCTCGCCTGCAAGTTCTTCTTCCTCTTCTGCACTTCTTTTTCGATGGCCATCAATAAACACCATATCTTCTTCATTATCATCATCTTCAGCTCCTAAATCACTGTCACTTTCGGCGAATTCAAATGCTGGTTCCTCTTCATCATTTTTATCGTCTTTTTCCCCTTTCTTGGGAATATTTCTCGTATCAAATTTACTCAGGGCCTTTCCTCGTCGAGGTGCATGTTCCTCATCCTCATCGTCAGTATCTTCTTCCATCATATCGTTCTCTTCATCTTCTTCGTCGTCATCTTCGTCGTCATCATCCACATTCATATCATCATCTTCCGCATCTTCATTAGCGAAAACAGCTCGTCGACGCGTTCTGCCATTATCGTCTTCTTCTAAAGATTCCTTCACATCTGCGGCTCTTACTGGAGCTGAGCCAGAGAAAATACGTAACTCAGCATCCTCTAACTGAGACGCTAGTGTGTCTTGCGCATCCTGCAGATCCATGACCAACTTTTCTCCGGTTCCCTGAGGAGTATTCTCTTCTTTATCAGCTTCTTCGCCTTCTTGTAATTCTGATGGCGCATAGGCTGATTTTTTCGTAAAATGGCCAGGTACATTAATATAAACTGCATCTTTATCATACATGACGCCTCCTACGTCGGACATAGGAGCATAGATAAGCTTATGCTTTTCATCCAAACGTTTTCTTTCCTTGTCAGGTAAAGGACAAGGATCGGGTAAAACTGAGACGTCAGCTAAATAGTGGTCACCTGCACCAGGAATATGCACACGCATATTAGGTTTGAGATTGGTACCACGTAAATAACCGTATAAAGTGACGGTACGATCGCATGTAGGTTTTCTATGCAATAATTCTGGATCTGTCAAATCTTCTATACGATCAGCCACCACGTAAGGATGAGTATTACGCCAAATCAAAGGTCTAAACTTCATGACAGATATGAAACGGGATAGGTTTTGAATTTCTAGATTGGGGTATCGGCCGTTGATAATGCCAGAGAGGTAAAACAGTTTAGCACCTTGATAGATTTCAGTCCAAAAACGATTTTTTAATCTCTTCTTCGTAGTTTTCAGTGTTTTGTTGTTGCGAAATTTATCCAAATGAGTGAGAATACCCATCACTTTAGGAAAACCGTGAGATTGTAAAACATTGAGGAATTCGAATGTTTCCTGCACAAATTTAAGTATACATTAATACACTGAAAATCTATAAAAATATCTTTCATAGTAATATTTAGGGGTTTACCATTTCAAAACCGAAACTAGCATCGATCATCAGTAGGACTAGATCTGCGATTTTAGCAACATCGATCATGGAGTTCATGTCGTTGTTGCATTCAATGAAGGTCAAACGTCTTTTTTTACCGCTGACAACGGTAATGGGTCCCTTTATCTCATTCAAATTGTGCTTTGTATACCGCTTTACCAAAGATCTAATAAGTGTCGATTTACCGGTCTACAAAAAATTGATGATTATAAGTGTCCATGTCCTTCTATTTGAGGCTTCAGTTCGAAATGGAGATTAACTTACTCCAGGTGGTCCAACAACTGCAACTACTACTGGAGGTGATTCTAGAGGTGTACGATCAACTAAGGGAACATGAAGCTTCTTCTCACCAATATCAAAGTTTCTGCGCACTGTCTTTTCTGCTCTGCCTGCACTTTGAAAGGTGAAAGCCTTAGGGTTGCTGGACTTTTTTGCATTGCTAAACTTATTCGCTTTTTTGCGCTCTACTTTTTTGCCGGCTTTTTTTGGAACGTGCGCTTTTTGCGTTCGTTCCTCCATCATAAATTCTACTTATGAATCGCAGTTAAGGAGATCTGCTTCTGTCAAATTTTTTATTTTTGTTTTGGAAATGCAAAACTAAGAAGCAGTCATCACTGTGAATAAATTTAAACGCCGTCCGACGACTGAAATCAAAAAAGAAACATGCTGATGGCTTTATATGGCACAATACCGTTCGTAAGAAAGGACGTTGATAACGAAGGAGGACAGTGATTGGCTAACTGTTAAAGAACCTGTCAGCTCAGTTGAGAGAAGATATCGTTCGTAAGGAAATGAAAATTCCTGAATTAGAAGCACACTACAGAATTTATATACTCAACATGGATATAAGCTGTAAGGCAACCATTTCTTTGGTAAGACTTCCCTTTCTGGAGTTTAAGGACACCGCGTAGCTGTCACACGTTGAGTCATTCCAGTTGCAGTGATGCTGAATTATACTTGTGCCTGAACCTGTGGCTAGTTCAACTTTGGCCAATGATTAAATGGCTCTGCGTGCACACTGCTGTTTAACATGTGAAAAATTGAAATCTACCCCGCATTGATGAATTTCAAAAATCTCATTGAGTATGATTTTCGAGCAGCGTTCTTTTTTCTCTTTAAACTTTTTATACCTTCCTTTTCTTTACTTCTGAATTTCTATCTTTTTTTATAACGTCTGATTCGATATAGCTATTTTTTCTTTATAACCTACACCATAACGAAGACCTTTATACAATTGTAATGACAGGATCAGCAAAGCGATCGAGATTACTTCCAACTTGGATCTTACGATTAGTAGGCATCTCTTCGATAGCCACAGTTATCATAGGCTTCGTTGTATATTATGTCAAAAAGTTTCCTCCGAGGCGTAGAATAGGGAAGAACGATGAAGGTACAGAAAGTTCGCAAAGTAGACAAAATCTCTCTCAACAGCAAGAACAGGTATGGAAGCGTTGTTAAGTAGGATTGTTAACACGGGCTAAGGCAGCTTTCTTCAACAAATTTTAGGCAGTAGGGCAGGATAGTACATGGGGAAGCAAATGGTTAAATAACCTGAAATCAAAGGTTAGAAAAAATAGAAAGAAGATGACAATATCTCTTAAGAATGTAAATTTTCGCTATATTTTCTGGTTGCCCCAATGATTTTTATGTCACTCTTTGATACTAAGCTTAAAGTGCTATTCTTTGTTTAGACCATATTGTGGAATCCTTCACCTGACGTTACCACGCCTATTTATGGTTTTAAAGAAAACAATTTGAAGCTTCTTGCAGGATTATCTTATATATACGATATTTATATTATTGTACATGTCAATTCTGAAGAAGAAAAGTCGAACATTGACAGTTTATTAAAAGCTAATCTCAAACAAGGCAGCTTCGACAAACGCAAGATTCTTTATTGCTCAGAGGAAGAGGGTAAAGTTCATATCGTCAGGCACATTGAACCTTTCATTCATATTGAAGGCGGTTGGGAAATGGATGATGGCGAGAATATTGTGAAGAAACTGAAGCCATTTATACATAAGATTGTCTGGTTATTACCAAAGAATAAATTGGAGGCAAGCAAAGATGTTCAAGTTGGATCAAACATAGAAGTATCCGATTCATTCATAGATACCTCAATTGCTCATGAAATAACCCAACAACTTTAACCAATTTACATATTTATTCCCATATTGTACTTTTATACAAAATCACAGTGCCTTTCTTTTTTCGCGCTATATTTAACATGAAAACTGACTTGTAGAACAAGCAATAATTAAAGAAGAAACAATCTAAACCATATTGAAAGCCAAATGTTAATATCATCAGCAGCTTTTGTAGAAGAACTATTCATGTCTCTTCTTCTTTTCTGTCTCTTATGTATCCTTTTAGTGTCTTTATCCACTATTATGCAAGCTTTGTCAAACGAAATATTGGATTTGAATAGTTCATACATCCAAAAGCGCACAGACACGCGGCGTTCTTTTTTGCATCAAAATTTCGTTTCGATGTAATGGTGGAAGATAAAATGTCAAGATACGGCTATAACAGTCAAGCTATCATTAAAACTCGAGTGAAATTTCTCCCTTAGCAGTTCTAAGAGTTTAGCTCAACAATCATTAGTTTTTACAATAGCTCTGTTCTTGCCCCCCCCCAGCATATGTATTTACGACCATAACTCAAAGATAGCTATTCATAGCATTTGACCTTCATATAGTTACACTAAGTGGATTACTCTACTAAAAAACTGTAAAAAAAAACAATTACTTAATATAGCATTTAGCATGTTGAGGATTAATAAGTAGTTGATTCCATGCTCAACGCCTGTACCTCTGATTTTGTTAATTTGTTTTTTCTTTTCAATTCTAAGATGAAATCTGTAATCTTATTTACCTTTGTGTTGTTCTTTTGTTCAATTGAAGTTCAAGGTCGTCTACTCATAATACCTATACAGCAATATCACATACAAAACCAACATTTTTCCAAAAGAGCTTATATACCTTCTGTACCATTATACAATGCGAATGCTAGAGAATATCTGATAGAAATCGGTATAGGGACACCACCGCAATTCTTTAATGTTACTTTGGATACAGGAAGGTACTTAAAATAATTGTATTGTATGCTGATTACTTATACCTTGTATGACCAACATGTTGAATTTATAAGTTCAGACGTATGGGTGCCGTCGTCTCAATGTACGAAATCTATGTGTCCTCATTCACTGTTTATCGAAAAAGATTCTTCTTCGTTGAAACAAACCAAACAAGCATTTGAGGTTCAATACGGAAGTGGCTCTGCAGTAGGAATTGCAGCCTATGATACACTTACTATCAACAGCTTTACTTCCTCTAACCAAGCATTAGGGCTAGTAACATCAGCCAAAGGGTTTTTTAGTTCTGGTACTAATTCAACAGACAAGGCGAGCGGTATTCTTGGTCTCGGTTTTCAAGGACTGCTGAGAAATCCTAACGAGGAAACATTCATAACAAACCTCGTAAAAAATAAAGTAATCGATGAGCCAGTTTTCTCCATTTATTTGAACAAACAAGGCAATTATGGATATACAGGAGAGATTGTTTTGGGTGGTTATGAGACAGATCGACTGATGGGTGGAATACGCTTCTTACCAGTGGTCAACTACGATTCAACAACAGGCAAAGCGAATATAGGTCGCTCGTTTCGAAACAGCAACAGTAGCAAACTGTACAAATATTGGACTGTCGCGGGCCAAGCCGTACTTAGCTATTTATCTGACGGTACAAAACTTTATGAATCTCAGTTCAACGATATTCAACCGGTTATATTGGACACAGGCACCACTCTATCATATCTTGCTGAAGATACAGTTGTCTCATTACTGAGAACTATAACGTCTAACTACAAACCTCTTGCATTGAATGAAGGAACTGTGCAAGCCTACCAAGTTAACTGCTCTGACTTTCTCAGCCAAGATATCTGGTTTGATTTCCAGTTCTCCACGTCTATCAGTGATTTTTCAACATCTCCTGTTGTGATACGTGTTCCATTAAAGGAATTAGCTTTACCACAAGATACGGATTCGATCGATACAGCCAAGACATGTTTATTTGGGCTGGCTCCAATTTCTGACTCGTTTGTAGCGTCGGTAGGAAGAGGCTGGATCTTGGGACAGACAGTATTAAGGAGCGCATATGTAGTGCATGATATGCTAGGATTACAAATAGGCATTGGAGCAGCTGCTAATGGCTATAATTTAACAACGCTTGACAGCGGTGGCTCTACTGTTATCATTACCCACGCAACGAGTATTTCAGTAGCATTCTGCATTATCCTCGTTTTGCTGGCAATAAATATACCATCTTTTATGTCGAAATAATTAATTATACATTAACGGCAGTTAGGAAACTGCTGCGATGCATCTTATTAACATAAGCTTTTTAGTATTATGTGGGAGTGGTCTCTACTGAATATCTCTTACCTTCATTTTATATACTATCCATATACGTACATCATTTTATTTCACGGGTTCAATGTCGTGTGTTGTATTTTATATCGTATGTGATAACCATACTGAAGTGATCATGATCCAAACATTCGTAAGTAATATTTTGTTAGACTGAGAACAAAAAGCTGTATACCACTTGATGGTATAATTAATATATAAAACTGTTGCCTCGGACGTTTTCAATTTCATTTTGGTTCAAGGTCCTGCCGAAAATCAGGCTGATTTTGAAACTACTATATTCAAACTCTGCTTGCTCCTTACCAAGACAGTTCACTTTACATCATGCTTTGGTATCGGATAATATGGTACATTTAATGTACCTGAAATACAAAAAAAAAAAAAAAGAAATTGAAGAAAAGGGCTTGGTATCCGGTGTAACGCATGTATGACAACACCGCAATGTAATTCTGTCACTGTGGCAAACGTCTGCAGTAGTAATAAATCATTATGACTACATTACTGTAACTGCGAAAAAAGGATGTGCGCTTCTTCAGAGCTCAAGGTTACGAAGGACAGAAATGAAGTACATCAAGCAACGTTAATACCTCATTGACAGGCTAGGTAAGCACAAGCTGACAAAGGAATCCAGAAAATATGAAGAATAGTAGAAAATCAAATGAAACGAACACAAAATCTTATTGACTATTCTAACTTTCTTGGCATATTACATTATTTGCTGAGGGACTATGCAAGCCTTTTGTTAGAAGAGAGAATACGGTTTCATTCAAGGAAAGAAGCTACATAGAAAGAAACTGCAATGATCGTTCGTCATTTCACAAAAGCGGATTATAAGGAAGAATGGTTCTTTCTATTTCCCGTAGTTCTTTCTACGTGCAAAAGATTTTGAAATTGAGAAGGCCCATTTTTCTTGTTGGGCTGGTGCATGATTTAAACTGCTTAGTTTCTAGTACCCCTTCGTCTTTAAACAGATTTTACTTTGAAATTAGACGTTTTCAGAAATTTTATTGAACAAGCTGGTACTTGAGCTTTCTTTTTTTTTTTTTTTGGACAAGCACATATTAAACTCGTAACTTCAAAATCATTGCAAAATATTTTCTGAACAATGTTTGGCAATACAAATTCTTCGAAATTATAATACAAAGTAGAAATTGTTAACAAGCATTAGAAGAATTTTGATCAATGATCAAAGTTTGACCGTCAAAATACATATAGCAGAGAAATAGAGGTTTATTGAACTGGAGAAATCCTTTATAGTTTCTAAGAATCTATACTGCCAAACACTGTTCAGAAAATGTTTTACGAATATCTAATTTACAAAAGCAAATATATCTAGTTTCATTATACAATTGTCTCAAGAAAACCAAATACAACAATCGGGGTCTCAATTTGTTCAATAGAAGAATTTGAACTGGTCTAATTTTAGCGTAGAATGCTGCATTCTCTTTTTATGGATCTGCCCCGGGCAATTTAGATAAGTTAAGGTATCTCGTGTCGATTGGGTATTATAAATTATCGTAATAAAATCATGTTCTGAACCTACTCTCTCTTTATCTCCCAGGAATTTTATACATTATCGCAAACTCTTTCACGATCTCTACTTGTATTTACACCTTTCTACTATTGATTTATCTGAACAAGATGTACATATATACAGCTATATTTCTAATTGGTGCTTTATATTTAAGTGGTACATATGCCATAGAAGAAGAAGGAATTATCAAGATGCCTATAAGAAGGTTAAGACGGCCTGATACGATCATATCATCTATTCAGAAACGGGATCCCTTTCAGGCACCATTATACAATGATCAAGGTAGCCAGTACCTTGTCGATATTAGCGTAGGCACACCACCTCAAAATTTCTCGGTTACCCTTGATACTGGAAGGTATGACATAAAAAATAAAGACTCCAATGCAATAATGAGCCATTTTAACAAGTAAGGATTTGTTTGTTTACGAATGGGCCGCTCAGTGCTGATTTATGGATTCCTGGAAAATTTTGCCCAAAAACTGAATGCCCAAATAATTTATTTGACGAAGCAAAGTCTTCCACGTTCAAGGATCTTGGACAATCGTTTGGACTGACGTATGGCATTGGTAGTGTAAACGGCACCTATGTGACAGATACAGTTTCCATTTCAGGAGCGACAGTTCAAAACCAGCAATTCGGATTAGCAAGCTACACGAAACAGATATTAACCAATCCAAACACAATCACAGCGGAAAACGTAGGAGCAACTACTATGGCAACAAGTGATTTTATCAAATCTTCCTTATCAAAAATTTGGTCTTTAGCATCGGCATCTCCCTCTTCTTCTTCTTCTTCTTCATTAACAGAATTGGATTCGCCAGTTGGTAACGGCATTTTGGGTCTCGGATACCCTAAACTGACGGCAGCCTCCAGTAACGGTCATGGCGCATATACCCCCTTTGTCTTTCAACTTGCTGCACAAAACTTAATCAAAGAGCCTGTATTTTCTATCTATCTAAACTCAGCTAATGCCCAAGGTTGGGCAGGTGAACTTATTCTAGGAGGTGTCGATTCAACAAAATATTCAGGCAATATCACTTATTTACCCGTAGTATCTTTGTCCTCTACACGTGCTTCAAAGAGTAAGACGAAAAAGAAAAGAAGTCTGCCCGATAACAACAATTATTATTATTGGATGGTAGGCGCTAAAGGTATCAGCGTGTCTACCACAGATTCGGCAACGTCCTCAACTAACAAAAGATCAGTAGATGCAAACGCACAGACCAATCGTTCAAATTCTAGCACTACAACAACAACAATAACAAATGCCGTAGCCGACAACAGCAACTTCACGTCCAGAACTCTGTTCGATGTTGATCTTTCATCTTCAACCGGCGCTTTTATCTTGGACACAGGCACCACTTTAACATATCTTCCATCCTCAATTGCCAAGCAAATTGTCGAGACTTTTGCTGGTAGCGAAGGTTACACTACAGATACAGGCTCAGGTGCTTACATCATTGATTGTAATACTGCCAAGAGCAATACTCAATTGATTTTCAAAATGTCTTCCGGTGACAGTGCAAATCCTGTAACATTATCAATACCTGCCTCTCAATTGGTTATCGCTTTAGACAGCAGTTCTCCTGACGATGCAAGTTATTGTATTTTTGGCATTGCTCCTACTACAACAAATGCGGTGAGTAGCAATCTTTACCTGGTCGGAGATTCCATCTTAAGAAGTATCTACATGGTCTTTGATATGGGAAACAACCGTGTTGGTATCGCTTCAGCAGCTGGTGTCGGTGGTGCTGTCCAAGGCGTGTCCTCAGTTGGCCATACAAGCCAAGGCTTCTTACGAATGAATAATCCAATACTCTCAGTGGTCTCTTCTCTGAGCTTGTTTGTTACTGCTTATCTCTGCCTATAGAGCGGAAAACAAAAAAGTACACATATTGTTGTTAATATTCACTACTTCATACGATGTCTCTTTTATTTGCTTTTTGTTCAAGAATACCATTTTACTTTGTAAATTATAGTTTTAAAAAATCACTGTATGATAATTGATGTAATGATACCTGTCTCAATAAAGGCAACTACTGCTCTGAAGACAATTGGATTTCTTTTCAAGCTCCAATTTAGGCTTATGCAGAATGTAGAATTGTTGGTCGGAGCCGTTGTAATTGTTTGCTATAAAGTGATACAGTCTTTACGGTTCAGTTTCGAATAGCGTTAAATTAATCTTCAGATTAAAGAACAAAAAAAAATTGGGATTCTGAGTACAATATTTTTGGATATATTATTGATAAAATGTATACTCGCGTTTTGTCCCTGAGGATCCTACTCTATCATTTATTAATGATATTTGGTTTCCTGCTGATTACCCATTGTACATATGGGACAAAATCTCGGTATATTACTTGGACCCGATACATTATCAGAACTCTATAATGGAAACGTGGTAGATTTCAGAAAAAAAGAATGTCTGTTTTGCACGTTTCTTACCTTTAACAACGCTCTTGGAATCTTTGGTTTTTTGGCCTAATACAATATTTACAGTATATAATAAGTTTTCAGTAGACATAACCAATGTGAGGGAATCATACTTCTCAATATTCTTTCAACTTTCGGCAGTTTCATCATCGAGAGCAGCTAACTTTGCTTTCTTCTTTTTATTCATGAGAGCTTCAGCTTCGGCATAGAGCTTATGCCCTGTCATAAGAGTATATGAATTTGAGTAACTTTTAAGAAAGAAAGAAAAAGATGAATAAACAAAAAAAAAGGAGGTAAAAGTGAGAGTAGTATAGATGACAACATTTTGCTGACAACAATTATCACTCTATTACTTTTGATGTATTGGAACGGCGTAAAAGTTATCTGTTTCCGTATGCTCAACAGAATCTGCAAGCAGAGCTTTTACGCTCAATAAGGTCTATATTTTAGCTCTTCAAAAGAGGCTCTAAGAGGAGATATGTAAAAGAAGGGTTATTTAAGCTGCTATGTTCCCACTCCTAAAGGTGCTTTAAGCTGAACAGCTGCCATCAGTCCCATTTAATTCTGGAAGTGGTTAAAACAAATTGCCAAATTTGTCCAATTTTATCTAATGAAAGAGTCTTATTTTTTTTTTTGAAAATAGTTCGAATCTGAAGCGAAAAAACGGTAATCAGCGAAATCCAACTATTTCTCTATAAAATTCTTTTGCAAGTTTTTTTTTATCTTGTTTTGAGAGCAATTCTTTATTTAAGTATACCATACATAGATTGTCTGCCATTATTTTGCTGCATTGCTTTTCTAATAAATTCAAGGCGATACATGAAGATCAAATACATACTGACCTTTGGTTTTCTATGGTACAACATAGTAGCAGCGGAATTAGTGCCTGTTTCTACTGCTATTGCCAGGAAACCCATTCATATACCAGTTAAAACCTTAGCTCGTGAGGGGTCAGCAATTGATCAAGCATTCTCTAATAAACAACGCCGATTGGAAAGGGGATATATTCAGCATAGCAGTAATAATAGTTCCACTCCCGATGTCCTTCTGTACAACGATTTTGGACAAATATATCTTGCCGAAATATCTGTAGGAACACCACCACAAAATTTTACAGTTATTGTTGATACTCAAAGGTATAGGCAATAGTTATTAGCGTTTTATACATTTTAAAATCGCGTAAATAAGCACTAACATTGAAATTTGTAAACAACAATATTGCTCTCTTCTAGCTCTGATCTTTGGATACCCTCAATTCAATGCGATAGTCGTATGTGCCGAAACCACACATTTAACTCCTCTGCATCTTCCACATTTCAGCCTTTCAATAAAACGATACCCTACGGCTACTATTACGGATCAAATAGTATCAACGGCAGCTATGCTAGAGATACAATCACAATAGGCGGCCTTGTTGTTCATAACCAGCCTTTCGTGTTAGCTTCGCGAGTTGATCCTGACCTTATTGCTCATGATGCCAGACATCGCCAAAAATATAAAGGGAAAGCTTCCGTAGAAGGAGTTTTAGGTCTTGGGTTCCCCAACATGATTCAATCCGATGAAATCAAAGACAATCAAAATCTCAGTGATCCACTGTTGTACCGTTTGGCAAAAGAAAATTTGATTCCTGAGCGCGTCTTCTCAATAGAGACATTTGCTACTACAAGAGATTTGGCAGTAGTCGGTAGATCACTAGAAGGTTGGACAGGAGAGTTGACATTGGGAGGAGTAAATCCTGATCGTTTCAGTGGTGACGTTCTATATGCCAGTGTACCAGCAGTGAGTCTTGATAATAATATCACTACGCCACCAGAACATGCTTTATGGTTGGTACAAACAGTGTCTTTCGGTGTCTCTGAGATGAGTAATAAAACTGACAGCATTGACAATAATAAGAACAGCACTGATAATTCAACTGTATCATTGATACCAGCAACTGCAAAGTATACCATGATTGATACCGGCACCTCCATGTCCTATATCGGCAGCTATTATGCAAAGCAAATGTTGCAAGCTATATCAGGAAACAAAGATGGTTTTGAGTTAGACACAGATACAGGTTGTTATTTGCTGGATTGCGGTCTGATTCATTCTGGAAAACAAATTGAAATCAATCTTATTCAACGCCAAGAAGAAGAGCAACAAAGGTCTCAGACAGCTGTGAGAAATTATACCGCAACAGCGACGACGACGATGAGGAATACGAAGAAGCTTCGTGTGACAATACCTGTCAAAAATCTAATTCAACCTCAACATGTCGGTGAATACATTACGGGGAAAGATGATACATGTATTTTTAGTCTGTGTTCTTGGCCATCCATATCAGAAGAAGAGGAAGACGATGAATACGTTAAAAACGATAAAACGGATGATAAAGATACCGACGTTCCCTTATTCATCTTCGGTGACTCCGTGCTACGGTCAATCTACTTGGTTTTTGACAGCGAACGAAGCCAAGTCGGCTTTGCCTCCCCTGTAGGATCAAACACAACTGTTAGTCTTGTTTAAGCGAATACAAAGCTTCAAAAGGAAGAAAAAAAAGGTACACATGGACTGATACAAAATTGACTAGAGGGGTTTGTAATTCTTTCAAGAGAAAGCCCCAAGAACCAAAATGTCCGTAAAAAGCAATTTTGTTTGGAAAATCTCGACTTTTCTGCCGCTGCCAAGAATGAGGAAAAACAAAAAAAAAAAAAAAAAAAAAAAAACGCATTCCGGGAGAAAGAATAGGATCAAAGACTTTTGATTCTCTTTCTGTGTCATTAATTCGTTTCTCTTTCTGTTTCTTTTCAAACAAATTCGTTTTTTTTGCTCAAACGTATATTGTATATATGCTTTTTTATCTATTTTTAAAAACTTTACAAGCCGAATAGCTTAGTGTCTATTTCGATAAAAATGTACTTAAAATGCGCCTCTTTGCTCACAATATTCATAACATCTATAAGTGCGTCTCCTTATGTAAAATATAGTAAAGTATCATCTGATGACATTAGTCAAAATACCACAGCTAGTTCGGCCTTGACGACGTTATCTTCAACCGATACAACAAACGCTTCTATGAGCAAAAGAGTATCACTTCCCTTTTACAAGCGAAGAGCCAACTTTACACCCTTATCAAACGATACTGACCAAACAACGACAAAAAAGAGCCTTCGGCCAAGATCCGTCTATGGCTCGACGTCTTTATTCAACGATAATCAAGTGCAATATCTTACCAACATACAGATCGGCTCTCCTCCGCAGAATTTTACAGTCATTGTAGATACCGGAAGGTAACATAACGAAATGACAATTCTCTAGCGTTTGAAAAGCTAAAAAGGAAATTGACTAATTTAACATGCATAATTATTTCAGCTCGTTATTATGGGTTCCCTCAACAGATTGTCCAGAACTTCAATGTCCATTATCAAAATTTGACGTATCACATTCTTCAACCTACCATGATACAGATACCTTCTTTAACGTGACGTACGGAAATGGATATGCTACAGGAAACGTTGGGCTAGAGGATATTACAATAGCAGACTTACAAATATCGAAACAATTGTTTGGGCTCGTGAAAAATACTGAAGACGCCATTACCATCGAATATGATGCCGACGGTGTGAGTGCAAACGGCATTCTTGGCCTCGCATATCCAGATCAAAAAACAGCTCTCAGGAATAAGCGTGCAGTAAGCAAAGCTATAATCACGACTTCTGAAGCAAATGCTGCAGAGACAGAGCAACAGGAAGAGGAGCAGCAACAACAGCATCAGCACAGTCCACCGGATAAGCGACGAAGTAATAACACTTCAAAACAATCAGAAAGTACTAATCCAATCTACGACAACAATGTGTTAAGCTCGGTCCCTTTTCATATGATGTACAATCAGCTGCTTGTCGATCCGATCTTCTCTATTTCTACAAATTCAATATACCAGGAGGGTTGGGCCGGTGAAATTACGTTCGGTGGCCTAGACACTTCGCGTTTCATAGGCAACATCTCCTATGTACCTGTCATACCCGATTTCAATACCCAACAATACACTTTATGGCAGACTTTTATGTATTCCGTCGGCTTGACCAACTCTTTAGACGGGAGCACCGTACGGACAACCGGTGATTTTAAAGCTATTGCGTCCATTGATACAGGAACAACGTTTAGTTTTATGCAGCGCAATCGTATTTTGCCTATTTTGAAAGCACTTACAGGCCTTCGGCGCTTTGATTTAGACGAAGTAACAGGTTGCTATCCAATTGATTGCCGTTATGGTTATCCTTCACCATTGCCTTCTCCCGACAACAGTAATCTATACAATGGCTCCAAGTTCAACATCAAATTTTCTTTTGAAACAATGGACCCAAATAAGACACTGGAAGTCTCTATACCCTTTAATGAACTCGTTGAACCTGTGGACGCTACTCATTTAGCAGATGCAACGAAATGTGTATTCTCGATATGTCCGACAACTGCATCCGATATAATACTAGGCGATTCTTTTATTCGTGCCTTATATGCGGTATTTGATATGAAAAATAACAAAATAGGTTTTGCACCTGCTATTGATACCATGACTACTGTAGAGTTATCGGATTTATAGACATGTTATTATAATCCGTATCCTATGATTTTTTCCTGTAGCATTCATCTCCCTTATTTAAGTCCATTTTATCTGGATATTTTTTTATTACTGTTTCTGTAGAATAAAAGTGCACCTTTTTGAACTGTTTTAACCAGGTCATAGGTTCGTCGTAAGTAATTGGATTTTTTTTTGTGGAGGGTTTATTCTCTATCTTTTTGACGAATTGTGAATCATAAGGACTCAAAGACTGAAAATATGTACCATCGCCAATTTTATCTGTGACAAGAATAGAAGCCACTTGAGAAACGATATATTTGTATGTGAATTCCTAATTTTAGCCCTTGCTGGCACTTTGATTTGACAATCCTTTTAAAATTCTGGCCAGCAAAAGTACGTAAAAACTGTAAATAATGTGGAAATCCACAGAAGAGACCGAAGTATATTGTGATCTATGTAGTAAGTTTAGCAGACTCTTCTGTACTAAATATACCTACACTTCAGATACAGTGCAAATATACAAACGCGTTCCTATTTCAGCACTATTAGTAGTGATTTATACGGTTAAAGCATTGACTATTATCAGGATGAACGGAAAAGGGAAACGTCTACTAACGAGAATCCAATTATCACTTCACATGATATATTGAAAACACGTGAATCTAATAAGCAGAATTATTAGAGTTCTGGGCTAGTTTATAGCACCGAAAAAATACTGTCTTTGTTCTTTTTCTGCTGTTATAATCAGAAGCTGAGTTGCGAAGCTAACAAAGCCTTTTATTTCGGAATAAAAATGTAGTTAAAAAAGTGATCAAGGACAGCGTTTTTCAAACATGTATTTCTGCATAAGACTTGTACGACCCTCGGTTCTGCAATACTACCCACAATCTGTACACTGAATCAATCAAAAGGCATGCAACAACTTAAATTGATGCGAGTAAATGATCAAACTTTACAGTTTTTGTATTTATGGCTAAGAATCACGGCAGAAAACGTCACATTAGTTGGTTGAAAACCTCAGCCCCTGGGCTTCTATCATTTTATTCTTGGGAAACTGCTTTTGACAAATTTGCCACCCAATCAAATTGTTAATTACAGATAAGAATAGAGGCACAGGCTGATGAGGAATAACTTTGTGGCAGAAGCAGAGCGTTTCTTAAAAAACTAAACTATAGGAACGTAATTCGTCAGATTGAGTTGTACCAAAAGATTTACAGTCGAAAATAAACAGACAATAAAAATACTAATAAATTAAGGCAATTTATAATCAATTTTCTCTTTTTCGAGGCCTTAGAGGGAAGTACAGTATTGATCTTGTGTTCATGTGTCAACAATATAGGAGGGGCAAAACAAAGCTAAGATGCAAAAACGGCTTATTTATAAAGAAGGGTCGTTTGTCAAGGCAATTTCGATTCTCTTCTCGTCTCTTTTCGTTTTTCTTAATTGACCTATAAGTCGTAGCTGACCTCATTCCTTTCCTTTTCCTTTTCATTTGAACTATTTTTTTAGAGTAATCCTACTACTTTAAATTGTATATATATTGATATACCTCACAACATACATCTCAATACCCCTCCTCAATATACAATCGTTTATATCTTATAATCATCTACTTTTTATTCCTATTTGATAGTTATATATACACTTGATAATATACCATCCTTAATACATATTCAGTCTCTTTTTCAAATACATTGTGCGTCGAAATGGTGAAACTTCTTCCTTCCTTACTATACTATCTAGGGCTTCATATAGCAACAATAACCGCTATACCTTTGGACAGTAGTAGTAATGGTAACATAATTGGTGACGGCAATAAAGTCACTGGCAAAAAAGCCAGCAATAATATCATTACACTACCTTTAATAAAATCCGACAGAAGAAACCTCAGCAAAAGAAGTAACAACAAAGCTGTCTATGAGCTGATCAATGAACGCAATATTGAATACTTAGCCAAAGTCGACATTGGCTCTCCTCCTCAAGAATTCTTGGTTTCTATCGATACCGGCAGGTAAGGCAATTACGCATCGTTTTCGTATATTTTCCTTTCTTATCCTCTAACACTTGGTTTTTCTATTTTTATGCCAATTTAAATCATTAGCGCGGATCTATGGGTTCCTGGAAAAGAGTGCCCATCCAATGAATGTCCTTATGATAAATTTCAGCCACACGAATCCAAGACCTATAAATCAATGAACCTATCTTTCACCATCCAATATGGTTCTGGATCCGTTCACGGCTATTATGGTAAAGACACGATCAATTTATCAACCAGCATCAGTGACAGTAATAAAAAGGATAGAACCCAAAAAAAAACCAATCAAAAAAAGCAACAAACCATTCCATCACAGCCCTTCGGTGTCGTCTACTCAACAGAGGGTGGTATTATTTCGAAGGCAACTCGATCTGATGGGATTTTAGGTCTCGGTTTCCCTGCTTTAACAGCTAACAGCGATACCCCTCAAGCCTACGACCCTTTTGTATTCAACTTGGTTAAGCAAAAATTGATCTCTGAGCCGATTTTTTCAATTACACTCAAAGAACAGCTGTTGATGATTGGCGGTATTGACGAAAATCAGTATACAGGAGACATTCACTACGTGCCAGTAACGAAGAACCTCAACCCTAAGACGAACACACAAGAATACACTTATTGGTCTGTGGCGCTCAAGAATATGTATGTCGACGGCTCAAAAGTGAGGAACAGCGCAGCCTCTTCTGTTATTTTGGATACCGGCACTACTTTATCATACGTCAGTCAAAGTCTAGCAGAAAACCTTGTAAGATCAGTTACCGGAAGAAGGCCTCGGTACAATGCCGAAGCTGAAATGTACGAAATAGATTGCCATTTGAAGAACAAGGCTGTTGGGATTGAATTTGACAATTCTGTTAAATTGGTGATTGATATACAGGAATTAGTCGTGCCTATCGATGCGTATACCTGTGGATTCGGTATCACTTACGGATTTGACAGTTCTGACTCTACCTATGTATTGGGTGGCACAATTTTACGATCTGCATATTTTGTCTTTCATATGGAGGATAGAAAAGTAGGTTTAGCAACAGCTATTAATTCTCCTAGTGAAGTCATCAAGGCGTAAGACTTCTAATTCGTTGCTAACTGTAAATAGCGTCTATCTACAATAACTATAATAAAATTTTACATCCATGGCTGTGCCAAGCTATTTCTTTCATGTGTGGGTGCTCTTGGAGATACATAATTATAGTCAAGCTTGGCGAAATGTTACGATTCCATAATTGGCATAAGTGACTGAATAAGCACCTCATCTGAAGTGCGGAGAAATAATTAGGATGCTTATCCAAGCCCTTTTGCTCTTTTACTTCTTCGTTCTCCAAAGACGATATTACAATAGCTATGGTAACTAAGTCGCCTGACTTTGTCTTAACAAAATTCAACAGTACTAAGTGTATTTGAAACGTACGTTATTCAGGGTGCTTCTGCAACTTGCGACATTGATGAAGCTTTAGTCCAGAAAATTAAAGATTTCCGCTTTGCAAAATACGAAAGTGGAAATGCAGCTTTCGTTTGTAAATAGTCCGTCGTTAAAGATGACCAGTGAATTACAATGGTAATGGCAGATTGACTTATACATTTGTCTGTCGTAAATAGTAAAAATTGATAAGAAGTCGCTAAAAATCGAGGAGGAAGAAGTCTTTGATGATATCTCTTTAGAGGATCTTGTTGAAGGTTCTTATGCGATTTTATAATATCATGTCCCATGTTTAAAAGTATCTTCATGTCAACCTGTGAAATTTACATTGTAGAATTGCCTGAAAATACGCCACGTTTCATTATTTTGAGTTATGGGGTATACATTATAAACGTGATGGCGAATAGTATAACTGGATGCTTTGGTTGCTCAGTCGTGATATTCTTTTTTTTTTTTTTTTTTTTTTTTTTTTTTTGTTACAGTTAAAGCATAGCGACGGTCGGACCAACTTCCCTTTACTATTCATCTATTGGTCGCCTTCAACTGCCAAAGCAGAAATCAATATGCTAGTAAGTTTTATATCAAAGATAAGCGAGCATGTGCATAACGAAAGCCTCATCTTGTCGTGTTTAACAATAGTACGCCTCTGCAAAGACATTCCTTCAAGAAAAGATTGACGTGATGAGAGTAAGTGCTCCACACGCGATAATACAACCTATTTTACGAATTTTTTATTGACAAAACGCTCTCTCATTCGACGTATAGGGTTTTGATATCCGCGATCCTGAATCATTTACCAGCGAATATTTGGAAAGTCAACTCTAACAAAGTTCTTATTTCTTTCTTTCCCAAATCTATATATAAAGAAAATTGACAAGAGTGAGTACTTCTCCCTTCTCTTTCTTTTTGTTTGGTGAATTATTTACCTGTATGTAGCTTTCAGACATAAAAATCATTTGAGGCATAATCTCTTCTACAATCAAATCTTGAATTTGATACCATTGACCGGTGCCGTTATGTCTAATATGAACTTTATAAGTGCCCTGACCTGCGTCTGGTTTGCCTTCATGACAAATATTGGCCACTAAATCATAATGTTGGCCTACTTTTTCTGCATTTGGATCATTGTTAACTATAGGATGGTAACAAAAAGGAAGTCAGTATTCTCTAAAAGCGAGACACTTTCCCTTCCTCGATATGAAAAATACTGTACAGTTGGAAACGTCCAAATTTTTGATAGGGAAATTGACAATAGTTGGGTTTTTCTCTGATGTCCAATTGTTCTTCCCGAAGCGTTTGATGTGGAATATTAAATGTTGAGGTAATCTTGTAATGCTGTACTTTCGCAATTGATTGCTCACTTCCTGCACCTTTTGACCGTCATATTTGGCCAAAATAGTCGTCAACGGTACCTGAGGTACGATGTCTTTATCCTTCTCGTCTTGATATAATGGCGCAGGCGGTAGATCCAGAGCCAGGAATAAAAAGGGTGTCTTCATGGATTTGACTTGTTTATCTATGTCAAAAAATAATTTCTTTTCTTCTCCATTCTCTGTTTCCTTGTCTGCACTGACGTTGGCGATGATTTGTTGCGATTCAACATTGAGTTCACCCTGAAATTGTTTGAAAATGATACCTATCACATTGCCACAATGGGTTAGTCACGGTATACATGCATACATTCGTAACAAATGGAGTAGCTGGTATACTTTACTGCTGTTTCTTTTTCTCGTTCCTCCTAAATCTTTATGTAATTGATTCAAAAACCACGATAAAAATTCGATAGCATTACTTTGTCGTGTTAGGGTAAACTTTTTCTGACTGGCGCTAGATATTTCTTGCAATAATTCGTGAGGGCTCACTTGTCCTTTGAATGCTTTGGGATTCCACATTTTTCTGATTAAAGAGCTGAATCTGCACACTTTTTACATTTCAACTCACAATCGAATTAGCTATACATTGGACAGGGTGTTTCGATAGTCGATTGCTTGTATCATTTATCTTACCCAATTGTGTTCCACCCTTCTTTTCAAAATCTTCCAATATGAAATAGTCGCGAATAGAAGGAACGTGAGCAAGTGCCTGAACAACGACATTAACGTAATCATTGGCTTTAATGTTATTTAGACCAACAAAGCCTGGCAAATATTTTTTGTTGTTTAAATCGTAAGACCACTTGATATGCTGATCTAATTCGAGCACTTGTTGTTTGGTCAAAACAGGGTTCAATATATACTAATCATCCCAACAAGGTTAGTAACCGTGGCGCCACATAGTGTCTGTTGTAGAAGCTTACTTTAATATCGTTGAGTGAAGGATGATCTACTTCATAGCCATCAGGTAAGACATAGACCTGACAATCATTGAACCATTTTTCACATAAATTAAAAATGTTATGATAAGTGGACTTCAACAGAGTATGTATATACATTACCTTTAGCGTTTTCAGATTGATAAAAACATGGTGATCTTTATCCATACTGTGAAAATAAGCATGTGAGGATCTACCACGTCCCTGATAATATTTTCCACAAGTCAGGCAAGCATAGACATTGATCTGTGAAAGGGAAATGGAGCAAACTTTTTCGAAATCGAAATCCAACATGTGTCTATTGATCGTATCTAAATAGAGATCGGTAGGCACGGCTTCTTCAGTATTTTTCTTTTTTGACTGTTCTGCTGCTGCGATTGCGTCGTAATCTATGTCTTCCGCTTCATTTGTATTCATAGGTTCCTCGAGGCGGATACGTTTGGCACTAGGTTCTTCAGCCATGATGTGATTGCAGGAGAGGTCAAATGAAAGTGAAAAAACAATAAAAAATCAATCAGAAAAGGAAAACTTCTGGGTGATTTGCCTTTGATAGATGGAGTTTCAATAGTATGTATTTTACAGATGCATATAAACGTCTCGAAAAATATATAAACATTTTAGCCTTCTACCATACGATACTTTGTCACTTATTTTCAATCATTAGGAATCGACATTTGAATTTGCTATTGAACAAGAAATTTATTGAAGAATGTGCTGTTTGTTAAATGGTATGCTACTTTTTGTTTGATAGAAACATCATTCATAACAATTCTATTACAATAGAAAAGCCAATAACGAAAGAAAGAAGAATGTTTATGGTGATTCTTAAAGATAGAAAAGAAGCAACATTATTAGATGATAATTACATGAAATGTCAAAAGATGGACTGATTATACATACTGATATAAGGAAAGGCAGTAACGCGTACGGAAAGATGGAAAATCTTTGCTATGTTCATGAAACGACCGATAGTAAGTGGTAAGAATAAACCTACATGAGCCAAAAATAAGAAAAAAAAAAATCTTTTTATTGGATGGTTTTTGGTGAGCTTTCTCTTTTTCGCACTTTTACAATTAGTTGAATCCTTTAATAAAAACAAGTATGCTAAATATGAAGATGCTTTTTTAAAGAAGTGATCTTCTTTCCTAATAAGTTATTTTTTTGTTTAGGTACTCGTTATGCAGTTCTTACTCAAAATTGTCCCTTTTGTTTTCTTTTTCTTTTTTTTTCTTCTTTTAAAAAACGTGGTGATATGTTGCTTTACTATTGATAACTATGCAAGAATGTGCTTGTGGATGTTGTAGGAAGAATTGCTGATGGATTGGATTGCCGAACGCCCTTTAAATAAACATAAATGGATATAAACATGAGAATAGAGAAGGGAGAGGAGGGGATGTGCAACGTTGGGTGGTTGTATGTCAAACGTGTGACTTACCAAAGGGTTTTTGCTAAACGATAATCGTATTCCTCCCTTCACAGAATTAGACAAAGGCACCCCATGCAGTTCTTGTAAGGCTTGCGCAGCATGAATCGTATCCTCAAATTCAACAAAGCACATGGGACCATTCGCCTTTTGCTTAAATGACATCCTCTTGTAGCCTGAGCATTTGGAAAACAAATGCTTCAATTCTTGTTCGTTTGTGTTGGGAGGGAGGTTACCAACATAGAGCGTGTTACAAGGCGGGTTTTGATCTGCTGGGTTGTTGTTGTTGTTGTTGTTGTTGTTGAGCATAAGACTACTATTGCTATTGGTAGCCGAGGGTGATGTGCCTACGTTATTAGGGCCCCGCTGCTGATAACTATTCGTAGGAGATAACAGACCCAAGAATGGAGGTGGCGAGAGTAGAGGTGAAGAGGTAGTCGTCACAGGTGCCGTGGCTGATGCTGCTAAAGCATCCAGTTTAGTTAATAGAAGGCTGGTAGAAGATGTGGATGGTGATGCGATAATGCTGTTATGGATAGTATGGTGTGAGTGTTGGAGATGAGGATGGGATGGGTGATTGAGATATGGAGAGTGAAAGATAGAGTTGATATGTTGATACGTGGCAGGCGAAGAAGTATCTATCGTGAGAGGAGTACTACTACCACTATTGCCGATGTGATGTTTGCCATGGAGCTGTTGTTGTTGTTGTTGTTGTTGCTGCTGCTGCTGGTGATGATTTCGCTGTTGAAGTCTTTTCAAGAATGAAGATGATATGATATTGTTGTTACTTGCAGTGCTATCTATAATGTCTAGGGTATGAAGATCATTATTATTGCTGTTGATAAAAGAGCTGTTGCTGTGATTAGTATGAACATAGAAATCAGTAGAGTCTGTAGGAGACAGTATGATTGAGTCAATATTATTATTATTGTTGTTGTTCTGAAGTTTTGTAGTGTCAAAAATAGCAGAAGCGGAGGCTATTCTTTGGTGATGATGAGGAGTACTTTGACCCTGTTGCAGATGATGCTGGCGTTGCTGCTGATTTTGTTGGCGTTGGTTTTGGTTTCCCTTTTTTGTGTGTAGGTTTTTCTTTGCCATTTCTGCTTTTAACACGACTCCTGTGTCTATTTTTTTGCCGTTCAAAACCTCTTTTGCTAGTAATGCTTCCTTACGCGTACGAAATTTTGCAAAACCAATCTAGAGGATGGTTTGGGGAAATTTAAAAAAAGTTAATTCCGCAGCTATTCCTGTGTCATATACCCCTTAATTTTTTTCACTGTGTGCATTATTTTTTTTTTTTTTTTCTTAAGTGTTGTAGAACAACATCACTTACGATCTGCTTTTTATTTGATTGTTGTTGTTGTTGTTGTTGTTGTTGTTGCTGTTGTGATTGAGTAACATTGTCCTCTTGTTGCTCCAGTTCTAACTTGTCTCCCTCCCCTTCCTTTCTTCCATCATTTAACAGTTCATCGCCTTCCATTATTTCTGTCTTTGATAATGCTGCCATAGTAGACGAACAGGAAGGTACCTTTAACGTGGCAGCTTCGAAACCTGAAGAAAACAGAAACATATTTTGGAATTCACGTTCTTGCATGTCTTCAGGAAAACCTACAACAAAGATCGTGGAGATATCTTCTTTTCTTCCGTTGCTGCTAATAACGCTATTGTTCATGTTGCTACTCATGGTAGTGGACGGTTGTTGTTGTTGTTGTTGTTGTTGCTCCTGCTGTTGCTGTTGTTCCTGCTGTTGCTGTTGCTGAAGTAACAATTGTTGGAAATAGGATGCAGAAACAGAGTTGTTGCTGCTATTATTTTCAAATAGAAGGGGCGATAAAGGATTTTTGGGTGTTGGAGCCATTCTAAAGTCAAAATCTGCGTTTTGCGACGATATTGTGTTTTCCAAGTGATGTATTGTAGGAGGATAGTGTATAGACCGACAAAAAATGACAGAAAACAATTAAATAAGTAAGAAAAGACAAAGAAGAGAACAGAAAGCTTGAAATGCTGAATTTTTTTTCTTCAAATCTGATTAAACTAAGCTTGTCTAATGTTTAATATTGATAAATAAAATAAAAAAGAAAGTTGAAAGAAGAGAAAGAAGAAACAGTGGAGTACGCCTTTGTTCCCTTTTCTTTGTTTATGCAATGGCACACAAAATATAAATCTTATCCCGAGTCAGTTCTGAAATACGAATAGAAAACGGCTCTCTTTCAGACCTCCAACATGTAGTGCAACAGTAGTAGACGCATGTAGCTCGGCCACGTGATCAGTATGTGCAGAGGCTTAAAAGGATAGAGTCCATTTGACAGGATGTTGGGCTAAGGTAGGAATGCATTGACTGCAGAAAAAGAAGGCACAAGGAAGTCCGTGTCTCTTTTCTTTTTTTTTTTTTCTTTTTTTTTTTTTTTTTTTTTTTTTTGTTCTATTAACAAAATTAAACTGTAAATAATAAACCAATATTAGGGTCTTGAAATATGTTATAGGGGAGGCTCTCGATATAAATAGTAGAAAAGGCAAAAAAGCTTAAATGGTCGTCGATTTCCCTTTTTCTTTTCCCTGTCTATTTGCCACAATGTACGAACCTAAGCCAGCCCTTATCTCCAACAGAGTCAACGTAGGTCATTCCGAGATAACCTTCATTACGATCGATGCACTTAGCAGCCCGATCATTTTATAGGATTCATGCTTCATTGATATTGATATAACATCGGGAAAGAGCGACATTTACAATGAAGGTAAAAATAAGATAAATGGACTTAAAAAAAAGAAGCGGGAGGGGGGGGAGGGGAAGACACTATAACTTGCTATGGTTCACACAAGCTGTGATTAGTTCTTCGTCCTAGCATTGCCATAAAATCAGTCTCTTATTATGAAATGAAGTTAAAACAGCAGCCCTACCCATATGATGAGCAACCACGTCATAGTATTTTGGTCATCGATTCCATACCAGAAGAAATCGGGTCTCTATCGATTTGGGAAGCTGCAGAAACGGGTAATTTAGAGGCGTTGAAATATCTGATCGCTTATCAAGAAAATAAAGCAAATGAAAGAGGAGATAGCAGGGATGAAGAACAGGAAGGCAAAGAGGATGTGATCAATCAGAGAGACCCCAGCACGGAATGCACTCTACTGTACACTGTGATTATCGCCAACAGCCACAATCCCTATCCGTATCTCCAATTTTTGCTGGAGCACGGTGCGGACGCGACAGCAAGAAACATTTACAACATACAAGCGATTCATGCGCTTCTCTTACATTGCCCAGAACCGATGGAATCACTCGAGTTGCTGCTTGACTATGACGCTGACCCGGACGCGAGAGATGGCGACGGTTGGTCACCCGTCCATTATGCGGCTCGTTTCTGCAAAACGCCCGAACCCGTGTTGCGGCTTTTATTCAAAAGGGGGGCGGACATCAACATGCTCGATCACTCCAATAAACGGACGGCTCTGTTTGGCCTTTTGGCCAACGGCGATTATGGTAAGACGCTGGATTGGATGATTCACGAGGCGAAAGCCACTGTGAAAGTGAGTGCTGATTTTTCGCATCAGAAAAAGAGAGGGACTGTTCAAGGCACTTTGATTTTGCAAGCCTGTAAATATGGAAGGCTTTCATGCTTGCGTATGTTGATAAGCTCTTCATCGACCATGGAAATATTAACGCCCCTGGTCAGCCAACAAGAACTCAAAATGGCCATGGAGCTCATAAGTCAACAACTACGGAAAGCGACAGAGAAAGAACAAACGGAACAGTTGCATATCATGCTTTCCATTGTCAAAGATCTGCAGAAAAAGCTCTATCCAGCAACGACACCAGGACGTTTTGTCACCGCCGCCAACACTGACATCCATCTGGAGGCTCACCACGAACCCAATCACATGGATATCATTGAACTAGAGACCCCACCACCTCTTGAACGTAGGCCAAGTTTATTGAAGCGGTTCTTGATGAATTCTCCATTTTAAAAAAACTGTCTCTCCCTCCAATAAAAATCATGCATTTTTGGGCATTAAACACAAATTTTATTCAACAAGTTGGATTTTTTTTTGTTTTTCTTCTGACACTTTCTTTTTTTTTCATTTTTTTCTTTTCTCGTTACTCTCTCTCTACTGATAGAACAACACCGGGATGGACAATTATTGCTTTGAACAAACACACGCTGATTCGCCCCAGTTGTATTATGACCCTACGAATCAGCTGGATCCCAACCATGACTCTTCTTACATCGAAAGCATAAGTCAACGGCGAAGGAGCAGTTGTTGTTCCCATTGTGATAAGGGCCATACACTACTCAACCCATTGGAGAATCAGACCCTGTCTCTCACACCCCCTTTGGACAGTGTATATTATGAAACTGACGAAGACCAACCCTTTTCATGCATTTATCTTTTAAACCTATTTCTAGCACCGGATATGGAGGCCTATTTGAAAGAGACGAGTATTTCGGATGATGTGTACAGTCTACCCGTTCATCTTCAAAGACTGATATGTGAAGCAAGAATGGAAGTGATGGTGAAAGACGAGAATAAAGACAATAAAGACGCAAAAGAGGATCACCCAGCCCTAAGGAGGCTAGGAAAAGTACGAAACTATATTGAGACAGTGGCTCACCACGACACTGCAGCCATCATTTCGACTCTGGGTGAACTCATCCATGACGAAGACGAAATGCTCACCATTTTGGAATGAAAAAGCTTGACGTTGGCAAAAACCCTTTATGTACCCAAGAAAACCAGTCAATCAGCTCTCCTATGACAAGTTGACATTATATCATATTGCCGTATTCCCCACACCCACCCCCCCCTTCACTCTCATCACTTATTTATCTTTCTTTTTTGTTTAAATACCTGTATATATGTATAAATATTGCAACACACAATAAACTTGATTGGATCATAATAAAGAAAAGATCGCTTTTTTCTCTTTTTTTTTCCGTTTGGAAAAAATCATGTATTGTGTAAATTTCATGGAAAAAGCATGAGATGTTCATCTTGCATAGCCTTTCGTACGAAATTTATCAACAAAGAGATTTGAGCCAATGGGGCAACTTGAAAATAAAAAGACATTCATGCATATTTGCATTTTTCATCCCCCTTTTTTGCTTGGGTTTCTTTTTTTTTGGGTTGAGGACCATTTTTGAGATTCCGTTGGGTTGAGTATACCACATCGTTATCCAATAGAGAGAAATGAATAAGGACAGTCGCCTTTTATGCATTTAGAATCCTGTCATTTCTATGGTGGGTAGGCAATGGCATCGTGGGCAGAGTTGAAATGTTTCCATCTTTTTCGATACAGGCAGGGCACGTTGAGACCGTAGCTTTTACCTTTCTAGGGATTTTCGCGGAGGGGGGGGGGACGCGAGACGAATAGCTGCTGCTGTTAAAAGAGAGGTAGCGTACTTTGACTCTTAAATAAAAGAGATTTCACAAAAAGTGTTTAGTAGCCTTCTATGTTGATAGCGTACAGCCATCATGCTGCAAAGTTACTGCTAAACATTTGAAAAAGCAAACAATCGACGTCTTTCAGTGCAAGCTTCTTAGCGTGGGGGCGACAGCTTTTGACTGAGCACACAAATGAAAGTAGGTGACTCTCTCCAAAAAAGTATCTTGTAGAGTATACAAAAGTCATAGGATGGGCCATTATGAAAACGTTCCACACAGCGGATCAAACCCATTTCAATGAAAAAAATAAAAAAAGAATGAAAGTATAGTTTCAAGTCGCTGCCAACAGCAGAACAAAGGCCATGAGAAGGCACACTCATTTATTGAATTCCCTTTTTATCAGTGATAAACCTTGGTAACGAGGGGGGGGGGGTAGTCCCGATTTAAACAACAATGTTGCTGACAGCTTGCTTCTTTTCAACCACGTTTTCAAGACCTAATTGCTTGTCAGTCCACATGGGAGCAGGGTCGACTGCTTCAGGCATACCAACACCTACACGTCCACCTTCAGCAGCCCAGTCGCTGACACGCTTGAAGCCATGACGGTTCCAAATCTTATCGAGAGAATCAACAAGCTCGTCAATCATCCGTTGACTATGGCCAGGCGTGGGCGTGATGCGAAGACGTTCCTCACCGACAGGAACAGTAGGGTAATTGATACTTTGAACATAGATATCATGCTCAGACAAAAGCTCGTCGGAAGCTAATTTGGCCGCTTCGGCATCGCCCAAAAGAACGGGAACAATATGAGAGGGGTTGGGAATGACTGGAATGCCGATATCGTTCAAACGAGCCTTGACATCGCGCGTATGGATCTGCTGAAGATGGCGCTCGGCGCTGGACTCCTTCAAATACTTGACAGAGGCCATCGCACCCGAGACGACAGCGGGAGGAAGAGAGGTCGTGAAGATGAAACCGGGGGCATAAGAACGGATCATGTCGACCAACGAGGCGGAACCAGCAATGTAACCGCCTACGACGCCAAAGGCCTTGCCCAACGTGCCGGTATAGATATCAATCTCGTCCATGATACTGCCGTTGCCCATCGTGGGATGGGCAGCATTTAAATCGTAGTCAAGATGCTCGGCGACACCAGCACCACGGGGGCCGTACATACCGACCGCATGGACTTCATCCAAGAAAGTAATGGCGCCATATTGCTTGGCCAAGTCGACGATCTGGCGGATAGGTCCAATGGAACCGCACATGGAATAGACGGATTCGAAAGCGATGATCTTGGGAACACTGGGATCGACCGACTGCAGAAGCTGTTCGAGATGTTCCATATCGTTATGACGGAAAATTTTTTTGGTGGCTCCGGAATGACGCATACCCTGAATCATGGAAGCGTGGTTCAGAGCATCGGAAAAGATAACACAACCGGGTAATTTAGAAGCCAAAGTGGATAAGGTGGCATCGTTAGCAACATAACAGGAGGAAAAGACAAGAGCACCTTCCGTATGATGGAGATCAGCGAGCTCAGACTCCAAGCGTAAATGAAGATCAGCATTACCGGCAATGTTACGAGTACCGCCAGCACCAGCCCCGTAACGATCCAACGTAAGTCTGGGGAGGGGTGGAGTAACAATAAAATTTTTTTTTTTCACATGAGTCGATGGGATACACCAACTAACTAACTTTGTTCTAATGAGGAAAAGCTAAACTTACTTCATTGTTTCGCTCAAAATAGGGCTTCTTCCCATGCCCAAATAATCATTCGCACACCAAACGGTCACCTCATCAGTGACACGAGCCGTGTGGGCACGAGGAAACTTTTGAGCTAAACGATTAATGTTGTTGAAGTAACGATAGCTTTTGTCTTTGTGCTTTTTGTCCAATTCTTCTTGATAAAAGCTTTCATAATCAAAATGCTTCTGCGTTTGATGAGATACAATAGAAGCAGCTCTTGTGGCAGAAACAATTGTATCGGGATGGAGGCTATTCTTGCCAGTAACTATCCATCAAGTAACAAGGAATGAGGATCAGACTTTTCTTTTTTTTTTTTTTTAGTCCCGAAATTTTTTGATTTACCAGCAGTTGCCTTTAAAGGCTTTGAAGGAACAGTCGATACTGGAGTAGTGGTAGAAATAGATCGAGCTTGGTGAAGCGCTTTGCCCATGATGGGACATTGTTGCGCCTTGACCATCAAAGGACTCATTGCTTGGTTCGAACCAACGGTGGTGAGTCGACGAAGAGACGAAGCACTAGCAATATGAATGAAAGGACAAGACTTTTTGGCTTGCAATAAGGCAGCTTCCATATTAGAAAAAAGAAGAGTGGGGAGTGACTATAAAAAGATAAAAAGATAACAAAAAAAAAAAAGTGTATAAAAAGAGAAAGAAAACCAAGAATGTAAGATAAGAGAGGTTTACTATCTTCTTTTTTTTTTATGAGAATTGAGAATAAAAGAGAAAGGGAAGGAATACAAAGAAACGGGTTTAGTGTGGGGGAGAGTTTTTTTTTTTTTTTCTCTTTTAAAAAGCGGGGTGTTTCCTACCAAACAAAGAATGGCTTATCCAATCATATTTCTTTTAGATACAATCAAATGAGACAGATTAAGGAATTCTACAAGGCTTATTCGGTCTATTGGTTTTGCCTGTATTCACAGCTGTTCTGATGGTAAATCAAACTAGCCTTAAACATTCGTATTACGGCAAGGGTACAAAAACCTATGATCCATCGACCCATGAAGCCCCCCCCCTTTTTTCTTTATGTAAGAAACTATCTGTAGTTGTTTCTTTACACAAAGCTCATTCAGTTACCTCACTCATGGCTAGGCTATGTATTTAGGAGGAGAGCAGAATAAGAAAAAGTATCTTGGAACAAGAAAAAAAAAAAAAAAGATCAATGATGGGCATTCAACAGGTCACACAGCAACATCGTGTGGACAATGGGTATTTTTCTGCTGTAGCATTTTTCTATCCATCTTTAAAGCTCCACTTTATTCATTACAGGCGCTAATGCTTCTGTAGCTGTCGTGGCTGCTCTATGTAAGGTATCACTGTGGATGAGGGTGTTTACAGTTTCTGTTGCGGCATTGATGATAATTGTCTTGGTCGTCTGAAAAACGGGGGTCGCTATTGGTTGATAATTATATTTGTTTTTTCTCGACGCAGTCAACCAAGACAACCATGAAATGCCCAGATCCCACGTTCGCTTCTTAATGATATAGAACACGACACCACAGAAGAAGAGTAATCCAAATAAGAGTAAAAGCCGATCCAACCAATCTGAAGCTTCAAGTTGAGTGATGACTCTTTTGGAAATGTGAACCAGGGAACCTAAATTTTGGTACTCAGAATGAGTGGAAGACAGAGTTTTTGAAGATTGTGCTATTTGGGATTTAGTTGGATGGATGGGTCTGGTCTGCACACACACACATTTTGTTGGCCTGCGGAGAGGGAAAACCTTACCTAACATTTCTCTAGAAAAGGCGCTTTTTCCTAATTCTTGCTGCATCAGTGTACTTGTTCTTTTCAATGCCTCTGTCACATCCGAAGACGCACGTAACATAGCGTCTTCATGTTGGCTATGATTCCGCCCGCCCCACCCCCACATCCATCGATAGTTTAGATACATATCAAGTCAAGATGACCACCTTTTCTAGATGAACTCACCTATTTTTCAATCCTCGTTGCTTAAGCTCAAATTGTTCTGTAAAGCTCTTGTCTGTTGATCGTTTGAACATGCCAAATAACTCTTCTCGGTTCTTTTTTTCTTGCTCGTCTATTCGTTTTCTTGACCTTAAAATGGCCTGTCGAGAATTGACTTGAAGTCTAACATGAAAAGAAAAAAAAGAGACATCAGGAACATTGGTGCGAGTAAGAGCCAAGGTGGAAATAAGCATAGTAAGCCTACTGTTTGAATTGGTGTTCATATTCGCTTAATCTGTTGAGGAAGGCTAGTCTCGTAGCCTCTTTATCTTCCACTTCGACGAGTTGTTTGACTACCTTTTCATAAAAAAATTTCCAAAAGTGTCAGTTTTTTATTTTTCTTTTACTGGCATTGTCCATACCAGAAAGGCAATGGCTCTTTTTATGTAATTCACCTCCATCTCTTGTTCCAACTGTCGCATGGTGTTTCGAATAAGTTCAGTCACTTCCCTTTGAACTGTATTGGAATCCACATGATACAACCTTTCAATCTGTATTTGGCATTCTGCTGCTAATTTACTAAGTGAGCGAAATTTCGTGTCGATGGTGCTCATGTTGTGCTTCTAACAAAGCATTCTAATTCACCAAAGAGAGCTTACCTTTCAAAAAGCGTCAGCACGAACTTGAAAGTCAGCAGTGATTTTTGAGAAAAGCGTGGATGGTTGCATGACGAAAACTGAAATTCGGTTGTAACAGTGGCTTGGTTTCAATGTGACAAATTGTTTTTCCCTAGTTAGAATGCGTGTCGTAAAAAAAAAAAAAGAAAAAAGTTCTCTCATCACACTTTTCTTCAACTTCATCTGCACCCCCCTCCTTCCTTATTACATTAAAAAAGAGAAAAGATGAGTGATAAACTTACCCGTGTTGCCATTGTCAGTGCTGACAAGTGTAAACCCAAGAAGTGTAGACAAGAATGGTAAAAAAAGGAAAACAAAGACCCATGATGACACGCTTCCATTGTTGATTTCTTAATGTGTTTTTTTTTTTTTAATGTGTGTTTTCATTAGTAAACGTTCTTGTCCTGTCAACCGTATGGGTAAGTAGATCCAACGACAGATAATCCTATTCGATGATGAGACTGAATAGCCATGCTCATTTTTTTTGTTTTTGTTTTTTTTTTGGGCCTCAAATGATAGGTAAGCTTTGTATTGAAGTCGAACCCACGTCCAAAATTGCTTTTATTTCTGAAGAGCTTTGTATCGGTTGTGGTATCTGTGTAAAGAAGTGTCCTTTCGGTGCCATTACGATTATCAACTTACCCACCAATCTTGAAGGCGAAATGACGCATCGTTATTCAGCCAACTCTTTCAAGCTTCATCGTTTGCCAGTACCTCGTCCTGGACAAGTCTTGGGTTTGGTGGGTACGAACGGTATCGGTAAATCAACTGCTTTGAAGATTCTCTCTGGTAAAATGAAGCCCAATTTGGGTAACTTTGATGCACCTCCTGACTGGCAAGATATCTTGAAGTACTTCCGTGGTTCTGAATTACAGAACTACTTTACAAAGATTTTAGAAGACAATTTGAAAGCCATCATCAAACCTCAATATGTCGACCATATTCCCAAGGTCGTGAGTGGCGAGGTTGGAAAGCTTTTACAGGACAAGTTGGAACGCAGCAACTTTGAAGATATGATTGATATGTTGGACTTGAAGGATGTTCTTAAACGTGAAGTGGGTCAGCTCTCAGGTGGTGAGTTGCAAAGATTTGCTATTGGTATCGTGGCTGTGCAAAAGGCCGATGTGTACATGTTTGATGAACCTTCTTCTTACTTGGATGTCAAGCAACGTTTGAATGCGGCCCGAGTGATCCGTTCGCTTCTTTCCTCCGACACCTACATTATCTGTGTAGAACACGATTTGTCTGTTTTGGATTATCTTTCCGATTATGTTTGTATTCTTTATGGTAGACCCTCTGCCTATGGTGTCGTGACACTTCCTTACTCTGTGCGTGAAGGCATCAACATTTTCTTGGACGGTAACATTCCTACCGAGAACTTGCGTTTCCGTGAAGAATCTTTGACCTTCAAGATTGCTGAAACGGCCCAAGAATCGACGGTTTCCAATGCGCTCACCTACAAGTATCCTTCCATGACCAAGACCTTGGGCGATTTCAGACTGGATATTGATGCGGGTGAGTTCCAAAGCTCTGAAATTATTGTGTTGTTGGGTCAAAACGGTACGGGTAAGTCCACCTTTATCCGTATGTTGGCTGGTTTGTTGAAGCCTGATGGCAAGGACGTCGAGATCCCCAAGTTGAACGTCTCCTACAAGCCTCAAAAGATTTCTCCCAAGTTCCAAGGTACCGTCCGTATGTTGTTCTTGAAGAAGATCAAGGGTGCTTTCTTGAACCCTCAATTCAACACCGATGTCATCAAGCCTTTGAGCATTGAAACCATTATAGATCAAGAAGTTATGCACTTGTCGGGTGGTGAATTGCAACGTGTGGCTATTGTGCTTGCGTTGGGTATGCCCGCTGATATCTATCTGATTGATGAGCCTTCCGCTTACCTTGATTCCGAACAACGTATCATGGCCGCCAAGGTCATCAAGCGTTTCATCATTCACTTTAAGCGAACCGCTTTCATTGTCGAGCACGATTTCATCATGGCTACCTACCTTGCCGACCGTGTCGTCGTCTACGAAGGTACTCCTTCCGTCCACGCCAAGGCCAATACACCTCAATCCCTTTTGACCGGTATGAACAAGTTCTTGTCTTCCCTGGAAATCACTTTCCGTCGTGATCCCTCCAACTATAGACCTAGAATTAACAAGGCGGATTCTCAACTGGATCAAGAACAAAAGGCTTCTGGCAACTACTTTTTCTTGGACAATTAAACAATAGTTTAGTGTTCTTGTTTTCCTTTATTTCATTTTGTTCCATCTCATTGTTTATCCCCCTAACGCTTCTCCCCACCCCATCTCCCCCTTTCTCTTTTTTTGTAATTCCTCATACGAATAAGCGTTGGAAAATTGGCCGTGCAAAAAAAAAATCCCATCAAAACGTCATTTGTATTTTATTACTTGGTTTTCTTTTTCCCTTTCAAACCAACACAAATTCTTAATTATAGTATTTATATATATAAAGTAATGAAGTATTCTTCCTGCTACATTGTCTATACAATTCAGCGTTAGTAAAGTGTGGATGAAAGAGAGGAGGATGTGTCTCATTTTTTTTATTCATTTTTTTCTCGAGACCCTTTTTTGCAAAGTGATGCTCGTGATGTGCTTGGCTGGACCACAGCCCTTATACGTTGTTGATCATGAGAAACAAAAAAAAGCCAATATACCTCATCCATTCAAACGAATGAGAGGGTAATCAAGGAAGGACCCTTTTGCTTTAAGGTAAAGGACCAATAAAAAGGCGTCCTCTGAAATGCTGTCATTGAGGGTCCGTCTGAGGTCGGTCAATGGAACCCACAAAACAACCGATCTTGTGTGTTTCATTAATCTTCATCTCTGCCGTCCCCATGTTGTCCAGCTTGAAGCCATTTCATACAAGGCCCCTTCAGCAATTACGGTCTTTATCGTCAAAGGGCGCTCCCATCGCAAAAACGACAACTGCTTTCAAAACGAATAACAGTGGCAGTAGTAGTAGTAGTAGTAATAGTCCTCCAGAAAAGAAAGAAAAGAGTTTGCCGTGGCGGCCTGTCAAAAGAGTCTCTCGAATGACCATGGACAAGATACGAACACTAGCAACAACGGTAAAAATAAAAAAAAAAAAAAAAATAAATAAAGCCTACTGTCCTACTGATGCATTCCATGGACCCCTCTAGCAACCCGAATACTACAAAATCGAAACGCTATCGGACGAATTCAAGATCTCTTGTGAAGCAGTGAAACGTATCCTTAAATCGAAATGGGCGCCCACTCAAGAGGAATTGGAAAGACAAGAGCGGAAACGATATGCAGCGATGGGAAGGAGAAAAGAAGAGATCAAAAAGGGCACCTATGCCAGATTCAATACGGAGAGCACGCCATCAACACCATAAAAAGCCCTCATTGTAAATAGAAACACCGCACACCCCTACTGTGTACATGGCTTGCCCTTCGTGTAAATAGATTTTTTGTTTTTCTTATCACTGTATTATATTTGATTCAATAGGAGAGTTTATTCAGAAAATAGAATGCTGTTTTTATAGAGGGGGGATAAGGGGGAATATAAAATGGAATTTCATTCAATATGAGCAAAAGCGAAAATGCTTTATTTACTGCTGTTCTTCTTTTCATCTTCATAACGTTTCTTATCCGCTTCAGCTTTTGCAACATAAGGCTAATAGAATCAAAAACCAATGAGTTCAGTGGACCACTCAGTTTTCATCATTCTACGGGTTCATTTTACCTTCTTGTCTTCGTCGCTCATGCTCTTCCATTTTTCACCGAGAAGCTTACCGATTTGCCCTACAAAAAATAAACAATAACATCGGGGATTCAATAAAACCATTCACCCCCTCGCGCAGAAAAAAAGAAGAACAAAACCCAGCCAACACTTACCAAAGGAGGCATCAGGGTTGTCAGCCTTGACTTCGGCACGCTTTTCTTGAGAAAAGAACATATAAGCAGATAACCCACGCTTGGGAGCATTAGGGTCCTTCTTGCTACGCTTCTTCTTATCGTCGACAGGCTTGGAGGTATCCTTGGGCATTTTTCTATAAATAAGTTGAAATGTTATCAGTCATCATCGCGTCCATTTTAGGCGGATATTCAAATGTGTGGGTTCTTTTGGGTGGGGGGGGGTAGCTCAGGCGTGTGATAAGGTAGGGTGTGGGTGGGTCTGTGGGTGGGTGTTGGGGGAGCGGGTGAGTGTGCCAAACGGAGAAATTGATTTTTTTTTGATTTTTTTTTTTTTTCCTCTCTTTTCTCAAAAAGAAAAAATCGAAAAGGTCTAAAGGTCCAAAGAGAAAAAAGTGTCGTCAAAATGAGATGGCAAAGATGGGCCCAAATTTCAAAATTGACTTTGAGTGAAAAACAGATATAAAAGAAGAATGACATGAAAGAAAAGAACAAAAAAAGAAAAAAGAAGGACAGGTGGAGATAGTTGTAGTGGTAAAATAGAAGCGTGTTTTACATAGTGGTGGTGTAAGGCTCAGGGTGTATTCATAGTGAAAGCCCAAGTGAAGTGTTTTTTTTACCTTTGTGAGTGTATAAAGTGTGAGATAGAGCGAGAAAAAATGAGAGAGGGAAAAAGCTGGTGTGAGCCAAAGTTTAAAAAATAATAGCGGTGGTAAAAAATTTTCACTGACTTTCTCAACTCAGTGCATTTTTGTGTGTGTGTGTGTGTGTGTGTGTGTTTACATGTGTGAATGTGATTAAGTGTGTGTGTGTGTGTGTGTGTGATGTACACCCGTAAATAGTGTGTGTGCATAAAATATACATATACGCACATTTGTTGTCAGTATATCACTCCATGTAGGTACAAATGTATCATGAACAAGGAGAACACACCCCTCTTACGTTTTCCCTCTCCTTAACGAAAGACTGCTCTCTCTCTCTCTCTCTCTCCCTCTGTAGAAAACATTATATTTTCCATCCCATAGCGGGCATAAAATAGATCATTTATGCACTGTATTTTAGTGCTATAAAACATGTAGGAAAAAGATGCATTTATTCATAAATAAAACATACAGAGAGTGGATAGGGACTGTATAAGCTTTTTCTTTTTATATTCAACAGTCATACCACCTGTAACGTTAAGAAAGAAACTATGAAACAAACAAGTTGCGCATCAGCTCTAATACACGATTATTACACAATGTGTTGTCTTTCCTTTTGCAAATGATCTTTTGTCTCAAATAACAAAGCGTGAGTTGTCTCTTTGTTAATAACAATTTACGTAAGCTCTTCTCTATTTGAGATGATGGGTGTTTTCAAGCCTTTGTAGCTTCTTCAAGCACTAAGGAACAGGAAAATGATGAACCAAATGAAACTACGAAAAAAAGAAGGGCCAATAAACAGCCAACAAATCAAACCTTTTGTAAAAGGAAAAAAGGTAAAAAATGAGAGCGTGAAGAGAGAAAATGAATCTGTAAGAATTTCTATTTTTGTCCACTTGTTTCGTATCGCTACATAGGCCCTTTCTTTTTTAACCCAAGCTCAGATAACCTTCTTGGCTACAGTTTTTCAACTAATATTTTAGATAAATTTGCAATTATTTTTGGACAATTGATATTTTTATTTTAGGCGAATTGCAATTGTGTTGTAGACGAAAATATAAACCGTTCACATAATGGTTCAAAAATCAAAAACTTATTCCTCACCTGTAATGATCTAAATCCTTAAAATATAAGGAAAACCGTGTTTATTACGGGGATACTTTCTTCTTCTTCGCTGGCATGAAAACGTCGGGTCTTCCGGCTCCATACCAAACTGCTCGAGATAGGGTCATCCTATGGATAGCGGCGTTAACGTCTCTCTGCCATAGCTATAGATATTGCTTGCAATGAAGAACGCCGGTACCCTTAAATCCAGGAGTATCAAAAATTTGCATATCATCATAGAAACAGAGGTTGCATGTTTTAGAGGTTTTAAATTCATCGATTGTGACAACCATCAATTGACCTTTAGCTTCACGTTTCTTCAGTGTTGTAAAAGGTTTACCGACAACACCACATCGTTGCCCTTTCAACTTGACTACATCTTTGCCAAACATACCAGCACCAAAGACAATCAGTGGTACCCTTCTAGGTAATTCGAGTACTTATGAAGCCTCCACTTCCTAGCATTTTTGACACAAATAATATTCTTCAGTGGGTTGAGGTTGAATCAAACCTTTGTTGGAACACATCGTCATATCATAAAAAAGTTGTCAATCCTATTGCAAGATAACGTCAATAAAACCATTGTTGGCGACTTTTTTTTACTGATAGAGACCCATTTATTGGGTTCGATTGTATGTCCTCCTTCATGCTGCTTGGATATCACTGAATAATGGAGTATCCAAATTGATATCCAAAATACTATAAACGTTTATAAAAATATTTTTCAATAAATAAATTTAAAACGTTTATTGTCCATCAAAAATTGTAAATCGTCTAAAATGTGAGCTAAAATACTTTATTGTTGAACCTGATCTTTTTTTAATTTCAATCGCCGCTTTCGTCGCGAAAAATGAAAGACAATTTCTCCTAATATAGTATCAAACTGGGAATAAGCGTCAAGGCCATGGATGGGCAATAAATAGACTGTGGCAAGTATTTGGTTATTTATTTTTATCGTCTTTCCTTTTTTTCTTTTTTTTTTTTTTTTTTTTTTCTTTTTTCAAACAACATAAACACACCCATTTTTTCTATATTTAAAAAAAAAAAAATAACTGCTTTTTTTACCCGACCTTTTCTTATTACTGCCTTTCTTTTCTTTTTTGACATTCTTTCTCTTGCACACCCACTCCCTCCTTTTGTGCCTTTACTGACGCGAATACCTGTATTTTGTGTGCTGTATACGTGTATCTGTATTCATCTGCGCTGTGGTGTGTAGTTCAATACAAAAAACGATAACCCCCAATTTTATATATTAATTATATTAGAAAAACATATATACTTACCATACATACTACTTATTAATTCTTGCCTCTTTTAAACTACCATCCTATTTATTTTGTTTTTCTCTTGGCTTCTCTCTTTTTATTTGCGTCCTTTCTTTTCTTGACCTTACCCTCTGTTCCATAGACAACCTTGTGCGACCCCATTGAACTCGATTACTTAATACACGCACATGTCTTATTCAAACTATAATCACCCTCCCTACAATGCCAATGATAATCCACGGTCCCATGAGCATAGTAGACACGGCTATTATCAACAGCATCCCAATTATACAGACCATCACCACTACCACCAGCATCAGCACCACAATGGTATGCTGCATCCGAATAGACCACCGGTGAACAATATGGCTGGAGGCCATCATCATCCTCCTCCTCCTCCTCCTCCTCCTCCTATCCCACCACAAGGCAATCATCATCCTTATCATAGAAGTAATACAACCATCAATAGATCAAAATCACTCACTAGACCAGAAAGACAAAGACCACGTCAAGGTCTTATTCATCATAACCAACAACCACAAGAAGACGGAGCGCCATCTCATCCCGGCCTAAACCATCGAAGACCGCCTGCCTCCTACAACAACCCTCACCCTCGTGAGAATTATAATTACAATCAGCAACCCATGTCAGATAATTTACAAGCCCAATTGGCCCAACAAAAGAAACAACTCAACATGCCCTCCTCTGTCAGCACAGACAGCAGCAGCAGTGTTCTCGAACCCTCCCATAAAAACCCAAAAAAGGAAAAAGAGCCACCTGTATTGACAAATTGGTGGGCATGGGTGGCTTTCCTGTGCACATGCTGTATTCCCAATATCATCATTCGTAAATGGTTTGGCAAGACAAACAAAGGTATGCAACAGGCCTGGAGAGAAAAAGTAAGTAGACAACGGACTGCCGATCAATTTTTTGACACTTTTTTTTTTCATTTCGGGTCTAACCTTTTTTTGTTTGTTGAATTAGGTTACTTTGTGTTACTTGGTGCTATTTTTATGTGCTATACTGGCTTATGTCACTTATGGTTTACACTTCAATCTCTGCCCAGCCAATAACAGATACAGTCCCTATTCGGCATTGGATGAGCATGGTCAACGCCAGCCGTTACCAAGAAAAGATGTCACTGTGTTTGGTCGATTTTACGATTTTAAAACCATGCAACACTATCTTCAGAAGCAATCCGTTGATTTAACCGACGATTTTAAAGGTGTAGAACTAGGTCCTTTATTCGATATAGATACCAATAATAACTGTGCTGCTTATCCTGATGCGAAACCCCCTTGTTCAGTCAAGAATGCCGATGGTAAGGAGGGGAGCCAGAGAAAGGGTTGTGCTTTTCGTGGTTTTTTTTTTTTTTTGTGGGTCTAAAATTTTTTTCTATTTTTTTTTTTTTTTTTTTTTTTTGCAGGCAAGAAATTACAAAAGCCTGATGGCTCTTGTCTCTCTTATAAGCAATTGAACAAAAAGCTTAAAAGCGATCATTATCTCAGTTTCGATTGGCAGGATGTACGATCTAACGATCAAAGCATGGCCAATTCCAATTTAGCCGTCGTCGTCAATACGATCGTCGACCTTTCCAGCTATTTCGATACCAACAAGCCTATCTTTGGTGACAGTGTGGATCGTGCCATCCGTCAAACACGCGGCAACGACTTGACCTATGCCTTACTCTATACTTCGGAGGGTAAAAAGGCACGTGCTTGCATTGAATCAAGATACGGTGTCGGTACGGCTTCTCAAGAAGATGGTAGCTGTATTGCCAATAATATCATCATGACCGTCATGTTTGTCGTTATCATCATCATCATCATCATCCGTTATTCCATGGCTCTTTTGTTCCAATGGTTCATCTCTCGTCGTTTGACAAAGCCCGGGGGTCGTTCCAATTGGCTCGCTTGGCGTTCCATCAAGGGTGGCAACGACGATCCTGCCAATCACATACCGGGCCCTTACAACAATTACGGTCCCCTCCTGCATGGTTCTGTCAATTCCCTCAACTCTGCGGCTCTTCAACACAACCACCACCACCACCACCCTCATCACAGCAACAGTCATAGCTTCAGTAACAGCGTCAGGACGAATAGCACAGGCCCCAGAGCCGCAGGCGATCAGGTCGCTTTGAACGGGGTGCAGACCGACATTGTCGATACAGAACTCTACACCGTCATGCTGGTCACTTGTTATTCTGAAGGCGAAGAAGGTCTGCGCACCACCATGGACAGTTTATCCAACACGACCTACTCCAATAAACACAAGATCTTCTTTGTCATTGCCGACGGTCTGATCACGGGCGCGGGCGAATCGCGTTCCACCCCCGATATCGTGGTCGACATGATGGATTTGTCGCCCGCCATGGCCAACCCCAAGGCGTGTTCGTACTTGGCTGTCGCCGATGGTGAGAAGCAGCTCAACATGGCGAAAGTGTATGCCGGTCATTACAACAACACGCCTTGTATCACCATCGTCAAATGCGGTACCGAAGAAGAACAAAAGGGCCCGAAACCGGGCAACCGTGGTAAGCGTGATTCCCAAGTCATCTTGATGAGTTTCTTCCAACGCGTCATCTTTAACGATCGTTTGTGTGAGCTGGACTATGAAATCTTTTGGAAAATGACGTGGTTGATGAAGGGTGTGACGCCAGACAAGTTTGAACTGGTCCTCATGGTCGATGCCGACACGCAAGTCTTGCCCGACGCCCTGACCTACATGGTGGCCGCCATGGCCAACGACATCACGATCATGGGTCTCTGCGGCGAGACGCGTATTGCCAACAAACGAGCGTCCTGGGTGTCCGCGATCCAAGTCTTCGAGTACTATATTTCTCATCACTACGCGAAAGCCTACGAATCCCTGTTCGGTATGGTCACTTGTTTGCCTGGCTGTTTCAGTATGTATCGTATCAAAACCCCCAAGCACGGCTCATGGGTTCCCATCTTGGCCAGCCCGGACATCATCATGGACTACAACCAGAACGTCGTCAACACCTTGCACGAAAAGAACTTGCTGTTGCTTGGCGAAGATCGTTTCTTGTCGACCTTGATGCTGCGCAACTTTCCCAAGCGACAAATGATGTTTGTGCCTCAAGCCCGTTGCCGTACGATCGTGCCGGACGAATTCAAGGTGCTGCTGTCGCAGCGTCGTCGTTGGATCAACTCGACTGTGCACAACCTGATGGAACTCGTTCTTGTCTCTGATCTCTGCGGTATCTCGTTCCTGTCCATGCAATTCTCTGTCTTTATCGATCTCATCGGTACTTTTGTCCTGCCTGCTGCTATCGTCATGACCGTCTACCTTATCGTGTCGTCGGCTGTTTCCGGTCATCCCGAATGGCAATCGATCGGTCTCTTGATTGCTATCTTGTTCTTGCCTGCTATTTTGATTGCCATGACCACCTTCAAGTTTATCTACGTCCTATGGTTACTTGTCTATTTGATCGCCCTCCCTGTCTGGAATCTCATCTTGCCCATCTACTCTTTCTGGCACTTTGATGATTTCTCATGGGGTGCTACCCGTATGGTAGAAGGCGAGAAGAAGGGTGATTCTCATGGTGACGCCAGTGGTAAATTTGACTCCAAGAAACTCATCATGAAGAAATGGGAAGATTGGGAAGCTGAACGTACAGGAGGTCTTCGTCAAGACCGTAAATTCCCTCTCAAGACACCTGAAGATAGTCTTGTCCAATATGATGCCAATTATAGTCCCAAGTCACCTTACAGTACTACACGTAATAAGTATCTCTAATCCTTTGCTTCCCCTCGCTTTTCTCTTCATTTGTATAACAACTACATACACCCTCTATTTTTTTGCCCAAAAAAAAAATTGTATATCCTTTTTTTTATTCAACTCATTGTTATTTTGCATCTCTCTGCTCTTTACAACGCTTTTTTTTTTTTTATATATATACATATATGAATAGATAGATTGTTTCTATAGTTCATTTCTCTTATCAGCATCATCATCATCATCACCATTATCATCATCATTGACGGATGATTTTGTATTTTTAATTTTTTTTTTTTTTTGAAAAAAATCAATAAATAAAACTAAATTGTACATATTATTAAAACCACTTATGCTTTGTATGTTACGCGTGCATAGAGGCGCGTCTAGACTCTGTTGAAGACCCCATGGGTAAAGAAAATGAAATGATACTTTAATAAATTATCACATAAATTGCAGTGTCAAGAGAGGAAGGCGTGAGGGCGGGGGAGGGGAGCCTCATCAAGATAGCTGAGTTTTCGTCTGTTGGTGGTTGGTTGGGTTCTTCCATTTCAAACAAGCATCAATTTATGTTGTTTTTAAACAAGCAATGTACTTGCTGTACCTGTAAGACCAAGGGACCATTCATGTATCCAACGCATACATAAATATCATTTTATTGTTGTTGGGTCAGTGGCCATCAGTAGAGTCATTGTTTTAGGTGAGTCAATCCTATCTTTTGCTTCAATCTACTACTTTATTCATTCCTCTCAAATAACTGTTCATGCTTTTTTTTTATTAAGGATAAGCAACCTGAATCATTGCATTGCAAGACAACAGGAACCACTCCGAGACAATATAATAAAGACGACGATTTTGGAAATCATTTCATTCTAAACAATTTGCTTTGAACCCATACATGTATTGGCAAGGCTAGTATTACTTGTAGACCCCAACTTTTATTTGAAAAAAGGGAAACGCATGCTGTATAGAGTGCATCTACAACTAGCATTATAATCCATTCTTTAAGATACAATAAAGAAGTTTCAGTTTAACAACACGTCTATCCGCGATGTTGGGATGCGTGAACAGAAGCGCCACATGATTCATATTATCGAATAGGGTTGATAGAATGGCGCTTTCATTGATTTTACCACTCTTTTGGCCCATTTTTCTGTCTTGGTCAATGGGTGCTATTCAAAGATCCCTCCCCCCACACCCTCTATTGATCAACAGTAACTCCATATGCGTTAGAAGCTAGTCATAAATTAACACCACGAATGAATAGAGGTTGGACTGCTCAGATAGAAATCTAGCTGATGCGTACATAGAGACGACAGATGCTACTTTTTCTTTTTTAACCGACATGAATGTACTTTGCTGTCCATCGTCAAAGAAAAGGACGAGTTGTCATTCTCGCTCTTACGGAGATAAATACAAAGATACAAGATAACCTCTCAATAATAACAGTGTTCCTTCACTTGATGAAATGTTTCAAATGATCCACAATTGCACGTAAAAAAGCAATACTCCTTGATCTAAACCACTTTTCTCTTCCCTACTTTAGCTATCATCACCAGACGTGCATGGGATCCCCTGTTGAACGATTCGACATAGAGTAAAAAGTAAATTAAAAAAAAAAAAAAGCCTTTCTATCTCACTGTTTGTATTAGACGATCAAGAAACAGGAAAGTTGACGTGACCAAGCCCATATCTTATTGGATATTCTCTCGAGGACAGGAGCCCAAAAGAGGAAGAGAAAAACGTCACTCATCGCAGAAAGTTTTTTTTTTTTTTTTTTTTTTTTTTTTTTTTGTTTTCCCTCAAATCAAATGATGAACAAAATACTCTATCCTGCTCCATTGACAATATTCTATTACAATAGGAACGTGAGCTAGTTCCCGCAGCCTTTTTCTCTCTCTCTTACTTTACCAATTTCTGTACGTTTATAACATCAACCCCATGGCCGCATCCCTTCTTCGTAACAACAACAACGAAAGCAATACCCCGTCATTTCATAAGGGCGTGAGTGACGATACACACAATAGTCGTTTTATTCAATTCATACAAAATAGTACCGTCGCAGATGTTTTGAACATGGTGAAGCCAGATCAACCGTATGAATTATTCGACTTGCCATTGACGGCAACCATGGAAGAGGCTTTTGATTTGCTTTTGAAACATGACATCTTATCTCTTCCCGTATACCGACTCGAGGACAATAACGAAAAGAAGTATATCACCTTTGTAAGCGCATTAGATTTATTAAAGCTCTTGAGCACCAAGGTAAATTTACCCATAAAACTTTTCATGCATAAAATTTACCCCGTAATACAAAGCGGGTTTATCCATCGTATTCTAGTGTAATCATCGTGAGAAAAAACAAGCGACTAAACCGGAAACTTTTCTTTTCATGGAACCATGACAATGGCTGTTAGGTAACCGTGGAGAGTTTGCAGGAAAATGATCATCATAGTAGTAGTCATAGTAACAGTCGTGGGAGCCATAGCAGTGATACCTTACTGATGCCTTTGGGAGAAGTCATTGCCATTACAAAAGAACCTTTGACCGTACTCGCTCTTTCTGATTCTTTAGCATCGTTACTAAATATCTTGAGCGTGCAAGGCACACACCGTGTTCTTGTCAAAACCCCACAGCAACAACATGTCGTGTTATCACAAATGGACCTGATCCGCTATTTCCAAGCATCCAATCATCAACTTGGTTCTCCGATTTTAGACATGTCTGTTTCTGAAATGAAGTCGTCGCCCGTCCATACATGTCTCACTTATAAATCAACAGCAGCAAAAGCCTTTCTTACGCTCACGTCAGATGACTCTATCAGTGCTTTACCGTTGATCGATGATACCAACCAATTGGTAGGTGATATCAGTGCTCAAGATATACGTGGACTGAACAAAAGCCGTTGGTCCATATTGTCAAAACCCGTCATGATGTTTCTGAAAGAAAGATACGGTGATAATGAAGAAGATAGACCACAGTTATTGACGTGCCATGATAAATTCACATTATCGCAAGTCATGTCAGCCTTTGTTTTACGTAGAGCACATCGACTATGGTGGATGGATTTTGAGACAAATGAGTTGAAAGGAATTATCACATTGACGGATATTTTGTCGACTTTTGCACAGGTCGCAGCAGCAGTCGGTGTGTCTTTTTGAAAGGAAAAAATAGTGATTTTTAGCGACTGAATAAATAGGGGCATTTTAAAAAATAAACTCCATTGCAGAGAGGGGCCCTTACAGCGACATAATGCGTAGTAAAACCCACAAGTTAGTATTTTAAATGGAATGATAGAAAAGTAACTATTGAAACCACGTATCAGCCATACTCTTTTCCCTTTGTTCGTCATACTTAAAGGAAGCGCTGTAACGTATTAAAAAACAACCAAGGTCAACGTAGAGGAGCCTTGTATCGTCAACAACACAGATTCCGCCTTTACGAAACAGTGGCTCTAAAAAAAGAAGCTGATGACTGTGGGTTTGAACTAGAATTGCATTAGTAATAAATGTTTAATCTAAATGTTCTAATCCGAACAAGAACAAGATATATATTCTCCCAAAAACAAGCCTTATACCAGCATCTTCAAGTTGCTTACAAAAAAAATATAAAATAAACATAAAAATAGAAGCCGCCGCTTCCTTATTAAGCCTGTAAGCATGATAAGCAACGAGTCATTGACGGAACTTTTAAACCCGTAGCAGCACGTTGTAAGCCTTCTTTAGCGCAATGCTAAAGTGAACAATTGATACCTAAAGCATGGTCCAGAACACAAAAAATGCTATTCAGAGAAAAGTGTATGGTTAATTACAAGAAGCTGAGATGTTTGGCTAAATAAGTTCTAATTGCTGAGCGTGTGCCTGATTTACTGAAGAGAGAATGGATGAGCAGAAGCGCTAAAATTTGGATCTCGAGTAAGCCATAGTCAGGGCTAACAACTAGAAGAGATGCAACCAATCTAAGGATGCTAAAGCTTGTCAATAAAGTTACGTTTAAAACGAAAAGGTCCTCAATAGTTCTGTCATAAAGAGAGATATAGCAGATATTCAGGTAACAAGCTTCAAGAGAATATAGAGAATGGATTGATACTGGAAAGAGATAATGTTTCCTTAAATGTATAGCTACAGTTTCTACCGTACTTTGCTGATATATTCTAACAAATAAGGAACACAAATAGTTAATTTGACAGAACCTGTAATGAAGAATGGACAGGCTTGATGTCGTACATCCAACTGAGCCACGAGAAAAACCTGGCGTTTATTCTTTGTACTTATTTTGGCGGATCAAACTTTTTTTAAGATACCACTCTTGACTCATTCATTTCCATCTGATAAAAAAGATGCGGGCACTGTTTTTTTGATTTTGACGGACTCTCCTTTTTTAAAAGGCAATTCCTTATACATAATTTGCATAAGACAGAAAATACCGTAGTATCCCTTTTCTTTTTGAACTCTTGTCTTTTTCCTTTTTCTTCCTTCTTTCTCTCTTCTTGGTGACGTTTCCCTTTCGTCGCTCTCTCTGTCTAAAATCAATCGGAACATCTTTATCTTCCAACTGTTTATGCTAAAGAATTCACTACTGAGATTGTCGTCTTTGTTCTTAATCCAACGTGTGCTTGGACAACCTTTATCGCACTCCTTATCATCGTTAAGCAATCAACAACAGAACAGTGTACCTTCACAGCCATTCACAATCTCTTATGAATCGCCAGAATTCTTCGAAAGATTGTTGTGCGTCGCTTTCCTGGTCCTCTTAGGCGGTGTATTTGCAGGTAAAACCAAACCCTGAAAACACAAGTGTAGTCATCGGATATGCTAAAGATATCGATCTTTTCAAACTGACCCATATACAAATTTGCTTCGTTTCTTTTTTGGCAAATTTACCATCAAAATCTACTAGGGCTGACGATCGGGCTCATGGGGTTGGATCAAACCAATCTGTATGTGTTAATTGAGTCAGGAACAACCAAAGAGAAAGAAAACGCCAAAGTGGTTCTTGATCTGCTGGATAGAGGCAAACATTGGGTTTTAGTGACGTTATTATTGGCCAATGTTATTGTAAACGAAACTCTACCGATTATATTAGATGGAGTTTTTAATGGTGGATGGCAAGCCGTAGTAATGTCAACTGGATTGATTGTTATCTTTGGCGAGTAAGTACCCAATGAGCTGAAGATAAACTTTTTGAGATATTCACGGGCTTTTTTTTGGGACTTTTCTGCATACATAAATAGAATAATACCACAATGTGAGTCAAGTAAAATTGTAAAAGTACCACAGTGTTGAACGTTACTGAATTATCTGAATTCTCTTTCTTCATTATCAGCTATATGTGTTCGTCACGGCTTAGCTATTGGAGCTAAAACAGCAAAGTAGGTTCTCACTATTGTGTCAATCACTGCTTTTACAGTAACCTCTAAAAAAAAATCATCCTTCATAGCGTCGTGCTTGTTTTGATGTATTTGATGTATCCTATTGCCTATCCTATCGCGTTAATTCTGGATTTTTTTCTTGGTGAATCGCACGGAACAGTGTACAAAAAGGCCGGATTGAAAACCCTCGTCTCTCTTCATCAAGCTGTGCATCCTTCTGATGTGGATGCACTGACTTCCGATGAAGTAACCATTATCGGGGCAGTTCTAGATCTCAAATCTAAGCCTGTATCATTCATTATGACGCCAATGAATGATGTCTTTACACTTTCCACAGATGATATTATGGATGCAGAAATGGTAGATAAGGTAATAGGTTTATACATCAGTGAAAAGGAAAAAAAAAAAAAAAAAAAGGTTTACTCCTTATTCTTACTTGCAAGGATCTTCATGCAATATAAATAGATATTGACAGCAGGTTATTCGCGTATACCAATACATACACCTGATAACAAAGATAGCTTTATTGGTATGCTGCTGACAAAGCTTCTAATCACATATGATCCTGACGACAATATGCTCGTAAATCAGCTACCACTGAGTACATTACCAGAAACAGGTCCAGATACTAGCTGTCTTGATATATTGAATTTCTTTCAAGAGGGCAAAAGTAAGTTTGCATAAAGCCAGTTTTCTATTTGAAGTAATGTGAACGTCATTAAACGTACTCTAAAAACTTATAGGCCACATGGCGCTTGTAACCAACTGCCCTGGCGAGAATAGAGGCGCATTAGGTGTGATAACTCTAGAAGATGTTATTGAAGAATTAATAGGCGAGGTAATAACACGTTCTGACCGGACGACTTCTTTTATCTCGACATCTTAACATTGACAAAATTCTGCCAACGTAGGAAATTATTGATGAAACCGACGTATATATTGACGGTAAACTAGGCACACTATTTGAATAGTATTATTCACCCATTCCATTGACGCTAACTTATCTTTTCGTTGTTCTGAAAAATTTTCCCCTGATAGTCCGTAACAAAGTACGGGTAGTACGTCGACAAATGGCAAGCAAAAATTTTACTCATATGGCAGCTCACAATCGCAAAAGAAACGCAGATGAGCAAATCAGCTTTTTCGTCGAGAAGTCAACCACATATGGTGCTATATAAACCTTTGTATACCACAAATTGATAACCTATCATCAATATAACGCCCTAACATATCCACGATAACCTCCCCCCCCCCAAAAAAAAAAAATCCATATCAACGAAAAAATATTGCAGTCAAACAGAGCAATTCAAGACACGATTGCTTCATTTGAGCGCCTGATATATGTTGTTTACTATTAAGGCGAAGTGTCCTTCCGATTTATTCACATTGTAATAAAAACATAAGGTGAAAAATTGCTTAATTGGCCTTTCTACGGAAAGAGCAACCTAAATTAAAAAGAAAAGAACTGATTAATAAATGCACGAAAAATATCCCACTGAGTTGTTATATTACCTTCGGTCAAACGAGCACGACCACCAGTGGGTTGGCAAAGGACGGTACCGCAAGAAGAGCACAAAACAACGGTTTGAGCATGGCTGAAGACAGTGCTGATGTTTAAACAACCTGAACATGTCGCAGTAAATAAAGGTAAGATCTTTGTTTCGAGTACTTTTCCTGCGCGATTAAAAAAAAATGACATGTGTCGACTTACCAGGACACTTAACATCCATGAAGTAGGAGTTGGGAGATTGCACCAAGCGCTTGAGCTTGTGAGAACGCTTCTCGTGTTCAACAGAGGGGTTCAAGAGATCAACAGCCAACTGTAAAATAAGTCGATGAACATTAATCCGTTAGTGTTTGATTCTCTTTAGGTCGATTGAATGACAATCCATAACATTTTTTATCAATCCTTTTTTTAAAATCCATCTATCATTCCCAATCCATCATTGATCTGATAATACATCCTCTATCGTCTATATAGACAATGTACATTGCTACTCTTATACAATCAGCTTATTACTTACAGTCATGTTCAATAAGTGATCCTACGCAAAAAGAAGGAAGGATGCCAAATACAGCCTAACGCTTTGCTTAACCCAACCACCAGACTGAAGAGGCAGAGTGAAAATCCACACACCAGCCAACTCTCGCGCTAACAAGGGTTCGGTCCGAAGAAGAAAGAATTTTGTTTTAGAGCGGAGTGGTTCAAATTTGACAAGTGTTGTAAATTAACTTACAAAAAAAAACCAAAAAACAAACTTTCAGTAAGAGCTAAATAGGGTTTATTAGATGCTAATTGATAAGAATAAAATGTAATATATGTATAATGTTATTAAATGTTATGAGTAGCTTAATTCATCGTCTATATAGGGTGTTTCTTTTCGTACTCTAAGACTAATTTTATCGCTTATTTCTGATATCGCTTGCAAAGCATAATCTAGATCCTCTTTCGTATGAGAGGCTGATATACAAAATCTAGCTCGCGCTTCATCAATTGGTGTGGCTGGGTAACCTACCACAACCACGGCAATGCCTCTTTTCAGCATCTCCCGAGAAAAGGAGCTAAAATCGCATTGTAGAAGAGATTTGTCAATATGTGCTGTTCTTTAGAAACTGAAAAGTATGAATAGCCAGTTGTAGAAGACTTACGGAATTTTAGCCGGTTGAATTAGCAATAGTGGAATAACGGGACTACCGGTATCGCCATAAACAATAAGCCCCATATGCTTGAGACGTTTAGAAAAGTATAAGCTATTGTTTTTAAGTCGTTCGATTCTTCTTTTGCCTTCTTTCGTGCCATCTTCTCCACTTTAAGTAAAGGAATGGAATAAGTTGAAGTGTACAATGAAGTTAAGCGTTCTTTTTGTTTTTCAATGACTTACGCAATTATCTTCATACTCGTTATCACTTGCTGTGTTACTGGCACCGACATCGATTCTGCGTAAAGGTATGCATGGTTTTGAACTCTCAAATGGTTGATGATGGCTTTATCGCCAGCGATATAACCACCTGCTGAACCAAAAGATTTTGTGAAGGTACCCATCAAAATGTCGACATTGGCAGGATCTACGCCCCAAAAATTGCACACACCTCCACCAACGTCTCCCAAAGCACCTATGGAATGAGCTTCATCAACATACAGATAAAATTTATACTTCTTCTTCAACTGTATCAGAGCTGGTAAGTTGACAATGGTTCCTTCCATCGAATATAAACCCTCCACAATAAGTAGGATTTTCTTCCAACGAGCATGATCCGTTGGTCGTCCTTGCGAGATAACTTCTTTCAAAAGCTCCTCCAAATTCTCCATATCATTGTGTTTGAACGTTCTAACTGAAGCACCAGAGAGGCGAGCACCAAAAATGATGGAAGAGTGATTAAGCTCATCAGAAATAATAAGGCAGTCCTTCAGAGGCGAAAATAAATTATTGCATTGTGAGATTCACGACGAAATGATAAATGCATTAAAAAATTGCTGCACTTACTTTGCCTACTAAGGCTGGGATTGTCGTTGAGTTTGTGGCAAAACCCATACTAACCACCATTGCATCCTCTTTTCCAACAAATCTGGCAACGGTTCGTTCGAGTTCCCGATGAAGTTCTGTCGTGCCTGCCTCCGCTCGGGGACTGCATGAAGTGATTCCTTGCAACCTGACATTCTTCTCTACGATATCAGCGCATGGGCCTGTGTTTTGAGCGAAGCCAAGATAGTTATAGGATGACAGATTTAGGTTCTTTGTACTTTTTCCTGTTAATCTGCGTCAAAAAATCCAGTCATCTCTTATTAGCTGCTGTCACTTCTCACCTTCCTTTAAGTTAAATGTAAGGCATTTTACCTGAATGTCTTGTTGTAATCGGTTGTATATCGGTCCATCACATTAATTGTCCTGCCGGGAACGCCTGTAACCGGTCTATTCCAGCAATCACTGGATTATAAAGTAAGGTGTTGGTGACATTTTGAATTACTCAATTGATGGAGATAACGTCTTACTATCCCAAACTGATGCTTACCGTATACGCATGTACATTCTTCGCGTGTAAAATGAGTCAAAGTCAGAAACTAAAGGTGCATATCCCTTCAAAAACCAAGTCAACATTGGAGCAAGCCCCCAATTCATGATATACATTAGAATTGCAATGTAATGCAGATAAATGAGATAGTAGTCATCCTACCTCATGATACCGTAAATGTGCGTACTCGTCGGCTTTGAATAATTTGCCAAAAAAGTCTCTGAAATGCCCCAGAATAGTGAGCGTAAGGATGTTAAGGTAAGTGACAATCGAAAGTAAGGTGGGTGCTTTTTCCAGCTTATTATGCACTGATCCAAGGGCATCTTTACTGTGTCCAATCTTCCAACGACAAGCAGGTTTATTCGAAAGGTGTAGTCTTCCTACTGTTTCGACCTTCTTGGCTGTCGCGATAGTATCGTCTAGAATTGTAGGTAGAGAGTCTAATCTTGAGGGGGAAATAACGCCATGTTCGACGAGTGTTTCTGAGAAGCTCAAGGAATTGAACGAGTAGGATCTTTCGCCTTTGCCCATTTCGTATATAGATCGAAGAAAATGGATTTGAAAGAGAAGAAGCAAAAAGAAGAACAATGGCTTGTTAAACGGGATCGAATTGATTGATCTGATCAATTGGTTATGTTTTTTTTTTGAAGCGACCGGCGGACTCGGTTTGTATCTGATAAAAAAAAATGAAGAAATTAGACCCGCTTGTGCTGTTACGATTATCCTATAAAACCATATGTATGGTAGAATTTTTTTCCCGATAGCGTGTAGCGTATGAACATGCCTCGAACAGCATAAACGTCCATATGCGCTTCCTTCTAACTCATGTATAATACAGCGCAATTGCAGAAGAACTAATAGCTCCGTTCGTTGTTGTCTCAATTGAGAGAATTGTATGATGTATTCATTACAAATACGAAGACTTGATAGGAATTAGGATGCGTATCGTGTTTATCAGTCCGCTTTATTGTTCTTCGACCTTCGAATCGTAGTTTTGTCAGATATTTTTCAATTGCGTTTGTTTCAGTTATTGTCAAGATTGGAGGAGAAACCCTATTCGAGCTTTTAGGCCAATAATAATTTTTCCGAACGGAAGCTTCATAATATAACCGAATCGTTGCCAAATGCGGATGGCTATCATATGAAATTATTCAAGTGAGACGTTGAAACGTCTCATGGGAGCTCTTCTAGATATAAACCGTAGATTAAATCAAGCCGGCAGTGACAGTTTCGGCATCCTTTGTCACGTATTAACAATCAAAGTCAAGTGATATAACCTTAAATGAAATAGTGTGCATGTGTTTGCCCTTAGAGGACTTTACTTAATTGCAGCTACAAGTATTGGAAAGGACCTCTATACGTTTGTATAATGAAATTTTCCTCCCATGATAATACTGTTGCTTCAAATTTACAAATGAAGAACAAAAAGGAACGGATTTTTCAAAAGCACTGTTACAATATCAATATGGAAAAAAACTATGCCGTTGGTTTCGGTATCTCTTCGAAAGAAGGAGGCGAGCTCAAAATGGTTCGAAAACATTCTATAGTAATATGGTGGCGTGCATTTTTGTTCTGGTATTAGCAAAATGTGTTCTAGGAAAGTGCTGTATAATATGTTCCTTCAGTATAAAAACATTGGAGAATTGAATGACGGAGCAGGATATATCGGCATCAGCTTATTATTTTTCGGGCAACCCGATGGTCGAAAATGATGATGCAAGAACAATTAATAATATAGCAGAGGAGTTCACTAATATGTAATCATACATAACATCATAGTAGCCCAATCGAGTACTTTTGGGGTAAATACCCCTCCAAGTTTTCTTTTGACTCTCCAGTATTCGTTTTCGTCTTCAGTTTCATTAAGCGCATACTACAGACAACCCAGCTCTGTTAAGCTGTATTATATCTTAAGCAACTACGTTCTGCCAAGCCATCAAATAGACAAAAACATCAGGAATATATTGCAAGCAATCAAGTAAGCAGACAATTACAACAATATGTTACTGTGAAAATCACAAATAGAGAAAAAGGGATACCTCCATTCAAGCAATGCATTTATATGAAATATCCTTTATATAGGCGACTAGCAATATTAATAGCGGTTAATCATGTGAGGATGACTTTTAATGATAATATTAGCGATGGCGGAAGAAAAAATAGGGGGTATATGGAAAGCTGTCATTTAGGAACGGCCTTTCTCTCTCGTAACAATGTATTTTTTCTAGTTTAAGATTGTTCTATCTATAAAACAGATGTAGAAGAACAAAAAAGAAAAAAAAGAAAAAAAGAAATAGCGATCGTGCATAAGAACTAGCTGCCGCGATAGTTGCTCTTGCCACCGTCAAATTGCTTTTCATATTTATCACTGCCTTTATCGTGCTGCTTTTTATCACCGGAATCGAAAAATCCATTTGCTATGCCTTCACGATCAAGGCCTTCTAGAATTGTGCCTTTATCATTTAGTTGTAAAAGATCATCGAGAAGTTTGCCGGATTGCAGGAGGATGTCAAAACTGCTGACACCGTGGTGAGATTTTGATGCAACTGGTAAAGGCGTTGCATGTACTGCAGTATGAGAGATAAATAGGAAAGCAAATGCTGTTAGGATGGTGAAGAAAAATCTAGCGTAAAAGACAGGTATACAAATGCGCATTTATTGTTGTGAAGTGCTGTTTGTAACAGTGAAAGGAATTTGAGTTAAGAGGTATAAAGTATGTTGAGTTTGTCCAAATGCTTCCTTTTTATAAGATGTTTTAGCAATTATTTATTTAATCAACATCTCGAATCTTAAAGCATATTTACGATCATTTTGTATTATTATCAAATGCAACAAATATATAGTTTAATTCTAACACATGTGGCTCTAAGATTGTTTCTCCTTTTTCTTTCTTCCCTGGAAGCTTTTCTAACAAGACACTCTAGGTAAAGATTGCGCACCACAGCGGTACTATCAACTTTTCAAGATTTCATCTGTCTGTACCTATAGAAAGGTAGCAGTTGCTGAAGGTGAAACGCATATTGAGCGTTTTTAACGCTTCAAAAGTCTGTTGCTTATCATCAAGAAATCTTGTCTGTACAGAAAATATTACAAAAAGTGCTCGAATCAATGTTTGCAGTTCTATTTTCTTCTATTTTTATTTGTTCACGTTTCTTTGAACAGTGAAGTTCGTTACGTAGGGACAAGTCATCTACGTGGTAAAATAAAAGTACTCGTGAGTCCGACAAATTAAAAAACTAAAAATACGAATATAGGAAGGAAAGAGGATTAAGCAATCAAGGTCGATATGTTTCTGAACCCACCTGGGGTAAATTCTTTTTGTAGAATTTAGTACTGTATTTGACTCACTATCAAGCCACTACAATGACGAAGCATACTCTTTGTTTCGCAAGGGGTATGATTGAGAGAGAAACAATTGCAAAATGACTCAAGTGTTCATTTGAAGGTTTATGACTTCATATTTGATGCACACAATGGTAAGTATTGATCGTACTTTTTATAGATTTATAAACATTGTCAGTGGGCTATATTGGCTTTGCAAATAAAGAAAGTCATGGCTAAATGTTGCCCGAATAAACTGATGTCCCTTTGGCAAGTGGCATGTCTTGAAACGTGAAATAACTAGACATTAGCAACTGTGGATTAAACAGGGTACTAGAAGTATGAACAATACAAAACGTTAGAGAAAAAATATATATCAACTACATGATGTTTAGCAGAAAAAATTGATTTAAAGGTTAATGGACTGATAACACTACAGGGTTAGGAAGAATTGAACCGCCCTAGAGCATAGAGAGCATTCTATTGTACATCGATGAGAAAAAGACTTCTTAATTTGGATAAAATCACTCACTAATACATCCATTGTAATATGGCAAAGCATAAAAGGTAAAGTGAGAAGCTCTAGTTAGCAGCACCTACCCCCATGTTTCAATAGGAAGGCATGCTCTTATGTATGTTTATCTATTTTAAAGGCGAAGAATTGTCTTCGAAATCTGATAAGCGAACTGTGTCAAATTGAAAAAATGTTATCTTTTAAAAATTCTGATCTTTTTGTACTACAGTTGCACAAGACATGCTATAATTTTAGAGGTTCAAAAAGCAAAAGGAAAAAAAGAGAAGGGTGGCTTAACCCAATCCCTATTAAATGACAAGGCTTGTCTTTTATGATCGTTCCTTCTACGCCCTTTTTGCGTTTCTTTCCTAAAAAACTTCAAAAGTTACCTCTAAGAATGTCTGACTTTTCGAACGTAGATTATCAACGACTTGAGGATTCACTCTGCAATACCTCGGGTAACGTCCCACTCGCTGAACGTTTTAGAACGTTGTTTACCTTAAAAAATATAGCTACTGATCAGGCTATCGATATCATTGCAAAGGGTGAGTTATACTTTGAATTTGAAATATCAAGTAAAATACTGATTTATCGTTCATTAATCCTGTAGCCCTAAATGATGAGTCGGAATTGTTGAAACATGAGTTAGCCTACTGTCTCGGACAAATTGGTAATCCTCGAGCAAATACCGTTCTTTCAAAAGTTCTCGAGAATTTAGAGGAGCCTGAGATGGTTCGCCACGAAGTAAGTTAGGTTTTTGTCACGGTAACAAAGCATACGAGTAGCTTCATTTTACAGCTAACATTTCATATGGCATATGCTAGGCTGCTGAAGCGTTGGGTGCTATAGGATCCCTTGAATCCATTCCCGTCCTCAAAAAACATTTGAGCGATCAGAGTCGATCAGTTGTAGAAACCTGTGAATTAGCTATTGATAAAATTGATTACGATAACGATCCTAAGAACAAGGCTGAAAAAGATGCCAACAACAGCATATACAATTCTGTGGACCCTGCACCGCCCACCACGGAAACGAAATCAGTTAAGGAACTTGAAGCCATTTTGGTCAACCCTGAATATAAATTGTTCAAACGTTACAGAGCTATGTTCGCGTTGCGTGAGATTGGTACAACTGAAGCTGTTCTCGCTTTGGCTAAGGGTCTAAAGGATCAAAGTGGACTATTTAGACATGAAGGTAAAATTGTCTCTTTCAAATATCTCACTGACTTAACTAAAAAGTTATTTCTGTTAAACAGTCGCTTATGTATTTGGTCAGTTGCAGCATCCAGCCTCTGTACCCGCTTTAACCGAATGTCTTCAAGACAAGAATGAAATGGATATGGTTCGACATGAAGCTGCTGAAGCATTGGGTTCTATTGCTACACCTGAAGTGCTTGAAACATTACAAAGCTTCAAACAAGATCATGAACGTGTCGTTCGTGAAAGTTGTGCTGTTGCTTTAGACATGTACGAATATGAAAATAGGTAAATTAAAAAAAAAAAATAGTATCAAGTTGGATAGATGATTGACATTCCAACTTTACCAAACATTTAGTGGTGAGTTACAATATGCGAATGGTCTCGAAAATCAGCCTCAAAACATGCATTCCCTCAAACTAGGTCAGAGTTAGTAACAGTGTCTCTCCTTTTTATTTTGTTTATTTAATTACTGCTTGCATTTGTACATATACAATTCACTTGTCCGCCTTTTTTTTTAATTTCGTTGAAGAAGAGACTATTTGCACTCCCTACTCTATACAATGCATAAATTTATGAAAGGAAGCCATCTCTTTAAATTAGTTGCTTCTATTTTATAACGAAACTGATCTTCTATAGAAAGATGGAAAGGCAAATTGGAACATGAACACGAAAGAGAACAAAAAAAAAAAAAAAAAAAAAAAAAAGAAGAAATAGCCTTCTTCAAATGTTATGGTTATAGAAGCAATATTCTAGGTTGCACTAATGAGCACAGAGCTTTTTCTTATTAGTCTCTTGTACTTTCTCTTTTATCCTCTTCTTCTACTGTTCTTTTCGTATTATCGTTCTGAAATAGAACCTTTTCTCCTGCAGTAGTGTAAATAAGTTTTTTTCCCCCAAGGAGCAACATACTATGTCGTTTTCCAGATCACCACCACAATCACCACCGTCATCGCATGACGATTGGCTATACAGGAATCCACTATCCAAAACCTTTTCAACGAGTTCGTCTCGCTCTATGTCACATAACTCAAGAGCTCAGTCGTTAGCTTCTGCTCCTGGAAAAACGTTCAGTACAACTGTTAACTTTGAAGCAACAGCTCGTATCTACCACGCTGAATTAAAGACATATCTGAAAAATCTGTTGGCCCAAGGTACGTAGCTTATCCATCAAGCGAGCGGGGGAAAAAAAAAAAAAAAAAGAAAATTGATCCACAGAGCATAATGATATTATTGGAAATTTAGAGGCTATTGAAGGGCCCAATTCACAAAGAGTGAATGCACGCCAAAAATTGGTTCGTTTAAGCAATCTTCAATTTCATGAATTGGCTATGGATGTATACGATGAAGTTGTACGAAGAAATAAGAATGACAAATACCGTATGTAAGCATATTGTATAGAATGTGAAAATGGCACTTTTCTTTACTGACGAATGGTTTGCTTTTGAACTCCTCAATTTTCTCGTCTGATATACTTCAGTTCCTTTTCTGCCTGTGAAAGAAGATCTTCATCCGAAACGAAACCAAGCACGGCAAAAGCTCGCGACATTACCCGTAGCTCGTTTTCAAGATCTTGCAAGTGATGTTTACGCTGAAATATCAAGACGCTATCCAAGGCTAAGTAAAAATGAAGTAGGTTGTGTGTTCAGCTTAAAGAAAAAAAAAAAAAAAAAAAAAAAACCCCATTCTATTTGAGTTCTCAACCTTCAAGTGAATGTTTGTATAACATTGATTCCCTTGTGTCCCCTTTATGTAAAACGAATATAAGGATGAATATTATAGTCCACCTTTACCGCAATCACCTATTTCACCCATGTATGGAAAGATATATGCGGATCAAACTGCTCAACCTCAACCAAGCAAATCAACCAACATTGTCCCTGTCAAAAGCACCATGAATGTCGAAACAATAGAAAGATTTTCTGACGATGACGACGACCAAAACAGCAATGTGACGCATCGTCGTCAAAGATCGCCATCCACATCACCAATAAAGGAAGGAGCGAAAGATTACCTTCCTAGGTCAAGTGACGCTAGGTTACCTAAAAATAATGTAAGGAAATTCGTACTTAATCTGATCCAGCAAAAGATTTGAAATAGAGACTTATTGTTGTCCCCCTTGTGATTATCGGTGTAACACATCAACATGGTCACAATAGCAAAAGGAGGCTCAAAAGTTGTCTGCAGAATACCATCATCAAATCGATGCTTTAACAGACAAGATAGCGCATTTGCAAAATGAACTGTCTGTAAGTCCGCTGTAGGAAAGCTTTCCAAAAAAGACAAAAAGAAGGCATCTTCAATGAGATCAAAACTGACTGTGTACCAAATTATTCATGCGATAGTATTTTAAAGGGGAAAATGGCAATGACGATGCAGATAGAAACGTGATAGATAAGCTGAGAACGCAAGAACAGGAAAATCAACGAACCATTCATGAACTGGAAGAGCGATATAAGAAACTATCAGCTAAATACGAGCGATTGCAGCAGCAGTATGACCAACAACAGGATGCTGTACGTGACGTAAAAGCAGAAACAAAACACATGCTGAACGAGCTGAAGCATCTCGCTGAAGCAAACGATGATTTGCTTTTGGAGAAAGAAAAAGCCGAAAACCAAATACAGCAATTGCACGATGAAATAAAGGATCTGCAGCTAAAATACGAAAAGGCACGGATTGAGCTACGTAATGTGAAAGGTAACAGTAGACAGTAATAGTAGGAATGAAGTCTCGGGTAAAATACCCCCCCCCTCCCACCCTTACTCAAACACACGAGACCCTTTTATATACTATAGCATCCTCCATCATCGAGCTGAATAGTAGTAGTGACTTTATGAAACGAAATATTTTACAACCCACCAGAAATGGCATCATTCCTCAAGACCATCTACTTACGTATCAAGCATACATAGATGAGCTCTTAACAACTGCTAGGTATAATTAAAGTATTGTAGCAAAAGAGAACGATCATAAAATGATGGATTGCAGACATACTCACAATAGACTTATGTTCCGTTCTAATAAGGTCAAACGATCCTTCCCAAGTGATTCACGTCATGAAAAACATAGTCACTGTCTGTAAACATATCACGGAAGAGATCGAGGCTCAAGAAGGATCCGTCTCTTTAGATACCAAAAATTCATTATACGAAATCAAGGCTCAATTCACAACCTCCCTCTCGGACCTTCTGATGACAACAAAATATCATGCCAATGGAATGGGAATCAGCCCAGTCTGCTTGTTAGATAGATCGGCCAGTCATCTCACTTCGAACATTGTAGAGCTCGTGAAGCTTCTTGGGATGAGTTCTAAACCTGCGTCGAATTTATCAACAAGCCCTCCTACGGATACAGACAAAATACCAGAAAAATTAGGCACTTTGTCTTTCTCATCATCAACGACAGCCATAGAGCCCTCTTCCTATAGAAGCAACAATGCATCTCGACGTATAGGAGGAAAAGAGAAGAGCCATCATGGTTCCTATGATGACGCATCCTTCATCAAGACGCGTCATGATAAAGCATCCTTTCTTAAAACGAGTGATTCGGCTTTGAGCTTGGATTTATCAACAACTCCTGAAGACAGCACAGCCGATCGTTTTTTAGACTATAAACAACGGCCAAGTTTCAAAAAATATACCTCCAATAGGCATGCCAATGAGGAGATGACGCCTGAAAAGCTAGTAGTAAGGACAATGATCAAGCTCAGGGATAGGGAAGAGAGCGATACTTACCTCATTGATCATCCTCTAGGCCTATCTCACATCGGAAACAGATAGTATAGTACAAACAATCCAGAACCTATTGAGTGCTTTGAAGCTGCCTCAACAGAATGGAGAGGTGTACGCTATCATTCACAGTATGATAAAGATTGTTTCAAAGATAATCGACACTTCAGAAGCTGCATGTGCTACCTCCATGGGCCTCTATTACAAGCGGGACTGCGAACAAATTTTGCGACAATTGACAAAGTGTGCTAAACGTATCAGCGTGATTCAGAGCGAACAGTTTGTGAGAGGCGCTACACCCACTGCGAATGCAAAGCGAGATCTTGCCAAAGAAACTTATGAAATAGCCAAATTTACTAAAGAACTGATAAGCTTATTTGAATCAAAGTAAATCCAAAATAAAAGACAGAAAAAGATACCATGTTGTACATAGATCGAGCACCATTCATTCTACAGAGAGGTAGATGGAACGAAAGAAAAAAGGGTTTGTTGATAGCATTTTGAGTCTGAATTGTCATTCGTGTAGTTAAGTTTTTTGATAAAGGAAAAAAAAAAAAAAAAAAAAAAAAGGTATCTATTTATGTACAAAAAGAGGTATGAGAGATAATGAGCGCGTAACATTTGTTATGGCTCTTCTAATGGAAGTGTGGAAAGGAAAGGCTGTAGAACGCATCTATGTCCGCACCCTGTCGCGCATTCACTTTCAGTTGTAAACCAATCACGCATATGAGCAAGGTGTCCTCCATGATTGCAACCTTGGCACCATACATACAGGCCTCTCACTGTTTCATGACTGTGGCAAAGAGAATTGTATTAGATTGTCAAAATGCACTCTCAAAGAACTCAACGTCAATTGTTTTTTCTTTGTTTACCAAATGGTGCAAGGATTCAATAATTGCTGGCATTTGTCACAGGCCCAAGCGCCTTTACTCGTTGCGTTGACCAATTTGAAGCAATGATTACAAGCAATATGAATGGTGGTATCGTTCTAGATAGAAAAGCGGTGCGAGATGTTAGAAAGGCCTTGCACTTTTTATGGCCATTCTCGATCTAGCTCTGTGAACGTTACGTTACCTCATTTCGTTCCCTCACGACAGGCAGTTTACACGTTTTCATCATCGCTACGGCGGTAGACCAAAGCTTGAATCTCTGCAGTAGATCAATATAAGTCACAAACCACTCTTCTAAGCGATCATTATCTATCGTCAGGTAATCTTCCAAGACAAGGTACAAAGTAACACACATTTGAATGTCGCCCTTTACAGATTACAGAAAGGAGGTATAAGCAACAGAGCAACTCAAACCAAACGACGAAGGGTTCATTCGTTTGTGGGGTTACCTGTTCTATATAATACTGTAATAGATCGGAGATAATGCTATCATGCTTCCAAGGGATTCGTAGTTCAAAAGCAGGTGTTGGGTGCAAGGAGACAGAAGAGCTCTTTGTAAGCACACTTTCTGACTCTTCCTTTGATAGAATCGATGTAAGGTCATCGTCGTCCTCCTCATCGTTCTCTTCATTCTCTTCTTTGTCTTTGTCTTTGTCTTCTTCTTCTTCTTCTTCTTCTTCTCCTGTGAAAAGGATATCTTCCGTTTCGTTGAGATGGAAACTTTCGCTGTCTTTCGTTCCGGTTTCTTCCATCGTTGGGATCATTGGATCACCGTCGAGCGCTATGCCTACATCACACTACTCAAATGCAAAAAAGTTCAGTCCTCCATGGAGTAAGTAGGGAAGCACGCCACACCCCCCCCCCTTTTTTTCAATACCTGAGCTTCTGTGGTGGGTTGATCTTTCAAGATTCCGGTACCCTCCTTACCGTAGAGCATACCAATGATCTTCCATGTCTGTGCCGTTCGATAGCGACCCACTTTCCAGGCCAACTGGAGCCAACGGATGAATGAGACAAAATGAAAAAAAGTTTGAAATAAAAGACTTTTGTTCTTACTTTGCTATTGATATCGCAAGCCAAAGAAACATTCGCATTAGAAATAACATAGTTCTCTGCCAGAATGGTAAAGGCTTCATAATCGAATAAAGGCATATGGACAATAGCACATGTCTGTGGCGGTATATACTGATTCATCTACAGAGGCGAGGAGGAAGAAGAAGAAGAAGACCGGGGTAAGTAAAGTCTTACGGGGGCGCGACAAAATGGACCCTGTTTCCCTACCTCTTCCTCTAACGCACTTTTGTTGTTGAGTCTTTTCCAGGGGCGAGGTGAATCATTGAACGGTTTTGACATGAAATGGTCATCGACAAAGACTTTGCGTGGACTTTGGTCGACAGTGAAAGCCACATCCCCTTGTATATTCCAACCCATACCGTTTCTCCGCAACATCGTCAATGGCTGTTGTGAGCCTTTCAAGTGTTGTCGTATAAGCCATTTGTCTTTGGATGCTGATATGATCTCGGTAGAGTTTAACCAAACAAATCCTGTTGAAAAAAAAGGGGGGGGGGAAAGAAAGACACTTTTTTTTGTGAGTAGCGCTTTTCACTTTCCCAGCCCCCCAACACCACCATACAACATACAATCAGACACTTTTACCTGTAGGTGTGGTATCATGTTCTTCAAAAGTATATTTAGCAATATGAGGACGTCTGATATCCCACATATGGATTCGATTGTCTGTAAGCAAGGCACAGGAGGCGATTTCATTCTCATAGCCTGGACGCCATTGTATCCTCGCGACCGAAGCCATGGTTTTGATGGTGTAGACTGGACGCCTACTGTCAGCCGTCATATCCCAGACTTTGATCGTCTTGTCGCGTCCTCCACTGGCCACCCATTTACCATTCGTATGCCAGTCGACGGTCAAGCAAGGGCCATTATGAGCACTCACTTTTTTATCGTACAAGGCGCGTGGATTTCGCATGTCCCATTTCTACATAGATGGTAGGTAGGCAGAGTGTTGTCTGAAACAATGAGCACATCAGAAGAAATGGCAGCAAAAAGTAGAGGTTAATACCTGAATAGTACCCGTTTCAAAAGCAGCAGCAAATTCGTGCGTATTGACTGGATTAAACTGAACATCTCTCACAGACTCTGACTTTCCTTCAAACCTAAACTTGGCACCGCTTTTAGCGTCTCTGAAATCCTAAATGTGTTGACACCAAAACATGATTCAGTATAGGAAAGAACAGGTGCCATGGATGCCCGCTATGGGCACAGACACACAGACGCTGAATGGAGAAAAAAAAAAGGGCTTACGAACCCAACATTTCATTGTTCCATCCTGTGATGCACTTAGTAATATATTGCCATTGTCAGGTTGAAATGTGATACGATTCACAGCGCGTGCATGTTCTGCAATCACTCGTTCTGAAAGACACAAAGAAAAAACGATGGTCAACCACTCAAAGGAGAAAGGAAAGTGGGGAGAGGGGGGGGGAGGCAAATCGATTGAATGTTGAGTGTGTCCATATGCTATAGTTTTTTACCTGCTTTTCTGCCCACCTTATTCAAATCCCAAAGAATGATGGTGCCGTTGGTAGCAGCCGTAGCCACCTTATGTTTCGTTGCTTTTTTTTTTTCAAATGACAAAAAATAAAACAAAGCTTTCTCGTTAAGCAACGCGTGGCATGGGATGGCCTACTCTCTCACGCATTACCATTGTTTCCCCATTTGACGTCGTTACTGCTGTAGTTCAGATTGAAATGACTTCCCGATCTCAAATTGAGCGCTTCTACTAATCCAGATGGATGAATATTATAGATTTTCAAAACTGAACAAAAAGAAAAAAAAAAAAAAGATGGTTCAATGAGGGCTATTTTTTTTTCGCTTGTGAAGTTTTGGAAGGGAGGGGGTGCATAGAACTCCATTACTTTCTCTTCCGGCAGCAACAACTGAGTTTCCACCAGGCGAGATGCTCAACGCATTGACGGCACCCGACAAGCGTTCTCGTATAATGTACTGTTGCTCCATGTCGATGACTTGTTTGAGAAAAAGGGAAAGCGTCTTTTTTTTTTTTCTGCTCAAAAAGATTTGAGTTTCAATATGCGAAAAGGGGGGAAAAATAGAGTGTATCCAAGGTGGCTCCCATTGTATTTGTGATAAACTCCTGTAGGGTTTGTTTATCAAAAGACACACGACGTCATAGAACCTTCAAGTAAAGAATCCAATGTAAAGCCATGAAGGGGTGAAAGAGAGTTGAAAAATAAGATACGGGGTATATTTACAATGTAATTTGTATGAAACGAGCCAAGAGAAGAGGTGTGCGTGTAGATGAAAAAAAAAAAAAAGAAAACTCAATCTGCAACCTTATTTTCAAGTTACACAATGTAATTTTCAAAATTTGCATTATTCTGATCCATCTACCATGTGAGCTAGAATTCTAATGTTGTCAAAAATGAACAACGAAACGCGCTCGTTCGTTGTACAATAATAGCCATTCCCAAAAGAAAGTATGGTTGAGGTATTCTAATTTTACAAGTTTTATTTGTTGAAAAATAAATCAAGAAAACTTTTTTTTTTTTTTTTTTGTTTTCTAGCGTTGGTGTCATTGTCAGCATCCATGTTTACTACGACACTTAGGAACAACTTTAGAAACCATAAGCCCACATTGCGCTTGTTGAAATTAGCTGAGGGGAGGGGGGGCAGCAGCATTGTTCTTTTTTTTTTTTTTTTTTTTTTTGGTGTTGTTTCTTTTTAAAGGGCATTCGAGCGGCGCCCATAGAAGAAGAAAAAAAAAAAAAAAGCAGTTGAGGATTTGAGATAAAAAGAGATAGGTGACATGATGAGGGTATGTGTGAGAAAAATAGACTGTGAAGGGTTCTTGTTGTTCATTCGGTAGGAGCAAACATACAGCCAAATTCTTCGCGTAATTTATAAAAGTGAAAAGAACCCAAGTAATGGAACTAAAGGAAGTAGAGGGAAAAAAATTTAGTCAGAGAACGGGATGAAAAAGATAAAGAAGCATGATAATGAGGAGGAGGATGCCATGCACCACGTTCAGTGGCCCACCCACTATCTCACCCATGATACTTACAAAGATACCGAGACAAACGAATAGATGCCATATAGCATGACTTGTCATACCAGCAGCATCGAATTTACCAGGGAAGAACTTTTCTGGGAATCGTTTGCCATAAATCACCACGCCGCAAATATACATTAGCGCACTCACGAGAGCAGGTTTGAGAAAAGCCGCTGTCACTAAAACGCCCTTGACGGTCATCAAATGCAAAAGGGGAACGACGCTAGAGAAAGCCATGGCGACAAAGAGACCGATACGAAGGGGTCGGTATCTTTTGGTATCAAAGAATCGAAAGAAAGGTAGAATGATGCCAATGCTACCAATGAGTCCACTGAAAATCATGTAACGGTGTTTGGGAATAGGGTCACAGTAGAAGCCAAAGTGAATGACGATCGAAATGGAAGCTGTAATCAGAAAAGTGATACCGATATAGTCGAGGGTGGCCGTGAAGCTTTTGATATGGCGTGCTGAATGGCAGATAAATGTGTGATAGATGGAAGAGCATAAAAGACAGGTTAAGGACGAGATACAGAATGCCGAAAAGATGGCGATATCTCGTGAGGATGCTTCAGGAAAATTGGTCTATACAAACAATGCGTATGTGTATGTGTATGTGTGGGTGGTCAGTTGAATTATCCGCACGAGAGGGCAAAAACGGGCTTTTCCCCCCCCCAGCACATCCGCGCAATGAAGAGCTTACCTTGAAAGCATAAATCGACAAGTAAGAAAAGAAAAAAAAGCCGAGCAAATGACTCCAAATGTTGAGCGTTTCGTTGTGTATCTTGAAGAGAGATTTCAAACACTCCCTAGAAGAGCGATAAAAGCGATACCCAGAAAGAACATACTGGTTCTCCTGACGATCTTTGGGTAATTCCTCTAGTAAGAGTAATCTTGTGGAGCCGAGCATCAAAGCCTTGGCGACTTCCCACGTGTCGTGGACTTGGCCATCGACATAGTCCAAGACTTGTTGTGAGAGACTGCCGTTGCTATCATCATTGTCTGCACTCTTTTTAGTGTTTTGAAAAGTAGTATTGACAGTGGCTAGGATATGGGCTGCTAACGACGATCCAGGAACCACTGAAATTGAGTTTGATCTGCCTCTTCGATGATAGGGTACCGTTAATGAATCCTTCTTCCCAGTCGCTGAAAGTAACTGAGACTGAGAATAGCGACGAGCATGCTGGGCGTTTGTCATGGGAGATGCAGAGAGCAGGTCAAGACTGTCGAGGAAAGATTGCTCTGAAATCTGTGGTGGTGCCATTATTTAAAACTGAATATTTAAACGATTTGAAAAGAAGCAAACATGCAGGAAAGGAGAGGAAGTGGATTTCAGCAACGCTTAATTGTCTCCTCCCTCTTTTATATTTTTTTTTTTTTTCAGACAATCGTCTTGAGCGTTCCCAAGGCTTGAAAAAATGAAGCAGAAAAAAAATAAAAAATATATTCTAAAGAACCAAAGGATGCTTCCCAAAGGCAGAAAAAGAAAAAGAAAAAAGCGAAAAAAAAATAATAAAAATAAATATTAATTTTTTCTGTCAAATGAAGAAAAAAAAAAAAAAAAAAAAAAAAAAAAACTACTCTTTTCAATCCCCAAGGCAGGTATTTCCAGCCCGAACCCACAGGCAACGAAAACTTGAACTCTTTCCTATCAACCCGTCCATTCTACTACCCTCTTACCCCTCAATTTTCCCCAAACAATGGCTTAGATTGGCCAATCGGATGGGGACGCAGAATCAATAAAATAGTCTGATGTATACCAAAAGAAAAAAATAGGGTAGTTTGGCAGTATTTGTAGTAAACTGCCAGAAATGGAAACCAGACAAGTTATCTAATGTGGTCCAAGCAACCTTTTTTATTACGTGATAAAGCAAGCATGGAGGGTTTCTTCATTTCTCAAAAATCACGTTATTGTGAACCATTTCATTGTTTTTTTTTTTCAAGTCCAATGTGGCAAGCAGCAATACATTTGATTGTTTAAAGTCATTAAAATGATGATCGTTACTCACTTTGAGTCTTTTTTCTCTTTTTTTTTTTTTTTTTTCCTTTCTCCCCAAACGACGTCTTCAATGTCCACTTCACCTGCTACGGCTACAACAACGACGACAACAGCAGCGGATGCTTCCTCTTCAACATATATCCATGGCTCAGACACATCCAATCATCATCCCCATGAATCCATGTCTCCGCCCAATAGGTAAATTCCCAGAAATACCGAATATAGAAAAGAACAAGCTTTGCCCTTTTCGTGAAACAGAAGCAGAGATACGGAAAGGAAAAGAGTAGTAAAAAGTATTACTTTCCCGAAATAGTGTGGTTTTGAAAATGGGAATTATTGGTGATGCACAGATTGGTAAAACAAGCCTAATGATAAAGTATGCTGAAGGTGCTTTTGATACAGAATACACTCAGACTTTAGGTAAGTTTGGGTTCCTGAACTAAAATCAAAGTGTGGAGATGGGTGATCCAACAATAAACTTGTGTGTATCTAACGACCGCTTTAAACTACGTTTTTTATATCTATTCAATGTTTTATCTATCAAGGTGTCAACTTTATGGAAAAGACAATTTTGATTCGAAATACAGAGATTACATTTAGTATTTGGGATTTAGGAGGTTTGTTGTGTTTTCAATACATCATCTACAGACCGAGTGAGTGACTTGACTTATTCTTTTGTGAATGGGTTGTACAGGTGAAAAGGAATTTGCTAGTATGATGCCTCTGGTGTGCAATGACGCAGTGGCCATCTTGTTCACCTTTGATCTATCCAGAAAATCCACATTGAATAGTTTAAGGGAATGGTACAGACAAGCCAGAGGATTAAATAAGGTAAAAAAGAAATAAATAAAAGGGTTGTATCCATCTGCCACAAATGATGTCTTATCTTTTATTTTTCTTTTGGGATCTATGACGGTTGGGTCTATTGTAGAGTGCTGTTCCGTTGTTGGTAGGAACAAAATATGACGAATTCTTAAATATGGCTTATGAGGATCAAGAAGAAATTACTAGACAGGTACGACTTTACTTACTCGGAACAGAAAACGCATCGAGTTTTTGTGTGAGCTTCTGATGTAACAGAGACTAAAAAAAAAAAGAGTTTTTTCCACACTAGGCACGTAAATACGCCAAAGTGATGAAGGCTCCACTTGTATTTTGTTCAACAGCAGAATCTATCAACGTACAAAAGATCTATAAAATCGTCTTGGCCAAGGTTTTTGATTTGAATTGTACACTTCCAGAAATATCTGACATAGGTGCACCTATACTGGAATACAAGCATTGTTAACTTCCCATCTCAGCTTTTGAATATACCTTTCCTTTTCCTTTTATTTCTGAAATAAAATCATTTCTCTCCCTTATTGTTTCGTTCAACCTTAGACTCGTTAGCAAAAATGATGTTCTATACACTGAATAAGTTTCCTTATATGTTTAATTTGTTACAATGAGTTGAAGTCAAATTACAGATAGAAATAGGGGATAATCGGGTGGCAAAATAGAAATAAGAAATGGTATATTTACGCAAAAAAAAAAAAAAAAAAAAGCATCATCATTATCATGATCATGATCATGAAAAAACTACTCTCTTTCCCTTTGGCTAAAAGTTCCAGGAAATGTCAACATGTCCTTTGTCATAGTCACCAATTTTGTCAAACGCTGCTTTACTCATATCCACATCTCCTCTGGCACATCCTGGACACGTATCAATCACTTTCAAATGCACACTTCCTTTCTTACTCGTCACTTTAATCTGTTTGCCGCAATAAGACCCTTGAGACATCACTTCTTTCGATAAAGCCACTACTAACTGATCATCATTTGTATCTTGGAATCCACAGGATCCAATGCCTATCACTAGGGGAACATGAAACAACACATCATCAGCGGCAGATAAAACGAACCCCCCCCCGTCAAACAAACAAACAAACACACACCTTCATAATAAGTTCCTTTTCCTGTGAAATGTTCACTGCGTTTCTCTCGAATAGCTGTTGTTTGTATCACCGGTTTTGCCTGCACCTTTCCAGCGGAAAATGTGAGTAAAAGTAAAAGAAGGGTTGACAAGATGAAGCTTGGTGCAATCAAAGAGCGCATGTGTTTATGTGGTTGTTGTCACTGTTGGAAGAAAAAAAAAATAAAATAAAAATAGATGCAATAAAGCGAAAAAGAAAAGTGTTTACTGTGTGTACTAAAGAGAGAAGGGTCACCATTTTATAAATTTTTATCTAAACATACGCAAATAATAAATGAGATCTATTAGACACAATATATATTAAAGGGATAATAATCATAGATAACCCTTATTCAACATACACACACACACATACACAGAGAGACATACACACACATTATCAAAAGCTGTAAAGAATGAAATGCGGGTGCAAATCACATCACTTCCAAGGAGATCTAGAATCCCCTTTAAAATAGACTCATCATAAACAATGGGCTGGTAATATACTTGCATGTAGCTTATGCATCATGGCAATACAAGGGCCCTTTTTTCCTCAGGCCGATCAAGAAGAAAGCGTCCTCTTCATATCATCAAAGACGACGCCAAGGGTTCATTTCATGTCCTCTACGCTATCATGACTAATTTTTAAAAGAAACAAACGGGAAAGAATGACAGATACATCAAGATATCTTTTTTCAAGAGAAAGCATCTCACAACAATAAAAGCTAATTTTGTTGACAGGACAATGAAAGCCGTCTTTTTCATTCATTCTGCTATGGCAAGAGAGCGAATGCATTTATTGAGCAAATTCATCAGTTTATCATTTTCGTTGTCTGGTTTTTTTTATTTCTTAGTCTCTGGTGACGCGTAGATCGTATATTCTTAAACATTTGTTGGGCGAAAACCATCTAACCTGACCAAACATCCAATGGAACGGATAGTTAGACATCGCCACCCACTCCATCGTCTACGCTCATGATGAAAAAAAAAAAAAAAAAAAAAGGAGTAGATGGAAGTGTGCATTTACTTGTACCTGGCAAATTAGGGCAAATTTGAATATCCATTCATCGAGTGAGTGAGTAACAATCAAAATAATCATTAACTACTGCTCTTTATTATCTTTTTTAAGGGGAGGGCGGAGAGGGAGGCGCGTAACAGAATAGAAAGGATGCACGTATGCATGCCCATCCAAAAAGACATCTCTCTCTGGCTTGACATGCCCTTCTCCACCAATCAACTACTCCATTTTCCTACTTGTGCAGATCTTTGTCATTGCACATGATAATTATGCCTACCCATATTATCCAACACTTTTCACGTGCTAGATGGAGCATTTACAATCTTTTTTTTTGTTTTTTGTTTTTTGTTTTTTTTTTTTTTTGGTTTGGATCCCATTTAAGCTCTGAAACGAAGCCTTTTGACTTTTTTTTCCCTTACTTTTCGCCCACATCAGTGACATTCGTTGATGGTGAATCTAACGCATGAGTTTTACAATGTCGATCCTTTACCAGAAAGCCAATGGAAACCCACCACTTCCTCCGCTTGCGGAAACAAGAAAAAGAAGAAAAAAAGAGGATGCTATCCTTCAGCAGATCAGACAAACACACAATCGATGCATCCTAATGACATACCTATATTAAAAAGCAACCATACCATGTATAAGTTCATTTGTATTGTCTGGGCGTTTTTTCTTTTTTATGACCATTTTACTGATGATGCGAATGACTATTTTCGTTTAGCCATGTTTCTTATACTTACACGACTTATACCCTCAGTTTATCCATCATTGCGCTTTGTCTATTTATTGTATTACAACAACCTTTTCCTTGGGGTCACACCTTCCCGCCTGTCTTTCTCTTGTTCCAAATCGCATTCCACTCAATACACATCATTGCTCATACATTTGACTTTGTGATAGTAGAACGATGTTGCATTGTCTATGGTACTTGGCTTTGTTGGACAGGCTGGTTACTGAGTAAATTACTCTTTACAGAAAAGCTTTTTCACGACAACCATACAGCCCATATTCTGGTCATTAGTCTGTTTTGGTTGCTGATGCTGGAACGAAGAAATGCTTGGGGAACCATTGCTTGGGAGTCCGTAAGCCAATTCAATACATACACCGCCACCACCGCCACCACCGCCACAAGCTCTGAGAGTGACGGGAGTACTACAGCATCCTCCAATGACATGGAGAACAACTTTAGCTTCCATTTATTTGTATTTCGCATTTGGTGTTTGCTGAGTACGGGTAGCTTTTGGGGTTTGGTGTATATGGGCTTGGCAAGATGGGATGGCTATCCATTCAACTACTTGTTACAATGGCATCATATCATGAAGTTGCTATTGATCAGCAGTATCGGTGGATTCATGATGATTATATTCTGGAGTTTCTGGACCTTCCAACTAAAAGGTATCCTTTGGCAGCGAGACTTGCGAAAAGGGATTATTGTCTGGTGTAATGATGGAATAGCCTATGCAGCGGAAGTAAAGTAGGGTTTATCCCGTCTGAGTTTAGTTTTTTTTTTGGTGGTCTATTTTGCTGTTGGCTGCTGCTGTGTACCTGAAGGCGGCGGCTGCTGCTGCTGCTGCTGCTTCTTCTGTGCCATGTGTGTACAATCCCCCAATTTATAACACAGCTAAAAAATTTCCCTCTTTATACCCTTCTTCTTTCTATACTCACTCTTTCTTCATCTACATTACTCACCTGAATTGAAATAAAGCAACATGAGTTTTCTTAACTTTAGGTAATTGACTTTATCTAGCTAGACCGAGTCTAGTTTTTTGTTAAAAAAATATTGACTTAAGTTTCCTTAGTTTGGGCTCCAAGAAGCATAAATTATCCAACAAGTTGAAAGGCTCCTCCTCCTCCTCCTCTTCGTCCTCCAACACGAACCATAACTACTCACCAGAAGCAAAACCGCTCTTTGTTACTCAGCCTTATGTCAGTCACATGCTTGTGAAAGGAAACTTTAGGACCATTGTCGAACTACCGAAATATGTAGATGTGAACGAATGGCTAGCTTTTAATAGTAAGTCTCGGCATTGCGTGAACACAACATCCCCCCCCCACATAAGCTCTCTCTAACCACAGAAGCCTTTTTTCAGCTTTTGAATTCTTTAATCATATCAACTTGTTTTATGGATCCATAAGTGATTTCTGTACACCACAATCGTGTCCTTGCATGTCTGCAGGATCTGGGTAACTACATTTCACCAAGAGAAAGTTATTTCACAAATTTTAAAAGTCTCATATACTTAAAATTTGGAAATCTAGCGTTGAGTATACTTGGGTGGATGCTTCCTCCAAAAAAATCAAGTTATGTGCACCGCAATACATCGATTACATGGCATCCAGTATACAAAATATGTTGAATGACGAAACACTTTTTCCTACAAAAACAGGCCGAGATTTCCCCCGCGATTTTCCTCAATTGGTAAAACGGATATTCAGCCAACTTTTTCGACTCATTGCTCACATGTACCATCACCATTACGACAAGATTGTCGCTCTAAGTGAAGAACCGCATCTCAACTCTTTAACTGCTCATTTTATATCATTCGCAAAGGATTTTGATTTATTGGAAAAGAAAGAGATTCAACCATTACAGGAACTAGTCGATATTATGTTCAAGACTGGAATCATATCATGAATGAATGCAACCACGCTTCTATTGAAAACGGAATAGGTTTTTTTTTTTTTTATTTTTTGTCTGGCTAAAAAGAGCGATACCATCTCCACACACATACACACAACGCACAAGCAGCTATATTTACACACTCATTCACCCTACTCAAACCTCATCAGTAAATTCATAGACACAATCAAAGGCCACTACTACTCCTACAAACACTTTCAAAAAGAACAAAATTCCCTATTTTTTCTATTTTCTTATTTTTTCTCGATCTTTCTCCTATCTTTTTTTTTTCTTTTTCTTTTTTTTTTTTTTTTTTTTTTTTTTTATTGTTTTTTTGTCCTATTTTTTTTTTTCTCTCTCTTTTTCAAAAGCGCAAATACACATTTTGGATGAATTTGTTTACCATCGAAACATTAAAGTTGAAATTTTAGTGTAAAAGCGAAATAAATAAGCAACAAATCAACAGAACCTCACATTCATCTTTCTTCTTTCAAACTAGTCTCTCTCTCTCTCTCGCTGCCCCGCCCTCCCCGCCTCAACACCCAAATTATTTCCCGTCTCATTTCTTAATATAGCAATCATGACTACGACAGATATCCGCCATTTGTTAGGAGATACAATAGTCGATGCCTGGAATCAGGAAAAAGTAACGCAATGGTTAGATGAAAAAGGTTGGGGCCATTTCGCATCTACGTTTGAAAGTAAAGTATTTTGCAGGGCCTTTTTCTTTGTTTTTGTTTTTGTTTTGTTCTGTTGACTCAAAAGAAAAAAAACTTTCTCTTTTCTATGTAGAATACCACATCTGTCACGATAAATTCTTTTCTATTACGCTGGCGGAATTAGTCCAATATTTGCCCAGGTAGAGAGATACAGAGTCAGATGAGTTTATATATCAACCACTTATTCATTATGTATAACGGCGAATTACTAGAACCATGACAACCTATTATGAGAGACGGAGACTTTTAAATGAAATCAGATCTTTAATACCACCTGCACCCGGTCAACCCGCAAAACCCACACCGAGCACACCTACCAATGTATGCTTCATTCCTTCCCCGTTCTTGCTTTCATCGGATATTCACTTTTTTTTTTTTTTTTTTTTTTTCTATTCGTCGTCTAGATCTCCATCAATACAAACGTGCATGAATACTGCAATGCCAAGCTGGAAATAAGGTTATTAGAAGGGCAGAGAGTAGAAGCCGGTGGTGGTGGTGGTGGTGGTAGGGGCTGTGGAAATAGCCATAGCTTGGAGGATGAAGAAGCAGCAACCACGACCACAAGCGAAGGAGGAGGCTTCTTGAGCGATAAAAGTCCTTTGTCAAGCACTTCTAGCATAAGCTTGCCACCACCCGCACCGCCTCCGCCGCCTAATACTTCAATAGAGGCTATCCACCTATCCACGCGTCATTCCATGGATAGTTTGGATGCAGCTGTCACCCAAACCAAGACGACTGTCGATCACAACCACTACAACCGTTGCAGCAGCAGCAGTAGCATCACGAGCACCGACTTGCTCTCACAACAATACTACTCCCATTCCAACCCACCGAAATCTGCATCGTCTCTACGTTCGAGCTCTCCTTCTCCCTCCCCCTCCCTTTCCTCAGATCACCCGTTCGTTTTTCCGTTTGCCCGAAAGCAACATCATCAACAACAACAACAACAACCACTTAAAACAGCTCACTCACCCACTCGATTATCGCCAAAAGCTGCATTCTACAAAATTAAAGATAAATTTCACAGGTCGCATGCATCTTCCACTTCTGCAAATGCACTTGTTGCATTATCAAATACCCATCATGCTTGTCAGCAGGAAAATATGAATCATAAGGTCAGCTTAAATCACTATAGCAACAACCACCCTATTTCTCCTCGACTCGCAACAACAGGAGAAGAAGAAGAAAAAGACAAAAGTGCACGACAACAGCGGCAGACATTAACATTGTCAGCCTCAGCCGACGATGTGAGGCATACATCAACCCATACTACCACCCTCAGTCCGGCTTTCAATAAGGACTTGCCAACGATTCCTGCACGTGTTTCCTCTACACCCAATAAAATATCAAAATTCTGGGCTACCTATCATGGTGGGGGTAACAATAGCAGCCATCACAATGCACAGCACCAAGTAAAAAAGCAACAACAGCTTTATTCATCTGGGATGAGTAAGAACCTATACTCCCAGTATCAAGCGAAAAAGGTAAAGTATGCGTGTGTGTGTGTATTGAGAGAGAGAGAGAGAGAGAGAGAGAGAGAGAGAGAGAGAGAGAGAAAGACCTAGGTGTAGTGGGAGTCGTCGTCGTAGACCATTTTTCTAAACAAAAACATTTCTTCTACACTCCATAGCTGACGGAGCAAAAAATTCAAATTACAATGGATTTAGAAACTTGGTATAGCCTTAACGTCACCAACATGAGAGACCCGGTTATCATTAAAAAGCATATTCTACAAAGATTGAATTTTAAAGGCGAGGATGATCAGTATTTGTATTTTCATGAGAATGGGCCAAATTCAGACACACCCATGGACCCACAATCACTGATGTGCTTATGTGCGAATGCAGATCACACAGCCTCTCAGCGCATTTTTGTCAAGCCGATATCGCCTGATCAAGATAGCACTTATCATTTCCCTACACCTGCATTGGGTTCGTCGCCCTCAATGATACCCGCTTTTCGTCGAAAGCAACAACAGCAGCAGCAGCAACCATACCAACCACCTGCCCACCGATACCCCCATCCGCTTCTTACGAACACTAGACCTTTACAGAGACATCTGAATAGACGACCAGGTAGAGAGCTGTCAGATCCTTCCATACCCGTTCATCCGTATACCCTTCCCTCAACGTCTGCATACCACGACTATCCTCTACCCTCCTCCTCCTATGGAGCCTATCACCGTAAGAATAGTGACTCACTTCTTCCGCAACAACAACCACCCTTAGCTGAATTACCGTCTGCACACCCTACTTGGAGTCGTTCAGAACCTGAACTTGACCATTTCAATAGACTTCAGTTGCGAGAAAATGTAACTCCACCACCCCTTTCTTCCTCAGCTGTCCCTTCCTCTACTTCCTCTTCCTCATCTCATGGTTTATGGGCAGTGGCACCTCATCCTCACACACCGGTTTCGGCTGATGCATCACCACTCAAAATAGAGCACAAAACGGCACAGAAGAGTAACAATGAACTGTTTTGGGGTGAGAGACCTCCTGCTGAATTAGTATTTCAACACATGGAACACTATTTCGATAGTCGTGACCTGGATAAAGAAATCGTCATAGAGGAAGAACAGCAACAACAGTCCCCCGTTGTGCCATCACCGAGAACCCAACGTAGACAGACAAGAAAGTCGATCCGTCTCGTAGCTCGTGAAGCCAGTCGAAAATACAATCCTGACTATTTCGAAGACGATGACTACCCCTATCAGCCACCATCACGTTCATCCCTAGCATCGCTTCCTCCTTCCACAGGAAATCAACAGCTATTATCGTCCTTGCAACCAACGCAGCTACCCAAAACACCGTCTCCTCCTATGCTGAGACGTAAAAGCACGAAACTTTTTGGTACACGTGTCGTAGAGTTAAAGGCAAGAAGTGCTCATGTCATTGCTCGATTACCGTCTGTATCGGAGCATATGCGACTGGTCTCATCATCCCCTTCTTCTTCCCCTTCTTCTTCTTCACCATCGACAACCCCAGCAGACATACTTGAGCCTGTTGTCCAAACTAAACCAACAGAGGTTCAATGGATTCGTGGTAAGCTGATTGGCAAGGGCTCTTTTGGACGTGTCTATTTAGCCTTCAATGTCGCTACAGGTGACATGATTGCTGTCAAACAAGTTGAAATTCCTAAAACTCCCTCTGACTTGTTGAATGAACAGCAACATGATATGGTCGAAGCGCTTTTCCAGGAAATCATGATGTTGCGTGATTTAGACCATGAAAATATTGTTCAGTACTTGGGCTATGGTAAAGACGATCAGGAAGGAATGATCAATATCTTTCTCGAGTATGTGTCGGGTGGAAGTGTAGCCAGCCGACTCGCGTTGCATGGTGCTTTTGATGATCCGTTGACGCGATATTTTACGCGACAAATTTGCGCTGGTTTAGAGTACCTTCACTCCAAACATATCCTACATAGAGATATCAAAGCAGCCAATATTCTCGTTGAAGCCGATGGTGTGTGTAAGATTTCCGATTTTGGCTTGTCGAAAAAAAACGATTACGAGGAAGCGTACGATCAAAACTCAAGAATGTCTCTTCGAGGCTCTGTGTATTGGATGGCCCCTGAAGTAGTCAAAAATGAGCCGTATAGTGCAAAGGTCGACATATGGAGTTTGGGATGCACAGTATTAGAGATGTTGACAGGTCAGAGACCATGGATATCATTGAATCAGATGGCGGCTCTCTATAACGTAAGAGCAGAAAAGAGAAAAAAGAGGTGCGCGTACCATTGTTACTGACATCTATATCTCTCGCTTCTTTTTCTGTCATACCGTCATAATGTACAGTTGGGAAAGCTTAATTCGCCTACTATACCCGATCACATATCAGAATGCGCTAAAGATTTTCTGAAGCAATGCTTTATTGTGTAAGCACAAACTCAAAACTTTTGCATTTACCTGAATGATTCTCCTTACGTTTTGCTTTTTTTGCTTGTTTAACTTAGCGATCCATCAAAGCGCCCAACTGCAGCTAAACTCTTAACCCATGATTTTCTAAATATTGACCCCTCCTTCGATTTCAAAGACTACGTCGAGAAAGGAAAGGTTTAAAGATGGGCATATCTCCATCGTGTTTCTTTTTTTTTTATTTTGTGTTCTCGCCCTAAACACTAGGTTTTTATTTATTCATTGTCTTTTTCTTTTTCCTTCATTATTAGCCCCCTTTTTATTTATCTTATCAGCGTGGTTCAAGACGCTAACTTGCTAAAGATGAAAACATAGTTCATAAAAGAAAGCTGGAACAGGTTGTGTTTACATTTTAATATAGCTGAAAACCCATGCTCGTACAAAAGATTTAAATGTGATTCGATATCTTGTCCTTCAAACCACCCTCATGATGATGTTATCTTTCAGATGTTTTTAACGTTGACCCTGATTTAAATGCGCCTTCGTTTCGTTTAGCATTCAGCAATTATAGATGAATCGATAAGCGTACAGAGAACAGCGGGTTGCGATTTGTAATGAGTGTTTTATTATATCGAATCAAAATGACTGTATGAAGTGCTGCTTTACAATGTAAGCAGTAGTATAAATAGGAATGGCTATTGGAAGGAAGCTTAGACCTTTAGTATTCTCTCTTTTTTTGACACGAGGTGCTTTTAAAAATATCCTCTACAATTCACCGCTTGACAATGGCAGACAGCGCCTTCTTTCGGATCAACTTCTCTACCACCGGTATAATCGAAACATATCTCTGTGTTTGGTAAGATATCGCAGACAGCGAAGAACGCCAAACGATGAAGCATTTCATCAGCACTATCTGAAAAGACGGCGTACACTGCAGCATTCGGACTACATGAATGATTGATGAAGCGGCTGACATTTCCTTTTGCTGAAGCATCTACAACATTGGTGTGTTCCTGATAATTAGCTGTGATATCAATGGCAAACAAGTAGCTCTTTTGTAAGTCGGTATAGTATTGCACTCTTCTACTGCACTCTTCCGTTGTGATCACTTCTCCTACATATTCTTCAATAAATGCCCCCTTAGGTATAAATTCTGGACACCGGACACCCCAGCCTTTTTTCGCTGTCTTGTAAATTGTCAACGGATATTGACGCCCTCTTGTCACTGTTTTATTCCTACATCTGTCATCGTTGTGACAAGAGCAATTGACGTTGCACTCTCTAATGACACGGTTCATCAAATCGTATAATCTTCCGTCATCGGTATAATAGACGTCGTCGTGGCACCTTGCCCCATCGTCTGCTGTACAGCAATAGGGCGGTGGGCTTTTGGATTTTTCTTTGCTCCTTTTAAACGTAATGGTCTCTTGCCTCTTCCCTTTTTTGCCATCCACGTGTCCGTTCTTCATCGTTTGTATATCTGCACAATTACAACCGTCAAGAAATTCAGAACTTGGTGGACTCACACCGTTATACTCATAATCAGTGATGTACGTAAATTCTCCTAAAGGCTCGTCGTCCACTTCGTTCACAACGGTAACAGGTGGCTCCAGATATTTAAAGATGTATTTCTTTGATCGTCTGTCGTGATTTCTGCTTCTCTTCCCATGGATGACAGTCAAAGGATATGCCTACAAATGAGTTTGAAGAGCAGTGTAGAAAAATAAGCAACACAGGTACTTTGCTGAGCCTTTCAATCTGTATTCGATACTCTACTACTTCTTGTCGGCGACGGTCTACGTATTTTTCAATAAGTTGATTGCTCTGGATGTGCTCAATGAAAATTGGACTGGAAGCTGGCTCGCCTGTCATGATGGTTTGACTTTCCACTACATAGCTATGTGCATTCTATATGAAATAATAATGCGTGGGCTGATTTGAACTTGAGGTACAGGAAGGATGATTGAAACTTACGGTGATTTTTGTACTTCCGTTCATCTGCAGTCCTTTAGAATCAAATATATCCTCAGAATCGCTAATAACCTTATTAAAAATCGCTTTAGACAATGGCAACAAAGAAAAAAAAAAGTCAAAAGTTCAAAAATGTACCATAGGGTCACTATGGCTACCATTCGGTTTTTTGAGCAGAGAACTGCCTTGGGTATCATACTTTGGGATGAAGAGAATCAAGGCAAATTTTAATCAATGACAGCTCTCGTGCCATTTTTTTTTTTTTTTTTTTTTCACAGTTCCGTTGATCAACTTACCTGATCTGAGATTTCAGACTGGGATCCGTTCGTGTTGTTAAGAGTGTCATCAAAAAACCGGTGCCTGTCTCATTATGTGTGATATTATATTCAAAGTTGCTTGACTTACTTCTGATTTCGTTAATACTGTAGTGAACTAAAGGATGAGAAAGAGCGAGAGAGATGCTTAATCGATCACGATCTACATTTGTAATTTTTTTTTTCTATTTTTCTTCCAGCAGTGGTACTGTACCTCTTCGGTTCGTCTCTTGGTTGCTCGCGAGCCCTTGGATCTAATTGAGCTTCTTTTAAGTGAGCCTACACAGTATAAATGAAAGTTAGGACAGGACCAGTAGTGTAACAGAACTGATAAAGATCGCAAGCATGTTTTTCACCTCTACTGGCAGCTATCCATTTGGTGAAAGAAAAGTAAGTCTCACTATCTGGGTCGTATGCATTGTCTAGCAGCTGCTTAAATGTTCTATTTGCGGAAATGGGTGGTTGGCGGATCCCCACAGATGCGAGTTGTTGTTCGTATCTTTTTTGAAATTGTATGATGCCTTCAGCCCACAAAACATCATGCGTTTGCTCCCAGGTGTTGGCGCTGTCGGGATATCCATCCCATTCAATAAGATAGTATTCAATACCGTCCTATTTATCAAGGTTTCATGAAAGTGAATATAAAAAACGAAAAATTCGACAAGCTGTTAGGGATGAAGCGACGATGAAGAGACTTACTTCACACTTTCGACCTGCGATTCGTTTGACCTGTGCAAGCGAGAAGAGAGAAATTGAGAATTTTTCGTGCAAAAGGTGGAGTTAAATAAAAGATTATAATTGAATAGTAACAAGAAAAGAGTTGAAGAAAATACACATAATAGAGTGTAACAGAAAATATCGACCTCTAACTATTGGATACGTACGTCGTAGACTTCGTCTTCTGATTCTTCTCCGCGGTCGTCAACTACTTCTTTTGCTCTTTTTGTCATAACGTTAAAAAAAATGTGAAGAGCGGAAAGAAAAAGGTTTTAATTTTTCGGCGTTCACCACTGGTATTAAGTAATAGCCCACACTTTGAGCCTTCAAGCGGCCCAGTTGCATTTAGCTTCAATTTTTCTTTTTCCATGAGATCATCACTTTCAACCGTTGAAGAGCACTTGCTTAGAAGCTGTTGTAAGAGTAAATCTATCTTTATTCCAATTTTAGGCTTATAGAGAAAACAGTTCCATTGTGCCCCTTTTTTTTTCGCGGGGTGCAAAGGAACATAAAACGCGTCTATTAGTGTTTCCTTTAATTGTATTGGCTCTTTGAACGCGTTCAATCAAAGTCCTCTCTTCTCTACTTTTTTCTTTTTGGAGCATTTATCTTATCGCTATTTTCTCACTTTCTCAAATTAAGAAAGCTCCAGCACAAACGACAGAATATTTCAGGGCCAATGGACGTTATGGACGAAGATTACGATGCGCCCTTATTCGAGCACCAACCTTCTTCGAACAAGAATAATGCCAGCAGTAATAATGAAAAAAAGGATGATTCTTTTCAGCAAAAGCTAATCGCACCTTCCGAATACGATATATCGGATTCAGAAGATGAAGCCCTAAGTTCTATCGCTGATCGTGACCAGTTTGAGGGTCTCAACTTACCTTCTCGTCTGAAGGATATTTTATTGTTCGATCGTTCAGAAACTTTCGGCAACGATGTCATGCGTGCTGATGAATCGGATTCCGATATCGATACCACGCCGCTCCTACTGCCGCATACAAATAAAATGGATATTAATAAATTGAACGAAAAGCTGACACAAGATAAAACTAAATTTGCTAACTTCCCTCTCATGCGACCTAATAACGATGATGATGACGATAATGAGAATGATAACCGAACAGTAAAGAAAAAACCGAAAAATAAATCGACTCCAGAGACAAAGAAAAAGAAGAAGAGAAGGAGAAGACCGACAGCAGAAGAAAAAGGAAAAGAACGGATGGATGTATTGAACCAAGCAGATGAAAGGAGGAGAACCAAGTTGGAAGATCTATTGAATAAATTTCGAGAGGAAGAAAGTGAGGATAGTTATGATTCTGATGCTATCGAAGCTGACATAAATGCGAGATTGAACGGACCATCCAAAAAGCAAAGAGGCAAGCCATCAACAGGGCGAAAAACAAGAAAAAAAACAACGAATATACATGCAGTGGATGAAAATGGTGAACGAGTATATCGTAAAGCGGATTTGCTTAATGATACTTCGTCGAGTGAAGAGGATGAAACTCAACGAAAATTATCCAAAAAGCAGGAAATGGAAATGTATCGTGAAGCAGAACGTCGTCGCAGAATGGAGAAAATCAGTCTAAAACCTGTTTACAATATAAAATCTTATGACGAACTCATTAAACGTCATGATGAAAAAGAACAACAGTATATAAAGCAGCAGGAGATGGAGAAGTTGAAGAAGGCTCAACCACAGCAACAGGCGGGACCTAACCAGGATGATAGCGATAGTGATATAGAAATTATAAATAAACCAAGTATATTGAATCCCTCAGTGTTTTTATCTCCTGAACGCGCTCGCTTTCCACTTGCCACAGGGTTTTCACCAGTTCGCCATGTGGGTTCAAGTGTTCTGCGGCAACAAAACCAGGAATTAATTTCGCGGATCATTAATCAGGGTTATCAGCAGCGTATGAAATTAGAGCAACAGGCTAGAGCGCGTGGTCAATATGTCACGCCAACAGAGAGAGCTCGGCAACTACTTGAAAAAGAAAAGAATGCCCGACTGATCAATGAGGAAGTTAAAAAACATCTTGAGAAGCAGAAACAGCAACAAGAAAATTATTACGAGAATGATGACGATGACGAAGAGATGGACGGAGACTATATCGATGACAGCATAAACAATTATTCTGAAGCTGAAGATGACGATGATGTAAAGTTCAGAATAGAGGATGCTGATGAAGTGAAGCGTACTAATAACAGTAGTAAAAGCAACCGAAAATTCAATAATATCAACGCTGAATCAGAAGAAAACAATAAGAAAAAGGATGAAAGTGTTCCTGATAATGATAGCGAGGATGAAGAAGACTCAATGGCAGTAGCTTTCAGACGATGGAAGGGCAAAAAGGTGAAAAAATCCACGCTATTTGATGATGATGACGATGATAGCGAGGACGAGAATAAGCCTGTCAGTAAAAAAGCGCCATTAAAACCAGAACCAGCCCACTCCATCGTCAATTTCTTTAAAGCAAAGGTAAATAATCATTAAAGAGTATACATTTTTATTTCGGACTAGTAGCATTTACAATGGTTCATTAGGAAAAGCAGAATTCAAGGGCTACTGAGGACTATGACAGAACCAAACCACTTAATCGACTTATACGCCGTAATAGCGAGGAAACTGCGGGCAATGATGCACCAGTAACCGCTAACGAAATAGCAAATATTATGGATGAGGCAGACACCGCTGATGACATGGATATTGACGCTTCCGATGAAAATCATGAGAAATCTGCCAAGCCTGTATCGAAGCCGAATACTATTAAGCCTAAATTTAATTTGAGTAAGAACGAATACTTCGAAGCAGAGGCTGAAGAAGAAGAGGATGAATATTTTGGTGTGGCAGGAGAAGACGAAGAAGAAGGCGAAGATCTCGATGAATATGAGAAGGATGATCTTTTAGTAGAAGATAATAATGAGCAAATAGATGAAGCAGCATTACGAGAGGCTTTCAAGTAAGTCTAATTATGCAATTCTTTTGGTCGAACCAAACGTATTCTTATGAAACGCTTTTTGTATTCAACAGCAAACAGGATAAAGAAAGCGATGAAAATATGATCAGTCGCTTGATTACAGACATAACTAGTGGTGGGTTGCGTAAACAGAAAGCAGCAGCGGCAGCAGGACTGTTATTAGAAGATGTGGAGCTGTACGACGATGACGATTTAGTCGCTATTCGTAGAGCAGCCGAAGCTCGACGACGTAGAATGATGGAAAAGAAGGGCGGCGATACGTTAGAAAATCTCAGCAACGACCCAAAAACCGCTGCCTTCGCGAAAGCAGCCGAGCCTATTGCTGACACTGTTCCTATAGTTTTGAGTGACGATGAAGATGGAGAGGATGCAAAGGAAGAAAATAAAGATGAAGAGAAGAATGCAGATGAGTATCAGGATGAGGATGAGGATGAAGATATGGAAGAAAGTGAAGATATTCCAGCGCCTATGTACCGAAGACGTATCATTAGCGACGATGAAGAAGACGACGATGAAGAGCAGCAAGAATTACTTGATGTGGAGAATGGATCAACCAGACAGCCCCATGTGCCTTCTGATTTCTTATTGAATGATACTTCAGACGATAGTGATGACGAAAAATTTGCTATTGTGGTAGGTATTTGTATATAGACTTGAGCGGCGACACATGAATACTAAATCTCAATTTGTTTGTAGGACTTAAATGATACCAATGCTACAACAATGCAAAAGTGTAAATAATTGCGTAGCTTATTGCTACATTATTCAAATAATACCTTCTCTTAAAACATTACGTAACGTTATATCCGAAACGAGATTGATCCGTTATCTAGTAGATTCACGATCTGTCCGTTTTAATTCACATTGCATACGTTCAGTTTATATAAAGCAAGTTTAACACTCTAATGAAGCTCTAATGGGCTGAATATCGAAGACATTTTCTATCGAGAAACAATTCTAAAGGTTTATTTTGTTTGTCCTCCTGACGACGTATAGGGGTAATTGCAGGAATGGCAAACTGCTATTCCAATGAAATATTTATACATTAAGGCGCGATAAATAAGTATACATAACGAAGGAGTAAGAGATCTTACTGGTAGTTAAAATTTAGGCCTTAACAGCAGCAATGCGAGGCTTTCGTGCACCAAGAAGTACAAGGACCCACACGGACCAGTCGAATAAGACTTCCTTAGCAAGGAAAAGGAAAGCTGCTGTCAAAACAGATTGGACAATCTTGGAGGATATACCCTTGTATAAGCCAGCAATACCCTCGCTTGCAATAATTTTCTTGAAACCGTCATAAATGGAGGTGTATTTTTCTTCATTTTGTTGACTAACTTGCATGCGAGATTTGATAACGATGTAAGGATATGTAATAGCTGTAGCACAGAGCTTAGATAGGGCGCCCAAAAGGAAGAAGTCCATATTGCCCAATTGTTTGTACTTAGAGACCTTAATCTTCACCTGTTCAAAAACAGTGTATTGAATGATGGGATTAATGACTAGGATCAAAGCGGCACGCACACCGGCATAAAGACCAGGCAATCCTTCATTCTTAAGGATTTGAGCGGCAACAGCAAAAGCAGAAGGTTTAACAGTCTTATCAGAACCTTCAACACCTTTTCTAACAGTCAAACGAGTCTACAGGTACATAGTATTATTGGTTAGGCATCAAGTAACTTTGCGATATGACTAATACAGAATGACCAATATTTTATGGTTTTTGTTCCCACCAATTTAATATACCATAATCACTCAATTCACTTACATTGACTGTCCAAATAGGATGAGTAGCAAAAACGACAGCGCTACCAGCAAGGGCACCAGCAAGCATAGATTCACCAGTACTCATGGGCTTGCCCTTACCTTTAGCCTTTTCAAAAATAGCCCTTACAGCTTCATAGCAATAATAGTACACACCTGTTTTGGGGGTGAAAAAAAGGCGATTATGTAAGAACTGTGCTACAAATATCCATAATCATAAGAAAATAGGTGAAACGCGGTCCCTTTGGTTTTTACCATTAGTAACAGCGATACCGAAAATACCAGAGCTCAAACCACTATTGACATAAAAATACCGAGTGTTTTCTTCAACATTAGAATACATCATATACTCTGAGACGGCACATTTTTAGAAGATTGATCAATTACGAGTATAAACCCTTAGGTCCTTCCTTTGCTAAAATTTTGACAAATGCATCCAAGGTATTCTATAAACAGATCAACGAAAAATTACTTCCAGTTAGTTTATTTGTCATGGTACAACATCAAATTTAGGCTTCCGATCAACTCAAATCCATCAGTTTTACAAATTTGCTTGTTGATAATTTTAAAGGTACGATTTGATACATGCAGTTGAAATGCAAGCATCATTCTCGACTGGATAAGATGGATGCATCAGTTCAAAAGACCTGATTCTGGGCCTTACCTTATAAGCGTCCTTTGTGGCATTATTCTTCTGTACTTGAAGCCGAGAACTGATGGAGACTAGTGGATAAGTCAAAACCATTGAAACAATACCACCACCGGCACCTTTATGTTAAACAGGTAAAAGAGTTATTAATGGCTGCTTTGGCTTGAGTCATTGTTCTCCTTGCTTACCTGATAGAGCGTGAGCAACGTTATCAGACATTATATTGACAGAATTTTTTTGGAAAAGGAAAATGCAGAGACGAAAGACAAAAAGTAGAAAAGAAGGAGAAGATGGAAAGAGAAAGTCAGTGAAGAAAAAAAGAAAGCTGACTTAATAGGTAATGTTATAATATGCTTTATAATGCGAAAAAAAAAAAAAGCTTTTTGGATGGAAATCACTCTTTCCAGTGACTTGCCCAATACCGAATTGGGCTTTTGTTAACACATAAACAGCATATTTTGCGGGGTAGTAGAGTCCGCAAGGTCACACGAGCATCTGAATAAGTGTAGAAAAAGTCAAATTTGAAGGCACAAAACGTAGTGTAAAGTCAGCTTTTCTTTTTTCTTTCTTTTTCAATCTTGCTGAATACACAACTATGCCTATAGTCTTCACGTGAATAAAAAGGATCTCCCGCTGTATCCCGATGGTTTTTCTTCTGTAAAGAGCCATGGTTACTCAAGCGCTTACAAAATATCAGTCTGAAATGCACTATTGAAATTGCACGAAATAGATAACTGACATTTTATTTTAGAGACCCTTATACTGAAACTCCAGTCAAAGGAAGCATGTAATGATAATTTTCGTGTCCCGTTTTCGTATCTTACTTATTCAAATTGTAAGCAAACCACGGAACACGTATTCAGGGACAATGTTTATGTCATTGTAGCGTTTCCTCGCTGCTAAAAAAGTGTCGGTCATCTACTGATCTAAACTCCATATGAATTCAAATACAAATGCATAATTATCAAAATGGACGTTATCCAGGTTAAAGGAGCTTTTGGCTCCTCCTCTAGTGGCTGGCTCGAACTGTATCCTCAATCCGTAGCCATTGTCCTTACTACCTAACCTAAAATTATCGTTTGCCTTTTTGTCCTTTTTTCACATTATCGTTTGTTAAAAAATATGAAAATGATCTCCACTCAAACATCATCCGACAGATATACTCGAGTGAGGAAAGATATTTGTCAGGGCTTGTCCTAGATAGGACTTACGATGACGGATCTTTTACACCGTTTGCGTAGGTTGAATGCAAGAGTATAAATGATTGACAAGATACATTGTCAAAGGAATCAGCGGCTTACATATATATTTTGCATATATTATGAATAAAGTATCCAGTTAGCTTGGCATGCAAGTGGAACTTACCATAAAGAACAAAAAATGGCGATAGTGACGGTACTACTATGCGCTTTACGACTGAAGTGGAAAGTCCTGCCAATGCAGGTTTGGAGTATGCTCGCAATTTCCTCGAACCCATCAAGAGCGAAGCCTTTTCGGATATCAAATGGTGATTTATAGACGTAAATTAGACAGACAATACACATTCTTTTTATATACCTCGTCTGAAGTATGTAACTGTCATTTTTGTTCCATTTAGCAGGTTGCATTGCAATCGAGCATTTATGAGATTCTCATAGGAAATGGGCGGGAGGCCGCCGCGGTAAAGCTAATAAAGCGGATTGCCCACCTCGAGGACGTCTTCCTCATGGCACCTTAAGTAAGGGTCAGGTACTCGACATCTTTTGGACAGGTGGAGTTTACAGTGTGAAAAGTTGCGCTTATTGGTGCACATTGCCTGAGCAGAGCACATAAGGATCGATCTGGCTTTGACAACCCATGGAGTTTCACTCTTACTCAATTTTCAAATCGATTGTAGTCACTAATATCAGCAGTATGTTAACCAATTATTAAAGCTTCTCATTCTTTGCTAATACAGCTATAAGTTTCTATTGAATACCAAATGGGCTGAAAGAGAATGGAACAGCCCTGAAAAATTGCGGATACAGACGCAGGAGAACTTATGATGTTAGCTACCGATATCAACGGAATCATTCCGTAAATATGTAGAACGTTATGCTAAAGGCAAGCAAAAATATTTTGACGATTTTATAGGCGTTTTTCTTAGGCTAATTGAGATTGATGTTGCTAAATGATCTATAATGTTAATCAGAGGCGATATACCATACCAGTTCATGACCCTCCAACTCGTCAGGCACATATTCAGATAAGCATATTGCATATCATTACATTCGACCAATTTCAAATGTTACGTGCACCCTTCCTTGATCCTTCTAAAAATCAAAAAAAAGAAAGATACTACATGCATTATATATCTATTGTGAGATAAACAATAAGTTTCGAACAAAAATATAGCATTATTGCAGCTTCAATTTACGGGTGGGTGCATCTTTGAATCAACACTTGTAGCATTTCTAAATACCATGGAAGTCGCTGGCATAGTGGATTTAAACATTCATTACTGCGAGTTCATGGAGCGGAAACAACCAATACAGACTTCACATCGAACACAATCGTTTACACGTAAGGTTACTTCATTTCTTAAACCTGTTCGTAGACTGTAAAAGAAGAAGCAGAAAGAAAAAAGAAAACATGCAGCCTATACTCTTTGTATAGATACTTTACGCCCGCTATTCAATTTTGAGAATTGCAGGGCTTCGATGCATATTGAATATATCATAAATGTGTCGACTACATTGTAAAATGTTTATTCCGACAAGCATATTATAAGCAAATTCAATCATCTGCATCACATAAATAAGTTATGCGAGCACTAATGGTATGTTTGTTATGCTGGGACAGATACGTCCGATCAGCCTCTATACAGTTTTAAGGACAAAGACACTGATTTAAAAATCTATGTGCTTCGCATCATTGACGTTTCATTGTTTATTCAGGCTCATATTTGCATTGAAGCTTTACAAACGTTCTTAATATGGGATAGAAGAAAGAAAAATCGAGACATAAAGCAGCCAGTACAAATAACGAAAAAGGAGAGGCTTTGCTGGGCTGTTTCACTAGAACAGAATATCAGGAAAGGGTTTTCGAACTCTAGTATTTTAAGATAGCACCTCTTATTAATGTGAATTATATTTGTCTCAGTCTAATAGGAAAAACTGTAGTTCGTAATTTTTCCAAGCTACGAAGTGACTTTTGACGTACTGATGAAGGGAACATTCCTTAAAGAAGTTTATGTTAGCCTATAACAAACATATACCTAACCCACAATTGATTATGCGGTCAGGTCAATTAAGTGCTGTGAGATAATCGACAATTTGAACTTACTCGCAGAGAAAAAGATATAGAAGCTGAGTAAGATGGGGAAAGAAACATTATAAGAAATGCGTGTCCACTTACAAACTAAGGCGAACAGGTCCATTTCAAAATTCTCTCTCTAAGTTTTTCTATGTTTATATTTGGATAATTGACTAATGCCTGCAGACATGGGCAGATACGACATCTGATCCTATAACAAGTAAGTGAACCAAAAGATCCACCTGTTCATCAACATACTTCCTGTTAGTTATCTTGCTGCTGGTATTAAAGATAACGTTCCAAAGTACTTTAGTTTGATTTTCGTTTTTGCACTTCCTCTAATTTACTTGAACATGTTAATTTCCAGCTTGAAGAATGAATCTTAGTTAACCTACTCCAATTGTTCAAAGCCATCTCTCTAAAAGAACGCTTGATATCAAATTTTTGGTTTGTTCGTAGTGTTGCTTTCAGTTCCTTTTTGTTTTTTTTTTTCTTTCTGTTTCGGACCCAAAGCAAATCGATTTTTCCAGCCAAATATAGAAAAGAAATCAGGTATGTTACTACTGATTGGCTAACTCAATGACAGTGCAGCCGTCGGCGTAATGCAAAAGGTTATCCTGTGGTTGCACGATAGTCTTATTGACCGTGTTCCCAAAATGTCCTTCATAAATGAGATGTAGCAAAAGCTTAAACATTGAAACAGAAGCATACTCTGCAGGGCAATAAGCAAACGCCAAGCGAAAAATCATCCAACAAAATGGACACTATTTAGAGGGCAAACTTAAGTAAACAACATCGTTGAAACGACACAGTTGCAGATCTACGGATACGGAAGTAACGACAGCAGTCGAGGCACGTGATAACTGAACCTAGACCGGTCTTTGTCTTGAATAAAAGAAAAACTGTGTTTTTACAAAAGGAACTGAAGAATTTTGATAGCACTGGTTTCTTTAGAACGGATTCACTAGCCTGTTTAATAGGTTGATCGGAAGAATCACCAAAAAAAGGAGTTTTATCTTTTTATGTAATCGGAACAAACCATATCTTACATGATGCATCAATATTATGCAATATTATCTATAATAAACAATGAACCAAAAAAAATAAAAAAAAATTGTGCAGTAGTGTTCGTTGCAGTCTTGTAGAATGTGGATCCTTTTTATTGACAAACAGCAATTTAGACTTTAGCAACTGATAATACAGAAATGAGGCTTCCAATCAATAGGAGAAAGCTGTCGTTATGTGAACCAAATTAAGGGACAAACCGTTCAGACTTTTACGTAAAATAAATTGATCCGTCTCCAGCTCGGTGGGGCGGCTTTTCTTGACTTTCGCTTGACTTGGAATGAGCGAAAATGACATAGCAGTGAGCTTAAAATTGAGTTGCAGATGAATTTTTTTTACGTACAAAAAAATCTGTAGCTTCGCAAATTCAATCTGGCTGGATGCAAGCCAATAAGAACTAAGCCTTTCATCCAAAAGTACTTTGAAACAGCAGCTCTCTCCGAAATCAAGTTTTTGCTATAAATACAGGTCAAATGTAACTTTTTTTACCCTGATTTCTGTCTATTTTGTTCTCAGTCAACAAATTTATACCAACAAACAATAGATTCCTGTCCAACGCTAAATCAATTTATCATTTTCTTGACTCTCTTAAGGGAAATATATTTGTATTCTCTCTGTATATCTATAACAAATCAGTTTATTCTTCCAAAGAATGACCGAGAAAAATCAACAAAATGAAATAGCAGATTGGCACGTCAAAACAATCGAAGAGGTAGCCGAGCATTTCAATACCTCACTCGACAACGGTCTCTCAGACAACGCAATTGCAGATAGACATGCTAAATACGGTTTTAATGAATTATCAGCGGGTGGCAGACCTGCATGGCTCACCGTTTTAATTGGGCAATTGTTGGACGTTATGAATTGGATTTTCGTTGCTTTAGGCATTGCATCTTACTGTTTAGCAGACTATGTTACTGGATCATTATTAATGTTTATTGCTGTACTCAATTTATACCTTGGCTTTTCTCAAGAATATGCAGCTGAACAAACTTTAGCAGCATTGCAAAATCTTTCTTCACCCATGGCCAGCGTGATACGTAACGGCATAGAGACCTCTGTTCAAAGTCGAGAAATTGTCCCTGGCGATATCCTAGTTGTCAAAGAAGGTGATTCAATTGGTGCCGATGCTCGTTTATTTTACGCATCGAACCTTGAGATTGATGAAGCTTTGTTGACTGGCGAATCTGTACCCGTTCATAAGGACTTGGTATTGTTAGAGAAAGCTGGTAAGCCTTTTTATTTTTGGGTTATACAGTTTTAGGAAAAACGGCAAATTTGGTAACACTTTGATCTGATCCGTTTTGCTTTGTCCAACCATGCGTTTATGCGATGAATTAACAGACGAACCTTTAGGCGATCGTATCAATATGGTTTACTCATCTACCATTGTATCCAAAGGCAGAGGGAAAGCTATTGTCACGTCGACTGGTATGCGCACAGAAATCGGTAAAGTTGCATCTAAACTCAATGATGCGACTGACTCGGACCGTACTCGCCTTCAGAAATCCTTAGATAAAATGTACATTATCTTGCTTGTCGCTGCTGTTGTTTGCGTTATCATTGTCCTCGCGTCCGTCAAGTTTAAGCCGGATTATGATACCGGTATGTACGCTATGACAGCTGCTTTATCTGTTTTACCTGCCGGTTTGACTACTGTGATGACCGTGACACTTGTTTTGGGCGGCAAAGAAATGACTCATCAGAAAGCAATTGTTCGTAAACTAAAGTGCTTGGAAACATTAGGCTCCGTCACCAATATTTTCTCCGATAAGACTGGTACCTTAACAATGGCAAAAATGGTAGTCGTTCACTTTTGGACACCTGCAAAAGGCTTTTTCTATGTCACTCCTAACGGTTTGGCTCCCCATGGCGATATTTATTGTACGAAGGAGCACTTGACCGAAAATGTGAACGATGGTTCAGATGCCGAGTTTGTTGACAGGGCCAATCTTGATCCCGACGTTGCTAATTTGGTTCGGTGCGCTGCTCTTTGTAATATGTCAAGCATCACCAAACGTGACGACACTAACAATAAGGAAGCAAACAATGAGAAAACTGAGAAAGTTCTCGAAAAAGAAGCTGCTTTTGGTACAGCGGATGGAGAGACCGATTCTGATGATTGGATTGCTAGCGGTGCCCCTACTGAAGTCGCCTTGCAAGTTTTTGCTCACAAATTCAATATGGGTAAACCTGATCTGGAAGCTAATGGTTGGGATCTCTTAGCTGAATATCAATTCGATTCTAGTATCAAGCGTATGACAACAGTTTGTTTGGACAAAAACACAGGTAGCGTCTTTGCCTTCACTAAAGGCGCTGCTGAACGTGTCATTCAATTGTGCTCCAACTTTCCTGCTAACGAAGATCAACTGCCTATTTTGGAAAAGGTTGATGTTTTAGCTGCTAAAGGTCTTCGTGTCATGGCCACTTCTTATCGTAGATTGGATATGCCAGCCAATATCTCAGCAGAAGAATTACAAAAATATACCCGCGAAGAGATTGAACGCGACCTTACTTTCCTCGGTCTGACTGGTATTTATGATCCTCCAAGGAAAGAATCCAAACAAGCTGTTCGAGAAGCTCATCAAGCCGGCATCTCTGTTCATATGCTTACGGGTGATCATGAAAAGACTGCTACTGCTATCGCTAAGGAAATTAGTATTCTACGCAAGAATATTACACCTGAAGAGCAAAAGCGTTTAGTTATGACAGGTCCTGCTTTCGATGCCCTCACAGACGAAGAAATTGATGCGCTCCAAGATCTCCCTTTGGTCGTTGCTCGTTGTTCCCCCGAAACAAAAGTGAAGATGATCGAAGCTTCTGCTCGTCGTCGAAATATCTCTGCTATGACTGGTGATGGTGTCAACGATTCTCCTTCTCTTCGTATCGCTGATGTTGGTATCGCTATGGGCAAGAATGGTAGTGATGTCGCAAAGCAAGCTTCTGATATTATTTTAACAGATGATAATTTTGCCACAATAATTCGTGCAATTGCCGAAGGTCGACGTATCTATCAGAATATGCAACGTTTCCTTCTGTACTATTGGATTCTGTTGTTCGCCATGGCTCTCGTTGTCTTGCTCTGTTTAGCTGTCCGTGATCCTGGAAACCGTAGTGCTGCTCCTCTTTCTACTTTGCAAATGCTTTTCATTTATATTATCCTTACTCCGCCTGCTGGTGCTCTCAGTGTTCAACCTCCCTCCAAGACCGTCATGAAAGAACCTCCTCGTCCTCCTACCGAAAGTATCTTCAACAGAGAAATTATTATGGATACTATTGCTTATACACTGGGTGTGGCGATTATTTGTTTAGTTGCTTTCTTTGTTCCCTTGTACACTGTTGGTCACGGTGTTGGTGGCATTAATTGTGATTCTCATTACGTCGCGGGTGCTTGTGACTCCTTCTTCAGAGGTCGTGCTTCTCTTCTTGTCGTCTTCAGTTTTGCTTCTTTGATAGTTATGATCCATTGCCGTAGCTACCGTGAAGTGGAATGGAACTGGACCGGTATCAAAAAGACTCTTCGCTCCAAGACCTTTATGGGAACTCTTATTTTTGATATTGTCGGTCTTGTGATTTTCATGTACATTCCAGTGGTTGCCATTGAAGGTTTCCGTATGAAGGGTATCACTTGGGAATGGGGCCTTGACATGGGTTTAATTTTGTTCATAATCGCCTGGGGTGAAGTTTACAAATTACTCAAGCGCTCCTTTTTGAAGCCAATGGATAACGCTTCTATCGAATTGGACAATGGAGAATGAACTTGTTAATATCTTTTTACTTTTTTTTTTTTCTAATGCACAGCTCTACTTTTGTACAACTGCTTATTACTACTTCTATTACTTAATTATACCATCAATACGTCATTTATTGTTTAGATACTTTTCTTTCCCCAACTGTAGATTAAGAATCATACAACACATGTCTCTTTAGCACCCACTAACTCAATTCCCTTATATTGTAATCTTAATTATAAAGTTAATGAACCTTGTCGCTTTATTAGAACAAAAACACGTATTATTATTTATATTTGACCGGGTGGATTTCTATGTCTATGAGGAAAGTATCTGTCATGGTCAAGTTTAGTGGTGTAGCCATCATATTTACGTTTAGGAGGCCTGTTTCTGAAGACCAAATCCAATCTTTGTCTTCCATCAAGATTTGACCATCGAGTCGCACTTGATATGGGTAGAAATTTGTACGTTGCAACGCCGTAACATTATTGTTCTCTATCTCATTAATAGGCATTGATTTCAACCAAAACCCGCAAGAAGAACTTCGATGAGTCAATCTGGCTCTATATGTATAAGAATGGTCGAATTCGATAGATATTGGTTGGTTATCGTTTGGCTTACGAACGCTGAAGGCGCGTACTTCCTTGCTTAAATCGTCATTAAGCCGTTTCATTTTTAAATCCGTCTGTTTGACTGCTTTTAGCCCGTTTAACTTGTCCATTAAACCCAAACAAGCAATTCCCAAGCACCCTATCGTTCGGACAGGGCTGAAAGAGATTAAAGTAGAGCAATAACCTTTGACACGAACACTTAACGCTTGCGGAGTGTTGTCATTCCTTACACTTCTGCTGTCTAGTATTTCGGTAGATTTCAAATCATGCTGTGCATACTGTCTCAATAGCCAAAGCTTACCTTGTTCAGGCCCTGTAATGATGCGGGCTACATGATAGGCAAGCCCAATATTCTTTCCAACACCAAAAATGGCACTACTGCTAACAGCTCCTAGTTGCTCTTGGCTTTTAGGATTCCAAAATCCGCAAGCTCCATATTCCATTACTGTCGCATTCGAGCTACAAATGCAGTTGGGAGCTTTATCTTCGGCATTGTTCTCTTTGTCTTCGCAATGTTTGTTATAAAGGCTTAGGATCGATAGACGGCCCATTGGGTTACCAAACACTGTATCGAAGCTAGGTTGAGGTGGTGTAGAGAATCGAAGAATAGAGTAAGTTGACTGTCTTGTTTGCGCGACCAGTTTCATAATCAATTGCTTATTGTGTTTCAGAGGCACATCTGTAATATAGATAGGGCCACCAGAAATAGCTCGACTATATTTTGTAAGAGAGCTGTAACAGTCATATTCATGTATGAAATTGGTGCTTCTATATTCAAACATGATATCTTACGCTGTAGCATGGAATTCGGCAAATGGATGATCTGATTGAAACATATCCCAGTCGCTGATGATGTCTGGGTATTGGGAGGTTAGCAAAGAATTGATAGCGTTTGCGTAAATGTGCCATGCATGGCTATCTGCTACATCAGGGAAGAAGTCATCACTATTTCTATTAAGACGATTGGTGAAGGGAGATGATGCAAAACATGGGTTAAATGCCTTTCATCAAGTGTTCATTCATGCCGAGAAGAGGAATAAAAGTTACATTACCTAAAAGAGAGCCTAGTCTTCTTATGGGTATAGAGATCAAACAGGATATGAGGCGTTAATGCCATACAATGTATCACCTGGCCATTTAAGTAGCGATCAGCATTTTGAACCATTGCTTTTCTATAGGCATCCCAAACAGACATATTATCAGCTTCTGCTCGAATGCGAAGGTCCTGAAAACCGCCCTGATTATCGACTTTGACAAAATCAACACCTGCAGATTTCAAAAACTTGTAGAAATCTTCATAAAATTGATGAGGATCGGTTACTAAGCCTACAGAGCGACTGTCTTGTTGATGTGTTGAAAATGTCCACGAATAACCAGAGTTTTTAGCAAAACTTTCATCCATGCCATACCAATATCCAGCCAGGGTCTGTATTAGAGATTGAATTGCGGGAAAAACCACACAGTTGTCAGTTTTTTACTTGTGATGTTTCTTTCTTTGGAATTAAGATTTTATACATTACATGCCATACACCGATATGTTGAATCAATGGATGATTCCTTTTCAAATTTGTTATAGCATTCTGCAGTGTATCGCCGAAACGACAATGAAAGGTATCAAACGACAACATTTGACCGGAAGGTGATGTGCTTTGCCAGCCATCATCTATTAATAAGTATTGAATAGGAATCTGTTGTTGCTCGAAGCTCGTTAAAGCGGCTTCAATTTTCTCCATGCTGACCTCCTTTTTAAAGGCATTCCACGTACAAAAGCCAAGCTTATCCACATGAAATGAGTCTTGTTTAGCAACAAATGGTTCAAATTTGTCTACAAGGGTTAGTTGGCATTCCTTTTTGCTTCCATTACCCTTAGACTGTTTTTTGATACATTGTTCATAGTAAGAAACAGCAAGTTGGAACAACTGTTGGCAAACGCTGTTGTGAGCTTTAAATGTAGTGGTAGAAATGGCGGTAGGAGAAGCGTAGCTAGAAACGATCAAAAGATGTGCTACTTTACCAGAAGGGCAATGTAGATTTAAACCCGTGGCGGCAATAGTCATGTTTGATGTGGTTGTTGTTGCTGGCGATAACCAGCAGTCTGAATTCTGGCTCACAGCCATCCATAAATGAATCTTACCCTCCTTTAAATCTTGATATAAAAGGCACTGCCATTTTTCTTGTGGGTTTCGATCATGGAAATGATGCATGCCTGCAACAGGTGTTAGCCAGGTGGATCTAATGTTGAGATATTGGTAAACACAGTAAGTTTTATAGACTATTACGCTTTAGGCATCTCATTTGGAGCCAACTGAACTTGAAAATACTATATATGATCCAGACCCTTTTCTTATAAAAGCAACGTAGCTGTGAAGGGGATGGTTCATTTGATGCAAGGGTATACATGATGATGAAGACTGAGCTCTGAAATGGTGAAGTACTAGAAGTAGGTCGTCGCTGTTTGTGCCACGCCTTTCTGTTTTCTCAAAAGCATTTACTAATTTTAATTCAGGAAGGGTGGTGTACAGTATAGGCGATTCAAAAATATTCGCTGTAGGACAGGGTAAAATACGTAATATACCATTCTGTCCTGGCTTTCCATACCAAACCCACTGAGGCATTATTGACGATTGTTGTTCCTGTTCAGCTGTTGGAACAATAAATCTCAACGTAAATTCATACACTCCAGGAGGAACATGGAGAATGTCTAAGTCAAGTTGATAATGTTGAGGCTGATCTGCTATTTCTGAGAAGGGGACTCCTTTCCATTCCTTTTCAACGGCAGTTGGTATGTTTGTCCAAAGTTCGACCTGACAGTCTATATTAGAGCAATAACAGTAAAATCGCAAAGGAAAGCGCTGCTCATAACCAGTGATTATAATATCCACGTCAATATCAGGAGTAAGTAGGATGGTTGGGAGCATAAGTTAATCCGCGCGATAGGAGAATAGTAGAGAAACAAAGGTAAAAAAAGAATCTGAGTATTTATGCAGCGTGTTATGTTTCTCGTTACTTTTTTATTTCGCCGAATGAAATCGTGGTGAATGATATCTAAAGGACAGCTAACGAAGATCAACCAAATCTTTAGGTTTAAACAAGGATTTTTACTACCAACATCTTTAAGCCCAATGGACACGAGATATTAAACTTATCTAAATTGCCTGGGGCAGCTCCAAAGGCTGAGTAGAATCTAAAAACCCCTTAAGGCTTAAGGGTAAAAAGGATTACGTACTAAAGGGTTGGGGGAGGGGAAGAGGGTAACCAGTCGAGCAATAGATGCCCTAACCGAGGAGTTGTAGGCGGCTCTTGAGAGTGGTGTAAATAGTCGAGTTCAAACAAAATGTGACGAAGTACCGGCCATGAAAATGTCAGTTTTGTATTTGGGATGGGTTTTTGATCGGATGTGTAGGAAGACGGTTGAGGACATAAGATATGGGATCGCAGACTGATGAGGGGGGTGGAGTCGTAGGCGGTGGTGCATGTTTAAACACGAGATAGCGTGGGTCTTTATAAGTAATGACGAGGGATGTTTAAGGCAATAGGTTCGGTGGCCTCCAGGAAGCCAACCCAAACGCCATCGGATACATCGGCTGCGTTCATTAGTTGACATAGGAATATACAGGATCGGGTCGATTATTAATCGAGAACGGCATTGAGAGATCAGTTTGGAGTTGGGGCTGTTCGATTGTTGGATGTGAAGAAGGCTAGTACGGATAGCAAATCGCTACAGTATTTTTGATTTTAATTTAGACTTTCTTTTCTACAAAATTGGATATTTTAATTGATTCAATTTAGAAAATTTAAGTCATTGTTTTCGGACTACTTACTTTTTACATTTGGACACTTGTAGTAACCATCTGAGGCCCGCCACTTTTTGCACGCATTTGTTGCAGTAAGTTTCGTTGTTTGATCGGCCCAGAAGAATTACGTACATTCTCCTAAGCTGCCATGTGAACTGGTTGTCCAGTTGTATTCTATGTAATTGACTCACAATCCTGTATTCTCAATGACTGCTCAGCATCTCTCTTGATCTAAAATCGTGTATTTTGTTTACTATTCGTTTATGTACTCAAACAGATTCGTTGAACCACCAATATTTAGAAACATGTCTCGATTGCGGACGGAACGGACATACCCATAGGGGCTCATATTTGTGTCCTGAATATAATGGTAACAGATAGCTGAAGAGGTAGTATTTCCTGTTCATTTTCACTGATATTCTGTTCATACGCTTTTCTAGCCTAGAAACGAAAGTCCGGAAAAGACGAATACGAAACAAAGCAAGCTAAAGAGAAGGGCAAAAAGAGAAGGCTAGAAGCGAGAAAAGCATCACCATCGAATACTGTGAGTTTAAAACATCAAAGGTGGGTCCAAAATTGCCAAATCAGGTGCCCTTCTCTAGAAGTAATGTCATTTTCGTAGGTTTGTAACAATTGTAATGGTGTGGAAATGGAAGAAGTACGAATTTCGGACGGCTCCAGCGTCTATGGTACCAAGACCTGCAAAACCTCTGGTATAATATGGCAAAGAGACGTCAATGCGGCCAAAAATTTGCTTACTATTGCAAATTCCGTATGAGAACACAATGGCCGCCCCGGAATTTTCTCTCGTCATCGTATAACGAAAATGGTGCTGCAGGTTCTATAGCGACAGTTTAAAGATTTTTACGCGCTTAGGGGAGTTCATCTTGTGAAGTTCCTCACTGTACATTTCTGAGATTTTATTAACTGCTGTTTGAGTAATAGTAGTTCGCACATTTGGCATTGAGCATTTTGATAGAAAAAGGTACGAACAAAAACTATACTTTTCATCCAAAATACTTTTTAGATTAGTCTGAATTTTAATTGTATTTTAGTCTCAATTTAATAGCCATTTCGTGCGAAGGTCAAGCGAAAAAAACAGTAGCAAAGGACATTGAACAACTGTAGAATTCGTAAATTAAATACAAAAAAAACCAACTGTAGAATCTGCAAAGCTTAAAAACCCTAAATCATGACTTTTTACTTTCCAACAAAAAAGAAGAAAAAGGAACTGCATGGGATAATCTAGAATGTTTCTTTTTTTGTGCATTCATCCTAATTGATATACATAATAGAGGGGAAAGAAAAATTCACTATCATCATTTTTTATGAAAATATGCTGCTACCGTATGCAGATAAAAAGTATGTGACATATCGTGTACATATTTCAACAACGATGTAAATCACTTACTAAGTGTGCACATGCAATGATATAATGGTACTTCCTCCTTTCTGAGATTTTCAAAGTGATTGCATATTCATTCTAACAACTTTTTTATTTTAATCAAAAAGCTGTAGTATTACGAGTTATAATTCATGACAGAAACAAAGATTAAGGCAGAGAATACCGCCTAATCTGATCAATGCAAAGCGTTATCGTCAGCAATTTCATTCTGTACCTGCGTAGTGTAGGGGTCTTTTACAAATATGTCTGTATCCGCACAAACGCAGATGGTTGAACTAACTACTTTTGTATCACTGATAGCAACTAAATTTAATCAGCCCCAGGTTGAGTATGGTCTAATTCTTAGTCTTTGAGAAAAAGAACGGTAGTCTAGAAACTTTTTAATTTCTGATCATAATCAAGTAAACATTGTTCACGTGCATTGTGCATACAACCATTGGAAAAAGAGATGTAATAAAGTCAGTAAAATTATAGAAGACCTTGGTGATTTCTGAAAGTTTTTATTTTTTAAAGGAGATGCACACAAGAGCGCTGTAACAAGATGGTTTAGTGAAACTTCAAAATCTGACCTGGAAAATAAACGAAGAAATGGGCAAACCTTAAACTCTAAAGGCACTATGATATCATCGATTTCCTAATGAAGAAACATTAAACAATTGATTCCCTACAACTTACTCACTATTGCTATTGGAAATACTCTATTTTCTCGCAGCAAAAAAGAAGTAGAAAACACACACACACTCACGCACAAGAAAAGAACAAAGAAAAGTTTTTTCCAAGCATTTCCATTCATTCTTTCTCTTTGTTTCTTTCTTTTGACTATAAAAAAGCGGGTAAAGACTTGAAGTAAAAAAAAAAATAATAATAAAAAAATAAAACTAGACGATTCAAAAGGAACTAAAAAAAAACGAAGAATTTTTTATTAGTAAAAATCGTTTGTTTCTTTCTAAACCATCAAATAATCATTTCAAAGCATCTTTTTCCTTTCATTTCAAGCGCGTCAAATATTTACGCTTCTTTTTTTTTTATTTTTCAAAGCTGTTTCGGTCATCATTTTTATCTAGGAATCGATAAAATTTATCAACCATTATTCTTGTTACGCCCACCAAAAATCACAATAACCAAATTGGTCTTTGTGCGTATATGACAACAGATGCTCATTTAAAGCCATTCAAGACGTCAACGATAATCACCACGAATACAACCACTCCCATTTCTACATTGAATCTAAACCATAACCATAATCACCGTAATGGCACTACCGCTACCAGTACTGCTACAAGAAGATCAGTCCCTTGTCTCAGTAATGTGTTACCATACTTGAGCAAGTCGGATCTCTTAAACACAATGTACGTCTGTAAAAGTTGGCATGTGGAAACAGCAAAGATATTATGGTCAGGCTTCAAATTTGTTAGAGAAAGAGAATTTGAACGAATATTTCACATTCTATCAAAGAAGAGAAAAACGTTGGATTATGGAAATTTTATTACATCATTGGAACTTGTACACTCTGATAGAGACTTGAGCATAAATTCGAACCATATTTACCTGATTACTTTGTTATGTCCAAATTTGTTATCTATTAGCATTACTTTTCATCATACCCGGGCAGTTGCACCACCAGCGGCTGCGCATCTACTACAACTAAACAACAATCCTAATACTAATACCAATACCACTACAAATAATTCTAATAACCACCATTCTCCCACCCAAATCAACAAGCACAGTCCTTCGAATTCAAACAAACTCCTTTATCAACCTTTTCGACATCCTCAACAACAGCCATTACCGTCTCAACTACATCCATCGAAACAGCCTTGTCTACCATTACCAATGTTGGCAAGGCAACAGCAACAACAACATCAACAGCAACAGAAATTTCAGCAGCAGCTACAACAACAGCAGCAACCACAGCAACAACAATATTCACAGAAAACTGGCCATCATCAGCATCATCCTCATCAGCAACAACTTAATACAAACTTTGCACCATCGCTTCCTTTAGTTCATTTCGCAGATAACTGTCCGAAACTGAAATCTATCCGACTTGTATCTTACTCACCTAAAACAGATGATTCTGTCTATGAGATGGCAAAATATTTGACTTCTGGCAGTTTAGAGTCTATCACTTTCAACAATTGTTCGACTATTCAAAGCTCTACACTATGTAAATTAGCCATTACAAACCCTCAACTGAAACGCATCGAAATTATGGGTAATACACCTGTCAGTGATTCCAGTCTAGCAACGCTTGTTGATCGATGTGGCGCTACACTGGAATATCTGAGTATTGGTAACGCTCATCAGCTGACTGATAAATCAGTCCGGTTTATTGCTGCCCGATGTAGAAAAATACGCCAAATTTGTATATTCAACAATAATACAGAACACGTTTCTGAAGATACCCTTACAGCCATCATAACTCATTGCCCGACTTTACAGACTATCAGTTTGAGTGATTCACGTTGTTTAGGCTCTACCTTCTTTAATTCAGTTGTACAGCGTATTAACATAGAAATGGCGAATATATCAAGACATCGAGCCACTATCGGGTCCGGTTTGCAACGGTTATGTTTAGGTGGTGTGAAAAGAGACATGATACAGAGTCGCTATGTGAGAGAGTTGATCGATAAAAGTGCCAGTAAGAATGACTTTCTCGAGGATCAGGAAGAAGATGAAGATGAAGATAATGATGACTCCAAGTCGATGACTACAACGCCAGCTGATGCTGTTGTGGGTGAAGTGAATATTCAGCATTTATCTCATTTGATGAGTGAGGCAACCAAGTTCAAGCCCAAGCAAACCGTGATTCGAGGAAGTACAGTTTGGTGGCAAAGAAGTCGAATTCTGATACAGCCTGATAAGATTTAAGTATACAAAGACATACAATCACCGGCCTTTTCTTCCCTCCAAATCACATATCCCTTTCATTAATTTTATTTCTTCGCCATTATAACTACATATAAACTCTCCTGTATTTAATTCACTTTTTCTCTCTTTTGTACATAATAAAGATTTTCGACTCATTCTCTGACATACGTGGCCAGGCAATATGTTCTGAAATGTTTAGACTTATTAATGGTAGTGTAGTTTTCACGAAGTAGTTGAAAGAATCTTTAATAATAGCAATAATAGCATTAAATTTGTAGTTTATACACATCATAATTTATGTATTTGAGTAAACGTCTTAAAAAACTTTCTCTTTTTTTTTTTTCTTTACTGATTTAGTCATTTCTTAGACTTCAAAGTTGGAGGGGTTGCGACCTTCCTCTCTTTGCTCATCCCACTTTTCAATCTAACAATAAAGTAAGTCTTAGTATAATTATTCTAAGTGATCTAAAAACACCTATCATGTTTGTTACCCATTCGTTAGGACATAAAGAATGGAAAGCTCTGAAGAATTGCTTGCAAGGTTCAAACTCTTCACCACGAGCATTGATACACTTATAGTAATCTACATAGTTTTGCCAGCAGCTATTTTAAAAGGAAACATGGTTGCATTTTTTTTTTTTTTTTTCGTTAATACAGCTCTCCATATGACTTAAATATACTTTGCTGCATCGTTTTAAAATTGTAATACGTTACTGCTTGGTTTGGTTGGTATTAGGGAAGCTGTTGTGAATTGTTATCAACAAAGATGTTTGATTATTGATTGAAAAATATAAAGATTAATTGGAGTACTATCCAGAATGTGTATTTATTCATTCTCTTTTCATTCGTTCATGATGAATGGACTTTACCGAGCATCAAAACCAACTATTATTGAAATGACGTGTTAGCCTCGGGCACAGATTCATCGGAACGAGTCTTCCTCTTGTTATAATAGTAAATGTAATAGCTTACCGGTAGACAACTTTTGGGAATCAGCAACGTCAGACATTTTTGTAATATATTCAGTTCGAAGAGAGAAAGAAAGACTTTACTAGCTCGATAGATTTTGTTAACATTGTTTTTTGCGGGGTGTTATTGTTCTTTTCGCTGCTGAGAAACTTGCTTAGTGAGGTGGGGCACTGGAGTGGAAAAAGGTAGGGTATCGCGCGCCTTATGAATGATGTCATACTCTACCCAATCGAATGGCGTAGCGGAGCTGAAAGACGGAGAATGTATCGAAGTAGAAAATCCAGGAACAAGGGAGACAACTTTTCTTTGTTCTATATTCAGTAAATGCCCGGGCGGATAGTTAGGACATTTATTCGAGAGAATTAGTTGTGAGGATGATAGAATTAAGTTGGTAGAATAGCTAGAGGTTTAGCATGTTTAATAGAAAAAGATATAATATACATGGGAAATATGAATTCGGCATAAAACGATACTGACGTAGACGGATGAAATTAGTCTTTAAAGATTCCAGCTTCTTCGTCCCGCTTGATTTGTTCTTTGTCGACCTTGTAAGTATCCTTATATGTCAGAATCATACCTGAATTGAATAGTGCATCCATTTCTTCCAGAGATCGTCCACGAGTCTCGGGCAAAAATACAAAGGCAAAAACGCCCATAACTACGGCGCAGGAACCAAAGAAAAAATAAGTGCCATAAGTAATGTTGGTCATCATGATAGGTGTCACTTTAGCAATAGTAGCGTTCATAGCCCAGTTAAAGGCTGTCGTCAGAGATAGTGCCATAGCACGAATTCTTGTAGGATATATTTCAGAACAGACAATCCAAACAATAGGGCCCCAAGAGAATTCATAACCGACAGCAAAAACGTAAATCATGACCATAGCAACATATCCCTTGGCATCAATCTTAGCCCTAGCAGCGGCAAAACCACCACCACCATTATCACGTTGGATACCCAAAATCATACCACCCAGAATATAAAATGCGATCATCATCACGGCAGAACCAATCATGAGGGTCTTTCTGCGACCTAGCTTTGTATCCACCATGAAGAAAGAGATAAAGACAAAAGCTACCTTGACAATGCCTACAGTTAGATTTTAAATTTAAGAGTCAGTCGAGGCATGCATCTACTGTATAATGCAATCATTCATTTACCGTAGACACCAGTTGCAAGAATTTCAACTTCGTTACTGTCAAGACCAGCTGATCTGAAAATTTCAGGAGCATAATAATTCTAAGATGAAAAAACAAACAAGAGTAAGATTTCACAGCTCCATTTTCTATCCATCATCTGATTGTTGCAAAAGGTATAGCTTACAATAGCATTTGTACCAGTCCACTGTTGGAAGATTTGCAGCATTATACCAATGAAAAGTCGATGCAAATTTGAACGTTGAAACAGTTCGGTCCATTTGCCCGATTTTGATTCTCTTTCGAATTCAGCGGCCACATTGATTTCGCATAATTCTTCAGTGATCGAAGGATGATCTTCTGGTAAATCTCTAAGGCGCAATAAATTCTTTTTGACATCTTCCGCGCGTCCCTTCAGAGCAAGCCAACGTAGAGACTCAGGTAAAAAGACCATACCCACTCCCAAAATGAAACCAGGGGCGATTTGGATACCCAAGGGTACACGCCATTGGGTGTCACCTGTTGGAATATGGCGGAGACAAGCATAGTCGATCCAGTAAGACATCATAATGCCCAAAACAATCAAAAACTGCCATAATGTTCCCAATCGGCCTCTTAGTTTGCGAGGTGCAATTTCTGCAATATACATAGGAACCAACATAGAGCAACCACCAACGCCCACTTTTTCGGTAAGGGTATATCATTCATTCAGCAAGTTGAAAAAGAATCAAGTAGTATTAAATAGAATGAAAAAAAAAAGTTAATGTGGAAACTTGTTTCTTTCTGCTTATAATGGATGAATTCTATACGTACTTCCACCTATAAAACGCCCAGCCATCATAGTGGGGAGGTTCTGAGCTACGACTTGTAAAATAGAACCTACGATAAAAACCAATGAACTCAGAACAATGGACCATTTGCGACCGAAAGGATCTTATTCGTTAAAGTAGTAGAAAGCAAATCAGTAAGTACAAATTGTCTTTACATTAACTAACAATCACAGAATGGCTGCGCGTTGCAAATGCATCCTTACCTGCGATAAAATTGATTAACAATGCACCCACACAGCAGCCTGCCTGCAATAAAGAAACAACATCACCCTTCATTTTGGCGATGTGGTTAGGATCACCTTGCATTCCAAAGAAAGTCGGAAATGTTGGCATAGCTAAAACACCGGATATGACACCTGTTTCCAATTGCGGATCAGATACAATGCCTTTTTTCGATCTGTTTGAATTAATAAACAAAATGAGGACTATCTTTACCAATGTCATAACCAAAAAGGAAACCACCGATTGAAGAAATCGCGGTTGCTATGAGTGATAGATGCTTCATATGCTGTAATTCGTTCTCTCCTGCTTATACTATATGAATAAGGCTGATATTGAGTGTAATGCTACAAGATCAAGGATAGAAATTTTGTATTTCAATGGCTGTGGCAAGACAATAATCCTGCAAAAAAGATGTACTCGAAAGAAGAATACAACGAGGGGAAAAGTATGTGAGGATGATGATGATGCATCTTTTATATAAAAGCGTAGACGACCAGATTACAATGTCCCCTTTGAAATTACCAAATTTATTATACTTGTACGTCTTTAAATATCATAATGTAAACTCTGCCGTGATATTGCTAGTTGAGGGCATACAGTAAAGTTCTTCATCAGAAATTGCAAAAAGTTTAATTTTGCTGTGTAAAATGGTTTGGGCCTGTGTGAGAGTGTAAGTCCAGCATAATAAGAAAAATCTACTAAAGGCCTGTGTTCCCTGGGATTCTTATTCCGTAGAAAACTGACAATTTCAAACAATAAGCAACCCGCAAATATAAGCGTTGATGTCTAGTGACAGATAAAACTGCAACATCTGTGCTTTTTCTAGTACTATTCAGAGTCCGTTATCCCTTTTAGTAGATTGCTAATTCTGTAACGAGTCGAGCTCTGTCATTAGCAGCCGAATTAAGTGTATATCCTTTACCCAAATCACATCTGGGAAAAGTTGGAACGATTTCCAGGAGGAAGACGGCTTCTCAACGTTGCACTTTTTGTAATTGCAACTTTTTTATCATCTTCGCAATTCAGTGTTTATAGTGTTAAAAATTATTGTAGTCTTCATTCCTTTTCTTACTCCATAAAACAATATATCTAATTACAAAATTGAGATACAGATATTCTTTCCTTCAAGGTTTTCTTATACCACAACTTCTTCTTTTTTATTGTTTTTATCAGCTGTGTTACGCCTTTAGTGCACTTTTTTTTTTTTGCTTTCCCATCAGCTCCTTGATGAGAAAGCAAATATAAATGTATAACAATCCGTCTTCAGCTATTTACGATTTACATTCACTGATTAGTCTTAAATGGAGTCATTATCAGATCCATAAGGCTGATTAACTTTTCGACTATGTAGCTTGCACGGTGCTCAAATTTTGCGCATGCTGCGGTTCTATTTCACAGTAAGATGACGGATCATTACGTAAGGATGAATTGCCGCAAAAGTGAACATGTAACGGTTTTAGTTAAATCCTGCATAAGGGCTTTTATGTCTTCAAGTATCTCACTGTATGCATTTCTTTTTGAAAGGTTGTCGGCAAGGCAAAGCAAGTCATACTTGATAAAAAAAGAATTCATGCTTAGTAGTATGACCGAACTAGCACATCAAAAAGCTGTCGTATCTACGTGGTGGATCAAATAAATTAGGGGTCTGGCGTCAAGCGTAGAATTTTAAAAACGGTAATCTCCTTTCGACAAAATTTTCCAATTATCCCTAAAAGGTTATATACAATTACCGTTGAAATGTCGAATTCTTGTGAGCAGCTGTTAACACCTTTGCTTAATGCGAAGCTTTCATTACCAATGAAACGCTGGTTACACTTAAAGCAGACTTCTTATCTAGTTTGCCAAATTAAGTGCTGAAGAAGGTTGGGAAAGAGCAATTTATCTACTATAAAGAAATAGTTACTCACACCTCTAGATGTATTTCGCGGCAGTCAGATGGTCTTCTAATTTATTCTTCATGACAATCTGGTTTCATCTTTCGCGTTTCCCCAACTTTTGGCCTTTGGCTAACAGTGTCCAGATTGTCTTGAATTACTGAAATAGTTCGAAAAAGGCGGCTAAAGGAAGGCACAATTTGCATAACAATTTCATACGCTCAGAAAAACCGGAATGTAAGCAGTCCTCTATACAATAGATAACGTTATATTGAATATTTGTACGGGAGGCAAGTCTGCTGTAAGTAGCTCGTTCGCAACGTCATGAGGCGGAGCGTAAATCAACTTTTTATGCATCAATTTCTGCTTTTACAAACGTCGTTCGTTGTTTATAAATTCGCTTTACTCTTCCAATTTCCTTTTCCCAAACTCGCTACATCTTTATCCTAGCTAATATGAACGTAAGCTCCAACTGAAAATGTGTAAACACTGCATGATATTAACGATCTAATTTTCAACTAGGAACCTAAACTTAGTGCCTGCCAAACGCGCATGTTTCAAGCAAAGCACACAAGAAAATTAAGGTATGAACAGGATTAGGGCGAGTCGGCCCATACTGCAAAATGAAGGTTTAGAACTGAAATATATTTGAACATATAAACTAGCTTTGAGCAAATTGGTAAAGAGTTGGGCTGTGATGAAGTATATGCAGCAGCTATATTTTATGGCCAGGTACTGTACCTGTAGCAAAACCGAAGAATCTTGGCTTCAATTTCAAAAAATTAGCTAACCAACCCCTATTTTGCGACTGAACATATGTTCATTTTTTAGGCAAAGCCATCGGATGAACAGTTGCATAAGCTTTCTGAACTACTGAATGTACCTACTCAGCATTTGCTTGAAGAGATGGGTTCTCATTTTTATCCGGTTAGAGGAGGGTAGGTTAGAAATAGAAGACAGAAAAAACCACACACTTAGGAAAGTGTTAAACGTTGGCCAAAATTCGAAAGTATTGCTGACTTTATACGACTATTTTTCATCAAGTTTGATGACTTTACCTCCTCAAGATCCTACACTTTACAGATTCTTTGAAATGATTCAAGTTTATGGATACCCTTTGAAGGCGATCATACATGAAAAGGTAACGTAGAAGTTTTTCCTCAAAAGCCGTCTGACTCATAGCTTATTTTGAAAACACTTCCTTAAAGTTCGGTGACGGCATCATGTCAGCAATCGATTTCAAAGCTCACGTAGACAAGGTAACATCAGCTTAGTAAGCTCAGTATAGAAATTGAGCAGCCATGACCGTAGCCGTTTATGCTTATACTATAATACTTTCTATTGAAAAACGTTAGGTTGAAGATCCCAAGGGCGATCGTGTAAAAATCACTCTGGATGGCAAGTTCTTACCATATTCAAATGGCTGGCAGTTCAACAAGAATTAAATAGCCTTGATAGTCTTTAATTATAACGTGCATATACTTTGGCGGATCGCTTCAATCATACAACGAGAATAAAATAAGAAATCTGAAGCAAGCATTGCTTCAATATCTTTGAGAAGCTGTACTTGCAACCAAAAATAAACGTTCATTAAGTATACGCTTTTCTTATGGAAGAAATATTTGTTGCTTAAGAGCAATTATTGTAAGCTCTAAATAACGGACTGTAACTGAGGCGTGACACTACAATAACGAGCGGTGACACCTGGGAATTTTAAAACCCCTTCCAAGATTTATATTTTTTCGTCTTTGCGGGGTAGGATACCAGTTGCGGAACAGAAAGCTGGTCAAAATTGGAGTATCACAAGTTTGATAAGCATGTGGAATCATGCCACCAAGATAACAATTATCAATAGTACAATGCTGTAAGCTCAAATAGGTATTACAAATACATTTTATTGATTTTTGTCAGTAATGTGAAAATTGCGGAAACTTACAAAAGTTAAAAAGATAAACAGGGTAAGGAAAGAAGGATGAGGAGTTTTACCATATATCATGGTTCTATAAGCTGAGATTTCAGTCTGAATTGATTTATTGATTAACAAAGTTGTTGCCCTTAGTAATGTTCTTCTTCAATTCAGGAATAGCCTTGGAAATAAGTTCCTTTTCGTAATCAGAAATTTGACCGAGATCGTTGATCTTTTCAACGCCATCAGGGCCGAGTTCGATATTAGTAGAGAAATATTCAACACCTTCCTTAGCAAAAACATCAGATTTCACAAATGAGGGTTCAACAATACCCTTTTCACCGCCGACAGTAGCCTTTAAGACAGCGTTAGCCATACGGGCACCAGCGTAAGCCATGGATAAGGTAGCAGAACCAGTACCATTCTTGGCTTGAACAACTTCGTCACCACCAAATTGAATACGATGTGTCAAAGCATCTAATTCTTCCTTTGTGAATTCGATACCAGTTTGTGAGAGAAGAGGGACGATAGTAACGCCAGAGTGGCCACCAACGACAGTGACATTGACATCTTTGGGATCAAGGTTCTTGGCTTCAGCTACGAAGCGAGAAGCACGGACAACGTCAAGAGTAGTAACACCGTAGAGACGCTTAGGGTTGAAGACACCAGCCTTCTTCAAAGTTTCGGCAAAGATAGGAACGGTAGAGTTGACAGGGTTTGAGATGATGAGGAAATGAGCGTTGGGACAGTATCTAAAACGGCCATAAAAGTTCTATGAGATTTCCTATTGTGCTCTACTCTAATTCAACAATTGACTCTCTCTTTCTTCTTTCATTGTGATTATAGGGCGCCGTTCTTATTGCACTTACGACATCCTATACCTCAATAGGTTTTTCTCCCTTTATTAAGTCACTATTCATACTGTAATACTTACTTAGCGGCAGCAGAGGCAAGGTCCCGGACAATAGAGGCATTGGTGTTGAATAAGTCATCACGAGTCATACCAGGCTTACGAGGAACACCGGCAGGGATGACAACGACATGGGCATCTTCAAGGGCTTCCTTCAGTCCTTCATTATCGGGAGTATGTCCTGTAACCTTGGAGTTGCTGTTAATGTGGCTAACATCGGCAGCAACACCAGGAGCGTTGACAATATCATAAAGGGAAAGGTGGGTAACATGAGGGTTTTCCTTCAACAATAAAGACAAAGGCTGTCCAATTCCACCGGCAGCACCGAGAACAGCAACCTTGGAGAGGTTAGCTGTAGAGGTGGAGAAAGCACGCTTAGCAGCAAGGGAGGTGAAGATGCGAGAGGTAGCAAACATTTTTATTTGTTCAATGATAAAAAGAAAAACAAATGAAAAGAAACGCGGGGTTGACAAGCAAGAAAAGGTTCCATTTTTTATCTGTGCCTTTCAACTTATAAGCTCCAACCCCGGAGTATCTGTATTTCAGTCACAGCCAACCGGTCATCCAATTTTAACCGTAAATAACTGTGCGATTCCGTAACACTTACAGAGTTCAAATTAATCTTACAACCGCAGTAGCTCGCACTTTGAACCTAGGAGCATTCGCTGACAATACATAGACGAAATTTTGGGAAATCTCCATAAAGAGGCAATTGTCAGCGTTTTGTACTATTTTGTTGCATATTGTAGAAAATATTTCGGCTTTTAAACATCAAGAGAGTTTAATGTCTGCCATCTAAGTGTTTACCTAATAGAAGGTACAATACCTTTTTACAAGATATGTCTGAAAACTCATTTAGCAAAGGCTTGAACTGCTATCTCTAATTTAGTTTTGTTGGCTTTTTTAATGTATCTCTTTTTTAGTTCTACTATACAAGTGTACGAAGCAGGCTTCTCACATAAATTGAACAATGGTAACCTTATGGTTAAACCCTGAAAAGTATCGGAACTCACTCGAGGCCATGCCTAACGATTTCGCTGCATTTGGCAAAAAGAAAAAAAAAGATACGCAAAAAAACTGTCATACTGTTGCACGCTTTTGGTAAGCTGATACATGTCCTTAGCGATGATCAATAGGGTTTATCAAGTGCCAAAAAATCGATGGATAACATATTTAGTGGATATTCAGTAATATCTGGCCCATATATCAAAGTTAGTGCAAAAACTAAAGATTTTAACTTGACATATACAAAGATCAGTGTTTTATGGAACCTATAGCTTGTTTTTTTTAATCAAACTATTTCTGATTGGGACGAATGGGAATTAAGCTTCAAGAAATAAGGTACACAAGCTTATCACTGTGGCTAACCTCCTTTTTTTGTTTTTGTTTTTTTTTGTTTTTTTTCGGGAAAACACAATTACTTGTGCTCCTTGTCTTTGTTTCCTGCACTCACATTCTTTCTTTCGTTCTTCCTTCTCTTGTACAAAGCTGCGATTTATATCAACATTGCGAAACTGCGTGTAATATTAACGAAAATAGCTTGAAGCTTTTCATCCGATTTTCGCGAATAAACAAATCGTGAGTTTACTCAAAAGAAAGCAAACATTCATTTGAAAGAATTTAATAGAGCTCGTTTTCATTTTATTAGAGGTCAAAATGATTAAAGGTTGGAGGGAGGCTGTAAGTCAAGCTTTTACCTAGAACCTAGCTTCTCTTATTCACCTGCTTTTGACCACATTGTGTCTATAGCTTACGAGAAGCAAGACTGACAAGAATACGCCGAATCCTCACGGTGAAGAAGATAATAGCACACAGAAACAAACAGAATTAAATAACAACACCGATATGAATATAAGCACTTCTATATCAGTAACAGACTTGGTAAGAACATTAACAAATTGTAAAGCTTCTGAATATCACTAGCACTGCATTTACGCGACCATTATCTTTCCCTACATTTGCCAATATCAGCAAAATCCACCGCATGCAAAAATTAACCGTACAAATAACAATAACAACACAGTTTCTTTTATGCATAACAACAGCCATCCCAAGCTAACCGACAGAGATGCGCCAAAAACTGGTCCTCTACACTATCGCCTAAAAAATGCACCCATTGATCAAATCCCCATCAGTAAAGCACCTCGTCGTCAGAAATCTTCACGATTCTATGTTAAAGAAAAAGTACAATTAGAACCTACGCCTGCTTTCCATGGTAAGTCGTATTCAGAATCGTTATTTACCAAAATCTCTGATGAGCTTATCCGAAATGTGTTGCTGCCAAAGAGGTTCCAAGTCATATGCGGGCAGATTTATTTGTTCAAAAGATCAAGCAGTGTACAGTTGTTTTCGATTTCACTGATGTGTCCTCAGAACTGAGAGAGAAAGAAATCAAAAGACAGACTTTACAAGAAATTCTAGATCATATTTCAGTGAACCGTGGTGTTTTAACGGAAAATGTTTATCCTGAAATCATTAATATGGTTAGTTTAGAAATGCAAAATAATCGAAGCTGTAAATATGCACGCATAAAATCTCACAAAGGCTCTTTCGGACACTTCATTTGTATCTGAAGTTTGCAACCAATCTTTTCCGACCTATACCTCCGCCAGTAAACCCCATTGGCGATGCTTTTGATCCAGAGGAGGATGAGCCGGTTTTAGAAGTAGCCTGGCCTCATCTGCAAACCGTGTATGAATTCTTCCTACGCTTTCTTGAGTCACCAGAGTTCAACATAGTCTATGCGAAAAAGTATATAGATCACAAATTTATTCACCAGGTAAGGCGAATTGAAAGACTTGATGCAATTGACAATTTAAAAGCTCAGGTGTCCATTATAGCTTTTAGAGCTATTCGATTCTGAAGATCCTCGAGAACGCGATTACCTTAAAACAACACTGCACCGTATATACGGTAAATTTCTCAATTTGCGAGCTTTCATCCGACGATCTATAAACAATATCTTTTTTCAATTCATTTACGAGACTGAACGATACAATGGTGTTGCTGAACTGTTGGAGATCCTGGGCAGTATTATTAATGGCTTCGCTTTACCATTAAAAGAGGAACACAAAACATTTTTATCTCGGGTTTTAATTCCATTGCATAAGACCAAATCCCTTGCTTTGTACCAACCTCAATTAGCCTATTGTATTGTGCAATTTCTCGAAAAGGATAGAGCGCTAACATACGAGGTATTTGTTCTTTTAAGTCGAGCTTTATTTGCATTCAATAATTCTCATTACGAATTTTGAAACAGGTCGTCTTAGGAATACTGCGGTACTGGCCCAAAGTAAACAGCTCTAAGGAGGTGATGTTTCTGAATGAAATTGAAGAAATCCTTGATGTTGTAGACGTACCCGAATTTCAGCAGATAATGTGTCCACTGTTTACCAAGCTTAATCAATGCATTTCCAGTCCGCATTTCCAAGTATCAGAAAGAGCCTTATATTTTTGGAACAATGAGTATATCCTCAGCTTGATGGCAGAAAATATCAAAGTAATCATGCCCATAATCTTCCCCACATTGTACAGAACATCTAAAACACACTGGAATAAGTAAGTCTAAATTCAAACACCAGTAATACACCAACAGTCTTCTCATGCATTCTTGGAAAGGACTATTCTAAGTCTAGTTTACACAGCATTGAAACTTTGCATTGATATTGATCCTACGTTATTTGACGAATGTGCCAACCAATACAAAGACCAAAGACAGCTGTAAATTGTAATTTTGTGTTAGTTGTTTATCATTATCATATTCACAATTCGATTTTCTCTTGTAGGGAACGTAGATTACAAAAAGAGCGTGAGGACAACTGGAAGTATCTTCGTCAGAAAGTCAAGAATAAAGAAGCCACAGAAGCCACAGAGGCCATTCAATTGTTGAGTCAGCCATGTACAGATATGAAAACAGTTACTATGCCTATTCTTGCAGGAGGTCCAACAGATTCAATAGGTAGGCGCCTGTAGCTCACATTAAGGTTGACGATTGTTGCTAATTCAGTCTTTCTATAAAGACATTAACAGTGAATTAGAAGAACTAGATATTTCGGATACTCCCATTGTGGATCAAGGAGTGACAGAGCAACAGGACGATATCAAACCAGATATGCAGCAATTTGAAGATACACCAGCGCAATATCATTTATTCAGACGAAAATCAATTATACCAGTAGACGAAACTGTAAGTGAACAGTTCAGTCCAAAATACTTCTTAAACGCTCTGATCCTCAACTTTCCTGTCATTCATAATAGGTCTTTAACGAGTTGTCACGACATGTTAGTCTAGACGAGGTTTTAAGTCAGGCTCCGGGTGCTTCACAACAACAGAATGCGACCGCATAAACTAAGAATAACATTCAAATATTTATCTGCCGTATGCTAGAGCACGATACTAAATCTGATGCGAATAAAACCAGATATGCTCTTCTTCAAACACCCATTTTTTATTGGTATAATTAGCGCTCGAGATGGCCTACTTAGTTCGAATCTGTATCCATCGACACACATTTGGTTGTGTGGGATTTTATATTCATATTGTTTGAAGTGTAGTTTTCCTAAAATACTTCATATAATTGTTTTTATAATTGCTGAGCTCGCCAATCTTCCTCTTCTTCTTCTGATATATCATCTAGGTCATCATCGAATACCGATACTGCATGCTTCGCAAGCTGGCCTTTAAGAGCCTGTCTGACGTTTGTCTTGAGTTTCACGCGCATAATATCATCTGTTTCTTCATGACTAGGATTATTTGCCGTTGAGTCATTTTCAGGATTTTTTCCTGCTTCTCTCAAATGTCTTAATTTTGCCACTCGGGAATCAAACGCGGCTTGTTCCATTGTAAGATCAAAGTGTCTTTCTTGCCAAAATGTTTCGTCGTCCTCCTCTTGTGCCTGCTTTGATTCTTCGGTAACATCAGCCATTGCTTCGGTAAATGACTGTACATCTTTTTCTAAATCAACCTTTGCTTTTTCTTCAGGTAATAATTCTCCTCTCATGCGTGCATCCTCGTCAGGATCATCAAAAAATCCAGCAGGAAGAGTGTTGGATTCTTCAGTAGCAGATCCTTCATCCATTGGATCATTCGCCAAATCCTCCTGTTTCTGGTCAAAAAAGTCGGCTGGTAATTGAGCAGTATTCTCATCTATTTCGTCATCGTTGTCAGAGGCTTCTTCGTCAAGCTCAATGCCTTGCTTTTCATTTTGAGTACTTGGTTCAAGCCTCAATCGTTTATGTTCTACTTCTTCTTCACTCTGATCTTCTTCCATTTGAGGTGAGGGCGACGGTGCACGTCTTTTTAAATGTTGCTGCTGCTGCTGCTGTTGTTGTTGTTTTTGCTTTATTGCCTTTAGTTTTTGGATATTCTCTAGATGAAAAGCTGAACCTAAGTGTGCTTGCCAAACGTTTTCTGATTTCACCGCTGATTGACAAACTATGCATAGTAGTCGTCCCATTTCGTCATACTTTGCAAAAGGGTGCTTTATTTTTACAGCTTTATTTCGCTCGGCTTGTTGTTTCTTGAAAAGTTTTCGCACATCGTTTTTTGGAGGCATTGAGTTGTAAACTGGATCAGTGTGGTTTTGAAAAATGGCATTTCTCTGGCAAGCACGAAAGTGCACAGATGTAATTTGTCCCCTCCTCCCCTTTTCGCCCATTTGAAACTCAACGTGTCTTTCAAAATCATGAAGTTCAGTTTAACTTGATCAGAATAAACTTCCTTCCCGAAGCAACTTCACAATGCCTCAATCAAATCCAGCCAGCGTTATACGATTTTTGCACACTATTGAAAATCTCAAAGTAAATCAACGTTACCATCCTCGCCCATTGTAGATTTTTAAGAAAAAAAATCAACTAAATTTAGTAATATGTAGAGAACAAAGCGAACAGGTTGGTTGGATAACGGTATAAACCAACCAGAATCGATCTCTGACCATATGCATCGTATGGGAATCATGGCTATGCTGGTGAATGATCCTTCGCTGAACAGAGACAGGTATGTCTGACAGATCGCAGCTGTTTAAGCAGGACATTAAAATTCAATGTACTTTTAGATGTATCAAAATGGCAATAGTCCACGATTTAGCCGAAGCTGTTGTTGTAAGTTCGTAACATTCCTGCACACGAAAGTTGTTCCTTTCAGCTGATTTGGTTTTTATAGGGAGATATCACTCCTCATGCTGGTGTTAGTAAGGAAGAAAAATACAATTTGGAAAAGGTAGATGAAAAGCAGAATTTTTTGGATATTGAATAATGCTGAAACGTTGTACCACTAGGCTGCAATGGAAAGCTTTAAAGAAACTTTAGGAAATACTCCAGAGGTCACTGAAATTGCTGATCTGTGGTATGAATATGAGGAAGCCAAAACACAAGAGGCGTTATTTGTAAAGGATCTGGACAAATTTGAGATGGTAGTGCAAGCTCTTGAATATGAGAAATGTAAAGTCTTCTCAACCGACACGTCAATTATTTTTATCTTTTTCACTGACTAATCTTTTTCGTTGTTAGCCGATCAAAAAAGGTTACAAGGTTTCTTTGACTCAACAATGGGCAAATTTCAACATCCTGCAGTAAAAGCGTGGGCTGAGGAATTGTATAAAGAGCGTATTGAAGTGCTTAAACAGATGGAGAATTAACAACGATTAATAAGATAATTCAACATCATCTCTAACCAATGTAAAAATAAAAATGAATAATATCAGACTTTATTATTAAAATGTTTGGTTATCGATGAAAAATGAATTGAAAGAGTTTAGATCTTTTGCATAGCAGCAATATCAACAGATTGGACATAATCTTCAAGAGCAGTGATTTCGTCACACAAGTCGTCCATCATAACCTTATCATCTTCAACAACACAGTTGATTTGAAGTTTCTTAATACCGTAACCAATAGGGACAAGTTGGTGACCACCCCAAAGGAGACCATCCATAGCAATAGCCTTGACACTTTCGGTCAACTTATCCATAGGAGTTTCATCATCCCAAGGCTTAACGTCAAGGGTAACAGTAGTCTTAGCAATAGGCTTGGGCTTAGCAGCCTTCTTGGCATTGTATTCAGCAAGACGTTGAGCCTTGATTCTTTCGGCTTCTTCATCAACTTCTTCATCATCAGAACCGAAGAGATCGATATCATCTTCATCAGCTTCAGCGGCAGGAGCAGCATCAGAAGGCCTATAAAAAGTTTATACAAACATCGCGTTCAGTGACCCGCAGAAAGGAATAACATTACGGGACAATAACTCTATTTACTTACTTGACTTCGGAGTACCACTTGTTGACGTTAGCAAATTCAGCAGCAGGAGCAGAACCTAAAGCCTTAGCGACAGCAGCATCAGCTTCGGTAGCCTTATCGCTGCAATATTGTAATGTTAGAACACTAAGCCACTATATAGTTTGTTGGGACCAGAAATACTTACGCAGCGATGTATTTGTTTTCGGCGAGAACGGCGTCAAGGATGTGAAGAGCCAAAGGAAGATCTAAAGTGACAGACATTTTTACGGATGGTAGAGTTACAGAAAAAAAAAGCAGGAAAGGGAGGGAACGGGGACAAATATGGATCTTGAAAGAAAAAAAATAAAAAGGACCTGTTTTCCCTGTTTGCGGAACTTTGAGCCAATCATTACAAAAAGCAAACTTTTAGACAAAGAAAGGCAATACTAAACAGCTTCTACGGTCGTTGAGTTTTAGAAGTTTTTATGTTTTGTCCTTGACCGTCTGAGTCCTTGAATTTGATGATATTTTTGGTTTGAGTTCTGTAGCATCTGGATATTCTAGCAGAACTATGGACGATAGCATGCTTGGCCTGTACAGACATACAAGCCACAAATTGTCGTCGCTTAAAAGAGCTCCATACATGTAAACAACCTATCTAATGGCATTTCCTGGAAGACTCTACTCTGAAGGTAATCATAGTAATGCAAGAGACATAATGTTTAAGACTACTATAATAAAATTATACGGTTTTGGAGCCTTGAGGTTGAGATGAAGAGAGTATCATCTTCGCACTTCACCATATGACGTTAAAAATGATTTTCCTCACATGGTTTTTTGAACTTTAAAAAAAAAACCGTGAAGCCAGCCATTCACACTTTTATCAACTTCTATCCCTTCTAATCAGAAAATAACTAGAATATTATGAATTTCCGTGACATTGCAAGTTACTTATCTCGATCATTGAAAAATAGCTCTTATCGTCCTTTGTACGGATATGTTTGACAAGTTAACATCAATAACGTAGTATTATACGCATTAAAAATGAGGTACAACATAACAAATACGGCTAGTTACCAAAAAAGATAATAAACGATAACTGTATTGATTTTCTTTGTTTTTCTTTCCATTTTCTCTTCTTTTTAGCATTAAAAAACCGTAACTATGAATGATAGAAAAAGCACCAAGTCTAAAGAGCTATTTACGCCGCCGTCCGAAAAGCTTGAACTAGTCTTTCCTGATCGAACGAATGAAATTGACGATGATAGCTGTTCGTCGAACCACTTCGCTGACATCTTCAACCATGCAGTAAATAAACCAACAACCTCGTATATCAGCAAGAAATACAATGATGATGCTTTATCCCGAAATTTTGCTAAACCACAAAGTCTGCTAGATTATATTATCTATGTATTCAAACAGCTATACAATTTTTCCAATAGCAATCATTATCATCCAAGTGGTTATTGGAGATATGTTTTGGGCGTCTACAAAAACTTGTTTCTAGTCTTTTATTTCAACTGGTTTTCTATTATCACATCTCCTTTGAGCTCATTAGCATTTATTACTATTTATCCTATTGTAAGCTTACTCCTGTTCCTCTTTGAAATTGGGTTGAAGATTTGCTTGGAAGATCTCGGTGGCGAAAAGCTTATACAAACTATACGCGAGGAATATGGCAACAGTAAAGTATCTATCATAATCCTTAATTCAAACTGTAGTAATGGTTGCAATAAAACGTTCTAACTTTTTTTTAAACACAATGCACTGGCTTGTGATGTTTATTTATAGATCTCAGTATCATTAATTGGGGTGACTATAGTTTTTGTGAATTTGCAGTTTAATTACAGTACTGTTGATTGAAGTTAGCTTTCTAAGAGCTTTATTCGACTTTAGGTGCTCCAGATTTGTTATATTCAAACAAATCGATCCAAATCGTAAAATCAACTCTACCTTCATTGGGCGGCAAACCAGTGATAGATCGAAGAATCAATAGAAACTTTATAGGCAATCGTCGAATTCTAACATTTGATATTTCCATTGCGCAAACCATGACTATCTTATCCTCTCTTGTCTACGAACGTCAAGATGAAAAAATAACTAAAGCTCTGAAATTGATAGCGCAAATCCAAAACGGGAAAGCGAGCAGTCAGCATGAGGAAAAAGAAAAAGAGTTCCAACGCATCAAGTGTATAGCAAAGCAACTGATTTGGGAATCCGAAGCCAATATACGCTATATTGCTGATCAATTTAACCTTTACTTTTCTGGTGTTACAGAAATGAGGTCTCTGACAGGTCCTTATTGTGGACTTTTTTGGCCTAAAGATAATGATAAACCACCCTTCATCATTGTTACCTTCAAAGGAACTACACCAACAAATTATAGCGAGTTTTTGGTTGACGCAACGTTTCAAAGAACTGACGCTCGACCATTTCTTTTTGGATCAGTTCATCAAGGTTTTTACGAAAGTCTTTTTGCGGAAAACTCCTGCAGAGATAGATGTGCTAGTAATGTTCGCGATCCTTATTATGTCATATTAAGCGCTATTCGGCAGAAAGCTAAAGAGTTGCTGGCAAATAGATGCAGTGACGGTGGTACCAATCCTCAGCCCGTTCCTGTTTGGTTAGCAGGACATTCTCTTGGAGCAGGTTTGAGTTCATTGCTTTTTGCCCGTTGGCTTAAATGTCCTGATGACTTAGGGCCTTTATGTCGCTTATGCGACGCGTATGTCATTGGATTACCTGCTGTAGGTGATAATGACTTTGCTTCCAATTTCGCTTCCTGCACGAATAGTAATTATTACCAACCACAAGACATGTACACAACACCACCTACCTTATGGAGGATTGTTAATCAGTTTGACGTGATCTGTAGACTACCTCCTGGCTATAATAGCAGCATTGTAGGAAATTATGCTCCAAAAACGGACTTTTTTAATTATGCGCACGTTGGACAGGTCGTTCAACTAACTCATCCTCTTTTGAACGATGAGCCGTTGAAAACATATCCCTCCCCTTACGAGACAGCTGCAGTAATAGAGGTTATAGATACTGCTTCTTCCTTTTCTACTTCTAGCCTTGCAGAAAAAACCTCAAATACGGAATTAGACAATAATTCTGAGCCTTGCACACCTGTACCAGAGGAGCTCCAAGATGAAAGATTAATCCCTACAGCAATACGCCACGCTTCTGCCAAATCTTTGCCAAGTTGGTTAAAATTTCTTATGCAGCAGCTTCAATATTCTAGTCCGATTACTATGCTGGAATCCCTTTATCCATTTTTCATAAGAGACCACATTCCGGTTCATTATTTTGAAGGGTTAGACAAAATACGTGATTATCAATTTGAAAAATAAAATTTCTTTTCATTATCCCTGATTGCTTTATGCTTACTACTCAACTAAACGGTATAGCACATAAGCATATGCCGTCTGTAAATCGAGGCTAATGAACCCGTTTGAGCTTGTCTTCAATAGATATTTTGAACATTTCAAAAACCTATATTTGGTTTTTACATCGCATGATAAAAAGATATGCATACAGCAATAGTTAAAGAAACAGATTTCGCATCAATAAGAGAGTGGTTGGAAAGAAGTTAGAAGTTAAATAAATAAACACATAAACACATTGTCCTGGTAGCAAATGCTGTTTACTAAATAATAATTTATCACAGCGGATAGGTCGTAGTGAAATTAACATTTTCAATTTTGTCAGGACTTTCAATGGGGAAAAAAAAAGTTTGAGTCTCCTTCGTTGGCAATAAAAGGAAGAATGAGTAGATAGAACTGTTGATACGTAAGGAAAAGTATAAACACAAAGGGAGTATTTGAGAATCAATCAATTGTCTCATCACAATATGAATTTAATCGTAACCTCGGGAAATTGTAATGACTTCTTCATATATCACACAATTCTCACTCCAATACACAGATTAATTGCATTGAAGTCATTGAACTTTTAGTTTGGAGGAGCAAGGGATGAGAATGTGAATAATGGAATCAGCCACGCAGAGTAATTTGAGAATTGTTGAGTTTGTACACTTAAGCGATTTGTCACCTTGTTAAATTTGCTGTTCAGCCTCAGTATTTAGCCGTCCTTATTAGCAATTTGTTTATCAAAATGTGTATAGTATGTGCTGTCATCTACTCCAATGCCATCAAGCATAGTGGAGTGTTCCGAAAGTGTTGTGCATAAATAACAGCAACCTTAGCATTATAGAATTAGTGCTCGGTTGAGCCACAGCTATTTAATAGAAATTAGTCTCATCAAGTCAAGCTTCCACGGATACCCGGGTTTGACGGCTACTTTTGTTACTATCTTAAGCTGCAAAAATCAAGGTACAAATGAGCAGTGAAGGACATACGGGGCGTTTTACATGTAAAACCGCGAGTTACAGTTTAGCAAAGTCAGAAAAAATTCCGCAAAAAACGAAAGATTGAAACGCGAAATGTGTCTCAGCATTTCCGGCCTTTTTCTTGTTAGATTTTTGAAAGAAGAACACAAATTACGATATAAATAGCGAATGATTTGTAAGAATTACATTAGCTTCTTTAATAACCATTTGTGTTCACTTAGTACTTTCATTATGCAAATTTATGGTCACAATTAAAGATGCTGGAATTGAATTATTGTATGCCCAAAAGTTAACATTGATGTTACTAAAAATAGTAATAAATCACTCTAACTCAGTTATAAAATCCAGGTCCATGAACGCGGTTTTGCAGATCATGACAGCTTCAAAACGGTAGTTTTGACGCGTTAAAAGAGCTGTAATATTTGAAAAGCTCTGAATAATGTAAAAATTATAGTGCACTGATGCTATAATTCTTGCAATTCCTCGATACTCGAATTTATTACTATGACCATGCCCTTCAGTTTCTAATCGAATATACTTTGAACAAGATAAATGAGACTGGGCCTATTTTTAGTAATTTGAGTAATACCGTGTTCAAGCGGTTTGACCGTCATGAAGTTTCAGCTAACAATAGAAATAAAGGGGATTTGTTTGATTTTGAAAAGGATAGAATTGATTTCTTGATTAGACTACTGCTGCTTCTTTCGCGCATACTATTTAGATAATGTCGCCTAAACTTGAATAGCCGTTTGTTTTCCTCAAATTTTATTTTGTTAGGAATAGCCTTACTTATCTCTATACTTTTTTGTTAACTTCAGCTGCTAAATACGTAACGGCACACGAATGGCTATAGGCGGAATTTTTCTTTCTTAATAAAACTGTTAAAGACGTTGGCTGTCGAATCATTTTACCGTGTATTGCTGGCGAGGGTGTGATTATGATGTTTTCATTACACGCACTAAATGAGTACACGAGCCGTGACCGTACTTAAAGTTGCTTTGAGATTAAGGAGGTAACTCAAGAAATACAGTCCTCTCGATTAGTTACGTCGGTTTGTTTCCAAAAGGAAAAATATGCTCGTCCAGAAATAAGTTTAATTGATCTAGTAAAAAATGCGAAGACGTCTCAATTTCAAGCTAGAATATTGTTTGATAACGAGTCTACCAAGGAAATTTGTGCTTGCGGGGAATTCATTACACTCACAGCAACTAAGAAGTATTAACATGTAGTAGTCGCAGTTTGGCGCACCGATTGAGCTACCGAATAACTTTTTTTCTGTTTATTTTTAAACATTCTCATTTTTTTCTTTGCGTATATATATGACTAGTTCTTAGGTTTAAGTTTCTAGTTTTTCCCCCTTCTATTCTTAAATTTGTAACAGCGAAGTTCTGTTTACTAGCTCTAGCAACGATTCTAAACAACGAAAGCACTCCTATACGCTCTATCATATCTGAATATTCAAACACTTACAATATTTGCCTTTAATATTATCCAACTGTATTGACATCTTTAACAGACTGGATTCAAACGGCATACTTTCAAATTGTATTTCAAACATTGTTCGTCAACAACGTGAAATTGTTGAAACTTATTGATTATGCCTCCTAAGCAACATAGTGATGACAATCTTTATGTATATAACGACGAAGAAAGACTTTCTTTTTCCAACGTTCCTTTAAGCCGCACAGAAGCAAATCAGCACAACAACTATAGCGGTGTAAGTATTTCAGATGAATTGTTTAATCCCTATCATAACAATACGCAAGCATACAACTATACGTTAATGAACAGACCACCTGAACAGAAGGTAATACGAAATGGCCTAAATGATTATTGAATAACTACGATACTCAACCTTATTCCACCTCTTAAGCCCGATAAACTGGATAACGAAATACAACAACATCCGCCTGTCTTTGGTCAAACGCTCAATGGTCCGTCTTTAGGTATATCATAAAATTCTAGCTACGGTCTTTACTTGAAACGCTGATAGCCTGTATATATATATATGTATAATATATATTTTTCTAAAACAGATATTCTCTTATCAAGAGTAAATACCCAGCTTGTATCCAGCAATATAGTTCCAACGACACCATATTTTGATCCAAATCATCAACAACATCATCATCAGCATTACCAACATCAACAACAGCAGCACTATCAACAGCAGCACTACCAACAGCAACAACCACGACAGCTTAGGCACCCAAACTTTCCATCAATTAACCCACCGTCCTTATCACGGGGTAGCGATATTGTACCGGTCGTTCCTGTAGCAATGCCAGAATTTCATTATGGTATCCCACAAGATTCAACTTTCTCGTCAGCCTCATCTTCACTAAATATTCTTAATACTCCCACTTTCGACCTAACCACAAGCCGTAGTAGTAGCAATAACAACAACACCAGTGATCTGAATACATCCTATTCAGCCGTTACTGAATCTTATTTCCCTTCAACTTCGTCAGACGGGATGATGGCTTCTATACTTCCATCTGTTCAAAATTCACCCACGAATAGTACCCATTCTGATATATCGATCGCTATCAGTGATACAGAAAGTATAGTCTCTAAACCTACAGGGAGGACACAACAATCACAACAACATCCATCGTCAACAATGGCACTACAACATTCAACATCAACAACAGCACAACAACAACGATCAAAAACAAGCTTAACACCTGCAACAAAACCAAAGCTAGGGAGGTCGTCTTCAATGTACAAGACTCACTCATATGAGAATGTCATGACACTCAGCGACTTCAATGTCAACAGCGATAACAGCAATAGTCAAAGTAGCAAAAAAAAAGGCAATAACAGTTCTTTATCAAGCCGGCGTCTATCCCCTCCTTCAAAACCATTGGACCATGATAGAGTTATGGAAGCTTTAAGAGCTAAAATACTAAGAATGAATTCACCGAAGCCGCAAGCAACAACTTCGGGCGATAGTAAGCGAAAGCCTTCTCCAGAACCTGCCACACGTCCTCCGAATACTTACCCTTCAACTGGTGTGTTATATCTTAATCTGAAAAACCGAAGACGTAAAACTTCCGTTCCAAAAAGAGCCAGTGAAAAAGGTAGTTCGGGTGACACTGGCTGCTCGTAGTAGCTTCCCATTCTAATATCTAATTCTTAACTTATATTACATGTACATGTATTACTATTCCTTATGTTTATCATAATAACTATACAATATCACCTCTTACTATTCTTTTTGTATCCTACTTTATATATCTAAGTTATACTTCTACCTATTATATCCCTTCTTGTAGAACCTATACATGTATTTATCGATTTCAAAAAAACTATTGTCTATAAACTCAAAAAGTAACTTTATATCGAAAAAAAAAGCTGTCCGCATTGATGCTGATAATCTAAACTGTTCAGCAATGAAGAAACAGTACTTTTCCTAGGCATAAAATGATACATAATATCATTAACAGATTACTGTAGTTTATACTTTTGACAGGGGCTTGTTAATGATATTCTATAAAACTTGATAGGGAAGAAATTTTTTGGTGAAACCGTTCAAAGATATCACGTCTACTCGAATTGAGCGAGTGCGGTAAAAACGGCAAAGGATGATGACGAATTATTATTTTGGCAATGATTTGGATTCAGAAGGGAAGTTGAACCTGAATCTTATGTACAGGACAAGAACTATTTAAACGTACTTGCAAAGGTCAACTATGTTGCTTTCTCCCCATTAAAGAAACGTTTCGCTTTTAACACACAACGGAAAACCACGTCGATTAAACTGCTTGTTTAGACAGAAATTTCCTCGTAATCCAATTGACTTTCACGCCTAATGTTACTCAGTGTCAAATTTGTATGCATGCCGTAGGAGTGGAACATGTTATTTGATCGTTTTCGGGTAGTTACTCTTTATCTTTTTTCAGCAAATGATTGATCTAAAAATATCAACGCAGGATCAATTATTCTCCACTCCTCCGACACCGCAAAACTTGTGAGAAAAAGCTTCATAGATGCTTCCATATCATCCAGATGAGCGACTTCAGCTCTAGCTATTCCGTTCTATTACGTTATCGTAGCGGCATGCTACAATTCTCCAATGTGATACTCAAACAGCCCACCGTGCTTAACAGATGAAACACGGTGAAATAGCAATACACGGGCTGGTATTGTTGAAATACCGTTTTTCCCTGTTAATTCATAAGTTTATATTTGGGACAAACAGGTTCTTCTCAGGATCTGTTTGTTATTGACCCAGTTATTGGGAAAAGTATTTGACTGTCGTAGTAGCCATCTATATGGCTCCTTTGAATTATTCTTTTCTTCCGAAAATATCAGACTTTTTTGCCACGAGCTACATAAATTGTGTACTGTTGAATGGTCAGAATTCTACATTTTATCACTCACTTCAATCGCGATATATGTAAGTTGCGTAAATAAGCCGTCTTTGCACGTAACCGTATGATCAACAATTAGTAAGTTATAGGAGAAATTTCACGGACCAAATGCTGGAGTAAGCTCAGTTTCTAACGGGAGAACTTTTCTTCGTTTCCATTGATTTTCAAACAAACGAATACTTGCCTTTATAGAAAAGCATGCGACTGCTTGTTCAAATCTAATACGCAATGCCTTTTTGCGCGCTTTCCTTATATAGCTGCTTATCAAAAGCAAGCTCCCAGATTTTCATATCATCTCAAAAGCTGTTCATAATTAGAACCTTCCCCTATCTGAAGGAACACTAAGTTCAACTATAATTATGAGAGTTTTAATGCTAGTGGTAGTTAGCTTATACAAGTATATCTTCTTACTTTTCTAAATCAACTTATGGCAGACAACAGTTTCCAAAGGATCCTCAACTATGAAGGTCACAATTTTGTAAGATCCCTACGGCTGATCTATGCGTGGTGGTATTGTTTTGATAAACAGTGATCTTTGAAATCAATTAAGCAGTTCAGTTAAAAACTGTTCGAGGAATTGCATCAATGATCACTCTTTGGACAATGAAAAACATTATTACAATTTAAAGGAAATGATACTAGTTTTCATATGTAAATTTGTTATTGGCAATTGAACTACAAACCATTTTAAAGAAGCATCGTTATGTTAGCGAGGGAACGAATCCGCAATAATAGCTCGTGCAGTTTCAAGCTTAGGTTTGACAACTGTTTCAAGGACAGTCAATCTTTCCATCTCAGATTCAGCATCGTACTGTTATTGCAGGATCACCTACTGTATAGATTTTAAAATATAGTTACAATGATGAGAAGCTAACGTTTTGGACTTTTGCCCAACAGAATGAAGCTTATTGATAACTAATTACTGTTTCATCGAATTATCGCTGACAAGATGGTTACCAGACATAGATCAATTATTATACGATCGGTAAAAGATTTAATTAATATCAAAGGAGCAGATGGACGCTGGCTTCTCCAAGCAGTTTTGGATACGTACTTTCTCATGATTCGTTTAGCTCGATTTTGATGACATGGATTACCGATATTTTCACTAATAAAGGAGTGCGCAGATTCCTGTTTCCAATAAGGCATTCTTTCTGTATGGTAGACTAGAACACAGTCCGTATTGACTACCACATCAACAACATCATGCTGCTACCAACAAAACTCCAACGTAATTAAAGCAATTTTGAGCCAATTAATGACATATCAGTTGCCTCATCCAAGATAACGGTGTAAATCACTTTTCGCAAGTCTTTTGCACAACTGGTGATCTTTCCTTTTAAGGTTAAACCAAACATATTCCAGTATTATCGTTCTTTAAGTTTTGACTGTCAGCATCTCTGATCAAAGTGCTTATCTACTGCTACATAACCTTAACATTAGGTCTAGCGTTAACAGAGACTCAATCTTAAGGCTCGAGTTGTAACAGTTAGGAGGAATGGATGCAACTCTAACTACAGTATATATTCCTCTTAAAGACGAATAAAGATAAACCTTCAGGTACAATAAAATTGAAACCGTGCCTTGCGAGGTAGATCAGCCAAGGAAAGTTACAATTCACGGAACTGAGTTATTCTCATATTTGCTAACAAACGACAAGGTTCAGATTTGTTCGCTTTATTGCCTCTATGAAACTATCAATGGCATTCACAATAAGGTCTTCTAAACATACAGCAAAAACGGCTATAAAGTAATTACTTTTTTTTGGGGGGGGGAAAAGAGATGAACTACAAACAATCTTAGAAATGTGATGTAAATGGTTAAAAGAGCTAATAATTACATAACTTTGAGTTTTCTGGTTTGTCAATTTGGTCCAAACCATATCGGAATTAAGGTAAAAACAGTCCTCTGGGTGACGTTGACACAGTATTAGGAGTGGAAGGAAATGTAATCAATGATGGAGAAGGGTAGTCCGTCACAGCATCATTGGGAGAAGGCTGGGATAATTTTTGCTCGCCCAACAGTGTATCTGATATTATAAGATTTTCTAAGCTTGCTATAAGCGATAACGGAGGTGACCCACAGCTGTAGTTCGCCGACGAGGATGCCATTTCAATTTGAGCAGCTGTTAAGTTAGTGTCAAAGCTCTGTGGTATCTCTAGTGGTATACCTAAACGCTTATGTACATCGACCGAATAACGAACTAAATATTCAGCCTGAATACATGTTTCTATGGCTTTTATACTTCTTCTTTGACGCAAAACAGATACGGCTCTCTCAACATTTTTACAGAGCAAATTCTCCATCATCCAGCATCCTGCAAGCAGACCTGCTCGCCCCACGCCTGCACATTCAAGTCAAGAAAGAGAACAATTTGAAATCCAGCCGTTAGATGAAGTACTGAATTTGACTTCTCAAAGCGATGATTTATACACCTACCTCCGCGGCAGTGCGCCAACACATTATACCCTTCTTTAATCTCTGCGTTCACTTTTTCGACAATCATTTTGACTTCAGATAATGAATTGGGACAACTACCTTCTACCATCGGTAACCTAAGCACTTTTAAATTGTGTTCTTTGGCAGCTTTCGCATATTTCGGCCATGGCGCTCCCAAAAATGCCAACTCTTTATCATCTAGACAACTGAAACAAAGGAGTTCATTAGTTTCGATACATATTTGTTTGCTATACAATTTACAACAAAAGAGAAATAATTTGTTTCTCATTGTGTTTTTCAGTCCGCCTTAGTTTTGCTTCTTTTTTTTTTTCAGCCTTACCATATTAACATAGTGATCCCAAAACCTCTCATACGTTCAAAATCCATGTCCAAATCACGATTTACAGCTGGTCGTCCCTTGACAGGACCTGTTAATCGCACCTTCTTTCCCGGACAAGAACTTAGACAAAAATTCCCCATCACACGCTTAGATTTTCGTAATTCTTGGAGTTTGACAAACTGTTCCTCGTTAAGTGTAGCGTATTTTTGTCGTATATCGGCTTGCAAAAAATCAAGTAAGTCAAATTGATCGGGAAATCTTGCGACTGATAAATAGTTTAGTACATCTGCAGGAATGATCCAAGTTATGCTACAAAGTAAGAAAGTAAAATCGGAGATTTTTGCAATTTGAGTAAAGCTCGAACGACGATTGCTGTTGCTGTGCACAATGATTTCTCTTTCACAATTTTAAAAGTTTTAGCTTACTTTATCGGATGGCTTATGGATGTCTTTGGTTGCTGGACTGGCGACATTACTCTTGCAGACATTTTAACAGGTACTGTTCTTTTACTACTCGAATTGGTCGATGTGCAATGGGCTATGGGTGATGTGGTCGTACGTGCAACTGTTGAATGTTGCAGATCAAAAGATCGGTTTGCAGCTGTAGAGTATATTACAGGTTTTTGATCAGACATATTCGCCATGAATGATAATGAGGTATCTTATATCAATTGAAATGAAAAAGAGAAACAGACAGATATAATATTTGCGGTATGCTGAAATAGAAGAATGTATGAATCAATTTGGTCCAACTGTTAAAATAATTTAAATGTGATTTTGACAGAAGCTTTTTAAATAGGTTTGTTTTTTTTTGCACTTTTGCTTTGTCGGAAGATGTATCGTGTTAAGCAAGAAAAGAAGACTATGATATAGGAAAAAAAGAAAAGGAAAAGGTAAAGACTCAAATAGAAGTTTCATTCTACTTTAACGAGACAAAGAGGAAAAAACGATACGTTGCTGTTTTGTACATTGTGAGTTTTCTATTGGATACATTGATTGGATAGAGTGATTTGGAATACAAATCCACTAAGGTTCCATGAATTAAGCGAACGCATGAATTTCAAGACTTTCCTTTTTAAAAAGTACAACCGCTGTTAAAAACGTTAGTTAAACATCAGTTGAACGCTGGTAGCATACTAAGTTATTTTTGATGTGACATGTTCTGAAAGTATTTGGTGATTGTTGCTTCTTTTCAGACCTTTTATTCTCCTTCGATTCTGAATGCTTACCTTCAAAACTACTGCTCTAAGCTAGAGGTATTTGAACATTGAGATATTGCGGAAAGTCAAAATTCAAATATCTTTTGTACAATTCAGAGTACAAGGACAATGCAACAAATAGCAACCAGACTGTTGAAAGACTGACATGCATCGTATTGACTACACATGTCGAAAGATTACAGCACTATTGCTTAAAATACTTTTAATATATTCTGATGAGTTAAGCATAATTCCTACCTTGTCACACAAAGCCTTGATAAACGATGACAATTTGGATCTGCAAAGGAATCTTTCACCCGCCGCACAAAGCACTCATCGTCTATAATGGGATAAGCTGTTATTGAAGTCTAATCTCAAAATCACACACACAATAAGCAGGACCTTCGTCTATGGAGGCTGTTGGCACTGAGCTCAAACGACTTCATAGTGCGAAAGTTCATTATAACAATTGCAAAAGTGGACACATTGATTATCTCACAACAATAATTTCGTTTGTGTCATATAGTTACAGTGACAAGGCGTAGTCAATAAACTATATCTGCAGATGAAAGACTGCTTTCGAAGAACAGTGCATACATTGTTTCAATCTTTCGAGCACACTTTATTGATTTTAACGAACACATTTTGATACATCTTTGGCGCCCTCATAAAACAATAGATGGGGAACTTTCCAGGTGCTCTAATTATGGGTATAATTGACTTCTACAGTATTCTGACACAACTGGTTATACTGATATTTTTCAGGATATTATAGCAGTCGTGACCAAGTCAAGCCTCGTAGCTTTTTTCCTCAAAAGTCAATGGTACTTGTAGTTGGCTTTCCGATAAGGAAGTAGTAGTTGAAGTGTCTGTCGAGGAAATGCTTGATGCTGGTGGGAAATGATTTTGAGATTCTGTTGAGCTCTGTTTTCGTTGTTTCAATGGATTCATTGATGTTGAATGATAACCATTCCTTTGGTTAAGTTGTGCTTCCAGTAATGTTCGTCTGTCTTCTTTTCGTTGAGCTAACGCGACATATATTTCTCTGTTTAACATTTTGTGGCCATTCATTTTACTTACTGCCTCGTTCGCATCCTCGGGCGACGCGAAGCAAACAAAGCCGAATCCTCTAGAGTTAGACTGAAGGTGGAAGAAGAGGGAGATATGCCATGTCAGTATGCTTGTTTTATCTTCTCCAAGACTGATACTATTATATTCACCTTCTCGTCTCGCATCACTTTCGCACTTGTTATTTGACCAAAAGGCTCAAATTCTTTTCTCAGATACTCATCATCCACATCATCTGGCAAATTTTTTACGTATAAATTAATGCCATGATATTTAGTTGGCTTATTGTCTGCGATGCGTGGTTGAGTATCATGCTGTCTTTTCAATTCATCTTCTCGTTCAGACTTTTTCTGAGCTTTGGTCACGAATAACTTTTTTCCGTGATATTCAAAATCATGTAACTGGTTCACTGCCTTCTCTGCATCTGTAGGCGAGTCAAAGTTCACGAACCCAAATCCTTTCGACATATTATTTTCGTCCTTTTGTATTAGAATAGATGAAATATTTCCAAAGCTGCTAAACAAATCTTTCAGATCATCTTCTGTAACGTCGGTCGCAATATTCTTGACATATATGTTTGCAGATCGTGTTTTGTTGATAAAACTGGCATTCTGTTGCTGGTCATCTAAAAGAACCTCTCTTTCAGTTTTGGGTATCTGATGACTAACTTGACTAGTATATGCCGGATTTATCTTAGTACATATGTTATAGTTTGATTCGCATCACTTTCTTCCTTACATTTCTCTCCCAAAGAGTAAGGCGCCGTTTGCATATTCAATAGCTCTATTTGCTGCATTCATCGAATCATAGTTGACATATCCATAACAACGTATTGCATTTGGACTCTTGATCACTCTGCAGGATATGACATTTCCCCATTGTGCGAACGTATCGTGGAGTGACTTACCATCAACGATGGCTGGTAAATTCTTAACGACGATATTGCCATTGCATTTTGTCCGTTTCGTTGAATCATGTTCACTTATCATTAAACGACAAGGTCGACCATTGATAAGTGAGTAATTCATTTTTCTAAAAGCGTCATCACCTTCAGCAGGGTCAGCTTTCATTTCCGAAGCAAGTTTTTATACGCATGTACTGTTTGCCTTACATTCTTCTGTTGTATAAAAGGTAATATAACCATAACCTAAACTGTCTCCTGTAATATGATCACAACACACATGAGCATTTTTAGCGGTTGGAAAGTGTTGTCTCAACATTTCATCGTCAACCTCATCATCGAGTTGACCAACATAAAGTATTGAGTCAGAAACACGCTGTTCCGCCAACAATCGGTTCGTTGCATTTTGAAGTGAGGCGACAGCGGCTTGCGCTTGATACTCTGCGATTTCTTTCTGTGCCTCTATGCTTAAACCTCCAATGCCAAGTGTTTCTTCCATTTGACGATCAGAGGGCATTCTTGAGGAAAACTGGATGATCGATGAGACGAATGAGCCGTTCAAATTGCTGCTTTCAAAAAAAAAAAAAAAAAGTGTGCTTTTCTTATTCAGCAATTTTTTTCTTACTCAAACAGACTGATGACTGTAACGATGCGCAGCGAATTGATAACCAGTGCAGCATAGTGAATTTCGCCTTTTTAGGAAGGAATCGTTGGAGAAAGTTCGAAGATTCTCTTTGGGAACTTCTGGAATACATCCTTTAACGATGTAGCGACGCGCTCTCTTATTGATAAACTATTTATCATTAGTTAAAAATTGAAAACGTAGAGCAGCACATGGAGCAAAAGCATTGCTTATCTCACAAAACGTAAAATGGATGAGTGTGAGTAAATGTCTGAAAAGTAGTACTTAAAATTGCTGCATCATATATTCGAACTGATAACTGTCAAAACGTGAAAACAATGTTCTTTTTTCGGTATATGGATAGAGGTTGGGAAGCGTATCTACACTTCTTTTTTTCTTACATTTCTTTACTTTCTTGAACTGCATGATTAAGTCATTGGAGAAGTGTCAAAGGAATTGGTAACTAATTTATTGGCCTAAGTAAAACGAAAGATTTTATATTGTTAGCAATGGGCGTTTCTATGTATTCATCCTATACTCATCATGAAGCATATCGCAACAGGACATTAAAAAGCACGCTTTGATACGGATAGATAATTTTTTATGATCATCAAGAGATAAATAGTTTAAGGCTTTTATTGAATTTTTTCCTTAGTGAATTAAATAGACATTGGATGGCACTGATCAGATTATCAAGCTTTTTCCTTGGTGTTGCCAAGAGAGGTGAAAACATCCATAACTACGTGTATAATGTCAACAATAGTGAGAAGGCAGTTATAGGTACTTAGGATACCGATAGAGCATCGTAGTTTTACTTACGGGTTTTATTCAACTTTTGTGCTGTAGTAGCTAAGCCCTTCAATTTTGTTGTGTCTGCTGAAGCCGTATTATCGTTGGCGGGAAAGGATTCTTCGGCAGGCTCAGCTACAATACTTTATTAGGTTAATAAAATTCATACTGAGAATAATTCGAAAATACAAAGCAGACTGAATTACCATAATTCTTTTGGAAAGTAGTCTCGTCGGTATCTTTATCAGAGGTGGAGGCAGTCGTAGCAGTGGCATGCTTATGATGCTTATTTTTATGGGAAGCAGCGAGAACGGCTTTGGATGCAATGGGTCCGCCAGGAGTAGGAGCAGCAATTGTACCAATGCACAGACAGAGAGCAACAAAGACAAAATGAAAGAGAACTGTGTTACGATGCATTATGAATCAAACTATATCAACGATCGTGGTAAAGATATGCTAGAATCAGTTTGGAACTAAGATGAAGGACGATTTTTTAACGAAAATTTAAGCTTTTAAATACTTTACAGTAAGTAAATGACAGTAAGCATGCTTCTTCTATGAAACTGTTAATTCACGAATGCAAGCAAGGAAAGCTCATTTGCCCCGCTTCAATTTTGACCCCTAACTGTAGATGGAAATGATATTGTTGAATTCTTTTACTGAATTAGATTAATCAATTAATATTGTTATATGAAGATTGAAAGATGGGCCTTCGATGATTTTTTTGCTATTGGCACTTACCAGCGTACTATTCCTTTAGAAATGGTCGTAATTTTTGCTCCATTCACCACTAAAATGGATAGCTTTTGAGAGCTAGATTGGAAGCAGTTGCTTTTTATATAAGTAACAGCTGATCAGACACTACTCGAAGATTTATTCGTCTTATTGGCATACGTTTTCTTTCAAGAATGTTGAAATTTATCAGCCCAAGTGCGATATGCAAAAGAGTAAAAATATTCAAAAACCTTGCTTTTCGTATCTCAAGTTGATTCGATCAGCGAACCAAGAAATATTTATATAGACTCCACCAGTGAATAACAATGGTATACAAAGAATAAAGACAAATAACGTAGAATCAATAAGCTTTAATCATATATTTTCAAATTCTAAATATGGGGGGGGGGGGTCTTCGTTCTTTTAGCGAAAAGTTACTTATTAACGTGTAGATGATTAATTTATATAAAAATTTTAGACATAAGAAGAAGCAGAATTGTTAGTAGGAGGATTTGTACGATGTTGTTCGGCAATAGACAGAACGGACATGATTTGATTTTGCTGATCCGCATTCAATTCCTTCGTTAATAGGGTATAAGAAGCACTGTTATTCTGTTGCATGTTTCTAAACACTTGCTCAAATCGAATATACGGGTCGATTTCATCTAAGGGCGACTCGAACAGTATTTCCTCTTCTAATTCTTCTTCCTCTCCATCGTCAAATTCACTAAAACTATCATTGTTGTGCTGAGCTGCCTGACTGGCTAAATATTCCAAATATTCATTGTCCTCGTCGGGAATATCGTCATCCTCCCCTAATTCATACTCTTCTTCATCCTCGTTGTCATCAGCTCCACTGCCAACACCACTACCAGTAGTGAAATCATCTCCGTAATCCTCATCATCGTCAAAGTTTCCATACAATTTTTCCATTTGTTCACGATTTTCCATGGCTTTAGGCAGTGTTTGGAATACGGAAATCATGCATGCTAAAATTTGTGACCAACCAGCTTGCAAGGTCGTAGGTACCATTTCGGTGGGGATTTCCAAAAGAGAGCATAGAGCCACAATCACGAGCTTTTTATCATGCACACGCGAAAATTTAGGCAGTGTATTGAACCATAAAGTGAAGAACCCTTGAGTCCAATTATTCTCCTCCAACAAACGTAAGGTAACGCTAGGATTATAGTACAGGCAATTGATAACAACTTCAATACAATGAACCTTGAATTCGGTTGTCTTCATAGAACCTGTGAAGATATATTGGAAAGCCAAGTTGAGGAAAGGAGCCAAACACATATCGACATGACCTCGGCAATTGAGCAGTACAGATTCCATAAGTTTGCAACCGCAAATACGATCTTGTTCACCAACACGATCGCTCTTCATGACGGTATCAATTATGTCGAACATCATACGTTGAACTTGCTCGTTGGCTACAAAGACATCCTTACCATAAGAAATATAGTTGTCTAACGGAGGTAACATCTCCTCCATATAATCGATGCCAGAATCCTTGAAGGCTTTATAGATCAATTCGAAAACGCTCCACATGGTAGGTGTAACTCGTTTAGCGGAGAATGTACATGAATCGATGATCTCGAATATTTCATCGTACAAGTCTAAAATACGATTCTCTAAAGTATAGGTGATAACAGGTAAAAGAGCATTTTCAAGTTGTTGCAGAATTTCTGGTGTGCTTTCCAAACTGAGAATCAATGTGCCGATGGTCTTAAGGACACCCATAGCAGCCATGGTCTTATCGCTCAACTCATCAATGTCACCTGTAAATTCATCGTCATCAGCGGTAGCTAAAGTATTGCTCTGATTCAATTCTTCCATAATACGCAAGAATGTATCACGTAGTTGTGTACATAGTTGAACGGCAAAAGGAGTCAACTGTTCAGCAAATACTTCGACAAATTCTTCCATGACATTGGCGAGAGTGTCGATATCAATTTCATTTGTCAAGTTGAGCAAGGTTTGCATGATGAATGGAAGGCTGGGTGCCATTGCATTACGCACACTTTCATGACGGATCATAGGTTGAAGAGCTAAAGAAGCTTGTACTTTCACCGCAAGTTCGTCATCACGGATACAATTCAAAACACATTGATATAAAGTGGCCAAATTTTGTTCGTTGGCAAAATCCAAATCACTAAAATGACGTGTCAAATCACAAGCGCGTGCTCTTAGGAATGGATACTTGCTCTTAAATTCAGGGAAAACATGAGTGACAAAGAAAGGTTCCATCATGTTAGCAACCGGTGATTTCTTTTGCAGCACTTGGTAGGCCAAACCACCAATCATACACATTGCACCATCCTTCTCTTTAGGATTTTTTTGCTCTTCGGGAGCTTCTAAATACTTGTTCAAAACACCATTGATGAAGTTCAAAATACCCATGAATGTATACTTCTTACGATCACGCGCTAAATCGATCAAAAAATTCATGGCATTCGTTTGGGGTGAGTGAAAATCTTCTAGAGGGTCAACCTTCTTATGCACAAATTCTACAGGATCCTCGTCCCATAATTCTTGGTCTTCGTCAGAAAAACAGAGCTGAGGAAAAATGAAATGCGCCACCAATGTTTCCACATGAGGCTTCAGAAGCTGCCATGTTACTTTGTTCTTAACACAATCCGAAAAAAATGATGAGGTGAGTGCTAAACACTTGGGAGGGATCCAAATCTCTTTTTTGATCCATAATTCCACTTGTCGTAAGTAGGCCTGAAGAATGTTGGGTGCGAAGTTAGTGGAGAATGATTTGGCAAATGCATTGTATTCAGGGGTACTACGAGGCATGGTTGCAGGATTGCCATATTTTGAGAATAGTCGATTGAGACAATGGTAAGCCCACTTCTTGGTCTTCCACCAAGGATAACGATCACGTTCGTCAGGATCTGCTGGGAGTACCTCATTAGGGATGCGTTTCTCAATTAGTTGTAGAAAGAGTGTACCCCAAGGTACAAGTGAATTGGCGTCTTGTAGAGTTTTCGGAAGTTCCGCTTGAATACCAGAATGATAGATCTTGAGTGCTAACTTTAGCATTTCGGCTGCTTCCAGCGTATCATGTGTGATAAGGTTAGAAGCAATATTCTGTATGGCTGGGAATGTGAGCTTAATCAACTGTCTAAAAGGTTCACGATTGTTGCCAGTTCGCCACCTATCACAAGCTCGCATAAGTAACACACACTTTGCCAAGTTACTGTATTTGTTGGATCTAATAACTTACTGATAAACCTTGACCACTTCACGTAGAGCTAGAAGACCAACGTAAACTAAGCGGTAATCACTAGAGGTTAAAAATTTTTCTAGTTCACTCACAAAGTTCGGCCATTGATCTGGAAAATCATTCGTTAGAATTGTATTTAGGGTAGATGTAAGTTGCACTCTACAAAAAGAAAAACCAAAAAAAGATAGGTTGTATACAAATAATAAAAGTGTTAGTACGTTTGCTACAGTATACTTAGTAAGCGTAAATGTCCTCAAAAACGTTAATTCCATTCAAAACTTACTGGACTTGATTAGGAGCAGTAACCAAGGCTTGCAAAATAGACTGTTTTACCATGTTACGATCGTCATTGTTAATGGGAACTGCAGACTCACGATCACCATCCCACGCCTTATTCAAGCGATTTTTAAAGTAAATAGCAGCTATATGAGAAATAGGTTTTCATTGTCAATATGATTGTGTGTGTGTGTGTGTGTTTGTGTTTGTTAACAGCGACTGCAATGGAGATTTACCTGCTTGACGTGCACCAAGTTCTAAATCTTCTGAAGCTAAGATCTGCAGAACAATGGGTAGGAAACCGTTGTTGGCTTCGATCTATAATGCATAACAGTAATTGTAGATTATAAGTTTAATAACAAGTTGGAGATGCTTCTTGTCAACAGACAAACTTTTGACAGTTACATTTCTGAGATTTAGTTCAGCTTGTTTATGAATATTCGGATCAGGGTGGTAGGTTGCTACAAACAATTGATAGACAGAATTCTGATCCATATTTGCTTCTTCTTTACTGTATAACTTTGATACAGAGATTTATAAAGGGGAAAAAAGAAATGGCTGATAATTGGCAACGGATAAGAACCACAGGAAAGAAAGGAGCAAAGATGCCGAGTATCTCTACTTAGAAAACTTTTTCTGAAGCTGCAGTTGTTGTTGGTTAGAAAATAAAAACCAGCTTTGGTGACTGTGCCTACTCTTCAGGAAGAATCAGGCACGTCAATTTCATCATATTCATTTCTCTAAACTCGTCCACGAGATTCTAATAAAACCTTTTTATGGGTTAACGGATAAAGTTAAATAGAAGAAGCTGAAGTGAGAATCGGTCCAATTGTTAGATTAGACAATAGAATTATAAATGATAATTTTACAGGAATGAAAGCTTTTTCTGTTCACGCTATCATTAATAGTCTGTAATTCAGAAATGAGAAGAATTATCAGTCCCGTACCTGCGTATGAACAGAGTTTTACATCCTTCAGTCACAACAAAATTTATCTAACCCTCACATCATTTTGTTAAAGAAACAATCATCCATCTTATCGAACTTTGCTAAAAAACTGTCTGACATATGAATGAGAACAAGTCATTTAAGGTTATAAAAGGAACAGGCTGGCTTTTACCAAATCAGTTGGAATTTTTAAGTGGCAAGAATAATGGTCAATAATCGTATCAAGCAGAAAACGACCAAGAATTATAAGCTTATGACTTTTTGATGATTTTCAGAAAAAGGTAAAATATTACCAGTCTGTCTTTAAAGGTAACAGGATCCAGCAAAACTTTTCTATACGCCTGCGACCAGAAAGTAGCATGTGATAGTACGGAATAAAGAGTTCGGTTTATAAAAAGAAGCTCCATCTGTTGTTGCATGCTTTTGACTAACTAGAAGCCTTATTTTGCTGTAGGAAGATTTAACAATTAGCTGGTGTAGGTGCGTGTATGGTTACAAATAATCAGTACAGTCGCTTTTTTTTTCTCATACGATGGTCGATTCAACCCCAATTTGTTGGCATATGAATTGCTGGCCAATAACGTATATTTTAGCGATGCAATTTTCCTCTATTCTTTCGATTTTGAATATTATCCTTATAAACCGTCTGTTTGTCTGATTTCAAAGCGCTAGTCCAATACTGTTATTTTAGATGTAAAATAGATTTTCTGTTCAGAATAACGTGATAGTTAAAGCACAGTATTTAAGTAATGGGTAAAGGATAATTAAGGTTAATAAACCGTTAGAATTCATACGAATTTATCCGTTTCTATTGTATAAGAAATTCTTTTATGCTTTGTAATCGAGCACATTTTTAACCTTGGCTATTTTTTGATGACTGGAGGTGGAATGACAGTTTCACTATGTTTATTATATAGCATTTAACCAAAACGACGACAATAGCAAAAACTATGGCTACTGTATATGATTTTATTCATTGGCCGCATTGAAATATTCTTGGGAACCGACAGCGTCAGGTTTGATAGCTTTTTCACCACTCTTCCAATTTGCTGGGCACACTTCTCCATACTTATCCGTAAATTGAATTGCTTCTATCACTCTCAGAGTTTCATCTACTGAGCGTCCAATTGGGAGATCGTGAATGGTGGAGATACGGAGTTTACCCTTTGGATCAATCACAAATAATCCACGGAGAGCTACGGTTCGATCAGGTGTCAAAACTATAACATTAATAAATTGAACGTATCAGAAATCTGGGCACTGTAATGTTTGCTGAGTTGTAATCAATCATAATGTATACCATTATAGCTAGTGGCCAATTGTCTTTTTATATCAGAGACTACTCAAAAACAGTCATTAGTAATCCTTCCGTCCAAGCAAATAATTGAATGTCAATAGAGCATTACCGAGAGGAATATTGATGGAACCTAAACCGCCCTGCTTCCTAGGCAAATTTGTCCATGCTGAAAATAGATAATACAACGGAAAATATTGAGCACGAAGAATACATTACAGCCTTCCCAAAGAGCTTAACATACCTAAATGTGAGTGAACATTACTATATGCAATTGATTAGCTTAGAAGTATGTAATACATTTTTGAAGGTTTTCTCATTCGACTTACTCTACACTAACGCCAACAACTTCAGCACCTAGTTTTCTGAATTCATCGATACGATCGCTAAAGGCAATGATTTCCGTAGGGCAAACAAAGGTAAAATCAGCAGGATAAAAGAGCAAGACAAGGAATTTACCGTTGTAGTCTGCAGAGCTCAAGTCCTTTATCTCTCCGTTAACAAGAGCAGGAGCTTTCCAAGTAGGAGCAGATACTGGTGGAACACAAGAAGAATTTGTTTAATAAGAAATTATAGGTTAGTGACAGTCCAATACACTAGAAACCACAGCCTAAATGGACAGCACGTACGCATGACTTTCGCTTGTTTTTTGATTTGTGTACGATTGTCATCGCGCTTCTGAATAAAGCCAGCGTTGTTATTGTTGCTGCTCGTCTTATGAAAAGTTCTTGTCGCAGCAGGTACAACTGCTTTGGTAGAATAACGGATACTTGTGGTAGATAAGGCTTTTGAGAGGTTGCTACCAATTGCTAAGCGGCGAAGAGCTGACATGTTCAAATTGTAGAAATTTCGTGGCTAAAAGAACGCCTTCAAAATCTGGTTAGAAAACTTCAGGGGAGTGACCCTGATTTCAAGGTTTGAACAAGGTTAAAACTCCACGACAATCGGCATTGCTTGGATGTTGCAGATAAATTAATGCGTACTACGTGTTTAAGGTGGTTTCCCGTCAATATATATCCGTCCAACCATCCCATTGTTACATACAAGTGGCTAGCTTTTCAAAATGCTATATCTATTCCTTATGCTTCAGTTGTACGCTTAGTTGAATATCCCCGCAATCTGGAGTAATCATTGCCGACATAGAAATAGAACGATCAAGGTCTTCTTCGCCTCTTTATTGTTGAAGTCTCCGTCGTTCTAACTGTTGCTGCACTTCTCAACTAGATCCCATTCCTAATCGTATAACGAATAGTATATTTGGCAGACCTGGATGCTTGACCTATTTCGCATTCTTATCTGATAATTAAAATTTGATACAAATGTTTTGCCACCTTCGCGAATGATAGTAAAAATTATTAAAACCTTTACAGTAAGGCAGCGATAATGGACAAAAGAATGCAATAAAAATAAGTGCGCTCAGTGTTTCCTTCCGGTCGTTTTCCTTTTCATCAGAATTGCCTTACATCCTTTCCCAAGAGTCAATGCATCCATTACATCCTTTATTGCGGCCTTAATCAGCAATCGAACCCTTTTTCATGGAACTTTTTTCATGACCATAGCAATTGCAAGGAGCAAGCTTTTTTCAATAGCCTTGTTATGAAGCGAATACCGCAATTCATTAAATTCAGAAGTGAGAAGGTTTACTCGTAACTGTGCAATTTTTTCATAAGGGGTATATACCGTTTTATAGGTCATGGAAATGAATATAATGAGGCCTTAGTGAAGAAGGAAGTCAGCCTATGTGACGACCACTACCATCATTGGCTGAATGACTTATTCCACCTTTTTCACTAATACAAGATAGATTTTTTCCTTAAAGATGATCTCGTCTTTTTATTTGTTGGCTAAAAATGATGTTTTCACCAAAACATGACTTCAGTAAGTAATATTTCGAGCTATCAATAAAAAGCTAACTGCCTACTTTTTTCTTCGTCGATTGTTCAGCTCTGCTTTGTTATTCTTTAATCAGGAATTCGGAACCGCGTTCTTAGTGCCACTTCAAAGGACCCAGATATTGAATAGCTATCTCTGTAAATGACTAGAAGATATCTCTTTTGACATGTCTTCTGCAGAAGTAATGATGCAGGGATTAAATGAAGCTTTTTACTGCGGAAATCTTTCATCTTCAGGGTTCGACGCATTACAGTATCAAATGTATGATTTCTCATTTTTGCTAGGAGCTTCGGCTTCAAGAGGAGCGCTAAACCTCCCAGTTGATGTATATAAGTAAACGCAGTGATGTCGGTTTATACTGTTCATCAAATCAACACAAGATGGATAGTCACCGTAGAGAAAGCCGGATAAAACAGTTTTATTGTGTTATGTACTTCATCGCTTTCACTATGCGTATAAGCCGACACTTAAAACAAATAGCCATTTATAGTTCAATAGCGTTTGTAGTCTGCTTTAAATATTACAAAGAATTGCTGTCATTTTCGAATTGAAATGCTAAGGAAGTGGTGAGTGTTCAAAATTAGACAGTGGGTATATATCGCCTTTGGTTATACTACTAATCATGCGGGCAAGCCATGTGTACACACCCATAGCTTAATTTGTAAGTAAAAAAGTGTAAAGAGAATATCTGTTGCTATGAGCCATCAATCATCTGCTGAACTGATCGCTGAGTGGTTACTATCATCAGCACTATTATCGTCGGAATTCATATCAAACGTACTATTAACGGGATATGAAGGTTGGGTATCGAATTCATTGTCAACATCATTACTCTCATCGACGTATCTTGCTCCCTTCTGGTGTTCCTCGCCCTCTTTTCTATCGTAATCTCCATAACTAGAGATCGAATCTTTTTTACTTAAGAAGCTGACATACTCTTTTACAGCGATACCGATGCAATACAATGCTGAAATATCCATTAATGGAAAGTTTACATCTTGTCGTGCTAGATTCTCTGCTCTGAGATTGATTGCTTGCAGCAATGACTAAAAACCAATGGTGGGTATGTTAGGCGCTCTCAACATAGTTGTTTCGTTTATACAGAAGATTCACTTACAACAAATGGATATCTTTCGTCGATATCAATTAAGGCTGTAAAAAGTAAAACAGTGACAGTTGTTAAAGATCGACGATCAAAAAATACTGAAAGTAACAAAAAGATTTCTCTCCACCTCTGGCATCAATCTTTCTTTTTCTGTCAATCAAGACTGATCTGTTGAGGATGGTATCAGGCCTTATTTTCTGTTTCTCTATACGTGAGAGACTGCCTGTTTTCTGCTTTGATATTGGTGGCTTTGCAGAAGACTTTCGGTTCGCCATTGTATAAAAAGTGTTGGCTTAAGCTTGAACAGACAAGTAATGTCAAAGAGAGTTTAAAAAAAGAAACTGAGTGATCAAATTTCCAATTTGAAACAAATTTCGCAGTAAGATTATTTGTTGACAGTGAGCAGGCTCTGCTATTACGCGCTTTTACATTGTGACCATAAAGCTGCAGAGAACTATAGTAATTGCTAAAATAGTAGCAATAGGCTGATAATGAGAGCCTGTTTCTCGATCTTTGTGCATATAATCTTCCTTAAAGCATTACCAGATGGATGATTTGTACCTTGTCATGATTGTGTGTATCTTTTCATAAATGATGAGATAATACTGGTCACTGCTGGGGCTTTCCATCATAGACTATACAGAACTTATCATAGGTTATACATTTTTGCGGATGGGCCAGTAGCGATACTTCAGCGGTCGTCATTTGCGAGCACACATCAAAATATATAGCAGCAAACATCCAATCCTGGATAAAACTCTGCCAAGGGTTCAAAAAATTGCTTATTATTACAAAAGTAATAGTCAATTGATATTGTGTATGATTCTTATGGCTGTCGCAGGAGACATACTATTTTAATCTGCCATTTCGAGCATTTCTCACAATTTTCTGTGATAATATCAAATAAAAGGCTGCTGCTAAACATAAGGCGTCTTACAATAATCAAAATGTTTGTTGAAAACTGCTATAGACGTTGACAAGTTCCAAAAGGTCAAATTCTAGTTCACACGTATACGGCTTTTATGAGAGCCAATATCTCAAAGATTGAAGTCTGTACCAACTGTAAGAGTTTAGGTCGCATGACCGTACATTGTCTGAAGAACCCTGTTGTTTACTGAGACGTATTGTGGTAAAGGAGGCCAATGCTGCGAAAATCTGATATGCTATTTTAAAAGTGCCCGCATGGAGAGGATATGACTGCCTAATCATCTTTCTCTTGGATTGGTCTTGATGAAGACGCTGACAAAATTTGGCAAAAAGAAACGGCTTAAAGGAAGCTACGTGTTAGGTAAGATGTTGAGATCAGCTCACAAAAAGACTGATATAATACTGCGTTTTACTTCAAACCCTTTACGCCAATTTTTTTTTTTTTTTTTTTTGTTCAGTCTACTTCACTACTACTACATTTCGAAGATTTTTTTAAAAAAAATTGGGGGACTAGCAGAAAAAAAAAATCAGTGATTGTTCGAAGTTAAATTCGCGGATTGAGAGAGGTTTAATTCATAGATAGATTGAAAAAATGCTTAGAATGGTATATTATTCAAGCAATAGAGTGCGAAATAATGTTTTTAAAATGCTCAATAGGAATTTCATGAGCAGCTTCAGCAATTCTATGTTCAAGTGTTTCGGCATCTCGCAGGCTATGACGTCTAACCTTACGCTTAACTAGAGCCCAAAACTGTTCAATGGGGTTGAGCTCTGGAGAATAAGGAGGGAGAAACATACACTTATAATTTCTGTTGCGTCCCTCGATTAAACTCTCGACCTTCCTACGTGAATGAATAGGAGCGTTGTCCATGATGAGGTGAAAGCCCTTCATTCCATCGTATCTATCCATTATATCCAACGTTTCTGTAAAGAATCTTAAATAGTGCTCGGTGTTAGTTCCTTCTTTAGGCTCATTAACAGGAGCGACCGCTTCTAATTCTTCCTCTTCTTACCACCTTGAATTTTTCTCACTTTTGGTGGCTGTCTTGGAATACGTATACTCAAATTTATAACACCACCTGCCGAAACAGCACCAAGAATGGTATGAGTGGGGGCTTTTGTCGTAGATGTAGCGGTTACTGCCATTTGGCCCCTTGGTGCCCATGCTCTGCTTGACTTCATATTAATGTCAAAGCCGGCTTCACCAATAAACACGCAATTTTGGGAATATTCCATGTCCGTTTGACTCCATTCAACAACCCAATTGTAACGTTTTTTAATTGTGCTCAAACTCATTCTTGCCTCAGACCAGAAAGTCATTTGCTTAAAAGTCAAGTTACATTCGTTCTTTATGAATTCATGCACTCTTGCTTGACTTTTTAATTTCTAGGCTATCCAACTTGCTTGTAAGCATTTCAACAGCGTCCTGGATATAGGCATTAGGATTCTCGTCGTAAAATTGTTTCAAGCATCCTTATACGTATCCTGAAGCTGTGGTTTCGGCCTGTTCTGGCGATTGGTGCTCTTGCCGAGAACAAATGAGTCAGGATCTTCTTGGTATTTTTTCCACCAAGTGCGCGCAGTGCTTTCTTTGACACCTGCCTGAAGTGCAGCAGCCCTAACTGACATCAGTTTTTCTATCTTGTTTTAAAAAAAAGCTCTCTTGTAGAGAGGCTATAATCACAATATTTGGGGGCTCTTTCAGTGCTTTTACGCACGGATGTTTCCCTCTCATTGTTATTCCGCTGATGCTGAACTTCTTTGGGCGTAACAGGACAATTTTCCAGGTACGAATCAAGGCTGACTAGTTGCTTGATGGCAAATGGGTCGGCTGGTTCATCTATAATATCCAATGCTTCATTCCCCCTCTCATCGGAAATTTTTCCCTAGCCATTTTCCGTTAAAAAGACTAATTTTGACATGTCAATGTAAATTTTGACTAACAGCGATCAACAATGAATTAAACCTCTCTCAATCCGCTAAACTCTTCGAACAATCACTGATTTTTTTTCTGCTAATCCCCCAATTTTTTCTAAAAAACTCCGCGAACTTATTTCAAAAAATCTTCGAACGACCGTACCAATTTATAATCCATGGATTGGAAATCAGTGGGTCGTATATTAAAAATGCTACTGGGTCCTTCTTAGTCAAGAATTACAAAGAATGAGTCAGAATTTAGTCATATGCAGAATGGCTTGTACGTAACCTGAATAAACGATATTAAGCTGAATTACGATTAAACATGCTTTTTTATTATATAATTTTTAAACCCAATGGGCACACAGATAAACTTCATATCAGAAAATTGCCCAGGGCAGCTCGATTTGAGAATAGAGCGATGCATAGTGTCGGTCAGGGTGCCGTGGTGGGCGAAAAAGCATACTATCTAAATGGGGGAGGGGGAAGGGGCTAAACTAATCATTATAAATGATAGGTTAAGCTGAATTACCGTATTTTTGCTTCAGATTCAGACTCTTTGAAGAAAAATTCGGACTTTTTATGGGGAATATTTATACTGATCATAGAAAAATTTTTGGACTGATCAATTGTTATATTGGGATTCTTTACGAAGCTGTCTTAGACCGATTTCTTTTGCATCCCAAGATGGTCGCAAACACTTTTTGCTTCCATAACCGATCCACCAATCACCTCATAATGAAGCGACCAGGAGAATATAATGTGAAACCGCGGTTGCACTCACATCTTTGGGCCAAGTACTCATAGATTCTACAGTGCAACTTCAAGCCTACGTCAATAGATTGCGGGCAGGCTCTTCTATAGATACCGACGACCCAGATCAAGATTTAGAAACATCACTACTACGACGATTGGCCAACAGTGCCCTTTGGTCTCATTTGGCTTCAGCGTTTAGGCTTTATCCTAACAGCCGAATACAACAAGTAGCAGATATAGGGGTAGTTCCCAAACGGATGTTCCATCTGTTCTGGTCCCTTCCTTTGTTTCTTCCGGCTCGTGACCTAGGCTATCGCACCATTTTGAAAAAATTACCATGCTTATCAGTCTTACAAGCAGCAGGGGTAGTGTCATCTGCTACCTGCAGATTTTGTAATCATGATATTGATATGTTCGAACCTTTCAGAAGAAGTTGTTCTCAACGCTGGCAGATATGGCAAGAAGGCCTCGCGGCATATTTCCCGTCCTTCTGCTTTGATTCTTAAAGCATCTCTGCCGCTCTCAGATTACACACGCCACCATCACTACCTTCGTCTGAACAATCTTAATTTTTTCACCGTCTGATTAATATTCCCAAAAATATTGTACTTAAAATCCCAATTTTCTATTTGTTTCATCTGAAAACCAACTCAACGCTGTCCGAATCTGATCCGAAAAGACTGTAGTAGTTTATCACTCTGGCTCCCAATGACCTTTGTTGAACGTGATCGATGTCTACGATGGCGCCTTGGCTGGCTACCCAATAACTACTCAACCAGTTGCCTCTACCATCCAACGCGTACACTTACAAAAGCCCACATCATTGACTGCCTTAAGAAACACAACCGCTTACAGCTTCCCCACACCATATCTGATCCCATCTTTTTTTTTGCTGAATTTGTTACCCACCAGTCCTTCAAGGCAGCACAAAATACGGTGCCACGCTTGGACACTTCGATGGCCCACTCTGCAGCTAATACTATCTGAAGTTGACTACCTCCAACATAATAAAGAGCCTTCAACACCGCCAGAAAACCTAGGACAGCTACTCTTGGATTGGATGTATGCTGCGCCCGCGATAATTGCACCTTCCCTAGTTTGCCTCTGATCATCTTCCCTTTTTCCTTTGTCCCGTTAAAGGTTTTTTAATTCCCTCACACTTTCCTTGAACCTCCCCGGGCAATTTTGATAAGTATTTATCTGTGTGCTCATTGGGTAAAATTTGATTGTAATAAAAATATCTCTTTAAACGTATTATAGGGCAGGAGAATCTTTTTCCTATCTGTCAAACAATTGCAAATTTCTCTTTTTGACCTATCATCATCTGCCGTGTGTTGTTGTGGCTAGCGTATATATTATTCAATTTAATCGACGCTTTCACATACATTTATTACCTTCATAAATGAAGGTTATTGAGTAGAATAAAATCAAGCATTTTCAACATCAACAAGTGAATACATTCTACAGGATTTTCAAGTCAATCCCTAATAAAAAGCACATTAACTGCTATTTCTTGGTAGATCTCGCTAAACTTTTCTTGTTTTATTTTTTTCATGATGGCTGATAATTGTTTGTTTACTCTCTATATGATCTTTTAGGCTTCTTTGAGTGAGGCACAGCCAATTAGCCAATAGCAATTAGTTCGAAACGAGAGGGTCGGGCGCAACTCAGATCTAGCAAAGTCAGTCAAAAAAAAAGGCAAAAAGGATCAGCTTTACCCGACGCTTTTCCGTGGGATTCATCTCGGCAGAACGGACGTTTTCCAAGGTTGTCATTCTGTGAAGTGTTTGCAATTTTTACAATTATCAGACGTCTATTCCCTCGTCTATTGAGTGAAAGTGGCCTATAGGCAGTAACAGAATGGGAAATAGCATGATGAAGGACTATCACGTGGCAAATGGTTTACTTTTACCCGGCCAGTGTTACTGCAAGTGCACTGTAGACAGCCACTCTTTTTTTACAGGCTACGTAGTAGAAGGGGTTATTGTTACACGATTGCTGTAGCCTTGTCCAGCCTTTTTCCCAGGCGAATGAGAATAAAGGTGGAGATCCAACTTTTTCATTCCCACCTTCTTTTTGAAAATCTGGAGTGCGTATTTCACTTCATATGCTCCATACTCATAAAACAACGGGAAACATCATTCCTGAAATATTCGTCATTCTAAACACAAAGAGCCGCTGTGCAAAAAATACATGTCATTATCTTATTGACGTGGATCGGTTTTGGACGGTCCTTTTTCCTTTTGTTTTCTTCATTTTCATCCATGGCAGTGTGACCGTATGTAGATCAGAGACAACGCGGAAAGAGTCTCGCGTATTGTAAACGCCTGCTGTCCTAACTGATAAAGCTTGCCTATGGTCAATTCTGCAATTCTTTGTTTGATCACTCTTGAACTCGAGTAGTTTATAATGAATATAGTATATTACATTTCTGAAAGGGGAAAAAAAATTTAACGCATTTTCTTCAGTTCTTCCGCTTATGGGTTGGTTTCAGGTTTCCAATGATTTTAGCTATTTTCGCTTACGGTATAAAATGTTGGAACTTGGGGCCGGAGATAGACTTCCATCCAATAAAGCGTTGATGACTAACACTTTAGGTAAGGCATTTTCGTCCATTCGTCTAAAATTAGAATCGCACATCGTTAAATGAAAAATGTACATGTCTTTCAAAGGAAAGTTATGTTTTAGGCCATTGAATAAGATGGCAATCGCTACATATAGCTTTTTTAAAGAAGAATAGCTGTAATGACTTGTATGCTTCTTCCTAGCTTGTATTATCTATACAAATCTGTCATATCTTGGAAATAATATTGTTTAATGAAATGCTTTTCGTTAAAACGGAGATCATTTTAGTGATTTCTGCTGTTCAATTGGAGGATCCGTACCATGGAAAGAGAGTATTGAAATCACTTGTTTCTATGCTGACTTCCATTTCAAATTGAAAGCCCTACAATGGGGTTTTTTTTTTGCACACCTTGATTGTGGCGCATGGCTTGGCACCGTTACAGAAATAGGTTAATTATTGCCCAGTGTTACCACGCTTACAGCAGAAACCGAAAAAAAAAAACTTTACTCCACTCCCCGCGCATTTTTCACTTTTTTCCCCTTTTCTTTCACTCTAATCTTTTTTTTTTTTTTCTAAAGTCACTAACACTACCTATTTTATCATCTCTTTTTTTTTTTTTTTTAACACTTCTCTTAACCACTCAGTCTTAGAAAAAAAAGAGATTTTCAAAGTCCCAATTTTTTGAGCATAAGAGCCAAAAGAAAGAAAGAGTATATCAGAAAGAGTCGGTGTTTCCTTTCTTTCCCTTCACATTTACTCATATTAATGACTATTGAAGAATCACAACAGCCACAGAACTCAATTAAGGCTACGATAACATCTACTTCTTCACCAGAATCTTCGAAAGCTGTAAACATCCATCAGCAGATAAAGAAAGGATCTGAAAGCAATTCAGACAAATATATGAAAGAATATTTACCTACACCTGTAACGCCTGCTTTAGAATATTCTCAACTGCATCACCCTCCCTTTAAAAAAGAAATGAAATCAAACAATAAGAATACATCTACTGCTACTACAAGTAAAAGTAGTTACAGTACTTTTTCAGTTATCAAGCCAACAGCATCTACGTCATCAAATTCATCTTCGCCACCGTTAAGACACACAAACAAAAGTGCAATCACTGCGCCCACTGTCACCGCCACAACAACCTCTTCAACTACTGACAATGCTAAGCCCTATCCCTGTCCTGAATGTCATCAAACTTTCAGTCGACCGCATAATTTGAAATCTCACCTTACGACGCATTCTTCTGAGAGACCATTTCAGGTAAAAATACGGCTATAATTAGAAAGTGGGAAATGCAAGCCTCAGTTTTTCCGGTTTATTTATTTTTCATTTTTCATTTTTCCCTTTAGTGCGACGTCTGTAATCATCATTTTAGGAGACATCATGATCTTAAACGCCACCAAAAATTGCATACAGGGGAAAGGCCATATGTTTGCAAAGACTGTTACCGCTCTTTTGCTAGATTAGATGCACTAAATCGTCATCGTCGTGCAGATGGTGGCACAGCTTGCAGTGCCGTGCACCACCAGCAAATCAATAAACAACAACAGCAACGTCCCGCCCTTGTTACTTCTGGAAGTACTAGCACTTCTTCTATAAAATCAATTGTCAGCAAGGGCTCTGCTAAAACAACTGCCAATGTTACTACTACTCCTGCTTCAGCAGCCGGCAACACAAGCGACAATACTTCTCCGAGTTCCACGAATTATAGTCGACCAGTTATCCCTCAATTACATATTCCTCATCCAGCCTCACACCTCCATCCGAAAGACTACCATCCCTCCCCAGTCGCTCCTCCCACGTCACAAATGAGTTCGAATACTGCTACAAACAATTGTGCAGCGCCTCCAAGCACCTCTTCTATACTCAATATACCTTCATTAGCCTCGACAGCAGCGCCAACAGCAAATACGTCTGCCTCTCCGCAAAATAGTTTTCATTCGTCATCAAGACTGCAATTATTACCTTCTCCTAATGCTTTACCTAATCTGCCAATCACCGATAACCTAACACCTATTTATAATAATCGTATCAGCCATAATAGTAACACACCGATGTCCACAAGAAGTTTACCGACAACTCCTCTATCACCGCCGCCACCACCACCAACAGCATCAGGAAGTAGTGTCCATAATAGTCACACTAAGCAGTATCATTATTACCCTCCCCATTCAAAATCACCACTCTATCATCCGTATCAACATCCTTCATCCACACAACAGAAAACAGCAGCACAATCTTGGTCACCTTCTTATTTCCGCGTACAACAGCAGCAGCAGCAGCAACATTCGAATGGTACAAACAGTACGAGTAGTACCAGCTATAATCATTGTACACCACCTGCATCTAATTGTTCGCCACGGCCTCTTACTCTACCTCCGCTCTCGTCAGCGTCTTCAGCGTCGCCTCCTGCTATCACTTGTCTAAATTCACTTCAGCATCACCATTCACCAGCTCCACCACTGCAACCCCCGTCGTTAATAGATAAATTACAACAAGAAAATGAAGCATTAAAACGAGATTTAGATCAAATTAGAGCAATGGCACAGAGGGATATAAATTCAATGAAAGCACGAATGCATGATTTGGAAGTCGAGAATAAAGTACTACGGTCCTTGATTCAGAATTCTTCACCACAACAGCAACAACAAGAGCAAGTAGTAGAAGATGCTAAAATGGACATGGATGGTGACCGGCCAAGCAATAGCAGTCGTTACGCTCATAGCCGCACGGCCAGTCAAGCAAGTAGCATTCATCCAAGTGAAGCATCAGAGGCAACTGTTCCCGCTTCAACAGGAGCAGACCCACACATGAAAACAGAGTTCATGTAGAGCATCCGTATTTTATGCAGCGCGCGCAATTCATTTTGCAACTCTTTCTCCTTTCTTTATTTAATTAATAAATTGTTTGATATTTATATGACCTATAGCTCCTGTTGTGAAATTGCGCTCCTTGTTTTTCTCTACGTTCATTTCTGATGTGGTCCAGCACAAAAGCGGGAGAAAGAAAGAGAGAGAGGGATGAGCCACTTGTTACACAAGCCGGAAAGTTGATTCGATCTTGATTTTCAACGGATACATAACCATGATGAGTGTAACGTGATGCTGCTTTAAATAGAAAGTCCCTATATCCAGCACATGTTACAACAGTGTACATAAATTACTGGTCTTTGAGGTACATGGAGGTGGGGCGCGAGCTTCTTTGTTAGATTTTCATAGCCTCATTTTGTGCAATCCATGAGCCTCCCAAATGACTTTTGTGTAAGGATTCCATGTAACTATCGACTTGGAGATGAGTGGTTTCCGCTCCAAAAGGCTCGAGGTTTTGCCTTGTGTACTTGGAAACAGCTTGAACCCCAGAAACCAGAAAAAAATCGTCGGCTTCTTCTATTTCTTTCGACGCAGAGCGAAATTCTGTACTTCGTTTTCTATACTAAATAAAGTATGAATAAATGCTTCTCTTCTGATGTTAGTAACAATTTCTTGTTGTTTTTTTCTTTCGGCCAAACCCCTGTGAACATCAAGTAAATACGCCACAACCTTACTCAAATTGATATTTGCGATTGTTCTATGTGAAATGCAGATGTGAAAGTAAGCTCAGCACACTTCTAACCATTCATCTATCTCTCATCCAAAACAGAATGGCACACTTTAACGAAGAAGATGGCCGAAACAAAATTGACAATAGGGAAATGCTTTTTCACCGAGAAAACAGCAACAGAATGGTAGGAATCGTTTGTTAACACTCTGTGGTCAATGAGAACGCAGCCTGTGTATGTGTGTGTGACTCGGTGGGCCATGATTATTAAGCAATTTATATAGCTATTTTATTTCGAGAAGATCTTAATTGTATAGAGCCAACAGCTTGGATCCTTTGATTCCAAGCTAAAATACGAAGAAGCAATCCGCGTGTCTAAATCAATCGGTAAAATATACCGCTTTTTTTAGATGCTTGCTCGAAATTAATGGAACAGAGATGTATCCTTCATAAAAATAAATAAAATCGCTCTCTTCCACGTTAATATTGAAAGCAGGTGGCCTCTGTAAAAATTTTTCCACGATAGGAATTCTAAAGGTTGAGTCCACCTTAAATGGTTGTAAAATTTTTCCAGCCTACAGTCGTTTGAGACACGCACATACTGGTACATTTCGGCAATATTAAACTAGAATTGGCAAAACCTGTAGAGAGTCTGTTTATGGTTTTCTGTTCGGGGTTCCCTTCTCTTTTAAATGAAAGAAGCTTACGTAAAAATGTATAAGATAGAACATAGGCATGTAAACCATATTGAACTTGGTCACGACATCTGAAACTAGTATTATCAATATACAATGTTCTATTTTGCCTTTAGTAACTTTGGTCATACCTCATTCTTCGAAGAGCTACCATTGTAGTGATTATACAAAGACCAATACAGTTAGATTAAAGGGCATATGGTTACAAACTTTTTGTGCGTGAGTGACAGTTGGGGTGGAATAAGTGTAGTAGTGATATGTTTACAGTGATTTGGAAACAATTGCACTATAGTTTTTTTACAAAAGCATTATATACCTCTTTCACTTGCGCTTTTTGGAAAACATATTCAGCTTATAAGACGCAAAAACACGAAAGCGACCGTTTCCATATTTCTGTATACTCATACCAGCCGATGACTGTAGAAAAATAGGTTCACAGAAGCTATAGCAACACTTGAGAAGTTAATGCAAGGAACGTACAATGCACTTTACTATCAAAATTCTTTAGTTTAATTCAAAGCAAGGCGTCTTTTTAATGTTTAGTCACAGTTCGATCACTTTATCCTTGGAACGCCTAATAAGCATAAGCTTGAAGCTTACAATTCAAAACCATCCTTTCAGTGACAAATTGGATATAATCTTGAAAGTTGGAAATGAACTAATCATGAAGCAACAATCATATCAGAGATTTGACCCACTTTTCTACTAGCTTACGATAAAATACGATAGTTATAACTATTGGTGAGCTTAAACACTGTTTAACTTTTTTTTTTTATCCGTTATAACATACATTTACACTGCTTGAATGGTGTTACAAGCAAGATATGTGCCCCGAACGAATGCAGAGAGCTCGTTGTAAGACAAACCAGCATTGAGTTGCAGACTTTAATCTTTGATTTCGCCACTTTGCGCAGATGCATCATAAAACTAGATTTTTTTTCAGTCTATTCTTACTTTGCCATTGTAAATTGTTCATGATGTTGTAAATAAAATTGAAAGGGGCACGAACGAGAAGCCATAAGAATTATAGTGAAACAGTCATTTCAGGGGCACTAAAATGTATCTATAAGAAAAGAGATGGATGCTCTCTTTTGTATGTTAATATTTTGCCCTCCTCCCTAATGCATGATAATATTTGTACAGGACTCCCCCCCCCCTGAGGCCCTAGCTCACACATCTAATGACACTTTAAACCACTAAGTGTAACACGCATTGGCTACAGGATTTCATCAGTGAGGCAACTTCAAGCAGCTAGCTGCGCGGCCGAAGCGTTAACATTGAGGATTTTATGAGAAGCAAAAAATACAAAAAACAAGGATGAGGTATAATAATCTATCAGGTTTGCTTCATTTCAGCGTAAATGCTCTCCTATTTCAATCTTGTATGTATCTTACCGACCTTTGCATCTTTTATATCGTAACAACATCTTCAAATATAGAATGGGTGAACGCTTTTATAAGCGTTTGACGGCTGTACTAATGTTTGGAAATGTAAACTTTCTGTTTCATTTAGTTTACTCTTAGTGCGCAATGGGAAAGGGAGCAGTACTTATAGAACAAGTAGAAGCAGGTTACAAAGCTGATATTGCCTAGTGAGATACGCCTTGGTCGGGTCTTCTGACATTAAAAGATCTCATCAGCAAACAGTTCGGGGGCTCTTCCACTTTCTTCTTTTTATTCTCCACAACTTTGAAACAGCCAACCTACAACTTGATCAGTTTTTCTTTTGAGAGAGATTTAAGATGGATTTTGTTAAAGATTTAGACAACAGGCTTCTTTTCGCAATTCCTAAGAAGGGACGTCTCTACGAGCAATGTTTACAACTGTTGAATGGTTCTGATATTCATTTCAACCGTCGTTCGCGACAAGATATTGCTCTCAGTACCAACTTACCCGTTGCACTCATCTTTTTACCGGCTGCTGACATTCCAAAATATGTAGCAGAAGGTAATGTCGATTTGGGCATTTCAGGCCAAGACATGATTGTCGAAAATGAAGTTGAAGATAAGATCAATCAAGTGATGGAATTGGGAATTGGCGCGTGCCGTTTATGTTTGCAAGTGCCCATGCAGAGTGGCTTTAAAAGTTTAGAAGAATTAGCAGGCAAACGTATCGTTACAAGTTTTGACGGATTTGCCAAAAAAGTGTTTGAACCTATCGATAAAAAGTTGGGCACGAAGACTGTCATCAATTATGTATCCGGTTCAGTAGAAGCTGCTTGTGCTCTAGGTCTTGCTGACGGTATCAGTAAAGTATATCCTTCATTTTCAACTCTTACATATTGATTCTTCACACTCCTTCATCATAGTCTTCATTAACCCTTTCTGTATCTATTTAGTTGACTTGGTTGAATCAGGTGAAACAATGCGTGCAGCTGGTCTTCACGATATTCATACCCTTTTAAAGACCCAATTTGTTCTTATGGCCAACAAAAACTCCAAACATCAATCTTTGATTGAAAAGCTCACATCACGTATACGTGGTGTTATTACCGCCGACAAATATGTCTTGTGCACTTACAACGTGGAACGCAGTAACTTGCCGAAGGCCGTAAAAATTACACCCGGTCGTCAAGGACCTACTGTGTCAACTCTGGACTCTCACGAAGGTTGGGTAGCTGTATCTGCTATGATTGAAAAGAAACAGAAGGGCGAAATTATGGATAAATTAACTGAAGTCGGTGCTACAGATATCTTGGTAATGGCATTTACCAATTGTAGAGTCTAATTAAAGAGATATGTACAGCAGAATAGAATTATATAGTATAACGTATAACGCAATACATGCAATACAACCTTTATTTATGAATTGAATAATCTTGAATAAAGTCGATCATGCATACCTTGGCATACATCCAAGAGAGGATTCGTTTGGCAACAGTCATCTATGCTGATATGCTCAGTTTCTTTGATTATTTTTTCCACAGCAATTCTTGATCTAAATAAAAGCTTCTGTGCCTCATAAGGGCCAACAATGTTTAAACGAACAGCTGAAGAATATATAGTCCGAGAAAACAAGTACAACCATAAATGCAGAGTATTTTCTAGATAAAAAGAGGATTATTGTTATTTATACAGGGCTCACAAGCTTATCATGTGTGTTTGTTTCTACACTTCCAAATCAAAATGTACCTAAATCTACGTCTAAACATCGACAAACAAGTCCATAGCAAACAGCAAAATGACCATCCACCTTTTCTGCTCGAATTTTATTCTTCCACTGCTTCACAATCTGTACATGTTCCTTATTGATCTTGTTCTGTATTTTGCTGTCAACAATAGGATCCTCCACAAAACATTTCAGATAAAGAGTTAGCATAGCAATGCCTTGCGCTAAGGATGCTCTTCGTGCTACTGTATTGCCGACCATCACTGCATCACAAACACTGTCCATTTCTTCCAGATAGTCCAACGGGTTATCTTGCGATAACGCTTCATAGCCAGCTTTGACAAAGCAGTTTGTGTTGGAGGCATAATTATGAGCGGATGAGAGAACGAAATCTGGTAGGTTTTTCTGGTCTACTAGCCCTGCTTGCCAGCTTGCTTCCAAGCCTGAAGAAGCAACAAAACCGCCAGTTGGTAATGCTGAATCCGTCAAGATATATAGCAGCCATGAACTTGTTTCATTAGAGGCAAAAAAGGGTGAAGATTCAACGGGAGAATTAAGTGGAGGGGTAGGGAGTAACATGTAAACACAAAAGAAAGGAGGAGATATCTTTCTGGCAGGATTAAAAGAAACGAAAAACAACGATTTAATGCGGGGTAAGAATAAAAAAGCAGATAATTCCTTACCTCAGGCACTATGTTGTCTTTGAAAATAAGAACCACTCATTTTTCTGTTCTTATAACTTTACGTAAACATACAAAACGTAACGGCCAAAGAATTTTTCTGGTTTTGAGATAACCCCCTCACACTTCAAACGTTCATCAAATACATAACATAACACGATATATATAATTTCTTCACAATATATTGTTTTTATTTTTCAAAAAGAAGAAACGAAATTAGTACACTTTAATTTACTTAAAGAGTACGAGTAACTTGCCAGACACGGATGATGTTATCAGAGTAACCAGAGAAGAGGGTAGCACCATCAGCGGACCAGCAAACAGAAAGACATTCGGGGTCAGGGTTCTTTCTCTTACCCAATTGAGCGAATTCAGGACGAAGTTCATCAACAATAGACTTAGATTCAAGATCCCAGATCTTGATACCGTTAGCAGTAGCAGCACAAAGCCAGTAACGGTTGGGAGAGAAGGTAAGAGCATGGACAACAGATCCAGCATCCAAAGAGTAAAGATGCTTGGCTTCGTTCAAGTCCCAGAGCATGACAACACCATCCTTACCGGCAGAGGCACAGAGAGAACCATCGGGAGAGACAGTGACAGTGTTGACATAACCGTTGTGACCAATGAAGTTGGTACGGAGCTTCATCTTGGTGAGATCCCAAACCTTAACGAGCTTATCCCAACCACCAGAGACGATGAGAGGAGTAGCAGGGTTAGGGGAGAAACGGACACAAGAGACCCATTCGGTGTGGCCATCTTCGGTGATGTTGTACTTGCATTCACCGAGGGTGTTCCACAACTTGATAGACTTATCACGGGAACCGGAGACGATTTGACGGTTATCAGCAGAGAAAGAAACAGACAAAACGTCGTTAGTGTGGCCAACGAAACGACGGGTAGTGGTACCACTGTTCAAATCCCAAAGACGAAGAGTCTTATCCCAAGAAGCAGATAAGGCAAATTGACCGTCAGAGGAGATGGCAATATCTTCAACAAAGTGAGAGTGACCGACGAGGGACTTACGAGGGACACCATAGTTCATTTCATCCCTAATAGAATATCAACAAATGGATAATTCTACGTTAGAATTGCTGGAATCCGATGGTACCTTTGTACTCAATCATTGCTTTGTCCACACGATTTGTTCCCTCTTTTAGAACTCTTAACAGTCCTCTTTCTCAATAAAATTTCTGTTATGTTCCCTTTACCTGGTGAGGTTCCAGACAATGATGGTCTTATCACGAGAGGCAGACAAAACCATGTCAGGAGCTTCAGAGGTGGTAGCAATGGCAGTGACTAAACATTGAATGGTAAGCGATGTACAAAATGTTAATGACGATTCGGCAAAAACTGTCCGTAGCTATTTATTGCTGAATCAAGAATGTTTAAATGTTCAATGTTTGATGAATCTTTACCCCAATTGCCATGACCTGTCAAAATAGATAAAAACAACGCAAAGAATTAGTATACATCCATCTTTATCCATCTGTTTATCCATAAAGCACATCCATCTATGTCTATTCTTTGCCTATATGTATTACCTTCGAGAGTACCGCGCAAGGTAAGAGTATCCATTATTCGCGAAATTGAAAAGGAAGAAACTTATACTTTAGTCAGTTTGAATCATTCCTTTTGTTGCACTGCATTCGATTCACTTTCCACAATTTTCAAGTTTTGATCCTGCAGTGTGTTGTCCGGGCAACGATTTTATCAAAATCAATATTGGCCAATCACAATTCATTTTCCCTTTTTTTTTTAAAAAAAAGGTGGAAGTGCACCACACCTTTTCTATTTCCTTCCCTTCACACTTGATTCAATGAACTCTATATCGCCGCCTCTACGTAGAGGTATGAAACAATTAGAACGCTCAGCGTTCCAAAAGATTGTTACAACTTGGGCTATACAAGTTCCTATAAAAAAAGTTGGTGTGGTCGTCAAAAACTTTTCAGAGTAAGACAACAGATCTGCAATAGATCTCGAATAATGCGATCCATTTACTGTACACATGGCAAAAGTATATTGAACAATCACTTTAAATAGTTATTTATTCAACCAGCCAAGGCTTAGGAATGTCGAACCTGATCCAAACAATAAAGAGAACAAGATAGTTTTGCTGAAACTGGACTTGGATAAGATTGGTAAATCCTTTGAATCGACGAGTAACAAATAAAATCCTAACTATTTTACATGTTTGTAGATGATTTACCTGTCGATAAGCTGGACTTTTTGAAAAAGGAACATTTTGAAGTAGTAAAGCATACTATAGAACTAGATTACGCTTATTGGTCGACCGGTAAATAGTGAGAATTGAAATTGCGGAATCAACGAGAAGAAGTCTTAGGCAATTGTATTCATCCGTAACAAAATGATAGAACAGATTTTACATGCGGTTATGCCTGAAGATTTTACCGATATTCCATCCTCATTTACACAAGTTGGACACATTGCACATATGAATCTTAGAGACCAGTACTTGCCTTGGAAGCATTTAATCGGACAAGTGATATTAGACGTAAAACGCGCGCGAAAGGAACAGCTTGCATTTTTTTCGTTTTTACATATCTAATCCGAAGAATGTGTATATTTTTCCATAAACGTAGAAAAACAAAGCAATCAAAACAGTGGTAAACAAGACAGATAACATTGATACAACGTTTAGATTCTTCAAAATGGAATTATTAGCAGGCGAAGATAATATGATTGCAGAAGTTGTAAGTAAAGTTACTATATGCAGAGAATTGAAACGAACAAGACGTATTCATGAACCTTTTTGATTACCTTCAAACAAAAGAAAGAGAGTGGCTGCAGATTTAATTTTGATTTCTCAAAAGTCTACTGGAATTCCCGACTTCATACTGAACACGATCGATTGATTCAACTCTTTAAACCAACAGATTTCGTATGTGATGTCTTTGCTGGGGTAGGACCTTTTGCAATTCCGTCTGCTAAGAAAGGAACAACAGTGTATGCCAACGATCTGAATCCTGTGTCTCACCAGTACATGCTGAGAAACATTCAACTCAACAAGATTAAGCCGGACCGTATATTTCCTTATAATCTGGATGGTAGAGCATTCATTCGGCAAGCTGTAAAGGATTTACACAATGCTAGATTACAACAAAATAATAACGAAAGTGACTGGAAGACATTTGACCATTTTGTCATGAACTTACCAGCAACCGCCATTGAATTCTTAGATACCTTCCGTGGACTGTTTTACGAATACAAGGGGGCGTTTTTGACAGCCAAGGTAGAAACCCGAAAGTTACCTACTATTCATTGCCATTGTTTCACCAAAGATACGGAAAATCCCCTAGAGGATATAGCACAACGTATTGCAGATAGGATGGGCGAGAAACCCGATTTAGGAAAAACTGTATTACATTGGGTACGTAATGTGGCACCCAAGAAAGATATGTACTGTATATCGTTTCCTTTAAGTCACGAAGTAGCATTTGCTGCACCATCATCAATTAGGTATATGTTTAGCAATTTTTGGATTGTAAGAATAATGAAAAGTCCACTTCTAACTTTTTTCTTTTTTTGCATTGTATATTCATCAAATTTTATAGCGATAAACGTAAATTGTCCATCACGCAAACTGATGCGACTACAGATTGTAGCAGTAATAAAATCCTCCGTACCGAATGAAAATCAATAATAAATATTCAAAGGAGCTGAGTGGCTTGAGAGCTCTTGTTTTTCTGTACCTGACGTGATTTTACACATCACGCCAGCATTATTATCTGAAAGAATTCTTCCGCATGTCGCACAGTCACGGTATAAAATTGAGACAAAGCATCAAGAGACATACTCTATACTTTATTGATAATCATAGCAAGGATGTTCGGTCTTTCTTTGTAGATGAAGTGCATCATGTTATGAACCCGAGTCAACTCTATAGCTTCTTCCAGATAGCTATCTTTTCTTTACCAAGACGAGAAGCATGTCCAACTGCATCTTTTATGTATAAGAGTTCAAAATGGTCAGATAGGAGATCCCTATACCTATTGGTAGAATGGTAAAACTTCGTTAGTATGTAACATTTTTCAAAGCATGTGCTGAATAGAACTATTAAATATGATTTTACAATTGCTCATTCACAGCAAAAGGAGGTCCACCTTCATGATCGTCAATAGGAAACATTAGAGTAATCAGGATACCATCTTTGGCAATTATTTCGCTGTATCTCCTTGCCCATGCAGGGCGCAGATAAGGTTCCAAGGCGCACAAAAAGCTACAGGATAACATCAAAAAATTCGAATCATCAAAGCATTTCATTTTATCTGCGATGCACAACATTGGAAGTGATACTTTACGTGTAGTCATATGCCAAGCTGTACTTTTCTACAGGAATCTCAAAATTGAAAAAGTCGGCGCATCGAAAATCGTAATTCTTTTCTGCAGCGTTCGGATGTGCCTAATATTTCAATAGTCAGGAGAAGAAAAATCAGTTCGTCTCTTGCTAGGTTCGTTTAGAGTATTTGTTCTTACCTCATGTAACTTCTTAACACAAGTTTGACTAAAATCCAAGCCTGTGACATGTCTATCTTTGGTTGCCAAAAATACAACATCATAGCCTAAGTTGACAAAATTATAGTTTGATGGATTTTGGTTATACGAACATGTATGATCCATTCAGTATTGTAGTATAAGATGATTGTCTTTAGACATGCATTGAAAAACCGTATTTACCCGAACCGCATCCAGGAACGAGACCTAGACCACTTTCAGGAATTAATTTCTTTGTTTCTTCGTTCTTAAATAGAGCAGTAAGGGCAGGGCTAGATTCACCATGATCCCATAGTGTGTTGCCTTGCTGCCATTTCTCTTCCCAATCTAAATGGTACACAAATAATAAACAGCATGAGAATGCAGCAGTTTAGTACTGCTTTATTTGATCCTGCCGGGAGAAAATAAGGGCAAACTGGTAGTTTATATTCATTCTCTTTACCGATCTCTTGTTTTTGAGGATGTTCAGTCGACATATTTCTTATACTTTGATGAAATATCAGATAAAGAACAGAATAAATTGCGTATCTCAAATTTAAATAGTTTTGTTAATTTTTTTCTTTGCTGACGGGCGATGACGAATCTATGCCACACTGGACCAGCAAAGCCAAATCTTTGCTGAATAAGCAATTTATCTGAAAGCTGGCAAACTTCCGCACGCTCCGAAAACCGCATTCGGTTGCAGCGCAAGAACAATTGGTAATTTATCATGGATGTTCTGATTGCTAATATTAGGAGAAGCATGTATGCTGTGGGAAGCATATGGAAAGTTTGATTAAACGGAAGAGAGTAAAATTCCCAATCAATCACTAATTTTACCATAAAAGCAAAATCGTTTTCGCCCTTAAATTATTTTGCATGCATATACGGAAATAATTATGGTCCAAAAGGGTAATTTCTCACTCAAATAGACAATTTACATCCGCCTGTCTATATACTGAAATATATCCAATAAACGGGATTTTGCAACGGAGGTATAGTGAGAGAGATCATCGACGCTGCTACACACACCCGTTGTTCTTTTTCTATCACGTTAAACAAACCAGTCAAACTCCCCCCGTTATCCATAGCCAAGTTTGGAAGGGGATTCTGTGTTCCCCTTCATCTTCCGGTGCACGTTCTTATCGTAACAAGTGTGACAAACAGGAATATAACAAAAAAAAATCTTATAAATATGACGAGAGTAAAGGCGGTTACATACTGTCGAATTATTTTTATCTTTCTCCTTTCCTTTATTGATATATTACAACTTTTGCTAATTATAAATCATGTCTGATTCAATCATTTCAAATACTGTTAGAACAACCTTATCAACCCCACCCTCACCATCGTATAGTAAAAGGCAGCGTAATACTACCATCAATCATAACAGCAATGATAATGGCAATAAAAGAAGACTGAAAGTTCTAAGCGCTTGTAATGAATGTCGACGTAAAAAAATCAAATGCGATGGGAAAGAACCCTGCGTCTGCTGTATCAAGTCAAATAAGCGGGTTATCTGCAAATATACAACGACAGCTTCCAGTGAGAAGCTTGGAGGTAGAGCCATCCTACCAACAAAAAGACAATCACATAACAGCGATCGACATCATCCTTATCCACATAAGCAACAGAAAAATGATATTCCACCATTATCATTAACTTCTATCAATACGACAACAACTAGCTCCACAACTACAACGACCACATCTTCTATGACTTCGATACAATCCATCGAATCTCGATTAGCTGCTATTGAAGACGTTCTTCATAGCTTCGTAAGAAGACATCAGCAACTGAAACTAGGAGATCAATATGAAAATGAAGACTCCGTACCTCAACAGCAACAAGAATTAGTACAAAAGATTCGTGAAGAAGTGTCTGAACTACGCCGCATCCAATTGCCTCCTTTACGGCACGATTCCAGCTTCCCTTCTTCCCCTGTTAGTCCTACTTCTAATAAGCAACAGTCTGCTTTTATTCGACCTTCCATTTCCAACCATTATCCATACTATAGCCCTTTTTCAACTTGCAGTAATTCTCCTACTAGCAGTAACAGTGGCAGTAGTCCCTTGCGAGCTACCCGTATAGGTTCTTTTGCTGGGTCTGGATCTTCCTTTACTCCTGGCAGTGCTCCTCTTAATACTTCTGCTTCTGCTGCTGGTTCAGCAAATGTAGTTTCTCATAATCATTACTATTCTCATCACTCATACTCTAATAACAGTGTCTATTAGCTAGCAACACTAACTATTGCTATTTTTTAACCATGAATAAAGGACATGTATTTCCTTCATACATTTTTATTTACTTTTCGTTTTTGCGGAATGGATAGGGATAAGTGTTTGAGACACATTTTTGCTTTTAACGCCAGCTTTTTTTTTTCTGTAGAAAAAATTTGTCCCGGGTTGTACGCCTCTTCTTTAACTCTTTTCCTCCCATTCACTGACCATTTCAACCTAATGTCGGAAAAGTATAAAAGTTTGAAAGTTAAAGAACTGACTGGTAGAGTATTGGTATTCAAAAGGACGACAGTTCTACAGAAGTATTCAAAATACAAATATTTTAATTGGTTCTCCTGCCTGTAAAAGAGCTACTTCAGAAATACAAGCTCTCGACTAGTGGTAAGAAGGAAGAATTAATCGATCGGTTGGTAAAGTATGATGAAAAGCAAGCAATAGAAAAACTCGAAAAAGAGTTCGAGCTGGATTTTCAAAACGATACCTCTTCAACATCAAAAATTGACCTGTAAGTATGAGTATTTTTGCAGTAAGAGAACCACCAGGATAGCTTGATAACTAAATCTTGCTTCTTTTTCTTTCTGTTGAAGCGATGATGTTGCTTTCTCATCAATTCCTTTGGATACCAAAACACCTCCAAACTTGAAAGAAAGTGTGCTCTCCGATGATGAGGATTTGGATCTAATTATGGACCCACCAAGCAGTAGTGCAAAGACGGTAAATACTGTAACTTCTAGCACCTCTATCAAAGCAGCTACGGTGAGACCGGATGCTAAGACAGTGCCAGCGACTGTTAAAACGGTAAAGTCAGAGATGACCAAAGCAACGCATACTGCAGTAAAAACTACGAAGAAAACTACTTCTACAATCACAACTGCCGACACAGCAACTGCACTTAACAATGACAGCAGTGGTGCTACCATTACTGCTACGCCGGGAAAATCAGATATCAAGGATACCAAATTCAAATTCACGCCTATCACATTCGATAAAAAAGAACCTGAAAAACCAAAAACGAAAGAAGAGTTAGAAGCTGAGAGATTCAAAACTGAAGCAGAAAAGAAATATGAAAGATCGAAGAGATTTGGAGTCAAGTTGGACGATACTGAAATGAAGGTAGTACGTGCTGCAAGATTCAATCTACCCATCAAACCAACCACAGACAATACCAAAGGAACTACTGCAATAGCTATCAAAGGCAAAGAGAATAAAAAAGGGAATAAGGCAAAAAAGGATACATCTGCTTCCGCTACTGCGGCACTATCAAAACCTAAGCAAAAACAAAAGGACAACAATATGGATGAGGTCTTGAGAAAGAGAGCGGAAAGATTCGGTTTACCAGCATCAACATCAGCAGAAAATAAGAAAACGAAAAAAGAAGCCAAGCCTGTCCTGCAAGGTAGAATCACCAAAAAGGATAATGTGAGAATGAACGTGACAAAAGATAGCGTTTTGAATAAGAAGCAACGAAATTTAAATCGGCTGAGTAAAAGTACGATTGCACAAAAAAAGAAGGATATTGTTCAACAACGTAGAGTAAACCTGCTCCAGAGACAGCAACAAACCAATAGACATAGTGATCGTGTTGTGACAATTGGAACAGCACCGTCTCCACCCCCTCTTGCGAATAACAATAAACGCAATGTCATTATCACAAGAAATACTGGCACTATTCGCACAGTCAATAATCCAAGAAATGTGATCATTGCAGCCACTCCTAACAACAAGAACGCAACACGTAAACGAGGACGTGAAGGAGCTGCTTTGCAACCAACACGAGCACAATCACAAAATCAAAAATCAAGAGGGAATGATTATGTAAGTTTAATATTTGAAACAAAAAAAGGACAACATAAAAGACATATGATATTGACCCATTTTTTTCCCCCTGCTTGTGTTATAGCGTAATAATAAGAGAAGAAGATATTGAACTACTGTGAAATTGATGCTTAATAGGAAGAAGTGTTAAAACAAAAGAAATAATTAACGGAAAAGAAAAACTATGTATACCCGAATATGAATAAATCCTTATATATAAGTGTCGCAATACTTATAGAATCAATGTCTTTTTGGCTTCTTATGATATGATACATTCATCGGATTGTTTCCCTTTCTTTCTGTCTTCTTTTAAATTCGTTGATACTGATAATGTTGCAGCTGATCCAAACCTCGTAGGAGGCTTTAATGTACGATTGGGTGTTGTTGGACCGGATTTCCTTGAAGATGAATACTCGTTGTTTTGTAAAGAAAGTAGGTGGGATAGTAGAGCTGGGTTTCGATGCAAAGCATCTTCTTCTTGAGGTGTCAATCCAAGAGCTTCAGAATAGTGTTGAATTAATTCTAAATCTTTCGGTTTTAATGTAGAACTGGTAGGACTATTAAGAGGTGTTGTTATTGTAGTAGTCGAGGCAGCATGCTGTCCACTGCAGTTGCTGTTTAGAATACGTATGCTGTTATGAGCACTTTTAGGTGGTGTATCCAATGATTTACGATGATGACTGACGCTTTGGCGGCGGGAACGACGGTTGTAAATCTTGGCTGAAAATACCCAATCATAGGAGGGTTGTTGTTCGTTTACTTTAGGTGGACAGGAAAAAGCGGATCTTTTACATTCTTCATGGCAAATCAAAGCACAAACTTCACAGAAAATAGATTGTGTTGTCATGATATCGCCACATACTTTACATTCGACCACTGGTAAAGGAAGTGAGTATAAAAGGATCTCTACTACTACGTGTAAAATAACAGTCAGGATGGGACCATCTTACCTTTGCCGAAGGAAGTATGAATGAAGCGATGAGTAATATAGTCTTCTTCTGCTTTTAATCCGTATGGAGACGTGGTATCTATTTTGATCTTTTCAAAATCACCATTATGATCGTACAGAGTAATTTGACTTTCATCGTTAATCTTTGTCCTGTTCGTCTTCAACGTGGACGTGGTGCTTCTACTGCTATGATTGTCTCTACAAATAGCTTCATCAGCATCACCATTGCCACCATTATTGCTGCATTTGCCTTCTTGCGGTTGTTGTATGGAGAGATAACTGGATAAATCGTGAGAATAGGTTTCTGTCTTTTTCATCATCAGCCTTTGTTGATACTGAATGATCCAAGGATATTGTTTCAATTCACTTGCTGAAGGTCGCTCTCGAGGATCCTTTCGGAAACAAGCTAAAAGGAACTCTTTCATTTCTTCAGAGACATTTTTTGGAAGTGGAGGCGCTTCATCCTCAACGATATGGAACATAGCAGACATAGCAATCATGTCAGCATAAGGTGGTTTGCCTGTGACCAATTCAATCAATGTACAACCCAAAGACCAAATGTCCGATTTGGTAGAAGCACCTTTCAGTTCAATCACTTCAGGTGCCACTAATGATAACAAGCGAAGGAGAGAAAAAAAAAAAAAAAAAAAAAAAAAAAGGCTTTCCATTAGCAATCTGTGGCAAAGTTAGATCGAATATAGCCAACTTACTCCAATTAGGTGTTCCTGAAACTGCAGAACCTGGATCAACCGTTTTCAACTTTAGGTTCAATGATACACCAAAGTCAGTCAACTTTACATCACCTGTCTTTGTAGTGAGAATGTTGGCCGCCTTCAAATCGCAATGCACCACTTCATTCTGGTGTAAATAGTCGAGGCCGTTTAAAATTTTGATACAAAACGAAGCAACCAGTTTCTCAGGAAAGGCGCCAAAGGCTTTTAACGTAGACATAAGGGATCCATTCTCTGCATATTCAAGAATAATATTCATGGTGTTCCCATTGTTCGTCTGCTGTTGTTGGATACAACCTAGATAACGAATGACGTTGGTATGTGATAGTGTCTTTAAAAGACTGACTTCTTTCATGACTTCCTCATTGAATTCTTCTTCTTCTTTGATAGTGTCGTTGTTATTGCTGCTGCTATCTAGAAAGAGTCTTTTTATAGCCACTGTTTCGCCAGTGGACAAATCTAAAGCACGATAAACAGAGCCAAATTGACCTTTGCCGATGCAGTTGCCTAGTTGATATTGAGCAAGAACAGTTTGCCCATCTTCTGCCATATGAACCAATAATTTTTCATTGATGTGGCTGTCGTCTTGTTTTGATCCTTTCGTATCCTCTTGGTTTATTGCTTCATTCAAAAGGTAAAGTTGGCCCCGGTGATCGCTATTGCTACTGATACTACCGTTACGTTGCTTTATTTTTTTCTTATTATTCTTTTTAGCTGGATATGTCTGCATGCCAGTCTTAGAGGGCGTAATAGCAGGAGAAGATTGGCGCCTTGGCGGAAGCGGTACAATAGGTGGAAGATGATGGTCTGCCATCATATGGTTTGGAGACGAAGGTGATCTCAAGGGAGATTTCGGTGGTCTGGACAAACTTGAAGGTGTCGATGAAATTGCTTTCATGCTTGTCTTATTCTTTTTTGGGTAACTGGCATTACTGGCAAGTACTGGCTTTGCTTTTACCCTGTTGTTCGCTTGAGACGGCGACAGTGATTGATGCCGAAAGTCAGCAAATATGTCACGAACATCTCTGTATTGTGAAACATCATCATGGTCATCAGGGTTGTTTTCTACTGACGTATCTATGCTTTTTGATGCTTGACTATTTTGTTCTGTTAGTATAGATAAAAAAAAAAAAAAGTGGGAATAAGCTTTTTATGCTTTGCGCGATCGAGGATCTTTGGTTAACAAGCAGAAAAAAAAAAAAAGTAACCTCTACCATTTGGGATTTTGCCTGCATAATCATTTTCTTCTTCTGTCAGAGACTGGAAGGTGGCTGCCGTGATGGAAGGGGCCATTGATATTTGCTTTTCTGTCAATCTTGATATAGCCAGGATAGTATGAACAACCTTTTTTTTTTTTTTCAACATTAATTTTATAGGAGAAGAATTTAGGAGTCAATGTTTAGGGTAAGTAGATACGCGCGACAGTAAGTATATTGTACACATTGTAGTAGATAAGCACATAAGTGCTTTGTGCGATACTTTACAGCAGACATATCTTTTGCTTCGAATAAGTCAGTCGTTTCAAATAATTGAGATCTATCCAGGCCCAGCTGTACAACAAAAAAGCATGTGAACATTCACCTTCTCCACAAGAAAAAAAAAAGGGCACTTTCTTTGTATTTCTTCCTTTTGCACGTTGACTCCTCTACACTGTCTCCCCCTTTCTTGCTTCCCCTATTCTCTACGTCTCTCTCCTACTCTACGTATCAATTGGCGTCAAACCGCTCTATAATAACGAAAGCCTACCTGTTTAGCTCCATGTAAGAAACGAGTGATATTATCCATCTATGGTGATTTTTTTTTCCCCTGTTAGTACGTCGAACGTTAAACAATGATTAACTTTTTTTGCTGGCGATGTGCGTATACCTGAATGAAGGAAAAGTCTTTTTGACCAACTTGTTTAATAGTGCCAGGTTTCAATGTATTGACAAGACTATATTACAATGTTTGCATATGTGTCAACAAGCACCGTATTTGCCATTAAAATTACATTTCCAACTACTAATGAAAATCAGGAACTTACTTGCATAGTAAGACACCATCTTTCAATAATTGATGTAAGTCCATATCATGCGCAATGGAAGTATTCATAACCGAATTTAAGTAGTCTATAGCAATCCTTTCATCCTGGTGGTATTGTTCTTGTCTTAACCGATCGTGTAATAAATCAGTTCCGCTTTTTGATCTGGATAAAAGAGCACCGTAAGACATACTGTAACAGTGGAATGAAAATAGAAAGAATGCTTAAGCGGGAATAGCTGTAGTGGCGGGATATGGAAGATAAAAGAAATTAAATGTAACAGGAAAAAGCAGGCTTGCTGTAGTAATAGGAAATGATGATTAGATACGAAGTCGAAAAGAGAGAACAAAAAAGAAGGAAGAAAGAATTGCATTACCTTATTTTTTTCCTTTTTTTTTTAGGTTTTTGTCAACATATTGAAGGGAGCAGTGACATGAAGCAAGACAAAGAAAAAGCTATGATCTCTTTTTCCTTTTTTTTTGAGTCAATCTGCGTATTCATTATGATAATTCTATTTTTGACAACTGGCAGATAGTTCGCACCAAGTTTTGCTTTATTAGGTCTCTTTTTTCGAATATTGCATCTCACTTTCTTTCACTCAGTCACCGAATTGAAGACATAAAAAACTTTGACAATTTAAAAACGTAGGCTTACGAACGACGAGATATGAAAAGAGGAGAGACTGTCAAAAGAAGAAATGTGATAGACAAGCAGAATTGCTTTTAAAGGAAAAGCAGCGAAAAATGTGGGATTGTCGACATCATGGCTATTATCCATAAAAATAGTAGAGTGTTTCGGTCTAAAATGCTGGGTACGAAGGAATCCTATTCATCCTTCGTTCAAGGAGAAATTGGCATTGTATAAATGAAAACAGTGGCTCACAATAGGATGACATTGGAGCGCAACACAAAAAATGTCTTGTGTGCCTATGGATCTGTAAAACCTGTTATGGTTATGATTAGAATAAACCACTACTCCTGACACATTTGTCAAGAGCTACAATTGCTGAAACTCACAGACGGTCCAAAAGAGCCTCCGATAAGGTATAGCTTTCACAGCAGGAGCTTTATTCAAACTCTGATTAGACAATACAATGTACGACTAGAATTTTCATACTTTATATCACATCATGATTATCGATGCCTTTTTTTTTTTTTTTGTTTTTTTTTTTGTTTTTGGTATTCATAATATGCTATGTACAAGAGGGGAGAGGTTGGCGTAAAAGCGGATAATAATGCAAGTGAAAATGCAATACAAGGTAGTAGTGTCCAGCTTTCAAGCTGGAGAGTATGACTCTTGAGCAAGCAACCAAAATGATACTAATGTCGTCTCAATTTTTTCCTTTCTTCATCTAAAAAAAGGCTGACAAATTGAGAGATATCTGGTCTGCACAATTGCCGTTCTACTATTTCCTCCAGTGTCATTTCTAAACTAAAGGTTGTTTGAACATACTGTTTCAGTAGAAGCAATAGTTTTTTCATGGTCTTTTCCTGACAGTAACCCACAGGATATTTCGTAAAGAATTGTATAAAAACTTCACAAAAGATATGCTCATCTTTAAAAGAAGATAAAAGCATGACTCTTTTGTTCATAAGATTGCCTATCCACCCAAATAATTCTTGGTGTTGCTTTGTGAGTGTCGCTGTGTCGCTGTTGGATTTGAAGGCTTCATCAAAGAAAAGCGATAAGATGGCCTCCCATAATTGTGCTCTGGCACTAGGATCAAATTCAAACAAAGGAAAAATTGTTTCAAAAATGCTGCGGTACTTTGTGAGAGATCTTAGAGAGTAATGTTGAGTGCAATAGTGAGGAGCAGGGAAAAACCATTGTTGATGAATCATACGCTCTAGTTCATGACAGTTATTGATAGTGGATGACCCTTTTTGATGATGCAGACATGAAAATGCCTGTTGTTGTACTGAGAGCTGTTGAATATTTATCTGCCCTTTATATCGGCGATTACCTTCGTACAGTAGCTTGACAAACCCTTCAAATGGTAGTTTTTGTATCTGCTCGTGAAAGTAGTCGTCTAATATTTGTGATGACCGACGACGCTGGTGTTGATATTGCTGTTGTTTCGGCTTACCGTATTCAAGAACAACGCTCTGCAGGAGATGGTATGGGATGACTGCGCCAAAATGAAGCAGTATGTCGAGAAAAGAAGAGGTACAATGTTCAGGACAGGACAATAAAGCGTAATAGATAGCAAACCGAGGGCCAACACGCGTGAAAATCCAACCCGCTTTAGAGCGCAACTGAACAGATGTTTGGTAGAAGCTTTTACAGATTCGAGCAAATTCGGCTTTACATTCAGGGGTTTCAAGATGATAATATATACAGGCAATAACTTCGTTGGGAAGCTTTTGCAATAGACACGGCTTTGCTTGCTTTTTTGTCAGCTGTGAGTACTTTGGAGCCACCACGGATGTATGTGAGAAGAACCTGAAAGAAGTCTTTAATGATAACAGTGTCATGGAAAGTTTCTCAAGTAGGCAAAGTAAAATATAGAAGGATGTTGAGAAAAACGGAAGAAAAAAATCGATTGACGAGAAAATAGAAAATGGATAGTCATTTATTTTCGTATAACACCGGTTTCTTTGGTAAAGGCGTTTTAGGTATGAATAAATGTTCACTTGCTACTTGTAAGCTGCCTCATGAAAAACGTTGATTTTTACCCTTTGTCCAGTATCACGTTCTCTATGGCTTTTGTCCTGATTGGCTGAATTCTAATCGATTGTTCACTGCATTAACGGCGAAAAGGCAGACATATTTTTTTTTTTCTGCTCTTTCCTTTCTCTCCACAAAAAGTATAAAAAAAATCTGTGATCGACCAATCATCTACCATCGAAAAAGGAGGGTGCTCTTTTTTTTTATTATTGCATTTCTATCAGCTGTTTCAACATTGGCCACACTTGTTTACGTGACATCTTCAAGTTGCCCTGACTATAGAATGTAAGGCTCTTTGTGGCTCCATCAAACTCACCCGTTTTCCTCTTTAACTGGATTTGTTCGTCTCTTTCTATTGTGTGTTTAACGCCTTGTAATTGTGGGTTCAATATTAAAATAGCCAATTCTCGGCGATAATCCCCTTTTCCTTCTCGATCATGATCAAATGCTGTCAAAATCACCTCCATATCCAACTGACGCTCCTGTGCATAACTGTAGGCTGCTTCTTCGATTATCTGAGGTGAATCGCGTTTGGCCCAACCGTCAAAGTACCAAGTTACAGCGCTGGTACCGATACGATAAGGGCCTACCACAAACTCTTTGTAATCTCGACGTAAAATATCGTAGCTAGACATACGATCCACTTGAGATTTGACCTTTTCAATATTATGAAAGTAATTATCTGGCTGAAACTTTTTCAATACATCATGAATTTTGACGTCTAACTCCGTTGTTCGATTAAGCGACCAATTCAGGTTGACAGTGTCAATTAAAAGGGGCGCTAAAGCCAGCTGGGCAATCACTTTGTTGTCTTTCCACAAGTCTGAAGAAAACTGGTTGAGGACAAGTGACACACAAGACCCCACCATGTCGATACAACGAGGTTCGGCGTCCAAGTATAGTTTTTCATCAACATGATGATCAACAACACCAACAACTTTAAATGCAGCTGTGAACGGATGAGTGGCAACATTATGATCGATCAATATGAGCTGGTGTTTTGATGGGTTCAGTGTTATTTCTTCAAGGCAAATGAGGCTGTTCGTGTCAAGTTGCACTTGTTCCATAACATATTCGAGTTCAGGACGAAGTTTTAAATCAGCTTTTGGAACTTTCACGAGTGGTACATAAATGGTAGAATCGTCCACTTGCTGACTGAGATACGCGAATAATAAAGACGAGATTATTGAATCAAGATCTGTAAGGAATCATCAGTTCGGATTCAGGAAAGCAACTTGAACAATAACCTTCAAACATACCTGCTGCGTCGTTACCAGTGACTATTGTTACATTCTTATCGCCATACAACCGCTGACGAGCTGAAGTCAAGAAGTTGCTAAGGAAAGACATTTCGTTGGCAAGCACAAGAGTGACTAAAAAAAAAAGCTATAAAAATAAGGTAAGTGATTTCCCCGTTCATTTCAAGGCACCATTTTTTTTTCTGAGTTGAAAATTATCTTTTACTAAAGGCGCAAAGAGTAATGAAATGTTGCTGGCAGTAAGCATTGATCTGAAGTTTACCAGAAACAAAAGAAGATGGAACAATAGCCTTGAGCTTATATCTTTGAACTAATATTCATGCGATGTCATGAGATGCTTTATTTCCAGAGTTGATTGTTTATAAATATGTAGAAGCTCGATCAAGAGATCAAATAACATTTGTGAACTGTAGTTAAAGGAGAGACAAGTTCAATAGCCTTTCATCAATATGCAAGGAAATCAATATGTACGAGTGAGCGCACTGTCATCGCAAAAATTATATCAAAGAGTGTCACTAAAGCTGTTGTGAAAGTCATTGATCAACTTCATTCCAACTCGATTAAAGCGCCTTATATAGTTCGTAAAGTAGTCAAGTTGCAGATAGAGGCCTTTGATGTTTTTTGATTTAGCAAAATATTCGACAAAGTCGTCTAACATCTGATGGTCCTGAATTGTTGCTGAGGGCTGTACATCAACAGAAGTACGAGCGCATTTCAATGTTCCTAAGACACACAAGGTTTCTAAGTTCGGGAACTGGTATCGTATGAATGGTAGTATAGAGATGTCTATCTCGCCAGCTGAAATTGTCAAATTCTTGAGATTAGGGTATTGCTTGGTCAAAGCTTCCTGTACTTGCTCAAGATAAAGACAAGGACAGTGCAAAGAAAAGACTTCTAACTGTAACAAATTGTCCAGTAATTCCGTTATAGGATATTCTTGGTCAAATCCTACCAATAGATGAAGGGTGTTCAGGTTTCTAAATGCGGTCAAGTACCGCTTCAATCCACCATAATGTTGATTCACGTAATTTAGACACTCCCTATCTCTATGAAATTCAAGTCTGATCCACCGTATACTCGATCGGCAAAGGTAGTTCATCAAAATGTAGGTTTTCCGTACAGCCATGTTGTCAGTATAGTTAACATGGATCTTTTCAAGATTGGGTAAACATGTCGAACTGTCGGAATGATCGCGGCTGTTTTCACAGTTTGTAATAAAACGCATCATTGTATCCATAAGATCCTTCGTTTCCGGCTTTATAGGAACGAAGGAGATTACGTTTAGATTTTGGCAATGGCTCAAGATTCTTTTGAAAGTTTCGTGTCTATCCAATGATACTTTTCTGTCAGTATCCATCAGGTTAATCTGGATGGACTTGATATATTCACTCATACGACTAGCACTCAATAAATTGTTCAAAAAGCGCTTGAAATCTTCGTCTGTTTTGAGTCGAATATTTGCCCAAGGGTGGTACAGTGAGCGTGCAACGCAGCACCATGTTTTCGACACGAATGCGCATCTCCGTATGAGATCGTCTTTTGATAAGCGTTGTAAAATAGTGTATAATACTTCGAATGGAAGCGCAGTAATAGTCACTGGTGTCATATAGTTTCTATTTTTCTTACCGTCAGATTAAAGAGAGAAGGAGCTATTGAGACATTGGAAGGCTGTGGATTTGTCACAACCTTTATGACAGTTTCAACTCTAGGTTGTACTTCTGATGAATTTATTTTTTTTTTTGTCCTTGAAACCCATGTTCCAAGCTACTTAGAAAACACAATATAACAAATAATGCTGATCTCTTTTCTCTTTGCGAGCGTATGGCAAAGGCAGTATTATTGACCGTATTTTGTTGTGAAACAATATAATGAAAATTGCTTAACAAAGATAGTTGTGGGCAATGTTGTGCCTCTAAATCACAATTAAATTGTGCATGGCTTTTTTTCTTTTTTTTTTGGAGGTGTCTTTCATGTTCTCTATACAAGAAAAGGGAAGTATCCAAAAACGAACTCTAAAACCATATACAATTAAAATAAAACAGATGTTGAGATGTATTTCTTTGATTTTTGGTGATAGTAAATGCATAGTAATTCGGATGATTTTGAGGAGTAGAAGATGTACACATAATATTTAGCTTCACTATAACAACAAAGCAGGGTACATACCTTTCTTCAGCAGTCTTTCAAAATGAAAGGTATGTACTGGATTTGTCTTACAGATAGGGGCTATATTCGATGATGAATAAATATATCCAAGACATAGCGGCGAAATGTGAGAGACAAAGAAAAAATCTATTTCATAGATGGGATATTGTAATTTCAAAGACTAGAGTTTTGTGGGGAGAGAGAAGTGATATGTACTGTCAAATGGTTGGCAAAAGCTTCACGGTTATTAACCATTGGCTGGTTGTATCTTAGTGAGCGGCTTTGATAATTGTTCATTTTTGATTTAGTGATATAGTGAGAGGCATCTCCAGTATCTGCTATCTGGGTTATGCCATTGTAGCAATATGTGTGGGTCATTTAGGTTTTATTGTTTAAATTGAAAATCTTAAACGCTCGGAGATATCTGTCACCATATAAATAAAGCCCTTCAGCGGACACGATGTTTTACAAAATCTGTTTGTTTTCAATGTTTATTTTGGAGATTTGCACTTGGAAGCTTCCCAGAAGTTGCTGTACACTATTTAGATAGGGTTAAATGATAAAAAAGGAATTTATGTGATGACAGGGACGCAATCAACAGGAAACGTTGCTCTCCAGAGCTTATGATAGACCTTAACAAGACGTACTTTACTATTTATTTATTTTTGAATAGGTTTGTCACCGCTGTCTTCACTAAAGAGTAGGCCTGCAAATGAGCCCATATGACGAGGTGTTAAAGAATATAAGAATCATTTGATTAACTTCATATTAATCATGACACTATGCTCTTTACGAGCTAAATCATTTCATTACCTCCATTGGGCAAAGTGCAAGTTTTTACGCTACATTCTACCCAACTACTTCTTGACCAAAAGGACCGTGTAGGGATGCTGTAAACAACGGTTAAGGGTTACACAAAACCAACGTTGAAAAAGGAGAATAGGCGTTAAAACAGAAGAATGCAACAGAATATTCTAAACTCTCAATTTTGAGAACAATGTGATCCGAATTTGAACAATCTTTTACCTTTCTTTTTTGGGACTGCGTTGTATCCTGTCGAACCACGTCCCCCGATAAGGTGAATCCGGGGGGTCAACAGAGAATGCAGTTCAGACGCACACTCATCACCGGATAGTGATGCGTCATGAACTCCACTTTAACATAACGAGGCCTCTAAGAACAAAATAAGATGTTGCAATATCAATAAACAGTGAGATGTTGCAATATCAATAAACAGTGAGATGTGATATCCAAGATGCTAGTATATCGCTAAATTTTGGCAAATGTTGGCTTTTCAGCAAAGTGTTTTTGGTTTTTAGACAGTATTACTTACATTAAGGAATGGAGAAAGATGGATCGAGTGTCAAAGCGGGAAGGAAAGGAATGGGGCTTTTGAAAGCAATGTGGAAAATTTTATCAAGGGCAAATGTGTCCCTTTTATACTTTTTCGACTTTTTGACAAAATTCATTTTCTACATTTTAACATTTTCGGGGAAGTATTTTTAATCAAAAAAAAAATGAATTTACCGAGCAGTTGGGATACGCATATTCAGTGTAGACACAGATTAAAAAGAAAGATTCGATTCTTAATTGTCTTTCAAAAAAGGAAATTCGTTGCCGAGCTATTGGGTAGATTTCTATGCAGTGTAGATACAGTATTTTAACTAATATTTTAGATGAAATACATTTTTTTTTGGACGATTAATATTTTCATTTTAGATGAGTTGCAATTGTGTTGTAGACGAAAATATAAACCGTTCAAACAATGAATCAAATCCCAAAAACTTGTCAGTATTGCGAAACAAAAAAAAAAAAACAAGAAAAAAATACCGTACTATTCCTTACCTGTAATGATCTAAATCCTCAAAATGAAGGAAAACCGTGTTTATTACGGCGATACTTTTTTCTTCTTCGCTGGCTTAAAAACATCGGGTCTTCCAGCTCCGGACCAAACTGCTTGAGATATAGTCATCATGTTAATAGCAGCGTTAATGTCTCTCTGCCATAGCTTTAGACATTGCTTGCAGTGAAGAACGCCGGTACCCTTGAATCCAGGAGTATCAACAATTTGCATATCATCATAGAAACAGAGGCTGCATGTTTTAGAGGTTTTAAATTCATCGATTGTGACAACAATCAATTGACCTTCAGCTTCACGTTTCTTCAGAGTTGCAAAAAGTTTACCGACAACACCGCATCTTTGCCCTTTCAGCTTGACTACATCTTTGCCAAACATTCCAGCACCAAACACAATCAGTGGCACCCTTCTAGGGGATTCCAAATACTTATCAGCCTTCCACTTCTTGGCACTTCTAAAAAGTATTAATGAATGGATAAGCTAAACGATGAACATGTAATTCCATTGAAACTCACTTTGTTGGCTGCTGTTGGTTGGCATTCTTTCCTTTCTTCTTCTTCTTCCGCTGTCTTTTCCTCTTCCTTGCCTTGCTTCTCTTCTTGTGATTGTACTTGGCCGTTCCATGAGTCAACATGTTGGCCATTGTTTCCGGTGCTCTTTGTGTACCTTGGTACAACATAAACCGGTCCTTTGCAGTTTCGGATCCATAAAAAGCCAAGAGAGCGTCCAGGTTATTGAGTGTATAAGCAGTGTATAGCTCATATATTTCCAAACGAGAGGTTTTTGGCGAGGGTATCTGACTTTCTATGAGATCTATGCCTGTAACGGCCTTCTTTCTGTTTAACTTGGTACTGTATTGGGTCGACCCTGTCATATGATAGTATTCAGATGTAGTGCATCTTCGCACTTGTCTGTTATATTCAAGGCCAATAGCAGCAGTAAAAACAGACTTTCTTCCGGGATCCAGGGTAATAGGTAAATAAGTATTGTCAACTTCATCCAGAGAGAAATCATCAAGAGTGAGGTCAAATTTTTGGAACAAGGCACCATGGCCAGATTGTTGTCTTTTATAAAAAAGAAAATCAACTGAAAACCCATCCGTTCTGACAATATTACCAAAGAGCTCTTTGTTATCACCATTCGGTGTTAGTTCAGAGATACTACAAGTGCCCAAGAAGTTAAAGCTCATACATTATACTCGACTGTATACCGTATTAACTGTATGCTTACCTTTTGTACCGGAGTTTCTTGAAATCAAAGACATGGAAAAACAGCTCTAATTGGCTTTGGTAATTGCGGGGTAAAGAACGTTTCACAAAAGAAGACAGAGCGTTCACGCTCAAGGTAATGAACCTCCATTGAACGGAAACCTTTGGCAGTAAGGATAGCAATTTTGGAAGAGGACGTCGTCGTACGTCAAATGGTTTATGATCATCGTGTTCCCTCTCAAATTCTGCGTTCAAAGATAACAAAAGGGTACGAAAGACCCAGGATCAGCGGATAATGTCTTCATGTTCACTTTCTTCCCCAGCTTCTTCTTCCAAGGTTCACAGAAGGTTTGGATCTTTGCTTTTATATCTTTGGTAAGGTAGTCATCAGTTGGCCATTTAGGTTTTCCTTGGCATATATCTTGATAGCAGAAATCACTTGTGACCTTTTTGACAAGCTTCCAAGGCATACACTACGCAAGATGAGAGCTTTTTTTGAAAATTCATGTAAGATCCCAAGTAATATTGAGTTGCAACTTACCACAAATGCTGTTTGTATTTTATATATCAAAAAATAGAGAAGTTTCTCCTCAAAATTTTCCACTATACTGTTCGTATAGGAAGTAGCAATTTCGGTGCATGCTTCTGTAATGGCTTGACTAAGTCCAGGAAAGAGCTTGACAGGGAAGACAATCTTAGGGTAAGTCGTTTTAAAAGAATCAAACGAGCTCAATAATTGTTCTGATACCATCCTACTATTTGTTGGTCTTTGTCCATTCACTAGCTGTATCATAGAGTACCAGAAATTTTGTGTAAAGATACATTTAATACATTTTGGCTCAGCAAGAGTGGCATTTTCCAAGACGTAGTAATTCACAAAGAGCTTGGCTCTAAGAACCAAGTTGCGGATAACAGAGCAAGCTTCAACAACTTTTGACTTGAATGTGTTGCGATAGTCACCAAAAACACAGTTATCAAGAGGCAGCCTTCTTGTAAACGCCTTGTAATTACTTCCCAAATGATGTTGAAAGACCTCTGCCTTTGATAATACATGTTGAGGACACAGAGGAGAACGCACCGATTTATGTCCTGGTTGCTTGCATTGGTACAACAGGTATTGTCTTTATCCGGTTCTTCATTATTCTCTTTCCTTGCTTTCTTCTTTTCCTTCTTGATTTCAAAATTCTGTTTGCGTTTTGTGCCTTTCGAACCAACTATAGGTACCATGAAGTCGCTTACTAATGATGAATTTACCAACTTTTAAAGCCACATGAGGTGCTTACCTTGATCTGCAGTTTCCGGCTCATATAATTCACATTTAAAGTATTGTTTGGTGTAGTGACCCCCTTTACCGCAATCAATACACGTTACATCTAACAGTACACGATGATTAATCTATACATATATATATGATTAGGTAGATAGGCTTTCAAAAGGCAAGTTACCATTAACAGCACTTGATTTTTTCTTTTCAAAAATTTGCTTTTTCTTTTCATAAATTATTGTTTTGAACATGGGTCATAGTATGTATCTTAAAAACGTGAAATAAAAGTGAAAGAGACAACATTTGACTCTAAGAAAGCAATATATTTTATAGTGCTTATCTTTGAAAGTCACCCATGAACGCATACAAAAACATTGACAACAGTTAATATAACCATCCCATTCCGCTATGGTATCTGTTATACTATGGCCCTCAGCCCTCTATCTATGGTTTGATGTCAATCAATTCAAAGTTAACCTTTTTTGGAATTCTTGTCCAAAAAAGGTACCAACGAATATCTGGTTGGGGTCTCGGAACACATCGTCATTTACTAAAAAAGTTGTCAAGCTTTTTGTAGTTTGTCCTATTGCAAGGTAACATCAATAAAACCATTATTGGCGACTTTCTTACTGATAGAGACTAATTTCTAGGGTTCGATTCTATGTCATCCTTAATGCTGCTTGAATATCACTGAATAATGAGTATCCAAATCCAAAATATTATGGACTTTTCTAAAAATATTTTTTAAAAAATCTAAAATTAAAATGTATATTGTTCATTAAAAATTGTAAATCGTCTAAAATATAAGGTAAAATACTGTATTGTCACGTTCGCTTTTTTTCCGCTTTCCAAACACTTTTTTTGAAAATTGCCTTTTTTGGAAAGTAACTGAAAACTTTGTAAAAATAATAACTATCGTAGACAAAGAAAGTCCACCAAAGTTTATACTACCACTCTCACCCATGACGACTGAACATACAAGTCGTGCCACCAGGAGTATCGTACTCTATGAAAGCCAACTCATAGAACTCAACACTCTTTTTGAACAATATCGTAAACATTTGTTTTGCTCAGCTTGTAACGCCTTTACGATCTACCACCGCAAGGGCTCAGACCCTACGTACCCTTCGCAACCAGTCTTTAAATGCAGTCAGTGTAACCGACAAGTTAAAGCTGCCAATATGCTACCCATCCTTCAGCATATTAAGAAGAGCCAACAGCCCGAAACCACCCAGACAACAGTCGAAACGATTGACGAGGATATCCCCACACACACTGAGGACTCCCCTGCCCCACCCCAGGACCCCCAACAACAAGTAGCGTACCTTACAAAATTGGTACAAGAATTGAGCCAAAAGCTACAAAAAGCTGAGCAGGAAATAGCATCACTCCGTAACCAACCAACCACCCAGCACTCTTCGCAACCACCTAGAGCGATGCCTCCACCACCCATTAACTCATACTTGCCACCCATGCCCCTTACTTCAACCCAACAACTACCTCCCTGGAGAGATCCAGCTCAAGTTGCGCTCCTAAGACGCAATCTAGAGATTCACCAACACCAAAAACACGTACACCGTCAAGAAGTCGCCGCTCGTCATTTCCAGCCTCCTTCTCTAACTCAAGGATTCCAATACGTGTACATTCCGACAAAAGCACGTATACCCATCGGACAACTTCGCAGTAAACTTCGCACCTTAGGCATCAACAACAGCCGACTCCTCGATATTCATTACCCCGACCGCAATATTGTCGCAATCCTTGTCCACAATGACTATGCCGAAGAGTTCAAAGACCAACTTCGCAAATGTAAAATACACCTTACAGATAATTTTGATCCCACAGACGGTAAGTTACTGAAAGATCCCCAGTATGACTCCCTATCAGATGGCGAACGCCAGACCAAAGCAACAGAACTTCATCAACAACGACTCCATCGTGCTCTCACCTACATTCGCACTCCCGTTAGATATGCAGTAGCGAGATACTTCTTCCAACAAAATATGATATCCCAAAAAACCTATACGACCACCATGCCTGCCAAAAGCTCTACTCAAAATGATATTTTCATCACAGACAACGACGAACAAATGAATGAATATCCCTCGGATTTGGAATTCGAGGAGGACAATCAATAATGACTAGTATCTCTATGTCATTGTTTAATGCAACAGGCCTACCTAAACAAGCAATCACACCTATTCTTAATTTAGCAGAAAAATCTCATATCTTACTTGTTACAGAAACGTGGCTCTTAACCCCCAATAGATACCCCACCCATTGGCAACAATATCATACTTATGGCGAACCCGTAGGAAATACTTACCGTGGACAAAACGGAATAGCCCTTTTAGTGAACCCAAACCACTCCTTACCAGTCCACCACATCACAACAAGCCAACCATTATTAGCTAAGTACACTTTATCATTCACAATGCACAAACTTCTTATCCACTGTTTATACCTCCCCCCATCACTACCCAACGGCACAGTAGAAAGCATTCTTGAGCAAATACCAACCTCATTGCCAGGCACAACCACTACTATCATATGCGGTGATTTTAATGCGAGAATGGGCTCACTCACAGGTGATTCGACATTTACATACCGAGGCAAGCTGCTGCATGATTGGATTCAAATTAATCATCTAGTTAATTGGAACGCCCGACTACAATATGGACAACCCACCTCAATCACTTACAATGGAAGGAGTATTATTGACTATTTCTTTAGTGATACTGAGCTACTCACACCAACACTAACCATCCTGGACGACATGTCACTAGATTCAAACCATAAATTCATGACGCTTGACTTCAGCACCGCTTCCACATTCCCGACTACCTTGCCCCCTCAGCGTAGGATATGGAATTTGAGCAAATTGAAAAACCCTCAGAAAATTGATTGCTATCGTCAAATTTTCAATGAAACACTAACTGCCTGCTCCCCGAATAGCCACACTGACCCGCAACATAGAACACGGGCCGGCGAAGAGATAGAACATTTGAACCAAGCGATGTGTGAAGCGATATATACCTCACTGGATACAGTCTGTGGCCGTATGACACAACCAAGAACAATCACGATGGAACATTTTTGGACAGAGGAGATGCAAAACACGTTTGACAAAAAAGAACACTACTATCGTAAATGGCGTAAAGCTGCTGGAGTTAATGCACTTCATTACTGGATCCTCCACCAAAAAACCCAAGCCAAACTTCGAAGATTAATACATCAACGCAAACGTGAAACCTGGCAACAATTCTGCTCAACCATGGAAAACAAGGAATTTACTAAAGCCATTGCACGGTTTAGCAAAATAAAAAAACGACGAAACTTAAAGCCTTCCTTTTCTAACATAGCAGGACCTCAAGAAGCAGCAAATAAGATGGCTACCCACATGGAAATGATATTTTCAGGACGAAATCTCCCAGAAGACCGAAGTCCATCCAACAACTCTCCACTCCAAGAGACAGCTCCCTACAGTCTGGAAAATTTCCCTATCGACAAAGATTTGATACAAACGGCCCTCACCTCGTTACCCACAAAGAAAGCTCCAGGTATTGATGACGTTCGCATTGAGATGCTCCGTCCCGTTGCAGATATTATTACGCCCCATCTATGGTATTCATTCCGCCTCTGCTGGCAATGGTCCTATACACCGAAGACATGGCGAGTGGCACAAACAATCCCAATCTACAAGAAAGGTCCTCCGGACGGCCCAGGCAACTACCGTCCAATCAGCCTGACTTCTGTATTTCGGAAGATCTTCGAATTTTGTCTTAAGGAATATCTTATCGGAAACGGCCCCACCATAGATATAGCCCAAGGAGGCTTTCGTATTGCACGTAGCTCCTTAGACCAAGCACTATGTCTGGCTGAAATATGCCATATATTACGACGACACCATCGCATCAACCCAGTACTAGCTTTTTTGGATATTAAATCTGCTTATGACACGGTGGACCGACAACATATTTGGAACATAATTCGCCATCACGTACCGACAGCTCTCCTTATGTTACTTAAGAGTCTCTTTGATGAAGTGGAAATAGAGATACTGCTACAAAATGCTAAGTCCTCACGTTTTTGCCCAGTTACTGGTGTGCTACAAGGCTCTATTCTGTCGCCATTACTGTATTCATACTACATCAATGACCTACCTACTCAACTACGAACCCAAGAAAGAGTGGATGATTTACCGCCATTGGAATTGGTTCGGAACATGAACTGTTTGTTATATGCGGACGATGTGGTTTTGATTGCCGAAGACTCCCAAATGCAATCCCTACTTCAAAAATGTGAACAGCATAGTTACTCCCGTGGTTACCGATGGAACCCTGACAAGTGTGTAATACTGGCTTCGTCTGATCAACCAACGATGGAATATCTCCTTTATGGATCCACACTACAAAGCAACAATTCCTTCCCATATCTGGGAGTTCCTTTCAAGCCCGGTGGTTACCTGGACACTCAAGAGCTCATACATATCAACACAACCAAAGCCCTGGCTACTATGAATACCTTATCGTCGATTGGAATCAACCCTAACGGCTTTAATAAGCTACTATCTCTCAGGTTCTACGCTCATCTGGTCCGCCCTCAACTGGAATACGGATTGGCGATAAGCAAACTGAACAGGACAAATCATATGAAACTGGAAAACGTACAGAACAAATGCATTCGCAGGATATTTGGTGGGTCAATTCGATCCTCTGTCAATATAATGCGTCACTTAGCCAACTTACCCTCAATGCGAGAAAGAGCCTACACTCTCCAGGCTAAATTCCTGTTACGATCACAAACACTCCCAGATGATGCCCTACTGTCCCTACTGCTGCCATATGTACAACAACCAAATAGCTCTTCTATCTGGATTCAGCTATCTCGTACACCTCTCTGGCAAAGAACAAAGGAATACGCCCAGACAATGGATCAGAAAATTCTTAAACAGTCCCTGAGAGACTTTCGTACAGAATCCTTACAAGCAATGCAAAGCGCCCCAACAAACTCTAAGCTCATCTCCGTCTGCCGCCGAACAGTAAGTTTAGATCCCATACTATGGCTTCCTATGACAAGAGAAGAAAGAAGTCGATGTCTTCGTTGGCGACTTGGTTGGTTACCTAGTGGTAACACCACCTACTGCATCCGGCACCCTTCAGCATTGTTAACAAAGACACACTCAATCCAATGCCTGCATATGCACTCGCGTTTGCAGCAACCACAGCAAATAGAAGATCCCCTTTCGTATCTTCTAAATCAGCTACCTAACCACCCGCCAAGACAACTTATGATAAAACGTCAATGGGAACACCTATGGCCGATCCTCTGCTACATACTATATGAGCTTGACTATCTATTCCACGTCAAAGAACCCCCACCCTTGGATGCTGCTCTAGGATCTTTACTGCTCCAATGGATGTCTCCCCATAATCACTCAACCTTGTGATAAACTCGTTTTTACCCTTGATCTTGAAGGGCTTTTTAGATACTTTATAAACAGTCGGATCTGCCCCGGGCAATTTTATATAACATTGTGCCCACTGGGTTTTAAAGAAAATATTTTGTCAATAAAAACCTCTCTTTAAACGTATTGTCACGTTCTGACCTCTAATTCATATAACAATCTGAGAAACAATCCAGATTTGCTGCCTTTCCCAGTTATAGTGTACTGGAACAAATAAGATTCCAGGCACACTGGGACAAATAAGATTTCATCAGGCACACTTCAGCCTTACTGGTAATCTAGATATATCTCAGTGGCGTTGTACAATTCAACCTCGCATTCTTATACAAGACCATTCAATTTCTAAACCAAAATAAAAATTATCCAAGAACTATTGTTCGGTCTCGCTGACTCACTCAGTCTCTACATTTAAAACTTATTAAATTATAACTCCTGATATCTAAGAATATCACAGATATGGATTACAGAAAGCTGTCTTATAAACACTACAACCTTGAATAACGGATGCCAAGGCTCGGTATCAATTACAATTACATATAACACAGAAGTTTCAAATACTTTTAACAGTACACTGGGTATGACTGAGGAGGCCCGAGAAAGGGGACCTTGTCGTTAATCATTCATGCCTCAGCACCATACAGCAAACCATTCTCTCAATTGCATACACATTCTCAAATGATTTATTTATATCGCTTTATCCTATGGCTGCCTTTCCTTATCATAACATTCTTGGCAATTTTAAACAGCAGGAACCATCACTTGGCGTTGAAACGTGACAATAGCAAAAAAATCACTTTGGTATCCACTCACGCAGACATACAATTACACTCAAAACGTCACCATGAGCGATATTTCATGACCGTATTTGACCTACGAGCTAAAATCCGCAGAAAAGTGAAAAGAACTCAGGTTATTCTTTTTGAATGTATGACAAAAGTGAAAATGACCCTTCAGTTGCTTTAGCTTGATGTCTACTTGATGAGAATGGAGAGCAGCTTTAATTATTCTTTGCACTGTTGCTCCAACTTTAGCCCGGTGCAATGATGTCTGAAATAATGATAATACCAAACATTTAATGTGTTGATATGGATTATCAGAGACTAAATCATAAAATAAGGTCTAAATGTAATAGACATTCTAAGCTCAAACGCAGCAACTACAAAATTGCGCATGAAGCGTTGGGATTCTTTAAGCATGGAGGTTATTATATAGAAAGGGCTAATAATATGTGCTTCTTTTCGGAACGAGCGACTCGAAAAAATCAGACTTTAAAACTGATGCTCCAGCGTTTGCACTTCTATAGGCTAACAAAAATTAGTAATCTATATGAATATCTTAACCTACTTCGACACTCCATGTAATAGTTACAAAAGAAAGTGATGTTGGCCTAAACCACAACAGAAGCTGCGTAAAGTGATCTGTAGCCTATTTTGTTAGAAACAGAGAATATCCTTTTTAAAAGTCCCCTTTTGATGACCCAGTATACCCAGTACCGACGCCTCGCTTAATCAACTACTTATAAATTTGATTGCCTGGTCCTTGCATTTTTTCAATCGACTTGATTGCGTTTAGGCCTCGGTATGGGCCTCCATAAAAATGTATAAAAATGGTACTTTTTCTGCAGTTTAAAAGCTTCTACAGTTTTATAACATAAATATATTTTTCTCAAATTATATTGAAATCTGTATATTCGTTTATATGTGAAAACGATTGTTCATTTTTCTTGCCTTAAGGCAGGTAAAAGCTATTTGAGACACACTTTTTGAGATTGTAAAACACAAAAATCGAGATAAAAATTTTTAAATTTTACTAATACTTTGAGATAATTTTGAAGATTGCTACATCTGCTAAAGTTTCCAACGATGCGTGAAAGACTCCACATTCCCCAGGCAAAATTTGTACTGCGGTCCTAAAGCCTACCTGATAATGCGTTGCTTAAATGCCTACTTCCTTATGTCACTCAAGCCACTAGCAAATCTATCTGATCCCAACTGTCACACTTCAATCCAATTTGGAGAAGGCATTCCCCGTTTCAAGATAGGAATTGCACCAGGCCATCAAAGCATATCATCAAGAGAACTTAGACGCCATACACTCAGCGCCCAACTCAAAGTTGATGAACCGATGCCGCCCTAACATTTCTCTTGATCCCATTCTTTGGCTCCCAATGAGCTTTATTGAGCGTAGTCGCTGTCTTCGTTGGAGACAGGGCTGGCTCCCCAACAACTACTCAGCCCATTGCCTATTCCACCCTCTTTGCACACTCACTAAAGCCCACGCCATTAAATGCCTACAAATGCATAACCGTCTGCAACTTCCGACAACCGTCGTTGACCCCATTGCTCATTTGTTGAACCAACTCCCCACTCGACCCATAAAACAGCATGTCAATGCCCCAGTTAATTGGAGTATATCTTGGCCAATTGTCCAAATGCTTCTTTTAGAAATCGATTATCTTCAGCACGAGAAAATTCCCCCCACCCCGTCAGAAACATTAGGACAGCCCTTGCTAGACTGGCTTTATGCGTCCACTACGATCATTACTTGAATCTCCCGTTTTTTTTAACCTCGTCTGGATTGTGATCCCTTATCCTTTTTTTTTCCTAGTACCTGTACGAATTTTGACCTGCCCAGGGCAATTTTCTTATATGTAATTTATCTGTCTGCCCATTGGGTTAAAAATTATTCAATAAAAATCATGTTTAATCGTAAACTATTCGACTATGTCGACCTTTGCAAGAACAGAAATATTTCGCTTAACTTTAGTATATCATTGCATTAAGTACTTCAATTTTTTTCTGATTAAAACATAGCATAAGCATACAGTGGTTTCTTAAAAAACCATTACTCTCAGATTGGATTATTAGTTTGATCAAACTTAACTTATGGCTCCATCAGTATAGCCATTTGCAAAAGAATGTTAATGGTAAAGTATATAACAATAAACTGTTATTGATGTGTTGAAAACTGACAATTGATATGGTTATTCAAGATCAACAGTTTTAATATGCGTTATGAGAGCCTCCTTTATCATCTTAGGGCGTATAAAATATTGTAGAAGCATCTTTTTCTGTCTTATTGATACTTTGCTTTTCTTTTTTCTTTGAATATGCATACACATTAAAGTGAACCGACTGAAATGCGCTATTCGTTGTTGACGGAACGATGATAATTTCGTCCTATTTTTGTCATTTATTCTCTTTGAGCAGCCTATTATACAAAATATCTTCATCTCACGTATCTACAGCCTATAAAAAACAACCAGAAATTGTCTTTGAATAGGAAATGAGTGTTCACAACCAGCTCATGGAGGTTTGAACACTATGTTTTCTCTAAAGAGTTAGGCAGTCGGAACTTTTCGCGCATAGCCTACAAATCCTTCAATTCGTTGTCATGATATCCTACAATTGTACTATATATTAATTAGTATACTCCTGCGTATCAAGCAGCTCTCCAAGCAATCTTTGCTCTAATTTCATATGCTTCTTCTCCCTTCCTTCCAAAGTATCCCAACCTTAGATACCAAGGCTTACGGCAAGTTACACGTAACTTTTGTGAATTTTTAAGAACTTAATTGGTAATTAATTTCCTCCTCCCCAGGCACAAAACACCCCCGCTTTGATACCAGCATAAAATTGTATAGGGACCATAATCCATATAAATTACTTAAAAAGTTCCTTTTTCCCTCTACGCTCTCACTATTTTTCTGAACACTTTCCATGGCATGCGGAATGTTTGCGTTATTGAATTGCTCAAGCCCATTCTTACTACTCCAGCAAAACACACAGCCATCCACATAACAACATCATTATTAAAAACTGGGAGCACAAGTTCAACCAAGCGAAGAATCATTCCATTTGTACAGGCATTCCGACATTATGGTGCTGCTGCTGCTGCAATAGTAGCAGCTCACTCGTCTTCTAATTCGTTTTTATTGTCGAAACAACAGAGTACAAAAAACTGCCAACAGATACACTCAACTGATGTTGTTCTTGATACAAAAACCGCCAGGACCGCTATTATACCCTACAGTTTATGCAAGAGCCCTGTTCGTCCTGCTCGAGTTTCGATTGCTATCAATAAACTTTCTCGGCAAGGTCGTTCCAAAGAAGCACTTTCACTATTTATTGAACTTATACAGAAAAGCAATGGAAGAGAGTTTCCCAGTCATGAAGCCCTTTACTCGTTAGCCCACGCTTTATACAAAAGTCAAGATTTACATAGCTTACTACTCATCCATGATACCCTTTTGCAACGCTTCTTCCCCCTACCTTCCGACGGTCACGAGCAGCAGCAGCATCTACACCATTCCAAAAGTCATCACTTTAATGATACTGATCTACAGCAGCTCCACAACTTTTTATTGAAACGACAGTCAGTTTGTTGCTCGAAAAAAGAAGCAAAAGCTACTCTTTATATCTATACCATGATTTTCAACCTTCTTGCCCAAAAAACAAACCCGCCTTTATACCTCATTCGGACGCTCTGCTATGAACTGTCTTTGTTACCAATCAACGAACCGACAACCCCATACTATAACACTCTCATTGATCTTTTACTACAATATCATCATCGCAAACAAGCGTTTGCTGTATATCATGAACTTATTAAACGATCCAAACCTAGTATCGTCACATACACCATTTTAATGAATGATGCAGCAAAAAGAGGTCAACATGGAAAAGTAATAGAGTATTTGGATCAAATTGAGAAATATCATTTGAAATTGGATTACGGTATTACTAGTGTTGTTGTGAAATCGTTGTGTCAGACAGGAGAGTTTACTCTAGCCAAAGCTGTTGTCTTGCAGTTGGAACGGCAAAGGCATTTTTATCAACAATTACAACAGCGGCAATATCAGAAGAAGAATGATCAACAAGACTTGTTGTCTACAAAATCTGTCAAACAGCATTTATTGAAATTGATTGAAAAGAGAAAGCGTCGATGGGAGAAGAAACATTTGTTGAGATTACAGGCTTTGCCAGCAGTCTCGACAAAAGCGCAGATAAAAGAGATAGAAAAGCAATAATGTTTAAGAAAGGGGAGTTTCTGATATATTGAAGCCTTTCATTAAGGCCACTTATGAAACTGTTTTTTTTTCAGGAATAAATCGTAGCAATATAATCATAGATTTGTCATAAGACTGTGGTAGAGAACAGTATATATACTTTTTTTATTGTAATCTCTCACGTTCGGTTTTTTTTGACCAGCGTTCTTAGTTTCAAATATTTTTGTTGAAGGGGGCTTGGTGGCTTTGTCCAATTTATCTGTCAAGCCAATGTTTGTGACCGCACTAAAATTTTTTCAAAGTGTTGAAAATAAAAAGCTGGATTGAGTTTGCCTTTTATTTTGTTCCTTCTCTAATTCAACTTCTATCAATATGGATCACCAAGTATGTATAATCTCATCGCTTTTAGAATTGCAATGGTAATCATGGAACAATATACTTACTTTATTCCATTCTCTATTGCAATAGACCGAAAAAGCCTTCCAAAAGCAACCTGGAATTTTCCAAAACTCCAAGGACACCAAGAAGCGTAACCAACGTTGGTACAAGGAAGTTGGTTATGGTTTCAAGACCCCAAAGGAAGCCATCAACGGTACCTATATTGATAAAAAGTGTCCCTTCGTTGGTGAAGTCAACATTCAAGGTCGTATCCTCACTGGTGTTGTCGTCTCCACCAAGATGAAGCGTACCATCATCGTCCGTCGTGATTACCTTCACTACGTCCCCAAGTACAACCGTTACGAAAAGCGTCACAGCAACGTCGCTGCTCACATCTCTCCTGCTTTCGATAACGCCGCTGTCGAAATGTAAGTATCTTTTTTTTTTTTCTTTAATGGAATGAGTTGCAGCCTTTGCAGTGTCTGGCATACATACGACAACAACAATTGCTTTCGTCCGGTATCCATGTGGAAGGGTAAGGGTCCTCTGCTTGTTTAACCCAACGTTTTTTTTTTTCCTCGTGGCCGGAGAAAAATAAGTATGAATTTGGGATTTGTACATGCGATGCTCTGCTTCTGGGGAAAAAAAAGACTGCTGGTTACATACTTGGAGTGTACTCTCATATCTTTTCATATGGTGATTTATATGATACTTTGACGTTGTGTTAGTCTATATTATCAAAAAAAAAAAAAAAAAATACTGGACGAGGTAGTTGGTGAGGTAGCGGCTCAACCAAGCCTTTGACTCCAGATCGTTAACTAATGCTTAAATTGCTTTTTAGTGGTGATATGGTTACCATTGGTCAATGTCGTCCTCTTTCCAAGACCGTTCGTTTCAACGTTGTTAAGGTCACCAAGGCTAAGAGTGCTTCCAAGTCTTTCTCCAAGTTCTAAATTAGATAATGCTATTTAATTTATGAATAAAACAGTAGTAACTTTACTATAAAGACTCTTTTTTAACATTTTATATGTGTCGGTCTTTCTAAAACTCACCATATGATTTCCGATATATACGAACCTTAGATTTTGTGCAGGGAGCTTATTTTTACACTTCTTATACAGGAGCGTGCATGAGATCGATTCCTATTTTAATTTGATCTTTTCGCTTCAAGGTTTGCTTGTGCGCCAATCGATGTGTAGAAATAGCTTTGAATAAGGCTGAAAACAGAAGGACCCCTTTCTATGAAAAGTAATGTTACCTTATTTTATACTCCTGAACGCACACACACAAACAGGAAAAAAAAGGAACTCCCTTTTTCATGCTTTTTCTTTTCTTTTGATTATTTTTTTACTTGTTTGAAATATATAGCATAAGAAACAATATACCCTCCAACCATTCGTATGTCTTTAATTACTCTTAAAAGTAATCGTGTGTTCTATACTAAAAATACATTTCATGTTCTTTTTATAGCTTCACCACTTTAATAAGCAAATAATGAGTGACAGCAATATGGACAATGCGTCTTCTACTATAACGACTGCAGCTATGGCTTCAACTTTGCTTTGTACAAATATACCATATACCAAAATAGATGCTACCGTCGCTCCTACCACTACTAGCTTCATAACTTCACCATTAACGCCAGTACCGGAGCAAATACAGCAACAACATCACTTCTCTTCTACTTTTATCACTACGAATATGACCCACTCTCCGCTTTCTATTGACCAGCAAACTGTGCTGGCGTGGCTACAAAAAGAGTTAGCCGTATATATTGAAGTACAACTGTTGACATTACAAGATCTTCTTTGCTCTGTCACTTCCTTCCACATTGGCAAGAGTACTAATGAACAACATTCTAAAATTGCTGCAACTCTTCCGCCAACAAATACTACAGAAAATACATCGACATCGCTTATACTATATTTACTAGCACATCATTATTTTCCTGACTACATTTCCCTCTTTTCTCCTTCTCCAATGGCTTACGATAGGATGATCAACGTTGATCAAAAGGTATTGGATCAAGTTATTTCGCTTTTTCAGGACCAGTTTCAAATTACCATTGCAATCTCCGATTTCCATGGCCATCACCTCACTTTTATCAGCTACATATTAAGCATCAAAAAATCAGTTGAGCAGCAGCTTTTGTCTCATAACACAGAGTCGCCTAGTCTTAGTGGCGACTTGCTTGACCAAATACGCAACCAAGAGGCAAATCTGAAAAAACTTTGGGCTACTTGTCAGCAGCCGGAGGAGGATGGCATAGATACCAAAGTCCTTTTCGAAGTCTTCCAGAAAGAAAAGGAAACATACCACGCCATATTACAGCAAGCAATGTATGACCGAATCACATTCGCTACTCATATTGCCACCATTGACACCTATTTTCATATTCTGAGTCAGGAAAAATGTCGCTCTCAAAATCGTTCTCAAAAGAATGTTGAAACAGATCAATATCTGGTGGAAGACCCTACACTTATTGGCGATGCTGATATCGCCTATCTACTTAACGAACTTGAATTTATTAAAACCAAAATGGTCAAAGGCACTGTTACCACTAAAGAAAGTATAGAGGAATTGAAGCAGAATTCCAACAGAATCAATCAAACCATGGAGCAACTCAAGAAGGATTATGCTGACTACTCTTCTCATAATACTCAGCAAGAAAATCGTCAACAATATGCCTTACTTGTTCAGAAGCACCAATTAGTGAATGGTTGGGTAGAAGAGGTTCTTGTATGGTTTGTTGAAGCAGAACGTATCAGTCATTGGATCGAAGAGCGTATTCAGTCTGTAGAAGCAAGAATGAAGGAACAGAATTCTATCCATCTTATCCATCATGGCGCTCTCGAAAATGTCGACTTCAATCATACAGAAACTCAAATACAGGCTTGGAATGAACAGCACTACCAGTTGGCTGCGGAAGTAGAACGGTTTGATAAAGAAGATATGACGAGATTAAGGGCGCATGTGAAGCAGCTCACGCATATAGAGCAGCAGCAATCGCAGAACCAAAAGGATTTGAGTCCGGCAGATACTACCACAATTGAAATTACACTGACTACCCTAACGACACTAGATCGATTAATGTATTTGCTACGACGACAAGAATACGAACTACAATTATTTACATTACGTCAGGCTTGGGAGCAAATATATCCTGCATCAATGGAATGGGTGCAGCAAACATTGGCTGTTGTACTTGAATTTATTCGAACTGATGTCGTCTTTAAAGTAGAAAAAGTAAATGATGCGAAATACAGCAGTAGGAAAGAACTCGCCATACAAACATTAATAAAACTAGAACAAGATACGAGTACATTTGACACAACTATATTTTCAACGGTAGTTGAAAAATATCAGGCTTTAGACGATGCTTGTCCTATCGAATTGCCTAGTCATTTGGAAAAAAGACAAGTGGAATTAGAAGAAGCTTTTGAAAGGGTCTTGATGCTCATCGGTTTTGCACGTCAATTAGTAGAGCAACATCTAGCCGTTGCCGACTTTCTCAACCGTGTCTTCCACTTAAAGAATGAAGGTGCTGTTCTACAAAACGAAATTCGAACGTATACAGAAGTCGCCGGTAGCGATATGAAGGAAAGTCAATATAACATGCTGCTCAATAAAAACAAGGATGTTTTAGATCATTTTATTATGCAAGTCAACTTTTATCAAGAACAAGTGATACGAATAATCACTTCTGGAACATCATGCATTACTTTTCCTGAAGCTGCAGTAGCTCTTGATCCGCCATTCACCAGCGAGGAACAGAAAAATGCCAATGAAGCCATACGGAACATTGTTGACAAAGAAAAATCATCTTTACTGGAGATGAGTAATTCTCTTCAGAACCATTTAAGTGAACTCAAAATCCAACAACTGCAACTGCAAAAGAAAGTTCAAAAATGGCACACCGAAGTAACGCGACTTTGTAAATGGGGAGAAGAACGCTTGAAATTACTAGACAAGTTCGATAAGGACATCATGACAAAAACGATTGATTCTCAATCAGATTTGAAAGGAGTTTTAGATGAAGAGGATTTAATACATTACAAAAAAGAAATTGAAGAGCAACTGACGAAATTGACTCAAATAAGACAGAATGATTACACACGTTTGAAAGAGCAAATGGGCGCCTTGGCTATCCACTCAGACGAGCTAGTTCCTTTAGATGAATTACTAAAAATGGTAGAGCAATCTCTACAATCACTTGAGCAGAAACTAGACTTGCTCAATTGTTGGATGCAATGGGAGACGCGGTATACTGACGTGAACAAATGGCTCTCAAGCATCACTTTGGAAATTTGGCAATTCACAATTCAAGAAGCGCAGTGGCAGCCTAATAGTACCGGAGATATTCAAGCGATTCAGCATGAACTTGAACAGTTTGAGACAAAAGTGAACAGCTTCCATAATAAAGAGTATCAAGATTTTCATGAACGCTTTACAGTTTTAGAGCAAATGTTCGGTAATAGCAAAGCCAAGATGGTTTTTTTTTTTTTTTTTTTGGAGGGAGGGTGAGGGGTGCCAGTTCTTTCAAAGACAAATATAACTAACTTGTATAATACCCTGCTATAGTTACAAAGAAGCAGACTGCTTATACACATATTCAAAACCGTCAATCTATTGTTGATCAGAATTTGCGAAACTTGCATGGCCTTATACTGTATACGCAGCAAGTAATTGACCAGCATAAGGGTTTATCAGTTTTTATGAAGAACGTGAATGAACTCGACAAGGCAGGGTATCAACTTAACAATGAAATGCTGCAGTTCTGTCAAAATGCAATGGCCGAAGACTCAAAACTGCTCCCTCGCTTCAAAAGCAAAATTGCTCAATTTTCGAATAATGTAACCCAACTATGGTCTGAGCAACAGGAAAATTGTCATCCTTCATATATAGTTTATCCAATCTGTCCAAAAGATACTTGGGAAACACGCCCTTCTACCGCAGTCGACAACATGTCGGCAGACGTTAGGACAGCTACAAGATCTTCGTATGAAAAATTGCAGTTATTGTTGAAGCGTCTCAATGCAACACTACAACAGCTGACATTATCCATACAATATCGTGTCGGCCTAATGAAGTGTATAACAGAAGCTGAACGTATAGTTTTCGTATTCCAGCAATGGTCAACTGAAATCAACACTTATAAATTTGATGTGGAAGAGCAATCAATTACATATCTCCCAACTGAACACAATGGTAGTGGAGAGTTAGTTTCACTCGAAGTAGACGAATGTTCTATCATAATGGATACTGTTTGGAATCAACAGTATCTAAAGGAAGGTTTGGTTATGTTAGATCACAAGAAAGAAGCTTTACAAGTGGTGGAAGTGTTGCATCATCCTATTCTGAAATTTGAAGAAAATAATATTGACCAGACCCTACAGGAACGATTTGAAACAGCATGGCGCAACGCTCATCAAGCATATAATGAATTGGAAATTTGCATTGGACAGAAAACCAAGGACTTTCAACATTATTGTCATCAGAAACGGTATAAGCAACAAAGAGATCTATTGATTAACCTGCTCGGGCAGGCCGAAGAACAGCGACCTGCAATTCCTGATACAATGTTATTAATTCAACCCAAACAACTCGGAAAAGAGCAGGAAGAGTTTGACAAATTTTATCGTCAACTCACCGAAATTGATGTGCTACTTAATAGAAATACCTTTGATGCCTTTACAGAAGCGTATCAGCAGCTTTTTTCTCATCTAAATGGGAAAGAAGTACATAACACAGACAATAGTAAGAGAATTCATGATACAGCTGAAAAATCGGAAGTAGAATATAGGCGCCTTAAAAGCAGGTGGGAATACATAACTGATGCTTTGACCAGTGATATTCAATTTATTATCAGCTTCAAACAATGGTTCGAACTATATGACGGGTTGTATAATTTGGAGCGTAATGTTGGAGAGTTCATTCAACGTTACAGCACAGAGAATAACAGCAGAGATGACGATACAGATAGTGCATTATTGACGGATTTCAGAAGGCGCATAACAGTAATTTCAGCCTCTTTAGAACAAGTCATAGCCGATGACACTTTGAAAGAAAAGAATGCGATAGAAAGCAACAAATCTAACTTTGACAAAGAATATACCAAGGTGCAATTGTTAATAGGCCAAGCGGATAATTTATTGAAGGAAAAACGAGAGCAAATCAAGCTAGAAAATGACCGCTTAGCCTGTCAAACTGTTGTGAAAGGCATCCTTAACCAAATGGAAGCAGCCATTAGCAATGTTAAAAATAGTCAACAACAGCATTATAATGTTTTGAATAACTCTTTCATAGCCAACAACGAACTCGAAGATCAAAATGTGCTTATTACATCGTTAGATCAAGCATACAGACATGCTGTAAAAGAACATAAAGAGCATACAATTTTGCAGCAAGAATTACATGCCCAATCTGCTCCATCTTTAGTATTTAAGCGTATTGAGAATGCTCCGTCACAAGCTACGGCTCTCGCAGAAATGCAGAAGCAATTGGAAGATGGTCTACAGAATTTAGACAGAACCATGTCAAATAATGCGGCATTCAATCAATGGTTACGTCAAGTAATCAGCCATGAGAAGAGTGTCAAGGATATTTCAACTTGGACAGAAAACTGTCGCAATGTATTGGATACTATAGGAACCGGTGAACAGCAGGATGAGGATAGCTATAAATTAGATACTGTCGCTTGTAAAATGGATAAATTTATGCCTGTGATTCAATCTTTGGAGGAGCTCGCAGAAAGTATTTCATCTTTAACACCCATAGCAGGCAATGATTGTCAACAGAATATACAGAAAAAGATCACCAAATACATGGTTAGAGCTAAAACTGATCAAATCATTAAACAATGGCAGCTAATTCAACATGACTTTGATAATCTCAAAAAGAAGGTACTTTTCAGCAAAAAGATGGCCTTACTTCAGCAATTGTACAATGAAGCAAACACTTTCATTGTAAATATTCCATTACCTACTCTACAAGAAACCTTAAACATGCTACAACAGAAGGAGCAAGTACATGACGATGAAAAGTTTATTCAAAAAGCGAACAAAAATATCCTTGTTATGGCAAATATGCCTCGTCAACCAGAAGTAGAGGACATCAAACGTCAGTTGAAAATAGTAGGCACCAAACTTAGCTCAGAAGCCGAGCAGTTAAGCAAACAATTGGATAAATTAACAACAACTGCTAGTCAAAAGAAGTTGATTGGGTATCACTCGTTGACGCAAGAAATACGTTGCTTGAATGATGCTATCCAGACCAACGACATTCTCATTGATAACTACCTCATTATTTGTCCTTTTTTGACATTGGCTGATGAACTTGTTCTGTTATTAACCGCGCTAGAAGAGGTCATCGATCAAGCCGATACCACTCCTACAGGAAACAGAGCTGAACTACAAGCGAAACTGATCGAACTTGATGCTCGCTACAAATATTATGAGCGTAAGATACTTCAGCAATTCAACCACACTCGTCGTCAGTATCGCACAAGCAGCAGTAATACAGTTAATCACAATGCGAACGATCTCACACACCAGCTTATAGAGGTTTTCCTTAATGAGCTAGAGCAAAAATGGACACATTTGAAAAAGCAATACAAGAAGAAAAAGATAGAGCTCGGTCGCATCATCGATTTAACTACATCCACGATGAGTAATGTCACAGCTGCACGGACGCGCAAAACTTCTATGCCAACAACTCGAATGCATCATATAACCTCTCCAACATTGAGCACATCCTCGTCTTCATCTTCCTTACACACTACCGCTACTAACAGCAGCACACATCGTCGTAATTTATTAAAACCGCCACAAACATCTTTTTCAAAATCCATAAGCGGTAGCTTATCAAACTCTCAACACCATCACAATACATCTAAATCAGCCACACATACTCGTAAAAGGATTACATCAGCTACGAGTCTCTCACCTCCTACAGCAGCAGCTACTTCAATATCAGCCGCTTCACTCAATACTCGCCAGCGTAAAAAGTCATTCACACCACCGTTACCCTCACCTGCTCCTAAACGGATTAACTCTTACATAGCCGATCCTGATAATGATTTGGATATGGAGATTGGGCGCATTATTAATGATACACCTTATCGCGTTAACGTTAAAATGGTTCCCGGAGAAGTAGGTCGATATTGGTTTGGTAATGAAAACCCCAAACTCTGCTATTGTCGTGTTCTGAAGAGTAAAATGGTTATGGTAAGAGTGGGCGGCGGGTGGACAGAGCTATCACAATTCTTACGAGATCATGCATATTTGGAAGGTGACTTTCAACCCATACAATACAACAATCCGAACAGGAAGCAGCAGTATCAATTACATCCTCATCCTTCCTCATCTACTTCATCATCATACGGTGAGAGCCAAGTGAAGCATCATCAACACGACATTTATAACCATCAGCATGAGAACAACAACAATTCCTATTATGAGCAAGTGTTTCAAGAAGGTTTTATTGAAACAACCCGCCGTCAACATCGAAATAGTCTATCGCAACAATCCCAACAAAGCGATGACCCTACAGATAGTATTAGCCGATTTTTAAATGAGAATACTAATAAAAGGATGCAATTAACTGCTAAACGCTCCTTTTATAACAATAAGACGCTGCAACAAGGTTATAAAGAAGGTGATAAATTTATCACAATGGATTCTTTTGGCAATCAACATGAAGTGCAAATGAGAAGAGCTCTATCACCCAACCAGCATTTTATGAAAAAGAGTTATAGTAGCACTACTACCAATACTACAGCTGCTCCAGCATCTTCAAATTATATAAACGGCAGTGATTGGTTGGACAATAACTTCTTATCAGTAAGTAGCTATACGGAAGAGAGACTTGCAAAAAGAAAACTTAAGAAGCAGCTCGAACAGCAAAAGCAGAAAAATAGCGATGTTAATGATGCCGCTGATATATTAGGTCCAACCCTTAGCTTAACAGAATAATGCAGTCTCCGCTAAAGACAGTAATAAATATACATATTAATTGCTTCAGATGTTTCTGTTTGATACAGAGATTGATGGCAATTCTTTCGAAAAAAAAAAAAAAGTATACGTGCAATAAAAAAGACACAACTGTTAATTTATTCAAGATTATTGTAACACTTATACTTTTCTTTTTGAAGTTCTTTGTTCCAGCCTACGCATTTCCAACAATGGAATACATTTTCTGGATCATATTTTTCCTTCACTTGCAATAGTCTTTTGTAGTTTTCTCCTCCCCAGAATGAATCATGCCAAGAAGGTTCCAAGACATCAGCTTCATTGATATAGGCACCGCTTCCAGGTGTCACTTTTCGCAATCCATCAGCAGCCGAACTAATTTTTTGAGCTATTGCAGATATATAGTCATTGTCACTTTCATCTTCACCCTCCCATTGTAAAGTGAAAATAACGTGCCATAACGAGCTTCTCCAAGCAGGCGTCACAGAAGTCTCTCTTTCTTCATCTGGTACATTCACCGGTGTTACAGGAAAATAACCCACCGCTGCTTTGAATGTTCTTATATCATCAAGTCCGTCGCTAATTTTGGCCAAGCCTGTAGACATTTGATCGGTCAGTTGCTGCCTAAGTTCAACATCATTTAGAACTTTTTCTGGGATCAAGCGAGAAGAAAGCAAAGTGTTGAGGCCGACACTATATGAGGAAGTTGTTGATGATAAAACTGAAAAGAAATCAAAAAATCCATTAAAAGTATCAAATTTCCATAATATAGATGTAACATCACCAGCTGCCTTCTGTGTGTTTAAAAAATTAATAAGAGGTTGCATTGACCGTACAGCATCTTCCTTACTTTGGTGTGAAGGCGTACCAAAAATAGCGGCACTGCTTTTATCGCTATAAGACACACCATAACCGCCCCATCTTTCTCGTGCAAACGACGAAGCTAATCGAGCCAGTTCCAAATGATATGCCTTTTGCGCTTCAAATGTTGTAAAGTTGATAGTCAAGCTGAGTGATTGAAATTTATCAATATAAGGATGTGCACGCACAGTAGCTTCCAAAACTACGCCAAAAGACCCTACACCTCCGCCTCGTAGTGCCCAGAATAAATTAGAATTCTGACATGTGTTGGCAGTAATATACTCACCGTTTGCTAAAACAACTTTAAACTGCAGCACTTGGTCTACACCTAAACCATAAGAGGGCGCTAGAATAGAATGGCCGCCGCCCAATAGCCATCCTCCCATAGCACCTACACCAGATGAGGCGCCTCCTACTAATGTCACTTTGTGTTTTTCGGCAGCCGCATAGGCCGTACCCCAATTGACACCAGCTCCTATTGTCATTGCTCTCTGTTGTTGCGGTTGCTGTAGATCTCCATTAGTTCCCATGTAGCTTGTTATTGTACTAGTGGTGCATTGATCGGGTTGAAAACTGTCATGGTACTCAATTTTTTGTAGACCATGCGTCCAAATTGTAATTGAGTTGGGTGAGGTACTCTTCCCGGAAAAATCGTGGCCTGTGTTTTTAATGTTTAAAGCAATATGACGCTCCTGAGCAAACCTGATTACCGTTGCTATATCAGATGGTAATGCAGAATTAAGTGCATATCGAGGCAAAGCACCTTGTCGGCAAATTAACTGCGGCTGCTCATCAAATAATCGGACAGTATCATTGATGTTGCTGGAGGCATCAAATGTAAGAAGAGGAGGTAAAGCACATCTATCATGCTTTCCACAGCTTTCCCAGTTTGTATACTGCATGGCACCAACATAAGCTTCTCTAATGACTTCATTACGAAATACTTGACGATAGGCATTGCATTCTTCAGCGTTGTAGTTCGTGCTAGGGTAGCATGACTGGGCTGCTGGAACAACGGCTAACAAGTTACCATGCACTGTTCTATTAAGCTCGTTCCATTCCTCTATGCTTGGCCAGCAATGACCAGCGATTGGTGTGCAAATATTAGAAGCTATTGTTAGCTTTATCGCAGAAAGTACGAAAAAGAAGCTAAGACTTGTTAAGAAGCAACAATTCATGATAAGATATGATTACTAAAGAAGAGAAAGAAGGAAGTGTTTGGATAAAGACGGCTCCCTCAATTTTTTTTCAAAAAAAGGTTGCATGAAGTTACCATGCAGTGTATTATATCGGGAAGTAATAGTCTCGATCTAAGTAGCAGTATAAACAATGGCTAAAAACGATCTTATGTATATAGCAGGAAACGAATACTTATAGGGGTTTTGTGTGTAAAGAAACCTAATGAGTGGTTTGTAAAAATGAAATATATGAATAACGCTAAGCGATGTTTAGGGTATTATGGATTATTACTAATGATAAACGGACTTCTCAATACTAACTCAAAATTGGCAAAAACTAAGAGTAAAAGGGGCAAAGGGAAGAGAAATGTGAGCTTTAGTACTTGCTTCTTAAAAGTAATGTAGCACTCCATATGCCTTATACAAGAACTTACATTGCCTACAATCACACTCGGTAGATCAAATATATCACGCTTTATGGTAAAGCAGAAAGAGCATGGTACCGGCTTCTGATGCGGCGTACGTAGTATGCAAGAGTAACTACAACTTTTATCCGTGCTATCAAATGCATGCATTGAAAATTTCTCCCAATATTCGACAGCGGATTGGTTTTCCATCAACTCATAAATGTATGTTTTTTTGTTCAACAACATGTCCCTTGTCCATTGCGTCAATAATGAGAATTCTTTTCCTACAAGACATACTTCACCAGTTCTTCTCCACACAACCGTCGGTGTTCCTGAAAAGCTGATCAATTTCTCATACTCCAGTAGGGTCCTTTGGAAACACCGTTCCATGAACACTAAATCTTCTTCTGTTAAATTCATGATTATGGATAAAAATGAAGGTCGGAAGAGGGCTAATGCACGACTTATTCGCATTAGATCGTCTCGGTTCATCTTTTCACGCACGTATTGAATAAGATAGTGGAAGCCTTCGGCATAGTTGAATGGCCTATTTACACTGTTATATACCGCTTCTGGTGTGTTCCCATTGTTGCCTTTTCTGCGGGTCCTAACATTACTAGTATCATTATTTGTTACAACATTTGAATCAGTAATGGTGGAAATACTAGCAACGCCGCTTGTACTTTGCTGTTTATTACTGGAGTAGCGTTGGCTTGAACGGTTATGTTCTTGCCCGGAATGGTTGGCAATTGCGGCTGCTACAGTTGTCGTAGGCGATGAGGTATGTCTACTTTGTTGTTGCCTTGACACTGTTATAATCGGTGACGTTGCAATAGCTGATAATGATAACTGCTGTTGACGCTGTTGTAATATTGGTGAGGTGGCCGACTGTGCTATGGAGCGTGAGGTCACTGTCGCCTGGGAAGGTAATAGTGGTATTATTGTGGGCTCAGATGCTGATGTAATCATTGAAGACGTATTTGTAGCATCGATAGTAGAGGGACATGTTGTGCTAGATGCAGAAGTAGATGTTGTTCCGTTATTGTATTGAAGTAAAGCCGATAAAGCTTGTTGAAATTCAACCGCGTTATTAATCTGATTAAATGAGTTCAAAATAGTCATTGGTGCTGCTTCTATCCTCTGTTTAGTAACATTATTCCTACTGTTGCTATTTTCAGTATTGGCATTATTGTCAGTCAACATATTTCCCAAAATTCCATATTCCAGGCCTGTTGTTTCCGAGCCAAAACCAACAAAATCAGCTAATGGAAAGTTGAATAACTGTGAAGTATCAATAAAGCTATTATCATCTACTAATTATAGAAAATTAAAAAGGGGGTGGTAGCAATAAATCAAAGGTTAAAACTTACTTAATGGCTGATCTGCTGGTGTAAATGGTACATTTGTGGTGGGTGAGAATACTACATCATTTTACAGAAGAGTACAATTAAAACAAAAAAAAAAAGTCTTACAAAAGGTATGATAAAAAATCATATTATAGGGTTTTTAAAGGGACTGTTTCATAAAAGTTTCATCTACTTACGATCTTCAGCTGATATACTGGTAGTACTAGCGGAAGGCGCCATTGTAATGGGCGCTAATACAGTAGCAATACTATTGTTATTGTTATTATTGATATTCAGTTTTAATTTTTTGTTGCTTCGAATTGTTTGCGTACAAGTCGAAATCAAATCCCGTTTGATACATCCTTGACAAGGTTGGCCTATTTAACAAACAAATTTGAAACATGTTGTATTAAAAAGAGATGTGGAGAAAAAAGCAGCTTTTTCATTTTGATTATATTTACCCCCATCACAGCTCAAGTTGGCCTAATATTTCAAGCATTGTGGAAGGTTAATCTAAAGCCGATCTAGAAATTAACAACTAATCTCAAGCTTCTGCTGGTTTACCTTTAAGCAATGTGTACAAGCCGATCCAAGGACCAGATTCGTTCTCTTATCGAACTCTTTAAAACATTTGGTGATGGCACTGTTACTATCGACATTATCGGTATTGGCTGTAGAATTAATGGTTCCTGTTGCCGAGGTAATTATTGCTGCTGTTAATTGAGACATAATACTCTGAGCTATTATTACAGCTGAACAACGATTTACTCTGCTAAAGATATGAAGAAACGGAGGAGCGAAGAAAAAGTATGTCTGCGTATGCGTGTGTGTGAAATCCAACTGAAGGTAGGTCTATGAAAAGAATAGCCAATTGCTAACAAAAAAAAAGAGATCAAAGAAAAGGATCAAAAAAAGGATGCACATGATCGTAAGCTGTATGGTCGTACGAAAAAGTAACTTTTTCTATTGCTGTAATTCGCAACGCTATGCCGTTTCTTTACAATTTTGGTGGCATTGAAACAAATTTTTATTGACAAAATAATTTAAAACCCAATAGGCAAATTGATAAACTACTATAGTCTTTTCGGTTCAGATTCGGACAGCATTGAGTTGGTTTTCAGATGAAACGAATAGGAAAATTGGGATTTTAAGTACAATATTTTTGGATATATTTTTTATAAAATGTAGACCTTGTGGTATTCGCTAGTTTTAACTATGAGATTAAAGGTAAAGAATAACACAAGAGAAAATAAACACGAAAGCTTAACGAAATCAAACCACCATCTTTATTTCTCTTTCAAAAACAAACTAAAGAAAAAGAAAAGAAAACTAAAATTACTGCTATTAATAAAGACTTATTGTGTTTGCTGTCTACGAAATGATTGTATCGGGATCTATAGCTGACACTGATGTATTATGGTCAAACAATACTCAGTGAGTCAGAGGTTTCCGTAAAAGAATAGGTCTTCCCTTTAAGTGGATAATTACTCGTCCATCCCAGAGCGGATTGATTTGTAATGTGCTATCCTGGCAGATCCAGGGTGATCATGCAGCTACATCTATAATCCAATATCTATCGGCCACCAGTTGTGTAGCTCAGATACTGTGGGAATGATTATAGATGTTGGCTAGGAAGAGATATTCGTGCGTGGTGTTCTTTTGATTGCGTGAACAGTTATTGTATTAATAAAGAGTGATTGAGCCTTTTTTATCTCCAACCATACTTTATTTCCAGAACAGGGAGCAGTACCGTGACCTACTATGTTTTGGTTGTTGAATCAATATATCCTACGAGTACATATACCAATCCTGCTATATACCTGAATGTCATATAGCCATAGATAATCTAAGTAAAATATATTTCATAAAGATAACCAGTTCAAGTCTTATGTGAGGTAGCTAATCTCACATAAGAATTATCCTTAATCCATATTCTTTTCTTATCTTATCTTTATTTGTTATACATTTGATCTAAGGTTCAAATGTATGCAATCGAACACACCGCTTACGAAACGGGAACGAAGATATGAGCAGTACTCATATCTGAGATCAAGTTTTATTTTTTATATTTCGTTAGACGTTTTGAGTGATTTACAGTACTCATATAATATTGCCATCGTGCCTCAAATACGACAGACCTATTACCTGTAGAATCTTTAAGCGAGGGGAGACAACCACATTCGATGTGGCGCTTTGTGAGTGACAGCAAAATGTACTAGGTCTTCCATGACCAGCCCAAATCTCTTGAGCAATATGATAGATAATTTTAGCCACCATTACATCACACAATTCCATCAAATACTACCAATTTTTGCAATGGAGTATCTATCTGATGGCTTCCTTTCCTTTTGTACGCATGATAAATATGCCTAAAAAAGTGGAGAATATACATTATCATTCTGATGAATACAATGTTTACAGTATAACGCAAGTTTCCAGCAGACATAAGCAATGTTAGGGATACGTACTTGTCGATCTTCTTTTCATTGATGAGAGCTTCAGCTTCGTAATAAAGCTCGGGTCATGTCTTTTGATTCTGCTAAAGAGTATATGATTCTAAAGCAACTTGTAAGAAAGAAAGATAAAGATAGAGAAGAAAGAAAAGGGAGAGTAGTATATCTGATAACATTTACATAGAAAAAATAAAAGTGAGGAAAAAGTGGAAGTAATATAGTTGACAGCTTTTCTTTTTTTTTTTAGAAAGGGGCCAAAACAGATCGCCAATTATATTTGTTGTATACGATAAGATAAAGTATAAGAAAATGGGAACCAAAGGAAATCAGTGAAGACCAAGTTATCTTCCTTTATTAAGTAGAATATTCTGATAAAGAATGAAGATAAAAACCATGTAGGGAAAAAGTACTTCTATTTGTGGTATTTCCATACCTCCTATAATATATAAAGACGAATTAGACACACTTTCAAACATTTGACTCGTTATTATGATCATAGAATCATAATAACACTTGTACACGTCATCTTGTATTTCTAAAGATGCGCATATATATTTTTCTTTTTTAAATACAAACATTCAGTTTGCTGTGAACGCTCCCCTCTCTGATTTTCAGTGTATAATAAAAGGACTAAAGGAGACTCATTTCACCTTACAGTTTATATCAATTATAAGTCGCGTTCACAACTACGAATAACCACAAATATCACACTATTTATATTTGTGGATATTGTAAAAAACTTTTTCCATCTTGACTCTTAGGTACAAGATGACCTGATGATAAAAAAAAAGACATACTTAATTGTTACAGCACGGTTCATCATGCTTGTCACGTTCTGACCTCTAGTTCATATAACAATCTGAGAAACAATCCAGATTTACTGCCTTTACCAGTTATAGTGTACTGGAACAAATAAGATTCCAGGCACACTGGGTCAAATAAGATTTCATCAGGAACACTTCAACCTTACTGGTAATCTAGATATATCTCAGTGGCGTTGTACAATTCATTAACAGGAACAATATTACTCGGTTGTCACTACTACTTTCTTAATTCCACTATAAGCTCAGTCCAACCTCGCATTCATATAAAAGACCATTCAATTTCTAAACCAAAATAAAATCATCCAAGAACTATTGTTCGGTCTCGCTGACTCACTCAGTCTCTACATTTATAACTTATTAAATTATAACTCCTGATATCTAAGAATATCACAATGCTAGAGCGGTGCCTTGACCGATTGGATAGGTATAAGAAGGTAAGTGATGAGCTGATCTGGCTATCGGTTCCTTTAACCGATACTTCAGCAGTTTCATTATAACTAACGTGACGGACAGGATAAACTATCCTTAATTCTGCCGACGTCTACGTTTCAGTCTTATTGAATTCTGTCAGAATGTAAAGGGTTGAAGTAAGGATCAACAACTTAGAAGATAAAAGCTTAAGTAGATTAGATTTATGTATTGTGGTTTGATGTGCTAAATAAAGTTATCTGTTGTATCCAACAGCATATTACTCTTGGATTATTACATAATACTGAAATAAGAGACTACAGATCCTTATGAAGGTTAGAATAACCGCGAGTGATAGATTTGTCAGAACAATCCTTTTCTTTTACGGAAGAATATTTCATCTGTATATCCGAGACAACATTGGATGAATAATTGACTTCATTTAGAAATAAGATATTATAGTGTTTGGATTTGATTAAATCAGATAACTTTATTTAGCACACCAAACCACAATACATAAATCTAATCTACTTAAGCTTTTATCTTCTAAGTTGTTGATCCTTACTTCAACCCTTTACATTCTGACAGAATTCAATAAGACTGAAACGTAGACGTCGGCAGAATTAAGGATAGTTTATCCTGTCCGTCACGTTAGTTATAATGAAACTGCTGAAGTATCGGTTAAAGGAACCGATAGCCAGATCAGCTCATCACTTACCTTCTTATACCTATCCAATCGGTCAAGGCACCGCTATAGCATGATGAACCGTGCAGTAACAATTGGGTATGTCTTTTCTTTTATCATCAGGTCACCTTGTACCTAAGAGTCTCGATAGAAAAAAGTTTTTTACAATATCCACAAATATAAATAGAAGTACTTTTTTTCCTACATGGTTTTTGTCTTCAATTCTATATCAGAATATTCTACTGAATAAAAGAAGATAACTTGGTCTTCACTGATTTCCTTTTTGTTTTCTTTTTCTTATACTTTTATCTTATCGTATACAACATTATCTGATTAAATCAAATCCAAATACTATAATATCTTATTTCTAAATGAAGTCAATTATTCATCCAATGTTGTCTCGGATATACAGATGAAATATTCTTCCGTAAAAGAAAAGGATTGTTCTGACAAATCTATCACTCGCGGTTATTCTAACCTTCATAAGGATCCGTAGTCTCTATTTCAGTATTACGTAATAATCCAAGAGTACTATGCTATTGGATACAACAGAACTTTTTTATAATTTTGATTGACTGTTGTATTTGAGAATTTTACAACACATGTGACGTCTTAAAATAGGTAGTACTAATTAGTAACGTAATGTAACAATAGAATAGGATAAAAGACAAATAAATGAAATAAAGATAAAGGTGAAGAATTCAGGATCCTAATAGTGTGATAAAAGAAACCAAATAGTGTCCTCCAAAAAATTTCCCCAACGGGGAATCGAACCCCGGCCATGTCGGTGAAAGCGACAGATCCTAGCCACTGGACCATTGAGGAGATGATATGTTTGATACGGAGTGTGAAGGATTGTCACCAACCAATAGAATTAGAGCACGTGAGGTCCGGCTCGGTGCTCGGTAGAATGAATGTGCGGAAGAAGAATAGTTTAAATAGATAGATGAGAAATATACTTTAATAAATGAGCTTTCTTTCATATAACAATCTTATATCTAAGTTAAGAAACAGTACAACAAAATCTATACTGGAAAACCAACCATAGAGTTGGTGGAAAAATGGTCCGGATGTTTTACAACTTTTACGTTTTTTAGGTGTTACTTGATGAATTCTGGGTCAATTTACGTGAAATAAAAAACGATAGAAAGAAAAAACTCTGTTTTATTATGTGTAAAAAGTTGAAGGAATTTTACTGGATATCGGTTCCTCAAAATCATTTCCCAGCGAAGGTATTCATCCGGACCATTTTTCAGGGTAGATATAATTTTGCTAATCTCGTTAAAAAAACTTGTGTTACTACTTCTAAATGGGTCAGAGTGAGTCATAATCTGTAATAATGAGTTGTATCAATCTTTGTGACACCTACAATAATATAAAAGAACTCACTTTTTTAGTTCTGGTTCCACCTTTCATCTACACATTCTTTTTTACATCTCACCTAACAACCATGGTTCGAACATTACCTCTAGACGTCCAAAATAACATCAAGTCGTTGCTGCAGGCTGGTCACTCGTACTCTACCATCATGAAACGTGTTCCAGGTCTAAAAAAAAGCACCATTGGCGACTATAAAAGGAGGTTTTTTCCCGATTTGACTTGTGGTGCACCTGGTCGCAAGCCTATTATAAGCACTACTGCTCGTAGTTACATCCGTAAGCAGCTGGTTTTGGGTAAGTTTAGAACTGCCAAGGATGTCCATAAGTATTTGGAAGGTGTTGGATACAACATTGGTTACTCTGCATGCCTTAAAATCCTAAAGATGATGAACTTTCAATCGGGTGTTAAGAAGAAGAAGCCATTTCTGAAGCCTCAGCATAAGAAACAGCGTCTCGCTTGGGCAAAAGCCCATCAATTTTGGACCTCTGACGATTGGAGACGTATGGTATTCTCTGATGAAACGAAAATTAACGTTTGGGGCTCGGATGGTGTAAGGTATTACTGGAAACGGCCAGATGATGAACTTCAATTTCATCATCTTGATTTAACTGTTAAGCATGGTAATGGGAGTATTATGATGTGGGGTTGCATAACGTACGATGGTCCTGGTTATGCTTGTCAGATTTTTGATGGTACCATGAAGAAGGAGGACTACATTCATATCCTGGAAACCACTCTCAAGGATACTTTAGAATGGTATGGTTACAGCCCTGAGGATATCTATTTTCAACAAGACAAGGATCCGAAGCATACTGCCAAGGTTACAAAGCAGTGGTTTAAGGATGTTGTATACGATAAGATCAAAGTATAAGAAAAAGAAAACAAAAGGAAATCAGTGAAGACCAAGTTATCTTCTTTTATTAGGTAGAATATTCTGATAAAGAACTCAATTAAGAATGAAGACAAAAACCATGTAGGAAAAAAGTACTTCTATTTATATTTGTGGATATTGTAAAAAACTTTTTCTATCGAGACTCTTAGGTACAAGATGCCTTGATGATAAAAGAAAAGACATACCCAATTGTTACTGCACGGTTCATCATGCTATAGCGGTGCCTTGACCGATTGGATCGGTGACAGGAGGTAAGTGGGTTGATCTAACTAAAGGTTCCTTTGACCCGTACTTCAGCAGTTTCATTATAACTAACGTGACGGACAGGATAAACTATTCCTTAATTCTGCCGACGTCTACGTTTCAGTCTTATTGAATTCTGTCAGAATGTAAAGGGTTAAAGTAAGGATCAACAAGTTAGAAGATAATGGCCTAAGTAGATTAGATTTATGTATTGTGGTTTGATGTGCTAAATAAAGTTATCTGATTTAATCAAATCCAAATACTATAATATCTTATTTCTAAATGAAGTCAATTATTCATCTAATGTTGTCTCGGATATACAGATGAAATATTCTTCCGTAAAAGAAAAGAATTGTTCTAACAAATCTATCACTCACGGTTATTCTAACCTTCATAAGGATCCGCAATCTCTTATTTCAGTATTATGTAATAATCCAAGAGTAATATGCTGTTGGATACAACACACGGTTATTCTAACCTTCATAAGGATCCGCAATCTCTTATTTCAGTATTATGTAATAATCCAAGAGTAATATGCTGTTGGATACAACACTATTCTCCCCCAGAATACAATTACTCTGTAATTGTTATTCGGCTCAAAGATAATAAAATATAGGTACAATCATGATGCATAAATAAGCACTGATAAGATAAGATTAAAATCTCAGGCACAAAAAATCTGTTGATCAACTCAGTGACTGTGTTGCGTCATTTATTTTCTGGTTCTTTTGCGCATTGTCACTTTATTATTCATTTTTCTTTTCAAGGCCCTAGCCTCTCTTGCAGATAAACTGGCAGAGGGCGTAGACTTCTCAATGTCCTTATTACTGTTCTTAGTTTGAGCAGACTGAAACTCATTCTGTAAGTCATGTCTTTCCCAATATTTTTGAATCATATCAGAACTCGAAAAGTCTTCGGCTTTTTGCCAAGTGTTATGGTCATGAGAATAACCTTTCCATTTAACTAGAAATTCACGATTACCTCTAGGACCACGATGTTCCAGAATGTCTTCAACTTCATAGAACTCTTCAAATGCATCTTCTTCGAGATTGACAATCTTTAATTCAGAAGGAACATAGTTGCGTGGAAGAACTTCATTAGTTTCTGGAGTTTTCAGAATATAAGCACCTCCTTGATTACGTCGAACGACTGTGTAAGGTCCATCGTAAAGAGCAGCTAATTTGTTGCTTCTTTGTGGCAACCTGACCATGACATGCGTACCAGAGGGTATATCAACGAGTTTATGTTTGTCATTATAGTACTTGTTGATCTTCTCGTTGATCATTTGAGTTCTTTCCGCAATCGCAGGAAATACTATACTTTCCATTTTTTCGATTTGATCCTCCAATTCTTTCAAAGTGGTCGTACTATTTAAGATGGGGTATCTTTCGCCATTAGTATAGTCATCTGGTAAGTTTACTCTTCTTGCAAACATCAAAGAGAAAGGAGCACTCATTGTTTTATTCTTAATTTGCCTATTTGCGCAGAGTTGGACCATAGGAACAAATAGATCCCAATCTCTTGTATTGCCTCTTATCATTTTACGAAGAGTGTTCATTACAATTTTGCAATAAGCTTCGACATGTCCATTAGACTGTGCATACAAAGGTGTATTATAATATCTCTGAATGTGAAGATGTTTACAGATATTGTCCATCAGTGAGTTCTTGAATTCAGTACCGTTATCAGATCTCATCAAACGTGGCAAACCGTAATCAGCAAAAATCTTTACCAAAGTCCTTGCAAGAGTGTCTGAATGTTTGTTAGGCAAAGGTCGAATAATTAAATATTTCGTGCACATACAAACTACGACTAAAATATACATGTGGCCATCAGCACTAGCGGGAAGCGGTCCAACAAGATCCATACTTATTTCATCAAAGGGTCTATAGCTCACAATATTCATGATGGGATGGTAGCCTCTTTGTACAATATTGTGCTTTTGACATTCTTTACAAGCTGCACATACTGCTTTAGCCTCTTCTGTCATAGTGTTCCAATGGAAACCTTGATCATGAAGATCTCTGACCATATATACACTGGCTGCATGTCCGAGGTTGTGTATGTCGATTAGTAATTGTTGTCTCTCTTCTTCAGGAGGACTGATATATTCAACAGGTTTGTTCTTATTTTCGACCAATTTAGTTGCTAGTATATTAATTCTTTTATCTTGACTATATACTTTGCGTTTAGCGACACGTTTCTTATTAACCCATTTCTTAAGTCTAGGGAAGCTTCTATTCTCCCCCAGCTTATGTTCACTCTCAATTTGAGGTGGATATAAGCGGCTTAATAAATCGGCTAAGCGATTGTCAATGCCTGGAACGTGCACAACGTCAAAATCGTAATCAAGTAAAGTTTCCATCCAACCAATCAACATAGGATTCATCACCTTTTGAGTGTGTAAGTAGATTAAACTCTTATGATCAGTGTAAACCGTAAACTTACGACCCCAAAGATATTCTTTGAATTTCTTTAGTGCGGTAACAACAGCGAATAATTCACGCTTGGTGGTACTCCAATTACGTTGGGATGGGGATAGTGTCTGTGAAATAAAACTGACATACAAATCACGACCTGTATCATCTTTTTGAAATAACAAACCTGAAATAGCAAATTGACTAGCATCAGTGGCAACAAAGAAAGGTTTAGAAATGTCTGGATAACGTAACACGACATTCGATTGTAAAATGTCTTTCAGTGCTTGGAAGGATCTATCCTGTTCTGGACCCCACAATTGTTCAACATTAGCAGCATGACTAATGGAACTCAAAGGAGCAGTAACGTCAGCGACTTTAGGGATGTAATCTCTAAAATAGTTGATTAACCCCAAAAATGACTGTACTTGCTTAGCGGTCTTTGGTTTAGCCCAAGTCTGAACATTTGTTCTTTTGCTTGGATCAACTCGAGAACCAGTAGCATCCACAACAAATCCCAATAAACGCACAGAATGTTGCATCCAACTGCACTTATCAGCATTCAGAATAAGATTCGCCTTATTCAACCTTTCAATAACTGCTTTGACATCGATAATGTGTTGCTCAATTGTATCACTGGCAACTACGCAATCATCAACAAAGTTCTGCACACATCTCAGGTCTGAAAATAAAATAGTGAGTACCTTTTGGAATTGTGATGTCAAAAACTTTAAACCAAAGCATGCTTTTACAAACTGATACTGATTGCCATCTAAATGTGTAAAAGTCAACTTATGTCGATCTTCTTCAGTCACCTCGAAACGATGGTATGCATTTGACAAATCAATCGTTGTGAAATATTTCTTGCCTTGCAGATTCTTAAAAATATCCTTAATCAATGGAATAGGATAATTAAATGATGGAGGCAGAATTTTATTCAGCAAACGTACATCAAGACAAACACGATGTCCAGTTATTTCTCCGGTTTTGGATTTCT